TACCGGCGGCGGTATCGACTTAACCCGTTAATACGTTACGGCCTTCTTCTTATCCTCCTTAGCCTTCTTAAACGCCCCGGTAATTTCTTCGTCGGTAATTTCCGTAGCCTTTAATTACTCGAGTAGCTTAAAGGCGGTCGTCCGGTTTAGTTTAAAGAATTACTTTTAGATAATAGGGTTTATTATATATACGTATATATAAGAGAAAAAAAGATAGGAACGACGAAATTATAAATCTAGAATTAAGAAAAATCGAAAAACGAATTAAAACGAAGATAAAGGACCTAAGGAATAAAAGAAAGGAAATAGATCGGAACCGTAGAATAGCGAGAAATAAGAGGAGAAGTCGGACGAGAACGAGAGAGTCGAATACGTTATTTAGGTCGTAAGTACCGTACTTAGGAGAGTTTCGATAATACTTACCTTAGCCTACGTTTAATTACGAGTTTACGAACGTACGTACTTATTATTTTATTAAAAGTATATAGTAGGAAGTTATAAGCTAACGCGTTTCCTATTATAGCTTTATACGTACGCGGGAAAACGCGCTTTCCTAAAGCGTTAGCCGTAAAGGTATATCTAACTATATCGTTAATACGTTTCCCTTCCTCCTTTTCTTTTTCCTTTTTAGGTATTCCATTCCGAAAATCCTTCCCTATAATTATTATATTTCTATTAATCTTTAGCCTACCTTTCTTATTATTAATTTAAATTCTTATTTTTACCTTTAACTTATTATTTCTTCTCTTTTTTCCTTTAATTCTTTTTTTTTATTTTTATTATGTCTTTCCCTTATTTCGCCGGAATTCCTCCCTCCTTTTCCCTTTCCTTCGTTTATAGAAACGTACGTCGTACCGATTTAACCGACTTAATAGAACTCCTATAAGAGATTTATAGTAGTAAAGATAACTAAAGTAATATAGAGAAGTATTAGCTTAGTACTCTGGATAATTACGATTCGGGAAAGGGTTCGATCGAGTTAGGATCCGATATAACCTAGGCCTTCCGGCTATCCGCTAATCGATCCCGAATTATAAACTAATAGCTATAGGAGTAAACGAAGGTAGCCTTAGCTAACTTTCTCGTATACCTCGCTTATTACGACTATCTTATTAACGAAGATATCCGCGCCTTTTATATCATAACTAATTACGACCTTAAAGGCCGAAAGGCAGCCTTCGAAATAAACCCGTACTAAACGATAGGCTATCGATCGGTAGGATCGTTTAACTTCCTAACCCGTTAGTACTTCCTCGATAACCCTATCTTTACTTTAGTCTTTATGATTTATACGGATCTAATAAACCCCGAACGAGTTATTACCGATTCCTTAAAGTTCTCCTAAGTTTATTTCGCCGTAGTATTATACCTCCTTAAGCTCCGAAGATTATTTAGTTTTAATATAATTAGGAACGGCGCCTTCGATCGGGCGGCGTACGCGCTCGGCTAGCTACGGCGGGTATAAAAAGACGGTAATCTCGAGCCTAATATAACCTCTTAGTTTATTTATTACGTCGCGTTAATAAACTAATAAAATAACTTTAGTTACGGTTTTTAAAGCGGCATTTTACCGTATCTTATCTTTAAACGACCGATCGAGGTCGCGCGCTAGGCCTAAGAGAATAAGGGCCTCGACCCTTTTAATATTATAAGAGAATACGCCGAGGTAGTAGAGTAATTTTATAGCGTTTAAGTTTTAAAAAGAGGAGTTAGTATCGTTAAGCGTTTCCGGTAAGCCGTAAATTACTAAAAGCGAATCGACCTTATTAACGTTATAGCTTCGGCGTAAAGTACGCCGATCGGCGAGCCCCCTAGCCGTAAATCCTCCGTCCGGTTTATCGCGTAAGCCGAAGTCCGTCGTTCCTTTATAACCTTAGTACCTAATTCCCTTTACTTTTTCGTATTAACGGACGTAAACCTCCGTTATAATAACTTTATTAAGGTTATAACGCGCCTTTTCCCTTCCTCCGGACTAGAAAGGATTAAGGCTTTTTAATTAAAGGAAACCTTTATACCGTATAAGTAGAGGGAAGATACCTAATTAATCCTTAGGACGCGCCCGCTCCCTTATTATTTCCTTAATTAGGAGGGCTAGGACGAAACTAAGAAGAAGGTAGCCGAAATAAAGAAAGAAAACGCCGATCGGGTTAGATCGGTAAAGGTAAACCGGGCTAAGTTAGCTATAAAGTAATAAAGGGGCCTCCTTATAATATTAAACGAAAAGTTAAAGGCGCGGCCGTAGTAATTAAATAATAACCGATAGAATAAAGTTTCGCGGTAGGTTTTTAAGGAAAGATATTAATCGGAATATACCGTACTATCCTTTTTAGTTTAATTATTCCTTACGGTATAATTAAACTAAGGAGGCTATAGTAGTACGGTAAAACATACCCTTTTAATATATTACGTAATACGTTACGATAGGCCTTATACCTATATAAAGTAACCATAGCTTCCGTAAATACGGAATATACTATATTTATTATGGAGTTTATTACCTAATTAGATTACTATCTTTATTATTTTTACTTTAATTAAAGATTCGTTTTTGCCATTAGATTTATCGTTCTCCGATTAATACATTTATTTTAGTTATAGACGCTTAAGTTACTTCGTCGTACCGCTATAGCCGAATAAATAACTTTTACGTTTTGCCTCTTTTCTTTCCTTACCTTTTATACCTTCGGGCTAACGATTATTATATCTCTACGACTAAGGGGTATAGCTAAGATACGATAACTACATTAGATTCCTTACCTTTCGATTAGTATAGCGATATTAGTTTTATTTATCTTAGACCATCGTACGTACTATAGTCTTCGATAGAGTATACTTTCGAGTAAACCTATCCGGGTCTCCAGTATCGCGTACGCTCTGCTCCTCCTTAATACTAATAACTGTAATAGTTAATAAAGCTTCTCTAGAAGCGTAAGAATCGTAAGATTAGTCGATCCGCCCTTCCGGCTATTCCTACTATAGCGAGCCTTCCTCATATTAATACGGTTCCGAATTAGGGCGCCGCTACCGTTATCCCCGCCGTTCCAAAGCCTTAGGCTATCGCCGTCGCCGCCTCTGTTACCGCCGTCTCGAAGCCTTAGGCCGTTACTATTGCCGTTCTGAAACCTCGAGGCGCCGCCGCCGCCGCCGAGCCGAAGCTATAGGGCTCTCTTGTTATTACCGACGCCGTCGTCGTCGTAACGAAGCCTTAGGGCATTACCGCCGCCACCGCCGCCGCCGTCGCCGTAATAAAGCCTCAGGGCTCCTTCGTTATCCCTGCCGCCGCCATACTAACCTAGTCGTTTTCGGCATACGTAAACGACGGGTACCTCGTACGCCCCTTATAGCTAATAGGGATAACCTAAAACGCTTTAAAAATACTAAAAAATATCGTAAAACAAAGCTACGGAGGATCGAGGACGATTCTAGCGAGAAAAGGAGCTATATAGATCCTTAGGCATCTAGAATAGAGGCCTATAATTAATAAAATTAAAGAAAAACACGTAATAGCTAAATATTTATAAAATGCTATATTTAAGCCCTTTTAGTAGTTTAGTTTTTATACCTTTAATTAATTAACTAGGTTTACTTTTTAATCCGTCTTACGTGCATTATGATTAAAGCAGCGAGGCTACGAAAGGAACCGCCACTAAAACGTATACCCCGACCTGTAAGGGATATGCCCCGCTAGATAGATACCTAGGTATACTGTGCATACCTGATATATACAAAGTACCTGCATTTATATGTTAGGTAGGAGGTACCTAAGGTGCTTGTCGGTGTCTGCCTGATCTACACGTAGTGGATACGGGAGGATAGGTAGGAAGGTATAATAATTAAATTGGGTACCTGCACTAACCTGATGTACACCGGTGGCGTGCAACGTGGCGCATAATGTATTAAGTAATTAATTGGTTGGGAGGTAGCTACCTCTCTTTGGCCAATCTACTACGTATAATGTTAAACCCTTTAACAACTCCGTTAGGAGGTATACTTATAAGCTAAGCACCCCAAGCGAGGTCTTAGACCAGCCTAACTAGTCCCCTATACCTTACCCTAACCTCTAACCGGATTAGGCGATTTTACCGAGCTTTTTCTCTGTTACTAAAACTTTATTCCTATTACCTAAACTTTTCGTATAAGGATTACTAAATTCTCCTTTCTAACTACCATAAGAACGTATAATTAATTTATTCTTTTTCGTAATTAAAAGTTATACTAGGAACGTTCGATAAATAATTAAATAGGCGGTAGTAGTAGTAATGGTAATAATAGTATAGTTAACTTAATAATATAGTTAACTTAGTGGTATAGTTAACTTAATAGAGTTAACTTAGTAGTAGTAGCGGTAGTAGCGGCTTAAGTAATTAAAAGGATCTTATCCTAACTAACTAATGGAATAAGGTCGTAGGAAAGAGCTAATAAAATCTTTAGGAATCCGTAACCCGCTTTAGGGTAAGGTTTAAGGGACTAGTTAGGTTAATCTATAGACTCCCCTAAGCTGCCTCGTTATAATGTCCTAGGGCCGAGTCTATAGATTAGCCTAACTAGTTCACTGAACCTTACTCCAAAGCGGGTCGCGGCTTTCTAAAGATTCTATTAGCTCTTTCCTATAACCTTACTCCACTAGTTAGTTAGGGTAAGATTCTTTTAATTACTTAAGCCTCTACCACCGCTACTACTACTAAGTTAACTATACTACTAAACCACTACTAAACTACTACTACTACCAAACTACTAAACCACTACCATAACTACTACTACTACTACCGATTAGTTAATTATTTATTAAATACTTCTAGGGCAACTTTTAATCGCGAAAAAGAATAAATTAAGTATACGTTCGTACGGTAGTTAGAAAGGAGAATTTAGTAACCCTTATACGAAATAGGGATGAAGTTTGGTTAACAGGGAAAAAGCTCGGCAAAATCGCCTAATCCGGTTAGAGGTTAGGGTAAGGTATAGGGGACTAGTTAGGCTAATCTAAGACCTCCCTGGGGCCTAAATACCACCAGCTTCAAAGTTGACCGACCCCATTTCTACCCCTCTCGCCATTTCAGGTCCTTACTTTAGCCTCTATACGGACGGACGATCGAGTCTCGTCATATCTACGCCTGCGACCAACTCCATCTGGCAGATTCCCCTCCAACCGAGCTACAGGCTTCCGATCTCGACCGATTAATCATTCGAACTCATGGTGGAGACTCGAAGCAGGGCGCAACACGGTGCCCAAACCCGGACTCTACGTAAGAGAAAGGTTCGCGTACCTTCTCCAGGGTCGGGAAGCGAGAAGGAGGAGGCTGGCGAGAGAAGGGCTTCACTACCGAAATATGGAGTGAGTTCGCGCCTACGGTCGCGTGCCAACCCTCGAACTCGAAACCAACGGCCCCTTAACGACCAAACCACAAGCCCCAGACGATCGGCGCGAAATATAAAGGATGTATCCAACTCCCTAGAGGCGCGTATGCCACAAACTCCTGCCTCGTCGCTACATATTACGCAGCCGGCCAGGGCGACCACTCCTGATAGTGGAAGTGAGGATTCAGATCCCGGCGACGCTGTGAGCACGACGCTGCTCGGTATAGTCAATAGCACCCGGAGATCGTCGCAACGATCCAATAAGCCTAGCCACCGGAACACCGAAGAGGAAGAACCCCTTGGGCTTGAGGAGGGGCACCGAGAAGAGCCTCAGGAATCAGAAGATGAGCACCAAGATAGCGATTCCGAAGGAGAGAATACCAGCCGTGAGAGCACTACAGAAGGACAGGGCCACGTGGACGCTGACGAGGCACGCCCTCCCCCGCGAAGTGGCCCCGCGGATGAGGAGGCCGATATCGAGTACGCGAGCATACTTTCTGAAGGGAGCTTCGCCCAGGACGTAGAAAATTTCAAAGCTCGATACCCCGATGGATACGAGAATTCTGGTATCTTCGATGGCGCCCTTCGAGATGACGGTACTACTGCCGTTCTTGATCTGCGGCCTATTACAAAGATGGTCGGACTTATGACATATCAGGCTTGGCGCGGTAAAGAAAAAAGAGATGCCGCATGGGCCGAGGAGCCTTTCGTCGATTCCCAGGACACGGAGCGACCTCCTACTCGAGCTTTGCCTATCCGATCTTTGCTCTTAGTCTTGAGAAAGCTCGAGACGGTCATTCTAGTGGCTCCCTGGTTCCGCGAGCCCCTCGAGCAGAACAGATTCTTCTATAAGCATGGCGATCTCCTAAGTTATTATTTCTCAAAAGTTGAAGCCGTGATCCAACATATTCGGACACGCCAGCTCGCAGACGTTGGGCCCGACCAATCAGATATAAACAACGACCCCGAGGCGCGCAGAAAGACATCGGAGGCTCTTGCACACGTTATTATTCCCATGTTGGTCCATATACTGGGATCCATACGGAAACTAGACTTCCCTGGGAAGCGGTTATTACGAATGACCATTTCTATCGGCCGGCTCCTGAGTAATGTGGTGACTTGGATTGAGATACTATATGACGTCACCCTGAGAGAGATGCTGTCATCCCTATGTGGCGATGAGGGTTCACCCGAACCCGGAAACCTACAAAGGAAGCTCAGGGACCTTGCGGACCCCCTGACGGAGCTGTCTGGCGCCATCAAGGACGGCTTGAGGGAGATCGACAGAAAAAAGAGGAGCCAGGAATTAAGGGATAAGCTGCTGCTCAAGAAGCAACTGGAGGATAAGGAGAGGCAACAGGAGTATATGAGGCAACTACTACGGCGGGAAGCCAGGGCTCAACAATTACGAGATGAGGAGATGCGGGCCGCCAGAGAACACAATTATAGGGCGAAGCTATCCATGAGACGTATTCACATACCGTTGTCAGAATCGGCGATATCCTACTACCAGAGCAAAATACAGTCGGCTCAAGCGGCGACATCGGCACCGCGGCGGCAGTCTCCTCGCCGAGGGACGAGCGCCTGGTCACATGAGGAGAGGCTATTGCTCTTTCGCAAGATACAGGAGTCGTATCCCGAACTTCCGCACTTGGACGAACTGAGCTCGGAGATTGACAGGGAGCCTGGAGATGTAGAGGCTGCAGCCGAGGAGATCCTCGGCCTGATGTTGGCGAATGTGCACCCGGAAAAGACGAAAGCGGACATCGCGGTGCTCGTCGGCGGCTTGATGCGTGCTTACAGGCGTGCACAGCGCCGATGATAGGGCAGACCCACGCCGTGGAGCCGAACGCCGGCCCAACGCGAGTGCGAAGTCTTTCTCCCGTCTTGCTGTATCCCGTACTACGTAGCTAGTCATATATCTAGGCCATAGCGCAAGGCCGGCGGTACAGGTCGTCGATTTGGGAGTCAACGACCCACCCGATGACTACGTATAGTACGTATGTACTGACGATTCGCGGAGAGAGAGCTCCTCTGGCGAAAGGACAAGGATATAGGAAACTGGATGTTGGCTGGCTATTATTTGCTAGGGAGAAAAAGGGGGTGTTCGGCCTGACGACCCAACCGAGCTAGCTCAGGTGGTTTAACTCAGGTGGTGGCCGTAGCGAGCGCTTTCTGTAGGTAGGTATTAATATTTATTGATTTGCGGCCCGGGCGCACAGCTACTGGCTGCACAGGTATGCACAAGCGGTCGCGGAGGCATTGTCTGCATCCTGTCGTCGCCGTCTCCCTACCTCCTCTGAAGAAGCGATACACGGGTAGATGCTACGGCCGCCATAGGCATACACACGCCTCGCATGTGTCGCAGAGTGTTTTCATGCGCTTCCGGAACGTTGCAGGTTCCCGCGCGTGCGTCTGGATCCGGGCGCCCATTAGTAGGTACCTACGCACCCAACGGATTCTGGTTGGTACTCAGCACAGGCCGGCGGCGCCAGAGCGCGGCAGCAGAAGCAGAAGCAGCGGCAGCAAGGAGGTGGGCGGGCACCTCCCGGGACCCTCTTCCCTGCCTCTCTTCTGCCATCGCCAAGAAGACTGCAGTTGCATGGTGGCGTTTATGCGCGATGTGAGGTATGTAGGTGATCCGCGTGTAGGTACGCGTGTCAGGGCGGAAGCGTGTCACTTGTGTGTGTATACACACATACGTACCTACATACATTGGACGCGATGGGTAGGTATGTACGATGTAGGTAGGTACCTAGGTATATAATCATCGTCACTAGCAGCGTACGGATATATGCGTGTATGTACGTGATGTACATCATGAACGACCTGCGTACCTACGGAGCCAAACCGAGAGAGAGACACGGCTCCTCTTCTGAGTGGCCGATCTTGTACGTCTTGAGACGGAGAGTGCGAGAGAGAGAGACGGGGGAGCGAGAGAGACGGAGGGCGAGGGCGAGAGGGCGAGAGAGCGAAAAAAAAAAAAAAACCCGAAGGGCTCACCGTCTCACTGGCAAACCCGCCTCCCCGGCTTCACGTATATATTATATGAATAGCCCACCTTCAAGTGACCGATAGGCTGTAGAGGAGAGGTGGTGCTGGTAGATAATACCGGTCTGTCATCTGCCCGCGGCCTGGATGGCTGGGCGGGATTGGCGCATCGATAGATACCAGACGCGTCCGAGCCCACCGGATGGCCCTCTCCGCACATATCAGCGGACGTAGGTACATAGTGTATGTGCAGACGGACATGCTTACTTGCTTGCTTGCCTGCTTTATCGTAGGCGAGGTAGCAGAGCAGCATCGAGAACCCATATATGTACCTATAACATACGTACATAATGAGAGAGGGGAGAGAGGGCAGAGAGACAGGATGCCAGATTAGCGAATGGAATTCCCGTGGCGGGTGGGTATTGCTGACCGGGTTGGAGGGAGAGGTGCTGAGGTGTGTTTAGTACGCTGTGTCGCCCGGAGCGTGACGAAGTTGGGCATTGATGATAGGTATTCTACACACATACCTGCCCAATGTAGGGGTGATGAACGCCCGTCAGAGATAGATTAAGAGTAAAATGCGTTAGATAGAGAGAGGTCCTTGTTCCATTCCTTCGGTCCTTCGATGCTTTTCTCGTCTCTTCTTCTCATGCCACGCTCGCTTTCGATCGTCCGCTCTTCTGCCTTTTTTTTTTTTCCCCCTCTCGTTCCCGCTCTCAACAACGAGCTCACCTCCCCTTTACGCAGGTACGTAAACGGGATCCATACGCGCACACCGAACCTGCATATTTCTATGGAACCTTGGGTGGCTCCGTCGCTGGTTGAGGCTCCATCGGCCCCAGTACGCAGGTAGGCAAGGTCCCTTATAGTATAGTACGAGGTAGGTAATTCTGGTAGATCGATTCTCAGCGTTCCCTCCTTTTTATAGCTGGCGGAGACCGCAACGTAGCTTGCCTCCTAGTGCGCATGTACGTAAAAGGGGGGAGGGGGAGGGGAATACCTACTGTATATAGGTAGGTACCTACCTAGGTACCTCCTAGGTACCCAACCTCTACGCCTTAACCAAAGGTACAGCGCCAACAAGGTTGTTTCCGCGTTTCTATATGCAAGATTCAATTGCCTCGCCCAGTTCCCAGAGGAGGTACCTAGGGTACGCGTGCATGTACATACTATCCCACCGGTAGGCATCAAGTAGGTACCTCCTACGCGTGCAGAAAAGTATAAGCAGGTACGTGCGCGCGACCTCGGACGGCTCTGAATCCCGGAGGGAATGCCGGTATCGACGGCGTACAGCAAACATGATTCAACCTGTAGACTCGGCAGCATGTGCAGGTATCATCCATCCCACGCATGTACCTCATCTGACATACCGCGCGGTACATGCGAGCACGGACCACTGGCTCTCCCAACCTGCGAAAAAGCGCTGTGAGCGCGCGCCGACCTCCCAGGAACCCCCCCTGGGCAGAGTCCTGCTAGGCCCCCCCATAGCACCCCTGGCCGTCCCTCCAGTAATAGGCGGCCCCTTCAGCGATCCCCTTCGTCGACGTTGCCTATCAGGGCTTAGGCTGCGTGCTTAGGCGGTTCCTCGCCGGCCATTTTTGCAACCATCTGAAATTGTTGGACAATTAATAGCCCATTTGGTCCTCTTCTCTCGGCCTCCCGCTAGGTATCTCGCACAACTCCTCTCTCTCCCTCTCATGCCCTCCCGTCCGCCCCTCTCCCGTCCGCTTCGCTATCCTGGGTTTAGGTCCTCCGAAGGCGAGGGAAATAATAATAATAAAAAAGGAGAAAAAACTGGTCCTGCGCAAGAGGATCTGAAAGCACAACCTCGATTCGCGTCGTGAACGAGGACCTCTGATCTTCGTTTGGCTTGCCTTCGCTGAATATTCCCAGTGCCGAGAGAGATAGAGACGGCGCCTGCGAGGCATATACGCAATCACATCCTGTCGTCGCACCGCCTTTTCTTTTTCTTTTTGTTACCTGACGACTTGACGAGGAAAGGAACGCCACCTGAGACGAGAGAGGAACACGAACAGGAACGAGAGAGAGGTCGAGAATTCGCAGGCACGAGACGAGACGAGGTCAGTTAACTCGCCCGTCCAGTCAATTCCCTCCCGCGTCCCTCCCACCATCATCCCTCGTTAAACAACCCACCCCCTCTTCCCGCTTCGATGTGACGTGTCGATGCGGCAAATCATTATAGCTGGCCATGCTGTGTTATTACTAGGACTCCCTCATCAATGCTGCCATGTCCATGCTTTAACCATCCCACATCTCACTTTCTCGCTTTTCCGCGCCCACGAGTTCATCAATTGCCATCTCGGCAGTCCTCAAATATCCGTGTCGAGCTAACAGAAACTTGTTTCGACAGTACCGTCAAAGCCCCCGACTTTGGATATTTGTTGACCAGATATACCCGAGAAACCATATCTTCTTCGTCCTCCGCCAGAGCCGAAACAATGTCAGACGCCGACGGGTTCGAAGTTGTCCAGCACGAAGAGTCCGTTCTCTCCGGCGAGGAGACAGCGGGGACGGCAGGCACTGGGTCTTCGCCCAAATCTACCAAGTCTCCTACTAATGGGTCTGGCGCAAAGCGACCGGCCGGCGCTGCCGCGGCTACTCGCCGGCCGGGGACTGCGACCGGGAACGCCCCCAAAGCTGCGACAAGTTCGACTGCTCGCGCAACAAGTGGCTTGAGCAAGCCTCCGACGCGCCCCCCGGCCGGAGCTGCTGTCAAGAAGCCGGCCGTCATCCCGTCGTCTCATCGGCCCCAGCCGTCCGTCTCGGAAGACGAGAAGAAGCGATCCACGATGACATCTGCCGCGCGTCGGACTTCCACCGTCCCGAGTGGCTTGACGTCGTCCCCTTCGAAGACCGCAACAAAACCTAGCACGCCGGCCTCCGCAAGCGCTTCGGGCGCTACGGCCGCCAGAAAGACCCCCACTGCCGCGGTCTCTCCGAGGACAAGTGGCCAGATCAAACCTCCAAGCTCGACGAGCGCCGCGAAAGACGCGCCGCGGACTTCTACTGCTACCCGACCAGGATCTATCGGCACCGTCGCCGACGCTAGGAAGCGGCTATCTAGCGTTGCTGGCTCTTCTGTGACTACAACAGCAGCGGCTGCCAGGCATGCGCCCCGCCCATCTACCTCCTCTTCGATTTCCGCTACGGCGGCGAAGGATATCGAAGACCTCAAGGCAAAGCTTGCTGAGAAGGAGTCCGAGGTCGAATCGCTGAAGGAGCAGGTTGCCTCGTCCGCAGCCAAGGTCGCCGAGCTTGAAGAGAAGATAAAGACCGAGGTAGACGGCATCGAAGGCGCCGAGGATGCCGTACGGAAGGGACACGAAGAGCTATTAGAGTCCTTGAAGTCTGCCCATTTGTCCGAAAAGGAGGCGTTAGGCACGCAGATTTCCGAGGCGCTCGGGAAGCTCAAGGTTGCCGAGGAGCAACTAGAGACTCACAAGGCCCGGCTGACTGAATTAACCGGCTCTCAAGAAGCTAAAGATAGCGCGATCGACGCGTTGCAGAGCAAGCTTGACTCCCTGCAGCTCGACAAGGATGCTGGCGCAAAGGATAGCGAGACCGCCCTGAGCAAGGCTGCCGAGGAGCATGCCACTAAGCTGGAGGAGCTCCAAAAGTCCCTAAAAGAGCAGCACGAAGCCGCAATCGAAGTCTTGAAGGCTTCGCACGCCGCAGAGCTCGACCAAAGCAAAACGTCGGCTAGCGAGCACGAGAAGGCCCTGGAAGCACTCAAAGTCGCCAATGAGTCTCTGCAGAAAACAATCAATGACTTGACCTCGTCGGCGGAGAGCGAAGGTGCGGCTAGGGCTTCCAGAATAACTGCTCTCGAATCCGAACTTGCGGAACTGAAGGCCGCAGCTGAGCAAGACAAGTCTGCCCTCGCTGCTTCCCAGGCGGAACTAGAGGAGGTCAAGACGAAGCTTGCGGACTCTATCGCCGCTCTGGGTGCTACCAAGGAAGAGCTCGCCAAGGTCCAATCTGAGTTTGCCGGCCTACAGGATGAATTGGCCCAGGTCAAGGCGGAGGCATCATCCAACGCCGGCCTTGCCGGTCAGGTTAAGGACTTGGAGGACAGGATCGAGAAACTGAAGCAGGAACATCAACACTCGGAAGAGACTCACGAGAACCAGCTGAAGCTCATTTCGCAAGACTACGAGACAGAGATCGAGAGCCTCAAAGGGGACGCGTTCTTCAAACGCAAGTCCCACGTCCTGGAGGAGGAGCACACCGAACTCCAGTCCAAGTATGACGAACTATCCTCCACGCACTCATCGGCGGTTGAAAAACACGCAGCTGCTGTTGCGGCCCTCTCTGCCCAGCAGGAAAAACACCAAAAGGCACTAGACGCATTACAAGCTAGCCACGCTATGGAGTTGGAGAGCGCGAAGAGTGGTGCCTCTGCTGACCATGAATCGCATGTAGCCGAGCTGGAGTCTCTCAAGGCCAGTCACGCAAAGCAGATCCAGATATCTAAGGACGAGAGTGAAGCGGCGCTGACAAAGGAGCTTGAAGCCCTCAAGGCTGCTCAAATTGAAGCGCTCAACACTCACAAGCGAGATTCGGATGCCCTGATCGCCAACCTGAAGGCTAAGCATGCGCAAGAGCTTTCTGACAAGGAGGCCGATGGAAACGCTCACCTAGAATCCCTGAAGGCTGCTGTTGAGGCGGCTCAAGCAGAACTGGACCACGTCAGAGCCAATCACGCCCAGGAGCTTGCCGCGCGGGAAGCCGACAGTAGTTCTCACAGCGCTCAATTGGCAGCCTTGAAGGCAACCCTCGAGGAGGCCCACGCCGAACTCGAGAGATCTAAGGCTGCTTATGCCCAAGAACTTGCTGCTAAGGAGGTGGAAACAGGCTCTTATCAGACTCAGCTAGAAGCCCTGAAGGCGGCGGTACAGGATGCGCAAGCGGAACTCGAAAAGGCAAAGACCGATCATGCCATCGCTTTTGCAACGTTCAAGAAGGAAAATGACGACGCACACTCAGCTGAGATCGAGAAGTTGCTGACGGTACAAGCCGAATCTCTTGATGCTGTGAAGAGGAACTCCTCGGGCTCCCACAAGGAAGAGATCGATGCTCTTGAAGCGAAGCATGCTCTGACCATTGAGGAGCTAAAGGAGCAACACGAGGCCAAGCTCTCCGCGGTAAAGGTCGATGTGGCACAGAACCTAGCCGCTGCCAGCGAGACTGAGAAGGCGTTGATAGCTGCGAAGGAGGCTTTGGCCAAGGTCGAAGAGCGAGCGTCAAACCTCGAGGCGCAGGTATCAGAGACCCAAGCGAAGAATGCCGAGTTGGTCAAGGCCCAGGAGGAATTCGAATACCTGCACCAGAAGCTTGCCGAGGCAAAGATGAACAATGTAGAGCTTATGGCTGAGCTCGACGCGTCGAAGAACCAGAGGCCGGACACGTCGGCAGCCGACGCGTTGAAGGCCCAACTCGAGGAGTTGAAAGCGTCCCATGCTCAAGAGCTAGCAGCTGCTCAAGAAGTGTCAGCGAAATCTACGAGCAACCTCGAGTCGCTGCAAGAAGCGTTGGAGACGACAAAGGCGGAACTGGGGTCCCTGAAGGCGCAACTAGGTTCAGCTAAGGAAGATGCCCTCATCGCCCAAAAGGACCTCGAGGCGCACAAGAACGACACGGAGGCAAAGCTCAAGAACCAGGAGGCCGACTATAAGGACATGTACGAGAACTTGACCACCATAGTAGAGGAGGAGCAGAAGAAGAGGGAGTCGGCCGAGAAGGAAGCGTCGGATATCAAGGCGCGATTCGCCGAGATGGAGGCTCAGCTCAAGGTCAAGGATGCAGAGATTGCCGAGGCTCAGGTCGGTCACCCAACTCCAACGGCCCCTCGCATATTTGGCAAATTGCCCCCTCGAGGAGACTAACTGCTAACTAAATCGTAGGCCAAGGCGGCACTCGGGCCAAAATCGGGTCTGTCAGCGAGCAGATTCGCCAGTGGCAACGAGGGCGCTGCTGAGGCAGAGGCTTCCGCAGTTGGAGGTGAGGACCCCGACTACTCGTCGGCGGCGATGAGCATGGTGCGCAGTACACAATCTTTGCTTGGTAGTCGCAACACCTGTCAATATTCAGCCACCACCACTTCATTTTCCTAGTATTTGTATTCTCGGCTTTTTGCGAATTTTGGACTAATGCCTATGCACCGACAGTTAGCTCAAGCTAAATTTAGTATGAACGGACTGAAAGTAATCGATGAGGACATGAAAGAGCGAAACTTACGGTATGTCCTTGGCCCCATCGCCGGAGACTGCGTATGGGTTCAGCGGCCAAAGCTAACACGAAGCAGCATGCTTAAATCGGTCACCGACGTATCTCGCGGCTTGTAGATGACTACAATCTGGCCTTGGTCGTTTGCGCCGGGCGGCGATCTCCTTCCCTCGCCCTTTCTCCTGTGCCATACTACATCTCCTCTTCATCAACCTGCCCCGTGCCGCACGCAAAATGTGGAGGGGGCCGGCTGACCATACCTCGCATTTTTTTTTACTCCACCAACGCGGCCGCTTGTACCGATGAGTGTCCGATGCGGTCGGTGACGCTATCTTATACGTGTGTATACGAGAAGGGGAGACACGCGGAATGGCGGCGACAGGCAGCATCAGCAGTGGCATCTGCTGGACAAATTGCCGTCTGTATTCTTTTTTCGGAAATGAGACATACCGCTCCGTAATGGAAAACGACTCTGGGGAGGCGACGGAGGGGGGCGGGAAGAGGTGGAAGAAAACGACGTACGAGGTCCCGTTTGTCGCACTCGGTCTGGAGTTCGAGCGTGCGCGACGGAAAGGAGGAGGTCCAGGACGGAGGAGAAAAGGGGAGGAAGGTTGCGTCAACGAAGAAATATGGTGTATGCGGCGGCGCACCTATACATACATACACGCAGTAATGTGCCGGAGGGACGGAACTGTTTTCTACCTCTCTTCGCTTTTTAATGTTTTCTGCTTTCTCTTCCATTTCGGATTCCGATCCTCTCTTATCCTCTACTTCGCTTTTATTCCCATTTTGCCCTTTTTTTTTTTCTCATTTCGGCCCCCTATTATGTTACCCCCTTTGTCCATCTAGGGGCGACCTACGGCGTGCACATATCACATGTGTGCATGTCGTGGCTCTTCCCCCCCCTCTCCCTACCTCTCTCTGTGTCCCTCTCTGCCTGCCTACCCTCCTATTGCTGCTGCTGCTGCTGCTCCAGACCTAGTTGAAATCGACGATACCCCCTTTCTTGCTTCCTACGTCTGCTCTGAATGGCGCACCTAAACTTGCCTGTCTCCTTGCCTGCCCGCCTGTCTGGTATTCTCTGCGTGCCCGCGTGATGCGTCCGTCCGTTTATTGATTGGCTGCCTGCTTGGATCGATCGATCAGCCGGCTCGGTCGTCTGTTTTGGTGAATGAACGAATAGCTGTGCGTACGAGCGGCTGTGCTTTTGTGCTCTTGCGCTGCGTCCCGGCTCGCCGTCACCGCTCCCTGTCCCCGAGCGGCGGGTCGGCGTGCGCGGGGAGCAGTGCTTTGCCGGCTCCGTCGGCAGCAGGCTCGGCTGTCCGTCCGTGTGTTTGGGGAGGTTAATACGTAGCTGACGGGTCGGATCACGCCTTTTCGTCGTCGCGAGTGAGTGAGCGAGTAACTGACTGACTGACTGACTGACTGGGGAAAGGGGAGAAGTGATGCACCGCAGGACAGGGCGAGGTAAACGAAAAACTATTAAAAAAAAAGTAGGGTGGCATCTATGCACACGGGTCCGAGTCGCCCACGCGGCACCCTTCTCCGACCAAACTCCAGCGCAGTCGGTTGATCCGAGAGGGGAGCATATTTTCCTCACGCCGTCGTCCCTCGTACCTAAGCGTATACACGTGGGGTGAGTAGAAAAGTGTATCTACCCTGGGGTTAGCTAGTCGCCATGGTAGACCGACGTATAGGTAGGTATAATGCACATCGGACCAAGACAGCGCAGTCAGTCCTCACGAAAGTCGACCCTTAGAGCCCTCTGACGGCGGGCCTAGGCGAGGCGTGAGCGGGTGTGCGCAATCATAACGTAGCATTCGGGGAAGCCTCCCTGCTAGATAGATAAAAGGTCGATCGACAAGACGTATTTGTATACAAAACATATATACACGGAGGCGTGCGCCGTGTACCCAGTGCTGCTACTACCACCTCTTCTGCTTCTTCTTCTGCCTCTCCTCCAAACTCCTCGTCTTCCGTCTCCCGCTCTTCATCGCCTCTCTCCCTCCGCTCCGCCCGCTCCTCTTTCACCCGTCGCCGTCCGCGCCATCCACTCCATACGTGCGTACGGACGCTACGGACGCGCCTACACATCGTATGCCTTGCCTTGCCGCCGTGTCCGCGTGTTGGCCATATTCGCGGATAAGAGGCCCTTTCGGGTCTAATGACTGGTCGGATCGGGTCGAGTCGGATAGGGTAGGGGAAGGGCAGGGGAGGGACAGAAAGGAAAGGGAAAAGAAGAGCTAGCTAGCTACCTACCGCTGCCCTGCCCTGCCCTGCCCATTCCTTCCTTTCTTCCTTCCCTTCGCCCCTCTTTACCTCTTGTCCTTGCCGGTCTGGCCGGGCTTCACCAGGTCTCGCAGCTCGAACATGGTGTGGAAGTTGTGCTGCTTGACGAACCACGCGTTGACGAGCTTCCACTCCTGCTTGGGATCCTTGAAGCTGATCTGCACGTAGGTGTTAGCGTCGTGATATACGATACGTTAAGAGCACCGCTCAGTACTGAGGGGCTGGGTATAATGAGAAAAGGCTAAGGCGAGAAGCTATGTGGGTGCTTACCTCGAAACGCCGCAGCAAGCTCGGGGTGACCTTGTAGATCTCCAGCAAGCTGATATTCTTGCCGAGGCACGTCCGGCTACCCATGCCGAAGTGGAACATCATGCCGTTCATCTCGCGGATGCGCTTCTCCTGCTCCTCCCTCTCCTCGCTGCCGACCGGTAGCTTTTCGTCGACGAGCCACCTCTCAGGTCGGTACACGTCCACGTCCTCGCCCCAGATCTCCGGGCGGCGGTGGATGACCCACGCCGAACAGCCTACAATGGTACCGCCCTTCACATAGTGGCCTGCGATCTCGACACCGGGTTCGGGAACGATGCGCTCAAGCGGCAGGCCCGCCGCCGGGTGTATCCGAAACGATTCCTTGATGCAGGCGTCGAGGTACGGTAGCTTCTGGCTCTCGGCCCACGTTACGAGGCCAGTTTCGTAGTCGCTGAAGAGGCCGGACCGAGAGGCGTCATCGATCTCTTTGAGAAGCCTGTCGAGCTTGGATGGATTGCGCAAGAGGTAGTAGAATACGCTCGAGAGGGAGATAGCAGTCGTTTCGGAGCCCGCGAACGCCATCGATACAGCCATCGTTTGCACCAGCGTGTCGGTCATGAATTCGGGTCGAGCGTCACGCGCTGCGAGGAACTTGGACAGGAGGTCGGGAGACTTGACTTCGCCTTTTCCAGTGGAGACGGGCAGCAGAGGTTTTGAGGGGTCACCATTGAGGTTCGGGCCCAAACGCTCAGCCATACGCGCTCGAGCAAAACTGGCTACCGGCATGGTAGCATCGACAAATCCCCATTGTGAGAGCTTGAGGTAGATGGGGTTCTTCAAGAAGAGACGGTCAAGCCATGGGATTTGGCCAATCTGGTTCGCCGGGTTAGCCCTCCTCACCGACTCCTAACGTCTGAGGGTTGAACATACCGGTGCAACGTAGAGGAAGAGATTCCCTAAGTACTTGATGATGCCATCAATGTCTTCATTTTTTTCGAGGAATCCGTGGCGCTTGCTGTACGTGATCTCTCCGATCACGTCGAAGGCGTAGAATTGTAGCCACTGGGTGAAGTCACATCCATCCGGGTTACCGGCGAAAAGGCGCTCCGTCTGCTCGAAGAAAAGCTTGGTGGTGTTATCGACGAAAGGCTCGTACTGGACGAGGGCGGACATGGTGAAGGCCGAGTTGATGGATCGTCGGAAGTTGGCGTGGAAGCCATTGTCCGTAGTGCTGAAGATCGAGGAGAGGACATGCCCCTTGACTATCGACTGCTGCACGATATAGAAGTCGGACTAGGGGAACAGCGTTAGCACGGGTCGTGCTCCCAAGAAGAAGGCTACCTGCGAAGTACATACCTTGACAAATCCCTTGTTGAGGCCGTATATCGTTTTGAGGGATTTCGGGTCCGCGAACGATAGAGTATTGGGCCCCAAGCGTACGACATCACCATACTTAGCATGCAACTGTTGATGTGTCCGTTCAGGTCGTCGGCGATAGACATCCCATAACCGCCACAGGTCCGTCAAGGAAGCCAGGAAGGGGCCCGGGTACTTGTTGAGGCCATTGTGGTACCGATTCTTGACTAGACAGGCAAGAATTGCTGATACTATTATGGGCAGCCAGCACTGAGCTATGAAGCTCACAACCACAGAATTCTCGAGTCCCTGCATTGCCTCGCGAATTCATCTACTCGCACAACAAGTTCTTCAAGGTTGACCGGAATGAGCAGCGGCGACGTCTCGTACCTGAGGGTTGGGGGGAGTCCTGAAAGAAGAGCACCGAAGGGTTGTTGAAACCTTGGGGGCTCTTCTAAGCGTCGAGGCTGCGAGTTGCCGGCTAGGTTAAAGCCAACGTAGGAAGACCCGGGACAACTCTGCAGTTTTTCAAGTAGTAGTAGCAGAAGCGCCGCAAGCCGAGTACGAAGACTTGTTCACACCGTTGGCCGAGGTGGGTGTACCACACGTGGATATTCGCCGGTTATCCCACGAGCAAGTTGAGTCGATGGGCTTCGATACTGCTCCCGCGATGCGATGGACTCCCGGTAGCTGCGGCTAAGCTACTCGACTGGAAGAAGTCGAAAAGCCTAAGGGCAGAAGGTACACTTGTACTTAATATTGAGCACATCGTTCGAGAAGTGTGATTGACGCCTGTGACGGCACTTCAGCGCGTCGAAGCGACTTGGTCCAGCTTCTCGCCCTTTTCGGTCTTCGCGAGATGACATTCTCCCGTAACCGCATCAGCTCCCGGGCAAGGCCAGCCAGGGGGGCCCAAGACTCTGGGGGACCCCGCCAGCCCCACTGGGGAGCATAGGGGTAGTCGATTCCAGCTGGTAACAGGCGGGGGCGGGGGAAAGCGGTGCGTGGTCAGAGCCAGGTTGAGGATGTTGACAAAAGACCCCCATGGCTGCCAAGTATGTAGACATGTGAATAGCCCGAGTTCGTAGTTGGGCCTCCATTAGGGGTGCTATCGGCAGATGGACAGTCCAATGATGTGGGAGCTCTCGTCGGACAAAAGTACGACAACATGGATCGGAGAATATACCATGTTTCGGACTTAGGCCGGAGCGACCAACAAATGTGACTGATCTTACGGAGACTGCCTGTACCACGGTAGCCCTCTCGGGAAGCTGTTTCAGGGACCAAGGAGTATAGATTCTCCTCAGAAGCGTCCGGACGTCAGCGTGCTAGCCGTCTCGACGGGCGACAAACGTGACAGGATGCTCAGGGACGACGGAGAGTGCCGCTAAGCCTAGCTACCTAAGCCAGGTGGGAGAAGTCGTTAGAAAAAGGTGGGCGTTCACCTATGATGGCCCGGATATTACAATTTAGCGCAGAAGCGGTGGTCGAGGTGTATTGTCCAGCCAATTTCAATCCTAGGCACCTCTCCACGGCGAAGAAGACGGGACCTACGGGTGAATAGCTCGGGGTATTTCCTGCCAAGCCCAGGCCATCCTCTTCCCTGGCGTTCACGGGGGGGCGGGAAGGCTTCGGAGGTACGTGCGCTACATGTGCGTGTCCTGGTAAATTTCCAGTCACGGGCTGCACGGCGGGAAGTGGCATGGGGCCATAGCTGCACCTGGGGCCGGATCTGGACCATACGACAACGATCTGGCGGCGAGGACCAGGTGTGCGTGTTTATGGCGGTGGTTGGTGGTGGGCAGCGACAACGACAGCGACGGGGAGCTCTGGCGATGACCGGATGGACAGGCAAAACTGCCGAGTTCTAATGACGAAAGGAACCTAGCAAAGGGATCCCCTACACCGTCCCGATCGAGCGATGGGCAGGTCTTGGGAGGCGGGGAGGATACCGGACGGCCAAGTTGGTTCGGCAGATGTTTAGGACAAGATGCCCTCCCATTCTCGGCTGCCGTTTTGCCGGGAGAAGAGTGAGGGAAAAGGAAGAGGGAAAAAATAGGTCGGCCACGTGCCCGCTGGGTGGCTGTGACTTCGTTAGGTAAGGCCCCCGTGTCTATTGGTGTAGGCACAAGCTCTGGGTCTTACCTAAGCTACGCAACAAGTACCAGGTACCTGTAGGTAGGTACCTAAGGTAGGTAGGTAGTAGTACTCTTTTCCGTCTATGTGCATGCCTTACCTACATCGTACGCAAATGTGCCGTGCCTCTATACCGGGTACATAACACCGACGTCTTCCCCCTCCACCGATCCACGCCACTCCCCATCCTTTTCCCCTTCATCCCTTCACGATACCCGCGACGGCCGTGTTACCGCTACTGCTCGTATCTATTTACCCGACTGGCTTCTCCTCTTACCGCGTTCAGCGATATTTCCGAGCCCCGGCCGTATTAGTATTACGGAATGGGTACGCAGTCGGGCGAGCAATGCGAGCCCACGAACAAATAAAGATCTCCGAGGAGCCCGCCCTGCCACCAGGACGTAACCCGGCTACATATGCCGTGTCTGCCCTCCTCCAACCCTCGATATAGACTCGAAGATATCATTCGTACGCCAACCGGCTGTGTACCCCGCATTCTCCCACCGCTATTTTTCCGGCGTCGTCCGCGCAGGCCGAGTGCCCGCTCGCCATCCTCGCCCTCTCAACGAGCCATCGCTCGCAGTCCAGAGCTGTCGGCAGCGCGTCAGATGGGTGACCTGGCGAGAGCCCCGGCGGTAGAGCCCCAAGAGCGAATGAAATAAATAAAAGGAATGACGAAATAAAAATACGGCACACAAGCTTTCTTTAACCGTCTCCAACGTCGAAGACTAGACCAGCTGGACGCCCACGCGGTTGTGGCATTCCCTCCCTGCCAAGCCTCGCGGACTCTTAAAATAGTCGTGCCAGATACCTGTGTCCCGCTTGCTAGTCTTAAGGCGTTCGACTGGGCGGGTTGCCGTGCTTCTCTTCCGCTCGACAGGTTCCTTGAGGCGTAGGCGACGAAGGAGAGCCTGCAACCCCTTGGTATTATAGTCGGCCGCGTTGGTTGTACCCACTCGATTGGCTAATACCAGTACGCATGCTAGTATAGATCTAACATATTTCTGGAGCTCGAGCTATCGATACAAAAGACGGATATAGTCTAGCGACCGTTCTGGTATTAGCAGAGAGACGGCCGCCTTATCTCTAATACTAAGCCGACTAGTCACGGGTCTCCTGGCAGGGGCTGGGGAAACGCTCGACCCGATGGCAGCCCTTTAGTCCCTAAGAATAGGGCTCCACGATAGCAGTCATCATGAGAACGTGCGCCGCTAAGGCGGCCGGGATGCCGTATTATCTGGTGCCCTAAGTTCCCAGCGTCTCGTCGGCAAGACACACTGGATGAGGCAACCCGTGATAACTAACCGATATCGCAGCCAAATGAAGCTCGATCTATCGCATTAACTAACGGGATCCTACGACCGAGCATGTGCTGTGTCGCCCGTATTCTACTAAAGCTAGAGGCCTTCATTGTCATGAATATCTTCTCCGCGGCCTCATCAAACGACATTAGAGACATTCCGTATGCTAAGTCTGTAGTTACGCATTGAGGCTCTCGCATCTCTCTTCCGGATGGGATACGAGGCTGGACCTTAGTTTGTTGTAGTTGTGGTAAGAACCAATCTCGTCGAGCGAACTCGGCTCCTCGCAGCTTGGTGTCGGTCATACGAACCTAAACCACGTAGGCCCACTGCAGCCTTAAGCCCGGGAGGGTTACCCCCTCAGCACACCCTCCATCCTCTGTATCGTCGCGAATTAAAGACACGATCCTATCCGGAGAGCAGGAGGCCCTGGTTACCGGTTGGTCCACGGGTTGCCCAGTCGGCTTGCCTGGGTGACACCCGGCAGCGTCGCCGGCAAGTACCTGCCGACGGTTGACATGGCGGTAAGCCGGCACGCTCCTGCTGACTCAGGTGCTCAGCCTAATCCCCAGCTATTCCCGGGGGAGACCACCCACCGGACCAAGCGACCCTTTTCCTCTCCCCCTACCCAATCCGCACCCCCCCTTCCCCCTAATCCGATCGACAGGTACCCTGGCACGCCGTCATCGTCGGCGCGAGCAGCACGGGCGCGCGCTCCAACACAAGGACGAACTCGCAGGGCCCCTCCGCCGTGCACTCGCGGACGGGGGTAACGTTGTCGCCGACGGCGAAGCGCGCGGTCGCCTCGTACGTCTTGGCCGTGATGCCGCCCTAGCGGGTGATGTTGTAAGCGAGGGCGAGGGCGATGTCGACGTGGGCGAGCCCCCCGCTGCCGGGCGCGACGGCCACGTCCCGCACCGTCGCTGCCCACGCCCGCCGTCGTCTCGACACACCCCGCGCTCGCCCCGAACGCCGCGTACCCCCCGCCCGCCGCGTGCGGCGCCGGCTCCGCCGACACCCGGTTCGGGTTCGCCACCGCCAGCTCCACCGCCACCGCCTCGCCACCCGCCGCCGCGACGACCCACACTCTCGTCACTTCCCACGGCGCCTGCCCTATGAACGGGTACCAGTCGAACGCTAACACCGCATGCAGTTAGAGGAGGAGCGCGAGGAGCGGCGTTGGGAGGATGATCGGGAGGCGCATGGTGCTGGTTCCGTTGGCGTTAGGGGACCGGTTGTGCTGGGGAGACAAATTCGGTGCTTGGGATCGAGGGGGTCGTGAGTCGTGCTGTTGTCCTTGCGCGGTTCTGCGCTGGGTCGGGATGATTGCTACGGCCGAAGATCTAATTACCAACGCAAGTGTCTTTTGCTCTCATGCTCTAATCGCCGCGGTCTGCCGTGCGCAGTTGCGAGCTGTTCCGGCAGGAGGGTGTGCCTAATATAAACCCATTCCGCGCGGGCGCCGGTCGGCCGGCAGGTAACGTTGGACCGCCAGGTCGCACTGCGCAGGGGCAGGCGCCAGGCGGCCAAGTCTAGAACGGAGCGAGCGGAGGTCTAGAGCTGTTCGTCGCGGGTGCGAGGCTTCTTCCTTCGTGTCTAGCGTGAGAGGCCCAGCGCGTGGCGCGTATGGCCCACGCCGGCTAAATACGGCAGCATCTTGCTGCGTCAACATGTAAGCTCCGGAGTCATTGTCGCTGGGTCCAGGCCCGAAGCCGCATACCTAGATCTCTTCTTCTCTGGGCCTCCGTACGAAGCTCGTATGATTCTCGTCGCCGGAGCCGCGGTCACGCACCGGTGGGGCTGGGTGGAACGTTGCACGCGTCGTCCTGCGGCGCTCTGCGAGTCTGTATGTGATAGACCCAACGTGGACGGCCCCAGCGCCTCTCGTTTGCGGCGGCGGGACTGCGAGAGACCCAGGCCTTCTTGCCTGATATTGGGCGAAAAGCTGGGCTGGGCGTGCGTTGGGTGGCATGCCGGCATACACTACGCGCCGGGAAATAGGAGAGGCAGTACGAGATATGCACACAACAAGTTTCCCTATTTGCGACTGACAATCATAATTTAGCATGCCGATAGGCACGAGACCGACGGCAAGTATAACAGAGGTAAGTATTCCCGTGTCTCCAGCTTTCCATCTCTAGAATGAGGCATTTCAATCGATCCTCCGTACATCCCTCCAGCAGCTCATAGAGCACCATCGTGGCGCGAGCCGCCCCTCAAGCGCTGGCGTTCAAGACGCTGTCAATGGTCTCGGCATCCTTGAGCAGCTGCTTGTCTCCCAGCCTCGGGCCGACGATCTGCAACGCGACCGGCGCCCCCTTGAAAAGCTCCGGGTCATCTGGGAGGATGTTAGAATCCAAGGCAAAAGAGGTAGGCACGAAGTGCGGAGAGGTATGCGTACACATATCCTGGTTCTTCTTATCGGCCTCATTCCTGGGCTTGAAGTTGGCGTCGACGGGGTCGAGGGCCGGATCGGCGTGCGTCACTGGCACGATGATGGCCGGATACTGAAGATGGCATTAGACGGCCGCGACGACAAGAAGGTTGCCGGTAGACACAAGAGGAACTTACATCAGCCACGTTGCAGAACACGGTGTAGATATCGCTCGTCCAGTCGCCGGGCCGGACGGCAGTGTGCGCGCCGGCGGGGGTAAGGAGGACGTCGCAGCCGACCCTCTGCCACTCGTCGAGCAGGACCTTCTGGAGGTTGAGCTTCTTCGTGTTCCACTGCCACGCCTGCTCCTGGGTCTTGGCGGGGATGTCCCAGAAGCCGATCTTGTTGACGCTCGGCACGACGGGCTCGCCCGACTTCTCGAACTCCAGCCGCGGGTACGACAGCCCGTCGATCGTGAACAGCTGCTCCGACACCTCGCGCACGCCGGTCAGGTCCGGCGGGTTGAACTCCCGCACGTCGAACCCGGCCGCCGTCAGCTTCGCCACGGCCTCGCGCAGGCCCCGGCGCACCGGCGGGTGCGGCGTCAGCCCCGACTCGTAGATGACGCCGACGACAGGCTTGCGCGCCGCCGGCTCGAGCTCGAGGATGTTCGGGATCACGGCCGGGTCGAACAGCCACGGTTTCGCGTCCCGGACAATGCGCGTGAAGAGGGCGAGGTCGCGGACCGAGTGCCCGAGGGGTCCCGTGACGGCGGGGATGCCCGTGTTGGAACCCGTCCAACCCGAATACGAGTACCCGATCATCGGGATGACGCCGAAGCTTGGCTTGTATCCGTAGACGCCATTGCATGCCGAAGGGATGCGAATCGAACCACCGACGTCAGTCCCGACGCCGAGGGCACTGCACCGGAAAGCTTGGCTAGAGCCTTCGCCACCGCTGCTGCCTCCGCACGTGAGGTTGGAGTTGACGGGGTTCTTGGTCTGGCCGAACACGTTGTTGTGGCTCTCCGCGACAAGCATCGTCTGGGGCACGTTCGTCTTGGAAATAACGACGGCTCCGGCAGCTTGTATGAGCTCTGGTAGCGGTGACGTGCGGTCGGCCGGCTGGAAGACCCGGGACATGTAGCCATTGGTCGAGTCGTACCCCTTAAAGTGGAAGCACTCCTTGAAGGTCATCGGGACGCCGTGCAGCGGGCCGACCACCTTGCCGGTGCTCTTGTAGATATCGTCGAGCTCCTGCGCCCTCTTGATCGCGTCGGCGAACATAATTTCCGTCAGCATGTTGCAGAGCTGCTGCCCGATGGCGGCCCGCTTGCAGAAGGCGGTTACAACCTCGGCGGCAGTGTATTTGCCCTCGGCGATGGCGGCGGCCAGCGAAGTCGCGTCATACTGCTCGCCGGTGATCGTCAGCTCGGTCTCGGAGAGAATCCCGGAGGAGCTGGCAAACGGGCGAAGGTCAAAAGTGCCCGCCGGCGGGAGCTGTTTCAACTTCCATTCGGCTGGTATTCTGGAGTCGCGCTCGGCGGCCTTCGCGGCCTGGAGCTCTTGCCAAGTTCTCTTGACCGCTGTCTCGGTGGTGGTACTCATGTTGCCTTATTTCTTTCCGAATATCACACCGCAGGTATCTATTATCAGTGGACAGTGGATTAGGTAGTCCCTATATCGACTCGTGGTGGTCTGTGTATCTCAGGCCCGCATCCAACGGCGGGCTTCAGAGGCTGAAGCGTGCTGAAATAGGAATATCCCCCCCACACGAAGCCAACACAGTCGTGTCGCACCGGCCGCGAGAAGCCGCCCCGATATGTCGCTAAGGCGGGGCAAGGAGCCGGCGTCGGTTCGCCCAAGGAGTTGGGGGTGAGGAGAATTATTCGGCTAGTCATCCAGGAATTCCCCCTATTAGGATCCTCTATGCGGTCTTGGCGCCACCCTCTATGCTAGATAATCTGATAATCTACCCCAAAAATCCTTCCTTCTCTCACTATTCACCTTATCTGCTGGATATCGGAAGGTCGTATGGGCTCTCCCTAGTGTTCGGGATCCGGGTACCGATCGGATGACTCGTTCTGTTGAATATTGATGTTATCTGCGGAGATTCTCCTTACCTCTAGTATTAGGCATCTATATAGACCCTGGAGACTTGTGCGGGAGGATTGGCCTCTGCGTCTTCGGCGTGTGTTATACCGTCGCTATCCATCCGTCCCTGTCGGCAATATGCGTGATTCGCGCGAACTTTCGGCCCAGACCTTGTCGTATGGGTTGATAACGGGGTGTAATGACCTCGAGTCTCGACGCTACGTCTACACCCCAGCAAAGATAGCAAGGGTCTTATCATATGGCTGCTAGATACGATGGTCCGACCCCGGATAGACGAGGTTGCTCTTGACGATCCCCTTCTCCCCCCGAGCTAGCAACAATAACAACGGAGACAATACTACAAGGACGAGGAGGAGCATTTAACAGGCTTCTCGTCGTCGCGGTCATCACCATCAATCCCCAAACACGCTCCCATCCGAATCCTTCAGAACCTGTCCTCGTTACTGCCGCGAAAATGTCTGAGAAGGAGGTCATCCCGGTTGCTGAGAGCACGGCCGACACCGAGCGCGGGGTCGGAGCCGTGTTGACGGAGGAGAAGGGCCTGTTCCGGCGTATGATTAGCCGGCGGAACGACCTCAACGAGCTCGGAAAGGACATGTTGCAGCAATCGCAGCAGTATGATAAAGCTCAACTCGAAGCGGACGCCATCAAAGTCCGGAGAAAGCTCGATTCCATCGTGCTTCCAATGGTACGACACTCCCCCCTCCCCCCCGCACCCCAAATTAGTCTGTGGCGTCCGTTTCTAACGGTGTAATTCCTCCTGTAGATGATGATCACTTATATGTTGTCGTTTCTCGACAAGCAGACGTATGTTAACCCCGAGCAAGCACCCACACAAGTGATATGTAGATTTTCAAGTAACCATGCCGGACGTTTAGCCTCAACTACTCAAACGCGTACGGCTTGCAACCGGACACGAACATGAAAGGCGACAACTACTCTTGGGTCGCCTCGGCCTTGTATTTCGGCTGGCTCTGTAGGTGACGATTCTTCCTTAGCCTTCCTTAGCCTTGCCACTTAGCAGCATGCTGATACAGCTAAAAGGCGGTGCGTGGCCGTGGAACCTGCTGCTGCAACGCGTCGCGATCGGGAAGCTTGTCGGCGGCATGCTGTTCGTGTGGGGGGTCGTCTGCATGCTGCAAGCCGCCGTGTTCAACTTCAGCGGCTTCTTCGCCATCCGATTCTTCCTCGGCATGCTCGAAGGCTGCATCTCGCCCGCGTGGGTGCTCCTAACTTCGATGCTGTGGACCCGTAAGGAGCAGACCCTGCGAAGCTCCATCTGGTTGTGCACCAACGGCGTCTCGAACATCCTGGGTGCCCTTCTAGCTTACGCCGCGGGTGTGGCGCAAGGACTGGCCGTAGCTCAGTGGAAGTTGATCTTCCTCGTATGATTGTCCCCCACCCCGGACACGAGAAAAAGGATAAGGGCTAACGCGAAAATGAGTAGATTGTCGGGGCCCTCACTTTCGTGTGGGGGTTTCTCATCGTATGGTATCTCCCCGACGGGCCGCACAACGCGAAGATGCTATCGGAGTACGAGCGCGTGGTTGCCGTCTGGCGCGTTTCGGACAACAAAATGGGCCTCAAGGATGCGACATTCAGGTCTTACCAGATCAAGGAGGCCGCGTTGGACGGGAGGTGCTGGCTCCTCTGGATGACGGGAATCGCTTTTGGGATCCTCAACGGCGCAGTGACCAATTTCATGTCTGCCATCATCAAGGGATTCAACTTCGACGCGCTTAGGACCACGCTTCTGCAAGCGCCAGGCGGTGCCTTCGCAGTCGTTGCCTGCCTGTCGATGGGCTTTCTCTCGCAGCTGCCGAACATGGTCGGCGGGTCCATCATGATCGGGTGCTTGCCTGGCATGGCAGGGCTCATCGGCATTCTTACCATCAACATCGAGCATCGCTACGCTCTTGTCGGCATGTGCTGGATGCTCGCCACGATAGGTTCGCCCATCGTGCTGAACTGGACGGTACCCGGCATCAACATCGCCGGACACACTAAGAGAAGCACAGTGCTCGGTGTGTATTTCGTGTGCTTCGTTGTGGGAAAGTAAGTCGATATCTATGAACCCGAGCGGCCAAGCCGCCCCCCTGCTGACGTCACACGTGTTCTAGCATCGTCGGCCCGCAACTTTTCCTGGCCTCGGAGGTGCCGAGATATCCCACCGCGATCAAGGGCCTGCTAGGTACTTATTGCTCGGCCATCTTCCTCCAGGGACTGTACACACTGTGGTGTTGGTGGGAGAACAAGCAGCGCGATAAGATGGCTCAGAGTACCGGCGCGGTAGAGGAAGAGGGGGCGCTAGGCGGCTTCGAAGATTTGACGGACAAGGAGAACAAGTATTTCCGATACAAGCTCTGAGTGCAGCGAGGGGGGGTGTCTCCCCCGTAGGCAACTTTCAGGTTCTGAGCGGGCGAGCTGTTTACGTGTAACTGGGGTTGCGGGCTTGAAAGGCGAATAATGGTAGGGAATACTGACGACGACGACGAAAGGGAAACCTATGATAGATGACGTGACGTGCCGGTGTGGACTAGTTTCGCGGCCGACGGCGTTTAGTTGATGCCACAGAGACTAATATCGACGCCGCCTAGGTACCTCAGGTACGTGCATATATGCATCAAGACGGTGCGTCATGTACCTATAGGCGGTACCTGCGCACCCACTTCCCAGTGAGAGTATACATGTAGAGGTACCTACCTACCTATTTGTAAGTCAGGTGGGATGTGGAGGTGGTGCTAGAGATACTTCAGCTTGATCACGTAACGAGCCGAATGATTACTCAGCCAACCATAAGCACGTCATGGCCTCAGGGCGAGGAATTGGCACACATGCATTTGTAAGACGCCAATCGGGTATCCAGCATTCCCTGGTCGCGCTATACGCTCCGCTTCTATCCCTTCTGGTTTAAATACCCACGCCGCGAAACCACTACGACGTGATGCCATCACAGCGGTAACAGCCCGAGTATCCTCCTCCTCCTCCTCCTCCTCCTCCTCCTCCTCCTCCTCCTCACCCTGCTCATATCTTACCTACATATCCATATAGCACTTAGGTACCTACCTACCTACCTACTTACTTGAATACATAACACCTTGTACGGAGTATACCTACTCAAGTTGCCCACCTACCCAACTCGCGCAACCCCGATCCCTCACCCGCAAGCGCCATGGCGTACGTGGCGGGGAAGTACACCTACCCCTCGCCCCTCGCCGGCTACGAGGGCGCCCCGCCGCTCCCCGACGAGAAGGCCGAGGACGGGAAGAGCTACGTGAACCCGGTCAACGAGACGCTCAGCAAGGCCTACCTCGACTTCCCAGACCCGCTGGACAAGGGCCGTCGCGGTGGTTTGTGAGCTGCCCTCCCCCCCCCCCTCCCCCCGGGCCCCGACGCCATCCGTTCTCCTCCCGCGTCCCACCGTGCCGGGTCGGCATCCCGCACAGGCTTCACTAACTTCGGACGGCGCGCACCCCCCCGCCTAGCGACATCCACATCTATTACTACCAGGCCAACGAGGCCCAGACGAAGTATGCGCGCGAGCTGTGGGAGCGCATCCGACGAGAGTGTAAGTCTCTGATCGCCCCCCCCCCAACTGGCGCCGCGGCTCGGCCGGTAACGTGACCCGCCGCGCCGTAATGGTTAGAGGAACCGTGCTAAGTCAGGGGACCCGTCCGGCCTCCCTCCCCACCCTTTAGTTCCCGAGCTGAGGATCTACCGCTTCTGGGACCGGCCTATAGGGCCGCACCCGGTGGCCATGTTCGAGGTCAACCTGTTCACCCCGGCGCAGTTCGGCGCCTTCGTGCCCTGGCTCGCCATCCACCGCGGGCCCCTCTCGGCGCTCATCCACCCCAACACCTCCGAGCCCGGCGACAGCCCGTCCGGCATGGACGTCGAGCTGCGCAACCACACCCAGCGCGCCATCTGGATGGGCGAGCGCCTGCCCCTCGATCTCGACAGATTCGTGTGAGCGCGGCGGCCGCGTGTCGCACCTTGTCGGCGACGCTTCGGCCGGGCCGGCGATGCCGTGGTTGGTTGCGTCGCGGGCATCTTCTGTTGTGCACTGCCCCGGCTCTCTAACCCCGTTCTGCATAAAGATACTGCGTGGACCAATTCTATAGCCAATTTACTAAAACTCGTAAAATGCATAAGTCTTACATAGCCCCAAGTACAAGAGTAGGTAAGCAGTGTTGCGGATGAGCTTGTTTCTCTGTAAGCCAGAGCCAGAGACTTTAGAAAAGTCTCCGGGAATGCGATACGCATCCCTTTTCAAGTTGATTGGTTTCGTAGAGTGTTAGAATTGTACTCTTACGTGGACCTTAATCAGCCTGTCCTACACGTATGTTGCCGTTAGGCTTGTCCGCACAGCTAACGCCAACCTTGCTACCGTGTACGGCTCTTTGGCATAACATATGATTGTAAATACTCGAAAGTAAGGGTCCCGTCGGAGGTCCCCAACCCATCTTGTTCCGGAGTCTGGCCCGAGGCTAGGGGGCAGATGGTTATGTAGGGGAATCTGCGAACAGAGTGCGAGACAAGGAGAGCAATATAAATTCTTCATCGAAGCACCCACTAACCGCCGAACGCAGGGCTCAAGCCTTGCCTAATTGTGCTGGTGCCTACGTTATAAGGATAGGGATAAGAAAGCCACTACAGGGGAAATGTGGACGGGGTAAGGACGCTTTATACTACAGGTATCATGGCTCTTTAATATGGTATGATATCGCTGTGCCAAATAATCCGGAGCGTAAGACTGCTGTGGCAGAGGCGCTTTGCTGGTACCGGTCGTTCTCATCTCGGTGCTGTTCAATCGTGCCGGCGTATCATAGGCACTACCCACAGAGCCCGTAAGGCAGGATGATGATATAAACGCATGGTTTCGGCTGTCAATGCGCAACCCGCAGGCTAGACTGCGAGAGCTATAAAACTTGCAATGGCCACGTTAAGAGAGGAGCTGGTGTCCGTTCGGGATAAAACCCATGCTCAAGGCTACGTGGCTTCCCAGACGCCGTCTCCGGCGAGATTCTCGCCGAGACCGAGAGCGTAGAGAAGTTCCGAATGGACACGCTTCAGCTTCTCGTGAGCCCCATCAGCGTTCTCGACTCTGAGACTAGTATCCAGCAAGCTCGCTCTGCACAGAACCTCACGCTGCTAGCGGCCGTGTATGTCCCGCTAAGCTTCGTGACGCGTATTTTCGGCACGAACGTTCGGGAGATAAGAGTCGCCGGTATCAGGGTGGGTGTGCGTAGTGACATTGGAGATGACAGTTGCGTTCACAGCCGGCATGTTCCTGGCTTATAACGCACGGGAGAAACACTCTCACGAGATGGACGACAAGACAAAGTGGTCTTGGGAGGAAAGAGACAATGGCAGCGACGGTATGGCCAACTCACCCTGTTTTCCATAGAACCATCCTTTATGGCAGCGGGAATCAGCAGCGAAATCAATACATATCAAATGGAACCACTCGACCGCACGACACGTATATTTTCTCCTATCTACCCTCCTCCGGCGGGCGCACGCGGGGGCGCGCGCGACAGCTCTCGACGAAGGCGAGGACCTCGGTGTTAAAGCGGTCGGGCTCCTCGTAGAACATCCAGTGGCCGGAGCCGAACAGGACGAGGCGGGCGCGGCCGGCTCCGCTCGCGTGCTCGACGCGCGCGGCGACCTCGCGCATCCCCGCGAGCGGGAAGCAGCCGGTGCGGCGGCCGGCCAGGACCAGGGCCGGCGCGGCGAGCGCCTCGAGCGCCTCGCGGTGGTCGTAGCGCGTGTGGTCGGCGAGCAGGCGCGCGAGCCACGCGCCGTCGCAGCGCGCGCTGATCGCCGCGAAGAAGGCCGCGTCCGCGTCCGCGTCCGCGCCCGCCCCGTCGCCCGCCTCCGGCGCGTGCCGGTACCCCAGGCACGACGCCGCGAGCTCGCGCCCCGCCGCCTCCGGGTCCGCCGCCCACGCCGCCTGCGCCGCCTGCAGCGTCGCCTCGTCGTAGCAGCTGAGGTGCGCGCGCGACGCGTCCCAGCCGCGGCCCCTCTTTGCCTCCCCGCTCTTCGCCTCCCCGCGGTTGCCGTCGCCCGAGTCGTCCGAATCGTACAAGAAGTAGTCCCCGAACGCCGAGCGGTCCTGCAGCGGCGCCTGGTCCGCGAACACGTACCCAGCGAAGTCGTCGTCGTCGGACCCGAACAGCTCGACGTAGGTCCACACCACGGCGGCGCCGATGGAGCAACCCACGGGGACGAATTTAAGCCGCTTTCTTTCCCTGTTTTCGGTGCCGGCATGCGTGGAGGAGGGAGGGGCTGCGGCCGAGTAGACCCACCGCAGGTGCGCGACGAGGTCCCGCAGGTCCGCCGCCAGCCGCGCGACGTGGTACCCGCCGGCGGGGCGCCCCGAGTTGCCGTGGCCGCGCAGGTCCGCCGCCACGACCCAATGCCGGCTGGCGGTCAGCCCGGGGTAGTTGCGCGTGAAGTACCGACTCGACCCGCTGAAGCCGTGGAGCAGCAGGATGCAGATCTCTTCTTCGGCGTCCTCGGTCTCTCCCCCTTCCGAGTTGGCAGCGAGGGTAGCAGCGGGGAAGGGTAAGGAAGGCTGCTGCTGGTGCGAGTCGCGGTTGGTTGGCCGCGAGGTCTGGAACGCGAGCACGCACCCGTCGTTGGCGACGCAGTACGCGTACGCCATCCCGGGCTCAGCATCGCTGGCCATGGTGTGCTGTGTACCGTGTGAGCCTGTGTCTGTGTCTATGCACGTGTCTGCGTGCCCGGGACTGGATGGGACAGCCCGGTGCGTCGAGAGCACCCAAGCCTAATCTAGGTAGGACCGCGGTGCCGGTCGACCGGCCTGGTGTGTTGCGGCGTACGGGATTCGGGCCGTGGAGGTGGGATGGGGGCTTGTGGGATGGGGAGATGGAGGATGGAGGGATGGCGCGGGGTGCGGAGGTGAAGGGGTTACAGGGGTACGTGTGTATCTAACGTAATCGCCGGGACTCGGCTGCTGCATACCCGATACTACGATATACAGCAGAGGGAATAAGGAGTGCAGCCAAAGGTGTACTGCACTCGTGGAATTACGCGCAGTGAGCAGACACCATCCCCGACCCCCGGCTTACCCGGCGTGTTATATGATAGGCGTATGGCAAGGGCCATAAGCTTGATGACAGCTCGTGTAATTCGGAATTATCGACTAGTGTCGATTTTATTAATAGCCCAGTGTGGGCAAGTAAGCAGATCGCCGGGGCGTCAAGTCGCGCTAGCTTCTATCCTATGTAAAAATACGTGAAGATTGACTCGATGTCTCTTAGAACATACGCCAGGTCTCCGTGCCTGGGCTATGGAGCGCAACGCCGTCTCTATGCCTATGCGTTTTTGGATCCGAACCCTCGAATCCGCGGGGGAGACCTTTATATCGAAATACTCCTTCCCGCTTCTGTCGTTGCTTTACCTACCCCCTTCTCATGTGCCCCTTGCACATCGCAAATCAGGCAAAGCCTTTCTTCATTAGCCGTCCCGTATATTGATTGGGACACTCATTACCACCGTCGTAATTATTGTTCCCGTCGTCATCGTACCCCCACCCCTCCTGTTTCGGGTACATCACCTTCGGTTGAAGTTCAAATATCGGCTCTGGAGGTCCGCATTAGTACACATAAGAAGCGAAGGAGGGGGTTAGGAGGCTCGTGACTTACCGCGGTGAATAAGATTATCAAATTGCTACCGACGAAGGCTAGGAAGATTCCGAGTTCTCTCCACCGTAGATCGAAGCTGAATCCGAGAGGCTCGTAGAACTGGTTGCCCAGCTTGTAAGCGCAGTATTCGCAGGCGCTAGTCGCGTTATCCACGAGGTACCCGGGGCCCCTGTAGGTATCGAAGAAGGTTGACATGTACTCGCCGCATGTCTGGCCCTCCGGGGCGCTGAACCTGTTCAGTTCCTCGGGCCTGCAGTTGACTTCGAGTTGGTCGAGAGCGGTGGTCACCGTTCCGCCGATGAGACGAGTGAAGGGGTCCAGCTGGTACAGCCATGCCCGCCAGAAACCGGGCATCTGGGGTGCCGGGATCGCCACACCACAGAACATGGCAAAGGTGATGACGATGAAGGGATCGTACTGGCTCGAGACGAAGCTAGACGGCGAGATGGCGGCTAGAACTTGACCCAACGTGACGGCGAAAAACTCTGTGATCAATACCATGAAGTACTGGTAGCCGGCGCGGGAGGATTCTGACTGGAAACCGGGGATGTAGTAGAGCGGCACAAAAAAGACAACGGAACAGATGATCGAGTACGGCAGCTCGGCAATGACCATGGCCAGAGTGAAGGTAAACGTGCTGTACATCTTGCTGAGCTGCTCGCGGAAGAAGATGGCTCGCTTGATGACGTACATGAGCTCGACTTGGGGCATGAGCAGCGCGGGAAGGACCGTAATCTGGAACATGACGAAGACCTTGTTCTGCAGTGAGCCACGGGAGTCGTCGAGTTGCAGGTATGTCAGACCAGTGAGAATAGCAATGACGACGTGGTTGAAAAAGCGCGTAAAGAGGTAGTTGGGCGATCGCCAGAAAGAGATGTTGGTGCGGGCGATAACGACTTTCAATTGGTGAAGTAGAGGCGACGCATACTCGCGTTGGAGTGACTGGTCAATCTGTGAGGCAGCCGCCTTGCGAGTTTCCTTGAACTGAGAGATGGTATCCTTGACGTTAGCAAGTTCCGGGCTGTCGTCCCAGATGTCAGCCCAGTCCCGGTTACCGACACGAGGACTGCTTCCAGCACCAACAGCCTCCAGCATAAACTCGGCAATGTTGTCAGAGGGACCAGCGACAGCACCGTGACGCCCCAGGTAGTCCCGGAGCACATGAGCATCCTTCCCGATGTCACCGAAGTATACGCAGCGGCCACCTCTCTGTAGCAGCAGCAATCGGTCAAAGTTCTCGAAAAGGGCGGCGTTAGGCTGGTGAATCGTGCAGAGGATGGCTTGGCCAGCGGCTGCGAGCTTCTTCAGGAACCGGACGATATTGAAAGCGCTCTGGCTGTCGAGACCCGAAGTCGGCTCGTCGAGGAACAAGAGAAGCTGCGGCTTAGCCGCCAACTCGACACCGATGGTGACACGCTTCCGCTGTTCGACCGTAAGTCCCATCTCTGGCGTGCCAATGATGCAGTCCGCAATATGCTCCATTTCTAACAGGGCGATGATCTCCTCGACATAAGAGTATTTTTCCTCGCGCGGGGTCTCGATGGGCTGTCGGAGATCGGCGGAGAACCGCAGGGCTTCGCGCACAGTCTGAGTCGGGTCGTGCATGTCGAGCTGCTCGGCGTACGAGGTCGATCGCTGGAACTCCTTGCCGGGTTTGGCGCCGTCGACGAGAACATCACCGCTGATGACACCGATGTTCTTCCTCGACGCCAGAACGTCTAGCAGTGTCGTTTTTCCGGCCCCAGATGCACCCATGAGGGCAGTCAGCTGGCCGGGCTTGCAGTAACCATAGACATTATTGAGCAAACGGCGAGTACCACCAGGAACTGGGACGTCGTAATTGAGATTCTCCCATGTTAAGATGCTGCTGGACTCGATCTTCAACGTGCTTCCCTCTTCCTCCTGCTTCGACTTCTGTCGTTCAAGTCGCTTGTTCTTGAGAACCTCGTTGAGCGCCGTTCGCTCGGGGTTGGGCTTAGCGAAGACCTTGGCCTGGTTACCACCCATACCGTACTTGACGAACTCGCCCAACACGACATTCATGATGAGGAAGAATACGATGATGGCCATGATGATTCCGAAGTTTCGCCATAGATCCCCGGGCGCGTAGGCAAATCCCTGTGTGATGTACTCGGCACCGAGCACTTCAACGCTACCGGGCGTGGACCCGGGCAAGGTGCAAACCTGATGGCTGATGTTGTTATATTCAGGCCCAGAAGGAATGAGCGACTCCGACGAGCATGTCAACCGACTGTTGCCAAACTCGTTCGCCATCAGACTGGAAAAAGCTAGACCCAACGCATTGATCCAAAAGATCCATCGCAGCCAAACCTGTTGCTGCTGATACTGAATGAGATAACCGGACGTGAGGATGAACAAAGTAACCGTGACGACAGCAAACTTGATAGCGTAGTCGAAATCTGGACTTAGGCAAGCGATGATGCGGAAGTAAAGGGTCATAGCGATGTTTCCCACCAGAATCATGAGGTAGAATGTGAAGAATGCGCCCGCTGTTCTGGTCAAGTTGGACATGAAGTAGACAATGATCGAGAACACCAGAATCCGAACTGCCGAGAATGCCGTGTCCACGAAGATTTGAGCTATCCACAACGCCGAGGGTCGATGGAAGGTATAAGCCTTGTGCTTATTCACGATCGGCCGGCCCGTCATAGTGGATCCTAATTCGGAGAAGGCCTCGAAAGCGTTGAAGAGGAGCGAGATGAACAGAAGACCACCCTTACCGAAGGCGCTGGCCGAGGTTTGTTGCAGATTCAGATAGAGCGTGCCGAGAACAATTCCGATGATGATACTGCGGAACCAAGACAACGAGAGACTGAGTTTATCCTGTAGCTTGAGGACAAATTGGCGCTTCATGAGGGCCCAGACCTGCAGGTGAAATCCTACGCTGTAGACGGAATGCTTCGCGCCGCCGCGCTTGCTTTCGCGGACGGCAAGACGGAAATCGTCGTGGCGGGCAACCTCACGCTCGTGCTCGAGTTTAGTCTTGTATTCGACCATCTCGTTATTCAGCTGCTGAGAGAACCGGGACTTCTCGAACGCTTCGGCTAAGGTCTCGGGGCTGTGAGGAGCGTTCGACGGCGAGTAGCCGTCTGAGTAGGCGCGCTCGAACTCGTCGGTGCAGCCGGTAACGTAGTCGGGCGTCGTCTGTCGCGGGCGCGGCAGGAATCCGAGCCCCTCGAAGTAGGCTCGCGCCTCAGCGGCAGGGCCGAAGTATACCTGCTTACCAGCATCGATGACCAGCACCTTATCAAATTGGCGATAGATATTCTCGGACGCTTGGTACAGGGAGACGAATGTCGAGGTCTTGTAGAGGTCGGTTTGAATTCGGAGCGACTTGACGAAGTCGAGAGCGGTGCTCGCATCTAAACCGCGGGTGCTGTTGTCCCACGACAGAATGCAAGCGTTGGTGATCATCATCTCGGCGATGGAAACACGCTTCCTCTCTCCGCCAGAAACGCCACGGACAAGAGCATCACCGACCACGGTCTTGCGAGTGTGCTCGATGTTGAACATCTTGAGGAGTGTCGTTATCACATCCTCCTTGAATTTGTTCTTAGTCATGCCGGCCGGTAGTTTCTTTCCCACCTTGGTGTCCAGTGCGAAGCCCAAGGTCTGCTCCACGGTAAGAGTGGCGTGGTGAATGTCGTCTTCCTGGTTGTAGACAGCCTCACCGCGGTACTGCTTGAAGTCCTTAGCGGTAAAGGGCCCATAGAGAACCTCACCGGCGACGTCGGTGTACCCCCACCGCTGATTGGCGATGGACTTGAGAAATGTTGTGCAACCCGATCCCGGTTTCCCGAGAACGAGGACCATCTCGCCAGGATTCACGACGCCCTTGAAATTGTCGAGGATCGTGACCTCGGTACCCCTACTGCCCCTGCCTAAGAGGTCCATCAACGGGGTCCAGTAATCGAAAAAGTCGACAAACGCGTCGGGGAATGTCTTCACAAAGTTGGTGGTTCCGCCCATGCCCTTGACCGTTAGCCCATCCCAGTAAACGCCGATATGCTTCGGCTTGATGCCGGCTTTCCGCTCGGCATCGAGACCGCCGCGCAGGGTGTTCTCGAGGTCGAAGACCTCTCCCGAGTCCTCGGACGAGGGCGCGTCGAGGGTGGCATCGATGCCCTTCTCGACGTCAGTAGTCTCCTTCCGGCTACGGGTCCGGCTGGCTCGCGATAGTCCGGAAAGCTCCCTCTGGAGCTCGGCGAAATCGGCCTCGGCTCGCTCCACAGAAACGCCCGCAGTCTGGGAGAAGCCATTGGGGTTGTTCTGCCTGGCCAGCTCGCGCTGCTCCTCCGGATTCGACGCGGCCACGGTAGAGGTTGAGGATGGAGGTCGTGTAGTCTTGGACGACGGCGTGGATGCATCGTCACGTTGGTCCGCCACCACGCCCGCCGCAAACGGCTTCTCCGCGTCTTTGTCCGACATGGTTTGCGTCCGATACGTAACCTGGGTTGCGGCGACTCTTCCAATGGCCTGCGTGGACCGTTACTACCACTCCGGAACACTCAGACCCTCTCCCCTCTCGAGGGTATCTGGCGGAAGCAGCACAACCAAAGCTCGACGTCGGGTGGGGAAGCAGTCGGGTTAGTAGGGGAGTGTGGTTTAGGCAGCGGAGCCTCCAGAAAGGACCCGTTATTTGCACCAGCGCGGCTTAGATGATCAGACGGTATATGCGACAACTAGCAGGGCAACGCCAATTCGGCCAGAAGAGGAGAAATACGGAAGTAAGGGAGTGGATGGGGGATTCCGAGGGGGGAATGAGGCTTAAGTAGCTATGGTGCGAAACCGTGACAAGGGAACGGGCTCGTATGGAGAGGTCACAAAGACGGCAGAAAAAAATAAGAGTGAGAGAAGGGTAGGGTGAAGGTGGGATGGGAAGAATGGGTACCTAAGGTATGTAGCCGACAGACGGGGCCAGGGACGGGGCCAGGAACGGGGACAGGGACTTGAAGGTACCTGGGAAAGTGAATGGATCCCTCCGTCGACGGCGAGATGTGAGAAACCACCACAATTGCCTAGCGTGCTGTCTCTTGTCGGTTCGCCCTGAGGGTTGAGCCGAATGGCCACTGCGATTATCAATCAACAATATCCTTAGGTCTGGAACCCCGTCCGTCGCCCTCCACCAGCCCACCAGTCCCTGCACGGGTAGCTACATAACCCCGCTAACTGCCTACTCTGGCCTGACCTGACCTGACCTGGCCTCACCCGCGCGTCGAGGTACCTAAACTCGGATGCGGCATCGAGGTAACTCGTCGGGCCTGTACCAGATTCGGCCGCGCGCGAGGTACCTACTTTCTGCTTGTCGGCTAGGTCAGGTAAAGGTCCTTTGCCGCTCCCGTCAGGGTGCGCACATACTCACATGTATACTCGATACGGACCCGTACGAGGTGGAACGGAGAACCCTGGAAGAGAACCCTGGGAAAACTGCCATGTGAAGCTAACTAGAGGTAGTAGCCCTGCTTCACGTAACCCCAGGTAGCAGTTAGGGCGTATACCCGCCGCTGCTATCCCGGTGTTGTCGTCACCCTGCTATAGCAGCGCGTTCAGAGCACGGTAGCACCGATCACTATCATACCATCACCACCGCGTCTTCGCGAGATACACCGTATAAGTGCATAATACTTCTTTCTTTTCCATCTGAGATCGGTACAGGCTATCGGACGTGGTAGGCATCTCTGAGATGCCTCCCTCCAGTCCTTTACGCAGCTACGTGTAAGTACCTGGGTAGGTCTATGAATAATTAACTGCGCCTAACAAGGACAAAGAAGCCTTGCTCTTCCTCCCCCCCCCCCCATCCCCCTGCGTCGGATGCATATAGCCAAGTACACACCTACAGTTGCACGCCGTCTTCGTCAGACGGCGAGCATGCCAAGGCGATACGGCTAGCATACCAAGGCGAGACGACCAGGATTGCCTTCTGATACTGGGGAAAGGAAAGCTCCCACGGCTCGGCTTTCTTCGTCGCATGCCCACCAGACGATAGCCCGCCCATCCCCTCCAGTCATGGTCCAAAAACTTGATACCATAACATCGAGGCCCCGGACCTATGATCTCCAGGTCGGATGCCCCTCCAGCTACGCGGTTCGCACTCGCATACCTCTGCGTGCCACCGAGCGTCCAGATAGGTTTAGAGCTTATGCTCCTTCGTCAGACAGTTAACGGTCCTCCGTCATCACACGTGTTGGGCATTTACGAAACAATATGGTATGTATTTTGTGCTCGGCACCAGCGCCTGCGTTGTGCGCGACAGATAGGGTTGAACGGGCCCTGGGATTTTGCGCACGGCCGGCTGTTGCGCGCAGGCAAACTCGATTCGGTGTCTCGTCGGAGACGAGGATGAGGCCAGACACGTTGGAGATCGATTTAGTCTGGGTGCCGGCTGCCGTCTCAGAGGGTGAGCTTGTCGCATTGGCCTCCCCATTGGCCGGCACCGCCTGTGCCGGCATACCCAGGCATACCGCCGTCTTCCCCCTCCCCATGGGTCCTCGTCGTGGGTCCTCGTCGTGGGTCGATCGAGCGGTTCTGTATGCAGTCACCCCGACCAAGTTCTGGATTCTTCGACTCGTCCGGTCATTCGAGCCAAGACGACCCAGGTACCTGTCACCAGTGTCGCATCCAGCTCGTCTCGCCGTGCCGGTGCCAGGGAAGATGGGACGCCTAAACCCACGTCTCGCAGGTGTAAGGTACCTACATATCTAGATAGACGGTTGAGTGCGAAGACCAGGGTGTTCGTGTGTGTGTGTGTGTGTGTGTGTGTGTGTGTATGCGTGCGAACGTAGTATTGAGCACATTCGCACATCCACGCGCGGCGATAAGGAAGCTCTGCACATAACACCTTGGGATGGGTCCCGTCATGGGTATGTCGTATGGATACATGCTTAGGCGCATATGGGCGATGGATGTACCTATACAAGCACGTAGATTAGGTACCCGGCAGTGTTTCATAATTCAACATGGCTACTCGCTTATTCTTACGACGGGAAGCGCGTCATGGTAGCAAGGTTGCGGCATGGGCTGAGGCTGGTATTTGTACGAGTAGTGCTGAGAAAGATGGTATACTATAAGCATCCGCGAGACACGATCCGCCCGTATAGGCTCTAGGGCAGAGCAGATCATACTTCTCTTCACACACTTACACCGCACTATAAAATACGCGTACAGCCCACCTCACCTGTGCACGGGCAACGGACACGTCGAGCGAAGGAGGCTTATGAGTATGAATAGGTATTTGTAGAACCCTGTCACCAACTCTCATCTCCGTCTCGGGTTCGGGCTCGGGACGAATATCCATGGCTGGCTCACAAATCAGACAGCGGCTAACCCCCCTCCCCCCCACACCACCACGATTCGACGGAACATGAGTTGAGCTGATTATAAATGCCCAAATCCGGACAGATCGGTCAAGTGGCGGTACCGAGCCGACGAACGTCGGCATAGTTCAGGTTGATATTGTTTTCTTGGCCACGCATAATTGGGTGCCACCTAGTCGCTCGCCATCACGTCAATCCTCAACGTGCGCATCGCCTATCATTGCCTGGTCTCCTCCTGGCCTGCTGGCCTCTGCTGCGTCTTGGCGACTCCCCGTGCGATGTGGGTTGCAACGAAGGGCGAGGTCGGCAGCAGAAGAAGGGCCTTAGTTGGACCCAGCGAAGCCCGGCCGCCCGGCGACTGGACAGGGACGCGGGGGTTCGTAGCACGCAGGAGGCCGTTGCGCTCCGGCGTTCACGGCGGGAACACAAGCGAAGGAAAAAAACCGATGAGGGATGATAACGGTGCATGTCATCCTTCCTGTCGTCCTTCAGCGCACCAACCGAACTGACAGGCTGATGCACTTGCGCCTATACTTCCATACGCACACGTGCAAGATCACGATAACCACAGTGTATACGTAAGAAAGGACCACTGGATGCCGGAGCTATGCTATGTAACGCGGGGCCGCAGCCCGACCCCCGCTGGCGAGCGTCGAGTCGAGCGATCCCGTTCTACTCAGTACGCAACAGCGCTGCCTCCCCCCTCTCTCTACCTGCCGACCTGTAAATGGGGTTGAGCAGTAGACCGCCCATGCCAAGACATTGTTTGTTATCGACGCCCATGCATGAATACGGCATACAGTGCGAGGGGAGAGTGCACCGCACGCCTTGCCGTGCTCGAGCAGAATCGGGACAAGCGCAGACGATGTGTGCAAGTCTCCCCCCATCCGTCTAGTCTATCGTGCGCCGACGCTCATCCCATCCGTGGGGTGGCATCCGAGTCTCGGTGAGTGACAAGCCGGCGAGGGAGAAAGAGAAAGAGAAGGACGAGACAGAGTGGGGGGGAACCATGTCGAATCATAATGAGCATCATTCACGTGACACCGGTCCTCGAGATGACTCTACGCCGGTGGGAGAGGACGATCCCTTTCATTTCGACTGCGTACGCGCCAAGCGGTGCCTTGGGCATGGTCTTGTAATGTACCCGATATGTATGTATATATGAGTGTATATACCTCTATATATATGCCAGGTAATATATGAGTATATATAAGATACTCAGTATGTTAGGTACCTGATAGTTGGGTTGGCGATGCGAGGGATGAGGGAATGGGACCACCATCGATTGTTTATGCAGACGAGATCATCAGTATCAATCGGCCAAGGACGCGCAGATCTGGGAATATGAAATCTCGGTAGCCATTCCTATCGACATACATACATTCCTACGCACGTAGATATACATCTGTACTCATATGCATACCTGCATTATCTGACCGGCTGCGTCAGGCAGATAATTATATACCTATAGGTTGTCACATTTTGGTTGAGACCTGAGAACATTCCAATGTTCCTTCGCGTAATCACACCGGGACTCAGGTACGGCGCTCATATCTCATTTTTTTTCCCCCTTCCTATGTACTCATAGAACCCGCACCGATGCCTCTCGTTTCATCTCACCGGGATTCCATTGAGACCCATGTCTCTTCTACCGTGTGGGGGGGCTTTGGACGGGGGCCGCGCATCCCAGCCAACCCTCGTCCGCCTCCCGCCCCAAAAGAAAGAAAATTCATGGCACACGAGAAGACGGGAAGAGAAGAGGAGCCGCGATAGGGCCGTGAGAAAAACAAACAAGCGTTCCTGGTGGGGATCAGCTGACCCCTGTTATCCGATGACGACAGACAAGGAGAACGAGCCCTTTGGCCGCACACAATACAATACCCAACTATGTATGTATGCCCATACCGACTATTGCGTGTATGTATACAGAAGGGGACAGAAGAAGCCAGCAGCACGCACGCCTCTACCTAACATAACACACAGCGTTGCGCCGAGAGCCAAAGCGAGACAAGACCCCGAGAAGTGCTTGCCTCTCAATACGTGGAGCCATGTGATGCGCATTCCGCGCGACCGTCCCGTCCACACCTACGTCAATACTTGCACTAATCGTGACAGGTAGCTTACTCTGCTGCTTACGAAGAGGGCGAGCGTGTGGGCGTGGAGCTGACCGCGCGGAGATAACGCCCTTACCGCCCCTTATAGCCACCGCCCGCCGTGCCGATCTCTTCCTCTCTTCCCCTTCTCTCTCTCTCTCTGTGTGGGTGTGGGTGTGCGTCTCGCTCGCACTCGTTTTCCTGTCCCCGGCACTCGGCGCAACTGGGCCAGCACGCAGCGGCCTGCGTAGTCTGGCTACCCCTTTTTTTACTCGAACCGTGAAGGGCAGGATTGTTCCTGCCCCGATACGTGCATATAGGCTTGTAAAAATGACCGTAGCCGCTTACACGAGGTACCTGATAATATCGCGAGGACCACCACGCGACGTACGTAGGTACCTACATAATGCGTGATGGAGGTGTGTTGGTAGGTGGTACCTGCTATTCCCATCTAACCCATTCGCCCGTGTAGAAATGTAGGCATACCAGGTAAACCGCCACGTATAGGCCAAGGCACCTCTAAGCCGGCAACGCCCTACGCGCCTCATCCTCGTAGCATCCTCCAAACACCTAGGTACCTAGCCCATCTGTCTGTCTCCGTACGTGCGGAGTAAAAAAAACGAACAGATCATCTCAGACCGGGCTAAGCCAGACTGTGCTCTCGGCCGTGAGCCGCGAGGCCGGGCTAATATATAGATTAGATACTCCGTAGGGACGCCGGAGAAGACCTCTTCGCCGCAGACATGTTCTCTTCTGCCCCTGAGCGTCCTGTTGGGGCACGCTACGGCAAGGCACGGCGCGGTATTATAGGGTAAGGGGAGCAGCAGACAAACAGGGATGCCCGACGCCTCGAGCATGAACGAACCCAACCCAGGCCACGTTCAGGTGCACTATCTCGCCTCACCTCACCTCGCCTCGCCTTATCTTACCTTACCTTACCTTACCTTACCCTATCCTACGCCTCCTCCCTCTCTTCCTCCACTTCCTACGCTTCCTGCGCTTCCTGCGCTTCCTACCTGCGTACATCCGTCCGTCTATCCATAAATACACAACCCACCCTCGGCTTACCACATACGTATATATACCGGGCCTGCCCTCTTCGCGAGAGCCGGGTGGCTCAGCTCCCTCCCCTACCTGTCTTCAGCCCGGTCAGCCCGCCCGCTCGCCCGGCGTCAGCTCAGCCGACCACCTCCCCTGAATGACACTATTGTCGATACATACCCTACGCGCTACGACGGGTTGAGGAGGGCGCGCGCGCATATGCCGGCACGTGATCCTAGCCGGGGATTTCCAACGGCCTGGTCTTCGGCTCCGAGCTCGTGCTTGGGAATAGTAGGTAACGTATCGTATTATATTATCAAGCATGGTGACGGCATCATCCACCTACTGGCCTATAAGGGAGATTTTCCCTTCTACTCTTTCCTCCCTCTCGTCGCCCCTCCGCGTCTCCCACTATCTCTCCGCCCTTAACCTCCCCTCCCCCCCTCCCCCCTCTCCAAATCTTGCTCTACCCTTGGGGGTGAGGCCGCCGGGTGCGGGGCAGACGAGAGGTGAGAGAGAGAATCTGCGTGCGTGCGTTCGTGTGCGCGAGAACTGAGACAGGATAAGGGTAGCGATATGAAACGGAAAAAGAGACATGGGTTGATTGCATTGCATATTCACGATAAACCACCACCCTCGCTATCGCCCCGAGTACGCGCGCGTGTGCGTGTTTTATATGTGTGTGCGCGTGTGTGTGTGTGTGTGTGCGTGCGTGCGCGTGTGAATATCCATCCAGCCTTGTTAGCCTCTCTTTTCCCCCCTTCCCGATGCTAGCCAGCCTGGAAAATGGTGCATCAAAATGTTTACCAACGCCGGCCATGCAAGGTAGAACAAGTATAGGGTCCATTTCTCTCCCTTCCCTCCCATCGTCGCCCTCCGTGCTTGGTATCGCGAACTTAAGTATTCCACGCCCTCCGACTTCGCACCACGCATGTCTTTTCTCTCTCTCTCTCCTCCGGGCGTGTGTTGTCTTTAGTGTTCGTGTGCGCGCGCACGTGTTTATAGCGCGCGCACGCGTGTACTCCTCCGGCAGCGCTGGAGAACGAAGGAGTAATGCGCATGAGAAATTCCAGTAACAGTAACTCCTTCAGTCTAATTCGAGGGGACCCGAGCCAGTTGGCTGGACCGTTATCGATCTTGTCATAGCTCTGACTCGGCACCGTTGGTCTCCACCGCCATCGGGCTCCCGCCTTGGCCGTGTCGTCTCCGCGCACGCAGTCTCCGTACGGGTCGTCCGTTGAGATTCGTGCTGTCGTCGTCGTCTTCGCTATCTGGGTTGTTCTCCGCGTAGAGACGTGCCTCGTCCAATTCCGTGATATCATCCGGCTTGTCTCTCAACCATTGCATCCGCGGACCGGATCGTGCCACTTCCGACACGCGGAAGCCGTAGATACGGGGTTCGTATATTTTGTTCTTGCCCAGACTCGGCGCGATGTTGCAGATGTGCATGCCGTTCAGCATGTCCTTGTCGTCATCGCTCACACGCGCGCCGGCCAGTACGTCGGCACCTCGCTTAGTAAGGTCGTACTCCGGAAAGGTGAGCAGAAAGAGGGCGCCGAATGTGCGGCCAAAAAAGGCGCCGTCCACAGTCTGAAATCTGCTATTGGGAGGCACGTAGACGTCAAGGCAGCAAGGGCAGAATAGCTTGACCGTCTCCTCGCCTGGAATATCGGAGAGGCCGACGGGGAGAGTTCGAGCGCCTTCGCAATGGTGACGAGGACAGACGCCGAAGTGGCCTAGCTCATACTTCTCGGACATCTGCTGGATGCCTGCCCGTGAGCAGATGAAACGTTGGTGGATAAGGCCATACAACATCTCAGCCGAGGACTCGATAACGGATAGGTCACTGGCTATTCGGCTATGGTTGCGTCGTTCGCCATGGCGCGTGCGGTCGGGGCCTTCGATAGATTCATCCTCTTCTTCGTCGTCCTCGTCCTCTTCGTCTTCATCATCTTCAGGCTCGACGTCTAGTATCATCTAAGGGGGTTAGGGGGTTAGCAGAGAGCAAGATTCCTAGGTGGGGTGGATAGCCCAGCAACGAGCGTACCTCGAGAGCCTCCTTGTACATTGCGACCTGCGTTTGCAGGCCGGTGAGATTGAAGTCATCTTCGATAAACTCTTCGGACACCTCCGCGAAATACTCGTGACCCAGGAGAGAGCAGAACGAGGAGATCCAGGATTCAGGCGTGCCGGAAGTCGAAGACATCGTGCCTTTCTATTCGCAGAGAAGCTGATACTTTGGGGGGCTCGGAGAGGGCTCTAGGATCAAATGCGCGGGATGCGACGTCGAGGAACTCGGCCGAGCCGTGTGCTGGTCGTGGCTGGGGAAGGGGAAAACTACGGGGCGTGCAGGTGCATGACGCGGAAGAAGACAAGACGAGACGAGACGGGACGGGGGGGGGAAGGGGGGGGGGAGGGACGGGGCGTGTTAGGGAGAGAGCAGGATGGAGGGACGAGCTGGCTACAGGCGAAGGGGATGAGGGTAGGCGAAAGGGGCCATACGATGGTGAACCAATATTGTGTTGGTAGGTTGAGTGGTAACGGCGGTGATGCAGTGCCAGTTGATAAGTGTGTCGTGGGGATTGGAGGGGAGGGAGGGAGAGGCTGTCAAAATTTACGGATTGGGACTCTCTCAGCCCAGTCCAGCCCAGGCGGCCCAGCCAGCCAGCCTGTTGCGACGGGAGACGGGAGGTGGCCCATGCGCTGGCACAGCGGCGTCGCCCAGATTAGGTAATCGTCCCGCGAATATACGTATTAGGTAATACAGGTCATGCATAGTACCTAGCAATATACCTAGGTGGGTACACCTTAGATACCTTGGGGTACCTCTGCCTACAGCGCCCAACACTCCTGGGTAAGATGTAGCACTTCTGCATGCATCAGGTACAGGGTGCAGTACCGCTGATCGGCACATCGTGCGGGATAGGTACATCAACCACTGCGTCTCGGAGGTACCTATAAGTACCTGAGAAGGCGTGCTTACAAGCCTACACTTCCATGTACACCTGCGTACCCCGTCCATCAGCCCGGTCTCTCCATCAAAATTTCATCTCAACTTCTTCTCGCCTCGGATTCTCGTGCCAAGATAAAATATCCGCACATCTACACCCTCCATTCCCATACACATCGAAGAAACTACATACCCGCATACTCAGCGTGCTTCTCCCCGCCCCCCAGCCATCCGTCGCAACTCTCTCGCGGCCAACGGTTTCTTTCGCAAGTCCGCCCATGCTGTTCCCTCGGCTCGGGGTCGGTGTCTCGTCGTCCTCGAGAGGCCTGGTCCGACTCCAGTCATCGTCTCTTGCCGATGTCCGCCTCTCCGGCCGCCGAGTTGGCGGTGCGATAACAATCGGACGGCGTAACTTTGTCGTGGACGCCGTGGACTTCGATATCGGTGTCGACGCCTTCCGTAGGACCGCATGGAGGCTAGAACGCCCATTGCATCTTAAAAAATATCACCAGCTTGGCGCCGTTATTCCGTGGTTCCAACCCGAAGAGCCCGAATCTCCTGTGGGGAGGTTCCGCCACAGAAAAAGCGCATTCAAAGGCGAATTCGGGAAAAAAGACGGGGCCGTGGTATCGTACGAGTATATGGTTCCTCCCCCTCCGCCTAAAGATTCCGGAAAGAAGTGGATTCTGGAAGAGTTTCTCGACTGGCTCCCCACGCAGGGAGTCAGATTTTCTATCAACTTCGCGGTGTCCACCACCGAGCTTATAATGCAGAAATACATGGCCAAGCCAGATCCCTGGGATGGTAAACCGCAGTTTCAGACCTTCGACGCCGCCGCAGGTCTAATATTAGGCGCGGACATGTTCAACAGGAGAGATAATATGAAATCTGAGTTAATAACAAACCTCTACATCGCCCAGACCAACATTGATGCCATATCTATGGCCGCGTTTCGTAACTTACGCGTGCCTAGCCTTGTCGGTTCAACAGACAAAGGACAGATATACGGCCACAGCATCTGGATCGGGATACAACCTGTTTACACGCCTTTCCACCGCGATCCGAACCCAAATTTGCTCTGTCAAATTTTCGGCAACAAGCAAATACGCATAGCAGCACCGGGGGACGGGCTCGACTTATACGAGTACATATCCCGAAGTATGCCGAGCAGCAACTCGCGCTTCAGAACGGTAGAGATGATGGACGGCCCCGAACGTGAGCTGCTCCACAAGGCTGTCTGGGACAAGGATATCTCGAGCGGCCAGATTAAAGCCGCCGACGTAACCCTGGAAGCGGGTGATGCCTTGTTTATTCCTCGAGGCTGGTGGCATAGCGTCAGGAGCGAGGGTAGGGTCGGGATGCTTAATGGCTCGGTCAACTGGTGGTTTCGATGAAGAGCCATTCCTCGGGGGATTCTACGGCAACTCTTCTGTGGCTGGCAAGGCTTCGGCTTTGTTGCCGAGCGAGTTTCAGTAGGCCGTCAGATTATGCGGACAGCTCCCCAAAAGGAACGAGCTTCGTGTACGGCAGATCGACCAGGACGGCGAGTACGACAAACTTGAATATAAGGAGATACAGCGGCTCGACGCCATCATACATCCCAACTCCTACATAGAAAGAAAAAAACCCCCCTAAAATAAAATAAAACAACTCACACTTGTTCAAAAGCCCGGGTCACTCGCGTGTAATGCCCCGTTCTAAAGAGTCGGCTTCATGAGGGACCTAAATGGCCAGTACTGGGGTATGCGGGTAACAGGGCCCGGCCTTGAAGCGGGATTCGTCAGCTTTCATCTGTAGCGAGCACTGACGTAAAGGATATTTATGCCGCTGTCGTCCGCCCAAGCCAGGAAGACATTTCCGACATAATTGTAAACAAACCTGAGCTACTCGGCGGCGCACTTCCAGCCTCTCACCCGGGAGTAGCTTAACCAACATCCTCTAGCAAGTCAACCCGGACAGGTGCCGCTGCGTCCAATATTAATCGAATTAGTCTTTGGTCGCGCGTGTCGTCTTAGGCTCGAAATTCGAAGGAAAAAGAAGAGAGGTGATGTGCGAAGAGAGCCGTGGCCTTGGCGGCGGAAGCTGGACCGCAGGCCTAGATGTGGCATTTCATATTGAGTGTTGCCACTTAGGGAATCCTCCCTTGCCGGCCTGCAAGTCGTGCGAAGAAAATCCAAGGCGTCTATGTTTTCACGTGACAGGTCTTATATCCTACGTCAGAGGGGATCGCTCTTCTCTTAGGACCTACTAGGGTGTTAACGCTCTCTTCGTTACGGACATGCTATAAGACGTTGAGCGGCATACGAGTCTAATGTTCGCCTAGCAGAGCGGGGATGCGATAAAGGAGGGTGGATTGTGCAATGGTGAGTCAGCGTTTCTGCCTTCTCCCCTGCCTTTTTCTCGCTTTCCTCCTTATGTCGCCGCACACGCGCTTGACACACTATAAGAATGGGCATGCAACAGACGCCTCTGAGCTTCAGACCAGATGTATTCTTTCCTCAGCGCCAGTGACCAGCCAGGGCATATATGAGCTGCTCAAACTAGGTCGGCCGAACACATTTGAGAATTCCACCTGACCGGAACTAAGGGCGAGAGAGGCCAAAGATATAAACGCACCTGCTCCTTTACGGCTGTGATGGTCCCGCGGAATTTCCCTTCTGCTTCGTTTCTGCCAAGTAGTAGTAGGCCTTCGCCTTCGTCCTTAAGGCAGAGCAATAACCAATAGTTGCCCGCTGTGCGCTCTTCGACGATGCCGAAGCAAGCGGCGGCGAAGGAAGCCGGGGTAAAGTGAGATATAACGGTCGTAACTGGAGGTGTGGTGGGGATGCCTTTGAGAAGGGTGAAGGGGCTCGGTTCGTCTAGCTGGGTAGGCTTGAGCATGACCAAGTATTCCCTAATGGGCTGGGGATATGGTTTGAATGGCTGCCACAATCCCGGCCACGCTTCGGACGCCGTAGATCCCGAATATGGGGTTGGAGAAGCCGAAGTATTGGGGACGGAAGGCTCCGGGAAAACGACACAAACGCGCTTGGGCCGCCCTAGAAACACGAATTCGCATACCGGCATGTGCAGGGCGTCGGCATCGCAGACAGTCGTCGTTGACCACCTCGAAGTGCCATCGTTTGACAACAAATTCTTAGGCCATATGAGAAAGCCGGGGGATTCATATATCCTCCGCTCACGTCTATCTGTCACGTAGGTACTTCTCCTTGGATGGGGGGCCACTATATATAAAAAGGGGTAAGTTGGTAGCCACCGCCTCCAAAGGTGAGAAGTGCACGAGAGGTAGTCTTCTCTTCGATAAAAGGACCATCCAACGGAAGCTTTACAAAGCCGTGCCGCGAAAAGACGAAGGATCAGCAGGGGCTCTTCACTTACCGACTATGAAGGTGCTCTAATGTCAGCCAACTCTCTATCTGAACTCCAGGGCTTGCCTTCTCCCGTCGGACCGCTATATATGAATCCTCAGTTATTCTCGCTGTTGTGTGCGTAGCAGGTATACCACAGCAACCCGCGAGCCATATCCACTTCCCGGAAGCCGGCTGGATAGCATGAACGGATAGAGCGCTGTGCAAGTGGTGCTAAACCGCTGATGGCGGCAAACACGTCGTGTGGGTTCGTTAACTCGCGCGGAGTGTACTGTCTATAGATATTTTCATACTGTGATCGCAGTATATCTATCCGCAAACGCGTACGCTTTTTTACTTCTTCCTGCTCTTGCTCCTGCTGCCCTTCCTGCCTTACGTCGGCGTCAGCATTCTTGCCACGGCTACCCCGGTATTGTCATCTGATGAGTTTTGAAGCAATTGTGGCTAGAATGTATAGGGGTTGAATAGATATGCCTCGCCAGTTTCTATGATTCTCATACGTTGGCATGAGAAGCTCATGGAATTCGCCATATAATGGATTGCTCATCGGCTTGACACCATTTCCTAGTAGCACCAGCCCCATAACGCCGTATACGCGCCGCAATTCCAGAGCGACAGTGAAAGCACAGTAGCCCCCATGTCTGCATTGTCGCCGGCATCCTCATCTCCGCGGTCGCGATAACCTACCTAATCTCGATTTCCTCCGGATGGCAGAGTGCGAGGCCGGGCTGCCTCCTCGATTCCATTGAGTGCGAATCCACTGTCGCTGCCGGTTGAACGTCCCGCGACAATAATAGTCAACTCCGCGTTGCCATGGACTTAGGCCATGCGTTCTGATTCGTAGGCCCAACCGGCTGCGTTGTCTTGTATGATGCATAGCACATCGATCCAGACGCAACGGATTCCGAGCTGACGTGCCACGCTGATGAAACCGCGATGCGTCTTCGCAAGCGTAGCCTCCTCAATCCCTGATCTGTACAGCTCGGAAATGGGTAACATTCAGGTAGATGGGATACGTAGGTGTATCTACGAAACACAAGTATAAGCCGCCGCTTCACCTGGATCCGGGGACACTGACAAGTCGGTTGAAAGGGTGTCAGACACGCTGTCCTTTTCACTCCCGCAGTGTATCCACATGATGCTCTCTGAAATATTGTTATTCTTCCTCCAGGGTGTGCGGCCCATGATTGCACCCAGGTTGTGAGGGCCATAATATTCAAACTGCCCCCACAAGTACACCTCTTCGTCCTCTATCATCGTCCTGCCCCCGCTGGCATCCGGGGCCTTCCCATCGAGGACGGCGGTGACTATGTCAGGGGCGTTGCATTCCTGCAGCGCTGTCACCCGCACAGATTCCTGCCCGCGGCGGCCTCGTCACAGAGAAAGCGCAAGCTCGGGTGATAGAAAAATCTCTGCTGCCGAGGTCGCTGGACAGACATACTGGCGCGCGTCAAACGGCGTCCCATATTGGGATTAGGAGATGCGGCATGTGTACGACTTAGCAACGGGCTAGGATACGAATCTGTTGCCTAGGTGGCGCAGATAATAGGGGGCGCCCTGGCTATTGAATACCTACGCATCATATCGCCGTCAGCTCGTATGCGATATTATCCGCACGAGTCAGCCGGGTAGGGTTGCACGGAGCCAGACGCAGGTGACCTATCACTTCCCTCCCGGTATCGTCGGCCGCGGTTTCGCAGAATGGTACCGTATTGGTGTATGACGACTCGCTCATCCTGTCTAGATGAGGTTGGGGCCCCCCTCCCAGCGCCTCCGCACATTCCGTTAGGAGTCACCAGCGGGCATGCTACCCCGGACAGGAGATTCGATCGAGCAGGTCCCGAACTAGGACTTGGCCGCTCCTCTTGCGGGAGGTTGATATAGGGACGGTAGATTACGTGGAAACACCAAAGTTGTCGGGTCACTGGAGATACCCAATCTTCTCATTTTCCACGCCACTCAATTATAAAGTATACCTAGTTCCCCTGCATTGTCCCAGACGCGCCACGATCTACCATTCGTCGATGGTTGAGGCGCAGTTCTCTGTTTCAAGCCCGGCGAAGACCCGTCTCCGGGCCTGTCACAACCAAGTGAAGATGCCTACGCTCGATGGGTTAGAAAGGCTGGCTTGCATAAGTTCCTGCACACACAACTCTATCTCCTAGTTATTTAACAGCTCTACCAAGGTGGCTGACGACTGTTATTACTTCAGCCTTCACTCGCACCTGGGTTTCTCCCGCCGCGCCGCTATGGGGGACCGAACGCTTCCTGTGTCGAGAAAGGAAAAATACCACCTGTGCAAGGGTGCCTACTTGAAAGAAGCAATGTAGACGTCCACGGCTTCACGTGACATCCTGTGGTAACACAAGGGAGCCTCGCCATGAAATTCGGGTGGACACTAGAACATACTATTGCCTCGATACACCGTTAGATGAACCGCCCTCGTCACATCGAGCCATCGAGCCGGGGGCTTTACGAGAGTATTAAGCTATTAACCCGGCCTACGCTTCTCCTTAGATATATGCTTCCGTAGCTTCCTTCGCGACAATGCTCGATTGTCGATAACGGGTAGGGGGTTGAGGATTTCTCTAGGGGCTAATATTCTGGGGCTTTTATGAGCAGCATAGGCTTGTAGAGCTTAATACCGCGTAACAGCCCCTCTATCAATTGTTAGTTGGCCGAGACGGCTAGCGACTGTTTACGTTTACGACTCGTGTCCCTCGTCTCGTTATTGGGATCTGCCCTGCTTTTGCGGAAGAGGCCTCATTGGTAGCCCTTCTATCGAGTCTAGCGCTGTACTATTACCTCTACCTGGACAGGGATTCCATTCCTCTCTATTAGACCCCTACACTATCTATCTTATTCGGTCGCGTAGACTTGTACAGCTCTCCGTGCGGCAAATCAGCTACAAGTCTGAACTAATCCTATGCCTCGTGATAAGAAGCTGGTTTGTTTTGAAATAAATGCGGGAAACATCAGCTAGTCTTACCTTACGGCTCCCCCTAGTTGCTAGGTGTATGAGGTGTTGAAACCCGTTTGGGAATCCCGAGTGTGTAGACTCATTGTCGCCGCCCCTCTGGACCGTCCTCTGCATTATTTATGCAGGCCTATGAGACTGAATAATGACGACGCCTTAGCCATGTGGAAACGCTACGGGATCAGTGCTAGAGGCCATGATGTCTGTGGCTGTCGACCCGATCGCTGGTAAGGATCGAGTAAGCAAGTGAGCAGGCACATCTATAAGTAAGTCGATATATCACTTCTCAAGACCGGGGGTTTAGCGTGGGAAGTCGTGCTCCATCCATCCCTCCATCCGTCATGCAGGTGTTGGTACCGCATACTCGGTACGGGTGGCCAAGCCCTATCACGCAACCCCGGTCCCAGTCCCCGGGGTCTCTATATATCACCCAGCGCCACACATCCAGCGCCGTCCCTCCACGTATTCGATTTACGTATAGGGAGATCGCAGTATACGCAATGGCGGGGTTTAGGTTCGGCGTGCTACGGGGGGTTCTAAGTCTGGTACGAATATCTGAAGAGGGACGATGGTTTGATGCGACGGAGAGTTCACTTCTTAATGATGTACAGAATATCCATTCTGCGTTATAATCAACCCAGAGACACCAAGGCAGTTTCTCGTGGGGATAATAATATTGCTAGTCTCGTGGTGGCTCCGAGAAACCTACGCTTCGTAGCTCGGTGGCATCTTTCGCCATTACGCCCTCTGCAAGCGAGGTGATCGTTTTGATCAAAAGAGACACGCGAGCAGTTAAGCATGTAATAAATGCTTCATCCGCACCCGAGTCCGGAGAACGCGTTAGCCAGCGTACCGTTAGGCTTGACTACAACAGCCATACTAACAACCAATCCCGGAGATGCGTCCTTCACCGTCACTTATTTGTTCGGATTATCTACCCCTGTTCCGAACGAACATGCTGGCCCGTCACAGAGGAGCCAAGAGCCTCCTTTAGGAAATTGGAGCAAGTCGGTGCGCTGCTGAATGCAAGAAATAATACGCACATATGCACATAAACTTGCCAATGTTTATGCTATCGAGGGAAACCCGCCGGGGGTGGTATAAAGCCGTCTGGGGTGCGAGCGGCGGATTATACATACCTCAAGAAAGGCAGACATGATTATCTACTACGTGTGTACCTACTCATATATGCTTGACCGAACCCAATTCGTCGGGTTCCGTTGATAACACCTGAGAACTCTGCCAAAGCATATAGGCACACTTATAATAACCGTATTCCGTGGTAACGTCCACGTATATGAGGACCGTCACAGCAAACTCAATAGACTGGAGAGTACTAGACGACAAGGGTTCCCTGGCTGGCTATTCCAAACACGTACAGGTAATTAAGAACAAGAATCCCCGTACCAGGCGTACCACAGACACGGGATACCTTACAGACACGGGATACCTTACACCCCCAAATCATATCTGGGTATTGCTAAAGTAAGTATCTCGCGTCAACGTCTGGGCTATGCCATGGGCATCCATATACACGTTATAGGGATGATGACTACCAGGGCCCTGCGAATTTCACTCGTGCCGTCGAAAGGCCGAAATATCTACGCAGGGAACTATATAGGGTCTAATATTTACAAGGTCTCGCTCCAAGACGAAGGCCCGCAGTCTTGGCGTCGCTCACCTTACGGCTCCCGCCAGACCGTGCCCTCCTGCCTCCATCCACCCTTGAGGATGTCGGATATTAGGTCACCCTGCCTAGGTGGGCACGTATGTGTACACCTGAATTTTGTGAACCCCCCCCCTCCCCCTGTCTCTCTGGCTACGGCGCCACTCGAGTAGTGCCGGGTGGTTTCCTTGGAACTGGGACACCAGCGTGTGGGACAGCGTCGCAGGCCGAGGCACGTAGCGTGCTGCTTGAGGCGGACGCGGCCGGGAAGCGATTCCGGAGGGGCGGTTCGTTGCGCAGTGCCAGAAGCAAGCCTCGTCGGCTAAGCTCGCTAATGGGTAGTGCGCGATTAGCTGTTATCCGAATGAACCGGTGCGTCTAAGACAGGAACAGCGGGGAGGGGAGGGCCCAGGCGTTGTCGGACTTGGCTCCGAAATTCGAGGGGGAGGGGGGGGGGGAGACCAGGTACACCCGGGTTCAAGGAGCGGACTTGACTCCGAACTACGAAACGGTAGGTAAATACTACGTAGGCAATGGTGGGCGGCTCTGCTTTTCTCATAGCAGACTAGAGCTTTCGGCTTCTCTCCCGATGTCGTGTTCCTTGAGAAGGTGATGCTGCGCGCCCACGTCTCTCTGGATACTCTGTTGTCTAGCCCTTCTCCGATCCCAGGAGTCTCCACACGCCTCTGGTCACGTTGCTCACAGCTATTGTGGGCGGCGGTCATGAATATGAGGGATATTTTTATTCCTCTCTCTATCTCTCTCAGTCTCTGATGAGACGGCGCCGGGCCTTGTAACAAGAATTATACAGAGCTTTACGTAGAGATGTGCCATGCTGCGGGAAAAAGGGGGTATAGGACGCTGTCATTAATTTCGCCCGCATGAGATGAACAACCAGACAAACCAGATCCAACGCCAGCAAACCCGTGAGAACCAACAAAGCCAGCCCTTGCCACCCACCTGCCCTCTCCCAAAAATCAACGCTCAAACTTTTCCCTTTTTTTCTCTCCCCGTTTTCGCCTCGTCTCTCCCCTTGCCTTCCGGCTACGCTCCCTCGACCGTCTCCTCTACCGTCTCCTCGACCGTGATCGTGATGGCCTCGGTGAGGGTCGCCAGGTCGATCCAGGGGTTGCTCTCGGCGCGGTGGAACCAGGCCATCTCGACGCGGCCGCAGCAGACGACGACGACCTTGGGCCGGTCGCCGACGTAGCGGAGGTCGATGAGCGTCGGGCTCGCGAGGTCGCGCATGACGATCTTGGGGGTGCCGGCGGCGGCTGCCCCCGGCTCGGCGCCGAGGTTGACGCGCCAGATGTGGCCGTCGGTGTAGCAGCAGGTGTAGACGGTGCGGCGGTCGCGCGTCAGCGCCAGCCCGTCGCAGTGGCGGAGGCCCGTGGCCAGCGTCTCGACGGGGCCGGCCGGGCGCAGCGCGACGGCGGCGTCGTCCGCGACCGCCGCCACCGGCACCCGGCACAGCGTGCCGGCGCTCGTGTTGGTGAACCACAGGTGCTCGTCGGTCAGGCGCGCGCGGTTGATGCCGAAGAAGTTGCCGTCGCCGGGGGCCACGCGCATGGCGTCGTCGCGCGCGAACAGGTCGACCGCGCCCGTGGCCAGGTCCAGCCGCCACACGCAGCCCGCGCCCGAGTCCGGCACCAGCGCCACCCGCTCCGACGCCGCGACCACGTCGATGCAGAAGCCCGCGCCCGCGATCTCGGCCACCTTGGTGACGCGCGCCGCCCCCGCGGCGCCGCCGTCCGGCCCCAGCGCCACCCGCCACACGATGGGCCGCGAGAACCGCACCTGCGCGAGGTCCGCCACGCTCGACAGCGCCAGGTACTCGTCCCGCTCGCCGGGCATCCGGCACAGGCCCACGACGCCGCTCGCGTCCGCCGCGTCGAAGCTGTGCACGACCTGCGGCTCCGCCTCCGGGTCCTCTGCGTCGAACGTGTACAGCTCCGCCTTGTCGAGCCGCGAGATGAGGACCGAGCCGTTGGGCCGCAGCGCGAGCCCCTCGCACCAGGCGCCCCGCGGCAGCTGCGTCACTAGGATGACATCCTCGACCGATTTGTCGGAGAACATGGCGGGCGGGGTTAGGTACGTAGGTCGGTAGGTGGAGGAAGAGGGTGAAGTGGAGGAGGGAGCAGGGAGAAGTAGGTGCTCGGTATGACGCTCGCGGTCGAGGAGAGAGAGACGAGCTGAGTAGCGGAATCCGAAGCTGGGTCTAGATTTCGATCTGGCCTGCTAGGCAAAGGATGTGGTATATCGTTCGTCCCGAAGATGTGGGAAAGGCGATCTGAGTAGCTCGAGAACCGGGCAGTCAGACCAATCTAAGATACTTATGGAATAGAAACCCCAAGGCGACCCAACCCTCAGCGAGCATCACGTGAACGACCTGCCCTTCCCCACCCCTCCCCTGAATTATATGGAAAGGTGCTCACATATGTAGCATTTTCTGGTGTTATTGATTCCCCTGTAAGGGTACCCCTGGAGATACGAGAGGGGAGGCAAGTCTGTGGGTATAATTTAGAGCTGCCTTCGCATAGGCTGCTGCCCGCACTCTCGTCCGGTCTCTGCTGTTACCATCCGGCTTGTTTAGCTTGTCGTATAGCTTAGCTATCGTTGCTAGATCTCGTTACCAACCCTCCGATACCACCTCGGTCGCCTTCAGACTACGAGTACGGGGGAGGGGGGAGCCACAGAAAAGGCAACTCGCCGGGTGCTCCAGAGCCCCAAGAAGCTAGGTATGTTACGTAAAGGATATCGCCAAGTTTACTTAGATAAGTGGATGGCGTCGCCTCGAGTCTAGCTCCTCGTTCCTCCTCCTTGGGTATTGGCTCCTTAGCCTTCTTCTAATACTCACTTTGGTGCTAGTTGGTGACGAGAAGGGATGCGGGAACATCCCCGTCGGGTAAGGGTCCAAGCACTTGCTCCATGATTGTCATCACCTCGTCGATGACCCGCCAACGCAGAAACGGGGTTTCGCTACCCACCGGCTCGACTGGGACTTCTACATGTCCATCTTGGGTCTAAGTGGCATTGCCTGATCGACGTGATGTGTCACCCATAGCCGCGATAGACACGGCCGTATACCGCTCTGGTCCACGATTTACCGGGCACTCGGTGCTACAGATCGACCTACCTACCGTGTACCTATATGTAGGCACACACTGGGAATGTTTCCAAATCCTAGGGTGCTTGTTGATTCTCTGCCCACTTCCTACATAGGCGAGGTCCTCTATCCCTATTCCATCCTCGGAGTTCCACCATCCCAACCATCTCAGGGATGGGACGGTGACCAATCAATGGTGGTAAGATGTGCTGTCTCTCGAATTGCATTCGTAGCAAGATACATACGTATCGTCGAGGTCACGTTACGGCGAATGAGTTCTGGCGGATCTAACTAGTGTTTGGTATCGTCACTGTTTACGTAGTTGGTAGCTATGTGTGTACTCGAAGCGAGTTTCGGATGGGTTCCGGTGCCAGGGCTGTGGCATCGTCGGCGACTTAACCAGACCAGGGTATGATTAGGATGGCGAAGAGCCCTGTCGACATACCTAACTCGGTCACGTAGCCAAATTACCGGGGAGAACAGTGCACGTACATACCTACCTACATAATCCCATAGAGCACCATACTCATAACACCATACGCGTCTGTAATGTCATATGGTACAGACTGACCTCGTTCGTACGTACGCCAGTAGGATGAGCTCGTTGTAAGCACACTCGCAGAATGGCGGCATGGCGATGTTGGCTGGCATGCTACCGTGGACATGGGTATCCGCCAAGGCCATTGGCGGCAGGGTGCTACGTGGTGAACCCGTCCGTGCTGATCTACTATATGCAATGTAAGTACGTACGCAACTGATCTACATGCAACCCGCCAACTACCTAGGTGAGTGGGCTACGCCGCAATTCGTGATGCTGGCTCGTCGCCGGCCCAACCCCCGGTCTGCGTACCCTGTCTGGTAAGGTTCTCTACTAGCCCACCGGATGCGCAGGGAGGGGGGAAACGAGAAGAGGAGAGAAGAAAGGCCGAGCTGGTTCCTGTCCGGTCCAACGGCGGTTGATGCCCGAGGGCTGCCCTCTCCCACGGCGACCCGAGCGGACGTCCACGATGCTTACCTATATAAATCCCGATTAAGATCTGGGAACTGGATCTCCCCAGGGATGGATGTACCTATATGCAGTTATATGCGGTCTGCAATCGTGCATAAGCATGAGATGTAGGTAGGTAATATGGGCTCTACCGGTGAATGTCTCGTACGTGGTGAGCCCAAGGCGGCCCCGAGTCGGTCTACTCTCTCTTGCACCATCTTCCCGCCGCCACGCCATCCCGGCTCTCTCGCCCTCTCTCTTTCCCTTCCCCGTACTACGTCAGCGCTTACCCCGGACGCTTAGTCGGGTGCGCTGGACGGCATCCAGAGGCGATCGATCGTCGGCTTTCGCCTGCGGCCAGATATGCACGCCTTGTTCGTACATAGGTAGGTAAACGTGTCGGACACATAGGGAAGAGGCGGCCGCGCGAACGCGCGTCAAGAGAGAATGGCGATGCGATCCCTCCCCAACACGGCCTACACGCACTGTGCATTGCCTATCAGTTATCAAGGTATACCTACGTCCAGATATAGGACGTAAGCAGGTATGAGGATGGCCATATATGACGACTCCTATCCATACCTACCTACCGTTTCCCAGGCACGTATCGGCGTTTGCAACGGAGTGCTAGGGTGCGGGACGGCGGCACTTGCTAATGTAATAAAGAGGGTCGATTGAAATGGCTACTACTTATATGTCGACTTCTATACGTGTGAATCCGCGTCTTGGCTATCGTGTCCGTGTTCGAAGGTCATCGTGGGCTACACGTGTTGCACGCAGTGCTGGTGGCGCTTCTCTAGGTATCAATGCCGAATCCGTGCTCGAAAACGAGTGTCGTATTCCTTGGGTGCGAAGATCACAATCTAGGCAGTGATGGCAATTCCGCCAGAGGTGCCGTCGCGGCCGATGACGGCGTGGCTGGAAGCATCTCTGTCTGCGTCTCGAAAGTCTCGTTGCAGAATGATTCTGCCTGGGCGTATTCATACGTGGACTCGGAGATGGTGATTTGGGATGTAGGGGGGATTGTCGAATCGGTATCGTGGAATCGAAAGAAAAGAAGGCCATAGGCAGGTACCTTCGCACACGGCGACGCCAGAAAAGGGGTGCATGTGGCGTACCAGGGTTAAGCCCCGGACGCCTGTGGCTTAGTGGAGGCGTTGCACTGAAGACTGTGGTTTAGCGCACTGTTGAGATGTTACCTACCTACCTACCTACCTAGATACCGCTCGTCTCGCCCCCCGTAACTATCCCCGTTCGCTAAACACCACCGCTTTCGCTCGATACCAAGCATCTCACGCCCAGCAAGAGAGTGAGCCTCGAGCCATCATGTCCAAAACGAGGGTGAATCAAATTTAAAGTATCGGCCGATTAAAGACTTTGCTACGCAACAACCTTGATATCCGTCTCTGCCCTGCTGCACGCGGTATTGGCTACCAGATTTTGGTAAAAGGAGGGCCACTCCAACATGTGCGGTGGTATTTGGGTTGTCTGGGGACAGCGGTGGTACGATGTACTGATGCAGCGAGCATACGGGCAACTTAGCAAGACCTCGTTCTAGGTTCCTCCTGTTGCCCTGTTGCAAAGGTAATCTTCGCGAGGATGTTACCTCGCGATGTATTAGCAGGCAGCAGCAGAAGAGACTGAGGGTTGGTAAGTTGTTCTCGATGCGCCCGACAGCTTCCTTCTGGCTGTGGTCCTCGCATCGGTCTGGGTGCCGGCTTGCTCAGAATATTTTAATATCCGTAGGTCGAAATTACGAATTGTTACGTTTCCTAATACGATCTAATTCGAGATCTAGGTTAATAAAATGTTGGCCTTTTGCAAGCAATCGAAACCTCAAGGGACGACGCATGGAGTAAACCCGCCTGTTTGACAAGCCCGGAAGATGCCGCGGGCGGCGCTTTTGTAGGGTACGATCGCCGGCCTCGGCTAGTATTAAAAACCCGCGGGTGTGGAAAAGCTTATTATACCTAGGTAAAGGTACCGGGTACGTCGAGCAAGATAGAGCATCGCGTATAGAAGATGCTCCAGAGAAGATCATCGCTGAAGCCGGCAGCATGACCTCGGGGAGGCTGGGAAAGACGAGGCGGGCGTCGGGTCTGCCGTAGGCGAGGAGACCCTTACTGACAAAGACAATACCTCCTACAGGGCGAGATCGTCTTCTGCGGCGCTGACACAACATCAACGTGAACCGACTTTACTCAAAAAAAATACGCATAACAAGATATCACATTCTTTCAGTACGACCGTCGTGTTTTCTTCAGATTTGCTTATATGGCATATAGGTAGGCAGGGTAGGTATATGAATGAGCCGCTAATCAGCGCACTGGACATCGATACGGGAGCTTCAATATAACGGGAGGGCTATATAAATAATACCTACACAATATCACTCGACCCGGCATATCCTTCTTAGCCACGTTGTACCCCCGTTGCTGCAAATCTCTTTTTACATCGGCAATCACATGTCACGATCATCCCCTTACAACAGACACGAGAGACGCCTCGAGGTCCCGGGGTCCGCTTCTGCCCTACGTTACTTCATAGGTCATAGCATGGTCGATTGACTACATAGTATAATATACGGAACCCCCAGATCGACAGTCCCGTTCCGCCACCTGTAACCCAGTAGGGAGTTGGGATGGAGGGCGAGAGCTCTGAGGGCAGGCCAGTTGTCGGCGATTTCAGGTGGCACGATTCGAACCAACATCGAAAGATCCTCATCTTACCCACCATCTCTGAGGGGGAGGGGGGGGGGACTTTTGCCTCGCGAAACGTTAGACGTTGAGGATGCGAAAGGCCTTCGTCCGCCCAACGCTGCCTCTTCCCTTTCTTCCATCCCTTCCCTTCCTCACCCTCACCATCTTTGGTCTGCTGCGTAAGTGCCACGTGGAGAGAATCCGGCCCACTTTCTAGACGACAATTTGGATACGGTGGGCCGATTTGGGCCCGGAGACCATGTCGCCACCGCTGCCAATTTCGCAGAGCCCACCGAAAAGAAAAAGACGAGGTTCTAAGGGACGTCGGGGTGCTTAAATGCGAAGGCCTAATATCTGTATGGACCAAGCTACAGGAGAGGCCACGTTGTTTCCCTTCTCGTCCTCTCACCAAAATGTATTGGTGCGATATCGATAGTTCGGGGGTAGATAACGACTTGTACGCCCAAGACTCGGTCAAGATTGCGATTTGATAACACATCACGCTGGGGAGATGTCCAGGCCGACCCCAGAACCAACGCGACACTTGAATCCAGGGGCGATGGGCTGAGGGGGTGTCAACTGCCCTCCGGTACACGTCGCGAAATGGGTGCCGTCTTCGAGGCAGGTAAGATGGCCCTCTACGCACGTTCCCGTACTCGGCGTCGGGTCGTAGCTGGGGCTCGAGGCTTGCGTCGACGTCGTACTCGGAGGCGTGGGAGAGGCAGTCGAAGTTAACGGCGCGGGCGTGGATGTGCTGACGCTCGAGGTGTCGTAGCTCGAGGTGGGTGTCGGTGCAGCTACGGGCGACGCACTTGCGTCGGAATCGCCGGGATACTGTGGCAGGCCCTTCTTCGCGCGTGGGTTCCCGTCGCAAGCCTGCTTAAACAGATTTGAACCTTCGGGCCGCTCGACCGAGGAGCCCGGGTCGGGAAACGCGATCGCGACCTGCTGCTGCAGAGCCTCTCCGGTGGTACAGCCTCCTGAAACGTCTCCCATGTTAGCCATGAAGAGCTCGGGGAGCTCTGCTCTCTTGGCGATAGCTGCTCGGCGGTCTGAGGCCCGACTACGCTTGGCCTTCGCCGGCGTAACTGTGATGGGTGCGCAGTTTTGGTAGTACTCTGGCTGTCCTCCGATACGTGCGAGCCACTATAGCATGACGAAGTTAGCATTTTTGCCTCTCGCAATGTATATGAATATCGATAGGGATGGACGGGAGGGCCTGTGGATCGATAATCGTCGGGATGCATGCTTCGGAGGGTTTGAAGGCAGCGCCGGGATCGCGATACAGGTAAGGGGGCATGGGCTGGGGTGGAGTGGGGTGTGAAAAGGGGGCAGTTAGGAAAAGGGGGTTCGGGGGGTTTACTTACAGTCCAAGAAAATATATAATCGCCCGGGGCGATGGCGTCTGGTATGGTGAACGAGTATTTGTCTTGATTCGGCCCTTCCAGATTTCCCTTCTGGTTACGTGCCGGACACCCGCCTTCGATAGAATGGATTACTTTCCATTCGGAATTCTTCAGTGGATAGTCGGCCCAGGCTTCATCTGCTATGGGTCCAGCCAGAGCGAACTGACACGAGCCGCCACCGTGTACAGCTTGGCCCACGAACGAAGCCACCTGCTCTTCGCCGATGGCCATGACCGTTGGAGGTCCATCTGGTTCCAGCGTACCGCCAGATGGTATCTTACAGGGAAAGTCGGAACCCGTCGATGAAATGGGGTTGGAGGGCCCGTAGGCGACGAAGCGAAACGGCTTCGGATTTTCTAGGACGACATGGCCTGCCGATAGCGAGGCTAGGCTCGCCACGGTGGCCCAATACATATGGATGAAATGCATTTTCCCCTAATACTGATGCTGCGAAGGATGGCTAGAGACAGGTATGTAGATCTTGTTAGATTCGCGGTCAGGAGATGTAGAAATAATTACCTGAAGTTCCTCTGTGAGAGTAGGTAGGTATATTTATTTTATACCCATTGGGAATATTATAGACGGAACTGCGGGACCAATTCAATATAATTATGGCTCAAGACAATGCCTCGAACAAAGCCTTGATTGTCTACGAGCTCTGGTAATCCTTGTTTCGTAGGGAGAGCGTCCGAGGCACAAGAAAGAATAAGCTGTGATTCAAAGGAAAATGGGTTTGTTACTGGCTCCACCGGTACGCGTGCTGGAAGAAGAGGAAAACGAGACAAACTCAGTGGCGAGAAAGATCATAGGAAACCAAATCTAGTCACTGACAACGGGCACCCATAGCCCCATTTATACTTCCCTGCCGTGCTTGAGAAAGAGGTAAAGCACGGTATGGATCACAAACATCGCAGGGCGTTGAGATCCAAACACACAAACGCCAAAGGCGGCCACGGGCCGGACCTGGGCTAGCACGAGAAAGAATATCTCCGATGTTGCCGAGAGTCGTCTTGGGCACTCGAAAGCACCCGCAGAGTCCCCGCGCCGACAGCATCTGGAACGGTCAACCGGGACTGAAAACATTCATGGCTCTTGTTTGGTTGTGAGAAAGTCGTCAGACGCTGCTTCTCCGAGGAGATGCTGAATCTCTTTATGGAATCAGGCCTCCGATGCGCGCTGCGGTAGCATTCCTCGACCGACCGACCGACCGACCGACTCTTATCACGGCCGTGCCGGAGACGGGCGCGCAGAGAATACTAGAGACAACCTCCTTCTTGGCATTCTCACCATCTTGCTGGACCCCTTCCGGCTCGGTGCCGCATCCTGGTCGACGATGACCCCAACTTCGACGGTGTGGCACCCCCCGAAGTCGCCGCGCGGGCCCCGTCTTACGCTCCGCAGACAATCGAGCCGCCCCGCATCGTCGAGTCTCTCGCACCCACAAACGCTAGAGCGGTCCCCGGCTCGCCCCGTACAATACAGGGAGTGGCTGGCTATATGATACATACATGGGGACGAAGGCTGTGGTCTAGGCGCGCCGGTAGAAGGGGCAGGGGGGAGGACCGAGGCGAGCATGTGGTTGGGGATGTTCCCCAGCGAGCTCGCGGCTTGCAACCTTATGCATCTATCACCTGCCGTAGCAACCTCGGCTTGAACATCCTACGATGTTAAGGGCAACTCGAGCAGTGCTCCTGGTGTCTTGTGCGATGCCTCTCTGGCCTGAGGGTCCCGAGTTGCTCCATAAGGATACCGGTTGGCCCTATAGCGGGAGAGCAGCTATACTGCCGTCCCAATATTTATCGCCCGGCGGGCAGTCGACTAGGAATCAACGGCAGCGTGCATATCCGTGCTGCCGGCCGGCATTATTGCCGCGCCACTGCTGTCATGTCTCGTAATGCCCTCTCCGTCCCGCATGAAAGGCCGGTGGAGAGGAGGGGAGAGGGATGTGGACGGCGGATTCGGATGAGAGAGGTAGAGAGAGAGGCTCGTATTCAATGCAGGAACGCCAGGGCCTGAGGGGGACGGAACCAAGGTAGCAATTAATATGCGACTCGGTAGCGCCACTATTGAACGAGGGAGGGTCGCATCGAAACCACAACGAGCCATGGCGAGCCGTGGAAAGGCGTGATGCACGCCAATTCAGGCTCTCCTTCGCTGTGCAGCACTGTCCAAGTCGACGTTGTAGTGCCTAGCTTCGCCGGCATCCCGGGCCACCTTCCCCAGGAGCCCCATGTCTGAGCCGGCACTTGACCCTCCACCCCTTTCGAATAGGCATGAGGATCTCCTTGGCATGCGGAGGAGGTCTGGTTTAGAGACGTCGGGTTATGCCGACGTTCTGCCAGGGACAGGGCTCTTTGCTCCTTTGCCTGCCGTCGCCCTATCGCCCAGGGCACGCCGGTGGAATAGAGGGAACAGGAGGGAACAGGTGGATAGTTGTACGATCTATATAAATATACGCACATCCCCTGCCAGATGATCTGTTTTTGGGGGGGTGTTGCGTGCTCGTCGCCACACCACATCACATCTCGCAGCCCCTGAAGTAGCTTAACTTGACGACGAGAGAACACGGTAGGAGAAAAAGCATCACTATGACCTCTATCAAGCTCGCCCTCGGCCTTGCCGCGCTGGGCTTTGCCGCTGCGCAGAAGCCCGGGGACACGCCCGATGTCCACCCGCAGTTGACAACCTACCGCTGCACCGTCGCCGACGGTTGCAAGGAGGCCACTAACTACCTCGTCCTCGACTCCTCCGCGCACTGGGTCCACCAGGTCGGCTCAAACGAGGGCTGCGGCAACTGGGGCAGCAAGCCGAACGAGACGGCGTGCCCGACTAAGGAGGCCTGCGCCGAGAACTGCATAAGTACGTCTTCTCTCTTACCCCCTCCCCCTCCCCCCCTTTTCCTCGCGACAACCGGGGAGCGGAGTGAACCACAGACGCTTATCCTTATGGCCGGCGTTAGCTAATGCGTAGCTGATCACAGTGGAGGGCCAGACGGACTACGGCTCCGTGGGCGTGAAGACGGACGGCGCGACGCTCGACATGCAGCTGATCGTGGGCGACAACGTGGTGTCGCCGCGCATCTACCTGCTTGATGAGACGCGCGAGCAATATGAGATGTTCAAGCTCACGGGTGCCGAGATCGCCTTCGACGTCGACGTGAGCCGCCTGCCCTGCGGCATGAATAGCGCCCTCTACCTCTCCGAGATGCTCGCCGACGGTGGGAAGAGCGCGCTCAACCCCGGCGGCGCCGCCTGGGGCACCGGCTACTGCGACGCCCAGTGCTATGTCACTCCCTTTATTAACGGCGAGGTGAGACCGGGTTAATTACTTGCCCCAGCCCTCTCGTCGCCTCTCTCGCCCAGCCTCTCTTCGTGCGGCGCGACCCCGCTAACCCGGACCGCAGGGCAACGTCGATGGTAAAGGCGCATGCTGCAACGAGATGGACATTTGGGAGGCGAACTCGCGCGCAAACCAGATCGCGCCCCACCCGTGCAACCAGACGGCGCTGTACCAGTGCACGGGAGCCGAGTGCCAATCCAACGGGGTCTGCGACAAGAGCGGGTGCGGGTGGAACCCGTATCGGCTCGGGCAGCAGTCGTACTACGGACGCGGCTCCGACTTCGTCGTCGACACGACACGGCCCTTCACGACCGTCACGCAGTTCACCGCCGACGCCGAGGGCCAGCTGACAGAGATCCACCGACTCTACGTGCAGGACGAGCGCGTCATCCGTGCCGAGGTTGTGCGCAAGGAGGGTATCCCCGCCGTCGCGTACACGACGGACGAATACTGCGCCAGCACGGGCGCCGCGCGCTTCATGGACCTTGGCGCGCACGGCGTTATGGGCGACGCCATGACGCGCGGTATGGTGCTCGCCCTCAGCATCTGGTGGGACGAAGGCGGAAATATGGCCTGGCTCGACGGCGCAGCGAACGGCGCCGGCCCCTGCAACGCCACCGAGGGCAGCCCCGCCAACATCCGCAAGATCGAGCCCGACCCCGTCGTCAAGATCAGCAACCTCAAGTGGGGCGAGATCGGCTCGACCTTCGCGGCGGTGGAGCTGCAGCAGTAGGAGATGTACCATACCTAGCTGTCTGCCTGCCTGCCTGCCCAGCGAAGAGGGCGGGTTGACAGGCGGTAGGGAGGGGAAAAGGAGTAGATGAAACTGGTAATGGGTGTGCGCGGACGACGACTTCGTCCTCGTATCATCCTCGGCGTATCACATAACTAGATGTATATACATATCTTTTTCCTACCGTTACCTCGCCATTGTGGCAAAGCGTGCGCGCCCATGTGGCCCCGGTTCGGAATTTCCCTAGGATCCTTCGTCGATGGGGTGGTTATGTCGATCGGTCGATTCCGTTCGGTTCAGGACGAGATGGCGACCCCCACGGGACTACCTAGGTGTAGCTCATGCGTAGGTACGTCTACGTGCATCCGTATATCTCTCAAAGAGACGAGAGTCATACCACGGGAGTTCTGTATCCCACGCTGCTCTAGCCATTTAGGCAGTCGACGTAGAAAGGTACGCCTGGTAGGGTGAGGCTGCACGTAAGCATTCGTACTCGAGAACCTAGCTAGTGTGACCCTGCAGGTCGTGAACTTGTTTGGGGAGGATGGTCGGATATATCAAGCCATGCGACGATATAAGCTGGCGGCAGGCCGTCGTGCTGTACCTATTGGATATCCCCAATTGCGTTCCGGACGGCAGGGGTCCCTCATCTGGTACGCAGGCTACTTGGGGGCGTCCCGAACCGGTCGCAAGGCTGGCTACCGGCTACACCCGCAGGGGTGATGCCTGGTAAGCTGACCGCAAGTATATAGCATCCTGCTCACAGCGCCTAGGCAGGATAGGCGGTATGTCTGCCATGCCACAGTCAGTCTAGTGAGGCTGAGCCGGGCAGACTCTCTCGTCGCGAACCCGACCCGCTCACCGACTCTTGGGCCTGACATAAGCCGTACACTAACGGCACCAATACACGTACGACGAGTCGTCTGAGTTTCCCTAAAACGACGTCCGCGATGACGGCTGTGTCTATTCTTAGGGGCTTCTCGGTTTTCCCGTTGGGTCGCGTCCTTCCGGAGACGGATGTTGGCATTCGGATTGTAGCAATGCCTCGTGCCGCAGCTGATCCGGTGGGTCCGATCTGGATGAGGGCTGAGCTGGTGTGGTGTCGCAGCAGCGGAAGTCAGCGTTGAAGGGAGGCGAGCAGATATATAAACGCAATGCGAGTCGTCTTTCCCTCACGGATATCCTTCCAAACCTGCACTGCACCAGAACCCTCACACCCAGCGACAAAGTCTCGTCGTCCCCAACAACACGCACCATGCAGGAAGAATACTTCATCTCGAAGCGATGTGCCGTGAGGTACACGCCAAGCTTAACGATGCGGTTTGTCCAGTTTATCAACAGTGGCAAGCATGAGAACATCCGAGGGAGACCTGTGGGAACTCACCAGCATTAATGGGAGCGCTGAACAAAGGTTCGTGCTGGTTGTCAGGCCGATTGTCGATTGGAGCAACAACTTACGTGCATCGACTCCAGTCCGACGTCAGAGGAGCCAGCGTGGTGCGATCACCTACTGGCGGAGAGAACATGATCCTCATGCATAGCCTCTGGCCGCACGCCCGAGCAGAGAGAGCCGTGATGCATCGACGCAGAAGCGCAATGGAGGGTTATTTCAGGCTCCGTTGAGCCACGCTACCACCCACCGAGGCCGTGGTCCATATATTCCATTTGACACTGGGTCTGAAGCCGAGGGGTTGAGAGGTGGACAGGATCGGAGGCGCGGTGGAATGGTCCATTCATTTCCTTTGGGACAAACTGCCGAGCTGTGTCGGGTCTTCTTGCTGGGCTTGGGTAGTACAACGAACATTCGGGCAACCGAGATAGAGGGGAGGACGGCCGGCAGACTGGCGAGAGCCTTTATTGACCCCATTGCTGCCTGTCTCGAAGGGAGATTTAGGCACTGCCGACCCGAGGCGGCAACGCGTCAGGCCTGATGGTGGGAGGCAGCTAGGAGGACATGGGGATGCGCAGAACCGTTTGAGCGACCAGGACCGGTTCGAAAAAAAAAAATTGATCGAGGGCGCAATAAGCTGCAGCATAGAATGAGGAAAAATGACCAGTAATTTGCCATATCCGATACCCTGCTAGCAAATACAGTGCCGGCTGATGAAGGCAGACCAGCGGCGGCACATCTCATTCGTGGCTTCACTCGCAATATAAAGACTCCGGTCGAGCACCGTTTGATTGTCGCAATGCGCATAACCGAGTCGGCTCCGGAAACGATCGCCGGGCTGGCTGGTCTGCGCAGATCCATTCCGTCTGATCGCGGACTTCGGGCCACGAGCCGGAGAACTCACCTCCAACGTAACGGAAAGGGGGCGAGCTACTCGCTCCTTTTCTCTTTCTTTTCTTTCTTTCTTTCTTTTTCTGCCCTCCTTCGCCAAGCGGAAAAATTGGCGCAATTTTGAAGCCCCGTGGGTTTTGCGCCACCTCTGACGCCGAATTAGGAGTGTTTTTGATGCCGTACTGCACTCCCGCGGCAGCGCCGGCAACGAGTTAGTAAGACTTACGCATAACAACCAATAACCCCGTCTCTCCAGCTCCTATCGCGGGAATATCCCACAACCTAACATGGGTCTACCAGTCTTGTTCTGGCTAGGTTCTGGGCTCGTCGTGCCTAGCTCCCTAACGGAGATGTTCTCCCCCACGAACTTGCCTTGCTGATACCCAACTCCGCACCCGATTCCACGCCTAACTCCGATCTTTAGTAAGTCGACGGCACGAGGAGGGTGCAGACCCCACGGGCCGCGATGCGAGTTGACAGTTGGAGCTCGTATAGCCCAACCGTACACCCAAGACCGTCGGGAATACTTCGCATAAGAACAGCTGCGGGAGGCCAGGTATAATAACTCGATCTGCGGTCACGGGACGGTCTTGTTCGCGAATCCTCCACGTCCACTTCTGGGATGCCCTGGTGGATCTCCTGATTGAAATGGCGTACAGGGCATTGGCTCACCTTCTCGCCTTGGATTGCTGTCGACGTCCTTTAGCGGTCAATTTATTTTACCCGCATATTCTCCCGGCGCGACTGGTCAGCCGCCAAGCTCCGTCCTGCCGTCGTCACGGTGCCCTAGGAATGGGCGACCACGGCGTCCGCCCCCTTTATAAAGTGACGTGCCCCGAATTCCCCAGAGGGCAGGGCGATACCGCTGATGTCCTAATTGAACCGGGATGAGCAAGCACATTTTGCGGCTGAAAACTCAACACAGCCTACCGAACCCATACAGCTGGGAAGAACACCATGTTACGCTCCACCGAGGATGGTACCCGCTATGAGTTGCTCACTCCGACGGCTCTGCCGAAGGCCGGCGGCTTCTTATGGAACCAGAAGATGATGGTCCAGATCACCTGCCGCGGGTACGCGACGGCGCAGTTCATGCAACCAGAGCCGTCCAAGTACGCGCATGCACCCAACCTCGAGGCCAAGACCTTCATTCAGCCCGAGCAAGGCTACTACGCACACCACCCAGGCCGCTTCGTCTACGTCAAGGACGAAGAGACGGGTCAGGTCTTCTCGGCGCCGTACGAGCCGGTGCAGACCGCGCTCGATAAGTTCGTTTTCTCCGTTGGCAAGAGCGATATCTCCTGGACCGTCGAGCACCTCGGTATCCGTGTCGAGATGAGCGTAACGCTCCCGAAGCATGACGTTGTCGAGCTTTGGTCCGTCAAGGTGGCCAACCTAACCACGCGTCAGCGGAAGATTGGCATATATCCGTATTTCCCCTTCGGTTACATGTCGTGGATGAACCAAGAAGCCGAATGGCGAGAAGATCTAAGCGGCGTGGTGGCCAGCAGCATTACTCCTTACCAGAAAGCGGCGGACTATTTCAAGAACAAGCTCCTCAAAGACAAGTCGTATTTCCTGTGCGAAACACCGCCTGTATCGTGGGAGGCCATGCAGGAGGCATTCGAAGGCGAGGGTGGTCTTCATGCCCCCTCGGCGATAGCCCAGTGGGAACTCAGTCGCGGTGACGCCAGATACGAAACACCCGTCGCCGCCGTGCAGTATCGCGAGGAGCTCAAGGCGAATGAGCAACGCGAGTATCGCTTCCTCTTTGGGCCGGCTTTTGACGACGCCGAGATCCGGGCCGTCCGCAGCAAGTACCTCAGCAAAGAAGGCTTCGCGCGAACGGCACGAGAATACGCCGAGTATGTCGCGGAGGGGAGGGGGTGCCTGCGGATCGAGACGCCGGATAAAGATGTGGACAATTTCGTCAACAATTGGCTGCCCCGCCAGTGCTACTACCACGGCGATGTAAACCGCCTCACCACCGATCCCCAGACACGCAACTACCTGCAAGACAACATGGGTATGTCGTATATCAAGCCAGATGTTACGCGCAAGGCCCTGCTTACGGCGATTTCCCAGCAGGAGAAGGACGGGGCGATGCCGGACGGGATCCTGCTGGCGGAGGGGGCGGAGCTAAAATATATCAACCAGATCCCGCATACCGATCATTGCATCTGGCTCCCCATCACCCTCGAGGCGTACCTCTCCGAGACCAACGACTACGGCTTACTCCAGGAACAAGTACGCGGGAAGCACGGCGATTCGTATACTGTATTTGAGCGTTTCAACCGTGCGATGGACTGGTTGCTCTCGGCCCGGGACGAACGCGGTCTGAGTTACATAGCGCAGGGCGACTGGTGCGATCCTTTGAACATGGTGGGCTATAAGGGGAAGGGCGTATCGGGCTGGCAGACCGTGGCCACAGGATACGCATTGAAGCTCTGGGCGCATGTCTGCGAACACGAGGGCAAACCCGACCTGGCGGCGCAGTATCGTGCGGGTGCCAAGATAGTCAACGACGCAGCTAACACGCACCTGTGGGACGGGAGCTGGTTTGCGAGGGGTATCACGGACGACAACGTGATCTTCGGTGTCAAGACAGACTCCGAGGGCCGCATCTGGTTGAACCCGCAGACGTGGTCGATCTTGAGCGGTGCGGCGGGTCCAGAGCAGATCGCGCGGATGCTACCGGAGGTAGACGCGCAGATGAGCACGCCGCATGGAGTCGTCATGTTCGCGCCGCCGTATAGCGGGATGCGCGAGGACGTGGGCCGCGTAACGCAGAAGTACCCGGGATCGGCGGAAAATGGCTCGGTGTATAACCACGCGTCCGCCTTCTACGTACACAGCCTGTACTCGATCGGCGAGGCGGACCGCGCTTACGAGGCTCTGCGGAAGATGATCCCCGGCCCGTCCAAGGAGGATTACGTGCAGCGCGGCCAGTTACCCGTGTATATACCCAACTACTACCGTGGTGCACACCAGCGGTTCCCGCGTACCGCCGGCCGTTCTAGTCAAATGTTCAACACTGGTACTGTCTCGTGGGTATACCGCTGCTTCATCGAGGGGCTGTGCGGTCTACGTGGTGATTCCGACGCCCTAGTTGTCCAGCCGCAGCTGCCCTCGTCCTGGGACGGGATCAAGGTGAGGCGCGAATTCCGCGGCGCTACATTCGTGGTAGAGGTCCGCCGCAGCGCAGAGACGAAAGAGGTGACGGTGACGCATGAGGGCCGGGTCCTGCCAGGGAGACGCGTTACGAATATTCGACCAGGCGTGACATATGAACTGTCTGTATCAGTGCCCAAATCATAGCCATTTCCGTCCTGGGGGCTCGTTTGTCTGCTTCGAAGCTGTCGAAAATAGGTGGTCCACAATCGAATTTTGGGCTGGGTTTAGAACAAAAGGATCCTGGGCCACATTGAAATAATGCGCGTCATAGCTAGTTAGATACTTTCGTTAAATACCTGTTTGGTTTTCAATCGAGGCTCTCCTGGAGAGAGATTATGACCGGCATTCTGCCGGAAAGGTTCGACCGCAAGAGTACTCACATCGAGAATCCCTGTTCCACCCTATATCTTTGGCTCAAGGGACCCAAATGGAAAATAGCAAACGCCCAAGAGACTTCGTGCACGCTCACATTCATACCGTCGGAATATATCGGCATCGGGGTTTGGCAATGTTCCGTTTCCAGGCCTGCCAAGACTTCCCTGAGCAGTTTCGCCTCTATTCCTGTCACTTATCCCCACGATGAGATACAGACGACATAACACATTTTCCAAAATCTAGGCGGGGAGTAAAGCTGACGGATATGCCCACCAGGGCCAAGGCACTGGGCCGAGGGGCCCAGATTTGGTCTATGCAGTAGACGGAATGGTGAGAACGTATGATGGTGAGTCACCGGCGAGAGAGACAGCGTTGTGCTAAGTGTCTTGTCTCATAAAGCGCCCCAGAGGCCTGGAGAGGTCTGCGAGTATCGGATATCCCACGAGTTGACGAGAGCCAGCCTCGTGATGCCGTGGCTAAAAATCGAGTCACGCTAACGGTTTGTCCCCATGATTTATCTGCTCTTCTCGAGTCCTTTGGGCTCGGATGGCTGTCGCGGCACGGTAATGACGGGCATCCTCAACGGTCACAGCATAAATTCGTGGCAAGGCGCCACCACTCGGTCCAGTCCTAGACGCTTAGGGGGCATCGGAGCACACTAGGTACGATCGGGGCTTCGGAGACGTGCTAGGACTCGGATTCGTCGCAGCCGGGATGATTGGCCGCTCACGTCACGATCAAAGCGTACCCAACTCCCGCAACAGAGGGTAGACTGTAGCCAGTTAGGTGTCCACAACCGCCATTATGGGAGATTCGAATTCCGGCACCCTGGAGTTGAGGCTCGGGGCATGGAGGCGAAGTCCTTGGGGAGTCTCCCCCCAAAGTCACCCCGAGGGTAACAGGGCCAAGGCCAGAGGTCCGAGCCTAGTGAGATGTGAGGTGAGGGAGCCCGGCAGCGTAGTGTGGAGATTCGCCCAACGACGCTTTAGGGCCAGGCAGGCGACGTAGGTATGCGATGACGAGGGCGATGATTAGACAGAGGTGTCATGCTTAACGGGACTAGAGTGGAACACGTTGGGTGCAGTGGAGAGGAAATTCGGACTTTCAAGTGCGAATCGGGTCGTTCAAGTAGTTAGGTCCAGACGAAGGGCTGTACGGGGACGGATGCCCAAATACTGCGATTCTCGTTACTTGTTACCCCTGTTTGTAAGGCGCGAAGACTGGGGATAGCTCGCCTGGAACACTCGAAGAAAAAGAGCCGGGTGGGCAGAGTGCAACCTAGGATAAAAGGGACGGCAAAGGTCAGTAAGTAGATTGGGAGGGGGTTGGTGGCGTTTGACTGATCGGGGCAATGAGGGATCGCAGGTGCCCAGCCTTGGGTTTATGGACTTGGGTAGGCTAGGTACCTAGGTACTTGACCACACCCCGCAGATGAGCTAGGTAAATAGCGAAGACTACCTACCCAGTAGCGCTGTTAGGAATCGAGCCGCTATAATTTAGGGCACCATAGGTACCTATAGTACCTACTAAGGTAGGCATGCACTTACCTAACGTGAACCCCCGAGTACAGGTGGCCTACTAGCAGCGGCCCATCTCAGATCGCTCCTCGTATCGGGCGATGCGGTTTCGGCCCCGTCCACCTGGGGATGTACCCTAGGTACCTACGCTCAGGCGGTGACTCGCCATCCATCGATCCATTCGTCCATTGTATGCGGCTTGTCCATGACATGACACGACTGGGAAAGTCCGGACGAAGCATCGAACCCGAGAGGGCCGTCACGCCTTCCGGTATCCATCGGCGTGACTAATCCACCCCCGTCGCTCGATTTGCCTGCTTGGGTCCTTTCGCTTTAACTACCTACTCACCAACCTCAACTTCTTCCCTCTTGTCCTTCGATCCAGAGTTCCCAGCCTCGTTAATACACATCACCATCGCTACCAGAGGTCGAGAAAAGGCACGCCTACCTTCACTCAGCCAACATACGTTCCGCCTTTGCGTATCCCCGCCGTCCCTGACGCCAACTAGGTAGTAGACACTGACTGCTACCCCCCCCTCTCCCCCCGCCGACTTTCCCGTCACCCAGCCATCCCTCTGCCCACCCACACTCTCCTCCCTACCTGCATATGTGTTGACCTGCCAGCCCGCCTCCTATCTCACACTGGTACACGCACGCACAATACGACAGCAATTTTTTTGTCGACTCGGCGGCTCCGTCCTCTCCCCCCTCGGCCAAGTAAGCAAAGCACACTGGAGTAATCTTGGAGAACCTTGCAGGAGGCGCAGGAAACGCAGTGACTGGGTGCTGAGCAGCATCGTTTCCCTCTTCTTCGCCTCCCCCTCTGCATCTTCTCCAGATACCTCCGTCTTCGCTAGGTTTTAATCCTACCGAGCCCACGCCCCGAGGCATAACCAAAGCAGCCGAACCCATACTCGACCGCTCGTTGCCTCCGGTGCCACCGAGAATCTCCCACCTACGCACGGCTTCCTGACGAAGCATTCCTTCCGAGAACAAAGAACACCGCCGGAATCTAGATTCGACTGGTAAGGGCTCCGCCGCTCTCGGGAAAGGCGACTAGGTTTTGACAGTTTCGACAGAAAGCCTGGGGAGAAGAAAGAGGCAAAAGGCTAAAAGGAATTGAGCGCCCGCGCCCGCGACCCCGCCCGCACCCGCGAACCATCTTCGTTGCCCAAGTTACCGGGTTCTACGTCATACACCTACGCGACAGGCAAGATGAGTAGCCCGCGCAGACGCATCGAGACAGACGTGAGTCCTTGTCGACGAGTCGAATCATACCCTAAAAATTATATATGTTATTGATTGACGCGTTTCTTTCCGTTAGGTCATGAAGTATGCGATTGGCATTGCTCCCTCGTCCCCGTCTTCTTCCATCCCTTGACCGCAGAGAGTGTCTCCGCTAACCGCGGTGCAGGATGTGCGAATCGCCTCCTCCACCCCGCCTTTCGCCCCCTAGCTAACCCTAGCAGGCTCATGTCCGACTACGAGGTCACTCTGGTCAACGACAATAGTACCTGACCCTCTCTATCCCTCACCCTCTCGCGCATATCGCTGACAATAGTGTCCCAGTGTAAGCCTGGCCTCTGCTAACGATTTCCCCATTCGGTATCCGCATCCGACTTCTCACCTGCGCCTAGGCAAGAATTCTACGTCCGTTTCAAGGGCCCCGCGGAAAGTCAGTATAATACAGTGAAATGCGCTTATGGGCCATCGCATCTAACTGGATGCAGCTCCTTTCGAAAACGGTATTTGGAAGGTCCACGTCGAGCTACCCGATCAGTATCCTTACAAGTCCCCGAGCATCGGTTTCGTGAACCGTATCTTTCACCCCAACATCGACGAGCTGTAAGTCCCACCTATGGCCGCGGCGAGTCGAGATTAAGAGCTTAGGCGACAACGGATGGGGAACTTTTTTGTTAAAAAAAATAACCGTAGGTCGGGCTCCGTGTGTTTAGACGTCATCAACCAGACATGGTCGCCTATGTTTGATATGATCAACATATTCGAGGTTTTCCTCCCGCAACTCCTGCGATATCCTAACCCCGCCGACCCCCTCAACGGTGAAGCAGCCGCATTGCTTATGCGCGAGCCCAAAAGCTACGACGCCAAAGTAAAGGGTATGGCTGTTTCCCTATTTCTACGCTTCTTTCGCGACCCTTCCTCCCCGAAGAGGAGGTTTATCCACCTGCCCCGGAGAACGGAGGTAAGCTAACACAGAGAGTAGAGTATGTCCAAAAGTACGCGAGTAAGGATGCAGCAGACGATGGCGGAGCCGAGAGCGAGGATGACGACGACATGTCTTCGGTTGCTAGCTTCGGAGAAGACGAACCCGCCGGCCAGATGGATGACGTATAACCATTGTTAGATCCCGGTCTCTGGAGCTACCACTCCCTCCGATCCGATGAGATACACGCACGTTTGCATGCTTGCCTTTTCTTTTCCATCACCAGACTATGGAGTATGACGGGGTCTTCTTTCCTGCTTGTTCACGATGGCAACGGATGGTATTCTCGGTTACCCCTGCGAGGAGTTTCTTTGCATAAACAACACTGAGTTGTCCGTTGGGCTCTTCTTTTTGGGACCAGCGCCCCAACCAAATCAACACAGCATTGCTTGACTTTACCCGATGAGGTTGCTCATGGTGATGTCGGTTTGTTCTATGATGCTCCCCTAGTGCTGCCGCTCCTCTACGAAATTCAATACTTCCCGCTGAGAGAGGGGAATGCACGTAGTCGCTAGAATGCTAAGCTTCCCTAGCTTCTTGACGCTAGTGGGCGCGTTCTTGTTGTGGTATGATCCCGCGGCTTTTTCCCAAGTCCTCGTCAGGCGAACATTGACGCTGCCTGCATTCCAAAGAGACCAACGGGGACATAGACGAGGCGGTAGCCCCTCGCGTTTCAAGACAGTCTCTCCTTCAGACAAACACAACAAGCAATCACGCCGCTGAGTAGCCTTACACCACCAGCCCGATTCCCGCTTATCCTGACGCCGTTTCGGACGTCCCTGTATCTTCTAGTCCGTACCTACACCACGTCTCCGCCGTCTCAAGCCTATCCCACCCGCAAGCCCGCCAAGAAAGCGAGCAAGCGCGCATCCCGGACGGTCGTGGCCAACGTAAAAGAAACCTCATAGTTGTAGTAGCAGTAGTGAGGGAACCGTGCGGTCCCCGGGTATCTCTTTGGAAAATTCTCATGGATTGGAAAGCAAATTAAGAAAGAAACTCCTCCTCCCGGGCTCCGATCGACACCGCCGTGTCTGCCTGCATGTGTGTATGCACTTGTGTGTATGTCTGTATGCATATGTGTGTATGCCCTGCGCCCCTCGTCTCGCGCTGCTGTGGGGCCCTCCCACGGTAGGCGCGCTATCAGTCCGAGTCGTACTCGACCAGGGCCGCCGGCGCGGCCGGCTGGGCGGCCCTCGTCGCCTTGGCGGGGGATCCATCGCGCCCCTGCGCCGGGGATCCGGGGTCGTCGTCGGCCGCCACCCGCTTCCTCTTGATGCCCGGGATCCGCCCGGCGTTCTCGCCCCCGCCCGCGCCCGCGCCGCGGTCCAGCGACGACAGGAACGGGTCCCGCGCCACCCGCGTGTTGCCCACGATCTCCGACACCAGGTGCTCGCGCAGCTGCGCCGCGGCGACCTCGGACTTGAGCATGCCGCGCCTCGCGCCCGCCGGCGGCCTGGGGCCCGCGGCCCTCTCGCTGCGTCCCTCCACCCCGGCCTTCGTGTGGCCCCTGCTGCTGCTGCTACCGCCGCTCTCGGCGGCGCCCCGGACGTCCTCGCGGCTGGTCTCGGCGCCCACGGCGAACAGGGGCTTCGCCAGGGCGGCCTTCCCGTCGTCGCCGCCGCCGCCGCCGCCGTCGGCCGCGGCGGGGCCGAAGTCGACGAGCGCGGCGCGCCGCGCGTCCTCAGGCGTGGCGGGCAGCAGGGCGAAGCCGAGGCCGAAGCGGTCGCGCAGGTCGGCGTCGGCGCGGGCGTCGCGGTCGCGGTCGCGGCGGCCGGCGCGGAAGGCGGCGCGCAGGCGGCGGTTGCGCTCGTAGGGGTCCTCCCAGGCGCGGGCGCTGGCGGCGGCGAGGTCGGCGAGGCGGACGCGGGCGCGCTGGAGGGCGGCGCGGTCGGCGATGGTCTTCTCGAGCTTGGCGAAGGCGCTGGCGCGGCGGGCGTCGCGCTCGGCGGGGGTGAGGAAGCGGTCGTCGTCGTCAGGCACGAGAGCGGCGGGCTCGTCGGCGGCGCCGCCGGTGTCGCGCCGCGTGCCGCCCTCCGCCACCACGTACGTCGTCCGCGCCGGGTCCGTCCGGATCTCGATCGCGCCCCCGCACGCCGCGTGCCGCATCCGGAACGCGAACACCGGCGTGCTGTGGTGCTGCCCCACGCGCCGCTTCGCCGCGTTGAACCGCACCCCCTGCCCGATCAGCGTCGGCTGCGCGCACCCCCCGCACCACACCGCGAACGGCATCTCGAACCGCACCGTCTGCCCCCCGCCGCTGCCGAACTTCTTCCCGTGCAGCTTGTTCCCGCTCGTCGTGCCCTCCACCTCCGGCGGCACGTACCGCCCCATGTTGAACCCTTGCATCGTGGACTAGGTGCCGAGCCGGCTGGGGGTACGAGCGTGTAGGCGGAGGATTAGGCGGTAGGCTAGGAAGGGACCGTGGTCTCGATGTCGGGGGTGTGTATTGTGTATCGACGTGTGTTTCTGTGTTCGGTTCGTCGGGTCGTCTCGTCTCGGTGGCTATCGAGGTAGGTACGTATTTCGGGTGCGCGACCGTGACAGAGAAGGCTTCAGGGTTGATGAATCAGTTAAACGCGCTCCTGTAATCATCTAAACCATATGAATGAAGTCGGTGGTTTAGGAAAGGTCGTGTGTGGAAGAAAAGAAGAATGGAACCGGCAGACAGCCTGGTCTGCGTGATAGAGCATTGAATGAATTCTGGGCTGAGATGCGGGTGGTAAGGCAGCTTGTGGCGATTGTGATGTAAGCCTCGTTAGCCCTATAAACCGGATATTCGTGTTCAACATGTGCTGTCCCGTTAATCGAATAAAGGGGGCAGATATTATGCACTGTCCGCCATCCAATCAACCGTCAATTAATCTCCATCTAGTAAGTACCTAACTCTCTCATTCCATAGTTACGCGAATTGACTAAGTATTATAGAAAAGCAGTTCAGGAAACATAGCTCTAAAAAGGTATTAGTTATAGCTATTTAGGGTTTTTCGTACGTTATAGCTCGAGCCGTTTATCTAAGCTATCTAGGTTATAGTAGTAGGGGCTTATCTCTAAGGCCATACGTAACCTCCCTGGTGCGCCCACAAGTGTATTTATATGTCCTGTCCTATCCATAGGTTGCGTAACTATTCACTACCGACCAGCCTTCCGGGTTCTTGACTCTGGGAAACTCTTTAAGACGCATTCACAGCCGTGCCCTATAATTGAATCTACCTACCTACATAGTTACGCTTCTAAGGACGGCGAGAGGTAGGTATGACAACCAAGGTCTCACTTAGAGACAACTTTTAAAGTCAGAACGGTAACTCCTCACCTTTCTAGCCATCGTAAACTCAAGATTCTACAACATCTCTAGTGCTTGGATTGTTCACACTTGTTACGGCAGGCTTCTCTATTCTCAGCCGGATTCTAACATCTGTCTCTGCTGACAACTGAAAACATAGAACTCCCGTGACAATGGTTCTGATGAGGGAGAGGGCACGCTAGCTGTAGGTTAACACAATGCATCCTCGCTAGGATGGAAACTACCAGGACTGATTCGGCTTTTCCGAGCCTACGTGCAGTTCAGGCAATCAAACGTCTATCAAGCGAGCCTTCCTTATGGACGGGTAGCCTAGCCCTCGGCACCCTAGTATCCCTGGCCGCCGTCTCCGGCCCCAGATGCCAGCGGACCGAGAAGTCCACCTGACGGGTTCCGAATGCTTGTCTTGTTCTATGCCAGTCGTTCTACTATCTCCTGCGTGGGCGATAGGCCTTCCGGGCGAACTGGAAAGGCGTGGATGACCTCGCAGCTCTACTATACTTGCTCCCTATTAGCCCACCCGTTCCTCGAAAGGGAGGGGTGCAGGGCCCCGGGGCGTTTATGACTTGGCGAGGCGCGCCGGATACGGTGTGATAGCTCAAAAATAAGACGGCGTAGCTGTTCCGGGTATTGCATGGTACAGGCGTCACACAGCCGCCGCCTATGTGACAGCTCAGATGCGCACACCTCGCCCACAATCCTACCTAGCCGATCGGGGTAGTTACGCTTACTTCTCGCTCTGTGTTCCGCCTGTCTACTTAGATACACGGACACCCGCATGATATCTCACGCACCCGCACTCTCCTCTGCCCTCCCATCCACACGCTCTGCTCTCCCAGCCCACCGACCCCATCTACTCCCCACCCCCTATCCGCCGGGTAAGCAGACACTTATGCGCCTTAGCCGCGGGACTCGCGCCGTAGCGGATGAGGAGGCGTGCGCCGGGGGCGAAGCCCTGGTGTATCGCGACGTGGAGGGGCGTCCAGCCGGTGTGGTCGTAGGCGTCGAGGGCGTGTGGGCCGGGGGCGGGCGGGCGCTCGAGCAGCAGGCGCAGGACGGGCTCGCGGCGGCACAGCGCGGCCCAGTGGAGCGCGGAGCGGCCGTCGGCGTCGGCGAGCGAGCGGCGCGCACCCGCGCCCAGCAGCTGCGCCGCCACCGCCGCGTGGCCCCCCATCGCCGCGTGCGTCAGCGGCGTGCGCCCGTCGCTGTCGCGCTCGTCCGCGTCTGCATCCGCTAGAAGCACCAGCCCCACCACCTCCCCGTGCCCCATCCGCACCGCGATGTGCAGCGCCCCCAGCCACCCCGCCCCCGAGCCCTCGTCCCCCGACGACGAGGGGGTGAAGCGCGAGAAGGATGGGCGCTCACCTCTGGTGGTAGAACTTACGACGAAATTTGCGCTGTGCAATCCTATTCTGCAGCCGGCGACGCTCGATGGCGTCAGTGGGCAGCTGCACGTTGAACTCCATGTCTAGGTGCTGCTGGTGGCGCCTGGAGAAAGCTGTACGGTGATGTTGGAGTGAGACGCGCCTAAATACTCTGGCATTTAGGTAGCTATTTCAAGAATAATCTGCACCTACCTAGGTATTACGAGAGATTCTGTGTGGGTCCGTGACAACAGCTCACATAAACATACATCCAGGTGGGAACTACGTAGGTAGATATACCTATCTACACAACTTTTCCGCTCCCCTCGTTAACTAGGTAGTAATAGGCTCCGATACCCTGCCATGATCAACGCAGGACTCCCTCCGCATGGCCTCTAATCTAGTTGTCGTTCTGAATCGTTGCGTCTCCGCTATTACATATTGACCCGCCAAGGGGTAGCATATCGTCTACCTCGGATGTGATAGGTAATTTTCCATCGAATAAAAACTAACCCCAGATTCTCAATCCTCGCGTTCTGTTCCTCGTACACGTACAGGTTCGTCATCTTTCGGCCCTGTCCTGAGTGGCCGGCGGTTTGCTCCGTCCTTTTATAGGACGAAGATGCCCACCCCGGAAACGAGGGCCGTGACGACGTAGGCGACGAAGAACGCCTTACCGTAGCTAAAGAAGGCGGGCGTTGTTACGCTTCCCCTACCTTCCGACGAGCTCGATGCACCGCCTGCTGATTCAGTACCCTGCCGTCCTGTCGGGCTAGGCACCGTCCCCTGGCCGTTGGTGCCGGCTGCCGAGATCAGGGCCTCGCAGCCTTCCGACGTGGTTGGGCTCTGCGTCTGGGCCAAACCGTTGAAGTCGCAGGCGCTAGCGTCGCCGTTGTTGCCCAAGTAATATTGATTGGCTACCCAAGCAAGCTGGTCCTTGGGATTGCAGCCGCCGAGCGCGCCGTACTCACCCCGGGTGGAGTTGTGGTCGATGCCGGCGCAGAATTCTTGGTTGCTGCCGCAAATGTAGTCGAAGACGTCGGCATACGAGTCTTCGTCGTCGGAAGTGACTACGCACTGTAGACTGGCAACTTCGCACGCGCAGAGCCGGGGGTTGACGGCCGGAGGCAGAGGCGAGGGAGCGGCAGCCCACGTGGTACCGCCAACGGTAGGGCAGGCAGGGGGGCTGTTGGTGGGGGTGTAGGCGCTCGATACCGTCAGAGACGGGGTGACCCTGGCTAGCTGCGACGACAGAGACGTAAAGTCAGGGTACGGCGAGACGCTGTCGCCGTCAACCTCAACCAGCCCGTAATTGTTCTCAGACATGAAGTACTGGTAGACGATACCGCCGGAGAAGACGGATGTCATGTTGCCGTAGAGGACGGCGACCTCGGTGAAAGGCCTGTGGGTAGGGCCGCCGTCGATTCCTTCGATGCAGCCGTACTCGGCAAAGAAGACGGGAACGGGATAGTCGCTGAAGAATTGGACGCGTTCGCCGTAGGAGGAGGCCTCGTAGTTGCTGTCACCGCACCACGAGTAGACATTGTATCCCCAAAAGTCGATGGTCGTAGAAGAGCCTTGCTCCGGCTCGCAGGCGAAGTAATGCGCCAGCTCGTCCCGGCTAGGGACGTCAGCAGTCGCATAGCCGACGCCGAGGCTCTGGCGGTAGTTCATCTGCCTGATGTAGGCCTTGGTGTCGCGGACGGCGGCCTTGACGAAGGCGGCGGCATAGGTCTGGTTCGTGGCGCTCACGACTTCGTTGCCCGCAAAGAAGCCGATCACGTTGTTATACTTACTCATGGTGTCGATGACAGCAGTGTAGCGAGTGTATAGCTCGACGTCCCAAGCCGCGTTGTTGCTGTCGATGGAAACACCCGGATGGCCAAGATCGGCAATGACGTAAATGCCATTCGAGGCCAATTCCGCCATGCAGTCATCGTGGTCGCGGGCGGGGTCGATGGCGTAGACTCGGATGACGTTCGTGAAGATCTGTCTCAAGAAGGGAATGTCGCGGCGGCACTTGGAGGCGTCGGCCAAGGGATCGGTATATTGCACGTTGGGGTCGTTGTTAGCGGTCCCGTTGGGATTATAGTTCTCTTGGTAAGCGACACCCCTCATGTAACTGGCAACAAGTAGGTAGCGGGTCAGCAGCGCTCGAGTCCGCCAAGGCTGGGGAGAGAGTTTCGAGGGGCCCGGATTGTGCAGGACGGAACTATACGATATAAACGCAACCCGACATGAGGCGGGTCGAACTTACAACTGGGACCCGTTGTTGGTGTAGAAGAAGTGTTGGCCGTAGGCCTCGATAGCGGGAATGTCATTGTAGCTTTGGCCGCGGGCGCCGGAGAGGGCGGCGAGCCCGAAGGCGAGATGCGGCAGAGCCGATGATGCCCACATGACGGGTAGCCGACGCGCAGCGAGAGCGGGAACGGATCTGGGACGAAACGGGCAGCGAAACTCTGCTCTTCTTTCTGGCCACGGACGTCTCGAATTAATGTCGGGGGCGTCACCACTACGATGAAAACGAGAGTGTGTCGATTAAGTTGGCAATGCTAGCGGTTGGAAGGGGAAGAAGAGAAGAAGGTGGCGATAAGGGGGGGGGGATGGGGATGGTGAGGAATTTGGGACGGGGAGAAGAAGAGCGAGGAGGGTGAAAAGGAATGGGGGGCGGAATAACGCAACCAAGCAAACAAAGACTGACCAGACCAAGACGTCAGCCGAATCACAGCTCCCGCTCGCGGGCGCCAACAGCTTGGTTTCGAATTGGGTAGTGAGCTGAGCCTCCGTCCGGGCAGGACAGGGTGTGTCGCTTCGTGGGTGGCTTGCGGGCGTGCGTAAGCATGAGTAGGAATGCGGAAACGTGAGACCTGGGAGAGGCGGAGTGGTGGGACGACAGGTGAGAGAGAGGTGAGCCGGGGAGGAGGAGGGGGAGTGGTACCTGAGCAGCAGGGGGGGGTCGGGCTAGCAGGAGGAGGACGAGTAGTGACATGTGTATATTGTGGGTGCCTCTAGTTGTCTGCGTCGTCATACCTGCTTCCTCCTCAATACGAGAGATGAAAGATCGTCCATCCATCCGTGCATTGTTCATCCGTACACACCTCTGCAATATATACCTACACACCTCCATACCTAGGTATCTACCCACCTAACATACCTCCATACCTCCTCCGTAGGTACGTGAGTCCAGTCGAGAGAATCGATTCTCTACCCACCTCTCCGTGCCGCTCGCGAACAACAAAGATTGGGTTAGGGTAGGCTCGTCGTATTGTCGTCCTCGTGTAGCGTCGCGCAAGTTCGAGACGCAATAAAGCTGCTCTCCACCCGACCCACTTCGCCCACCTCGTCGTCGGCAACCGGCCGCGTCATGCTTCGCCTCCTGCTACGAGAGAAGCGAGACAATGCCAACAGAAACCCAGCTGCTATCGGGCGCTTTAGACTGGCGGAAAGATGGTTTTCCCGACCTGGCCCCCTTTCTATGAGTATAATGGACGCGGTAACAGAGAGAGAGAGAGAGGGTGTCCGGCTAGGAGAAGGATTGATTACCTACCTACGTCGAGCGCAACCCGAGTGCCAAGTCTCGTTTGGTTGGCACACGCGCGTTCCGAACGATCCGTTTCCCGTGGAGCGCATCCACCAGATGTACCCACCACGTACAGGTGGGTAGTAACAGGCATGTCGCTAATCGTCGGTCCCCCAGAATGGCCTGTGGGCAAAAGCTTAGCGTTTTAGTTTAGGGCACGGAGCACTACTCTATAGGTGCCTACCGAGGCTAATATGGATACCTACCCGGAATCTGTATTCAATTCAATTCGTCTCGGAACAGATCCTGCTTCCCAACCGCAACCGACAACCTCTGCTCTGCCGTCGACGGCTGGGTGCTGGAAGGCGGACGGCGGAGATTGCGATCACCATCAGCCCGTCTACACCACACGTCCGTCTAATAATTGACTGGTCGAGAAGACGAGAGAGCGTTACGCCGTCGAGCGAAGAAAACTGGGCCCGGGATAGCGCGAGAACCAAGCACGTCCAGCCGTGCCGGGAGTTACCACGTAGAACGTAACCCGCCGCAATCAAACTCCGACTCGCTCCCCAGCAGAAAGCGTCGACGGATCGTCCGCCGCCCCAGTCTGGCATAAAAATTTGAAACAATCAACAGCCTCAGGGGGCGTCTCATGGGAAGAAAAGCTTGTTTCCACCTGTGCGCGCCGCGCGACCGGTCCTATCCTTGCTTCTCCTATATTTAAATATATACTGTCGCAGTGACCGGATGGCTGGCTCCCTAGATTGCTTATACCGCCGGCGTGGTGTTACGCGTTGGCTGGTGTGGGTGGTGGGTAGAGATACGTAGGCATGCATGCCCACGCGGGATGTATAAGTAGGTATCTGCTTCTTCATCGGCGTGAGTGACACTTGTGCACACATACATATATTAGTCCACCTCCAAGAACCCCATTCTGGGGAGAGAGATTACGGCGGAGCAACCATCCGAGTCACTGTGGGCTGTGAAGGGGTCTTTTGTTGGCGGATATCCATCGTCTGGCCACATCTGTGCAGCCCCCCGCCTTGCACGAGCGCAGGCAGACAGGCCATCGACAGGCTAGTGCAACCTTGCGTCCCCTCTCGATCACAGGCACAAGAAGAAATGCCGAGCCGCTTTGAAATGCGAGGGGGTGAATTGGATGAGCAGACACGGTACTCCCGATGATGTTCCACACACACACATACCCCCCTTACCTGGGGATAATGTATAAAGGCATGTAGGTATATAGGCATGTATATACGGCGGGAAATACTGCGAAAACCCCTCATCCAGACCCACCGCGCGCCGAGAACCTCTAGGTAGCAGACCCACCTACGTCGGCACGCGGGTCTAGAAGGAAAAATGCCTCCTGGCGCCTTATCGCCTATCGCCTACGGCCAATCGCCTCGCTCCGACCCGCCCAGCGCCGCCCCGGGACTAAGACTGTGCCCGCGGCCGGACGTCTCGCTTCCCTCCCCCCCCCCAAAACGGTAGGTCGGTCGGTAATTCACGGCGCGCGCGCGCCCCTCCCTTCCCCCCTCGTGAAGAAGAAGAGGAGAAGAGGAAGAGCCTGCTGGTCACGAGAACGGGTTGAGTCGAGCAGCGCGGCCACTGCTCTCGGCCTACGTCCGAAGTCGGCGCGCGGAAAGGACAAAGGACACGGGTCGCCGTCGGTACTCGACTGCCTTACGGTTTCACATGTGGCACTTCTCGACATCGCTCGCGGTTGCGCGTAGGAGGGGCAAGGGGGGCAGAGTAGAGTTTGCGTTGCATGTCTGGCGCGGCGAACGAGCGGCCGCTGCCGTGGCAGGGGCCCGTCGCCGCGGGTTGTTGGCACGAGTATAACTAGAGAGCGACGGCAGGCCGCTTGACGTGGGACCAGTCTCGCTCTCGCTCCGCTAGTAGGTACATGATTATTTCCCAGCATCCGGGCGCGACGCAGCGGCGCCTCTGCCCCTCTCGTTCCAGAGCCCAATTTCCGACTGCGACACCCAGCGGGGGGGGATTGGGGGAGCAGCTAAACCCCCTCTTTCCCTCCTCCGGCGCAACGCTCGGCGCGACCTCACGCCGTCTCCTTCTGCTCGGCGCCGGGGATGGGCGACAGCCAGGCGGCGCGGCTGCGGACGAAGAGCTCGGCGGCGGGGCGCAGGGCGTCGAAGGTAGCGGCCGGGTCGTCGAGCACGCCGGTCTTGACGATCTTGAAGCCGGCGTAGCCGGGGCCCTCGCGCCACAGCGTCGTGCCGCAGTCGCCGCAGAAGTGCGACGTGATCGGGTTGCCCGACTCGGCGCGCCGCTCCAGCGTCCGCGGCTGGCCCGCCGCGACCGCGAACCGCGCCGCCGGAACCAGCGCGTTCGTGCTGAACGCCGACCCCGTGATCTTGCGGCAGTCCGCGCAGTGGCAGAGGACCTGGTTGGTTGCCGGCGCGCGGGGGGGTTAGCTGGTGCAGCTCTCCGTTGTCGTCGAGGTGGATGTGTGAGTGGAGGGGGGGACGTGGATGAGGGGAGAGGGGGAGGAGGTGGTGGTGGTAGGGGGGGAAGGGGGGGGCTGCATACTTTAGCTTCGGGTTCCCCTTCGAACGAGATGCGGATCTTGCCGCAGAGACATCCGCCTTCAGGCATGGTGTGGGCGTCGGGACGAGTAAACTCGGAGGTTATATGTAGGTATAAGGTAGAAGTAGCAAGTATGCACTTAATCGGTATACAGCGTCGTAGTGATGATCTATCTGTGTATGCGACTATCTGATCCGGTAGTGGCGGTGGTGGTGATGGTGTGTGGTGTTTGGTGGAGGATGGGCGACGAGGAGAGTAGACAAGGGAGTAGACAGGCCATCAAGGTGTCCCAGCCGGGCTTTATATACCTACGCAGCCAAGTAGGTGTAGAAGGGGTCTTCACCGGTCCACTGTCCTTTTTGGTATTATAATTACTTTGTCCGTCCCTCGGCCCCCCTCCAACGTTCGCTGTTTACGTCAGTCGAGTCAAGTCGGTAGCGTGGGTGGATACGCGCTGCCCGCGTGCCCAGCCGGCCGTGTGGAAAGGGGAAGCTGGTAGCGAGCGGGCACGACATCGCGCCGAGCGTTTCCCGCCCAGCACGCTCGACCTGCCCGTCATCCCTGCCCACGTTCGCGCGCCCATGCCATCCGGAGCTGCTCCGACCCAGCCTCTCTGCCCTGGCCCCCTCTCCCTCGTTCCATGCATGCCGACGCTAGTATGGGTCGCATTCCCGAGTGCGCGTCTGCAGCGGCACCCTCGGCGTTCTGCACGACCCCGTCCCGTGCGTCAGCGCACTCGCCCTCACCGACTCCCGCCTGCTTCCTCGCGCCCCCCGACGCGGGCAAGCACCATGCCTCGGGCCGGCGGACGCGGCGGAGTTCGACACGGCTTGGGTTTCAGGGCTCCTCCGCAAGGTCCGGCGGCACACAGGCAGGCAAGGGAGCCGGAGAACGCGGAGGGATTCGCTCTCGGTCTCTCTCTCCCTTGCGTGGCCGCCATGGGACCGTGGGTAGCGTATGCTGTCAGTGAGGTAAGAGAGGCGGGTGAGTCTTAGGTGAGAAGAGAGGGCATCTGCGGTGTCACTAGGAACGATGAAATCGATACGACCGTTGGCGTGGGGCGTGGTCCTTGTGATGTTGTGGCTGCCGTTGCGCGACTTTGCGTAGGGCGTCGCAGGAAAAGAGCGGGAGTTGAGAAGTGGACAGCGAAAGGGCGCGCGCGAGACCAATTCGGGCCACGCGCCGTCAGCGCTGTTGTGTACCTGAGTACCTGCTAGGTAATGGGTGAGGTGCTTACTCTAAGTGCCTAACATAGGTACCTACAGGTAGACAACCTCGTCGAGAAGAGGTATGCTAGCTACGTGGACGCAATACCTATATCTAGGTGATGGTGATGCCGCACCGTCGCATCGAATCTACTCTCATCTTCAGGCCGTACGGATTTGCCAGCCGCTCCGAAAGGGGTTGGACGAGCGGGGAAAATACCTAGCTCGTTGGGGGGCTGGGCGGGGTTCGGGCACCTATTATTACCTATATAAATGGGAGAGTCTTCCCCTCCCAGCTAAGTCGGGCCACCTTGGCGTACCCTTTCCCTCTCGAGTCTCGACGAGTCGATAATGTGGCGCACACGTACCTAGAGTAACAGGTAGACAGGGATGTGTAAAGTGCCGTCAGTGTCTGCTATAATAACAATCCAGTGCTATACTCACCGGGAAGACTGGTACGGGTTGCCGCTTTTACGTCCTTTTCGCTCGCTAGCTCAACTTCGGCCTAGCTATCCATCAGGCTTTTGGCTAAGCAGCAGCCCAGTGACCGCTCTTGTTCCCATCCCTAGTCACTCAGCCTCTAGGTCCTTCCTGTCACTCCATCCAAGTCTCACGAACATCATGGCAGCTGTTGGAATGAGTCAGAGATGAGAGATCGACTTTCGAGGCTCCCGTAGATAGAGGACAGTAGCTCAATTTAGTCTCTTCTGTCCACACCCTTCGTTGCACATCTCGTCTTCTGAGAGCAACCCCCAACCAAGGAGCCAGTCTCAGATCCCCCTTGGGGCCGGAGATCCTAGTTTTTAATCATTTAACGAAAGTCCCGGAAATCAGCTATAATTGATATTTGGAAACAAGCCCCTCGCTCCTGAGAGTTAATTAGGTGCATATGCCACATCATATAATATTTTATGATGGCTCTCTCGGTATAAAAGCTTATTCGGAGAACCGTGTTGCTCTCAAAATAAATTTGAAGGAATTCTGTGTCACCCGGGAATTCTCGTCGGTCCGGGTAGGCGGCATCGGACATCAAGTGTGGTTGGTTTGACGAAGCATATACCTAATTCAATTTCTCTTCTAAAATCTCCTTATATGTGCACATATCCTGTCCTTCTCTTCCCCCTTCTCTTATTCCCGCCGCTCGGCCATTGAATAGTCTCGTGTTGCCATGCATGTTGGTTACCTATAACCAAAGATTCCGTGGGTTGGCGGGTCTCTCTCTGCCTGGACAATGTTTACAGCATCTTCGTGAATCAGGTTTTCCTTGACAAGATGGGCCAAGACCTCCATTGTCCATTCCTGACATCGCTTGGTGTTGACCTAGAGTATTATCAGCCACTTTGCTCAAACAAGTTCTTCTCTCTGAAACAAGTTACGTACCCCATCAATAGGCGCCCCGGATGTCTTGTCCTCTTGGAGGCGGGGGAACCGTCGCAATATGGCGCTCAAGAACACTCCTCGGGGTGTAATCCTCGACGCTCGCGTCTGACGTCGACTCATGAACGTTTGCAGCGTCGACGTCTCCAAGAACCAATGCTTTCAAGTCCTTATCGGTGCTGCATTCGTAGTTTCTCTTGATCTCGAGTACGTAGCCTGCCATTACCGGCTCTCCGACCACTTGGAGCACGGTCCCCGAGGTCAGGTACCACTTATAGTCCTCACTGACGGTATTCCGATTGCATTTTCCGTCAGGGATAAAAAAGCAAAGTGGGCACGTTGGGACGTGCTTGCACGGTACTTGGCGAGATAGACAGAACGGGTAGACATGTCTGGGTATACTGAAAAAAAAAAAAGCTGATATATCCTAGATAGAAGAACAGGTGTAGACAGCGGATAGTATAGATACGAGGGTGCATCCCGAAACGGCTTATTTATGTCGAAACCATTCATTCGACGCAGAGAGGCACCACAAGCGCCTCCCCAGTTAGGTGGAAGACCACCACCTCGAACGCCGTCGAGACAGCCATCCAGACAGGACTTCCAAGGCTGAATGGAATGCGCCTCGTTCTTAAGTTTGTGAGTGGCTCCATTTTAGGTCGAGTAAGAACTCACTCCAAGCCCGTTTACAGGGGATAGCTTCGTCTTCCAAGCGCTTCAGGAACAGCTCCTCGTTATTATAGGCTGTTGCGTTAAATTCAACCGTGACATCTGGGGATAGAGATATTCCTCACGCTCGAGGATCTTCCCTGTTGGTGGCTCAATTCCTTCGAAGATAAGATCGGGCATTAAACGAGGAATTCCGTCAAAGATTAGGAGTAAAAGAGAAATTTTTCTCTTGTCCTAGCCGCTTCGGTCGGTCTTTCCGGATACTATTTTATCGCCCGATAACGCATAAGCCGACCAACTAGAATACTCGAAGGGTATCGGAGTCTCATCTACATTGAGGATGCAATTGCTGTGGAAGCGGCGTTTTGGGGACTCAAGGATATCAGGGATCGTCTCGCTCGGCTATAGGGGGGAACTTGGGGGGCACCTCTAGCAGCGGTGATGCTCTCCCCTGAGTGTCACGTCGAAGGAAGCGTCTGAATAGCTCATCTTCAAGCTCCGGCCACTGCGGCCTCCAGATAGTCTCCTTAGGTGCAACGCCGAGGATATTATCCTTTTGCTACCACCAATACTTGACTGTATCCTCATTGACTAGAAATCGCTTTGCCGCCTCTCTGAAGTTGCTCCGTTTTATGTGACACGGTCGCGACCTATGTCTTGACGTATATTACTCTTGAGAGTATATCAAAATATTATACACCAGCCTAATCTCTGGATGTAATGCTATCTACTATCCTAAATTTTAGTCTAGGACGCAATGCACTGTCCCGTTGCATATACCGGCATGTTTCTAGACCCTGTTACTAAAACTTGGGCTGGGAATATACAAAAAGTGGGACGAGCATTAATCGCGTATTTCTAAGGGGCCCCAAAAGTGGTTCGGTCGCATTATAACAGCTATCGAGTTTGGCGAGCATCAATTAAGACTGAAAAACAATGTAAGTAGTGGTGGTGTTGAATGGAAGGGGTCTCTGATAGTAGATTCGTAGACGGTAGTTACCTAGATGGAGGAGTCTAACCGGGGACGTCATCCCAGATCCGGGGGTCTTGCAGGGGCTTTGCAAGGGCATCAGATCCCCAAATTGCAAATTAGGCGTGCCCAGGCACTATTATAGCCTAACCCTGGCCTGCCTAAGTCTGAACATCAGGCTACCCGGCCGGGCCTCAGCATCAACTCAGCGTAGAGCGGCACGAGCTCAGCTCTAGAAACGGAAATAGATTTTGGTAGGTTCGAGTTTTGTCTCCGAGTCATATGGCATAGGTATATTTGTGCCTGGCTTGCTAGCTACTACAACAATATACTCCCGGTCTGCTACAGGAGTTTGCAGTGTTCCGAGAAATACCAGCAAGTATACTGCGTTAGAATCTTTCTGGCTCCTATCCCCCTCTGGATCATAGTTCATTCTACCTCATTCCTTAAGCGCCGCTGTCTCGGCGCCGGCGACGGTTTGGCCCTCATTACTCCCACTGCAGCAGCACTCCGCGGACACGTATGGAGACCGTCCCAGCGCCCTGTACGATACATATTTTGTTTTGAATGATTTTGACTGTGACTCTCCCGCCACCTCGACCCATGGCTGGAAGCGACACGGGGCCCGCCCAGTTCGTAACATAGGGTGGGCGCTTGCCGATGACGGAGTTGAGGATATGGACAAAAACGTCGAAGTCGTTTGCGTAGTGGTCGATGGCGATGGCCCGGTTAATAGCTCCCCAAGAAGCGTGACCGACATGGAGACCAATAACCTTATTATCGAGTACGTCGATGACAGGGCTGCCAGAATGGCCTGGGGCGAGAGCGGTTCAGCGCATCTGTCTAGGCTCGAGACGAAGCGATAAGATTCATATTATACGTACCTGGCAGGGTATCTGCTTCGTGCATTATCTGCCGCCCACGCCAGTCACGGGTAAAGTGAACCGTAGAGTGGCTTCTGAGTAGGTACATATTTGGCGAGTCCTTTCGAAACTCGCTCGTGTAGCCGTAGACAACGGCGTCTGTTCCGTGTCCAACTTCCGAAACAGGCGTCGGCTTGTAGCCGAGGATGAATTTACGGTCCGAAATGTCCTGGCTGAGGAGGACAAAGCCTAGGTCACTGGAATATGTACCACAGTCATACCACTCTTGGTGGATGGCACAGCAGGCGCCGTAGTACCTACGGTCGTACCCTACAGGGCTGGCCGTGCTTGCTAGGACGGTGACCCGGGCGGCTGGGCCATTAATAGGGTCAAAAAGGACGTGGCCGGTGGTCGCGACGACGCGGTCGGCAACGAAGAAACCGCTCCCCTCGGAAGTATGTCCTGAGCTTTGTTCAACCAAGATTTTCACAACGCCTCTGGGTGCCTGGCCGTTTGAAAAATCCTCTTGGGGAATTTCAGTCATTTTATTCTTGCCTAGGGCGGCCTCCTGAGAGTTGCAACGGAGCTCAAACAGGACCGCCCCTTTGAAAGGGAGGGTAAAGCCATTATCGCCATGGGTAGGGGTTGCGCCGCTGCGGTCGGAATACGGTGGAAATCCTCCTCGGTTAGACGCCGCCTCGCTTCTGCAATGGCACGGTCAGCCTCGCATCTTAGCTTATTATTATTATAAGAAAGATTAGAGCTTGGGAGCCGATTTCTCGTGCGATTTCATAGCCTTGTATCCGCAGACTCGGTCTTGAAACGGCACTTACTCTTGCTCCTGGCCGTCTTCGGAGTAGATGGCAAAAAGGGGCTCGTTCGCAGTCGCGAATTCTAATAGATTCTGTCCGATGTATCTGGCGACGGCGGTTAAAATGGCCAGCAGGTAGGCGCAAAGCAGACGGGGAAATTCCCGAAACATTGTATTCTGGTCCTGTAAGGGGCAGCCTCTTTCTTAGTCGATGGGGAGTGTGGAATAACAGTCGGCGGGGGCTTGAGGGTTGAATGGGGGATGTAGGACGGGCTGGTTGAGTACTAATACCTCAGTGGGTATGCCCTGGCGAAATGAATTGGGTTCCGGGATTTATCAGGGAAGAAACAGGTAAGCTTGGTAGGATGGGCTTCAAAAGTTGATTTCATGAACAACACAGATATGTATATATATATATCCATCTGTCTGCGCGTGGTGCGCAAATATAGCCAGCCGTGGTAGGGGACTGACCGTTGGACAAGGTGTGTAAGTGATGGTTACTCATATTATAGGTATATGCCAGTTTTGGCGATACCTGCTTACCTACCTCATAGGCGGCGACGCCCCAAAAGCCAGTAGTAGATCTTTTCAGCTTCCACGTGCCGTGGCCCCATCGACTCTTCTTCCATAGCAACCCGCCGTCTTCCATTGGCTGGAGTGGTGGGTGAGGGGGATCTCTACCGACACGTGAAGCCTGCCACGATGCAGCTTTTCTAGGGGCGTTTACGTATCTTGGCGGATAGTAAGTGGTATAGCGGCCTTTTTTTCCGAGTTAGGCACCTTCGGTACCTAAGGTATATGACATCCTATTTGACAAGCTCCTCCACCCCCACAAGCCGCCTCTTAACTCCAGGATCTGACGTCGGCAACGGATCGCCACCCGCACCAAAATACGTCCGGCCTGAGAGAGGTGACGTGCGATCCTACGCAAGGATAATGTGTTGAGGAGCCACCAGTACGGCCCACAAACTGCCGAGCAGCCCCGGGCCGCACAGCGGACCCCTGAGGGACAGACGACCCGTCGCAATAGGATAGATAGTGAAGAGGAACAGCGTGTGCACGCCATTGGAGGAAACGTATAGGAACAGCTGTAGCCTCTGAATCCTACGATTAAAGAGGCTAATCCTCACCGTTACCTTCGAGCCGAGCCGAAGCTAAGTTACCCCCCCTGTTAGGTACTAACAGAATTAGCAGATCGTAACCAAATCCTTTGCATCTAAACCTATACAAAAACCCCGGTCCGCGAAGGGATGGCCCGTGGAAGGGTAGCTTACCTTATCCACAAGTTCGCAGCTTATCCGTCGAGGTATTGCTTCTTATGTTATCCTCGGTCGTCTTCGAGATACCTACAGCATTTCCATTCCGATAGATGCATACCTTCGATCTTATAATAGCATATCGGCGTGGCTTACCTAGGTAGACGTCCTGTCGGCATCGCGGTCGAGCGCCTTTCTCCGGGTCTCTAAGATGCGCAGGGACGCTCTTGGCCGTTCGTATCTGTGGCTGGAGCACCGACGCCTGGACCTGGCCGTAATGTTTAGACACCGAAACGGGGGCCGTGGTAAAGATTCGTCCCTCGTACTACGTCTTGAGTGACTCATCCTCGCTGACCACCCATACGTGGCGATGCAGCTGAGAGGCCAATTAAAAGCACCAGGCAGGGGGGTAAACAAACCCTCACTGGGAAGAGGGGTAACGAGTATATATAGAGAATCCTCGTAGCTGTAGCTATATACAAGAAGGGAGAGAGAAGCCAGCGAGCCCAGCCCTCTGCGATACCAACGAAGCTATGTGCGAGAAGCGAAAGTCGAGCCCCCGGGGGGAACCGGGGGAGGGGCGAAAGTGAGCGCTCGACGAGTGGCCACCTCCAGCGAGGGATGAGAAGTGGAAGGGAGTAAAAAAAAAAAAGGAAGAGAAAGAAAAACAGAAAACCTCCGTCGTTATGATGCGTGATGCGTGCTCGTCAGATGGGAGGGGGCTGTATATCCCTCTAGCCCGCCAGCCCGCTAGCCAGACCGAAAGCGACTGACCGTCCGAAATTTCTACCCCGCGATGCTAACGCTGTCCTTCCCTCGCCCTCTTATGAGAACGAAACTGACAAGCCACCAGGCCGCCAATCCTCACCGGATGGGGTCCTCGCACTCGGGTCTAGACCGCTTGGAAGTGGGCGACGTACGCGACCTCCATCATGCTGCCGTAGCCGTCCCAGGTGTTGCTGTTTGGCGGGCCGGGCTGCATACCGTAGTTAGCAGGGGATGCGAATGGAGAGAGAGAGATAGAGGAGAGAGAGAGAGAAGGAAATTGGACTACACGCTGACGCAAACACATGCGGGCAGGTGGACGGTGGACAGTGGGGATGGATAAGAGAGGGAAAGGAGGGGCTCGGGAAAACTACGGGTTGAGAAGGACCAGAGGAAAAGGCAGAGAGAGGGGGATGGGACCATCAAGGAAAAAAAAAGCGACAATCAAGATAAGAAAAAAAAAACACCAACTCACCCAGTCTCCCCCGACGGCCACGTTCAGGATGAAGAACAGCGGGCGGGCGGCGAGCGACTCCCAGACGTCGCGGCTGCCGATGCGCGCGCCCGAGATCTGGTGGAACTGGGCGCCGTCGCGGAACCAGGTGATGGTCTCGGCGGACCAGGTGGACGGGCGGCGGTCCCAGACGACGCGCCAGGTGTGCCAGCTCTGGTCGGGGATGGCGACGGCGGCGCCGATGCCGCTGGGCTCGTTGCAGGCGCCGCCGGGGTACGCGTCGCAGTGGACCGTGCCGTAGCCCGTCAGCTGGCCGTTGACCGTCTCCATCGCGTCGATCTCGCCGCACGCCGGCCACCCGGTCCCGCGCCGGATCGCGTCCCCCAGCAGCCAGAACGCCGGCCAGATCCCCTGCTTGTTCCCCGTCGGGCTGTCCCCGAACCGCAGCTGCGCCTCCGCCATCGTCACCGCCCCCGCCGCCGGCGTGAACGTGTACTTGGACTCCACCCGCGCCGACGTCCACTGCCCGTTCTCGTTCCACGGCACGATCTGCACCGTCGAGCCCCCGCTGATCTGCAGGTTCCGCGTCGACGTCGTGTAGTCCTGCCACTCGTTGTTCACCTTGAGCCCCGTGATCACGTTCCAGTTGTTCCCGTTCACCTGAGACCCCCCGGGCCCGTCGAATGTGTCCACCCAGATCAGCCGGTAGTTGCTGTAGTTGGGCGGTGCCCACGCCGACGCCGTCGTGATCGCCGCCGCAAGCGCGGCCAGCGCGTTCCGCAGGGATTTCGGAGCCATAGGGATGATGCCTAGCTGGGGTTCACGATGAAACGATACTCGTGTGTGGAGGGGATACCGGCGCGGCGAGTGTGGGTGTGGGTGTGTATATATACCGATCTAGGTATATGCACACGTTGGACTGTCCTACCGCGGATACCCCTTCCACGAATAACAACGCGCAGGGGGGGGGGAGAGTATGCACTGCAAAAGTACGTATGTACACTAGAAAGATAATGTCAAACTAGGATGAAGGAGTGTCGGGTTAGAGATTTGCTGAGGATGCTTCGGGGGGTTTATGTTTCCGGCGAAGATCGCCATCATCACTCGACGACGGCGGACCACGGATTATATACGTGAAGGAGATGGGCATACGGGGCGAGACAGGAGGAGAGCCACACAGCCGACGAGAAGAAAAAAGGAGGGAAGTCTCACGCCGTCGGGCGCCGCTGGGAGTCAAAGACCTCCTAGGCGAACTCGGGAAAGGAAGGTGACTAAGGTCTCGAGCGCGCGCAAGGCACCACCAGCAGCGCTGCACCTTGAGATGAAGAACACGCGTCGTAGCCACGAGTATACTCTCGCTAGGGGACTGTGTGAGGGCAGCCGGCGAAGGCATGGTGATAGGGCTTGTGCGGACAGCCGGCGCCGGATAGGGTGTAGGGGTTGTATCCAACCCCCGGGGAGGGGGGGGGGGGGTCATCGAGTTATCCTCGCGGCTCGAGTTACATCACCGGAGCCTAGGCTACATCTCGCGAACTGGAAGCGCCGAGTGCAGAGCCACTAAAAAACTTGACGGAACGTAAGGTTAGGTTACCCGTAGGTCGGCATAAGAGTGACGACGCGTGGTGGTTGGGTGGGTAGCCGGCATGACCCTCAAGAACAGGATTTAAGGTAAAGGGCCTGGTGAGGATGACCGTGGAAGCCGTGGGCACCGCGACTTGTTCTCCGGCGCACACGCCTGTGATTAAGCATTTTGGGCACTCTGGGGAATATGGGTCTGAGTATCCGATGTAACAATAGGGGGGGGGGGGGCTAAAATCTCCGATGTGACCGCAGCGCAGGGCGAAATTGAGAGACATGGTGTCCAAGATCGGTATTGGTTGCAGATCATCACCACCCGGACTGACGCCCCCCCGCACACTAAGAATCAGACATCGGTGGTGTGTCAGATAGATTCACGGGGAAATGCCAAGTCATCATCTACCGAGTCAAGCGCGGACGGAAAAATAGCCTATAGGGCTAGGCGGCAGCAGGCGAAACAGGCAGATGACAAGTTCCGTCCTCTCGCCTGGCGTAGAGGGCGTAGAGGGCGAAGACGAGCGCACGCGGTGTTTAATAATAAGGCGTCGATCGCCCGCAGCAATAGGAGGATTTTCTTGCCAGCACCCGCCCCGTGGGAAGATTCACATGCAGTGCGATCTGGCTGGGTGGGTGGGCCGGCTCTTGGAATGTCTTGGTTTTCTGCACGATACCTGATGGAATGACAGCTACCTGGTACCTGCGCCGTCCCGCGTGGATACTTAGCAGGGGTCCCTATCCAGATAGTCGAGCGGCACTCTGCCCACAAAGATAATTGGAGGGGTCCGGATGACGGGCATTTGGGCTTCTGACGGTGGGGATCTGGTCTTGTTGGTAGGATCCCATTTGTCCCAAACGGGCAGCTCGACGAGGCCGAGGAAGCGCCGGGTCTGGGTCCTGATAAAACAAAAACTCTCCCAAAAACTCGTTCGAGTCTTCGAGAAGGGATTCCTTATGAAATGCCCGAAGACTAGATCGCGGCGGAAGCGTCACTGATTTCGTCGGGCGTCTAAACTCCAACGTGGTGATACCCTATGCAGGTGACGACTATACACCCGGGATGCATCGAGGTAACTGGACAACGTAACGTGTCTTCGCCATCGCCCGACTTCCTGTGCTTGGGAGTGCCAAAACCAGGTCAGCAGATGGCCTCGGGTCGTGGCATATGCCATGTCAGTGCTTGCTGCATTCCTTGCAGGCTTGCGAGCCGTAACATGCTCCAACTCTCGGTGGGAATCTCCCCTCGCCTTCTCGCCTCGCGATCGTAGCTCACGAGCGACGGATCGCTGTCTATTGTCCGGCATGATCTCTCCCGAAGCCGATCAAGGTAGAGATTTGCGCCCTTTGGCATGTGGTGCCATCGCGTCGTTGAGAACGTCTTCCGGAGGTGATGCCGTGGTATGTTGCATATGCGACTTTCGACACCCGACGCTACTGCATAGAGCAGGATGGGTGCATCTAAATGCGCCGGCGAGTCCAAATAGACGTCTCTTGATCGCGAAAAAAGAGGAGAAGCGGCGTCATGCGACGAGAGACGTCCGGAGCTATCGAGAATGACACGGGAACGTAGCGCATAGTCGACTGAAGAGCGTCGAGGCGTATCACCTGTAACGATGCGAGTCTTGAGAAGAGGTGCTATCAAACACGATAAGCCGCGTAACGATCCATTCTTTCCTCCTCAGGTGTATTCCGCCGTAGTCTACGTACGGTTAGCTTAGTGACATCGACACCCGGTCATTGCGCACGATGGAGACGATCTCTCTTTTTTTTTCGGATTCATGGTATCATCTGAGCTTGATCAGAGCTTCTGTGAAGAGGACGCATTCGCAGTCTCTGGGTAGGGCTTGGGCGCCCTCACCAATGGGACTGTTGAGTGCCTCCTCGCATCGCCTTTGGATAAACGCAGCGCATCCCTCTCCATGTGTGTGCATCGTAATAGTAGAACAGACACATCCGTAAATTGACCCTCGAGTCAAATCCAGGTATCGGGAATCTCGTTGTCGATGTCCGATATCTCGGGATGGATTCGAAGCGCGCTACCGACGCACCCCACCGTCGCCGGATCCTGTCGAGGCCGGATCGTCTCACACGCCGAGCAGACGTTCTTCGATCGCCTGCCGAATCTCATCCACAAGCCCGTCGTGCGTGAAGTGTGCCCGTGACGCCCGTGCTAAGATGCCATGGCACTTATTGCGGTTTCGGGTTCGGTTTCTCATGGACACGGCGTAGATGTAAGCAGCTGGGCGGCTTCGCGGGGATCTCGGTTGTGTGTGCGGCAGGTATCGCTAACGATAAGGCGGACACAGCGCCGCGCCCTCATCTCGGTTGAGGTCGGTAGTGAATGGGTCTGCGCAGAGGCGGTATGGGGGCCTACAAGTTAAGACCAGAACGACAGACGCAAATAAGTAGGGAATGATAAGAGAGGGTGACGAGAATATTTATCATGCCCGCCAATTCGAGAGCCCCCCATCTGCTCAGCTGATTCGCGTGTTAGACGAAGTGTGGATGCATGCCGATCCCGGTGTAGCATAGGCATCGTGAATACGAGATTTCCAAGGAAAATCATTCCTCTTTTGAAACACGCGCGAATATGGGCGTTTCCGTCGTCATCCCGCGAAAACACGAGAGACAGAGAAGAAAAAAAAACTCGATTAATCTCTAAATAGTCGGATCCCGTCACCTTCAACCGGCGCACCGCCCATGTCCTCGTCGGATGCAGCTGCTTCGTGCTCGTCCTGGTCCTCGCTTAACACCATCTTCTGGCCGAAGAGGGTGCCGAAGAACCGGTCGATGGCGGTCTGCTCCCAGCTCCTGCGGTCTTCCGACGCCATGAAATTCTGCAGCTTGCCGTGGACGTTGAAGCGCATTTTCCTGCCCTTGCTCGCTTTCGTATCTACGTGTCGCTTTGCCTTGGCCTCCTTGGCTGCCGCGAACCGGATCGTCGCCGCCGAGCTGCCCAGACCACCTGATGCGTCTCCCGTTCGCTGGTCGACCAGGTCCTTCAGGAGCAGTTGGTAGAAATCAGCGTCGTCGTAGATATCGGGGTCCTCGTTAATTTTCTGTGCGACTTGCGCCGGGGCGCACGAGCGCGGAATTCGTGTTCTTTTGATGAGCCGCTCTGGAGCGTCGAGTTCCTCGTCTAGCCGCGTGGTGAGGGACTTCTCAACGGTACTGGTGAATCTGCTGGATGATTTATCCGTCATCCGTATGTTCTTTGCGCTGTGTGACCATTTCTCCAAAACCACCCTCCGGCGGACAACCGCGCGCTGCTCGATGGCCTGCATATTTTCCCACATATCCTGAATTGGGGTATCGGCTTCGGCGGCGCGCTTCCTTTTTTGGCCCGTCTTATCGGTAGAATCCGACTGGAGATCTAGGCGGTAGCCATCTATCGCGTTCCATAGCTTGAGAGCAGCCGCCTCGGCCGCCTCATAGGGCGCTGGATCTTCTCCTGAGTCCTCGATGGAGCCGAGCGAGTTCACCGCTACAAGTGATTTTTGAAGTCGGATGCGAATGTTGAGGAGCGCATCGAAAGCTTTTTGTTGTTGGCGAACTGCTTTCCCCTTGGCAACATCCTTTTGTGCAATGCTTGACAGAGTGCTGGCCACACCTTGTTGGCTCGCATTCATCATCTCTCGGATTGCTGCACGATTTTTGCGGGCTATTTCCAGGTCATTACCCGAATCTTTCTCGCCTTGATCCTCGTCTATGTCATCCTCATCGTCGTCACCCTCGTCGTCGTCCTCTTCTTCGCTGCCTTCATCCTCGTCTTCTTCGGCCGAGTCGTTAATAAAGCCACCGATCCCCGCATCGTCGGACGCCTCTTCCTCGTCATCGACGTCCTCGTCTGAAGTCCCTTCGCCATCAACCTCAGCCCCATCATCGTTGTCGTTATCCTCGTCGGACATCATGAAGTCTGCGGCAGTCGGCTGAGTTGCTCTCTTACCCCTCTTAGGCAAGGCCTGCGAGCTGCCTCGGAAGACAAAATCTTTAAACCTTTCCTCGTCGCTCTCGTTAAAGGCGTCATTGCTATCGATCTCAGCGTCAGAGGCATCCTCCTGGTCGGCCTCGAGATCAATTTCATCGGGGTCGTCGAATTCCCCTGTTTTCCGGCCGAAAGATGCATCTTCGCCTTCTCCCTCCGATTCCTCCTCATCGGAATCGCTATCACCATCGTCATCTTCTTCCTCAAGGACCGAGCGTCTCACCGGAGCGCCTCGGTACTGGGGCCCCAGCGCAACCGGTTCTCTACGACGAAGCTTGCTTTTGCTGCGAATTTCACGTATCAGTATGAACGAATTGGCGCAGTTAAGCCGTCATAGAATGATCGTACCCGACGTCGACGTAGTGCTCGGTGCCGGCATCTTCGTCGGCGCTCGCTTCGCTGCCGCCGCTGCTGTCCTCATCCGGGACCTCTACTTCCGGGTCGAAGTCTACCGAGGTGCCGCCATGTTAGCTGTACGGAGACACAGGTGCGTGCGATAGCGGATTGGGCCAGTTGCCTACCCTGTGCGGGACGTTCTGTCCATTCAGCAAATTGCGACGCGCGACTCTTTGTTGTAACCATAGCTATAATTACGCGGTGGTTTATAAGATGCCGGAATGAAGGGTGAAAAAAGTCTGGGACGTTTTTTTTCCAAGGTTTTTTCTTCCCTTTGCAAAATAATAGCGGTAGCTACTGGCAGTATGCCTAAGGCAAGCTTACGTAATGCATGTTCTCACCCGCGATTTTAAGTGGGCAGATAAAGTACAATGACCTAGGTCACTTTTACACGCTTCAATATGACCGACTCACCACACGAGAAGATGACAACAAAATACCTACCTATCGAAAAGAACCGTGTTTTTTTTTTAAAAAAAAAAAAGAGAAACAGTTAAACACTCCCTTTGCTATTCGGGCCTGGCCCCGGGTTTCCTTTTACGCATGCTCGGGCGAGTAGGAGCAGTAGGTATCACCTGAGCATCTAAAAAGGGGCTTGCTGCCCTGGGATAACGCGACGAAGACCGGGCGAAATCGCCTCGTTTGTATATTACATACCTACCTACCTATGCGGCTACTGCAGGGAGAAGGCCTAATGCTTACTCCTCTAGGGCCTTCAGCGCCGCCTCTAGCGTCTGTCCCGTCAGCCGCTCGTACACCTCCAAGTACCGGTCCCGCGTCTTCTCCACCACCTCGGGGGGCATCTCCACGTCCGGCTTTCCCTTCTGTGCCCCGGTGTCAGCAGCGTCCCGTAAAATGTAGATATGGAACACTTCGGGAAGGACGTACCAAGCCGTTCGCGGTCAACCAGTTCCGGAGGACCTGCTTGTCCACTGCGGCGCGTTAGCATCACCTGCCGATTAGAGGGCTGGCCAGGGGTAAGGGTGGGGTAGGCGGCCGGACGTAGCGCGGGCGGCACGTACAGGAATCCTGGTCGCGGCCAACTGCAAAAGCCAGTGTCAGCACCTCTCCGCAACTACAAGCAAACAGGGAAGAGGAAACATACCTTGGTAATCCTCCTTGCTCCAGAAGCGCGAGGAGTCGGGCCTGAGACGGTTCCCCATGTTAGTACTCCCCCCTCGGGGATGAGAAAAAGGGGGGAGGGGGGAGGGGGGGGGGGATGACGCACGTGAGAACCTCGTCCACGAGGTAGATCTCGTCGGTCTTTTCGTCAAGCCCGACCTCAAATTTGGTATCGGCCTGCCATACACACGCGATTAGCCACCTTCCGTTTCGAATTCAGAACACGGGGCGTGGGGAGAAGGGGGCTGCTCACGATGATAATCCCACGCTCTTCGGCGTACGCAGCCCCGGCTCGGTAGCAGGCAAGCGCGAGCTCCTCGATGCGCGTGGCGTACTTGTCGCCGACAATGGCCCGCGCCTCGGCCGGCGAAATGTTGATGTCCTTTTCGCCCAGCTCGGCCTTCGTTGACGGCGTGTAGATGGGCTGGGGCAGCTGCTGGCAGCGCTGGAGCCCCGCGGGGAGCCGCAGCCCGTGGATCGTCTGGTTCTCCTCGTACCTGCGCGGGGAGGGAAACAAGGCGGCGGTGAGAAAGCTAGGCCAGACTTCTGCGCTCCGTTGGAGACGACGGATTAAACTTACTCTAACCATGCGCCCCCCGTCACGTACCCGCGCACTACCACACGATAATGTTAGCGCGCCCCAGAGCGAGCGTGGCCGTGGCGACTGGGAGGGAGAGCTGGGGTGTGATTGGACGGGCAGAGAGGAACCGAGATCGAAACGAGATACTTGCCAATCGCTTCAATCGGGAAGATTTTCAAGCGGCTAAGGGATGAGAAATTAACAATCATTCTTCGAATGCCCACCATAGGCAACCCGCTAGGCAGGGCGAGGGTATCTGGGCGACGTCCTATCGGGTATACCGTGTAGGTCACATCTTAGAACAACATACCGAACGACCATAGACCGGCCGCGGAGCATGCGCTGCTCATCGGGCGTGACCACGCCAGGTGCTGGGGGAGGGGTTAAAGTAATGAAGTGGTGCTTCAGGTCCGGGATGCGGGAGGAGAGGATCTCGAACCACTTGGCCGACAGCAGAGTCAAAATCTGTCCCTTCGAGGCGATGCCATTCTGCCGCGGTTGTGTGTTAGCATATTGGAAAAAGCTACGGCGCATGCTTAAGCCGTGGAGCGTCGACGACAAACCTTGAGGATTACGTCGTAGGCACTTATACGATCTACAAGACGTTAACTTGGTAGGTACTTTTCTCGCCGCCCTGGAGGTGAACATACCCGATGTGACGAAAAGAAGCGTGCGGTTACCCGGGAGGGAGAAGAGGTCCCTATCGCGTTTCGACGTTAGTAGACGAGGTAAGTGCGGCGGAAACTTAGGATGGACCGATTATCATGCGACGGAAGAGAAGATCGCCTGCCGCAGAGAAATGCGCATAGGAGGTGAGAGTTCGAGGCTGCAAACGGCGTACCTGACCTTTCCCTGCGAGAGCTTGGGGAGAGAAGTGAGAGAGATGGTGGTGAGGGCCTGGGAAGCCATCCTGGCTGTGTGTCGATGGCAGCGCAACCGTTCGCGACCGGGAGATAAAGCGAGTCGGGAGGACGCTCTCGGCTCGGGACTCGAGAGTTGGGGATATTGTCGCTACCACGCTTCGCAAGGTGACGGTGGGATAACAAAGCTGTGGGAGAGGACCTATGTAGGGTACTTATAAAAGATTGAAATAAACGATACGCTTGTTAGTGAAGCAAGTCGTCGCCGTGTGTGCTGTGAGTGAAGATGGATGAACCTTCACGACGATAGCAGATAAGGATAAGCTAAGTTGGTGGGGGGGAAATTATGACGTGGGGTAGCTGGACGACGACCCGCTCAAAACTAAAAGTTGGTGACCGAAAATACCTATGTCGTGGACGAATTCGGGGGGGTTTTTTTTATTAAAAAAATCGCTATTATCCAGATGAAATCAACCTCGTAACATTGAGGTTTCGTATGACTCTTATCTCTATAGAAAAACCCCTCTATGCGTCGAGATCTTCATCCCCGAAACCCCTTCCCAAGTTGAGTCCGCCAGGTGGCAGGCGTGCCTCCGCCAGCTGTATATGTATAGTAGTAGGTATTGGCGACTTGACAAGTCTCGTCCTGTCCCGTCCCATGCCGTCTTGTCCCGCCCTTCTCCTTCTACGGATACACATACCCGTCCCGTACCCCAACTCCAACTCCGTCTCCGAATCTATTACTTGGGTGTCACGTTGCTATCGACGTCACGCTACCGATATTGCCAATCCATCAGTTGGTTATCCCCAGCGCATCCCGCGTAGCGCCTAAGCCCGCAACCACACACTCTCTATCTACGCGGGAACCATGCCGGCCCCGTAAGGCCATTGAAGAAGCCTTCCTACTACCACACCGAACCCCCGAACACCGCCCCGTCGCCGCCCCAGCTAGGACCTCGGGCCGGAACCATGGCAGCCCTCTCGCGGCGCCTCTTCCACCAGGCCGGCCGCGTCCTCGGCCACGAGAACCCCCTCGTAAGTCTCCCTTCTTCCGTCCCCTTCCCGCCCCCTCGTCGCCCCGCACGCCGTAGCGCTCGCTTACCCGGCCCCCCCTTCGCGACAGGGCCTCCCGCGGACCGGCTCTATCCCCCGCATGCAGCGGGGCCTGCCCGAGCGCCGCAAAATCCCGGATGTCGCCCGCGTCATCGCCGTCTCCTCCGCCAAAGGCGGCGTCGGCAAGAGCACCGTTGCGGGTCCGTTTATTTGATTCCACCTCTTCTTTTCCTCCCCCCCCCCCCTTCCTTCTTGTTCCTTCGTCTCTTTCCTGTTCTCCCAAGCAAGTGTTTGCGGTCGCATATGTTGTTTCGATTCGATTGACGTCGCATCCATTCACATATATGTACGCATCGCTCGTATTAAAAATGAGCCTGGAGACGGGACAAGAAAGGAGAGAAATAAAGGATGAAAAGGAAAGAATTCGGCTGATTCAGAAACCCCCCCTGTGGTGGAGACATTTGCGGCAGCAAACCTATCCCTCGCCTTCGCCCGCATGGGCTACCGCTCCGGCATCCTCGACACTGACATCTTCGGGCCCTCCATCCCTACGCTGTTCGACCTTAACGAGGAGCCACGCCTCTCCTCGAGTACGTCGGCACCTCCTCTTTTCTCTTTCTATTTCCCTACCTCACCCTCGGCTTCTCTCCTCCCCCTCCCATTAAGAGAGAGATGTTGGTGCGACCGTACACGACGCAGTAATCTGACGCACCGAACTTGTCGAGCTACCTAGATAACCAACTCCTGCCTCTGTCCAACTACGGCGTCAAGACCATGTCGATGGGATACCTCGTCGGCGAAGAGGCGCCTGTCGTGTGGCGCGGCCTCATGGTCATGAAGGCCCTGCAGCAGCTGCTGCATGAGGTCGACTGGGGCGGCCTCGACATTCTCGTGCTCGACCTACCCCCCGGCACGGGCGACACCCAGCTTAGCGTCACGCAGCAGATCGTGCTCGACGGTGAGTTGCGCAAGTCTGAGCATAGCTACTATACGGTTTGCCGGGAGCCCCGAGGTCGCGTACTAAGACATCTATAATTCGTTGTTTAGGTTCTCTCATCGTCACTACGCCGCACACCCTAGCAGTCAAGGACGCCGTCAAGGGAATCAATATGTTCAAGAAGGTCAACGTTCCGCTGCTTGGCCTCGTCCAGAACATGTCACTCTTCCACTGCCCGCACTGCCACCACCAAACGGCGGTATTTGGTTCCAACGAACGCGTCAAGCAGGTCTGCGGCGAGCACTCGATCGATCTGCTCGGCGATATCCCGTTGCACCAGAGCATCGGCGACGATGGCCAGAGAGGGAAGCCGACCGTCGTCTCCGAGCCGGACAGCGAGAGGGCGAAGGCGTTCATGGACATCGCTCACCTAGTAGGGTCGAAAGTGGGGTTGTAAACCGATGCTATGTTGCCACGGGATATGATACTATACATACTGCTGACGGAACGAACACCTGCAACCCGAAGCCTACGGCAAGATCCCGTAGCTCGTCCCTACGCTTGTACTGGATCGACTTCGAATGCGTGTCGTAACCGGCGACTGGCATCAGCCGGGCCAGGCGTGCCAACGGGTGGCGGGTTACTCCGATCCCTATCTGTGGCGAGATTTTAGCAAATCAATCTCTAACCATCGCGGGGTCGTGACGATTCCAAAAATAACCCTCCATTTTGTAAGCTTTTTGTACATGATGATGCTCAGGAACTGGGCTGGGGAGAGCCGAGCGTGTGAAGAGAGCGTCTAGTTCGAGGGCCAGGTTAGCATCTGTAGAACCCAAATAGGGACAAAGGGGATCAAAAGCGTAAACCTCCAGCCCCAACTCTCGCTTCATTCGGTGCTATATAGTCCGCACAACTTCCTCCACAACGACGACCGCCTGTTGTCCGTATTAGTCCAACTCATCGTTAGCTTGGTAGATATGGCGGCTCCTCGTAGGATCCTTTCGCATCGCCTGCCCCGAACCCGTGAAGCCAACTAGATGGGGGAGAAGTTAGTCCCGCTCGGCAATCGATATCAAGATGAGGCTGTCGGTTCACTTACCCCTACCATGAACACCTTCCGGCGTCCGGAACATGCTCTCCTTTTTAGTCTTGTGTGCCTTCGCGAACTTGGACTTGGTGTTGAAGTCTTGCCATTTGCTCTTACCGGCCTCCAGCTCCTTCGTTGCCTTGAGCTTTTTCGCCTTGGGCTTCGCCTCTCCGGCGTTCTTCAACGCTTCCTCTCTATTCTTCTGCGCCAGGTCTGGGTTTATGCTGGCTGCGGCCGATATGACGCCGGGGATGGGCTGGTTGGGTGGAGCGACTGGTTGGGACGGGGCAGACGACGATGCGGTGGCATTGTTAATGGGCGTACCGTCGGCCTTCCTCTTCTGGGCGATCGGACGGATGTCCTTGGCACGTAGCTGCTCAGTAGTGTCGTAACTCTTAAACTTGACGACGTAAATTGGCGCCGTGGACGAACCGGTGATAGAGGTGATGCGTGCTGGGTAGAAGGACTTATCCCCCGAAACCCATTTGGCCATGACGGTGTCGTTGACTTTGTAATTGACGGGGCCGGGGTCAGCATCCTTCTCCTCGACCGGGGCGGCCTTCTTCAGGGCGGGATGGTTCTCTCTCGACCATTTCTCCTGGACGGGCGGTGGCGATGGGGCTTTCGGCTTCGAGGTTGGTGCCTTTGTCGGCTTCAATTCAGCAAGGGTCTCGTTCAACAGCGCGAGCGCATCATCTAACTCAGACTTGAGGGCGAGAAGCTCAGCATTACCAGGGTCGTCCTTAAGACCTGCGCCCACGACATCGAGCTAGAGGTTCCAACCCGGTTAGCGATCCACTGTGATGGCGGGCGGGAATCGATGCTAGGTGGCTTGCCTGCTCTTGGTATTGCTTAATGTCATCCTCGAGACTGCCGATATCAGCCATGTTGGCGCTACGATGAAGTGCAGACGATGCGAAATTCCGGTCGAACGTCTGTGTAGAGGGTAAGAGATAGGAGGGCAAATATCGTTCGGCGCGTGTCTGCTCGGGATCTGTCGGCGGTGCAGGCGATATTATTGTTGGACTGGAGAAGAAATGGAGGTGGACAACAGGAAAATGATGCCTGAGGGATACGAAAATGATCTAAAGGGACTTACCTAAGCCATCCAGTGGGATCGTTGCTTACCTAATGCTAGCACACTTAGATACAAAAGGTACTTGGATACTGTTCCAGAGCAGGATCTTCTGGACAGCTGGGAACAGCTGCCTGCTTCCTTTTCCTTTTACTGTGACAAGCCATCGCTCCCTTTTATGCATAGCCTCACTCTAGAATATTCAACGCGGGGATATTCAACGCGGGGATATTTACATAACGAAGCCGTCTCCGTTTACATCCAACCAATGGCGTCAAGATCCATCACAGAAACACTCGACGAATTCGGGACAAGATTATTCTCTCACCTTCGTATGCAACTCTCGAGGCAGGTAACTGATGTTGACATTATACACCTATATCATCGTAGTGAGCCCGCCGATTATCTATCCTAGAATAAGAAGAGCTATATTCAGTGCTTTAAAATTCCGCACGATCTGCAAATGTCACTGGATCCTAGTCTCTGAATTGGCCCTGTGGAATGTACCTCCACTTGGAGACGTATGCCGGCGTTGTCCCTGCGTACCCGTTACTCGTACAATAAACCCCGAGAATAACACCTGAGTGATGTCAGCATCAGACTACGAACAAGACCAGCGCGATCAGCCTTACCTGTAAAGCCCCAGCTGACAGGATCATTTGAGACGTCAAGAATGGTTCGCGTCTCCGAGTAAGCATTCGCCGGGCCGGCGGATAGGGAGTAGTGGGTCATGTTGTAGGCTTTGATCTCTAGCCGTAGCGTCCTATTGTGCCAGGCCTCGGGGATCGGGACCACCACATCGTCGGGTACTGGGACGTAGGATTCACCGCGGAACCTCAGCTGCGGGATGAGCTCTGCCGAACTCTCTATGCTATTCGTGCCCGGGAACGGCGCGGTGCTGCTGTTGGGCGGGAGCATGACGACGCCTAAATCGAGATGGTGGTTCTGTGTCAAGAAGACCGAAACGCCGGCTTCTTCTTCGAAGGACGAAGGAGAGAAGTCTAGATCGACGCTGTACGTGAAAAGGGTGTCCTGTTGGCGACGTCCTACAAAGGTCTGGCCCTCGGGCCCGGCATAATTCCCATTCAAGGCCGTGAGATTTAGCTTCGACGGGTTTAGCCTCAACGTGTTTGGGTGTCCCGGAGGTGAGACCGCGTATGAATCGGCGATAGGGAACCTCCAGTGGGTGAAGTGTGCCGGGAGTTCCGACCCCGGCTCAAAGTCGACGACATCCCCTTCGGAAATGAAGGGACTGCTACCGAGTTAATGACGGTAAGCTCGGCAAGCAATGAGGAAACTTACCCAGGTCCGTCAATCTCTAAATCCTCGATAGGAAACTCCCATCCACTCATTTTCCCATTCAACGGAGACCAGACCGGGAACTCTCCGTCCTCCCAAGTGACAGGAACCATGATAGTCTCCCGACCCATTGGGTAATGCAGATACTCGGGACCTGAGCGAGTTGATAACGCAACTCCCCACCTGAATATCTTGGTTAGCCTAGCAAGTCTTGGCAGTATGTACGTCCACTTCGCTCACCAATTTCCTGCAGCATCCTGGAACAGGTCGGCATGGCCAACGGTCTGGACTGAGATGTATTAGATCCGCGATAATAGTACCAATACGTATAGACACTTCGCTCACAGTAATTAGTCGTATTTGCGTTCGTTAATACGGGATTTGCGGGGTTGGATTCATAGGGGCCATATATGTTCTTTGACCTTGCCATCGTCACCATGTGGTCGATCCCCGTCCCCCCTATTATGGGCGTGGGAAGTCAGCAAGTCTCTCGTATTTCGATCCGGATCCCATAACCCACCTTCGGCGGCTAGTAAATAGTACCAATCGTCTTTGCGGTATATATGAGGTCCCTCCGGTGCCTAAAGACCGTAGATGAGACTGAGGTCTGTATTATCTAGAGAATGGCGAGACCTACCATACCACCAGTACCATTCCATATGACCTCCCATTCGCCTACTTCACCGGTCTCTAAGTTGGCTTCAGCCAACAAGATCCCGGGGCTAAGGAGGTTAGACTCTTCATTATCGCCGATTCCTCATGATCATAGGTAGTACTTACAAGACTCTCCAGGCGTGCGCGCCGGAGATGTAGGTCTTCCCGCCATCCCAAATGGGCTCGGTATCGTAGCCTTCAAACTCGAAGTGGACTGCTTTAGACCACGCATCTGGGTCGTAGGGATCGTTGGATTTGAATATGACCTATTCCGGAATTAACCAACCTGTAACTGAGGGGATCCTTGGGAAGTGGGCTATACATTATCCCATCGCGAAGCATCTTCTGTCGCTCGGTCGTCGTCCACCAGAGTAGTCACGAGCCAGAACGTCCCTTCATTATACCTCAGAGCTGGCGCCCAGATTCCGCTATTCTATATCAGCATCGATACACCTAAGCGTGGTTCACCGATTCAATTCAATACCTTGTTGATCTGTTCGTTTCGGCCAGTCGCGGCAACTGCTCTCGCCGATTCAAGACGTGCCCTGCAATCAAAGGCTCTGTAAGTATAACCCCTTAACGCTCAACACGAAAAAAGGAGACTAGCCTATCAGTTTCCAGTTCTGCAAGTCTTTGCTTGCGTGTAGTGGGATGCCGGGAAAGGCGTTGAAGCTCGAGCTCGCGCAGAAGAACGTTTGATTCCACTCCGGAACAAATACACAACTCGGATCGGGATGAAATCCCGGCAATACGGGATTGTAGTACGTCGAGTTAGGCGCATGCGGCTGAGATCCCAGCGCAATGGGAGCAAAAGCAGCACCGAGATACAGCACGGTAGCTATCGTTCCGTAAGCCATCGTCACCGCGGTGAGAGAGATATCGAAGCTACCTACGCCGATCGTATGCACCTGCTATACCAATGGGTTTCACCCTCTATAAACACTGGAAAATGGAGCGGGAGATATGCCCCTGTAGGTAATACACCCCGCATCCTTCACCATCGCCTCCCATGCTCGGGTAAACTGTATGGATAATATGCGTACATTGGTATTCGATGATTTCGGGTACCGATGGGCCGATCTATACACCAGGAGTTGAGGTTCAAGGGCGATTTCATGCTTGTGATAGGTGGTAAAATACGATTAGCATCACATCCAAGACGGGGCTCCAAATTGAGTATGCACATGGCTAGTCGATTCTGGGGTACATGGACCATCATTGCGTATTTGAATCGCCCTCTGATGAACTATCGACTTGAAAGCGTCGGCAGCCAATTGCCTCCGGCCATATTAGGCCCCATTGGCTCTTGAGGAAGAGCGAAAGCGAGAATTGCGATAGTGGCGCCAAAATCATCGTATAAGAAGATCTAACAGCCGGCTTTTAGCTTGAGTACCTATGCTTTCAACTCACCTTAAGGGAAGAGGTTCCTGACTCTTAGGAGAAATCATATAGGCATGGGATCATCGATGGGAAAAAATTCACGAGCCACTAATAGCGCCGGAAGGCCCACGTGGACACCGGAATCCGTGCGGGCAAGGTCGTATTAGAGCGGTTGATATATCTTGGCCGATGAACTAGAAAGATTCGCAACGTTGTCACCCCAATCAGATAATATAGCTAAGGAACCGAACCCTAACTAGTGTTGTGGATGACTATGAGTAGATATAGAGAAACGGTGGCTACACCTAAAAGAATCACCGTGTGCTCCGGGGGTGATTAGGCAATTGTCTAACTGCTATTATGGGTATCTCGACACATCGCTATATTAAGCATCAATAGCCGTCAAATTAGCCCGCTGTAAATAATTGCCTATACGAATCAAACAACTGGGTAAACTATATGCCCGCCTAACGTTGAGAAAGTCATGAAGATACTGTCGCAAGTTGGATGTACATATGCGAGGACACTCTATCTTAGTGATGGTAGCTGCCTTAGTATCCGTCATCCCGGTACCTTCTTTGTCCCGCGTACTCCTTGTCGTCTCTATTGTGCTCTCGGCGACCCTTATGATCTCTGTGCCCTCTGTGGTCTCTATGACCCCTGTGCTCTCCGTGGCCCCTGTGCTCTCCGTGGTCTGTATGGCCCCTATGCTCTTTCCGATGGGTCGAGTCACGGTGTCTGTCGTCGCCCTTCTTATCGCTTGTATGGCGAGAGGAGTGTTTTTTCCGTGGCTTCGTTCCGAGCCCGAGGAATGCTTCGAACATGCTCGGTTTGAGCTCAAGGTTGGCCCCCCTAGCGCGTCGATTACTCGGCGTCTTGGATGGGGCGCTATCCTTTTTCTTCTTCTTTTCAGTCTTCGAGGCCCTTAACTCGCTTCCCTGGGTCATCTGCGTCTGTTCTCCTAAGTACATCGACATTATCGCATCGACTTCTGCTGCCGCCGTAGCCTCCACGTCATCTATCCACCCGTCGATTCTTTTGTTGCGTTCCTCTGTGGTTGGATTGTCGTCCTCATACTCATAGATTTCGTCGTCGTACATTTGTGCGCCGTCGTCGATAGCGGCGTCGTTAACGTAATGATTGTATTGGTAACCCATGTTGGACGTTGTTGGTAATAGAAACCTGGTGTCTCTTCTCGTCTATTACTTCTAAGTACTTGACTGCCGCGGCGTTACTCTGGCCATAAATATACCTCAGCAAATCTCTTGCCTTGTTTCATGGACGATAGGCGAAAGAGGATTGTTTCACAACACAATGATCCGAGGCCTCAGAGGCAAACAGTTCTTTGTGACCTTGGTACAACATGCTCAATGCGATTGTGTAGTCTTCTTTGTCTTCGATGTTTCTTCTGGTTATAAAAGTCAAGTTCCATCCCATAAGGAGCAGCATCATCTGAAAAGCAAGGTACCATGCGCACTAACCATTAACAGGGAACCATACTTTACTTGTATCGATTAGAGAACTGGCTCGTCAGTCTGATTGCCGCAGCAGCATCCAGAGTACAGATCTCAAGATCGACTAGTTAAGATGGTTGGCAAAATTCCCAGAGTTCGCTTCCATCCGAGTTCCCCCTCTAACCTCGGGCCCCATCGTTCGAAAGTGTTCAAAAGTCGACAAGATCCCTATCCCACGTCTTCAGCCTACCCAGATTCCTGGGTAGCTGAAAATGACACCGCTCATGGGCTACGAGTTAGCCTGCTGAAGAACCGCAGGGGCTCGGTGCCTTCTAGCGTAGAAAGCGGTAGGTCTAAAACACCCGACCGGGCCACGCGCTCAACTACTCACTTGACGGCAGATGAAGATGATGAAGATGAGTCTTTCAGAAACGCACCATGGCGGAGAGATCGACGAAGTAGCGTCGCTCGGAGCACTGACAACGAGACTAGCTCAAATTCCGACGGGCTAGTACAATCGATGCTAGAGGAACTTCGCCGGTATAACGACGCGGCCAAGTCAATAAGTGATAACGAATGGGTTCACCCGCCTCGGCCGCGTAGTCGCGCTAGGAGGCTCGACCCCGTGCAGTACTCCAAGGAGCGGGTCCAGGAGCTCAAGCGATGGTCCCAAGCGCAGGCTTTCATGTACGGGCAGACAACCTCGAGCCTCCGAAGCACCGACACGAAACATCCTCGTAGCGCCTATGTCCCTGGGACGGTCTTTAGCGCTCCATTTCACACATCCAGCAGCTCTGACGAGATGTACGTCCAAGCCGACGACCCGAACCTGACGGCCACTCCCTTCGGCACGGTTTGCTCCAAGTACCGCAAGATGATAGTTATAAGAGTGTATGGTGAGCACTGCACGTGCCTGCCTATATACACTCACAACGGCCGTGGCCTTGACAGTAAGGAGTTCCCAAAAGAGTTCGTAAGTATCCGCGATGTCGCCGAGAAGTGGCCGGAGCCATACGAGGGTCCTCATCCGGGAATTCTCGCGATAAGAGATCAGGAGTTCCGGGCCGGGTCATTTATTACCGGTAGGTCTGTCGTTAAGTTGACCGAATCCATCAGTCATCGCTTTGATGCCCCAGCAACTATTGAAGGCCGTCTCGATAGCGAGAGCGAGTCTCGGCAGAGGCTTTTCGAACTGATCAAATTAGTAGATGGGTAAGTTCTGCTGGAAACCGGCTTTTCTTGTGGTAAGTTTCCGGGGGAGGAAATTGAGGCGGGCTGGAGCCCAAGCGACAGGGATAGATAAGAGTAAGGGTATTCGATATAGACATAAAGCCAATATTATACACTTGAGCCTTTCGATATTTACCTAGTTGACAAGAAAGCATTATTTAAAGATTATCTATCATTAACACCAGGGTCACGGTCTAATAGTATTCGAAGACTTGCAAGTGATAACTAATTTCAGTCGATGATGTGAGAGTTGTGCCTTGTACATAACGTCTTTAAACCCAGACGCACTTATGTTCGCCTTAATCCCGTGGAACTCTCAACAGGCTTCGGTTCTCTACCGATGAAGATACCGGGTTGCAGAGACACTCAGTTCAATGACGGTGAGTGGGTTTTACACTGAGCAGAATGAAGACCCACTAAGAATCTAGAAGTTAGTCTAATACAGTTGAGACGATCATCGTGGCTTTGCCTTTCCACATATCTGGACAACCGCAGTACCCTCTACGCGTCGCTAAAAACTCAAAGTAGCGGCTTAGTAGGTATATCCATCCGGCGCGTCACCCAGCTGCCAGAATTTCGGGCGTCATGGAGGTCCTGACTCCATACCTACCGGTATACGCACGATTCCTATCAACCTCCCTGTTCTAACACGCGTTGTAGAAGGCGGGAATTACCCGCAGCAAAGCGTCCTAGCACCATCTTTGGGATGATGGCTTTGGCCGGAGGAGACAACCGATGCGGGCGGATCCTCGGTCCCGCAACAAACAAGCACACGTAAGTACGCTCATAGAACAATAATGAATGCGTTGTTCTGCGGACAAAGAGCCGGCGGCCCCACCGCGTAAGAACAATATCTATCAGGCTCACGACCAAGGGGTTCCGCTACAAAGGGCATGCCGCCCGCTTCTACTTATGAGCGCCCACGCGCTGCTCATCTGCAGCCTTTAGTCGTCAGTCCTCGCACAGCATCGCGCGCTCTCTTTCGTTTTCCGTAGCCTTAACTACCTACCTCCCCCTGGCAACGAATCTCAACCCCCATTTCCCCATCACTCTCTCCCCGCCCGTGCTCTTCTAAGCTAGGCCAGCCAGCCAGCTAGTGTGGTCGGGCGTCCATGGCGGAAGACCGCGCTCACGCCGACGCCGCCGCGGCCTCGGACGGCGAGCAGAACCCGCCCCCGGCCCCGCCCAACACGCCTAACTCCCCGAAGCCAGACGCGCCCGACCACCCGGAGCCGGACACGCCCGACTACCCGAAGTCGGAGCCGCAGCCGCAGCCGCAGCCGTCAAGTGACGGCGAAACCGCAGCCCCGGCCGCGCCCGCGGGCTCCGCCGATCCGCGGGCGCCGCCGGGCGCGTACCCGAGCGGCGGCGACAGCGGCGAGGCAGACGGGGTGTTCCCGATGGACCTGGACGAGGAAGAGGCGGCGTTCCTGACGGACCTGGACGCGCTGGAGGCGACGCTGTCGGCGTCGCGCACGCGCAGCGCGTACGCGAGCCTGTCGCTCTCGCCGACCACCGCCGCCTCCGGCCGTCAGCCGCGCGTCCCGGCCCCCTTTCCCGACTGGATCGCCGCCGCCGACTTCGTCGAGGCCCACGCGCGCATGCCCCGCGGCACGCGGTACTACCGCAGCAGCCGCTGCCGGAGCGAGAGCGAGGGCAAGGCCGACGAGGCCGGCCCGACAGGCGCGGACCCGCCGGTCTGAGAGTAGGTGATGGCCTCGCGCGGCCAAGCGCGGGTAAGTACCTGTAGGATGTAAGGGGGTGTACGCGCGTGCACGCATCCCGTCTCGAGGCTCGATCCGCGGGTTCCGGGCGCCGAGCTTCGAACTAAAGGGTAGGCATGTATTTGCAGGAGAGAATCTTTGCTTCTCCCTGTCCCCTCTATCTTCTGTACCATCAAGTAAAGGAGAAAGAAATGAGGAAAAAGCTGTGAGTGAAGACGCGAGAAAGGATAGCCTAATACAAGAATCCTATGATAGGATACCTTGTTCGTCATTAATAACGATACGCTGGCGATCAGTAGAGTGGAAAGGAACGTAGTTGAAATACAAGGCATCTCTGTCGCACTCCGTACCGATATGTACATGGCTAACCGAAACCCTCTAACGCCTCCGTCTCCATCATGCCGCGCGCCGCGAAGCGCATGCGTAAATAACTCATCGACGTCTCTAATTACCTAATACTCCATAGAGCGGCATGCGTAGTTCTATATGCAGTATGTGTACAGGCTCTATGTACAGTGCCCAAGACGGAAGAAGACAATCGGCTCCCTTCCGCTCTATCCTATGCGGCACCCACAGCAGAACTACCGAAAGTGCTTATTACGCCGGGACGGGAAACGTCCCGAAACTCCGTGCTCATCCGAACCATCGAGAACGAGGGCGGGCACGAGAGTGCCTACTCCCCTCTCCCAAATCCACGGACCATCACTCCCCTTGGCACTAGGAGAGTCGGGTCGAGGCTGATGCGCCACAGCTCGCCGTCTGTTATGGTTTTCCTCTATGCCCGCGTCCTCGTCCTCTACCGGAACTCGGCCCTGCTTCTTGAGCGTTATTGCTGCCACCGACGGTCCCGCCCCCTCCAACATCGTTATTGTTGGCGCCGCCGTTTCCTTTCAGCTTATTGCGGCCTCTCCTGCTGCTGTTGGCGCCAGACTCTTTCTTCTTATCTTTGCCTTCCTCGCGCGCGACTCGCCTTGCTTCCTCTTCTTGTGTTCGTCTGCTTTCCTGGTCCCACCATTCTTGGAAAGCTTGCTCTTGCTGTATTTCCTGTAAGCTACGTTTGGCGACCGCTTCGCGTACGACTTGCTGTTCACGTCGCTGCTCCCCGGTGATATCTGCTAGACCGAGTCCCATCTCCTGCTCTGGCTTAGGCGCTCGCTTGATGTAGGATTTCGAATACGGGGCCGGGGGATTGTGACTGGGCTGGGTGGGTACCGTAGGTGCTTGGATTCCAGGGCGGGCCTTCTGGCCGGAAAATCGGGTGTCGGGAGACGCCGTGCGTCGTGACATCGACTTTCTAGACGACATTTCCGCTACAAGAAGCTGCTTTGGTTTGGGTGGCGCCTCTAACGGTCCCGCCGCAGGTTCGACCGCGACTGCGGAAGGTGTCTTGGGAATTGATGGGCCTTTTTGCCAAGGACTCTCATTCTTTTCTCCGGCTCTGACCCATGGCGACTGAGACCGCTGAGATTGCGATTCTTGCCTAGAGGCCTCCTCTATTTGTAGCTGCTGCAGCTGCTTTTTCCTCTCCTTCTGGGAAATCTTTGGAGCTGCCTTAGTAGCAGTGTCCTTTTTCTCGGCAGCCAACCCTGCAGAGAGGGCCGACTGTGTAGGCCGAGATTCTGCTAGTACCTGACGTAAATCTAGCCGTACAGGGGGTGGAGCCGACGGCCCCCATGGGTTACCACCGGACGGGATACGTCTCGTGATATGGGCAGATGGCGCGGTGGGGGGAGGATTTGAGCGTGGCATCAAAGCGTGAGGGCTGATATTGGTCGTGGTGCTATCTGCGACGACTTTGCCTTTCGAATCCCGCCAAGGACCAGAGAGAGCTGGCAGATGATCCAAGTCTTCCCGCCCGCTGGAGCGTAAAGGTTGGGGGCTTGGAGACGCAGGACTTCCAGGACCAGGCGATCCTTCGTCGTCCATATCGAAAATGAGGTCCGCATAAGAATCCTTAGGCCGGAGCTGGGGGCTGAAGGGTTCATTTTGAACGGCCTTAGACTTCCTCCTTGCTCTGTCCGGTGTTGGTGAGATGCTGGCGGTGTCCTCGAGACTTCCAAAACGGACTTTGAACGAGGACGAGAGCTTCCTCTCGTCATCTCTCTGAGCCGCCCTGAAGGCGATCTCTTTCACCCGTCTTTGTCTTTCTTCGTCGATTTCCTGAGCCAATTCAGGGTTACGCTCGTGTAGGAGTAAGTCAACTCTTCCGCTTCGTGCAAACGGACATCTGGCTAATTGATTATCCCTGACGACTCCGTCAAGCTCCAAAAGGAGGTCTTCGTCAAGATTATCGAGCAAGCTACCGATAGATTGGCATTACGGTTCTTTACCTACGTCCGCGTTGTATCGGGAGGCACACTTACTGGTTTTCAAGCATTGACTCCATCTGGAGGCAGATGTACTCGAGCCCCTTATCCTTAAACTCAGTGACAGAACAGGGGCTGATGAGATTAAGCAGAGTCGAGATATTTCGAGTAGTGACTGGCAAGGTTAGGCCCTAGGTTTCGACCACCGAAGCTGGGAACCCACAACACTCACCAAAACGGCCAATGACTTTCTGGCAGATCTGCGACAGGCGATCCAACATGAGCTCGTTAGCGAGGCTCATGACATCCATGACTAATTCGGAAAAGTCGTCGATATTATCCGCAATTACGTCGTTGAAGAGCTCTTCGCCAACATCGGAGTACAGATGCTGGAGAACGTAGTGGAACGACTCTGGATTCATATGCTTCATGTCGAGATTGATGCGACCCGAATAATTCTGTGCTGCGCGGCGAGACTCTAGCCACATACCCTGTGAGCGGCCATTGAAAAGACCTTTGAACCATGGACACCTTTGGCAAAGCATGACACTGTGAACGGGGATCTCGTCGCCACCAAGTTCCAATAGAACATCGCCGTCCGCAAAGAAGGCCGGATCCTCGATTGCTATCCTGAAGTCGCGGTTCATAGAGCGTGCTGGCGAGGTCTGCGTCCTCACCGCGGCTTCTAGGTCAACCATGCCAAGCTTCGTGGCCAATTTCATCAGTTCCGTACGGACCTGACGATACCTGTGAGCTAGAGGCTTTGACTGCCGAGTGAAATTCCAAGCTGGGATGACCTTATCGCTGTACATATAGACGACGAGGTTAATTAAGGTGATTATATCAACGCCGTCAGTCAGTTCCACGCTTACAGCGCCATCCTGCTGGCTAATGCTCAGTAGATCCGGGATTTCGCAAACCCCGGTTTCCATGAATCGTTGCTGCCCAGCTCGAAGCTGCGGACTTCTTGCTGACAGAATCCAGGAATGCACAGGGATTGCCAATTTGGGGTAGGTAGCAGTGCGAATAACCGTGCCGAGGCCCTCGTGTTGGAAGCTCCAACTTGTAAGATGTGCTTGAAGGTCTTGGTCGAGGTCGGTAGATGTCAATACCTCGTATGCTAGGGCATCCACCCGACCCCTCAACACCTCCGGGTCGTGAAATTTCCACGTGCCCTTGTTCTCTCGGGCTTTAGAGTTCAAGGCCTTGAATCCAGCGAGGGGTAGCAATGGGGCCACATCCTCCCATAGGGTCGGTGCATCAACCACGAGTTGTTCCCGTGTCACGTCACAGTCCTTCCGGACCGCCGCATACGCACCGAATGCAGAGCTTCTGACAGCCACTATATCGGTAATATACGGAACACGCTGGAACTTAAAATCTTTACGCTTGGAGTCAGACACGCCAGCTGATTTGGTGTCTTTGGCTCTGGGTCGCTTGATACGGCGCCAGACTGCGCCAGACTGCGTAGAGATCATGACGGAGCCATTTTCTCCAACGGTAACGGATTTGACACCGTCCTTCTTAGAGCTCCAAATACACTGTGGTGTCGTCACGGCGTCTTTGATCTTGGACGGATTCGTTGTGGAGGTTGCGGATTGGTTACCGTCGACTTTATGATTGAGAATCATGGTGAAGAGGTCGCCGCTGCCTGTCACTGCGGCTATAGTTTCTCCACCGGATGCGATCTGACGTACCCCGCGGCGGCCAGAGTCGTATCGAGATGACATGGACAACTGTACGGAACGTCGGAGCGGCGAATTCGTAAAGGGATCATAAGATGAGAATTTAATCATGTTGTATCCGTAACTCGTGAAGACGCAGACTGTGTGGTCCTCAAACAGACAGGAAGTAGCTTTGTCGATGGCCGACACCATGACAATTGAGGAGTGACTTGAGAGCAAAGTGGCGGCAACCTTCCTAGGGATGGTCTGGACCTCGAGCGATCTGGAATCTGCATCCATCAGGGCAAGCTGACCGACATTCTTACCCCAGCAGAACAGAGACGAGCCGGTATGCGCCACGGAGTGGATTGCAGAAGCAGCTACGCCAACTATGATTTCCTTCTTCAACGGGCCGAACACCTGGCGCGGAATCGCACTCGTGGGTTCCTCATCGGACTTCGCTGGGGGTGGCAGGGCAAACCCAAGCTGTGAGTAAGTGTTCATGCCCCATGTCCAGAGTTCGCCGGCGCTGGTGACGGCCATAGAGTGGTTCTGGCCAAGGGAGACTTGCACCACTTTCTTCTGAGAGAGCCCGCCTTGAACGGGGATGAAATTGAAACGGGTATTCTCGTCACCGAGACCCAAGCGACCGCCGCGGCCGATGCCGCAGACATACAGGTTAGACACGGGGTCAGTCGTGAGGACGGCACTATGGAGTTTGGAAAGCACAACATCTTGGATCACCAGGGGTCGATTCTGGATCAAGGCAGGCACACCGGCCGAATCGAGAGACAGAGAATCTTCGCCATTCGATTGACGATTATTTTCCTCAAGGTACTGGTCGTAGAAGCGTTGGACCAGGTGGTCTGGCCGCTTCAATTGGATGCGCTCGGGGAACTGGCGGTCATCTTCGTCGCCAAGGCCTAGGGTGAAATTGTTGTTGCTGCCGAAAGTAAAGGCTTCTTCACCAAGACCAGGCAGTCTACCATGATGCCTGGACGAACACGTTAGCGAGACACGTTCTACGGCCGGAATTGGCTCGCATATCACCTGGTGTCCTCGCCTTCGGGGCCTTCGTCGGTGTCCGATCCTGATTTTTCCGAGCCCTCGTGGTCCTCGTCGGCTTTCAAAACCCGAAGCGCGATGGTGGCATTGTAGACATCAAAGGGACTGTTCCCCTCGTGGTCCTTGGTCTTGATTAATTGACCAACCTTAACCGGGGTAGCTCCGCCGAGCGAATTTGTCAGATCATTCCGTTCCTTCTCTAATAGCAAACGCGCAATCGAGATGTTCCCGTTGTACAGGGCCCTGTGCAACGGATTCCATCCACTCTCATAGTCCTGCACGTATATATCGATGGCGGGGTGGTCGAGGAGGGCTTGGACGAAGGGTACAGCGGTTGACAAGGTGGACGAGGCAGCTCGGAGGAGAATGGTCAGGCCTGCATGGTCGCGACTATTAACCTCAGCTTTCCCCAAGCTGCTGCCGGTACTCTTCGGCCCGGCAGCCGCAGAGCTAAAGCCAGGGGCCTTTCGCAACTTGGGGGTAGCGCGTGGGGAGCTTCCAAATGCGCTGGAGCCTCCTACTCCGGCCGCCGGACTCTTAGACAGATTCTGGGAATAGCCGGCAGGGGCCAGCAGCCGACGAAACCTGTCGACATCGTTTTCCCAATAGCACTTCCACAATAGATGACTCATGTGTGGTCTCCGGGGTTGTCGTCTAAAGCACTCTAAACTGCACCTCGCTGTGAGTCTCAGAGGACCACGGCTTGTTTAAAGGTGCGGTAGAAAGCGCTTTGGCCTGACAAGGCACCGGCGGAGTCACCCGTTCTTGTGGTCCTTGCTGCGTGGGACGGGCAAGAAGACACTGTCGCTATATGTACAGCGGTGTATGGGTGGTCGCGATGGGGTCGTCTTCTGGGGCGTCTTGCTCAGCTTCGACCTGGCTTGTCGGTTATACCAGGGGAACTCGTTGGCTGCGGGGGAGATGGTGGGCGGTTTACGTAGGTAACTGCGGTCGGATTGGCAGGCTGAGGGGGATCGACGCTATACAGCAGCTGAATCGGTATGTGCGGGTAAAGGAGGGGTGAGGAGTATTGAGAGACGATAGCTCGTAGAATTCTGACACACTGTCGCCGTTGCGCGCAATTGATCCGAGGGGGGCTTAGGGAATAGGTGGCTCAGAATGAAGTCTGGACGACAACAAGTTTGTGTGTGTGTGTCTCGGGGGGAGGGTTAAAAGAATGTGGAAGGAGGGTTATCAGATATTGATGTAGATATGGGTGGGAGTAGGTATTGAAGGATGTCAGGAGGTACCTAGCCCGGCCACTGCCCACAGGCTGGTGGACACCTGCAAGGTCCCTGCTGGGTACCTAAGATAGGCGGGCTATGCTATAGATATGCAATCAAGATATGTAGGTAGACGCTTAGGCAGCTCTGAGGTAACTCAGATAAGAAGGGCATGTGGAGACGAGCCGTTACATGCCCCGTGAAAGAGTCATACTGCATCTACAAACCCGCCTTCGGAATCTCCTTAAGGGGGATAGAAAGTTATAGCTCGTCTAAGTATAGAGGTTAGGCACCTAAGGGGGAGTGTCTCATTCTGATCTCATTCTCATACACCAATCGCAGGCCTGTATGGAAGAGCGTGGTCCATTCTCAACATCTTGCTTAACGAGAGCTTTATTCATACCACATTGTTCTTTTCGCTCCTCTTCTGCTACCCCAACCTACCCTTCTAACCAATCTCTCCCGCGAACAGCTTCGAGTTAACACCTTCACGTTGACATGTGAACATGCCCAAGCGATGGATTGGTGTCCCATAGACCAAACCGAGAGCGACGGGGCGGGCATCTAATTACTTCTGACCCCAACTCTACCTATCATCTCCGAAGGGCTTCCTATTACAAGAGGCATCCCCACCATGACAGCTAAGTATCTATTATAAAATTCATGCGCGCCAAATACAGCGAAGCCTTTGGCCTGTAGCACAGACTAGATGTAAAGCAGGTCAGGGATCCGATCTAGCTGCATAACCCCGCAGGCACGGCCCTTGGGAGTCAGGCTGGCTACGGGATGGTGATGATAGCCCTGCACGGTAAGAGGGCGAATAGGAATCGATCCTCGTCATCAACCCTCTCCTGCGATTCGATCATGTTAGTAACACATCATTCGTAGGCATATGGAAAGGACTGAAGCTGCCTCTTACTGCCTGATAAAGCAGCACCTACACGTCTAATACACCTGGTGGTTGCCGGGAAACAAGAGCGTGCGATGGGAAGAGTCCGCAACGAGACACTCTCATTCCTCCCAAATCGATATGGGTTCTCCTTCCCATGTCAGACACGTACAGCAGACTGCATCAGAGATACTAAGGTAGCCGTGAATAACCGTCTAGGCACCTTAGGTACCTGTTCTGGAGCAGACAGAGACAAGTGTAGGCGGGACAGGGATACGACAGCATAGTATGGTGATGGAGCTGCCAGAAGCCAGCCGGTCTTCCTGACAGTTACCTAAAAGAGCAAGTACAGCCTGGCTTCAAGGATGGGACATGTTACCTAGGTAGTATCTACCTAAGAGCTAACATGCAGCAATGGGCGCACCCAGGTATCCGGTACATACAGAACATCCCCTTCAGGCACTGGACCCTGAACCCCAGCCCCGAACTGGTGGCGTGGAGGGGATTTGATTCCGATCTGGCGGGCAATCCCGGCATTGTGCGCGCTTGGCGGGGGTTTCTCCTAGCTTGCCGCGCGCCGCCATCGCAGACCTAACGCTCCCTTCTCTCGAACGTCGTCTTATTTTTCCTAGAATCAGGCCAAAATAAAACAGGAGAGAAAACCCCAATCCCGTTCAAATACCTCATCCTCCCCGTCAACCACCAACTGCTGCTAACTGTACTCGCCCTCTCTAAATACTGTCCCGCTCTCCCTCCTCTGGCCCAACCTCCCGTCCTGTGCAGTCCGCGTATCCGGCCCATCCAGTCCTCGCCCGAGTCTTCGTCCAAGATGTCTACGGAAAAACCCCTCCCCTTCATCTACCAGTTCACCGCAGGTCAGTTGCTGCCTCTACCTCCTCCCCCACCGGCTGCCTTGCCCCAATGGCTAACCAACACGGCTCAGGCGCCGTCGCGGGCGTCTCGGAGGTAAGTGATGAAATGCCCCCTACCCACCGCGTGCGCTCTACAGTAGCTGATGTCCCTGCCCATCTCGCAGATTCTGACCATGTAAAGGCCGGCCCGCACGTGTCCCCCGCGCGTACGTAACTAATAGCCGTCAGGTACCCCCTCGACGTGGTGAAGACCCGAGTGTGAGCGGCGATGTCATGCCCCTGTTGGGCCTGACGCTTACTGCGCAACAGACAACTCCAGACTGGCAAGGGCACGGGCGCGGACTCGTACAACGGCATGTTGGACTGTTTCCAGAAGATTGTTCGCAACGAAGGGTATGTCGGCTAGCCCATCCTCGAGGGTGCCCCCGGCTTACCCCCGCTGCAGGTTTTCGAGGTTATATAGAGGCATAACTGCCCCTATCCTGATGGAGGCTCCGAAGCGGGCCACCAAGTTCGCGGCGAACGACGAGTGGGGAAAGTTCTACCGCAGCGTCTTTGGTGTCGATAAGATGAACCAGTCGCTCTCGATCCTAACTGGCGCGTCGGCCGGAGCCACCGAGTCCTTCGTCGTCGTACCGTTCGAGCTGGTTAAGATTCGGCTTCAAGACAAGGCCTCGGCCGGGAAATACACCGGCATGATTGATGTTGTCTCCAAGACCATCAGGAACGAGGGCGTCCTGGCCATGTATAACGGCCTCGAGAGCACCTTGTGGCGTCATATACTGTGGAATGCTGGCTACTTCGGCTGCATCTTCCAGGTTCGCGAGCTCCTGCCGGAGGCTACCACGAAGAGGGGGAAGATTACTAACGACCTAATCTCCGGCTCCATCGGCGGAACTGTCGGCACGATAATTAACACCCCTATGGATGTCGTCAAGTCGCGGATCCAAAACAGCCCCAAGGTCGCCGGCCAGGTCCCCAAGTATAATTGGGCTTGGGGTGCCTGTGCAACGGTGATGAGAGAAGAGGGCTTCGGTGCCCTTTACAAGGGCTTCCTGCCCAAGGTCCTAAGACTAGGGCCAGGTGGAGGAATCTTGCTCGTGGTTTTCACAGGCGTAATGGTTGGGCTCCCCCCACGTCCCTCCTCACTGGAAATCGAAAAGGAGTGTCGCTAATCTTTACCTCGAACAGGACTTCTTCCGCTCGGTGAGAGCATCATAGAATTCAGCGGCACGCAAGGCGAGAATACTTAACCTTGATACTTCAAAGTACACCAGCAGTTTGTTTATTAGCGCACGAAACTGCCTGCGTAGATACAGATACATAACACACCCATGCTGTAAATACCAGACTTCGAGACTTGTGTCCCAGTCCACCCTTCAGGTCTCCGGCCGGGTTGCTGACAGCCAACTCCGAAGATTGCCAACCACCTACCGTAGCCCTCTAGGGGGAGCACTTCTGCCTCTTCGGCCCTGGGCCGGTCTGAGCCGCCGAGGAACTGAAAAGGTGCCCTAAATTTTCAGGCGAGCGCCTCTCGTCACACATCGGTTCGGCGGAGGCCCTTTCCACACTTACCATGGTAGGTACCCACAACGATAGTGACTTCCGATCCCCCTCATCAGAACAACCTCGTGTCGTTCCTATTTTAACTGCTCCCCTCTTTCTACCAACCTTCCTCCCATACAGAAACATCGCCACTCTCCATCATCTTCAATAACCTCAAGCATCCTCGGCGCATCGAGGTTACGCACTCTTTCCAATCGACATCCTGAGACCACCGGGGTTCTCATCAATAGTATCAACACGGGTATGCTGCTTACCCTGAACCGATACGCCCACACCCCTCCCGGACCCTGGAAGGTTCAAGACACCTGAAGAACCGATTTCATCTTCGGGGATATCATATTCGTTACAGCCAAATAAGACTGATTCTATTGTCATATTTTACCTGTCTCACTGAGCTGCTCCAGCCATTGGCAATATGTCTTCCGTACTGGGCGAGCATGCGGATGGTCGTGCGACCGATACCGAGGACGAGGAGGAGATGCTTGACGCTGCTATGATGGCATCCCGGCAAGGTCAGGGTGGGGCCGACGACGATGAAGATGGCGACGAAGGGTTCGAAGAGGAGTCCCTGAGCGAAAGCTGGGCGGACAGCGATGGTGCGTCTCTCGCCATTCCCGAGTTCAGCTGTGCCTGACTAACCCGATCGATAGGCGACGGATCCGTCGGCGCGAGCATCCTCAACGAACTCAGCGAGGAGTTGTCGGACTATTCAGACACCGGCGGCCGTGAGGGGGTTGGGGGCCGTGGGAGCATCGAGGAAGTGTTGCGGAGGAGGTGCAACCAGCAACAGGAGAAAATTAGGAGGCTGAAGGGGGGGACAATAAAGATGAGAGGGGAGTACGAGCGGAAGGTTAGACTGCTACGAGCTCAGATCAGAGAAAGTAATGCCCGAATCGCGGATCTTACAGGAGAGCGCCCCCCTCCTCAAGTAAGTATTCTTTCTTCCGACCCCCTTTATTTTCTCGCAAGCATCTCTCCTCCGTATTAAGGTGCGATATGTTAACAGCACACATTTGCTATGGTAGCCTTGGCAAGAGCTACTTCGAGATTACATGAACGGCAACGTAGAGCTCAGCTATAAAGATATTTACAGGGAGTGCTGCCGCCAAGAGAACATGTCCGTGGGCGCCGACAGCGTCCACCCGGACCTGAGAGAGGTCCGCCCGCCACGGCAACGATCACAGTCGCCGAGCCGAGCCGGCCGGTCGCCGAACCATGCTGGTGAGCAGCGCGCGCTCTCTTCCGGGATGAGCCAGCAGCTCCTGAGCATTGTGCTGCCGGACATTTCCGTGCGGCCGCAGCCACTCACGGGGCGCCTCCTCGGGCCACCGCGACCCTTCCCCTTCGAGCGCCTGCCTACGGAGCTGCAGGCGCGCATCTTCGCGCTTGTGCTGGTGCGGCCGGGTCGCCTCGTGCACTGCCTGTCGCGGCTGGACCGGTGGGAGCCGCCGGCCGAGGGCGCGTTCCCGGCTGTCGACGGGGAAGAGCCGATGGACCCGCACCGGCGCAGCTACCTGCCGACGGGCTTCCACATCGGCGGCGTGTCGTCGTCGTCGTCGCCGACGGCGTGCGTGGTGGCGCGGGCGCGGCGCCCCGACGCCGTGCTGGCGCCGCTGCGCGTGTGCCGCCGCTGGTTGTTTGCCGGGGCCCACGCCTTCTACGGCGCCAACACCTTCGCCTTCAGCTCACTCGGGGAGTGGTACCGGTTCTGCGCCGGCGTGGGGCGCGCGCGCGTTGAGCGCCTCGTTCACGTCGAGATCGCCTGGCGCGGCAGCCTCGGCTCGCTGCCCCCCGACGGCAAGCCGCAGGAGATGGAGCCCGCGGCGCTGGACGACGAGGGCCGCGCTGCTCCGAAGAAGCCACGGCTCCGCGTCGCGCCCCGCACGAGGGGCCTCACGTGGCTCGCCCGCGCGCGTAGGCTACGCACCCTCGTCGTGCATATCGACGAGCGCGCGAGCAAGCGCATGCGCCGGTCGTACGAGATGCCGCCGCACGAGGATCGCGAGCAAGACTACGTGAGCCAGGACCGGGGGCGCGAGTCGCCGGGCGGGGAGGGCGAGGCGGACGTGTTTGGGCTGATGATGCGGCGCACGGCGACGCAGGCCAACTGCCGCAAGTTTCGGTCGATGCGGACGGTGCACGGGATCGACTACGTGTACCAGCTGCGGGGGATGCAGTGGGTGCGGTTCGAGGAGCGCGACCGCAAGGAGGCGCGGCCGCGGCAGGCGATCCGCGACTGGTCCTTCCTGCGCGACGTTAACACGGTGGTGACGATACCGAAGCCGCCCGGGCGCGCGCGCCGCTGCGAGCTCGAGAACCTTACGCCGCTGTCGGGCCTGGCCGGCTGGCGCCCGACCGACGAGGACTGGCGCCTCGTCAAGATGTTCTACGACGAGACGCCCGCGGGCGCCGCGGCCCAGGCGCTGCCGCTGCCCGGAGACTTCGGCTCGAGCGAGCCCGATATGCAATGGGACCTGGAGTCGCAAGGCCGTAGCCAAAGGTCCACGTCAAGGGCCCCGTCTCGACGTGCCCGCGACCGTGGGCGTCGTAGAGATGCCATGCCTGGTACGGAGGGCAGCGACGACGATAGTGAGGAAAATAGTAGCGGCAGCGGCGATGATGATGATTCGGAGAGCGACAGTGATGAGGACTGGGACGATCACCCAGTCAGGGGTCTTAGCCCCCCTGTTGATGCCACCGGCAGTAATCCCGGTGCAGGTCAAGCTTTCGATTTGTTCGACTCTAACGACGAGAGTGAAGACCCGTCTCTCCGCGGGCCAATCTTTGCTTTCGACCCGGACGAGTTTACGGATTCCAGCGTCGAAATGGACACGGATAGTGACGAAGACGGCAATAGCGGCGGATACGGCAACCACGACGACTCCGTGTTCGATATTTCCCAAGGTCTAAATACCCACCAATCTACTCTGAACGCAACCACGATCCCGTCGCTCGGACCCTCGCAGGAGCACAATCGGGTCATCGACAGAATGGACGTCGACGACGACGATAGCAATCGGAGCAGTAGCATGTTCGTGCCCTCTGGCTCGGGGCCGAGTCTTCGCGGCGCAGACGCGGGAGCCACGCCGGCCAACAGGAGTTCAACTAGCGGGTTAGTCCTGTCTTCGGGCTCGGGCCCGGGCTTGAGCCTAGGGGCGGGAAGTGGGAGTCGTGGCCCTAGTGTCATGGTCGATCTCACCCACGAGCCGACCGGCGACGAAGGCGGCGGCAGGGTGTCGCATGCCTCGCGGTCTAGTTCGGGGGCCGAGGCCGTCGTCCAGTCCGAGGCGGGGAGTGTTACGAGGGAGTTCATCGACCTGACAATGTTTGACGATGACGAATCCGATAGCGATATGAGCAGCGACTCGTCCGATACTGACCCCAGTGTGAAATACGACGAGAGCGAAGAGGGTGGTGAGTCAAGTGTTGATCACGATCCCAGCGACGGCGATAATTACAGATCTCCTAGTCACGACCCCCCATTCCTATCGCCGTCGCCGGCACCCTCGTCCTCGTCCTCGTCGAAGCGCAGCCGGGGAAGTGGCGCCAGCTTCGCCTCTTCCTCTTCTGACGATGGCGATGATGAGGCCCCGTCATCGAAGCGCAACAGGCACGAAGGGCCGCACGAATCCGGGTTTCTGTCGGCGCTCCCGGGCCGCCTGTCCGGCCTCTTCCGAAAATAGGCGCCTGCTGCTAGAGGTCCCTTCCGAGCGCCTGAGTGGCAGTTGGCTCGAGCATATGGCATTACCACGTCCACCGTACCTCGTCTCTATTTCACTAAAGATAACAGATTGATCTCTAGCCCCGTCGGGACGACATGGAAGCCTACCTACCCACCTAGGTAACTACTCACCCACCCCGTCCCGGTTCCCCTATTTTAACCCCCGCTAGCTAAGGCGGGCGCTCATAGTGTCGCTGTTGACACAGCACTCGAATTTCCTCGCATTAAAGGCTGTTCTTAGGAGTCAGTCGAGCACGCATTCGGAGACATTGGGAGGACAGAGAGGGGGTCGGTGGTGGGGCTGCGCTGATTTTTAGTATTTTGTTTCGTATGCAGTCCTCGGGTGGAAATAAAGAGGAAGCTAGGTTAAGAGAAAGTTAGAGAGGCTACGATAGGGTCCTAGATCTTTTTCTCGAGGCAGAAACGCGATTGGATTTTTGTCCCTCGACTCCTATGGATTGGTGAGGCGCCGTACGGCGATGTGTTAACTAGATGGTGGCTACTTGCGCGGTGAGGGTGCGGATGTGTACGTAACGCGGTGAATTTCCGAATTTATGATCTTCTCTTCTGAATACCTCTCGTCTTGTCTTATTCCTCTGCAAGTGTTCTTGGACGTATTCCACCCGTGTCTGTCGGATCTCGTATCCCCGGCCGCGCACAGGACGGCCCCTATGTTGGCGGAGGGAAAAACAGTGGTATCTATCAATTACACCGAAAAACGCCCCCTTCCTTCTCCCACCATAGTTCAGTCAAACACCACTTTCTTCCCCTGGAACGCTACCTTCTGCCCTTCTTCCTTGGCCTTCTTCGCCGCCGCCCAGCTCGGGTGCAGCGGGCCCGTGTCGTCTCGTTTCGGGGGTGCCGCGGCCGGCGCTCTGGGGGGCCGAGCGTGGGAGTGGGAGTCTCTGGCGCCCGGGCGGGCGTTGTGATCACCCCCCTCTCTTTCCCCCCCTCCTCCTCTACCGCCGGCCTCCGGTCCCCTCTGGGCCGACCACGGCTGTCGTGGGGCTCTCTGCATTGTACTATGGCGATCGGGGTGAACCTGCTGCGGCGGCGGCGGCGCGAAGGGATTGCGCACGCCCTTCTTCCAGGGCTGGCCGGCGTCGTCGGCGCCCACGGCGCCGCGCCTTGGGTCCCACCCCTGGTCGCGCGCCGCCGCCGGCTGCGGCGCCTGGAGGTGCCGCGCCTTGTCCTTGTACTTCTTCTCCCAGATGGCGCGGCGCGCGCGCTGGCCCCGCCGGTTCCTGCGCGCCGCCGCCGGCGCCACGTCGATCGACGACGCCGACGACTCCGAGCCCGACACGTAGCCCCCCATCAGCGTCGGCAGGAAGGCCGACGCGCCCGCCGAGATCTTTCCGCCGCCGCGAGGGGCTTTGTCCGTCGTCCTCGCCTTCTTGGCCGCAGGGCGGGCCGGAGACCCAGATGCGGAGGAGGAGTCCAGATGGTCTGTGGGCGCTTCCCCGTCGGACGGGGCTGACGATGATGCCGAGACGGCGTCTGCCGCGATTCGCTTTCGAATCGACTTCGTCCTGCTCTCGGCGGCTGCTCCGCTTTCTTCTCCGCCGGAGCTCTCGTCGTCTTCGCTTTCGCCCTCGTCGCTGCTAGTGCCCGCTACGAACTCTGCGTACCGCGAGAACGCGCGCTCCTCGGCGTCGCTGTCTGCTGACTCGTGGAATGCCTCGTTGTCATCCGGAGATTCCTCTTCCGCAGCGCTCTCGAGCTCCTCCTCGCCTTCCGCCGCCCGATCTGGCTTCCTCCTCAGAAGCACGAGTTCAGGCTCTTTTAGCTCTTCTTCGGAGTCGAGTGGTTGTATGTTTTTCTTTTCTTTCTTCTCCTCCTTCTCCTCTTTCTCTGTCCTGCCTCCCTTCCGTTCGTCCCCCCTATCCTTATCCTCCTCACCCTTCCTCGCCACATCCCATCTCTTCGCACCGCCACTACCCCCACCCTCCCCGTCGTTGTTCTTCCCTTTCTCCTTCCCCTTCCCCTTCTTCCCGGGCGCCGGCACGCCCAGCGCCGCGCAGGTGCCCGCGATCGCCGCCTCGATGACGTCGCGGACCTCCTTGCGGCTGCACAGCGCGCTCGTCACGTTGTGCAGGGCGGCGCGCTCCTCCTCCGTCAGCCCCGCGCCCACCGGTGGCGGCGGCTCGAGCTGCGGCAGGCCGCTGCCGGCCTCGGCCACGCCGCGCACACGCAGCAGCGCCGAGGCCAGGTGCGCCCGCGCCGCCTTCGCCAGGTCCAGGCTCCGCAGCACGGCCACCTCGCGCTCCAGCCGCGCTACCTTCGCCGCGTCCTGCGCTGCCGATGCCTCCCGCTGTCGCTTACTCTGCCGCCGCCGCTCGAATGTCTTCGCCTTCTTCATCCCCCGCGCTAGCTCCTTCTGCCATCGCGTCAGCTTCTCCTCGAGCGGCGGCTCGTAGCTGCGCTTTCGCTTCAGCGGCATGGGTGTGGTGATGCGAAATCGTCTCCCTATGCGGTACGATGGGGTGAATGTCGGAGGTTATGGTTGTAACGGCGACAGTAGTGGCGGCAGCGGTGAGGATTTCGGTTGCAGGCGGTGGTTGTGGTTGTAGTTATGGAAGAGAAAAAGGTCGGGATAATGATGGAAACGTAGGTAGGTATGTAAAGCGAGGCTTCGAAATTTTTGGAGCTATCGATAGGGTTTACAAGGATATGCTACTATTCGATATTGAAATAAGTAGGTATGCAACTTCGGAGTATAATTAGTTTCCCCTGTTTACAATCGAGCTCTCTGTGGTCCTCCTAACCCTCACGATACCGGCGCGAGTCAGCTCGAACCAGTTTTTTAGACACTCCATCGGAAAGCTTCTAAAGCATGTATCTTGTAGAATAATATGGACAACACAATCATGTTATCTCGATCAACTAAGCTGCCCTGTTTGGCGGCCCTCGGGTCCATACCTACGTAATGAGACGAAGTTTCCAGTGCATCGATCCCATCGACTCTCTAAAAAGGTTAGCGGGTCCGCGATCGGTATAGCTGGCGCGTCGAGAATCGGCCCCACTGAGGGGAATATATATCTGTGATGCTGGTGTTATAGCTGGGATGTGAGAGTGCAATTAGAGACCGAAGTTGACGACGATAGCTAACTAGTTCTATCGCCTACCCCGGTGAAGCGCCGCTATCAGCCAGTGGGCAACGACATTGCTCGAGATTTGGCGACTGTCAGAACTACTGATGACATTCGTCCAAATTGCGGGATTTAGAATAAGGGCGCCTCGAAACCTACACCCTCGAAAGGAGCCGAAGGGGAAACGCCTGCCTATCCCGTAACCGCAGCAATGGCTACTCCTCAAAGTACATCAGCCCTCGGCGCAGATAACTTATTCAACGTCCAAGGCATAGTCGCAGTCGTAACTGGTGGGGGAACGGGTAAGTTGAGCCCAGTATCTCCCAGGTGCTCCGCCACTAACGAGAACGTTCAGGGATCGGACTCATGATCACGAAGGCGTTGGCTGCCAACGGCGCGTCCAAGGTATACATCCTCGGGCGGCGTCTGAATACCCTAGAGACAGCGGCAGCGCAGGTCGGCTCGAGCACCGTGGTCCCGGTGGTCTGCGACGTGACGTCCAAGGAGTCGCTCGAGGCGGCAGCTGGGCGAATTCGAGAAGAGACGGGGTTCGTCAACCTGCTCGTGTGCAATTCGGGGGTCGGCGGGCCGTACGGGATCCGCCCGAAGCCAGAGACGACTCTCGACGAGTTCGTCAAGGCCAACCTCTCCGTGCCCATCGAGGACTACACGGCCACATTTGCCGTCAACGCCAGCGCTGTCTGGTACACGACCATGTCATTCCTAACGCTCCTCGGCGCGGGCAACAAGCGCGGCAACGTGGAGCAGTGGAGCCAGGTCGTCGCCGTGAGCAGCATCGGCGGCTTCAACAAGATCAACACTGGCGGTTTCGCATACGGGCAAAGCAAGGCTGCATGCACGCATCTTATCAAGCAGCTGAGCGTCGTGCTGCCGCAGTGGAATATTAGAGCGAATGCCATCTGTCCTGGTCGTAAGTTTGGCCCCCTCTGCCCCCTCCCCCCGACCACGATGCTCGGGTTCCTTCCTCCGCCCCGCTTCTCGCCAGCAGGATTCGGGGACAGATAAAAAGGGTCGATCCATGCTGATAATATCTGCACCTCCCTCTGTCAAGTCTACCCGAGTGAAATGTCGGCCCCGATTATAGCCAAGGGAGGAATAGGAAAAGACATGATTCCGCTCGAGCGCCCTGGATACGACCAGGACATGGGTGGCGTTATCTTGTACCTAGCTTCCAAAGCGGGTGCTTACTGCAATGGCACTGTCGTCGTAACAGATGGCGGAAGGTTGACCACGTTCCCATCCACATTTTGACGGATCACGCACACGCAGCCGTCGACCTGATAGGAAAGAAGGTCTGCCAGACGCTGCTCATCAATTAGATACCAAGACTAGACCATACCATACTAAGTAGATCCTCATCCCTGGTCAGGGGCTCAATCCAGATCGCGAAGGCACCGGCTATAGGTGAAGTCCCAGGAAACCGTCGCGCTAAATCTACCCGGTCATCCGAACCGACGGCCCGGCTCTAAGAAGCGATACCCGAGGTCGGCCCTTTCGTCATAGTGGACCTCAAATTACAGAATCAAGAATTCTGTATCGGTAACAGCCCGCCTAGCGTCGCGGCTGACATCATCATTCTTTATGAAGGCGTCAGGACGGCCCGTTCCAATGATCCTAGAAAATCATTTGACGCTTCCAGCGGTTTCTCGCTCGCGTACGAAGAAATTGTGATGTCCATATGGGTGGGTAGGTATTTATGCCTATTTGTCAGTCTCGATAAGCAATGCCGCCCCGTCGCAAGCCGAAGTCGTCAATGTGGCCACCAAGCGCGTCATTTTCGTATTATGAGGCGTCGGAAAGCTCGCCCTCATTCTTATAGCGGTCGAGGGGGTAGCTGGATTAATGCATACTCACGATGCCCAACAGAGCCAAGATCTGATTATGCAGCCCTGAAATTCGGTAGATAAACCCGCGTGACGCAGCTACTAACGTCTCGCCTCGAGGCATGCGTAGGTGCTTCTCATCGACCACACGGAGGTCCTGCCGCACACCCCACACCAAAAGGTAGGTAATTGCGCACCTATAAGAACAAATGTTACTCATGCGGAGGTATGATAACTGCCAGTGGCAAGCTGAGAAACTGATGCTGGGGACTACCAACCAATATTATTCTGCCCGCGATGGCGGCTCGATTCTCCGCCGCGAGTTCAAGAAATTCGCCACCACGTCAACGGGGCCCACCGTCAGTCATCGATAGAAAATCTCTTAGGAAGGCATGCGATCCATCACTCGATGCCATGCTCAAGATGAGTGAAGTTTTAAGTCGCGACGCCTCCGAGTTCTTACTTTTTCAGCTACGTCTCCGTGCTCGCAATGGTGAATTGAAATACGCCGGGGGATAGCGCTTGTGTATATGATAGGCTTGGCTATCCGGCCTCTTGTTCTGACCGTACCTCCGGCAGGGCTACAGCGTAAAGATAGATGACTAAATTTAACAGGCGCCGTACTGCCAAGCTAAGGTTTGAGACGGAGTCAAGTTCAAAGTTCATACTTGTTATAAGGCGAAGGGGGGGAGTGAGAGTGCGAGAGGGAGAGGGAAGCAGTGGTGGTGCTTACAACCGACGAACCCCCTCCACTCTGCAATACTCAGAGAGAGGTCATCCGATTGATCGATCTATCCGTAAGCCCTCCGGCGTCCGTAGCAGTCCTATCTTGGGAGCCCGTACATGGCCCAGCCCTGCCATTCTGCGATATACTTATGCCTTCCTGTTGGTCGGGACAGGGCGAGTAGGCGGGTAGCACCGATCGTTAAAAGTCGGATTCGTTCGCATATGTATGTAGTTATATACCTTCACCCGGACGTGCCTCTAGATAGATTGCCTAGACCAGACTTCCTGGGCAGCATTGGGTAGCTTGGCTTGGGTATCGATAGCACGAGAGCAGACAGCCAGGGCCAGCGTCGCTTGGCTCCGCAGCCATTTGTGCGATGCTTGGGCAGCTGAATAGGTAGGTAGCCTAGGCGATTGGATGCTATATCGGCGGCGGGGCGGCGGGTTGATTGGCCGGCTTGGGCTGGGGGGGATGGACAGAGGCATGGTTGGAGAGGTTGAGTAGCGGTTGGAGTTGTCCGTCTCTTGGCCTATTCGCATTGGACAGCAGGATGGTGAATATACTAGCCACTGCCCTCCCATTCGAGAACTTGCTCCTGCCTGAGTGCCTGCACGCAGCTGCCTATCACCATCGAGGTAATGCTAAAAGCTACGACGGCCTGACGTCACCTATCACACTCCACGACCCAATGGCAGCATATCGCAGGTGCGATGTGGCTCCAGCCATTTTGAGGTAGCTGCAGGTGGGTCGTACCTATATAAGGTTGCGTACATCCGAGTCTACATTCACTTGTACGGAGCAACACACCAAAACCAAGTATGGGAATTATCTACACCTATACCTGCCTCCTAAGTAGGTACCTCCTTACCTACCTAGGTACCTCCCTAGGTGTTTCAACACTGCGCCGCCCCTTGCTTTCTACCTGCCCTTCAAGCGCGATATCCTCTATAGAACAGCGTCCGAGTGCTAATCCCGTGCTGGCGAGCTGGCACACACACACACACACACACACACACACACACAGGTCTCTAACGCAATTCTTTACGCTCGCACCAGGTGTAAGTAAGCCGTAACAGAGCGAAGGGATTCGTAATTCGAGTGTCTAAGTGTGCTGCGTGGTATCAGGTACTCGCCAAGGCACTATCTATAGCTTAATCGTTCGGGGGGCGGGGTCGGGAGATAGGATGAGACCAGCACGCACCTCGTCTCGTCCCGGGCTGTCTGTAGGTAGGTACATGGAAGGCATGTACCCTACGGACCTCCTAACCTCGGCGAATAGCTCCAAGGTACATGTAACCCAGGCGTGCGTGTATGGGTGTACGTCGGCCCTGTACGCATTGAGCTGGTTCCGGTTGAACGAGTTCCGCAGCGGTACATCCCTTACCCGTACCGGTCCCTTTCGACCTCGACCCGCACGGACATCCACGTTACTCGCGGCGTATCTGCGCAGGTAGCTACCTCCTACGTGCCTTGACACATGTTACCTGGCAGGTAGTCGCCTCCAGAACCTTTCGTGCGAGCAGGTACCGGCGGAGTGCTGTTTGCGGTGAGCAGACACAACCTCGGGTACCGGCCCTATCGTATCGATACGTGCACTGTCCTAGACGGGCACATGGCTTAACCTCATGAGGCCGGGGGCGTTACATGCCGGGTACCTTGGGTAGTCTCAGCGAAGGTCTCACCGCGAGAACAGAATATAGCCAGGTGCGGACGTCTGGGTAGGAGGAAGGTTCGAGGAGGGAGAATGGCGACACGTCGGGAGAGGGGGTATCTTAGGTCGGACGCTGGACTGGCTGAGCCTGGCATTCTGTACCTAGTTCAGGCCACTTCTCCGATGGCTGCCTCCCTCCAGAAACATCCCATTCCTTGCTTTCTTCCCCCCTCTCCCCTATCGCGTTGGCGCCGGTCTGCGAAACGTCTAGGCTAGAGAGGTTGAGTGAGCATAGCATCGTCCTACACACACACCGTCCATGCACCGCACCAGGCTTAATTCGTGTCATCGAATCTGCACCGGTCGGATCTGCATTGGTACATGTTGGCTAATGCGGCCGGCGTCGCCCTTCTTATATGCCCCTGTCCAAGGGTTCGCCGAGGCTACGGCGACGGCACGTGTGCACAGGCTCGCTTCCCTTGCCTCCAACGATGGCACGGCATCGCTTGCCACCCTCCTAGCCTATCGACCGCGTCTGGGTCAGGTCATTTTCCTCTGACGGGAGAACCGGCGCGTCAGGGTCGAGCACGAAGCTGCCGCAAGCAAGTCTGCCACGAGACCCCGCATTCGATCCCGGTAGTCGAGTCTCGTCCCTCCATCCACCTATCCGCCCCCATCGACTTACAGACGGACGGCTAAGGTCTAGCCCTACCCCCTTTCGGTGACGAGACGCCTACACCTCAGACGCCTATGTGTCTGGGGGTGCGGGCTAAAGGACGTTCATCTAGCCCGGGGTTCGGGGATTCGCCGCAGTTTCGCCCATCGCCAATGATATCCGGCAAGGCGAGGAGGGGAACCAGCGGCGATCTACGCTGGCATCCGTCCACTCCTTGAAGTGTCTACCCTCCTCATATCTCATTTCCGTACATAAGGAGGGGTGACCTCCCCCGCAATGGCCCCGGACATTGTTAATGCGCTTCTCCTCTTCCTCCCTTTCCATTCCTTCACCTTACCTTGACTATATATAACTTTGTTCTCCCCGCGATCCCCTTCGGCGGAGGCCCGTGTCTGAGGCTTGTCTAGTTCCGCCCTGGCCCTCCCCGTACGCCGTCCGTGACGGAGGTAACCCGCCCGCATCGTGAAGCGCCAAATCTACCTTCTCTGCGCTTTGAGCTTTTCCGCCTGGTGTCAACTATCCGTTCCCCCACGACAATAAATCGAATCCCCAGCCTAAGACACGCACGTATTCCCCAGGTGGCTTACTGGGCGTTCCGATCGCGTACATAACCGGGGCGTCGTCGTCGGTTCAATTGCCCGCCTTATAAAAGCCATCGACCCGCCGCGTACGTCTTGCTTCTGCCGTACTCGATTCTGCATCGACATCGAACTCGCGAAATCTCCTAACTCCTATCTGCTGACATCATCATCCGTTACCCCTGAACCAGCCAGCTTCTTACAGCCCCTACCGGCCCCCACATCAGCTTGTTGAGCTCAACCTGAGCCTGATAAGGAGTTATCTTGCTAGTCTCGGCGAACAGCTACGATTTCCCTCTAGTCGATCAAATAACTCCTGAGACATCGCTACACCGGTTGGTCTTCCCTCCCCTCCCTCTTTTTTTTTATAGAAACGAAAAGCACCTGGTCCGCGAAGTTAGTACTTTGGATCTCGATTGTCATCATTACTATGGTGATCTGTTCCGTTCTCTGAACCCGTTAGCGGGCTTGTTAAGCCACAACCTCCCATGCTACAACCTCATTGGTCAGCTTTTGTCAACCGGGAAGCGATCCTTGTGGACGGGGATCCGGTATGCAAGCCTCAACGCTTCCCTCAGTCTCGTCTCTTGGTTGACCGGGGCCATTCTGGCATATCTCTTAACAACCCCCCACGCTTCCTACCTTTTCCGATGAGGTCCACACCTACTACATTGATTAGAGATGGGTCAGATCACAGTCTCAACCCAAAAACGGGGGGGGGGGGGGTTGGAAGTGACCTCATTGCCGTGTTCGCCCGCTAAACGAAGAAAGCCGAAGCACGACGTACGCACAAGTGGGCTGTGTTGTCTATTCACCTCGGTCATGGAGGGAGGCGTTGTCGCTGGTCCGGATGTTGGGCACACACCCAACCAATAACGGGCGGCCCACCGGACCTTGGCTAGACTCTTGTTACCCAGCCCGGCTTTGTTTCACCAGGAAACGGATTATCAGCTTACGAACCGTCTCAACATATTAAACCCGCACCAAGAGTAGTGTGCACCCACGGACAATCGTTGCTAACCATGCCATAGTAGTAGCTCCTCGTCACCTTCCAACTTATAGTTTCTTGTTCCTATCCGTCCGTACTCCTGGGAGATCCAGGACGCGGCGCCCTCCAGGCTCGCGGCGTCACCACGCAATTTCGACGCTTCCTCGGGACCGACCCGCGAACTTGCTAGCTGAACTGCCGTCCAATCGCAGCCATGAGTTCCAACACTTTCACGCAGGAAGGTGCTGAGGCAACACGTGCCGACCGAGGCCCCGAGGCCATCCCGGCTACTACAGACTTCCTTCACATGCCGGCTGTGCGCGCCGCCCTACCATTCATCAACGGTGGCCTCTCCGGCATGGTCGCCACTACCGTCATCCAACCGGTCGACATGGTGAAAGTCCGGTTACAGCTCGCTGGAGAGGGCATCTCCTCGGGGCCGAAGCCAACCGCCCTCTCTATCACGCGGGGGATCCTGGCCGAAGGGAAGGTCCTCGACCTCTATACTGGGCTGTCCGCTGGCCTCCTCCGCCAGGGCGTCTATACAACTGCGCGCCTCGGCATATTCGACACCATCATGGGACGCCTCACGACGCGCGCCCGGGAAAATAACACCCGTGTCAGCTTCGCCGAGCGTGCGGGCGCTGGTCTGGCGGCCGGTGGCATCGCCGCTTTCATAGGCAACCCGGCAGACCTGGCCCTCGTACGGATGCAGGCAGACGGTCTCAAGCCGCTCGCCGAACGCCAAAATTACAAGTCTGTCGCCGACGCCCTAACCTCGATCGTGCGTTCCGAGGGCGTACGCGCCCTGTGGGCCGGGGCAACGCCGACTGTCGCGCGCGCGATGGCGCTGAATCTGGGCCAACTGGCGTGCTTTTCGGAGGCCAAGGCACAGCTGCGCACGCGTACGGACTGGTCGCCTCGCGGGCAGACGCTAGCCGCCAGTGCTATTGCCGGCTTCTTCGCCTCCTTCCTTAGCCTGCCCTTTGACTTCGTTAAAACCCGGCTACAGAAGCAGCAGCGCGGGCCGGACGGCCGACTCCCTTACCGTGGTATGGCCGACTGCTTCGCCACCGTCGCCCGCCAGGAGGGGCTGACGCGGTTTTACCGCGGCTTCGGCACATACTACGTGCGCATCGCGCCGCACGCGTGAGTTTCAGATCCCCCTCCCCTCCCTCCCCTTTTTTTGAAGGGCCTCCTATCCAGGGTCCTCGTTCCGAACCTGCACCTCTGCTTGGTAATTTCAGCCATGATGCCTTTCTAACTTATCTCCGCAGCATGGTAACCCTGATCGTGGTCGACTACCTCGGCTGGCTGACAAAGTAAACGCTCGATGAGCAATTGAACGGATAACTTTTCCTCCTCCGCGGCGACTACCCGATCTCTGGTTTTCCTTTTTTCCTTTTAGAGGCCGGTTTTGCCATCTCAGCGCAACCATTGGTTTGAGAAGGGTTTTGGGTGGAAAGAAAGTGGCTGGTCGGCGGCGTTCACGGGGCGGCTTATCTGGTTTATTTGTTCCATCCAGCGGGTTTGAAAGCGTCACCCTTGCTATCTTCACGTGTGCGTCATTTTTTATCTTGCTCATGCAAGTCAGGTTTTCGACTTGGGATGAGGGGTATGATGGATATCGCTGAGAGGGACCGAGAGAGATTGGAGGTAGTTGCTGTCCCGTACATAGTATAGCCTGCATATATAATAACCCTGAACCCAAGAAGGGGGTGGATAAATTCAAGGCATCATCTGCCCTGCGTGACTATTCCTTCTTTTTGCTTACCCAACTTTTTCTGACCCGTTATGGTTTCTTTCATCTTTTTCATCTTCGCTCTCTCGGCCTTACCCCTCTCCACTTTGACGGCCTCGCTAACCTCTTGCCAGGTCCTTCTCCTTGGTGCAGATGATCCAGGACATGTAGCCGCAGGGCCAGAGGAAGAGCTCGCGGCCGGAGCGGACGCGCCAGCGGGCGAGGCGGGCAGGGTCGGCGCCGCAGCCGCGGAGGAGCTCCTCGACCTCGGGGGCGGTGCGGGTGCGGAGGGAGGAGATGAAGGCGTCGAAGACGAGCACGAAGGGCACGACGGGCACGACGTAGACCCAGAAGAGGCGGGCGGGGCGGCGCCAGTAGAGCAGCGGCGCGAGCAGCAGGATGCCCAGCCCGAACACGAGGCACGACAGCACGCTGCCGAGCGAGCGGTCCTGGAGCTCGAAGATGCTGTCACGGAGAGGGCGCAGGCGGGGAAGTCAGGGCGAGTCGGGAGAGCGAGCGGGTCAGGGTAGAGAGGGCGAGGGGTGAGGGGAGAAATAGAAACGTACCCGAATCCGTCGCTCGTCTCGACGGTGTTCTTGAGGATGCCGCGGGCGAGGTCGTCGTCGAAGTGGTGGAAGGCGAGGTTGAAGAGGCGGAACACGCCCTTCTTCTCCCTGCCGGCCCGTCTCCCACCGTTGCGAACGCACTGCCGCAGCAGGTCCGGCGGCGCGTCGGCGGCGTCGATGGGCTGCGGCACGTACGTCAGGTGCTCGCTCTTGGCGGCGGCGGCGGCCCACGACTCGACGTTCGGATGCAGGTCGGTCAGGACAAACTGGACGGCGCCGTCGTCGGGGGCCCTGCTGGCGCTGCCATTGCCGTTGGCATCGCCACCAGTGCTGCCGTCCTTGGCGGCCCCGTTCCTACGCCGCTTCTTCCTCTCCTTGTCTCGCGACGAAGACGAAGAGGGCGGCGGCGGCGGCGGTTGCGAGAGCACCAGCAGCTGCTGGTTCAGGGTGCGCTCGATCGAGGGCGTGGGCCCGCCGGCGCCCGAGCAGAAGTCGATGTAGGTGTAGCGCCCGACGTTGCGCTCGCCGAGGACGCGGCGCAGGGTGTCGGCGACGGCGGTGGCGGGGCTGCGGGCTTGCAGGAGCGGCACGCGGACCGTCCAGGTGTGCGTCAGGCCGGCCTGGACGTAGGCGCGCAGGAAGGGGGGGAACCTGCGCGGATTGCGGTGTAAGTAAGTAAGCGGGCACCCGACTACGGCGATACAATGCGCGCACGGGGGGTTCAGGTCGGCGACGGTATTGGCGGGTGGGTAGGACAGCCAAGAGAACGGACGGACAAGATATAGGTACACGGATGCGCCTCACACATATACGGATAGTCAAAAACAATAAGACGCATATATCTACTACTGGCAGATAGGGGCGCACATAGACAGGCCCGGAACTGCTGGGGCTACTAGGCTGGGGACCTGCGTGGACTTCCGAGCGGCCAATTGGGGACGAGGCTGGCTTGGCGGACTTGCGGACTCTTCAGAGAGGACACGTATGAGCGTGTTTGCGTTACTTACCACGACTGATCGTCGATCTCCCAGAGCTGCATCCGGGAGACCAGAGGTGCAGCCATCGCGCGACCGGCTGGTGGTAAATGTGGCGGTAAGGATCGGCGAAGCTGAACGACGAGGTCCGTCCCTTTTGGGGGGTCTTTTTGTCCTTAGTAGGTGTCACGGCAGATCCAACAGTAAAAGCGACCGTTCCTAGACCAGCAAAACGGAGCAGGCAGATGAGTAGTAGGCGCTAGGGTTGCGAACGGACGACAAGGCGGCAGAGGAGCGGGATGGGCGGGAACACGGAGGGTGTCAACCGAGGAAATATCTTGGCCACCAGACTTGCAAACGGGTAAAATCGATGTTGTCGAGGTCAGGAAGCGGTTAGGTAGGCAAGGAGGGAAAAAGAAGTAGGTAATATGAGGCATGTATTCACGAGCTCCCCCTGTTCGCCTGCGCTGTCACGGTCTGCAGAGTATGACGTTTCAGGGTCGGGACGGACGCTGGAACGGGAAAGGCGCCAGGGGACGGTGAAGCTTCAGGGGCCTCCAACAGGGTGGATCACCTAATGGACCTGCTGTAGCTTCTAGTAGGTAGGGGTCAAGCATCATATGAGTAAGCAGTTGGGAGGTACCCAGGCACCTCCTACCAGGGCCACAAAACATGCAGGTACTAGGTATACAGTACTTATGCAGTAGGTAGGTATGTATCTACTACAGGCAGTGAGGCTGAAACGAAGCTATTCGTTATACCCCCTGTCCTCAACGACTTCAACACGTCGAAAGAGTGCACGAAAAGTGCCTATCTACCTACTATACCATATACCTAAATGTATACCTATACCTACCTAGTATTTAGCCCTAGATCGAACTCGGACGGGGCGTAGCCAGCGAGACGTGACAGGACCGTGTCCATCTCCATCTCCTCCTCATCTCATCTCATCTCATCTCAGCCAACCTCTTACCGGAACCGTGCCCATCTCTAGCACCGAAGCTATCGAAGCCATCGCTCTCACCTACAGGCCTACAATCACGAGCGCATTGTACACATCCGAGGTTGGCAGGCATGCGTCTTGCCGTATTCGTGCACCGTCGTCGGTGAAATTCACACCTACCTAACTGACCCGTCATGGCGTTGCTAGAGGGGCCGACCCTGCTGTTGCTTGCCGTGTTCGGGGCCCTGCTGTGCTACCGATACCTTCTGCGGACGCCCCAGATTCGACGGGACGGTGTCCCTTTGAGGTATGCGTGGCTACCTACCTACCTACCTATGTAGACGTCTCCCCGGGGGGCCCCACCCGTTAACCCGATCGCAGGAGACCGCCAAACACCCTGCCTCTCGTCGGCAACGGGATCCTCTTCCTGCAGCCGCGCCAGAAGCTGTTCTCGTGGTTCGTGAAGTGCGAGGACCTGTTCGGCCGCGAGACCTTCCAGATCAGCGTCCCCACGCTCCCGCCCGGCGTCGTCATCAACGACCCGCGGAACCTGGACTACGTCTTCAAGAACGAGGGCCTCTTCTCCAAGGGCGACCTCTTCAAGCGCCTCTCGCGCGACCTCTTCGGCGCCGGCATCATCAACGTCGACGGCGAGCTGTGGAAGGCCCAGCGCAGAGTCGGGCTCGCCTTCCTCAGCGCCTCCAACCTGCGCGTCCTGACCCACGTCGCGCTGCCGCGGTACCGCGACCGGGCCACCCGCCGCCTGTCCGCCCACGCCCGCGCGGGGAGCGTCGCCGATCTGCAGTCCGTCTTCCACGAGATCACGAGCCAGCTGATGGGGAAGATGGCCTACGACATGGAGATGCACTCCGACGACGATTTCACCGTCGCTTTCGAGTATTCTTCAGGCGTAACCGCCGGGCGCTTTCAGAACCCCCTATGGTTTATTACCGAGGCCTTCACCGGCCGCCGCTTCCGGCGCGCGCTGGCGACGATCCGTGCTTTTGGGAACAGCATCGTAGAACATGCCGTCAGCGTGCGTAGTACCCAAGGGGGAGAAGGAGTCTCGAGATCGGATAAGTTGGATGAAATCTCCGGCGGGCTCATACGGTCCTTGCTGGAGGTTTTCGGGGACGACAGAAACTTGGTGACGGACGCCGCCTTGAACTACCTTTCCGCCGGCAGAGACACCGTTGCTCAAGCCTTGACCTGGTCCATGCACCTTCTCATGCAGCACAGATTCGTCCTCGAGAAGATCCGGGAGGAGGCACAGGCTTTCCTAGACGCCTTCGACGCGTCTGGCGCGGAAGCCGGCTGCGGCGCTGATGTAGATGTCAAGTCGGTCGTTTTCACGCCGGTATCGCTGCCGTACACCATGGCAGTCTTTTACGAGGCGCTACGTCTGTATCCCCCGATCCCCTTCGAAATAAAGCAGTGCGAGCGGGCGACCACCTTGCCCGACGGCACTTTTCTCCCAGAGAAATCCATAATCTTCTGGTGTACTTGGGCCATGAACAGGTCGAAAGCGAGCTGGGGTGACGACGCCGACGCTTTCAGGCCTGAGAGGTGGCTCACAGCGGAGGGGAAGTTGGTGATGAAGAGCGCCTCCGAATTCCCCGTGTTCAATGGCGGACCACGGTTATGCCTGGGGAAGCGAATGGCAGAGCTGATGGCGTGTCAGGTCCTGGCTACGATGGTGCTCATGTTCGACTTCGTTCCAGCTTACGAGACGGAGAGAGTAAGTAAAAGTAGCCTCACTCTGCCGATGCAAGGGGGGCTGCCGTGCCTCGTCAAGCAAAGGGCGAATACACGGCGGGGGAAGATTGGGTAGAAGGATTACCTATACATTGAGGGGCGTGCCGATCAAGTGCCAGATCACCATAAGCCGAGCCTTCTAGAATTCTATTCGATCTGCGCTGTACTTCTCTACAGGGGTCGGATTAGAAATTGGTATCGAATCTTTCGTTGGCCGGGTCCCGAATCCTCCGCAGTCGCCCCAGCCTACCCCTAGCTCGCAAGGTGGGTGCTGAACCCAGGAATCTGGGCCGAAGCAAACAATTACTAGATTTCCTAAGAGAGAAAGAAAGAGAGAGAGCACGGCAGCGTGCTAAGTACAAGCTTCTCCCGATATCTGGGGACCAAGGGGTGCGGATATTATTAGGCGACCGGGGTTCGCGCCGTCGGATCGTGAATGGCTCTCTCATTGGGGTGTACGAGCCAGGGAGCCTTCGTAATACGGCGTATTCATGCAGCCCAGGCCTACGTCGAGCAAGTCAGCAAACGGATTCGGGAGAGCCGCCCCGTGCCCACCCGCGGCGGCCGATCGCCACGTTTCGCACGGGAGATGGAAGCCCTCGGGGCGCGATACCACGCCACGTTGGTGGTCCCGAGGAAATTTTACACGGGAGAGAACAGACGAGATAGGGGCGAGGGAGGGGGAAGCAGGTCTGATATGCCTCAGGCTGCAGCTGTGCGTGCCCACGCATGGCGTGATGGTTGTCGGGCATTGCATACCTACTCGGCCAACAGCTTATAAAGAGGTGTTGAGCGTGCCACCGACAAAAAAGGAATAAATGATTAAACCGGCGTCTATCAAAACAGAAAACCATCAGGCCACCCCGCCTCCCTCCCCTTGGTTTCATCTCCTCTCGTCTCTCATCCCCGGCGAGAACACCGTCAGCCGCCTCAGACCCGCCCCGCTCCGAGCGACTCCGGCACAGAAGAAAATGCAGTACTTCCTCTCGGGCCCGATCCTGGCCGCCTGCGCCCTGATCGCAGCGCAGCAGGCCGCGGCCGCCCCCCCTGCAGCCCCCCCCGCAACAACCCCCTCCGGCGCCACCCCCGGCGCCGAGCCGGAGCCCCAGCCGAAGCCGGAGCCGCTGTGAAGCTAGGACCTCGCGGGTCACCTGATCGGTGAGTGCGCGGCCGCCTGCTCCCTTCCGCAGCCCGTGGCAACGGATGGTGTGGGGAGAAGAGGAACACAAGCAGGGACGTGTATTCTAATCGAGGCGTAATGTTATAGTGTTGCACTATTTTCTGGGAAAGGAGCGGGGTATGAGGCCAAAAAGTAGGCCCGTCTGTTCGGCGGCCGGTAACAGGGGGCGGGCGATCTCTGGGTCGGAGGATACTAAAACGGGCAAGGAATTCGGACGTGGCGGCTTGGGCCTTGTTATATATGTCTGTCGCGGCATGGCGTTAGTGCAAAAGTGTTAACTAAGGGGGTTTCTTTCGACCACCAGTCCGGCTGGTCTCTGCCTCATCGCCTCTAAAGTTGAGACGATAGAAGCGTGTGCTGGCATAAATATGATGCCTATCACGATGCTAGTTACTCCCGGTCTTCGCGAGATGAAGTCTCGCCGTTTGCCGCCGTTCTATCTTACCCCCTGCCGCGTTTCGGCGACGGAGATAGGCGCTCTTTCTAGCGCGAGCAGCAGGCTCCTGGGAGCAGTCATTCTCAACCCCCTTGGGCCCGAAACAAAACAGCAGTATTTTACCCCCTGGGTATTATACTGAAACCCTATTCTTTCTCGCCGGTCTATTCCATCCACCCGTCCTGTCGCCGGTTTCCCGCGACATAGTATCCGTCGCATGCTGCTGCGCTGTCTACGAACACATCTCACACCCACTCCTTCCCCTTCCACCCCTCTTTCTCCCTCTCTCGCTGCTCTCCCTTCGCCCCTTTCGTTCGCGGCATATGCTCCGTTGTCGTATCGAAACCGGGGGGCTCTCTGGTATTATCTATCAGCGCCGAACTCTAGCCGCAGTCTTTATGTGTTAGAGTGTCGAGCTCCGTTGGTATTCGCGCCGATTCTGGGGGGGAAAGACCGGAGTTGAAAGATGCTGTGCTCTTTTCTTATGGCAATTTGGCCTCGAATATGCGAAAACCACGACTAGGTATATATCTTAATGAACAGTACGACGTATTCTTTACCTATTGTGGTTCTGCTTTCAAAAGCCGGGCCAGAGTAAACTTATTTTCGTGCTGCTGTGTTTCGAACCTCTGGTCAGAGGATGAGATTTCCTAAAATAGGCCGGTTAAAACTTATTGCCCTTTGTATTTTAAGAGATAGCTCCTCCATAGTGGTTACATTCTCCTGGTTACGGTTGATCGTATGTGCTGTTGCAATACCAGTCATAATCTGTGTTCACGATGGTCCATCCCTCTCTGCAAGACTTTCCCATGTGTCACTTGGGGTAGTTTTAGGGGGAAAACAATTACTCGAGCCGTCATCGATACTACGTCCACACTTTTAGAGTCGAAGCACACGATACTAGATTTGCCAATAGCATAGAATTCCAAGAACGAGTGTGTTCATTTCCTGAGGCCTCGAGGGCGAGTGTATTGCCGATGATGGCTGGTGAAGTCTACCTAAGTCGGGCTATAGTTTCGCGACCACTAATATGGGATAGACGGCTAGGCCAAAGCAGGTTTATGTGACGAATCTTCTCGTCGACTGTTCCAAGCCCCATAGTCTACGCTGCCTAGCCATCCGCGGGCTCCGCTCCGCGTGTCGATACTCTCGGTGCTCGGGAATTTATGCTAAGCGCCCTTGTTAGTACTGTTGAAGCAATGGAACGCTTGGCCTTAGCTCGCTTAGGCTAGATATTATTTGTATCATATGCCTGAAGAAGAGCGAGGCCGAGGTGGAGGAGAAGGGTAATATCCTGCTTACTGAAGATGAACTCCCCGTCCTGGTTCTCTACCCTCTCGCCGAGGTTGATGTCGGCGTCGGAAAACTCGCCGTCGACTCTCCGGAGACGGGCCCTCAGGACGGGCACGCTAGCGCCTCCTTCAATGCCGAAGTGGATGTCCTCGGCGGACTCGGAGAAGTCTGCCAGCGATGTTAATGAGCCATCACGATGAGAGCCACATATGTTTCGACGTACTCTCTCCACCCCACTGGAAGCGGCCTGTATTATCATTCCGTGTTAGCGATATGGCGAGGAAGTTGATAGTCGGGACTCGACGGGGGCTAGAAAGGACAGCCTACCATCGTCGTTGCCGATGAAGTTGTTCAAGTCGATCTCGGCATCCTTGTAGTTTCCGTCGGCGTCCCTGAGACGGGCCTTGAGGATGTGTCCGTCTTCGAGGCGGATATCTTCGGAGCTGGCGTGGAAAGACATGATGTTCTACGGGTGCCGAGGTCTCTTGCGTGGATGATGAAGGGCGGGTGTGTGTGTCGAGAGCAGGAGAGTCCGAGAGACGAGGGCGGGGATGCGCTGCATTCTATATAAGGCGTGCCCAGCCCACATATCGTCTCACCTGGGGATGCTACCATAGGTGCATGCAACTCTAAACACATGCTAGGAGCCGATGGTGATATCCACTCCACCGTAGGTATCATCAGGACTTACACGTGTAGACCCTCGCTTGGATCTCTCCCCTCGTCGCGTACTGCGAACCCCTGTCTAGCTGGATAGGCATACGTACGCCGACCCTGACGATCTACCGCATCCATAGGCTATAGGCCCACCGTCGAATTCTGGGATGGGTTCATAGGTCTGACTTTTAGGTTACATTGGGTCGGAATACATGATTCTAGCGGGGTGATCCTCGTGTAGCATTGGCGCGGCTTCGTGGATATAGACCTCTCTGCACGACCGCCATAGCTCTCGTGTTCCAGAACCGCAGCTAAGTAGTAGTAAGCCCCGGTTAACTCGGCCCCCGGTGAGGCCTCCGTCGACCACCAACCGCCAGACTACGGAACGTGGTTTGGAGGCTTGGAGATGTGTGATTGGGGTTGGGGGTGGTTAAGAAGAGGGCCTCTCTGTATTGCCCCCCAACCGGAGCCTTGCCATTTCTTCTTTCAGCTTGAAATCGGCATCGTGAAAGCAAGCCCGTGTGGTTTTCCTCGAAGTATTAGAGGCCGTGACGAGCCGGGTACGTTTCTGCGAATGCCAGTCGCCGCCGAGACCATGTGGACCGTTATCGTGACCCTCACTCGCCTCCGCAGATGGCATCGCGCGAACCCTATTCGCAAGATGGTCGCTGTTCGTTGTTTCAGACGGTGTGGTCAGCAACTCCATAGCGTTGCGGTGCCGTGATGCCGGCCTCTTCCCCTTTCGGACACTGCATGGTAGTCCCATGCCAAGAGGGAGACGGACGGGATTCATTGGTTTCCGCTGCAATACTCGGCGTCCACTGCTTTACAGTAGCACATTCTAAAACCAACATGGATACGACAGCTGCTGCTCGACTAAGCACGAAAATACCCCGCGATGCGGATAAACGGCCAAGACGGTCGAAGAAGTGCCCCTCCATGCTACGTAGGTGTGTGAAAATTTGACGGCAATGTTCTCGTGGACAGTCTGCCTGCTTCTTCCTCTCGCAAAGCAAGAGATCTTGGTTGCCCACCTGCCCCCGCTCCCCCTCACTGTCGAAATAGAGCTCTGTCATGAGGTAATCGAAATATCTTCTTGGATGGAAAGGTCCATCGCCCTGCTTGCATGATTTGCTGGTTGAGGGGTAGGTAATACTATTATAGCCTCTCTGCAGCGTTGGCCGTGTTGCTGCTCTCCACAACACCACGAGCGATTTTCCGAGTGGAGGAGCATCTAATAGACCGGGGCGATAGCCGAACTGACGTACTTGGCCGACGGTTATTAGACGCGTGTTCTAGGATTCTCTGCGCCGTGCCGTACTATTTCCCACCTACCTATCGTCGATACTACCCGTCTTAGGACTGAAAGGGTCAACACTGGTTGGAGCTCTGGTTGGCCCTCTCGGCCGTGACATCGACTCGACGGGGATGGTCTCAGTAGGTATTTATTAATATCTCGCGGTTTGTAGTCCACCTCGGCTCACAGTCGCACGAGAGCAAGCCAAGCATGCTAGCCAGCCCCTTCGCCGGAGGCACTAGGCGTACATGGAGCTAATTTCGACGGCATGCTGTCGTCACGTCTGAATGGCTCCGATGGGGCGAGCCGAGGCCAGAAGAGGGGACAGGCGCCGTCTTACATGGCTGCCTCTGAGTCTCTCATCCACGGCGGTCTGGCCTGTCGTCTATCCGCGCATGATCCAGCCCTCGCCTGCCCGGGTCCGCGTGCCAGTCGGCTTTTTCGATTTCTCTTCTTGTTTCTTGTTTTTTTCTTCCCCCCTCTTATAAACCCCCCGTTCGTTGAACCCCCGCGCCGTGGGTGGCGGGGCTGTTCGATACCTACACGTCAATCTCGACAGCGCATAGGTGCTCATCTTTTGCTCGAGTATCTTACTTTTGGAGTATCCCACTTGTAGTTCTCATTCAATAGTTTGATGCCACTGAGAACTTGATGGAGCTGTCAGAATTGTTCCTGTGTTTATATATCCCGTTATTCTGCCTGTGCTGCCTGGCTTGCTAAATACCTAGTGCATTTACGATTGCGGCAGCTGGTGGCCGAGTTCGCAGCTGTTAGCAACCGCCATCTGCTTTCAGTTGAATTCTACCAGCAACTCTTTGCAGAATATTACGCTCTGTAGAATAGAAGAACCCTCTACGTCCTTTTTCTAGATCCTTATTTCATCAGCGAACTTACGTACCGTCCAGCGCGTTGCCGGTTCTCTGCTCGAATCCTCTTAACCCCCTTTCTCCTCCTCTCTTGTCTTTAGTTGAAGATCCCCATGATCCCTAGGTGAACTTGTCTCTACTAGGTAGAGACTGTTGATTCCCGGCAGAATTGAGACAGTAATAACCGGCGAAGAGGGTTGTATGTAACTTACCGATAAGAAGGTCCCTTGGAGTCGGGCGGTTCAACGAGATTGGATACCGAAGACCGCAGCCACTGGCGCACACATACATCCTTACGTAACGGCTTACTGGCTTCGAACCGTGTCGCGTGGGGGGTCTGCTGTCGCATCCATCATGACCGTCATCATGGGTATCACGAAGAGGGGAAGTGGGATAAAATTGCCAGGGGACATGACAGTCACCGCTGAAACCAGTCCCGACAACAGTTACATCCTTCGTTTTCCAACTCCTTTAGGCTTACCCAGATCCCAGGAGACTGGATGTGGTTATTTTCCTTACGTCTTCATGAATGGTAAAGCTATTACAATTCAGTCTAAGGATGTAGTAGCTTGGTACATATATGAACTCTTAGTGTACCCGGTACTCTACGGGCGGCTATTAACTAGGGTAGTTTCTGTTCTGAAATCCGCCACAGTTACTAAGGAACTAGAGGATTATGGACTTATTGATAGTGGAAGCTTAGTTTATTCCACCACGGCGCGGCCAGGAAATAACTTGTATAAAATTACGTTACACGAAGCATCCAAGAAAGTATTAATAGAGTCGGGAAGCTGTGGATAACCATCCATATGCCAACCCGATATAAGAACGAAGAGATCAGGGATAAGTCAGGGCACAGAAGGGTTACAGTACAGTCTTCAACTGCGAGTGTATGGTCCATATGTAAGGCTAAGTATCTACGGGTGGTTATCGGATTTACCTTTGCCCTCGCGTCCAGAACAACCTTCGCGGCTAACCCTACGATTACACACCGCGCCTTAGTTGGCTAAGTTCGCCTATCGTACCTAACTCTTAGGGTTCATGCCGGCTAAGGATTTCGTACACGATGTTAGAGGCAAGAATGTAAGTAACATGCCCAGTCCCTAAATAAGAACTACTCTGAGTAGCCGAAAGCGGCTGGCAAGCTTTCGGGTATAAGTTGAATCGTCGACCAGGATGAGCTTAAGAATTACGCCCCAAGTAGGTGCCAAGAGATTTAATGCACTTCCTTGTAGATACGTGTCTGTTATCGTACATGAATATTACAACCCCTAACCCAGAGTCCCTTGTCCACCCGAATGTACGGCCTCGAGTTTCGTCATCATCAATAATAAATCCCAACATGACCCATCCGTCCTTGCGCCACTGTCCGCCTATGCATATATGTACCCCAAGCGCCTATCTAGGATGTTTCTATCCGGGGCCCCTCACTGTCTACTCCCTTCCGCACAATATATACCCGAATATCCCTATTACTTACTACCGTGTGCACCACACCCTCGACAGCGACATAGATTGCCCGGTCCCTTGGTTACTTCTTCGGGTTCAGGAACTTCTTGACCTTGTGGCTCTTGACCTTGCAGACGAGGCCCTTGCCGGCGCACCCAAGGCACACGTCGTAGTTATCCTGGTTGCAGATGCAGCAGTCTATGCGTATCCGACACAAAGTGTTAGCAACCGTTCCTTTTCTTGTCCCCTTTCTGCATTCATTCCTCTCTTTCCTCTTCTACAGGCGACACCCGGAGTCGGTAGCAGGTGGGCGGCGGGGAAAAAAGAGAAGAGAGAGGTGTGTGTGGCGGGGACTTACGGATATAGCACTCGCCCGGCTGGATGACCTCGCGGCAGCGGTTGCAGGACAGCCGGGTGATCTTCCCAGCGCGCGGGCACTTCGCGCTTGGGCGGTCGGGCTTGTTGGCTAGCGACAGCATCAGGGCCTCGGCGGCGGTGCTGCCGATCTGCTCCTCGATGATCTGGGCCTGCACCATGCCGGCGTGGTGGGCTATGGCGTCGGCGGCGGGCGTGGCGAGGGCGGTCGGGTCGCCGCCGGCGACGGCGTTGCCGAGCTGCTCGATCTGCGCGACGGCGCCGTCAGCGGCGGCGTCAAAGTTCGTCGTCAGGCCGGTGCTCTCGTTGGCGCCTTCGGGCAGGCCCGCGCCCATCTGCTCGACGTTGGTGACGCCCTCGATGAGGTCGCCGACCTCGACGCCGACGCCGATCCCGACGAGGCCCACGGTGGCCCCGACCGCGACGTCCTTCACGTCGATGTGGTGCGGCGCGATGCCGCGCTTCACAAGCTCCGCGTGCTGAATCGCGCGCTTCTTGTCCGAGACCCAGGCGCTGCGCATCTTGTACGCGGCGAACCCGAGCGATAGGCCGCCAGTCATGACAGCACTACCCATGCCCCCCCCAACGGCGACGGTGCTCGCCACTAGCTTGCGCGCCGTGGGTGCCTCGACACTGAGGAGCCTCGAGGCCGAGTAGCCGGCAACCTCCCTGCGGTACTCGTCGGCGTCAAATTGAAGGGTTTCGCTAATGCCCATGGTTGCTTTTCCCGGTCTTGGTTTTCGATATTCTGAACAGTCTTTCTGTGAAGCAGATGGTAAGAGTGTGAACTGGTGGGTTAAATGTTGCCCAAAAATTCAACCAAGCCGGCCGACACCGAGGGGTTTATAACGACCTTCACCATTTTATATGGCCAGCTTGTGGTTCAAATCAGCCTAGTTGTCCTGACAGCACGATTTTTCTAAGACGTTCTACAACACAACCCCCGTTCAGCCTCACAGGCTGTCCTGCTTCACCCTTAGAGGGTACGTTTGGTTATCGGGGAGGGATCTTCGCGCGCCACCCTCCATCTTACATGGACACGCACACGTTCTAGGACATTTGTCCGGGGGCAGTAGTCAGAACCACGAGTTTGAGATCCCAGCCCTTACGTGATACGGTGGCAAGTATTTGTCTATATCACCCACATATGCTGTTGGCCGGCTGCCACTGACCAATCCAGGGCTTTGGGTGAAGCATCGGAGGCGGACAATCCAACTAGAATAGTGCGCTGTAGCGACGCCGATCGCTTGAGCCGCATAGAAGTGCATCTCCTATTTTAGCCCCAGGGCTGCTTTTTCCCCCGGTCTGACCACGGATGTGTGCTGTAAGACGCATGCTCCCTTCTTCGCTCCCATACGTTGACTCGATATCGTGTACCAACGCCCCGAGCTAGTGGTGGACTTGGGACAATGGAAATAGGACGCCACCCTGAACGCCGCTGAGTCGATGCCGCGCTCCTCGTGGCGAAGCGCCGTAGTTGACGATGCCTTGTCCTTAGGTCCGTTAGGTAAAGGAAATTGCTCTAACAGACTTGTCCCAGGGATCATAGCTGTTCGGTCGCAAGAAGCCAGTACCGCGATCTCACCCTCACCAGCATAATTATACCTAGTTATAGGTAAGACCTCAGCCACCGGCATCTGACATCCTGGAGGATTGTGCTCCTCGAGAGCTCCCCAGCTCGCTTCAGGCCTTAACCCAGTAACCGCCCCAAAAGTTGCCACGAGGAGAGAAGGAGTGCAACGAGAGAAGACTCCCAAAAAGCAATAGACAAGCCACGGGTGGCAAAGGCTCTGCAGATCACCATGTGCGTGTAGATATGTGTCGGCGTCAGTCTGGGAATTAATAGAAGCTTGTGGCGTTGTGTGGAGAGAAACGTGTTCCCCTCCCTCTCCCCCCTGAAAAGGTGACAAATCTGAAACTCAGCAGTGATACAAACCAACACCAACCACGCCCAACTCGTAAACATCGAGCGTCGCCGCAGTCCTCCATCCAAGCGAGTCATACCGGGCGCTGGGAGAACATCGGCAGGGCTGCGGACCCCGGGCGCTGGGGCTACCCCGTCGTCGAGCCCTCGATCTGCCTGGCGCTGTCCCGTACGCATCGATCTAGGTAATACCTAGGGGGCTTGGGACATGCGTAATTAAAACCTCCTACGTTATATGGCCTGACGACTCCAGACCGACATTCTATAGCCCCAAACGCCGCCATCGTCAGAGCTTGGGAAAGCGTCTCGGTGGCTTCCTTCTGATTAGTATTCCTTATGCCCATCCCACACACGCACGATTCTACCTGCGTCTCGCGCCTGTCTCGCCACACGAGCCACGTCGGGTCCATCCCGGACGCAGCCAGAAACCCCCGCCGCCGCCGCCATCGTCATCCCCAAGGCAAGCAACCGACCCGTCCTCAGCACCCGCACCCGCGCCCGCACACACCAACCCGCTGGCCGCCCAAACCCTCCCCGCGGCTCCACCGCAAGGCGGATCGAGCTGTCTCAGGCCGCCTCGCCGACCCTCCCTACGGAGCATCTCGCCCGCGCGTCCACCCAGCCAGGCAAGTGGCGCGCGCATCCTCGCTGCCGCCCCGCTCCCCGGCCCCAAAACCGGCGACCCAGCATGGCCGAGAAACACACACACACACACACACACACACACACACACACACACACACACACACACACACAAAAAAAAAAAACAGGACGGCGAGGGACACGAGGCAGACAGCGGATCCCAGATCGACAAGCCACGGCGCGCTCGGTCGCCAAGCCGGGCCAAGATCTACGCGCCCCCCCCCCGCGTCCTCGGCGCCCGCGCGGGGCGAGAAACAAGGAACTAATGCAAAAAGAACTAGGATATATAAATGAAAAAAAAGGAATAGAGAGAGGAAGGAGGAAAGAAGGGGAGAGATCGGGGAGGCCAGCGCGTGCAGCAACCCCCCCCCCCGGCCCCGCTTACCTTGTTCGCGTGGTTCGTCGACGTCGCTTTGGCTGCTATTAGAGAACGGGGACGGAGAAGGGGGCGAGGGGCGGGGTGCTGTCCGTGTGCGCATACCAGCCAGCCGCCACGCGATAGGAGTGCACGGCGTAGGTAGGTAGGTAGGGAGGTAGCGAGGCCGCGGCGTCGTGTTTACTAGGGACGGGTACCGATCTGCTCCTGGCCCCTTAAGGCTTCACCCCGTACGTTGAACTGAAAAGTAACAGGCATGAACATCGCGCCCACTGCACCGCTTCCTCAGCGGGCCCGATGTCCGGGACGTAATAGGCAGCTCGTTCGATGTGCATTCGCGCGTATGGTCTAGCCGCGTGGGTAGGAGTTGGCTATGGAGTATGTTACGATCTGTGATAGACAAGTGTGCATACCCATCTGCGCCTCTCTTCCTAGATCGTCTCCCCATCTCGTCTCCCCATCTCCTCTTCCCCCTTTAAAAAAATATTTCCAAAAAAAAATCACGGCACCCCGCCGAACCGCTGGCGCGCGATCTCGCGGAGGACCTCCATGGTGCCCTCCTCGCGGGCGCGGTACGCGCGGACGCGCTCCTCGCGCTCCTCGGCGCGGGCGCGGGCCTCCTCCTCGCGGCGGGTCTCGCGCTCCGACTTGCGGCGGGCCGCCTGCTGGCGCGACGCCTTGTACTCGGCGACGCCGCCGCCGCCGCCACCCTCGCCGCCCTCGCCGTCCTCGCCGAGCAGCTCCGCGTCCGCCACCTCCGCCGCGCCCGGCGACCGCCGCTCGCCGAACCCGCGCTGCCGCTCCGCCGCCTCGCGCCGCTTCTCCAGCCGCCGCTCCCGCGTCCCCGCGTCCGCCCGCGGCGCCAGCTCCGCCAGCCGCTCCCGCTGCTCCGCCCGGTCCGCCCGCCGCGCGAGCCGCAGGTCCGCCGCCTGCGCGAGGCGCTCTTCCGAGGCAGCTTCGCGCCGCGCCGCGAGGTCGTCGAGGCGCGGCGCCCCGGCGCCGTGGCGGTCGTGCCGGGATCTCCTGTTCGGGTTCAAAGCGTCCGGCGGCGGCGGCAGGGTCGGGCCGAATTCGTCGTCGTCTTCGTCGCCATCTTCCCCCTCCCGCTCGTTCCGTCCCTCGCCGTCGGACACTTCCTCTCCTTTCCTCGTCGCCCTAGCAGTGGAACCGCTACCACCAAGCGCCGTCTCCGTCCTCGCTACCTCTCCCCTCTCCCTCTCCTGCCCTTCTTCTCCGTGCCGCTCTTCCTCGCGTCCCCGTCCCGCTTTCGCCTCCGCCTCCGCCTCCGCCCGCGCCTCCGCCAGCATCTCGGGACGGTACCACCCCTCGGCGAGCCCGCCGCTGTTCCACCGGCGCACGAAGCGGCGCCAGCGCCCGCGGACCTCGCGCTCCCCGAGCGCGCCCATGTCGCGTCCCTTCTGCACGTCGAGGTAGCGCGCGAGCAGGGGCCGGAACGCGGCGAGGTCCGCGCGCGCGAGGCGCCGCGCCCCGAACGGGAGCTCCACCGCCGCGCTCCCCCCTGCCGCCGTTACTGCTGCTGCCACCGCGATTACCGGCTCCGGCGGGCGGTGGCGCCTAGCCCGCTCCTGCCGGTGCTGGTGCTGGCGGCGATCATGATGGCTGTGGGACGGCTTGCGATCCCGCGAGCGGGAGCGGGAGCGGGAGTAGGAGCGCGAGCCCGAGCGCGAACGAGCCCGGACGCCATGTCTAGGTCGGCGATCGGGGCTCTCGGAGCTCGAGCCCGACTCCGACTCGGAATCGGCGCGGCGCAGGCCCCGCTGCGAGGAGGTGCCCTTGGACCGCGAGGCGTAGTCGCGCGAGCTCGTATACGGCCGATCCCCGTCGTCGTAGCGACTTCCGCGCCGACCCTCGCGACGGGCGGGCGACGGCGATCTGCGTCTCGACCGGTCGCTGTCGTCATCGTCGCGACACCTCCTCCTCCTCTCCCTCGCTCCGTACCTGTCGCCGCGGTCGGTCGCGCTGTTCCGCCTCCGTCTGCTACGCCGGGCGTGCGTGTCGTCCGGGACGTCGTCTTCGTCGTCCGAGGAGCGGCGGCGTTTGCGGCGCTGGCGAGGATGCTGCCCGTCGCCGCGCCTCCTTGCGGGGGAGTGCTCCGAGCAGGAATCATCCGACGCGTGTACGCGTTGCCGCGCTGGTTCCGCCATAGGCGAAGCTATTATTGGGTGACGGTCGGTCGGGGTGTCGCGGTGGCGGTGTGGTGCTCGTCGGAGAGTAGATGTGCACAGTCGGCAAATAGGATATTGTCGGTATGCAAGGGCAGGCCGGAAGGAATCTGTGGTTAACCGGTCGGTCACTCGCGGTCGGGTCGTGGCAGGGAGGGAGAGTATTTAGGGTGGAGGAAGAAGGAAGAAATATGTAGGTATGTAGATTGGTAGATCGGGCGAAAAGGCTGCTGGAGGTACCTCGACACGCTTAAGCTACCTTAGGTAGGTACCTACCTACCTTGGCTTAGCGCACGGCGCAGTAGGTAGGTAGGTATAACTATGACTGCATAAATGTATGCGCAAATATATACATGTATATATACATACACGCACATACACATATGCATACGTAAATCCCCCCCCATTCTCTGTCATCACGTGGTCACTGCACCTTGCCTCCGCTCATCAGGTTCCGGTTGCATGCGCTCTGCATGCACTTGTCTTGTGGGGTCGGGGTTATGCCGTTATGCACCCTCCTCCTCCTGCGTAACCCGGGCTACTATGTACGTACGTGCACGCTTGGCTACATAACCATGCACAACATCCCTACGTCAAGCACCAACACGTACTTGAATACACGTACTTGAATAGGCTAAGTACTTCCTCCTCCTCCCTATCCCCGTGACCTCCCGTGCCCAAACGAGACCAGACACATCCACCCACGTACAACGACGCCGCTCCCGAGCACGGAACCCCCCGACGTGCATCCCCGCGCGCGCGCAGTCCTTCTACATCGCATCAACCTTTCCGCCCTCTCGTCCCCCCTTCTCTCTCCCATAACCTATATCACCTCTCCTCTCTCCACAATAGCTAGCGGCTACTGCTCAGCCAGGTCTCCCTCGCTCCCGGAAGGGGAGAAGGAGTACGGTCAGACTCGCATCAGACGCGCGCAGACGGACCGAGTCGGTTTCCGTCCGCCAGAGAGAAGGAATGCGAGAACCCGTGAGTACGTTGTTGAAGAAGCAGATCGGCAGACGACCTGACTCCGACCCGGCCCGGCTCGGGGGGTGCCGCCGCGGGACTACCCGCCTCAACCTCAGGAGGGGGAAGGCCAGTACTTCTGCGGAGGTTACGTCCATACTTGCCATTCACCGCTACTGCCTGCCATCTCCATCTCTCCCTCCCCCCAACCTATCATATCTACCCTAACATCCCTTACTTATCAGCCTCCTTTTCTCATAAAGAAAAGAGACACCAGATAGGGGACTCCAACTGTAAAGTCACCAGTTAATACATCCCCCCTTGGGAAGATACGCACGAAACACATGCAGATATGCAAGTTTCTTTTTCTATCTCTTCAATCTTTCTCTTATAACTACCAGGCTTACCGCGAGCCCCGTCGCATACCTCATTTGTCACTTAACGCAGTGTGGGAGCCCTATATACCTACGTCGTACAGACACCCAACTGACTCGGGCGCTCGTAACGCTCACTGGCGTCTCAGTCTCTTCCACAGTCCACTCTTTTCCTGGAAGGTCTCAGGTCAACGGGTCGGTAGATAAGTAGCAAGGTAGATAGGTAAGGAGACAGGTAACCTCTTCACTCAGACTCCCGTCGCCGCCGTCATTCTCTTCATCGTTAGGGGAGACTTCCGCCAAGAGTGGCTAGGAAACCCCCAGCATCGCGACGCCAGGGCCAGGACCAGGACCACAACGTTTCCCGCCAGTATCGTTAAATACAAATATGACCCGTAGATAATACGCCGCATAACTCATCAGGGAATATTAGACCTCCGCCCTTTTCTTTTTCTCATATACACCATGACATGTGTGGATTCGTAGATGGGTAAATGCGTTTGTACATGCTAACCCGGGAAAAGAGATTGAAAGTTCACAAACCTAACGTCGCCCTCCCTTACACCCTGAACGCTTCCATCCTGTCCTACCTGCTCCGTTGCCGTGTCCCAACCTATATACATCAAGATGACACTCCTGGGATGTACCATATTCCTCCCAGACGCACCGGGTCGCTTTGTTCTCCCCTAGACCCCCCCATGAGGAAGGCGGTTGGGGAGACGGAGGGGTATCAGCCCACAATCCTTGGGGATATCATTTTGATCTATTATCGCATATTGCATGCAAAATTTCCACCGTGATCCTGTGTAGACTAACGCCGAACCATGCAAGCAAGCATCTTCTCGGGAGAAACGACTTCACTCCCCCCCCCCTTCCTCCTTCCTTCTCCTTGCTCTTTAGGTAGGCGTTATAGCTGGGGGTTCGTTGTGCACCATGCACTCGATACACGAGCAGTTATCACCACATAGGCACTGGTTCGACGTCTCTAGGTCGTATTGTACGAAGAAATATTCGCCGGGCGAACGGTCCTGATCTTCCGTGTTCGTAGGCTCTTTGTCGGGTGGGCTCGGCGCCGCCGGCGGCGACGTCCCGCTCGCCGCGCTCGCCGCTAAGGGTGGGTCTGGCATAGGGTTTCCGGCATCTATCATGTTTCCAAACGAGCTGTATTGGTACATGAAAGCCGACCGGACATGTTCTCTCGTCGCCTGGTTAAACGGATGCGCGGGGCATCCGACACACTGGCACGCGGTGCCGCAAGTGCAGTCATGGTTCGTGTATGGATTCCCGACGATCCCGTTCAAGTCAGTCTGAGACGGAATTTGGGGTGAGTTGCCGTAAGACATCTGCATCGCGCTCTGTAGGTAGTTCGTCATGGTCTGCTGCCATTGCTCGTACTGCAGTGGGTGGTGAGGCGTTCCGTACGAGTTTGGCTGCGCGTACGTCGCCGGCGGCTGCATGTGACTCGGCGAAAATATCTGCTGGTTGAGGGCTAACGGCGGAGGATAGGGGGCCATCATGGCGCCGGTTGCTGCTGGATCTTGGGGTCTATATACCATCGCGTTCATCGGTCCCTGGGGTCGAATTTGGGGTTGGTGCCGTAGTTGGGTGTGAGCTTGTGTTTGCACCTGAGGGTAGGATGGCTCTGGTGGTGAGCAGCAGCAACTCCCCGCCACCTCTACAGACGGCTCTTGTGATAGGGATTCTGTAGGACTTGAGGAGGGTGTGTGATATGGTGAACTAGGCGTGTCGGATCCGACGCTCGACTGACCCGAGACTCCGTTCCCGACGTTCACCATGCTACCACTAAGTGGAAATAAAGGTACGAGTCCTGTGTTTAGAGAGGGGAGCGTAGATTGGTAGCTGTATGACGACGGGACAAAAGATGCCGACTGATGGATTCCGTTTGATATAGAGGACATAAAATCAGATGAGGATGCTACCCCTATCTGGTCTGTTGGGCCCCCCGCTATCCCTCCAGTCGTCGCTGACGCGGTATTCGGAGCGCCGACGTAATTGAGGCTATTGGAATCCATGCGCTCCAGGGCGGCGGAGTAGTCTAAAGTTCGCCTCTGCGCCAATCCGGAAGCCGACGATTTCTGCACTCTAAAGGTTACATTCTTCGCAGGTGACAGCGGCGGGCTACCCGACGGCTCGGTCTTGACGGCGGCCCCCGCACTATTAGCTTTGCCGGGACGACTGCAGCCGCACTGGGTTTTGCGTGGTATCGCCGCCGTCACGGGTGAGCAGCTGCATGTTCTACCAGGCGGGTGAGGACAAGAACTCAACGGCCGGCCGGGTTTTCGCACCGGAATCATTACGCGGTCGCTATGAGTACATTTGGTTGACCGGTGCCCGCGTATGCAGGGCTCGCTAGAGAGAAAAGTTATCAGTTAGCAATATCTCTTTTTAGTTTTAGCCTGGCAAAGCCGCAATCCAGATATCGAGATTGGTGCAATGGACACACGAGATCCTCGCCTTGGAGGGATAGCCCGGATCGTCGGGAAGAGCGCGCGCCCAAAGTCGGCGTACAAGACTGCAGGCTCCCGAAACACAGAGAGAGAAGCGAGGCGCCAACGAGAAGGACAGAAGAATACGTTCAACTCACCAAGCCATTTTTCGCCCTTCGATCAGAGGCATATTGAGAGGCGTCGCGGAGCACCGCCGATGTAATAAGGAGAATCGATAGCGCAGCCTGCAGCTTGCAGCCGTATATACGAAGGTGCGCTCGACGCGGCCTCGGAACTACTGCTATCTCGATCGCTATTTCAGAGACCGACGATGGCGACACTAGCACGAGGAGAGGCTCGCGACACCACATTCACAGGGCGGATACGCGGAGGGAGCTTATGGCGTTCCCGGGGTTGTGCTAGGGGAAGAGGAGGGACTCTACCGTGACTAAAGTGATAAGCGATTGGCGCCGGAGGGAGGTCGAGCCCGGCGAGTAACCGGGGCGGGTCGATGATCAGGCTGAAATCCTCAACAAGGCCTTCGCAGAGATGGTGGCGAGATTGGCCGACAAGGTGGTTAGGGTGTAGCGGATGGATAACGTTGGCGGAATAAGAGATGAAGACCAGCAGGTTGTCACTGCATACGACACAAACGGGTTGCCGGGTTGTGTACAACTGGACCGACGATCCTCGATGAGTTCGACGCGGCAAAGGCCGAGACAAGGAGTAAGACGGCTAGGAGGGTTAGATGGCGCAGAGCGACGGCGCCTGCTGGATACGGCGCCTCTGACGTCGATACTCCCGGGAAGGCCGCTACGCTTCGCAGACAGCGACGAGGGCCTAGATGTGGTGGCAGTGGTGGTGGTAGACGAATCGGACGGATGGTGAAAATCGTGTCCGATAATTTTAGTTAGGACAGGACAGCAGAACCAAGAGCGCAGAAGGATGGAAAACCGGATCGAATGTTTTGGTTAATACCTAGGTATGGAGCAGCGAGGGGAGCCCCCCCCGTTAGGTTGACAAGGGGAGGAGGAGGAGGGGAGGGGGGTAAGAGAAGGAGGGAAGTTCTCGCTCGTCTGATTCCCACATGTAATGCCCCTGGCCAACACCGGCAAGCAGGCCAGGGCCTAGGTAGGTTAAGCCCGGTTTCGAGGCTGATAGGATTGAGAATGACTGGATAAAGCGGGCGGCAGGCCGGGGAAGCCTCGGTCTCGCGGTCTGGATGGCGGTAACGGATAGGGTAGTTGACTGGCTGGACCAGGGTTTGAGTAACTCAAGAAGCCAGCCGATATTCACTGCGGTGCTCGCTCGCTCGCTCGCTCGCTCCCTCTCTGTCCGTCTTGCAGTCTCTCTCTTCGCCTCCCGCTCTCTATCGCCGACTACGTGTATGTGAGTGGGAACCCGTAGGAGGAGGAGGACCAGGCCAGGGTTCCTGAAGAGGGGAGAGGAGGGGGTCTGTGTCTTGAATGCGAACCGCCCGTGCGGATCCGGTTCCTGATATTTTCTGTACGCGGAGCTGATCAACGGAGGGGGGGGCGTTGCTTAGGTGCCAGATGTGTACGTATAAGTGTAGACAGGTATCGAGGTAGGGTGTAAGGGTGGGCGAGCGGGCGTGAGTGAACGTGTACAAGCGCGCAAGCGTGTGCGGGTTGCGGCCAGCCGCCGATGGGGGTATGCCTAGAGGGCAGTAGGTTTTTTTTTTTTTTCCTCTAGGAGGGCTTCCCCCCTTTTTAGATTCTTTCCTTTTTTTTCCCTTCCTTTTTCTCCTCTTCCGTCTTTAGGCTTGTCTTCCCGTGTACTTATATAAATATATGCTTGTGTGTCCAGTATCTGCGTGCTAGTGGCTCCGGAAGCATATCCTTCTTTGCTAGCCGGCGGGTTCTACCTATAGCTCTCGGAGCGAAGCAAGCGAAAGGAGAGCGGGACGAGGAGAACCAACCTAGGGCAGTCTCGGGCGAAACGACAGCGGTAGCGGTTCCACACGCGGGCAAGAGACGGTAGACAGGCGTCTGGCGGTTCTGTGCACTCCTAAGCTCTGTCGTTACCTCACCGGCGTCACCATCGTCGCCGTTACGGCCTTTCCGGTAGTAAGTCCAGGGAGTAAAATCGAGCTAGTGGGAGCAGATACAGGCAGGCTTGAACAGTGCAGCAATGGCGGCGGCGGTACGGAGCCGACAACAGCGACAGCAACAGGAGGAGAAGGCGGCAGAAGCAGACGGCAGAGAGCTGTGCAAGAACAGGCGAGCAGAGACAAGGAAGATGTCAACGAAACCTCGAGTTCTCACACACTGGCAAAAGTGAAAGATGATTGGGGAGGTCGAGTGTCGTGTTGTCTGTGGGGGGGGGGTTGCCAAAACGAGCAAGTTTTGATTGGCCGCTTCCCTCGAATGGTGCTGACTTTAAGTTAGATCCTTCCACACTTGAGCCGACCAGGGTGGGCTGGAAGGCGCGCCTGGAGGGAAGGGGTACCTACATGTACTTCGGATATACCTGTCTGCCTCTCTGACGTGCCGTAGGGTTTACCTCCCGAACCTATCCTGTTCCTCACCTTGTCTTAGGCATCTGCCTTGGGTACTTTAGGTTCCTACTCATGTCTACCTGAGGTAGGAGGTAGAGGTAGGCATGTTATCAGGTAGGTTAGGTACTCACCTTAGGTACCCACACCAAGGAGGTTGGAGTTTGCCCACACAGAGGTACCTTACCTGTATGTCTGCGCGAGCAAGAGTACCTGCGGTATCCGATCAGTACGGGGTACTCGGTACCTGTCCGACACCCTGCAAGCGCCGGGCGGCTTTGCGTACCTAGGTACCTAAGGTGTCCTCTACCCGCCTCTGCTCGGCAGCAACACGTACCTACGCAGGCAATCTACGGTGGGAAACGTCCCCCCCAACCTGCTGGTTCCTTGCTGGAAACTACCTAGGCGTGGAAGCTTACAGCTAGCAGGCAGGCTGGATTATGTACCTACCTGCTTCGGTCGGTACGTGAAGTAAGGACCTAAGGTACCTACCATCACATATCTACGTCGACAGGGGGCATACTAGGGGACCCCGACGGGCGATGGCGGGGCTGATGAGGGGCACGCACAGAATGTGAAAATACATAGGTAGGTATACCTACCACCTACCGAACCTACCTACGCTAGGTACCTCACCTGCCTTATCATATACTCCCTACGATAGGTACCTGCCCAAGGTACCCAGTCTCGCCGCGCGGGAGAGCGTGGGGCGGGCTGCCACGCACCTACTACGCAACCTCCGTGCTATGACCCCCGCCTTCGGTATGTATGTAGGTAGGTAGCTAGGTACCTGGTCCGACCTCGACCTGGACCTCGAGGAAGAAGCTTGCCATCCCTCCTTCCTTCCCCTTCCTGCCTCTCTCGCTCCTGCTCCCCGTTTGCTCGGCTCGCGCTCCCCGCGCCTCGTCGCCTTGCCGCCGCGCGCGTGCGGTCCGGGTGCGCCCAGCCCCTCGGCGGGCAGCGCAGAGGACGACAGGTAGGCAGCGTAGCAACACCAGCCCAGCCTCGCCTCGTCTCGTCTCGTCCCGTCCCCGTAGATATCTGGCTCCCATGCCGACCACTACTACTGCTACTACACTACTACTATACTACTACATTACGACTACTACTACTACTACCCCAAGCTCTCCTCCGCGGCCGGCAGGACAGCGAGGGGTGGAGGTGGGCAGGCATGCGCATACGTATCCCCATGTGCTTTCGCCAGGTCTTGGGGTGGTGGTATGGGCAATACGCATAGGCATATGCGGCCCAGCCCGGCCCCGTCCATCCAGGTGACGACGGTTACGGGGCGCGCATGGGTGAGGCCAAGTCCGATCTACACACGTCCCAACGTCCGCGGACATGTCGCGATGTCGCCTTCGGGCCATCCAGCACCCGGCGCTGGCTCGTGACGGCCGGATTCTGGGGGGAGGAGGGGTTTCTGTCGCATGCATACACCCGTACGGCTTTTTATGCGCGCGTGCGTGCTACCTACCGTACCTGTGTACGCCGCCTTGGGTCATTCACGATGCCCGCCGCCTCCTCGTCTTTCCCTGCCTCTTCCTTCTGCTCCGCCTTCGCGCGCGACGAGTGGGAGGGACGGGTTCCAGGTACTAATAAGATCTGCGCACATGCCTGTAGGCATCGTATAGGTGAGATAGGTACAGGTAGGTGTATGTATACCGATGTATAGGGGCTTACCCTGGGTGTGGTGAGACAGCACGAGGGCGTTCTAGATAAGCCGTCGGCTCGACGCTTAAAATAATATAGTAAGTATCGCATAAAGAGCCAAAAAAAAGTATTTTTAAAAAGGGATTTAAAAAAGAATTGAGCTGAAAAGGAACACTGATCAAACTGGTGGCGCCTAAACCTATCTGGGCAGCATTGGCTCACCCCCCGTCTAGGTCCAAGCGTTCCGACGGTGCTCCAGGTTTCGATGCACCCATCCGCGTCGGCACATTATTACTGCCTTGTGCGGCATGCCGGCCACGACAAGTCAAGTCGAAGCGAAGCCATCCACTCTTGTTTCCTTTCCTTTCTCTCTTTTTTTTGTTCTCTTTCTTCCTTTCCCGTGCGAGTCTGGCGGTACCCGTGCGGCTCTTCGGGTTCCTCCCACGCAGCGTGTAGGTACCTGCCTAGGGTGTGTACTTTAGATGCCCCCAGGACGAGGGCATACAGGTTTATACCAGTCTACATACGGTAGGCTACCTAGAAGGTACATGCATCACCCACACTCGGCCCACGTCAGATTACCGGCATTGGTATATATATATATATCCTACGCCTATCTTGTTGGCGATAGATGCACGTATGGTAATACCCCCGGCATAGATTTCGACGGTACCTTACATACATAGGACGCGTCCCGACGATACGTGTAGATACGAAGCTAGCAATCCGTGATCGACCTCTCCCTCGCGCGCGTGCGGCGAATCGAGTGCCATCCCGGCACGCCATCGCGAACACCCCCCCGAATAGGAAGTTTGCCGAATCCTGCGCACCACTTGGGGAGGGCCGACAGGGGTTCCGAAAGCGTATATTAAAAGAGGAATTTACTCGCTCATATAGTCTCGAGTATCCATGAATGTGGACTCCCCATCAGACACCGCGGGTTCCCAAGATAGCCCCTTTTCGTTGCCACGCGTCCGCCGCCTGCCGGGTCTCCTAGCAGCTCCCTGCCTCGACGCTTCGCAGGTAGCGCACTGGCATTTCATCTCTGCCCGTTGCGGGTGACCCCTCCTGCGTACACGACCAATCGTATAGAATATACACTACCCACCCGTGTAAGTGGCTGCGTAGGGTGGGTAGTCACCGGGGGATGGCGATAATAGATCTTGGAGGACCCTGCATCACTTAGGGCTTTGCTGTTTTTTCGTTGGCCATAGGTCGTACTCGGGTGCCTCGGTCTTATCTTTCATGCATCAAGGGTAGAGACTTATGTAGGTATCGACGTTGGGGGGGGGGGGGGGGGGGGGAAGGGGTCCGGCCAGGTCAGACATGTACGTGAGGTGCCACAGAGATACGCGTATGATGCCGTGTCGTACCGCGCCCTATCTCTTCTCCATGTTCTTCTCCGAATCGAGGCTAGGTGAGCATCTGCTGGACATTTATAGTCTCATGCAAAGTGATCAGAGCACATGCTGGAGGTCTCGTAAACGCTCCCCTCCAACAACCCCAACCCACCCGACAAGCCTAGACCGCCAACCAGCTCCCAGCTCCGCCGACCAGCTCTGCCAAGTTAGATAAGGCTTGCCAGAGCTCGACAACTCGGATTCGACCCAGAGATTAGGTACAGGCAGTGTCGCAGGCTAGCACCGCGGTCGGGAACTACTCTGATTGGCCTCCTGCTTGGCTCCCCCAGGCCGCCTCCGTAGATCCAGGCAGTCGGTATAGGCAACAGCACACCTTCTGACCGCCCTACGCAGAGAACATGGGGTTCGAGCAGGTGGTTTATAGATATAGACAGACACCCGTGCCTTCGGACTAGGATCAGGCTCGCTTCCTGAAGGTTGTCCTTGCCGGCTAACTGAGAGGCTCGGATATGTCGGGCCGGGTACGTTTACTCAAACTGTTTCTCTGGCAGGACCCGGGGCCATCAGCGATCCAGAAGAACCGTCCGTCCCCAGTTCCTCCAGATCTGCCAAGAGACAGCCAACGGCTAGATTCCCGCCGTGATCCAACTGTGCTTTTTAAAATTTGTATATTGTAGGGGCTTGGTTAGCCGTGATATCATCAGCTTCCGTTATCAGAATCGTCAGAGTCTGCGAACATGTCCACGGCCTTCATGCGCCTCCGCGGCTGTAGGGTCGTCGAAATTTGGTCCCGCGATGGTGCGTCAGTCACAGACTCCTCTGCCTTTCTATCGCTCTCCGCGCCGTTATCCCCTTCGCTCTTATCGGGTATGGGCGATGTTTCGGCCACAGGGCTACGCTGAGCCGCGGGTTCTGCGCCGGTCTCGTCCATAGGCTCCCCGTCCTCGTCATCATCCATCGGAACGCCATCGATGTCCGTGTCTAGGTCCTCGTAGTCCACCCACGTACGGTCATCCATAGCCTCGCCGTCAACGTCGTCATCGACCTCCATCCCGCCGTCTTCGTCATCGTGGCCTGCCCCGCCACCAGAGGATACGGGGACAAACCCTGCTCTCCCTTCGCTTTGAGTCGTGCCCGAACCGGCCTCCACCGTCTTCCACTTGCCCTTCTTGGCCGCCTCGTCAGCCTGCTCCTCCTTCTTCGCGCCCGGCGGGTTCTCGAACGTCTCGGTGAAGATCTTCTGGCTCTCGTGAGGGAAGGCGCACCAACCTTCCCACAAATTCAGTACCAACTTAACGCTCCGCTTCCACTTCTCCGCCCTGAGACGACCCCAATTGAGGCGCTCGGCGATAAGGCCAAGGATCTCAAAGACTCGACTTTCTTTCAGGGATGCCTCGAAGAGCTGGCGATACCGCCAAGCGTGCCGTACGCCGCTTGTCGCCGACGACGAAAGTATGTCGCTCACAACGTACAGCCCGATAAGGCTTGACGCGCTAGTATCTTGAGCCTCGGCCGACTTCGCGTTGGGATCTTCTGACAGAGGCGCAGCATCGTATGCCTCGCCGCCGGCCTGATCTTCTTCGTTCTTAGCCGCCTTATTCCGCTCCGGATTTGCCGACGTTAGCGCGAACGGCTTGGTTATATTTGCAACAATCATGTCGACGATCTCGTCTGCCCCTCTGCTGGCATGTGTGATGGCGAAAGTAGTTACCCTCGCAATATCACCTTTCCGAATCTTGGCGAGTGTGGTAGGTAAGCGGGCCAGCAGGTGCGTTAGTCTCGCCTTATCGAGGGGATTCAAGTACGTGTTCTCGTTGTCTCCCGCATCGGCTGGTTTGTTCCCTTCCTCCTCGTAGTCTTCCTCCTCAGACGAATTGTATTCAGCGTCCGACACGAATTCGTCTATCGCGGTAGCGTATTCAAACGGTAAGTCCTTCTCGGGTATTCTCCAGGCATGGCTGCCCTCGAAAAGCGGCACATACTGGCCTTTTCGCCCGGGTCGAGCCCCTGTGACGATCTCCCATAATCGCCATCGGTACCAGACCCCACCTTCGCTCCGGGCGTCCCAAAGCCATGCCCACTTTTCTTCCTTCTGCACGTCAGGTCGCGCCATTAGAAGAGCCTCAAACTCAGGACCGTGTGCTAATACCGACTCGACAACCTTATGGATGAGCTGAAGTTGCCGAATGTCCCGAGGCGCCTGTACGGGAACGTATAGGATATTTCGCTGGACAGGGCCGCCGCCAGGTCCATAGGACGAGGGTGGAGCAAACCCGCGATGGAACCCGCCCGAATGGTGCGGGTTAGGATCGAGGGTCTGGGGGACCGGCTTTGCGCCGAATGGATGCGAAGTAGATGAGGAGGTGAGATTCGAGGTTACCAAGGCCGATGTCACAGCAGACGACAGGTGTCTATGTAGTGATAGGTAGAAGCCGTAGCCCAGGTATCGGTTCTGCAAGGAACTGACGGCAGCTTCGATGTCCGTTGCGGGTGTCGCTTTGGATAAGGTGATGATCGCGGTCATCGATCTCCTTTCGGTGCTCACTGCGGCGCTAGGAGGGAATATCTTGACGTTTTCGACGGTTAGGCTTGGTGGTATAAGCGCCTTGATAACTGCGGGTGACGTGCCCGGTGGTAGGTTCGCTAGGCGGAGAGTAGGCTTCGCGATAGCCTTCTGTTCGGCCAAATCCTTGGATCTCGCGTCGGCCTCGTCGTCACTAGCATCAAATACCTTGGAGAGGCCCTTGGGCTTTGGCGCATGGCCATCATCGCTATCGTCGTCATGAAATCCGAGTCGACCCCGAGTTTCGTCTACGGCTTTCCTATGAGATATCTGCTGGTGATTGTCAAATTTTCTCTTGCCGAAGGACGTCGGAATGGGCCCCAAAGATCCCGGGCCGCTCTTCAAATTGGACGAGCCGCCAAGCCCGCTGCCAAAGTGTCTCTTGGGCAGCCCTCCTCCTCTACCGTTATTATCTCGCCCGGAAATACCACCTTGCTGGCGGCCACCAAACGCGCCATGCTGGGTGGAAGCGGCACCCGCGTCGTCTCCATCATCGTCGTGGTCAAAACTCCTGACAAAGCTCTCGTACACGGCAGCGGTCTCAGCGGCCTCTCTCTTCCGTTTGGCTTCGGCGTCTGCCTTTTGCTTCTCGAACGCGGACTGTCTGGACGGCTTCTGGAGCTTGGCTTCAACGTCGGGGAAATCGGCGAGCTTCTTGGACGAAGGGGCGGACGACGCCATGGTGGTGGGTGATTGGGTAGGGCTATATGGTGGCTAGGGCGACACGTGGAGCCAGCACCACCTTCATAGCGAAATGTGAGAACTGCAGGAGTTGGATCGAATGCAATCGCGTCGGTAAAGGTCGAACTCTGTGCGGGCCGGATGCGGACGGGTGAGGTTGAGGGTTCAGGTAAGGATGGACGCAACGCTTCTAGATTAGGTACCTGTGGTGCGCGTTGATTTATTCCATAGATGCATAAACGCATGCATAGCGATTTATCGTGCGCATCACGTGCTGATAGAACGGACCCCCTTACTAAGCACAGGTAAGCGTATCGAAGCATATCGAAGCGTATCAACAAAATACACCTCTCCAGGGACGGCGTCTAGAACGGAACGGGTCACTTAGCGCTCTCCCACCAGCCCAGTCCTACCCCGCCAGGCGTTGGCCGATGGCCACCGTACGATGATGCTATCCCCGATTTTCATCTTTGACCCGTTGAGTCAACAGAGCCATTAGACGTCATCCCCCAGAAGCCTCCCCCGAGAGAGCCAACACGGCGGTAGTTTATCGGCCAGCGCTACATGGCACAGATACGGGAGGCGGGCGTGTGATAGCGTGCGGCGGGATTTCTAGCTATACTCTTTCTAGTCTGCTGATCGCCGGCCTCAAGTACGAGATTTGTCATCTCTAGAACTAGAACATCCTCCATATATAGAGGTATATACATACGTATCCTTGGCATCGTTGTGTTCTCTCTCCTCCGTTTCTTGGTCTTGCCTCCTTTCTCTCTCTACGCATATACCCGCATCGCATAGCGCCTGATCAGGCGGACAATTTGGACACGCGATCGGATCCGCGCCCGCCAGCAGTAGACACCGAACAAGCCACCATCCTCACCCCCCTGTCGAGAGTCGCCATGAGTGCCGACGCGAAGCCCGGGCCCGAGGCCAAGCCCAGCGCCGCCTCCGAGCCTCGGGCGCCCACCGGGGGCTACGACCCGCCGGCGAGCATCCTCATCATCGGCGCGGGCGTGTTCGGGCTCAGCACCGCCCTCGCGTTGACCAAGCGCCGAGAGTTCGCCCGCACCGCCATCACCGTCGTCGACCGGTCGCCGGAGCCGGGCGTGTTCCCGGCGCGCGACGCCGCCTCGATCGACACGTCGCGCATCATCCGCGCCGACTACGCGGACCCGGCGTACGCGGCGCTCGCGTCGGAGGCCCGCGCGCACTGGCGGCGGCACCTCGTCGACCCGGCCTGCGCCGCCGGCGCCCGCGAGACGATCGGCGCCCGCGGCCGCTACGCCGAGTGCGGGTTCCTGCTGGCGGCGGACGCGGGCCCGCTGGCGCGCCCCGACGGCGCGCTGACCGGCATCGCGTACGCGAAGCAGAGCTGGGTCAACGCGCTGGCGCTGGCGCAGGCGGAGGGCCGGCCGCTGAGCTCGGTGCGCGTGCTCGGCACGCCGCGGACCGTCGGGCTCGCCGCCGCCGGCGCCGAGTTCGCCGACTGGGGGTACCTCAACGACGCCGCCGGCTGGGCCGACGCCGACGCCAGCATGCGCTTCGTGTACGAGCGCGCGGCCGCCACCGGCCGCGTCGCGTTCGTCAACGGCACCGTCGAGCAGCTGCTGACGACGGGCGGCGGCGAGGGGAGCAGGGTGACGGGCGCGCGGCTCAGGGAAGGCGGCCGCGTCCTGTCGGCGGACCTCGTCGTCGTCGCGGCCGGCGCCTGGTCGCCGCAGCTCGTCGACCTCTCGTCGCAGGTCGTCGCCACGGGCCAGGTGCTGGCCTACCTCGACCTGACGGAGGACGAGCAGGCCCAGCTCGGCCACCGCCCCGTCCTCATGAACATATCGACGGGCCTGTTCGTGATCCCGCCGCGGGACCGCGTGCTCAAAGTCGCGCGGCACGCGTACGGGTACCTCAACCCGCAGCCGCTCGCACACCCGCCCCTCGGTTCCCCGCCCTCGGTCTCCCCCGGCAGCGACAGCAACCCGGTCGTCGTCTCCACCCCGCACACCCACCTCACCGACCCGGACCTCTCGATCCCGGCCGAAGGCGTCGCCGCCCTGCGCGAGGCCCTGCGCCGCATCGTGCCCTTGCCCGAGCTCCACGACCGACCCTTCGCCCGCACCCGCCTCTGCTGGTACACCGACACGCCGACCGCCGACTTCCTCGTCGACTACCACCCCCGCTGGCCGCGCAGCCTCTTCGTCGCCACCGGTGGCAGCGGCCACGCTTTCAAGTTCCTCCCCGTCATCGGCGGCCGCGTCGTCGACTGCCTCCTCGGCCGCCGCCCAACCGACCTTGGTCCCAAGTGGCGGTGGAAGGAGAAAGGACCGGGACAAGCAATGGCAGCAAGACCTACTGAGGCAGCTCACAATGCCGTTGTTGGCACCAGCGACGGCAGCGTGATAGTCACGGAAGACGGGAGTCGAGGTGGGCGTCCCGGACTAATCTTGGAGGAGGAACTGAAAAGATGACCAGTGGTGCGAGCCACAGCTACCAACCTACACATTTGGCATAAGGCGTACGCACCATCGAGCATACAGCGGGCGTAAAGTCACGAGGGATCTAGGCTTAGAAGGCAGATTTTAGAGGAATGCCAAAGGCATGTATCGTGGCATTAGGTCGGTCAAGTCACTCGAAACAATACACCGTGCTTGTTTTAACAACTGTGGTGGATTGTGACTAATGTCATATGAATCCATCCATCAACTCTCCGGCCTTGTAAATATCAAGGGATATCCCATGGGGATCTCTCTTGCCTATCTCCCAAGCTAGCCTACCCTAATCACGTCTAGTGCCGAGGAACAACATGCCCGGCAGCTCAACATGGTGGTATCCGCCTATTCACCTCCACTCCTCCCATCAACTATACAACCCTACCCTCTCCTCTGGGGTCGAATTAAGACGGCACCTTCGACCAGCGCGAATGCCGTCGGAGAGTGCCATGGCGCAGTCTAAGATAGCCCATGCAACCAGGTCTTAGGAACTGTTTTTCTTCTTTTTTTGGTATAAACTGAGCAACCTGGTCCGTCCAGTGTAGGCCCTTTCCTTTGTTAAACGCCGTTGCAATGCAGTAAAAACAATGATACAGGCGGCACAAATCTTGAGAAGCGAGTAGGTCAGTGACCTCAGCCGCCTTCTGTCCAGATCATCGCCGCAACTCGTCAAGGCTGAATATCGTCAAATCATGATCGTGTAATGTACATGCGGATCGAAGAGAAGTCGTGGAGCAAGTCCAGTCGGCAGTAAGTAGCTGTCCATGCCAGTGCAGACGTACGTGACTACTAGACCTTACGGAAATCTGGAATGTTGTGAGCAGACGCGAACGCAAGTCGGGGAGAGACAGGTCAACCATACCTTGCAAGACTGGATAAATCATCTCGAAAGCCTGGTAAATCTCCTCGCGGACCTTAGCGCCAGTCAGGACGATCTTGCCGCTCACGAAAATCAAGAGGACGATCTTGGGTTTGATCATGCGATAAATCAGGCCGGGGAACAACTCAGGCTCGTACGAGCTGAAATTGTGATGCCGGGAGGCGAGACCCTCAAGACGGATGGGGAACTTGATGTCGCAGCTGCCGACAATGTTCTGGATCTTGAAGTCGGTGAATTTGGCGTTGAAGCCAAGCTTCTGAATGATCCGGGCATACTTTCGAGACGCCAGTTTCGAGTCATCCTCAGATTTGGCGCCCGTCACAACCATCTTGCCAGAGGCGAAGATGAGAGCGGTCGTCTTGGGCTCGCGGATTCGCATGATAACAGCGGCAAAACGCTACGCCAGTTAGCAACCTCTCCGAGGGCCTTCGTTCCGAGGGGGGGGAGCCACCCACCTTAGGGTTGTACTCGGCATTGCGAGCGTGCAACGCAATCGTCTTCAGGTCCAAGCGACATTCAAGATTGACCGTAGCGACGATGTTTCTTTACAATGCGCTGTGAGCACTAGTGTAGTTAAGAGTAGAAGGGGATTCTGGATAAATACATACTGCAAGGTAGGAGTCAGGCCACTTCCACCCTGGTTAGCAGCAGGAGTAGCCGCGGGCGTGGCGGGAGTCACCCCGGTACCGTTAGCTGGCTGCTGAACACCGCCGTTCGCAGGTCGCTGTGCGTTCACTTTGTCGGAATCATACGTAGGCGGAGTAAGCTCGCCCGCGGCTCCCGGGAACGAGAGCGACCCAGGCGCAGTAAAGGCCTTGGCCTGCGCGGCGGTGGAAGGATGGGTCTGAATGGTATCCATCTTGCAGATGCAATCCTGGAATGCCTGACAGAGATGCGGTCCGAAGAGACCTGCTGACGGAGCGATCAGAACAAGACGTCTACCAGGACGACGAAACAAGCGGAGAATGAGATGGGGTTTAAAAAGAGCAGACGGAGGGAGAGGGAAAAGTATCAAGACGGGTGAATGGGAGAATATTCAAGCAGGAATCTTTCTGGGCGATGAATTTGTGCGAGTGGGGCCAGTCATTCATATGTTTGGGACACGGCTCTGCTCACCACCAATGGAGGCAAGTCGGCGGGTCATAGGGAGGGCGGCGATGGGGCGAGATGGAGGTACAGTCTACTTCTATTGTGTCCGGGCAACGCAACACGCGGGGCGATGATAGGAAAGTGAATGGGCGGCCTTACCAAGTGGTGTGCTGGAGATAAACAAGCAAATGTCTCCCCAACACAGTGCCAGTGGCGGCGGCGGGTACGGTAACCCGGGTGATTAGATCTTTCGACCTGTCGACCCTGAGGACATACACAGACGAGAGGATATCAGATGGCAGGCGAGGGTGTTATTTTTGACTCTCGACGAGGTGCGGTAATCGCCGCAGCTCCTTCTCCAGACGCGAAGCGCAAGATGCACGAGTGCTGTCGGGGTCGAGGATCTGATGCGATTCGACGACAACGACGGCGGGTACTCAGTCTCTCGCGGCGACGGTATCGGGGGGAGGGCGGCTCAGACGCGGTGCACCAGATCGCCTATTTCCTAGGCCCTAGTTTTCTCTTCTTGGAATCTCGTTTTCTATTGGTCTATCTTGTTCTGGCTACACTGCACTGGGACGTGTGCGGCGTGGTAGGTAGGGAGGGTTGGAGGATAGCCGGCGCTCCCGATGCGACGACTCGAGTCCTAGAGAGGCGACGACAACGAACACAAAGGCCTAGCGGAGGCGGTGTTCCAGGTGTTGCGGCTGCCGTCGAAGTAGGCTTTAGTCAAACGAACGAGAGCGGCCAACGGGTGGAGCGGCTTGCGACGTGTCCGGGGAGACGATGGCTCCCTGGAGAGACGAGGCCGGTAGGAAGTGACTTGCGGGCGGTGGATGGGGGGGGCGGGGAGGGAACACGAGAGGCAGACTTCAGCACCAGTTATGATGCCGAAAATGTGGTGATGATGATGGAGGAGAGCGAGGGCAGAGGGCGTGCTCAGGAAGGGCTCTTTTTATAGCTGGGAGAAACGTGGGGTGGAGAGGGGGGTGAGAGCGGAGGAGGGGCAGGGTGCGGGCGCAGGAGTACGTACCCTCTCTCGAATAATCCACCAGAAGAGAATAAGGAGGGCAGATCCAATGGCAGTGACTGAGAGAGAGGCAGAAGATAAGAGATAAAGAAAGCACAAATATTATGAATACCGGTCAGGTGCAGCGGCTGGGTTCACGCGAGAGACACCGTGGCTGGAGCGGCGTGGCTGGTGTGGCTGGACGGAGGTGATCAAGATTTGATGAGAGGGACCGTCGGTCAGGGCTTCCAGGCGGGAATTTCGAAACAGCGAGGGAGAGGGGAAGCCGCTGAATTTATAATTTTCGGGGTAAGCGCACATGTCAGGGTGGGCAGGGACGGCTTGGGCACGCACGCCCCAGTGTGGCGGAAACCGTTACCTTCCTCGCCTCGATGCCCACCCTTTAGCGGTAGCGCTAAGGTGGCAGTCCCGTCCAATCGTGTCTCGCTGCTGGCCCCTTATTTTATCGCGACCTTTTTTTTTCTCACCCTTCCCTTTTTCCCTGTTCCTCGCCCGTCATCGTGCTCTTTCACGTTCCTTCGTCGTCACCTCGAACGCCCGCTCTCCGATCGCTAACCAGGCCAGCTCACCCGATATAACCACAACCACCGTCCCCGTCGTCAGCATCACACAACGCACACGTCCACCTTTCATCACCACCGGCGTCATTACCGTCATCCTCGCCGCGTCAAAAGGGAGCCCTGAGCGGCGGAAGATGAGGTTGCGACTCCATGCGTCTCACCCACGTTTTCAGTTCGCATGGCAGTCATACTAGGTATCGGTTCGCTCTCCTCTCCTCTCTCACTTATCTCTCTTTTCCTTTTTTTTTTTCCTGCCACAGCAGCAGCAGGGCGGTGCCGCGGGCGGTCTGTCTAGCCAACAGCCAGCAATTCAATTTATCGGCAGCATCGGCCTCCTGGGCTAGGAAGACACGGCAACGCATGACTCGGTCGACTACATCCGTCGACCTACGATGCTCCCTAACCTAAGCTAATTCCGCGACCCTCACCACCGTCTGGTTGAACTATACCTCCTACTTTACCGTTGCTCCATTGCGCTCCATCGACCTAACACGCGGAGCGGCCATCGTTAGCAATGCCACAACCCGACCTCGCACTGGGTGCCACCCCCCCGACCAGTCCGCCGATAATCCTGATTAGTGGGTGCATGGGATGGGTAAGAGGGTTTTAGACCAACCGCTCCTTGCAAAGCCGCCAGCCGCCTGCCCTGCCTGGCACACTAACTCCTTTTCCTCCCTCCCTGAAACGCACGCAATACTCTCTCCCTGCTGCTCTTTTCCCCTATTCTCATGCCTTTCCTTTTTTTTTCCTTTATGGTTTTTTTTTTTTCCTTTCCCTTGTCTTGGCTATCAGTTTTGTTGCTCGAGACTAGTCATTCTAAAAGGCTGCTGCGCCCGTTTGCACCCCGTCGCGAAATGCTGAAGTCAAACTAAAAATGAGGAACGCAGCTGACGAGGGAGATTGCGCGTACCAGAGTGTCACTTTTCCCCTCCACCTGTTGCTTGTTTATTTCCTGCACGCTGTGCGAGGCGGCGGGGTGTAAACGAGGTGGCAGATTGGCAAATTGCTAGGTTGCGTTGCCGTCACACTCAGCCATCCTAGCAATTTTATTTTTCATTATTGTCTTTTTTGGCCCTTTGTCAGGCTGCGGTGATCCCTTTCGTTGATCGATCGCCAGTCTCATTTCGGTGGTTTCGGACTTACTAGGGGGACCGCGATCGGAGAATGACTTCATCCTCGACCTGCTCTTCTTTTCGTTATCGTTCCTTTTTTTCTTCTTTCTTTTATCTTTTCATTTGATTTTATGCCTTGTCTTTTTTTTTCTTCTTTCCCAGGCCTTCAGGGAGCGACAGGATCGTCGCCCTCATCCTCTCCCGCTCCCTTCCATCGAGCACGGACGCTCTCAACCACTAGATTCCCGACACCTCTTCCCTCCGGCGGCAGAATAATTATTTTATATTTGCCTGGCGTCTGCGCAGCCTTCGTATCTGTCGTTTGCGTTAGGTCGGATGTGAACTCAACATTCTGTCTGCCCTCCCTTATTGGAGTTGACATGATTTGGTTTCGTGTTATGTCGGTACACGGCGGACCAGTTATAGTGCATGGGCCATCCCTGCTCGTTGTCACTCAGTGAGGGAACAAATTCGAGCAAAATTTTCTCCCTCCCCCCCGGCGCGCGGCCTGTCTGGCTCAGCCATACCAGCCAAAATTCCTTCTGATTGATGATCGTCTTGGCCCGGTCCCGTCCTTATACCCAGTATGACTCACTTGCGTAATAGGCCTCGCCCTCACCTCTTTTTCTCGCATTCGCACTCTCTTTTCTTTTACCTTCCCCTTTTGCCAATTTTGAGTCTATCGGCTCCCCAAACTTGCATTTCCTACCAGTCGACGCCAACGTGTATATTTCGCGGTGATAATGCGATGCGCGTCTCGTACTATTGTTGGTTTGGTTTGTCGCCGGATCGTATTGTCAAGACACGTCCAGCCTAGCCCGCGCGACACCATCGCATTCTTTTGCCTCTGCAGAGTCCTAGCGTCGCGTCGTAGCAACCAACGCGACGGGGAGAAATGGAGGCGAGGGCAGGGTATAGAGGGTAGGGTGAGACCGGTTGCAGCCAGGCTGTGGCATGCAAGCGCTTGGTACCCTTAAATCACCTGATGCAACAATGCGGTCTGACAATGCAGGCTGCAACAAACCTCGAGCTTTTGGGGCCTGCAAGTGGCCTCAGGTACCCAGTGCGAGCGCACGGCCTCGGGTCCGCCCCAGACAAACCAACAAACAAAGGGACCCTTTTTTCCACTCCCCGGCCGCGTCGTGCGTGGTACATATACATTATGCAATTTCTATGCAGTGCCGATGGAGCCAATGACGATAAGACGAGTAGCGATAACAGAAACCCCCCCGTCCCGCTACCGAGAAGCAGCGTGCAAAATCCTTCCCAACCGTCGCGCCGGGTGGGCCTCGCTCGTCGTCAGCCAGGATCGATATTTTCGTTAGTTGCCATCCTATGTGGATGCCGTCGAGGAGGTGAGATCCGTCCACCTCGTCCACCTCGTCCACCTACCTAATCTGTTCAAGTGTCGTCGGCCCCCAATATGTGCTGATGGCTTTTTGACAAGCCGGCCATGGCTCAGTTCTTCGGCACACGTGCCTCCCGTATCCTGCCAATACCCCTACCAATACCCTCTCTGCGCACCACCGTAAGACGTTGTGAGGTGCGTGCGGGTGAAGCCTCGACGGTAGGACCCCCGATCCGGAGACACAAACACATGCGATACCCGCCCGTGTTTTTCGATTTACGGCATTGGGTGCATATTTTTTATCTATTGTATGAGTACGGCATAGAATATGCGCCCATGTCCGTACGTGTATATACGTACCGAGGTCGGTATAGATTCAGGCTCGTCCCAGATCCCAGGGTCCCTCGATCCTTGCTTGCGACGCGCAACAGGACGTCATCGGCCAGGCAGTTTGGCCCCCAAAATCAGCACGGTCGGCAAGTGTCTGAGATATTTCCTTGATAGATCTTGATATCGAGCACGGGCACGAGCGTTAGCTGCGTCAGGCTTTTCTCTCCGTACAAGATCTCTCTTCCGTGCCTAGGAGTACATGCATACTCGCAATTACCCGAGCGATAGTCCCACACAACCCCGATCTAACAGCTTCATAAGATGGTACTCCAACGATGGTACTCCACGAGGCAGACGGGCCTCTTCGGGTTCTTCCACGCCATGCGAGCCTCGTCGCGGCATGTAGCCGGCAATTATTAAGGGATCGCAAATGTGTTATTTCGTCCCTATCAGAGACCCGCCCATGGATCTGCAATGCGTATCGATACCCCTGGGGCGAGACGAGGGAGAGAAGGGAGCCCGAAGGAATGCGTACGGAGATGATAGCAGAGGATAAGGTGAGATATTATACTCGTCTGACCACCACGGGCGTAAGGGGGGTGCACGCCGTTGTTATAGGTACGGCTGAGTCGAGAGGTGGCCACATGTCCCCAACCCGGGAATCCTATTCGGACTTGATGCAACCGCTGCCGCTCTCTCGCAGCCAATGCGAGTTGATTCGAGCATTTTGCTAATCTACAGATATCTCGACCAGAGGTGCGCAAATCGTCCCCTCCCTCGATCTCAACGCAATCCATGGCTCCCGTCCTCCGCCACGGCATTAGGTAGCCGCTCGCGCTCGGTACCCCACAGTACCATATGGGTTCTCTCACCACCTCTTCTGACCTTGGCGCCCGTGGGCTGTGACGGCGTGCGTATATACGCATATGCGGGCTATATATATCAAGCCAATCGGAGGTCTATCTGCACGCCTACTGCGTAGTCAAGCCCGAGCCGAGATGCTCATTGGGCGGTGTGGCAGCTTGTGTGTGCGTTGGTTTTCGAAGCCTCCCCGCCGGGTTCGCGAGATCGTCTCGTCAGCGAGACGGTATAACTACTCATAGAGCAGGCAAGGCAGGCAGGCCGTCGACCGGTCGCGACTCGTTTTCCGCAGGCAATAGGAGTCGGGAAACACGCCTAGCTCACGACGGGCGGTAATCTCAAGCAACGTGAGCACGAGAACTAGCAAGCTTTTCACCCTCGGAGGCTCGTCCGAGTAAGTGCTATTGCTATTGGAGCCTGTGCCGCGGGTAGTTTTTCTAGATTCGTATGCTGCTACGGCTGCGATCAGAGCCGCGCCCTTATCGGTGTCCATAATCAGGCTTCCGGGAAGACATGATACTACGCAAAACTGGCGCGTAGAAGAGCCGCTTGTATAACCATGGATGCCCCAACAACGAAGTTGTATCTAGGTGTTTCCGTTTTTATGCGACACCACCTGCCATTACACCTGCCATTATGGAGAGAGGATTGTGTATCGCGAACTTGTCGCCCTCGACGCGACTCTCGTGAGATCGTGCGTAGGTAGAAACAAATGTGGTGGAATCCCTTGCTTCTCGCCCATCCGCCCCCAGCACACCCCGAGCCCTCCGACAGGGCGGTTCTACGCGGCTGGCGGCTATCTAGCGAGAGCCTCTCTATCCCAACCGTCTGGTGGAGGAGGGGGGACAGTGAGAAGAAAGGGGAACTCTAGCGGCGCAGGGAATAAGGGTCACTTTCTATCTACCGGGGTGCGTATACACGTTATCTATATTTATCGACCGGTCCTTGTCTGCGCGAGGATGCATGCGCCGCGGCTAAGGTTACGTGACGGGTAACATGCGGCGGCTTGGGCTCGACTAGGGGTGAGATTGGAGATAAAGTCGATGTGAGAGACGAGTGTGCAATGGAGTAGTAACATGGAATCTGGCCTGCGGCGAAGCCGGGTACGGTGCCTTGACATGACAACACCATACATCTGCACACACTCAGTACTGAAAAGACCTAATATAGAGATTCCATATGGACACAGCACTATAAACGAACGGCCACACTTGCCGAAGGCACTCTACCTAGACAACCTACCTACCTAACTACATAACCTAGGCGTACGCAGTAATATTCGACCGCCTCGGATGGGCGTTTATAAGCTCCGATAGCGTTAATCGCCGACCGCCAAGGTTCTAGAATTCTTTGCGTACCTAGAGTTGCGCCCAACGGCTCCTCCTACCCCCCGTAGCAACTCAACTTGCACCTTTTTTTGGACCAGAGGAGAGTACTCATAAATAACGAAAGGTTCGTCCAGTGGAGGCGACACCGGTGAGCACTACGCAATAATAGTCTCTGGTCGGTTCCGGTCTAAAGATGTCGAGAGGGTTTTCACGTGGCGTCCGCGTGGGGCGGGGCGGGACCGACGTGCAAGATCCTGGGCATTCCTCATCACTACCGCGTCTCTCTTGCGCCTAGAAGTGGCTGTCTACGTAGCCGGTCTTCGCAACGGAGCGAGGAGGATCCGCCTATCCGCCTATCCGCCTCTTGGCGGCACGTTCTCGAACCTGCGGGAAGGATAGGTGAAAAGGAGAGCGTATGTGTGCGTTGGCGGTGCTGTGACGAGCCGAGCTCGGCAGAAATGCATGTGCCGACACCCGGGATTGGGCCGGTCGAAGGTCGACGGGGGGGGGTGTATTCGTTGATATTCGCCGGTAGTGTCGTCGGTGCCCCGGGCCATTAGCAAGCGCTCGTCAGCGTGGGGTTGCTAGGATTGAGGAGCCGAACAGGAAGGGTTTGCCAGACGGAAGAGGAAAAAAAAAGAGAGAGAGAAAATGTCCCGGGCATCCCACTCATAGACCAATGGCGGCTAGAACAAGAAGGTGACGATGCGATGGAGTGGGGGTTTCCATCATGGCGGGTTCCTGAGTCTTCGTGCTCGGCTGCCATTCGCTCGCTATCCTGGGCGGGTTCGCCTCTGGGTCCGAGCCAACCCTGCGCATGCGCTCACCGTTGCGATGGCGAAGAGAACGCGTGGTAACGAGTACACGTACTTTTACGCACATATTAGGTAGACAAATTATCGCCGACGGTCGAAAAGAGCGAGCCCTGTGAGCCGAGCGGCGGCTACGGAACACACGCCGCTAACCACGATCAACCATCTACGTTGTGGGGAAATGAGAGTCTAGAGTGGTTGAAAAAAAAAAGTCCCTTACATGTTGAGTATATTTTATCGAAGACGGGATATTGTTGCTATTGGGAGGCTCCTTATTCGCCGTTGGAGCCGCGGCTAGATTGGTGTTTGATATGGAGAACTAGGTAGAGATAGACATATACAGAGAGAGAGAGAGAGAGAGTTGTCCGGAAAAACAGAGGCGAGCTGCCCAAGGACGGATCGTGTCGGCGTGGACGCGTGACTGGTCTCTCTCTCTCCCCATCGAAGGCCCTCCCGTCGCATGGATGAGTTGTCCGTCTCGCTGGCCAAGGGGTAGCCAGATGGACAGGGCATACTTGCCCTCTTCTGCCACCGGCCCGCCGTCGACAAGCAGCAAGATGGCGATATGCGATATGCGGTGGTTGCGCCACGACGCACAGATAGACACCCAAGGCAGACGACCCAGGGCTGGTACCCTAAGGTCAGGTATATACCTACCTGCCTCCTACCTCTCCTATGATTCTATAGGGACGGATACGATAGCTTACTATTAGGTAGGTACCAAGACCTTAGGTTCGGTACCTAACCCAGCTATGCTACATGTATACCTGGGTGCTGAACCTGGGGCAGGATACCTGCGAAGAAGTAGCGCGAAACCCCCCCCCCCGGTCACCGCTAGTTAAGACACACGATAGCTCTTTACACGGCGCTGCGTGGCGCCGACACGCTGCTTCCTCTGCTGCCGGCTTCCGTTAGGCTTCCGATGGACACGCAGAAGGTGTCCACGACACTCCGCTGACCGGCTCTGCTGCCCCCCCCCCTGCCAGCTGCAGATAAACGTCAGCCACCCTCCTCCACCGTGGCACAACTTCGTCCCCTCCGTTCGCTCCGTGCTGGCATAGGCCTCCTACTCCTCCCCCTACTCCTCCTCCTGTATATTCCAGGCATATAGCGACATTGCCGACCTAGCGTGCGCCCGTCGTCAGACCTCGGCCGGTTGGTGCGCTTCCCGTCGGACTAGAATCCCCACCGCCCGTACTAGGGGCTAGATAGCCTTCGCTGGACCTAAATCCCCCTCCCTTAGGTCCTTGGGTGGGTCACGTGCCCCGTCCTGACCTTGCCATCGTGGCGCTCTGGCAGCTGGGCCAAGCTTTGTCTCTGTTTGCTTTCCCTTGGTATAGATCGCTGGATCGCCTGGCCGGCCGACGACGAGTCGCAAAAATATGGCCTTCATAGATACCACCAAGGACCTATCCGCTCTCTTCGACCGCCAGGTCCAGGCTACCCCCGATCTCGTCGCCCTCGAGGATGGGCCCACGACCCTCAGTTACGCCGAGCTCGACCGACTGGTTGCCGCCCTAGCCGCTCGTCTTCGCCGCTGCGGAGTTGTCCGCGATTCCCTCGTCGGCGTCTTGCTCGGCCGGGGCGCCGACTACGTTATCTCCTGCCTTGCAGCCCTCCGCGCCGGCGGGGCCTTCCTGGTTCTCGAGCTCGCATATCCCCCGAGCCTCCTCGCCGACGTCATCGAAGATGCCCGTCCGACCGTCATACTAACCCACAAGGCCCACGCCGACAAGATCAAGGCAGACATTCCTCTTATCGTCCTGGGCGACGAAAAGGTACATACACATGGCATCGACGGCACCAACGGAGTGAATGGGGCCGATGACGCTGCTAACAGCCATCTGCCATTGCCTCCCGAAGACGACCTCGAGAAGCTCGCCTTCGTATCGTACTCCTCCGGGACTACGGGGAGGCCCAAGGGCATCGCAAACCCGCATAGGGCGCCCGTGCTCTCGTACAATCTGAGGTTCGCGTTGAGCGACCTCCAACCTGGTGATCGCGTGGCCTGCAATGTTTTCTTCGTTTGGGAGATCCTGCGCCCGCTGCTGCGCGGCGCCACCGTGGTCACCGTTCCGGACGAGACGAGTTACGACCCCGTCGCCCTCGTGGAGCTGCTCCGCTCGAAGCGCGTCACTGAGACCCTCATGACCCCCACGCTGCTGGCCGCCGTCCTGACTCGCCACTCTCAGCTGGGCACTCGGCTTCCGGACCTACGCACCGTCTGGTTGAACGGTGAGGTCGTCACCACCGACCTTGCACGCCGTGCTCTCAAGGCCCTCCCTAACTCTCGCCTCCTGAACGTCTACAGCGCTAGCGAGACCCACGAAATCTCCTGCGGCGATATCCGGGATATGTTCAGCGAGGAGGCTCGCGTCGTTCCCGTAGGTCCACCCTTGGACCCGAAGCACACCTATATCCTCGATGGGGAGGGCAATAGGGTTGAGCCGGGAGCCGGCGGCGAGCTGTTCGTCGGCGGAGATCTCCTGGCCCGTGGATACCTCAATCTGCCGGAGGCGACAGCAAAAGCTTTCACCGACGACCCCTTTAGCTCTGTCCCGGGAGCGCGGATGTACAGGACTGGAGACTCGGCGCGGATTCTTCCGTCGGGACTGCTGGAGATTACTGGTCGCGTCGGGGCCATGATCAAGATCCGCGGATATAGCGTGCAGCCACCCGCGGTCGAGAACGCCATCGTGAAACACCTAGCTGTCCGCAGTTGCGCCGTCGTCGCCAACGGCGACGGCCTTGACCGCCAGCTCCTCGCCTATTTTGTGCCCGACGATGAGCCCGGCAGCCGCACCGTTGTTAAGATTGACGAGTTTGGACTGAGCCCCGTCGCGCGGCGTGCGCTTTCGGACCACCTGGCGCACTATATGATCCCAGCGCTCTGGGTCGAGTTGGATAGCCTACCCACGCACGAAGTATCAGGGAAAGTCGACCTGAAGCGGCTCCCGCCGCCGACGCGGCTGCGCAAGCCGGTCTCGTCGCTCAACGGTGGCGGCGGGGGACAGTCGAGCCGCACGCCACGTAATCTCGGTATCGCGCTCGAGGACATCGCGTGGATGTGGGCGGCAGCACTCAACATACCGTTCGCGTCCGTCATGGCGCAGGAGCACAATTTCTTCGATCTCGGCGGCCACTCGCTCGCGCTCGTCGACCTCGTAACCCGGTTTACCGGCGCTTATGGCTTCCCCGTGCCCCTTGGCCGCCTTGCCGGAAACCCGACGCTGGCGGGGCACCTCGAGGTCGTCCGCGACGCGCGCGACGGCCACACGGCCGCTGTACAGGCTGACTTACCCGCTATCCTCCGCGCCGACTCTGTCCTTCCTGCTGACATACAGCCGCCGGTGGGCGCGAAAGTGCGGTGCCTCAGCGATGCTGATACTATCCTGCTGACGGGAGGGACCGGCTTCCTGGGCGCATTCCTGCTCCGAGCCGTCCTAGACGCGACGGCAGAGAACGGGGCATATGTAATCTGCCTCGTGCGTTTCGCCGACCTGGGAGCTGAGAGCGAGGCCAACGAGGCCGCGGGCGTTGCGCGTATTCGCCGGAACCTGCTGGACCTTGGGCTGTGGGACGACGCGATACTCGACCGCGTCGAGGTGTTGCCCGCGAATCTGGCGCGGCGGCGCTTCGGCCTCGCACCAGACGTTTTCGACGCTCTCGCTGCCCGCGTCCACGTCATTGTGCACGCCGCTGCCACCGTTAACCTCGTATATCCGTACGCGGCGATGCAGGGAGCTAACGTGTTCGGGACACGCGAGGTGTTGCGGCTCGCGTGTCTATCGGGCGCGACAGTGCATCATGTCTCGACAAACGGCGTTTTACCCCCCTCCGCCGAGGGCGAGGGCTGGACTGAGGACGACGTTCCCCTTGGGGAACCCGAAGAAGTCGTGCGCCGGCTACCCGATGGTTACGGCCAGACGAAGTGGATTGCTGAGCAGCTCGTGATCGAGGCGGCGGCTCGGGGCTTACCCGCCCGGATCTACCGCCCGGGCACGTTAAGTGGCCATGGCTCCTCAGGCTCGGCAAACCCGTACGATTTGCTGAACGCGCTGATCGTCGAGTCGCTGAGGCTTGGCTGCGCGCCCCGGGTCGAAGGCTGGTACGCCGAGATGACGCCAGTCGACTTCGTCGCGGGGGCCATCGCCGCGCTCGCGGACCTCCCGGATCTGCCTGCCGTGCCGACACAGGACCAAGGGCAACGGCGAGGACAAGAGAAGCCAAAGCAACAGCTCATCTTCCACCTCGGTGACCCCTCTCCCCTTCCCACGGAGGAAATCTTCCGCCTACTCGGCGATCTGGGTTACCCGACGCGACCGCTCGCGTGGGACGCGTGGGTAGAACTGTGGGAGCAGCAGCAGGGAACAAGCCGAGTAAAGGGCGAGAACGAGGGAGGCGGCAGCGGCTTCACGGCCGATATCCTGCGTCGTGGGATGCCGACGGCGGATTTTCTACGCTCAGCCGCCGTGCTCCGGGACCCGGCGACAGCGACGGCGCTCGCGCGTGCAGGGCTTCGCCGTCCGGCCATCGACCGCCCACTGCTAGAGACATATGTACGGCACTTTTGCGCACGTGGGTGGCTGCCGATGAGGCCTCGGCGTCACCAGAAGCCACTTCGAATCAACGGAGTCGACGTCGGACTGAGGCCTAGAGGCCCGCTGGCTGGCCGGGTCGCCGTTGTGACTGGCGCGTCGTCCGGAATCGGAGCCGCCGTCGCGGAGGCGCTAGCACGCGAGGGGGCACACGTGGCGATCGGGGCGCGACGAGCGAATGCGTTAGAGGCGCTCAAAGCCAAGATCCTGAGTGGTAACGGAGGGCAGGGTGGAGTGAAGGTGCTCGCGCGTGCGACGGATGTGACGGATCGAGCGCAGGTGGACGCCCTGGTGCGGGAGGCGGAAGTCGAGCTCGGGTCGCCTCCGGACATCCTGGTGTGCTGCGCCGGGGTAATGTATTATACGCTGATGGCGAATGCTCGGGCTGACGAGTGGGAACGCACGGTCGAAGTTAACTGTAAAGGCCTGCTGCACTGCCTTGCGGCGACGGTACCGGGGATGGTGGCGAGGGGGCGGGCAAATATCACCAACGGCGGCGACAACGATAATAACGCTAACCGGGCGCCCGGCCCCCACATTGTTGCCGTATCCTCGGACGCGGGGCGCAAGGTGTTCGCAGGGCTTGGCGTGTACTCGGCGAGCAAGTTCTTCGTCGAAGCGGCGCTGCAGGCGCTGCGGCTCGAGACCGTCGGATCGGGCTTGCGCGTGACGTCGGTGCAGCCGGGCAACACGGCGACGGAGCTCCTCGCCATGTCGACCGACGCCGAGGCCGTGAAGCGGTACGGCGAGCCGTCGGGGGCCCGCGTGCTCGACGCTAAAGACGTCGCGGACGCGATCGTGTGGGCCGTCACACGCCCACCCCACGTCGCTGTCAACGAGGTGCTGGTCGAGCCAAGGGACGAGCCGATCTGAAGGGGATATAACGGCCCGGTGGCGGGGGTTGAGGGATGGGAACATGGGGATATAGGGAAAATAAAAGGCCGGACAGGAGAGTGATAGACAAATACGGGGAAGTCGGAGACCTGACGATACAATGTCATGCTATCTCTTGTATCCAATGTACCCACGCTGAACTCCTCGGCATCGTAGAGGGTATCATAGAAGGGGATGGCGAGAGAGAGTCTGCCTCCTCGCGGCGGGGCAGACTTAGATGTATAGAACATGCTATTGGTTACTTGGGTATATACACCACTATTTTGCAACGCAAGGTCATTTACCTAGTTGCCTCTTCTCTCTCCCTCCCGGGCTATATCTTCGACCTGGGGAGAGGCGCGAGATTGCGTGGTTGGTGAGTGACGATGGTGATGATGGTAGTGAGTGATGACGAGGAAGCTCGACTGGCGACTGGGTGGACCTGTCTGCCCGGCCTCACCTCACTGGCCACCACGGCGTGTGATGCGATGCGGTAGGGGGGGGGTACGGGCCAACGATGGGACTGGGACTGTAGGTTCGTAGGGAGAGGTGGGGGGTGGAAGGAAAGCAGATAAGAGGCCTACGCGTCAGGGGACGAAGCAACAGGAGATTGCACACCGGCGGTGACACACGCTACACATACACATACCGGCGAAGACGGAAACATTCACGGACACGAGAAGACAGAAGAAGAAAAAAAAAAGGTCCACACATCATCACATCGACCTTCCATTGCTTCTGGTGAGTCTATCGAAAAGGCTTCGCCGACGGGCGCCGGGCCGTCCTCGGAGCGGGGGGGCATTTGCTGCGTCGAGGGGGCCCGACTTCCAAGCACCGTCCTAAAATAGCGAAGAGCGGAGAGCCTCTCGGCATGAAGAAGAAGAAAAAAAACCTAATCCCACACGTGGGGCCGTGTGTCCCTAGGCTAGCTAGGGAATTCGGCGACGCCATGGGCCGCTGCGTAGTCCCCAACTGCGCCGCAACCCCTTTATATATCCGCGGACGACGCTTGTGCTTGCTCGTCGCCCCTTGTCGTGTGTGAGCGACCCTGTTGACCGCTCGTGTACCCGACATGGTGCCCTAGCTTAACGGGCGCCGCTCACAACGTTTCTCGATGGACTATCGAGTCTATTTTATTGTTATCGTCGTCGTCTTTTACTCTTCTTGATCCGCGCTGTTGCCCTGCTTGGCTTGGGCTGCGCGGTTTCCGCTGTTGAGGAGGTTCCCGAGGCCGCCGCCTAGAAGCTGACCAAGCAGGTTGCCGTTGTTGCCATTGGCGCCGCCTAGTAGGTTTCCGAGAAGGTTGCCAGCGTTACCGCCGTTGAGTAGATCTGCGAGAGAGTTGCCGCTGTTGGCGTTGTTACCGCCGCCCAAGAGATTTCCGAGTGGGCTATTTCCGCTTAGGAGGTCCGCAAGATTGCCGCCGTTGAGAAGATCGGCTAGCGGGTTGTTGTTGTTATCGCCATTGGCACCACCTAGGAGGTTTCCGAGAAGGTTGCCAACGTTACCACCGCCTAGAAGGTCCTTAAGAGGGTTGCTACTAGCATCGTCGGCATTATCGTCGGCGTTGTCATCACTGGTATTGTTACCACCACCGATGAGACGCGATAGAGGGTTGTCGTTAGCACCGTTGCCGAGGAGTTTCCCTATAATGTCGGCAATGGAGTTAGAGCCGGCCCGATCAGTTCCTGCGCCAGTGCCATTGTTATTTTGGCCATTCCCGATGATAGCGGTTCCGTTGCCGGCGCCAGCATTGCCTTGTCGGTTGTTACCCCGGTTGGCGTTGCCGGTTCCATTGTTGGCGGTGTCGGACTAGAAGACCATTAGCTGCGCGTAGGGAGCGGCACTCCGGGGTGAGAGACTTACGTCAATGATAGCCGTTCCGTTCCCTGCACTAGCACTGGCACCCTGCCTCCTCGGATCCCGAGAACCTAAGACTATAGGAGGCAGATTAGTATGCATATGCAAACTGGTCCTAGAATTGCCAGCACATACCATAGTTGCCGGGAACGCGAGCCTCAAGACCAGCGTTGGGTCGGGTAGGCAAGGCGATGCCGAAAGAGGCAGCGGTGGCCAAGGCCACAAGGATAGATCCGAAGTTCTTCATGACGAATATTGGAATACCGAACAGGAAAAAGGAGTGACCGAACGGAAAGGTTGTAAGGACTGGTCAAAAATATAGTAAAAGAAGGTATGAGCACAGCTGTACACACATTGTTAGCGAAGGCGGACTGATGACAAGACATGCTAGGCATATTCGACTTGACCTACCTCTTCGAAAGAAACAACCAGAAAAGGAGAGAAGAAAAAAAATTGACTGTTGGGACTGATGTGGATGCGTGAGAAAACAAGAACTTGGGGGATAGAGGTTACGGGGCGACGTGTATTTATGTCGCATAGAAAGCTATACGATGCTACCTACATTGCCAGCTAAGTATCTAGGTAAGTGTAGGTGCCCCCTGTGACCATTTCCGAATCGAGGCAGCCAGCCCGGTCTCGCATCGACGCCAGTTGAGATGACAGCTACATGGTTCCTGGGGTGAGCGGTTATGACCCAACTATTGCAATAAAAAAAAACACTCAAGACAGGGTGAGATCGAAGCCCTAGGGAGCACAGGGGATAGATAGCCGATCAAAAACGAGGCTTGAATGGGGTTAGAGAGGGTGGCAGACCCACAGACGCCAAACAGGTCGAGAAGGTATTCCAAAACATGGGGAGAGGGGGGATAGGATATTACCAACACGGCGGGAGAATGCATAAGCATAAGAAGAACGGCAGATCTCAAGCCTGGGATGCATAGCGGCGCCGGGGAGATCAGCTCGATGATGCTCGGTGATCCTTAAAACCAAAACGGGGAAGCGAAGATTGGACCGCCAAGACAGGGCCAGGGCCTCTCGCCCTTTTGAGGTTCCCGGCTGTCTTGGCAACAGGAGGTCAAACGCAGCACGCCGGAGATCAAACGACCCTCGTACAAATGTGCCGGGGGCTACATGGGGGCTACCAGGGAACGCAGACGCATTGACAGGCAGCACGGCGACAATCACGTGAGATGGCGCGAAGATGGCGGAAGACGACTTGCTGGAAGCTGGTCGAAACGCTAGGGTTCTCGTACAATTCGCACTAGAAGTAGTAGGTATGTCGTGCCGACGCACGAAGAGGTCGCGCTGGCGTGCAGGACGTGAGGCTGGCCCCCCCGGGGCGTCCATGGCTAGTCTGGAGATCTGTCTAACGATGCCTACCCCGAACGATCTAGGTAGGTAGGTCCGTCAGGTCGATATTGGAACCTCGCCGGGATCCAGAAGTCCCAAGGTGGCTGTGCTTGTATCAGAAGCTGGGAAGAAACATAGCAAATCGTCGAGGGCGTGGCCACTAGCAAATCATTCCGTCGAGAACCACCCACGGGCTGCAACACTGGTGTGTATGAATACAGCCGAAACTTGCAGAGTGATCTGATGACGGCGCTGGGGGCTGGCAACAGCTGATGATAAGTAGTGCTAACGCTCTCGAGAGGGGTGACCGCTTCACAGGACCTCGTTCCTGGGTGTACACGCATTGGCTGTGCAGTGCTCCGAGGACCGGGCCATACTGTCCGTCTATGGCCTCGGACGACGAAAAAAAAAGCGTACACCGGTCCGTTCCTTCTCTGCTTGGCATGGAAACTCAGCAGAAGGCCAGGGATAAAAGGGAGGTTTCGCGAAGATCAAGCCAAGGGAGATCGTAGCGTGGCCACGGGCGAGGTTCGTCTTCCCGGAATAGGCGAGCAGATCAAGAGAGATCACGCGGATCAGCCGATGCAGACGAAGCTCTCCTGTTTCTCCCGGGCAATCTACCTACCGTTCGCACGTGGCAAAATGGAAAGTGGAAACGCCAGCGTCAGCAGCTCGCGATGGGGGCGAGGGCCCGACCGATAAGGCGGGTAGATTTCCAGGGCCGAGTGGTTTTCGGCCTCGCCGTGGGATGGGGAGAAGTGTGAAGAGAGAAATGCGAGGGAGGAGGACGGGGGACAGAAGCTTGGCGAGGAAAGGAGAGGCGGATGGTTACGTAAGGCTGGGGATCTGCTGCCCCGCCTGTCGAGCTTAGGTTAAATCCCTCCTCCCGAGTTCCAAGACGGGGACGGATGGGCCTGACCTAGGTAGGTAGCGTAAGTGGTTTTTATTTTATTTTCTATTTTAATTTTTTCACTGACAAACTCGTGTCTCTGCCGAAGCTCGACAACCCTCTTCCCTTCGCCCACTCTTGGCCATGTCGTCGATGCCGAGCGCTGCTTGCGTAAGTGGGCGGGAAACCTCACTCTTCAGCGTCGCGTTCTTCTGTGCAGCGAGCACGTGTAGGTACCTACCTCGCTCCAGCCACGCCGGACGCAGCCCCGCGCCACAGCCGCCACGCACGTGAAAGTTCTGCCTCATCGGTGACGTTCCGTGCCTTACCTACAGTATGGACCTACAGTATGGGAGGCTTCCTAATCACGAGGCGCTGATAGGCTGAGGCCGGTTCCGCACGCGGCTCGACGCGGCTCGATGCGGCTTTTTCGCTGGCGGGCTGCGGGCCGTCCAATGAGCAGCGGCGAGAAACCTCGGTAGCTCGGCCGTTCCCCGCTAGCTGCAAGAACCCGGATACCTGCCAATTTGCATCTCCGTCTCTCCATCCCACCCTTCCATCCATCCATCCATGTCCGAAAACACACAATATTACGACGTAGCTCGTCCCGCCCGCCTGCGCAACGCACCCGGACCTGGTCAACTTGATGTCATCGTCCTCCTCCGCTTGAACCCTTCACCTTCGTCCCGCCATCCTGTCCATCACCACTGCTGCTGCTGCTGCTGCTGCTGCTGCTGACACTGCTACCTCCTCGCCTTCTGCCAGCCGTCGAAGCCATCGCGAGGTCCTAGCACTGCTCGCTTGAGCAACTCAACCCCCCTGCCCCCTTACCTTCAGAGTTGCCATTGGTCCACCGAATTCTCGCCCGGAATTGGGACACCCACTCTACTCATATCTACGGATATATATATGGCGCGCGAAATTCGGTGACCGGCTTCAGCTGCGTGTTTCTTTCTCCCACCATCTACCTGGTCTGTGCCTAGACTGGGTCGGACGGCCGGAGCTGCTGAGGGAAGCTTCGCAATGTCCGGCTCGGCCTCGCTTCACGCCCTCGCGCGGCGGAGTGTGTCGTCGGGTCGACTCGTCGCTCTGAGACGAGCTCGCCACGCATCGCCCGCTTCCCTGCTAGGCCCCCATCGCGCAAGATGTCCCGCCGCGCCAATCATTCCTGATGCTCCCCCTGCCTTTCGCACCTTCAGTACTACCCATCTGCTCCTCGCTGGTAGCCGGGCCAGCTTTGACCCTGCTTCCGTAGAGCGAGTGAGCGACGAGGTCGATGTATGTATCGTCGGAGGGGGTGAGTATTCTTCCGTCCATGCGGAACCCCGTGCTTCTCGTTGCTAGCTAGCGAACGCTGACGCCACGCCCGTCTAGGCCCTGCTGGGTTGAGCGCTGCTATCCGTTTAAAACAGTTGGCCTCGGAAAATGGGAACGACGAGTTCCGAGTGGTCCTGCTCGAGAAGGCTGGCGAAATCGGTGCGCATATCCTGTCCGGGGCCGTCATAAACCCTGCTGCGGTCAAGGATCTGTTCCCCGACTGGCTCGACGAGGCCAACGAAAATCGATTCCAGCATGCTACCGCCGTGACGGGAGACAGGATGCGATTCCTGACCAGGACTGCCGCGATTCCCTTACCGGCGCCTCCCCAGATGCACAACCACGGAAACTACATTGTCAGCTTAAGCCAGTTCGCCAAGTGGCTCGGAGAACGCGCGGAAGAATTGGGCGTCGAGGTGTACCCCGGCTTCGCTGCGTCCGAAGTGCTCTACAAGCCTGATGGGTCGGTTCTCGGTGTTGCCACCAACGACTTGGGCATAGCTAGGGATGGGAAACCGAAGGAGAGCTTTGAGAGGGGCATGGAGTTCCATGCCCGAGTCACTCTCTTCGCCGAAGGATGTCACGGCAGCCTGACTAAGCAGGTAATCAAGAAGTTCGATCTACGGAGGGATTGCCAGCACCAAACCTACGGTCTTGGGGTCAAGGAGGTCTGGGAAATTCAACCAGAAAAGTTCCAGAAAGGCCAAGTCGTCCACTCTCTGGGCTACCCCTTGCCCCTGGACACGTATGGTGGCGGGTGGCTGTATCACTTTGGGGAGAATCTCGTTAGCGTCGGCCTTGTCGTCGCCCTGGACTACCAGAATCCGTGGCTGTCCCCGTACGGTGAATTCCAGAAGATGAAACAACACCCGTGGTATCGGTCGGTTCTGGAAGGTGGCAAGTGCATCTCTTACGGCGCGAGAGCCCTAAGCGAGGGTGGCTTTCAATCAATCCCCAAGGTCGCCTTCCCCGGCGGCGCGATAATAGGCGACTCCGCTGGTTTCGTCAACGTTCCGCAGGTCAAGGGCACTCACAACGCCATGAGGACGGGTATACTGGCTGCGGAGGCTGCTTGGAGTGCCCTAGCTACGGGGAGCGACGAATCTGTCTTCTTGTACAATTACGAAGACGCCCTCCGGAACTCCGTCGTCTGGAAGGAGCTGAAGGAGGTTCGAAATATGCGACCGTCCTTCCAGACCCCGTTAGGAGCTCTCGGCGGCGTCTTGTATTCTGGATTGGAGGCATTCATCCTAAAAGGTCGTGTTCCTTGGACTCTGAGACATAGGCATACCGACTACGGTGCAACCAAGGCCGCCGACTCGTATCCCAAGATCGAGTACCCCAAACCGGACGGAAAGATCAGCTTCGACATCCTAACGAGCGTTTCTCGGACGGGAACGAACCACGAGGAAGACCAGCCGGTCCACCTCCAAGTTAAGGACTGGGATGCCCACACCCAAGAAACATGGCCTAAGTACAAGGGTGTTGAGAACCGGTTCTGCCCCGCCGGCGTATACGAATACGTCGAAGACGACTCGAAGCCCCTCGGCGTCAGGTTCCAGATCAACGCGCAAAAGTAGGTTACCAATTACCCCCTGGTTAGGATAGCTGCTCCTCTATTTCTAGCAGTCTTCTGCTACATATGGCGACCCGATGCTAACCTCGATTCTAGCTGCATCCACTGCAAGACTTGTGATATCAAGGCGCCTAATCAGGACATCAACTGGACCGTACCTCAAGGCGGAGAGGGCCCGAAGTATTACATGACGTGAGAGGAAGGTGGAGGCAATGATGGGCTAGAAATGGTGGTCGAATTGGCGTTTTTGGGAAAAGGTTCCCCTCCCTGATCCGGATTTTGGACCTATACCATACTCGCAATGAAATTTTCGGGCCCGGGGGGGAAAGGAAAAGAGAAAAAAAGGGGCGAGGCGAACACCTTGACGAATTATTGCCGTGCGCTCGAATTCAACTTCTCGCAAGGCGTTCTTGCTTCATCGACGGTGCGTGGCGTTTATCCTATCGCTTGGGCCGTGACTCGCGCCTCGTCGCGGCAGATCAGATCGGTCAGACAGAAGATGGCGTAGGCACGTATATATCCACATGGGCAGTGCGTATACGTCCGGCGTACAAAACGGGATACACTCGACTGTATATATATGTGTGTATGTAGGAGGGTGTGCGTTTAGAAAAACAAAATGCATATATACATGGCCTTGGAGACTCACTACCCCCGCGCAAGCTTCTCGGTCCCGGGTATATAAAACGTGATAGTTGACGGCAAGTCACTCGCTGTGATATGTCCACGATCCCCTTTTCCTTTCTTTTTTCTTCCCCCACTCCATCTTTATATAGGCCTTCCCGTCTCTCGCCACTCGTTCGTTCAGCTAGAACCCCTGCTGCCGATGCCACTTCTCCTGCCAGCCGGGGAACCAGGGGCTCTCGTCGAGGGTCCTGGGGGACCAGGCGCCCTCGCCTTCCTCCTCCGCGTCGGGGTCCTCGGACGGGGCGCCGTCGGCGGCGGCGGCGGTGGCGGTGGCGACGAGGCCGCGGTCGCGCTGCTCGCGGGCGAACTGGCGGAGGGCGGGGACGGCGACGTGCTCGACGTGCCAGGTGTTCTTGTAGCGCATAATGCGGGGGTTGCCGGCGGCGAGGACGCGGAGGACGAGGGCGGGGACGTAGGGCTCGTCGCGGAGCTCGGCGAGCGGCGTGAAGAGCGCCTTGAAGTTGAAGACGACGGCCCCCGAGAGCGGCAGCCGCCGCAGCGTCTGCCAGTCGACCCGCAGGTGCACGCGCTCCAGCCCCAGCCCCGGGTCCTGCGATCCCCGCAGCGCCTCGTGCGGGTCCCCCGGCGGCATGTACAGCGGCTGGTCCACCTCGAGGCCCCACGACCCGCGCTGGATCGGCTTCGATGTGGGCATCTTGGAGAAGTAGCTGCGGCCGCGGCGGGTTAGCAAGGTGGGGGGACAGAGAGAGAGAGAGAAGAGGTGGGGGGTAGCTCACCGGTCCATGCTGAACTGCATCTTCTCCTTGTAGTCGGGGATGGGCTCGTGGATCTGGTCGAGGCGGAGGCCGATCTTGGTGCCGACGTTCCAGCCGAGGGCGGAGCAGATGACGCCGGCGCGGAGGTAATAGTAGCCGGAGTCGGGGTCGCGCAGGACGATGCCGAAGTCCTCGGGGACGTGCTCGAGGAGGACGAGCAAGGGGTCCACGACGTCTCCATCCTCCTCCTCCTCCGCCTCGGCGGCGCTGCCGCGGCTCACCACCGTCCGGACGTCGAGGATCCGATTCTCGAAGACGGTGCGGCCGCGCGCGTCGGCCGACAGCGAGAAGTAGTGCGGGTACCGCGCGCACAGGAACTGCAGCGCCATCTCCATCAGCTCCTTGCACGCCAGCTCCGACCCCGGCAGCGCCCCTAGCACCGAGCTCCCGTGCTCCGCGTACAGCGCCTTGCGCTGCGCGATGCGTGTCCGGTACGTCGACTCGAGCTCCAGCCACCAGTCGGGCTCGAGCTTGGTCAGGGCTGTGTTTAGGGTCAGTCGTTAAGTACTCATTACTACCCGAAGCGCCTATCCACCCCCTCTTTTCACCTGCGTTTCTCTCCTCGGCCCCCATCTGGGCCGCGAAGGGACGCGTGATAAGCAGCCGGACTTACACATGGTCTGGTGGTAGGGCCAGCGGAACGGGCGGTACGGGCGGGGCAGCGCGCGGTCGATGTCGAACTCGGGGTACGGGGCCGGCGGGGGCACGCCGGAGAGGGCGGCGTAGTCGGGGAAGTCGCCGAGGGCGCGGATCTCGCGCACGGCGAGCCCGCTGCAGCTGTACTTGGCGGCGGCGGCGGGGGCGCGGTAGTCCTCGGCGAGGCCGAGGAGCGCGCGCGCGAAGGCGGCCTCGTCGAAGGCGGCCACGTCGCCGAGCGCGCGCCGCTGCGCCTCCGGCAGCGCCGCCGCCAGCTGCTGCAGCTCCGCGCGCTGCCGCGGCGGGAACGTCGCCGCGAGGTCCGACGACGACGACGCGAGCGGCTTCGACGGCGGCGGCTGCTTCTCGAGGGAGGGCGTGCTCGGGCGGCGGGCCGCCGCGCGCGCCGCCCCCCCGAGGCCGAGGCGCCCGAGCACGGCGGCCCTCTGCGCCGGGCGCAGCGCGAGGAAGGTGACTAAGGAGAGGATGGCTGCCGAGGCTAGCCACACGACGGCGGGGAGAGCCATCCCGTTCGGCTGCGGAGTGCGATGGTGCGCTGCGGCTGGACACCCACGGCGGGTGGGCAGATATTAGGCGAGAGGAATGGGCGACAGATACGGCTCACGTAGGTGGCAGCCCGGTACGGCTATATGTACCTACATGGGAAGCCAGCACCGCTGGCTGATCTATTGCTGCGACATGCATAGGTACCGATAACGGTCTCGGCAGCGCAGAGAGCGACCGCTCGAGCTGGCGATAGGCGGTCCCCAAACCATGCGCAGATCGACGGACCATTCTACGTTGGGCGCAAATCACCCGACACGTATTAGCTGGTGCGGTGGCAGGTAGTACGCCCCAGCAGCACCTGGGGCGTCGATGGCCTGCGCGCGAGCTGGGAGGGAAGGGGAGGGGAGGGGAGGGGGAGGTCTGCGTTAGGGGTTGGGGTCGTAGAGGGCGAGATGCCCACGATACATGCGCTACCACCCCGTTACTCGCGGGCGATAACACCCTCGTCATGACTGGCCGCCGATACCGACTAGAGGGCCAAGAACGCCATCTTGCATGTCGCCCGCGTCTCCTGCCCGGACGTCCCTGTAGATACTTCGATATCCGACGGGTGGCTCCCCTCCCTTCGACGATCTGTCACGGGATGGGACTCCTAGGATCATAGCTATATACGTATCTCCCCGCGCCAACCTCCGGTTCTACGCGCTGCTCCGCGATCAGAAGCCCCCGCGTGGCATAGACAGTGTCGAGGGCCATTATGACGGCAGTGGCATGCGGACGATTACGACGTTGTTTAGGAGTGATCGCGCGTCGGCGTCGGCATGACGGGTGAAAAGGGGTTAAGGGGGAGATACCTACTTCGGCTATGCGGCGTGGAGCGCGTATGGGCACAAGTATTAAGGTCCAAGTGATGGCCCGGACGCCTTCCGAGACATCGCCGCTTTACTCGCGGGACAGGATGATAACCAGGGGGTATAGATTGTATGGGAAATAAGTTTGAGGGATAGTTGTCGTGGTTTAGGCTAGTTTCCGAGGTGTCTATACCGACGTCCTTTTGCACCTCGCTTCTGCCATCTCTCTCCGTGTCTCCCTTACTTAAATAGGTGTTAATGTCATTATTTCTAACAGGTGTTGTTAGCTCTGGCGGGATTGGCCTTCTGTGACTATAGATATGTAGGATGCTCTCTATGAAGGATAACGCTACTAATAGTAAGCCTGCATACGATGTCTCGGATTTACTCTTTCGGCTCAGGCCACCATCGCCGCCAAACGCCACTTGCGAGCAAGGGGGCTTCTCGGGTTGTCCTAGGCCACCCAGAGCTGGTGTCGGCATGGGAGACGTATTGAGCAAGGAGGTATGAATGGGTATGCTATCCAAGGCTTCTCGTCGCAGTGTCGGATGAATGCACGGGAACGGGTGTCCATTACCTATATCGTTAACTAAATACACCTGACAGATGACCCCTTCTCGCCAGGTCTCTCAAGTTTTAGCACGACTTTCTCTAGTTCTAGGCTCTCGACTGGCTAGGGACTTGCCCCCGATACGGGGCCGTCACTTGAAGAGGGGATAGATAGCTGGGATGTAATAGTCTGTCCACGTACCGGGGTGCCCCATCCAGATTTGATGCGACCCTCGCTGGGGAGAATGCCGGCGAGAGCAACTTGCCCCGGTCTAAGGACTAGCATAGCAAGAGAATAAATATGGACTCGTTAGGCTTGGGGCTAGGGTCTTCGTCACCCGGTTTAGCGGAAGAGCAACAGCAGTTAAGCTTATCTCGCGGACCGGCCTCGTTCGACGTAGGTAGGTATAAGCCGTTGTTCATCTCTCTACCTATCTGTCTATCTAGCTATCTACATCCACCCCTGTGCGCGTCGGAAATCGCTCGGGGTTTACCTAAAGGACCACTGCTGCTACTTATCAGCGGGGATGGTGAGATAGGTATTAGCTGCCGGTTGATTGGCGGTCTGCGGGGGAGGCGTTGAAGTCTTGGCCATACGACCGCACCGCTGCTTTAAACTGCGCGAAGAACAAGAAACCGTGCCTTATCGCCCTGCGAGCAAGGAGATACGGACGCGGTGGCGTGCGGGCCATTAGATGATGTTTTCTTGTAAGTCGATCTGGCTTCCGTCTGCCGAACAGATAGAGAAAACAGCATCATTATCCACCTATTTTCTTTGACATGATCCTATGTCCTCCCGGGGAAAAGGATGAGGGCGAGGGCGCTCTGTATTGAAGGGCTTATTACTAACTAGATAAGACTAAGAGTTACTACATAATGAGTACGATCGGCATTACAGTACACCCATGAAAAAGATGACTGTTGCGTATCCCTATTGTGTGTTTCCTACGCGCTGCTATTTTCTGCTTCATATTAGAAACTCACCATGTTGAAGCACGAGATAGACTTCTCCGTGTCAGTCAGCTTTACCCTCAATGCTAATTCGGACACCTGCAGTCCTTACCTCAAGATAATGTGTAATCTGGATTGACAAACTGGGGTGCCATTAGCAGACTTGCAGCAGATATCATTACCTATGTATCGACCAGGGCAGCTATTTTTCGTATATTAATATCCACAGCCCGCTGTGGTACTTGAGTTTGAAGCTCCCGAACACATAGGCGATATCATATGTTCGCCAATAGCTAGCAAAAGCGGTAAGTTGTCGTGTATACATAAGTTAAAGTGCCTACTAATGAAAAATTGAGAGAAGGGGATAAGGGGGGTTACATGCAGAATGTGGTTCTTGGGTTTCACGGTTGGGACGAGCCGTGACCTAAAACTTCTACGGCCGCGTGGGGTAGGTGGATTGCGCTGATCTTGAGACATTGCATTATATTTGAGACTTAGATTTGTTGTGTCTCGGATCGACGAAGGAGAGGGCATACGTAACTACCGTACCCCCCTCGGACACATCCCATTTCTATTAACAACACATATTCAACCGCCGACACAAAGCTATACATGTCGTGAAACTTCCCGTGGCATTAATAGCTTGTACTTATATCAACGATACCTATTAATCCAGGGCCGCCCTTCTCGTAAGATAGGGAGGGGGGCTCGGCAAATCGATCTCACCACCATGGTTGTCTCGGCGGGCCTTCGAACTTGAAGTGTCCGGGGTGCAACCTGGCGAACACGCCCTCGGGGTCGTACTTGCGCGAGACCTCGCGTAGCCGGGCGACGTTGGCTGCGCCGTAGCCTGGTATCGGGTCCTGGTACTCGCTGGCGTAGTTGGCGTAGAGGAAGGGGTGGTCGACGCCGCGCTCCTGCGCGCGGGCGCGGGCGCGGGCAACGGCACGCGCGGTGGCGGAGAGCACTGCCACGTCGTCGGCCGCGTCGGCCCACATGATGGCGTAGTTCATGAGCAGGAGGGGCTCCCCGGCGGCGGCGCCGAGGCCGAGCGCGTTGCCGCCGCGCCGCAGCATCTCCGCGCGCTGCGGCTCCGTCACAAGCTGGAAGATGAACGACGGCAGGAAGCCCTTCACGTCCTGGAGTGGCTCGATCTCTTCGTGGAACGCCGTCAGCATGTCGATCGCTAGCTGCCGGTCGACGCGCGTCGTGAGCGTCCAGTAGCTCTGCCGCGAGCCAGCCGGGGTAGCCTCCGCGATCTCGAGCGTCAGGTTCGACAGCAGCGTGGTCCTCGTCGTGTCCCGGAGCAGGTTATCGACGCCGAAGAAGCGGTCGAAGACGGCGGGGTGGCCGCCGCTCGGCTGTGGCTCGGAGTAGTCGACGATGATCGTCGACAGCCACATCTGGTAAATTTGGGCGTAGGCGAACGACACGATGAGCGCTGCCTTAGGGTCCTTCGCACCCTTTGCCAGGTAGTCGATCATGACGTCGATGAGAGCGACCTTGGAGCTGTGCATCTCCCACGATAGGAACCCGCCCCACATCGGCCCCTGATCGAAGGTGTCCGCGACGAACTTGGTGACGATGCCGAAATTCCCGCCGCCACCGCGCAGGGCCCAGTACAGGTCTGCGTTTGTCTCCGAGTCGACGTTAATGATCTCGCCCGACGCGAGAACTACCTCGTAGCTGGCGATATTGTCGCACGTCCACCCGCGCTGGCCGCTGAAGAATGAAATGCCACCTAGGGATATGTGAGCATAAGGTCCTTAGGACGCAGATAGCGTGGAGGGAAGCTTGGGAGACGTACCGCTCAACGCCAACCCGCTGACGCCGACCGTAGCCGCGCGCCCGCCGGCCATCGCTAGGTTCGACTTCTCCAGAGTCGTGTAGACGTCATACCAAATGTTTCCGGGCTCGATGGCTACGGACTTCCGGTCGGCGCTCAGGGTGATCTGCTTCATGCGGACGAAGTCGATGGAGATGCCGCCGTGGCTGCCGGAAGAGGCCTTGAAGGCGGTGTGGCCGCCGCCTTTGACTGCGAACGAGCACTCCGTGGCGCGGGCTAGCTGGACGACGATCGACACCTCTTCCGCGTCGGCCGGGAAGACGAAACACGCGGGCTTCGTCTCTAACGACTGCTGGTTTGACCAGAACCGGGCGCGCGCGGCGTCGTAGGATGCCTGACCGGGGGTGCCGACGCCGTCGCTGCCCAGCGCGCTGACGAGGACATCACACTGGTTACATATTCGTGAGAAGCGAGCTCGCGGAGCGTAGTGTCCTAGGTCCCAACTTACCGCAAGTGAGCAATGACACTCCTCCTGGGCCCGGAGACCCGAGGAGAGGTCGTTTAGGCGGTCAGAAGCGATTCCATTCTTCGCCAGCACCGTAAACGGGTTGGAATTGAAGCTGGCGGCGCCCGACGCCTTTCCTTCAGTCGGCGACGCAAGCACGGCAACCGTCCACCACAACGTCGGCCGCATTTTCAAATCGACACTGGGTATAATGAATATGTGGTCGGCGCACAATTTCGGGAATTCAGAGACGAATTGATTTTATGTCGTAATTTTCGTCGAGAGAATTCTTGATGACTGGCATCCCCGCCGCAGGGGCTAGGTACGATTACCGCTAAAACTGACGACCCAACTGCAGGCATGCGCCTCTCAGTCCCAAAATATCCTCGATTTACTCGATACCTGTGGTTAGTAGCCCGGACGAGATGAGCCGGCGGTGGTATGTCAGGGTCGCCAGTCGCACTGCGCGAGATACGTGTCACGGAGAAGCTAGACAAGCATTCTCAGGGTGCGTTCGTTGGTTCTGCTATGGAAGCTCGGATTGCAATCCTATCGGCGCTCCAGGAAGAGGCAAGCTGGCCCCCAACCTTGGAGTCGGAAGATTATCGGAAGGATTCTAGAGCTCGTCAGGGTCGTGGCACTGCAGCAACGTGGGCGGAATGTGGGCGCCTATGAATATTCCGTACAGACGACGCCTCGGGTAGACTCGACCCACTGACATCTACATAATGCCAAGCAATAAGCTACCTTGGTTCGTGATTCGGGTAGTCGAGGGCGTTTATGAACCTAATGTACCTACGCTCCAGCGAGTTCGTGTTTCCCTTCTAAACGACGAACTGGGAACTGCCCTCTCAGGGAGGAGGGAGGGTACAGGATAGACTGGGTGATGCAACGCGAAGACGAGAGATGCTAGATGGGTAACTGAAAGCTGTAAGCAGCTTGAAGCTGTGTACAGTTGAGAGCTGTAATCAGCCCTAGCCTGGCACGCCCCTAGTACCCCACGGGAGGTCACGGGATAGCCTCAGCAGGCAGTCCCCACGGATGTTAATTAATACTACTACTACTATGTGTTTCCCTTCTTCTGAGATATGCCGCAGGTTATGATAAACCGGTATATTAGGGTCGTGTGGCAAAGTCTTCCCCTATATAGACATGGTAATTCTTTATATGGGCTTGGTTGCAACATTTCGAGAGTAGAATAGCGAACGTACCTGGGTAAATTTACGATTGCTACCCCAAACTAACATGAACGATTCTAGGCAGAGGAAATCCTCTCGCTCTAAGTGCTTCAGAACCGAAGGAAGGGCCCGACTTGACGACGACGCCCGTCTTTTTATTTTTGAAAGACTTGAACATTACCATCTGATCATCGCCCATCAGCTTTCCATTCACAACCTGCTAGTCGTCCGGCAGCTTTAGTAGCCGCGGGTTGTCTTTAAGGCGCTCGCTAGTCTCGGGGTCGAGGAAGCTGTACCCTACTAGGTCAGTAATGGAATCGAGGTGCATATGAGACCTCCATCGCAACCCTAGAGGGCAGAGGAATGCTTGAGAGTCCCCCTAGCTGTGCACGTATGGCTCCCCGACGACGGCAAACGCGCGACGGGTACGCTACGACTGACCCCGTAGTATCATAGGCGAATCACGTCTAAGAAAGACATAATATACCTATGTCTCCTCGAATTTAGAATTGGCATTGCTATGGATGGCTTGCGTGAGAGGTAATTGCTTAGCCTTTTCGGGATTATTAAATTGCTTGATACAGAGAGCATCCACCTAGAGAGGAACGGGGCCGATCCCGGTGCCGCAGTTGCGGTAGAGCTAACGCAAAACTTTGGCTGAGAGACGACGTAGCATCGCCCTTCTATTTCACCTTAGTACTAAAAGCCACATCGTGTTGAGCAGCAGAGCCCTAGGCGTATGGCGGGGCTCCATATTGAATCACTGGCCGGCCATCGTTAATAATACCACTTGAGTACACACCCTACTAGAAAGTATTGAAAGAAATGCGGGTAGAGGAAGAATGTATTCGTAGGTAGTATTACTAAGGCTACATGTACGGGGTTCGTCGGGTCTGATCTAAGAAGTCCAATTATAGTCGAAGCGTGGGTTGGCATCGCACAACGATGCTGAAAGGGGTTAGGGGGTGCACTCACGTAATCTAGAATATTAATAGATTCGACGGTCTAATCAGCCCGTCGAAGACTCGCATCTACTTTAGCTGAAGTTACAGGCGTGGTATCTTGAGTCATATCGGAGGCGAAGAAGGACGGATATTCTCTAGGGGTGCTCTAGCTCGTTGGCCTCGTCCGTTCAAAATTGTTGTGGTTTCCACATGCTTCTCTCACTTCGTGGGGTCACTCCTCTCTGTACACTTTCACTCTTGCGTTTCGGCTCAATTTACTGGTGTTGGTATTTTTCATGGAAGACATGTGGATATATTACACCTAATTTTCCTGTCTGTTAGGGGGACTCTAATGGGTGAGCGGACCCCTTCTACGATTATGGAGGAGGTTAGGAATAGATAAGATGAAGTCGTTTCTCACTCAACCCACGTCATAGGTACCTAGGTGCCAGAACCCCCTCCTTATAGATTGCCAGAAGGGGCAAGAAACTAATATCATCTGTCTCACCGGCGATTCAAACATAAACGCAGACGTTGGATGTAGTCGGAGCGTTTCGATACATATCCCAGCTGAAATACGTCCGTTTGTTCGCAACGAAGAGTAGCGATGCGCTCTAGGACAGACTGCGTGCACGACCGCACATCTCCGAGGCAGACGCAGGTATCGACGGCATACGGCGTTATGAGTAGGCCTTCACCTACCGGGAGATCATCGGCATAGGTATACGCTGCATAACTTTCACAACTGACGTAACGCCACAGGTGGTGACGTTATGGCTTCGTTTGCCGTAGACAAGGAAGGGGCCAGCACCACAACTAGTCTCGCCTTCCGTCTGCGGGCACCTGACACGATACCTAGCTGTATATAGAGGCAGGGGCAGCTTCGATCCGGCCCAGTCCTTCCCAACATCGTAGTGCCGCTACTTCGTGAGCTTGGTAAAAAAACAGATAAGTCGACCCGGCCATCTCTCTCGTCTCCCATCTCGCTCCCCTCACTCTCCGTCACCACTCTTGTCGATCCCCGTCGATCCCGTCGATCCCGTCGAATCGACCTTCAACTCACTATTACCCGAACTAGCCCAGAGGAAAGAAAAACCGGTTTCTTCTTCTTTACTGGCACGACCATCATCATGTCCATCCCGACATCTACCTCTGTTGTCGAGTCCGCCGTCATCAGGGCGCCTCTCAGCCACGTCTGGCACCACATCAAGCGTCAGTCCTCGTCTTATCACGGCCCTTTCTGCTAAATCATGTGCAACGTATCTACTCGTGGCGCTCCATCGCTGACGTGCGTGTCCCCCTCTTGCACTCCAACAGTCCAGAACTTCAGCCACTTCTGGTCGGCACTCAAGTCGAGCCAGTTCGTAAAGGGTGCTAGCGACGAGGCCGACATCGTCCAGTGGGTATTTGAAGACGGCACGAAGCTCGAAGTCAAGCAGGAGGAGCACAGCGTACGTCTTACTTGATTGACGTCCGAGGATAGGTGGAGCTAGCTCGCTAACCAGACGGACCCCTTCCTTTTGCTTGGAGGGTGAGGTTGTGAGCGCAGACCATAAACCACTACATCACGTACAGCGTTATCGACGCCCGCCCGGAGCTCCCTTACTCCTCGGTCCTATCTACTATTCGTTGCTATGCCGTCACCTCCGGCGAGTTTGAAGACAGCACTTATATCGAGTGGACCGGTAATTTCTCTAGTGACGCCGACGCCGGTACGTGCTTGATTCACTCGTGCCAGCCATCTCCCCCATCCACTACCCTTATTCCCTGTCGACCCGTCCGCCTTTCCTTTCTTCTGCTTACCGTTACTACGACTTCTGGGACTGCGATGTGCCGTCTATTGACACCAATTGTAGCCGTCATTCAGGATGCCAAGTTCAAGCGCCGCGATGCGCTTGCCGACCTAGCCAAAGTCTCGACGAAGAAGTGAGAGAGCAGCGCTGCGGTCTCGACAAGGCTTACTACGGGATCCGCGACAAAAAGAGACGTTGATGCGGGGAACACGGTAATGTGTACAATAGCTATGTATGCCCAAATACATCCACCATAAGCAACGTCTGCGTTATATACAGGAGAACTTGGCCTAGTTACTCGCAGTCCAAAACGGGGGTTACGACCCATGTTGGCTTGATCCTTTGGGTCCCATTCCAAGCCCGGATTCTTTTCCCTTAAGCGATACCGAAGAAGGCGACATCCATATCCGGGTGCTGCGGCACGGTGTGGCCGACGCCCTGGGCGCTGTATCCCACGAGCTGGGCCGTCGTCGTCGTGCCGTCGCCGTAGATGGTCTGCGTGTACCCGCTCTGCGGCGTATTTGCCGTATCCTTCTTCGTCGTGAGCCCTAGGACATCCGACCACTGCTTCAGTTGCTCCTGGTCTACAATTTCAAGGTCAGTACGACATCCCCCTTCTAATGTGGGCCATAAGGAGAGCTCACAGTTGGGATAGCGGAGCGTGCTGTCGGCGGTTCCGTGGAAACTAGTGTGTAGCGTCAGCTTGAGGGAGCCTCCCGAGGGCGGAGCGGCGCCGAGACGAGACGACTTACATCTGCAATCGGGGTCGGGGTCCGGTGTAGTTGGGGTAGTACGATCGCACGAGGTCACCCCACTGCTGCGCCGTCTTGGTGAGCTGCCCGTTGGCGCACGCATTGGCCCAGCCGGGGGGGTCCTGGGTAGCGGTCGAACCCTGGACGAAGAAGCAGCCGTCAGGGACACCGGAGTAGACCGACACAGCCTTGAATACGTCGGGATAGGCGCCAGCTAGAACATTCGCCATCCTTTAATAACGGTCCAGCGTCAGCTACCACCATACCACGAGATCAGGGGGTCGTTAGGCGTGGGCCTAAGAGACGACGAGAGAGAAAGGTGGGATTATAACACGTACATGGCGCCGGAACTAGTTCCAACTACAAAGGTCCTGTTGGCGTCTCCGCCGTAGTTTTGTACCGCGTACTTGACCATGTTCGCGATTGTCTGGCTGTCACCACCGCCATCGTGGGTAAGAGCTGCGGAACACCCGTGTCAGAAAGCCTGCCTTGACCAAGAAGATGCACAACACTAGACTTACTGGCAGTGGAAGCGACGTCGAAGCATCCGCCGCCGGACTTGGAGTTGGGGTAGATCAGGATGATGCCGTGCCTGTCGGCCTGGGGTTGTAGCTGAGAGGTGCTCAAGTACCCCTGCGCGGATCCTTGGCAGTGGTGGACGGCGACGATGATCGGGGCCGGCGTCTTGAGGTTCGCCGGCACGTACGAGAACATGCCTAGCCGGGTGGGGACGGCGTTGAAGTCGTTGACACGCTGCAGCTGCTGGCCACTGCCGAGCGTAGCCAGCGACGCGAGCGCCGCGATCCTCGTTAGGAGCTGCATGTTTGCCTGGGTGCTCTTGCGCGGTCTATTCAGCGTACGAGAACCGAACCCGGATACCTGCGAGAATTTCTTCTCAACACCGTGTCGTGCTTAGAACTCCTGGGGGGGAGCAGGGCCCCAAGAGATATATATATATATATATAGCACCGTTTCCGTTCCCCCGTTCGTCGGTTGGCACCCATCATGGCCTCGCGTGGCAGAGAGGACTGCCATTTTTCCGGCGCAGGTTCACCGTCATTTGTTCCACGTGGCTAACTGGTCTATCGGTTCAAGGGGTGCCGCGGAAGCAGGGCGTGCGGAAGACGCGCAGAGGACAGGGGCCTACTTTACCCTGTTATCCGCCCGCCAGCTATCGGCTCTTTACCCCGAGAATTAAACGCGGGGAATGGGGGGGACCGGGAGCTGATTCGTGTGTTTTCTCTCGCCCTGGGGACCGCCGTCTCGAAGTGGATTGTTCCGTTGACGCGCGGGCTCGGGGGATGGATAGAGAGTTACTCGAATAGGCAAGTTCCCTCGTATGAGGGTCGCGCCTAAAGATGGGAATGCTACCCCGGGACTGGTCTCCGGTGGAGCTCGGGATGCAGGATAGAGCATGTCACGAGCGAGGTCGGTTTCACATTACGAAATAACAGTATTTATTTATTCGTCTCTCCGCCCTGTTCGTTCTCTATATGTAATACCTAAGCGTGATGTCAAAGCCACTCGAACAGACCCTGAGCTCTGATGGACTAGGTGCCTCTCTCTGGACTTATTATATGCGGCTCTGTGGGAGCGGCTATAAATATAATATCTAATAGATTACACGGCCCCCCTGAACCGCCCACGTTTGTGAGTTCGACGCTTGAGCGACGTTACATGTAAGCCAGGCCCACCAAGAGCTGGGTAGATAGATAGCCGAGGCCGGGTCCTCTTTTTCTCACGTAGCCCTTCGTCAGATTCCTGCTCCGTGACATCTCCATTATAGCCGGATGCCACAGGTGGTTATCGGCGACACCCTGAGCACGAATACCGTGACCCAGACGACACTAGAAGCTGGCCCCTCCGTAGGTTAGGTAGTTGAGAGAACCAAGTAGTGGTGCTAGTGGCAGTAGCAGTAGTATTTAACCGCTTGTGCGGACGTGTTAAGCTACCTATTATCGCTAATCTTCCCAAAGGGCATTACAGGGGCGCTGAGCTAGGCCGGCGGTTGAGAGCCTCAAACTATTGCCATGCAAGAAACTCCTTGGCGCGGGTTACGCAACCGAGTGTTTAGCTGCTCACGATCATTTTTCTCAGGGCGACGCCTCCCGTGGAGCAGCTCAAACATCAAGTGCAGACCTCCTGCTCGGCGCTATTCGCAGATTCCGTCCACCACGCCCCCTAGTTATCTGGCCCGTATATGGCTAGCTTTGCACGTTTCTAACGCTCTATCAACCTAGGTAGCTCTAGATTTCGCCCTAGTAGCAATCTTGGGTTGTTTCCTTGCCCTTGGTGCAAGCACGGCCCGCTCGATAGAACACACTGCACAAACTACCTACCTGCTAGCCCGCGATCTCTGGCACGACGCCTCGGCTGGTCCTCGCGGCCATGCCGTTCTGGCAAGCAGGTTATCAGCCACGTGCGCGTGAGCACGCGAGGTTGTGACGACCAGGGGGCGTCGCAAGCGTTCCCAATGGAGAGCAGCAGATAAAACTCGGCGGAGCGCGGCTCGCTAGGTACCTACAAAACGGCCGAGTTTCGGTCGGCGAAACGCTCGTCTTGGTGGCTCGGTTGGTTAGAGTGTTGGTCTCGCAGGTCTCCTACGGCCTATACGCCACCCAAAGGCCGTGAGTTTGAGGTTAGTTTGCGCTGTCGTCCCCCCCCCCCCCCCCCCCCCCCCGAAATGCGCGCGGGAATACCTACTGATTTGTAGGTAGGTAGACGTAGTCTTACCCACTACCTAGGTATGGGTTTGAGGACGTAGCCTTATTTGCCTTTTTACTTTATTTTTTCGTCGTAAAGTCTCCTTCCTGGTGATTAGGAAAATAGAGCGGGATGAAGTCCCGTGTTGACTTCCACCCAAGAAAAAAAGAAATTAAGAGGGATGAGTCAAGAAATTGACATCACGTGCCGGTGCCAAAAGTGAGCAAGATTCCCTAAAATGTGGGGTATGTAGGTACCTATGTATATATCCAGGCTATGTCATCGTAGTGGATAAGGATAAGAGCATCGGGCTTGTTGAAGTCCTTCCCAACTCAACTTTAACAGCTAAAATGTATTCGCGGCCATTTTCTTCGTCTTTACCTGCGGTTTACGACGCCGAACCAACTGGTGGCAGGAAGTCCGCTGATGCTCCGACACGTATCCGGTGATGGTTTTATAATCACGGTTTCGGCGTCTTGCGATGCGCCGATGCTCCCTGCTGTGTTTTGTGCAACCCGCCAGCTGGCCCGTTTGGTTGGCCCCTTTTAAAAAGCCACCGACAACGCCCGCGGGTAATATTTTGTTTTTTTCTGTCCCGACAAATTTTCTGCCTTGGAGGATTCCTTCGTCACATAGGTCGTGTCCAGATCCGAAAATGGCTGTGATTTGTTGCGACGCCCTCGTGCCCTACCAGCCCAAGCCGACGGACCAGGAATCCAGGTTCACCCTGTTCATGGACTGGGCCAGGTTTCCCAGGGAATCCTCGATAGCGGCCGATTCCGACGCCTTCTTCATTTCCTCTAGGCCCGACTTCGTCGTGCAGGTGGCGCGCGGAGCCCAACACGCCGGACCGCCGCAGAGCGACCGCTTCTTCGCCCGCGCCGAGGGCAAGGGCAAGCCCTTCGTCGAGGTGACCGAGAAGGACTTGGCCGAGGCGAATTACCAGAAAATCAACGCGTGAGTCTGCCGACGGTCTGCCTGGGCACCCCGACGTCGTAAAGCCTGCTTGCTGACCGGAGGGCATCCCTCCGCCAGGTTCAAGAAATTCCAGTGTAGCGACCATGATGAATTCTTCACGGTCAACCTCTACCTCGATAACCCCCTAAGCCTCCGTCACTGGAACTTCAATCTAACTTTCCCGCTGACTTCGATCAATCTATAAGAGTACGGGGGATTTGCACGAATAGTCAACCTACGGAGCGGACAACTCCAGCACCCTCTATCGCGGGCATTTTGACATCTCTCCCGGTCTCTAGTCTGTGTGGATTTGGAGAGTGCATCTTTCATGCGCAAGGTCGGAACGGGTGGCTAATATGGTCAATATTCATCCTTCGACCGGGTGTGGGCACAAAGGCGTGTGGTACATGACGTGACCGATCCCGCCCGCGTCGCTCTGAGATATGGGCATCGGAGACGGGATCCCGTTAACTCGACTCGCATTTTGTTACTTGTTGCTTGTTTCTTGTTCTTACCTGCTATTATAATCAACGTACACTGTGTCTTTAGTCATGTCCGTATTGATAGCTCTCTCCGGTCTTCTTTCTTATCCTAACTCGCCTTCCTCACCCATCCCCTACTTCTCCCTTTTAATCGTGTTAGCGGTGCTTATCTATTCCGACTAGCTAATAAGTTTCGTTTCTTACCTTGCATTCCATAATGGTCTGTTATGTTTCGTTGATTCCACATGATTCCAACATGTTTCACTCAGAGCGTTGAAATACCTCTCCGGCGTCGTCACTTTCGGCCTGGCTCGGGTTTCCGCCGGATCTCCAAGTATGATGGATGGAACCACAACCCTGTTCACGTCAGGGTTTCCGGGGAAGCGTATAGTTTACTCCACGGCTTCCCCTCGTTACCTATGCCCAGCTATGTAGGTATATAGGCTTAGATGCGGAGTAATGGGGTTATCGTTGGTCCACCGGGCGAAAGAGGGGCGATCCTATTCCCAGGTCGATTGGGACCTTCACCTGCAGGCTTTTTTTTCGTGGGCTAAACTGCGAATATTCGTAGATTGCGTGACATAGGAATAAAGAAATGGCGCCGCCCTTCAGAGCCGATCACATAGGATCGTTGTTGCGGCCCCAGTCGCTTCTGGAGGCCCGCTCCGACCTCTCTTCGCCCTCTCAGATGTACACTTTGGACATCCCGCAGTCTGTCAAGGACGCCGAGGCCAAGGCAATCCGCGAGGTGGTCCAAATACAATTGCAAAAGGAGATACGACCGATTACGGACGGCGAGTATGCTCGCCAAATCTACTACGGCGGGTTCTTCGAGAGACTCTCCGGCTTCGAGGCCAAACCAGACCTCCCTATTCCGGACGCGTTCCGAACAGACTTCCCGACAACCAGCGGTCTCGCCAAAATGGGGGCTACGACACGAGCGGCGGTTATCTGCACGGGGAAGATCGGGTATAAGCAATCTCCCTACTTGTCGGAATGGCTTACCCTTCGGGACAGCCTGCCCCGGCACCTATGGGGCGACGCCAAGTTCACGATCCCGACACCCAATTACCAGCACATCCAACTAAAGCCGGGCACGGCGTGGATCGAGGCGTCGGGCTATACCTCAGACGAGGAGTACTTCCGCGATCTCGCCAAGTGCTACGCCGCCGAGCTCAGGACGCTCTACGATGCCGGTCTGCGTAATATCCAGGTGGACGACCCGCACCTGACGTACTTCTGCTCCTCGCAGTTCCTCGAAGGGTGCGAGAAGGACGGCGTCGACACGGACGCGCTCCTGGACTTGTACACCCGAACCCACAACCAGCTCCTGGCAGACAAGCCGGCAGGCCTTCATGTGGGGATGCATCTCTGCAGAGGTAATATGTCCGGCTCCACACACGTAAGTCCACTGAGCCCCCCTATTCTCGTCCCGCCCGTCCCCAAGGCCTGCCTACGGCCATGGCACCGGCGTGTCTCGGGGGCTGGTCCGCGTGCGGATCGCTGACAAAGAGCACGGGCGCAGTGGGTGTCCGGGTCGTACGAGAAGATCGCGTACAAGCTGTTCAACGAGACGAACTACGAGACGTACTACCTCGAGTTCGACGACGTGTCGCGGGCGGGCGGGTTCGAGCCGCTGCGGTTCCTGCTGCGGGGCAAGAACGTGGTGCTAGGGCTAGTGTCGACCAAGACGCCGGCGCTCGAGGAGGCGGGCGCGCTGCGGGCGCAGATCGCGGCGGCAGCGGCGGTCGTCGCGCGCGCCCAGGGCGTCCCCGACGCCGAGGCCCTCGGCTGTCTCGCCCTCAGCCCCCAGTGCGGCTTCAGCAGCCTCAGCGTCGCCGGCGGCAAGGGCGTGACGCCCCAGCGCATGTGGGAGAAGCTGCAGCTCGTGCGCGATGTCGCCCGCCAGGTGTGGACGTGATCGCCCCCAGGGAATGGCTTTTGGGGGCTCTTCCCCTTCCCACCTGGGCGGCGCAGGCTAGGCGTTGTCTTATCCTGGAAGCTGATCGCGGGCTAGTGGTAGACTGAATCGACAAAAAGAGAGGGGAAAAAATACGCACGTAGGAGGGAAGGTACTAAGCGGTTATCACCTACCTGTTTGTTGTAGGGCCCTTTCCTCAACGGAGACGTCCATAACTCCCTGTATTTCAAGGAAGGTGTGTTCAAGGCCAGACGCAAGCTGCGTGACGCTGTTATTTGGCAAAATCGCTTTACTCGTTCCTCTCACCGGACTGACGAGGCAGCTACTACTCGTTAGGCAGGTAGTTGAAGACGGCAGTGCCGCCCTTCGCGGTCATAACAATCCTCGGCTCTTCTTGACAGCGATTGCCGATGTTTGGGGTACTTTCTACTGACTTCTTGCATTCGTCGCTCCTGCTTTCCTCTCCTTCGAGGAGAGGTGCCTCCTACCTGCCGCGGTAGCTCAACTCGTCAGGCAGCCACGGGGACCTGATGGGACGAGGTGCGATATAAAAACATCCTCGCCCGCCTCGTGAACCGGATGGATGATTTCTGTAGCAGTTCCTTCGCTTTGCCGTAGCCCCTGACACACCAATCGAAAATGGATCCTGTCACATACCAATTGAACCAGCCCTTATATGCCTACATACCGCAGAGCGTAAATGTAGGCGTCTACGTTTTACGCGACAGATCCAAATTCCGATTCCCAGCGTCGGGCGCGAGAGCTCGAACCACCTACGGCAGCTAGGATCTACAACGCTCCCCGGCGAGGCCCTCCTGCGAGCTCGACCGCGACCCAGAGCCCGGCAACAACCGAATTACAAAGCCGGCCCCGGCTGCCGTCCTACTATACACAGGAATGCTTACTTAGACTAAAGCGCGGAGACGCCATCGACCAGGCTTGCCCTAACGCCGCACATCATCGCGGTACGTTGCCCAGTGGCAAATGTTACCCGGTCAGCTCTAGTCGCTTCGCCGCGCTTATACGAGAACAACTAGCCGCCGACCTAGACGATAGTTGCGAGGCGCTGGACAAATACGGAAAATTTGGCGCCATCGGGGCGCTTTTCAAGATCACGTTGCAGCCATACGGCTACACCTTCGTCGCCAAAGGCGTTTAACGCGCACACCATCACTTCCTCTCCGACGAAGCAGACGTGTACGCGCATCTTGAGGCCCTCCAGGGCTACGACATCCCGGTCTGGCTCGGGCAGTTTGACCTCGCCTCGGCGTACATCCTGAGCAGTGGCGCGCATGTCTGTACGATGATGCTTATGTCGTACGCGGGCGAGACGCTCGCAACTTACAAACCGCACGACGTAGAGATAGACATAGACATTGAACAGGAGCAGCGTGGGCACGCTGTGATGGAGACCCGTATAAGGACTACCCAACTGCCGACAACTGGCCCGGTGCCGATCGAACTGAATCACAGCTGTGAACAGCTGTAGTCGGCTGATCGGTTAGCTGAAAACGGCAGCTGGGAAAGACAAGAATGGAGATGGTGTCTGGAATGGCCAAGAAGGCAGATGAGAAACGAGTGAATAGCTGTAGAACCTGATGTCTACAGGTCTAAGTCTGATCGATAAAAATATGAGTGCGAGACCCATACAAATACACATCCAAAAGGCTACGTGGCCTAGTCCCACCGCACCACTACAACATAGACGAGGACTGCCAGGACTCCAGGACTTGGTTGATACGCTTCAGGAGCACGGCGTGGAGCACGAGGACGTCCGGCATCTGAATACGGTATGGAACGAAGAGAGAGGAAAGGTGATGATGATCGACTTTGATCGGGCCGAGATCTTCACTGCGCGGAAGCGGCCGTTGGAGGAATCAGAGGGCAGCCCGGACTCCAAGAGACGGGCCCATTGACTACAACCTATCTCACTATCTCCTCCCCCCCCCCCCCCCCCCCAAAAAAAAAGACGCGATATACATAACGTGCCGGTGGAAGGCACCGAGGCCTAGCTCTTCGGCGTCGAAAAAACAGTTATAAAAGTGTATAGATATCCGTTGGTAGTATCCAGTTCAGGCGAACCCATGGTAAGCGCTTGAATCACGTTTTGGGCACGTACTGTAAGTTGCCCCGGTGCTAGGTCTACCTAGGTATCTGCAATCAATCGCCGAGGCACCGAAAGCGAATCGCTATGTTTTCTATTTCGATATTCTAATCTTGGCCACGTGGTTCGTTGAGATCTTGCGGATAGTGCTCAGTTTCCTCTACCTGAGGGCAAGTGTTGACGGTACCGCGCCGGTACCATTCCGGGGAAGACCGGAGCGTATCGCCTATCGCGCTGACGAAAGAGTGTGGAGCTGACCGCCGCGGAAGCCTTGTCAAGGAGACCACTTCGGTCGAATGCCGAAGGGCGTACGTTGGTAGCTTTTGATCTCAAAGGCGGACAGGTAATAGTTCACCGAAACGTAGCCGAGTTCGTAGCACGCGTCACGTCGAATATCACGCGGGTTTCTATTCGCCCGACAAGGAAAGTGGCTCGGGGGCGTCGGCGCACCATCGCTTTGGTCGGGGCAGAATCGGGGATGTGATTGGGGTCTCTGCTTTCGCCCTTCCTACTGGCGACCCTCCCCTATATGTGCATACGATGCCTAGACCGTTATAAGCTTTGATCAGCGCAGCCAAGAGCTGCCGGCCCCGGGGTCCCTACCTGTAGGAGCTAAAGGCTAGCTACCTCTAGCGCCCGCCCTTGGGGCTATGGACACATAGGTATATGCACGTGTTCTTAACAGGCTTATGCAACTACTAGGTATATCGTTCTCTGGGACTCACGGTCCCGCGGTGCGTTGCGGTGCTCCAAAGTACTACCTGGTATCCGACGATCCTTCTACGCAACCTAAACACATACCCAATTCAGCGCTCCCTCGCCCTCCCTCTCCGCTCTATAGCCCCAAGAGCTCGCTTGGTGCCGCCCACTCGGTCGAAGAGTAGCAGGGTTGTGTCTTCAATACAGGATCTCCTGGCCATGGTTCCGTTCTTGCGCAGCCGTCTTCGCAGCCTCTCCTCTCCAAGCGGGCCACCCTATATATCCGTACCAGCCTGCGTCCGCTACCTATCCCTGAGTCGTCGCTATCGCATCCGCCTAACAAGCCGCCAGAGTTATAGTTATAACCCGTAGCATCCTCCTATAATCCCTCACACCCCTCCCCGTCCTTCTCTCTCTCGCGCCTAGCCGATAGAACCGCGCCTCTCGGTAGCAGACATGCCAGGCACCGCAACCCTTCTGGCCTGCCAGGGCATCATCGCGTCTTCCCGCCAGTTTGGGCCGCTGTCGGCTGCGCGATGTTACAGAACCCATCCCGCCATCCACCAACGTTACTACAGAATTAGCGCCTGTTCCTATAGGAAACCCTCCAACGCTTTCACGATATGTAGATATCCGGAAGAGAGAGCTGCCCCCCACACCTCGCCACTATGCCACCACCACCCGTGACATAAGGTTACCTCCGGACTGGTTTCTTCGCGCGCGAGCGTAACGATATGGTATCGCAGTCTGGCGTCTGGCATCTTCGCCGATCCTTCGGAATAGGCGCGGACCCGAGCCCCGGTCGACTCGACTAGACCGCTGCCCCCCCCCCCCCCCTCCTCCCCCTCTTCCACCCGCGGGGTCGATACGGGTCCTATATGTATAGGCGATACCTAGGGGAGGTAAACCCTCCCTATTGGAATGCGTGGTATAGGCACAAATAGGCGAAGGCGAGGGCGAGGACGATCTAAGACGAACAATAGCGATTGCCCGCTACATAGACGCACCCAAAAGTCTAGAGCCCCATCGAGAACACCACAGCTACCCTGGAATCCTCTCTATGTAGTGTTTCTACCGCCTTCCCTTCTACTGAGCCCGATAGGCGCGGGTTTATCCCCGTTTATTAGGGGGGGGATTCGCTACCGAGAGACATAGCTCTGCCTAGGCGAGGGCCCTACTCACGCACGCTGTCGACCTCGCGGCGTAGTAGCGTGAGATTCGCGCGAGAACTCAGCACCGCTAGGATCATAACGCCTCATTATTACAAATCCGGACCTTTTCGAGGCCGGAGTCGGCGTTTAGCTATAGACCCGATAGGCGGGGCGCGGCAAAGCGCAGCGGAAGCGTCGTTTGCCGTGGATGAGTTCGAGTTGAGAATACGACGGTTCAGAAATGAGAGAAGGTGGAGAGGCTGGTGTTGGAATAGGGGAGTCCAGGGACGACCCGCTGTTCGCAGTACAGGAGCCTCCAGCGATGTGTGGAATGCAGCTAGGCCTCTGTTCCTCGACAACTGGACAATACACACGAATACACCAGGTCGCCGCCTCATACCACCGTACCTTTGAGTAACTACCACGGGCCGTTTCCTGAAAGCGATACCTAAGTTCATCCCGGCTACCGCAATGGTCCTTCTAGGGCGGGCCATGTTGGATACCTTCAATCCTCTCGTCTTGGCCGCCTTCTTTTGCTGCTTCTTTAGGCCGACCCGTTAGGTTATGGGCTGGCGCCGAACGCTTGACAGCTCTAAATTGGTCCGCATTTAGGCATGTCTACTTCCCCCAGGGGCTTTTACGCAGCTACTGGCTCCTGAAGAGCATACCCTTCCCTGCCACCACATTCATACTTAAATATATACGAGATACTACTACGCAAACTCGCTATACAGGGCCAAGGACCACTCTATATACTCATAAGTCCCCGGTACTGCACGTCTCTACCATTGTGCAGCGAGTGGTTCTCATAGTCTTTACGCTATAAGTATTGTCCCCCGATCGCCACGGCGGTACTAGAGAGGGCATTTCCGTCTAGTATCCGAGACTACGTCACGGCCTGTACAATTCCGTCTGCATGTGCAAGGCCGGCCCCCTTTTCCATACGTCGGGGGTACTAGCACGTAGAGGGGTCGTACGGCGCCGTAGCTGTCGAAGAGATCAAGCGAGTATTCGTCTCGCTGTCGTTCCTTTAGACGCGGTTTCCCCCGTCGATAATGCCACCTATACCTAGGTAGGGAGTAAGCGAGTCGAAGGGGTTGGCCGTAGTGGCGTAGGTAGTACATCGGAAGACGGGATAATACGGCTACAGATCCTCTATTATATCTGCACGTCTAGTATATACAGCCGGGCGACCTCGCCTTCGCGTATTCGGCCCCCCCCCCCCGGCCGCCGACCACCCCACCCCCGCGAGCGGCGCGCAGTGGCGCGCAGGGAATACTAAAAGGATGCGGACAGCCCGATTTCGAGAAGCGAATGCTGTGCCTAGGTGGCAGTTGCCGTAACCGTCGTGGCGCTCCAGCGGGAATGGAGCACTCTGGGCATCTGAGATGTCACTTTTGCTCCTCGGGCGACACCTACGTTCTGGAGTACCTAGGTTGGATAGATATAGATACTTAGGCAGGTAACTTGGCCCCGGGTACTGCTCGTATTGCGCTGGTTGCAGGTCGCTGATACACCAGCGTCTATCTGCACGTCACAGAGCGAGCGGGATACATCGCCGTGGGAAAGCGTTGATTCAATCGCAATGAGGTAGGAAAGTAGCAGGGTGACTCTACGAACGTCCTCAAGTCCGAGTGTGCCATCCGGCGAGAGAGAGTAAGACCAAGTAGGTACATAGGAGAAGAATCCTGCCCCAGGTCTACGAGCCTCTACGGGCCCGTCTTATGCACTCCATGCCTTATGCCAGCCCAGCCAGGCGTATAGTAGCGTAGCCGTGACGCAGCAATACCTACGATCATCTACGCCCGCCCTCGGCAAGCCTCACGAGAAGCGTAAGTCAGTGGTGAAGTCGCCCCAGCGCGACGCGATCCAGTCGATGGGCGGGTGGATGCGCGGGCGCCAGGGGCCCGCGTCGCCGTAGACGGGCATGTCCTTATTGCCCTCGAGGACGTAGGTGGAGGAGAGATTGAACAAGCCGGAGAGCACCATCTTGGCAGCGGCGGCGGGGGGGGCCTGCGGCACGGCGACGCGGGCGCCGCGCCGCCGCATCTTGGCCAGCAGGCGGCACAGGTAGAAGGCGGTGTTGTCGGCGCCGATTGTCCAGGGCGACGTCGAGTACCCGAACATAAAGACGAGGTTGGGCACGCCGTCGAGCATCGCGCGGTTCCACATGAGGCGGCCGGGCCAGGCGACGGGCGCGCCGTCGACGCGCGCCGCGATCGCGCCGCCGAACCGCAGCCGCAGCCCCGTCGCCGTCACGATCACGTCCGCGTCGACAGCGCGCCCGTCCGCCAGCCGGATCCCGTGCGCCTCCACCGCCGCGATGCTCCCGCTCGCCACCCGCCCCCGCCCGTGCAGCGCTGCGTAGAAGTCACCTTCTGGCGCTATGCACATCCGCTGCGCGAACGGCGCGTACCGCGGCCGGAAATGCACGTCGGCGTCGACGTCGGGCGGCAGCCGCGCCCGCGCCTGCGCACGCAGCATCGCGCGCGCGCGCCCCGGCCACGCTTTATAGAGCAGGGTGAACAGGTACGGCACGATGAGGAACCAGAGCCTCTCGTAGGCCTGGAAAGCGGCGCTGGGGAGGTACGGGCGCAGCCGCGACGGCGCGCGGCTGCTGTTGTCGAGGGGGAGGATGTACGTCGGGCTGCGCTGCACCATGGTGACCTCGGCAGCCTCGCGGGCCAGGCTAGGCAGCAGGGTGACGGCGGTCGACCCGCTGCCGATGATGGCGATCTTCTTGCCCGCGTAGTCGTAGCCGGGTGGCCAGAACTGCGGGTGGATCACGTCGCCGCGGAAGCTGGCCAGGCCCGGAATGGCCGCCTCGCGCGGCCGCTCGTAGTCGAAGTACCCCGTCGCCATGACGAACCAGCGGCCCTCGTAGCGCGCGGGCCGGCCATCACAGTTGACGGCGAAGCTCCACCGCCGGGCCGCCGACGACCAGTCCGCCGCCTCGACGCGGTGCCGCAGCCGGATGTGCTCCTCGATGGCGAACCTCGACACGCTGTCCTTGAGGTACGACGTTATCAGGGCGCCCTCAGCGATGGGGTGCGCAAACGGCCACTTGTTCCACGCGAAGCCGTAGTTGTGTAGGTCCGAGTCGGAGCGGATGCCGGGGAACTTGAACAGATCCCACGTCCCGCCGATGGCGTCGCGCCCCTCGAGAATCACGTACCGAAGCTGCGGGTGCTGCGTCTGTAGGCGGTACGCGCAGTTGATGCCGGAGATTCCAGCGCCGACGATGACGACGTCGAAAGAGCACCCGTCGTCCGCCATTTTCGGAAAGCTGATAGTATGATCACGCGCAGATGGGCGCAGAGACAGGAAGGATCGGGGAGCGTTGGATATCGCGCTGATGCAAAGCGGACGGGGTACGTGTGCAGTGCTTAACGTAGGTAGGTATATCTAGGTAGTGGCAGAGACATTCAAAGGGAAGCTAGACGATTTCAGGCGGCCCGCCGCGCGTCCTGTAGAGCTTTCAGCGGGCGTCTAATATACTCTCTGCCCCGTGGTCGATACGACGCCGTGGCACACGCGGATCCCGCTCGCACCTCCTCAGGGCCCACGACAGCGAATGGATCGTTCGTCCAAGCCGCAGGTTCTCTGCAGCGTGGTTCCATTGGTTTACTCATAGCAAGCCCCCCCTCGGCCGGCACATTATATCTAATGGCACACAGACAAGAGAGAGACCTAGTCTCAAGCCACCACTGGCTAGCTAGCTGTCCACATCGGAACTCCGGTGCTCGTAGGCTCTACGCAGACCCCAGCGTGCATACGTGCCTATACCTATCCAGCTGGTTTGCGGCGCCGTAGCTCGAGGCGGCCGTCCCAGGTTCTGGATCCGTGGAGGTTCCAGACTAGGAACTCAGAGATAGAGCCATGTAGGCAGACCGGCTAGTCTATCCACATAGGGAGGTAAATAAGATCTCGCGTTTAATGGTCGTATAAGGGTCGCGTGCTACGTTCCGCGCTGAGGCCATGATAGGTAGTCTTACCTGGAGTTGCGACTGCATCCGACGAACTTCGGGTGTAGATAGAGCGTCCCTAGAACCTGACGGCAGGATTTGGCGTATAGAGGGTGCATGCCACCATCCAGGCACGATAGAGGGAGACTGATTAGCTTGGTAACATCGCGATAGGGAGGGCTAAGGAAAGCCTCTAGCCAGGCATACGGGAGTCTGCACGTACGCACTCCATCGGCCAAGTCTCAACCCTGGCAAGGCGGAGGGTGTTGATGGGAGAGAGGCATCGCGACAGGGTTCCATGCATAGACATGCGTACCACATGCAGGTATCCGGGACGGTCGTCGCAACGGACGACTGGAAGCCTTCTCCGAGACCCATGTCCTATAGCAGGATAATGGCCGCATGGAAGAAGAAACGGATTGATGAGGACGGCGAGACCAGGCTAATGAGTTAAGTTAGCAGCTACTCTATTGCGGTAGAAGGACGGCGCAGTTGTATTGCGGGCTGCGCGTCTCCCCGGTTCCAGAGCAGGAAAGGGAGATGTATTCTGGATTTGTCGGTACAACCCGTCAGCCCCGGCGATGCGAGGGGAGGATGGATATCTTGATATTGCCTTGATTAGGTACCTACCTAACCTGAATCATCGCTACGCCGCCACACTATCCGGAGCTATGCATCTGTTGAAATAAGCTTCCGGTCAAGACCGTAGGTATATCGATTACCGGGTTCGGTTCCGACCAGATCCTATCCGCTCGGATGGTCGACGCGAGGAGTGAGATTATTGAAGTTGTCGAGGAGGAAGAGTCCAAACTGCTCTGGGCTATTCGCGTAGCGGGCCAGTTCTCTGCCTCGTCACCGAACTCACCATCAAGATCCCCCCGTTGAGCGAGCTGGGGAGCGCCTAGGGTGCCATATGGGTAGGAAGCTTCGTGTTTCCGCTAAGGCGAGCCGATGAGGTTGCTCGAGCCATGAAACCGCTGATGGACGACTGTGACAGAGCAACGGCCGGCCTCATAATAAGCATGGCTTCCCCGCCCGTACGGAAGCTATGCGTAGTTATCGCGGCAAGATTTACCGAGAACCCGGATAACGCGAAGGGCGAGTATAGGTATAAGCCTTCATATTACCTTACCCCAACTACCGTTAACGGCAGCCCAGTACCTATCCAGGACACCAGCGACGGCTGCGAGACACTCACCGCTAAGGGCGGGTTGAAGCGGTTTGGCGTGGTCGGGCTGAGGCGCTTCGACGTGGAAGGATTCCTCCAGACCGTCGACGTGTGGAAGACGCTCGTGGAGGAGTGTCCCGACGCGACCAATACGGCCTTCAACTTTCAATGGGGTTCGCGTCCTCCGAAAACGCCCGACTCTGCATCAGCCATGTCTCTCCACGACGTTCGATATTAACAGCAAGCATCCCGCAGGTCCGCCTGTCCCGTCCCTTTTCCGCGTGGCACGGTGCAAATAGGAACAACCTTATCTGGCATACCGACGTCGCCAACCGGCAGAAGGTCGACGAGTTGAGTAGCAAGGCGATCGAGATCATGCACGGGCCTGGGCAACGCCAGCGGTAGTGAAACAAGCCGAGACAGACCTCAGAACAAGCTACCGTACAGCACAGCCTTCTCGCTAGTATGGTTTCCCAATGGGGCAACGAGGATCTATACGTACACGTACGCTACGTATTAGCAAGGGCTTTATTTATTAGATAGGCAACAGGAGTAGTATCGCCTCTCTCGCCAATCGAGGTAGTAATATGATCTCGTGTGAGGGCCATATTACACTAGGTAGAGGTGGTCTTGGCCTTCTTTTCGCCGCCACCCGTCTGGCTCGCTGCCGGAATCGCGTTAGTTCCAGCAGTCGTAACCGTCACAACGCCAAGGCGAGCACGAGGGGTCACGATCCGGCGGCTCCAACTATACCGGCCGAAGGCGCCGAAGGCCGCATCAGATGAGACCCAAGCCTGCGGATGGATTTAAAGCTTCGCAAGAAGGAATGAAGGTAGGTACATGGAATGCAGACCCGATAAATACGAGGTGCAACATGCGTCTGACGATACCTATCTCTTACCCCCCTCGAGACAGGCGTCCCTTTCAGTCCTCCGACAGCCGATCGGCCTCTTTCCACCCCGGATGCCGTGGGAGGGGTAAACTTGCGACCATCCTGCGGGGGCGTGCCTGGGTCTCCCCTTGCACGGCATGGGACGGAAGGGTTGCGGGGTTCCATCTCTTGGCGGAGGGACTAAGAGCATGTACCGAACAGCGTCGTATCTATGCACGGACGCGGCCTTATCTAGCTACCTATTGGTATAGCGATAGCGGGGTGTGGGAGTAGTGGGGATATGCCGCTAGCCAGGTATCAGTTACGAAAACAGTTCGATGCCAGAAGTAATCTCGTAGAAAGGCAGAGCTCCCATTCCGGGACGCCTTCCTAACCGACTACCAAGTGCCCATTCGAAAAAATCCCCGCCACCTCAAAGCCTTCGCTCCCCAGGGGTTCTCTCTCTGCACTACCTACCCGCTACCGCAGCAGCAGCAGTAGCAGCATACAGCCGCCCAAAACTCCACGAACAGGTCCCGCGCCATAGCCATCCGAGCGACGGACCCGAGCGTGGTGACGGGGGCAGCTGCGGCCCCGGCCAGAGCGGCGTACGAGATGGGCGTCGAATCTCCGGGGACGTGGCGGAAAACGTCGAAAGCGATCAACCAGCGGAGATAGGAAAGCGCTTGGTACGAGGTGTAAAGCCGGAGGTATACTGTCAGCGACGGGCACCATACGAGGCTAGAAGGGGAAGACAGGAAACTTGCGTCGATCTGGCACTGCTCGAGGATCTCGGACGGTGCTATCACGCGGACCTGCGGCTCCTGCACGATCTCGAGGACGCCCTAGCGGGCCTCAATTTCCTGAGCGGACGCGAGCAACTGTCTGGCGAGGGCCAAGAGAGAAGGTGGCTGCGCCATGGCTTTCAGTCTCACTGGCGTATGTGATCTTTCCTCGCCCCCGGTAACGCAAGCAGGACGAGGATTCGGTTGAATGGGTTCTCAGGACCGACGGCCGCCCCGTAGGTACTAAGCGCACCCCGTCCCGTTCATTAAGGACGTACAGTAGAGTAAGGTAATGCCTATGTAGATGCGTCCGAAAGGGCCTACGCCGTGCTTAACACCCTAGGGTGTGCACAATTTTATGATAGCGAGGATAGATACATATGCCTTAACGCCCTTTGTTTCTATTTAGCGGGGTCACGCAGGTGGCGGGTGAGTGCATTTGAAGTGAGGCTTATACCTATCTGTGATATCGGTTGCGAGGTAGGGTGAGTGAGTGGTTGTCTTCCCTCAGCATTCCGCTTCAAGGCCGGCCAAGAAGGAGAAGGATCAATAAGACATTGCATTGTTGGATTGTTGGATATGCGTACATACATGCAGGGTGTCTAGGTATGCCTGTGTCCCTTTACGGGTGTCTATCCCGTAGGCCTAGCATGGCAGGTTCACGCAGACTCTGCTGTATTAAGCCCGCAAACCCTCACTATCTGCTGGCACTTATACTATATTATAAGCACCTATATCAGGGGCTGCACAGCAACGGCCGACCGGTAGCAGCTCGTTTCACCCATATGATACGTACGCAGACCTAAGATCCAGGATCTCCCTCTTACGCAGTATTAGTTGTGCCTCATGTGGTTCCCCTGCTAGAGCCACACCCATGAGCAAGAATTCATCCCCGGTTTGTCCGTCCATGTATAACCCAAGCCTGTACAACACTCTTCTTGCGTCTGCCCTGGTTTTGGCTGTTAAATGAGTCCTAGTCTCTCCTCTCTTGACCAGATCTCCGCCCATGCATAGCCCACTCCTATGCCCACCATGCCCATAGCATCCTTCACGACAGGTATCTGACGAGTAGTTCGTGATACGACCATGGGCTGCTGGATTAACACCACTCTCCGCTGAACAGCCCCCCTCCCCATTCTTTTTTAATTCTGTACAGGATATTATGGCGGATTCTATGCTCGACTTGCGTTATATGGAATTACTATTACTCTCCCCTGAAGCGGCAATTACGCGCAATGGCTGGCAGGCCAGCGGTGCTAACATGTCATAGAAGCAATAGGCGTAGAAATCGGGTCTAATATTCAAGAACTATCTGTATCTTCCATTTGGGGTTTGCGTAGACTGACCGACGCAGTGATAGAAGCTGGCGGCTTCTATGAGCAGGACGCGGGCAACCTCACCACGGTGCCGGCCTACGCAGCCTTCGGGGCTGGGGCCAGTCCGAACGATGTTCTCCCAGGTGTGGATTGGGGCTTCGTAACGGCACCGCAGAAGAGTCTCGGTGGCAGGGCGATGCATTACGCCAGGGGCAAAACCCTCGGTGGAAGGTATATTCCCTCGCGTCGTCTCATTCTGCTTGAGCTTTTCTAAGCGGTTCACAGCTCGCTCCGCAATTAATATTTCACCTACCATCGGTCTACTGTCGACGCGCTCAACTTGTGGGCTTCGTTGGCCGATGATGAGTCTTACAGATTTGAGCACTTTCTGCCCTACTTCAAGAAAAGTGTTCGTTATACTCCACCTGATAACACGGCGCGTCCTAAGAACGCTTCTGCTCCATCGCCCCCCGATGCCTTCACTCCTGGGGCGGGACCTCTACATGTGTCGTTCGCAACTTGGGTTAGTCCGCTGTCTTCCTACGTGAGCCATGCCTGGCAATCACTTGGCTTGCCAGCAGCGCAGGACTTCGTGTCAGGGGAGCTGAACGATGTTCAGTATACCTAGTATGAACACAATCAACCCCGATTGGCAGGTCAGGGACACCTCCCATTCCTCGTCCCTGAAGACCGTAGCCGGAGCGGGTCCAACACGGGTATATAACAACACGCTAGCCAAACGCATCTTGTTCAACAACGACAAGAGAGCAACTGGGGTGCTGGTAAATACCGACGGGCTTGAGTATACGATCTTGGCGGGGATAGAAGTCATCCTTTCATCTGGTGCTGTGAGTGACAACCCTTCGCGCGTACTTTGCTCGGCTAGGCAGCTTGTTGACGTGCCGTTGTATCGCTCGTAGTTTCAATCCCCTCAACTACTCATGGTGTCCGGGGTGGGGCCAACCGACACTCTTAAGCGGCTCCGTATTCCTATTGTGTCGGAGCTGAAATGTGTCGGCCAGAATATGGAGGACCACTTCCTTTTCGACGCTAGCTACGAGGTGAACGTGCCGACGCACGCGGCCGTCAGCAATCCTGCCTTTCTCGAGGCAGCTAGGGATGAATATAGGTAACACCAACGGCACCGGGATCTTCAGCAACCCGGGCGGCGAGCTGCTGGCTTGGGAAAGGCTCAAATGTCCTAACCCCCGCTCTTGTCGCGACGTGAGTGCCGAAATCCGCAAACACCTCGCTTCCCAGCCAGCCGACTTCCCGACGTTTAAGTTCCTCATGCTCGATGCCTACACCGAGCCGGCCAAATGCTAACGGGTGGCTGCTGTAGGCAAGGCGGGCAACTCGACGGACCGCGACGCGGTAGTAGACCATCGGGGTCGGCCTTTCGGGGCCAAGAACCTGCGGGTCGTCGACGCTTCGGCTCTCCCCTTCCTCCCCGCCGGCCATCCACAGGCGGTAGTCTGTAAGCTCGCACTCACTAGAAGAGGTTTTGCTCGGGGAGCCTTAGCTGACTACTAGCAAAGATGCCCTAGCTGAGAAGCTGGCCGAGGACATCCTCTGCTCGTAACTGCGTAGTAGCCGTAGCAAGAGGCTGCTGCATTTCCGGGCCAAGATCCGACCCGGGTTTCTGTGAAATGGCGCGTGAAAGCAAATCAAATCCATCCTCAAGGGTTGACTATCCGAGTAAGCACGGTGGCGACTCGAGTGCAGAAGGAGATGAGGATGTTCTTCTTCTGTTTGCGCCCCCGGCGTGGGCCGCAGCGATATTATCGCTACTTAACAGGCAAAATTCAAAGTACATAGTTAAATTAATACTACGCCAAAGAGATAAAGGGGGGGAAGAAAATGCAGATGCCTGATGAGGTATATGATCTTGCTACAGGTGTAAATACATGTTGCCCTCGATAACCAACTGCCTCTGTATGTTACATCTACGCAAAAGGGGAGACTGTATACCAACTTCTTATCTCGGTGTTTCGGCGATTCCTCTCTCTTATCTCACATCTCGCAAGTCTAGGCTTGGGGTCCCCTCCAACCCCCTCCCTCTCCCTCTCATCGGCAAGTAGAAGGGAAGGGGGGAACCAGTGTTATCTCTGGGGAAAGAGATCATTCAGACCCTGGGGATGGTCGTCGGTATTACCCGGGTGGGAAGGAGAAAGAAGACCAGGGGATGGCAGAGAGACGTAGCTATATCATCTATCTAATACTTCGTTCCAAGCCACCATGCTGCCCACCAACAAGTACCCCCCCCATCACACATACACCTCCTGCCCGGCCTCACCACGATGGATAGCTACGATTTAGTCATCGCAAACGGGGTCTGCGTGACGGCCGCGGACGTGGCCCCTTGCGACGTCGCCGTCAAGGGCGAGAAGATCGTGCTGCTAGCCCCCTCGGGGTCGCTGGCTGGCGCGGCGACGAAGCGCCTGATCGACGCTGAGGGCGGCTACGTCATGCCCGGCGGCATCGACTGCCACGTGCACCTCGAGGAGCCGAGCCTGTTCGGCCAGGGCTCGTCGGCCGACAGCTTCGAGTCGGGCACGCGCTCGGCCGTGGCCGGCGGCAACACCACCGTCGTCGCATTCGCGCCGCAGCAGAAACACCTCGACTCGGTGCTCGCCGCCCTAGCCGACGCGCACGCCCTCGCCCGGGGCAACTGCTACTGCGACTACGGCTTCCACACGCTCGTGGCGAACCCGTCGCCGACGGCGCTGTCTGAGTTCCCGCGCCTGGCCGGCGGCGAGGGCGTCACCTCGCTCAAGGTCTACATGACGTACGCAGCCCTGCAGCTGCGCGACGACGAGATCCTGTCGGTGCTGCTGGCCGCCCGGCGGAGCCGGCTCCTGACCATGATCCACGCCGAGAACGGCGACGCGCTCGCCTGGCTTACCGACCGGCTGGAGGCCGCGCACCTCTTCGCCCCGCGGTACCACGCCCACGCCCACGCGCCAGCGCTCGAGTCCGAGGCGACGCACCGCGCCATCGCGCTGAGCGCGCTGCTCGCCGGGACGCCGATCCTGCTGGTGCACGTCAGCGAGCCGGCGGCGGCGCGGCGCATCCGCGAGGCCCAGGCGGCCGGGCAGCCCGTCTTCGCCGAGACCTGCCCGCAGTACCTGTTCCTCACGCGCGACGACCTCGACCGGCCGGGCTTCGAGGGCGCCAAGTGCGTCTGCGCGCCGCCGCCGCGGACCCGCGCGGACCAGGCCGCCCTCTGGCGCGGCCTGCGCGACGGCACCTTCGCCGTCCTGTCGTCGGACCACTGCGCCTTCCGCTACGACGACGCCGCCGCCGGCAAGAAGACCAGCGTCTCCCCGGCGCACCCCGTCGGCCGCTTCCGCCACATCCCCAACGGCCTGCCTGGCGTCGAGACCCGCCTGCCGCTCGCCTTCGCCGCCCGCAAGCTGCCACCCACGCGCTTCGTCGAGGTGAGCAGCACCAACGCCGCTAAGCTGTACGGCCTGTACCCGCGCAAGGGCAGCATGATCCCCGGCGTCTCGGACGCGGACCTCGTCGTGTGGTACCCCGCGGGGGCGCTGGGCGAATTCGCGCTGACGAACGACATGCTGCACCACGACGCGGACTACACGCCCTACGAGGGACGCACGCTCGACAATTGGCCGCGGTACACCATCCTGAGGGGCCAGGTTGTCTGGGATCGGGACGGCGGCGGCATTGTGGGCGAGAAGGGCTTTGGGAAGTTTCTAAAGAGGGAGAGGAGCTCCTTACATGGGATTTGGGAGACAGTAGAGGAAGAAGGGCCTTTTGACCTGGAAGCCTTGTGATAGGGGGCATGACGAGTAGAGGCGGGGGATGATAGTGGTCTTTCACAGATGCAGGAACATAGGCAAACCATGTTCCCTATGATCCCGACGTCTACTATAAGTTCAGCAATACCTACGATATTGGGCTTTCCTACATATTTTTTGTGCTAGGTATACGTCAGCATTGGTTCACAGATGCTCTATGCCTTAACATTATACATTATGTTCAAAATAGGCTATACGGAGGGTGTGATATTGCTGGGAACCACTACTAGTCAGGCTGAAGTGATACCCAGCGGGCGTAGATGAAGGACACGAGGAAAGTGTGTATACAAGCCGGGACAGAGAGGAAGAAGACGCATCCGACAAGATGGTTAATGCCACATCTATATTCGAATTCCCCCTTCTCTTCGAGGCATCCTCGCGCAAATATGACCGATGGTTCAGGTGGTGGTGGTGCGGTGCGGTCCTTATATGGAGTAGAAATGCCGTGGGAAATAAATAACCCACCATGCCTACACCCACTGACAAATCTGCTCCTTTGCCTAAACCCCTACCCTACACAACTTGCTGTAAATAGTGACGCTGCCCTAGGGCAGACAGGCGACCGGGGAGAAACCCCACGTCGCGCGCAGCGAGACGAGAAGGCCCCGGGGGCTAACGCCGGGAAATCTCCGAACGCCTGCCTACATTATGATAGCCGCCTACGATATGGGCATGGGGGTCAACTCGGGGATCTCCTCGCGGCTTTGGCGTTTGAGACATTAGGCACTCTTGGGCGTCCCCCGCTGCTCCTCGCCGTTCTTCACATTCAGCTGGCGAAGGCAGCGACTAGGGAATATACACGTCTGGGCTACGCAGGTAGGCATGTGTATATCACGGCAGCAAAGAAGGGGAGTGGGGCGGTCTACATCCGGTATCGTCGCAATGGGCACCCGGGTAATAGGTACGTGGCGCACCGTAGCGCGTTGATCGGGCTCGGGAATAAGGGAGAGAGAGGAGAATGTCTCTACAGAGGAACGTTCCCCGGCGCCCGAGCCGCAGAGATACGACGGTTTCGCGAAGAAGTACCGCGGTACGGGTGCGTACGATGAGAGGAGTAAAGCAACTGATGCCAATGGACGATTATGACAGGCGGCCTCCGCTCCGCTCTCTCGTTGCATAGATACACGAAGATACACTCGCCCCGTCCAACAGCGACAACCCCGGATCGGGCGCCCGTTTCTGCTCCCGCCGGTGTCAAGCTTCCGCCCGCCACGTTCACAGTCTAGATGCGGCGACGGGTGAAACCCCGGTCCGACTTCCGACCCCTCCCGGCAACCACGGCGTGATCACTACGGCACCCCGCCTCCGCGAGTCCCCCCCCCGTGCCCAAGAACAAATAACTACCGCGCGTGCAGACAATCGTAATGACCGTACCGAGTTCCTCGACCTCGTTTCCCTCCCCGTATCCCTGCGCTGACCTCCGCGACAGACTAGAAAAGACACGATCGCCAAACCCGCGCGTGTACGCGAGCCCCAGGAACCCGCGCCGGCCCGCTCCTTACGCCAGCGCGGTCGCGAAGTCGATGCGGGTGGCCACCATGTGGGGGGCGATGACGCCCGTGACGAAGAGCCAGCCCTGGCGCTTGCCGCCGCTCTCCGCGGGGTCGATGGGGACGAGGACGGCGGTGGTGGCGCCGCGCAGGAGGCGGCCGTCGTCGGAGAACAGGAAGCGGGGGCGCGGCGCCGCAGCGCCCTTAGCCGGCTTCTGGCCCCCGCGTGCCGGCAGGTACGATATTATGCTCGGCAGCGGCGCGCGGCCCGTCGGGTCCCGGAAGTGGTCCACGAACTCGTGCACGCGCGCGATCGCCGGCAGCAGGTACCCGCTGTAGTCGACGCCGTCGGCACCCGCGTACGGGTCCGCGAAGAAGGTCGGGTTGTCGACGACGGTGTCGGCCTGCGCCCAGTGCGAGACGGCGAGGCGCGCCGGCGCCGTCGCGTTGTCGCCCGCGCGCTCCAGCGCCGCGAAGTAGATCCGGCCGCCGGCCGCCGACGACACGAGGACCTGGCGGTCGGGCCCCCAGCCGAGGCCGTTGTTGTTGTTGATGGAGGCGAGCGCGACGGTCGCCTCGACGTCGTCGGCGCCGTCGCCGAGGCGCACGTGCAGCGTGGTCGTCCGCGGGTAGCCCACGAGCTCCTCGGCGATGCGCAGCGCGCCGTCGCGGAAGACGTGGTCGTTGGTGACGAGGAATTCGCGCTCCGACAGCGGCAGCACGTCGTTGGGCGTCTGGATCAGCGGGTGCGCGACGCTGCGCAGGTGCCGCGCGGCACTGCTGCCCACGGTGTGCGTGAACACCTCGATACGTGACGCCGCCTTAGGCTCACTTGACCCCGCCGTCCACCGCGCGTTCGGCAGGTGGTTCACCGCGAAGATGTAGACCGTCTTCGCGTCCGACGGTGCCGTGTATATCCCGATCCCGTGAGTCACAAACGGTCCCTCGAAGCCTTCGAGCGTGAGCTTCTGCGACTTCATCGTCTAAGCGGAGAGGGAGAGTTAGTTGTCGCTGAGCAAGCATGGGAAAAGATCGGCGCGGGTTCTCTGCTCCGCCAACTGACCTTCGGATTGATAACCACCAGACTGCCATAGCTCGGGTTTTCGGGGTGACCGAACGAGCTGGCCCTACGATTGTGCGTGTTAGCCCACGTGCTCTACATTGGTGCGGGATGCTCTCTCCCCTCCTCTCTCGCTCTGTCTCTCACTCTCACTGTCTATTCGGTCTATATTATACCTACGGGGAAGGGGGGCTTACGCTGGGAACCAGCCGGCCATTCTCTCCAGGTCGCCAGCGCATGCAGAATATATCACCCCAGAGGGTTCGTGATAATGCAAGTCCTCGCAGGAAACAGTGTCCGGGATCACATGGGTCTCGAGGCCGTGGATATTTTGCCATGTATCGAGGGGTCGAGTGACGCCGAGGATCAGGACGGTCTGCTTAACCGGGGCATACAATAGTATAGAAAGCACGCCGAAGACGGCGGCGGCGAGATAGAGAAGTGTCGCCATGTCGGCAGCAGAAGGGACAGAGGGCGATGGCTTCCGACGATTCCGGTCCAGTGCTCAGTTCGTTTTCTGAGAGAGAGAGAGAGAGGAGAAGGAAGATTAGAAGGGGAATCGACTGAAGGAATGAAGGTAGCACTGGAAGAACAAGGATCCGTGGCAACGGAAACCCCAAGGACTACGCCAATGGCGCCTCTTAGGCTACTTGTGTTCCCCATCCCGAGGCAAATGGAGATTCTCCCCAGCTTCCCCTCCGACGATTCTGGGGTAACCCAAGGGGGTAACCGAATCTGGGATAACGGCTTGCTAACGCGTAGCTAGGACTTTCTCTGTCATCTGAGGCCACCCATTCGCTTTGGAGGCTAGACACAGGTTTAGTATAGCCATCCGTCGGATGGAAGAGATTTGCGCAACGTGGAGATGCACATTTCCCGCCTTCGTCTTCGTTTTCGGCGTTGTCCTTTGCAGGTATTGCCTCACATGCTGGTACCGGGTAGCCAAGTAGCCATGCGCTAGCAGCGGCTGACACCTGTCACGATCAGCGCGACCCACCCCACACCGCCTCCTCCCAGCTGTCCTGCGGCCGTCAACTGTCCCCAAGGACCATCGCTAATTGATTGTCTCTCTCGCTCCCACCCACCAAATCATCGAGTTGGCCGTATTCAACACAAAAAGAGCCAGGTATAGTTACAAAACATACTAAGGGCAATCCGTATATTGATAAAAACGTACAGGTATACGCACTGGAACGAGAGAATGTCGTCGGGTTCCTATAAGCAAGACTACACGGACTCTTCGGAGACTTTCCTTCACTACACCCAAGACTTACGGCCCGACTCTTCCCCACCACATAGGATATTGGAAACAAGCCAAGAACTAGCTAGCACTTGCATTGGCAAGAAAACACACACGATCCATGTTATCCCGACGCAATTACGACACGGAGGGATCAAGTCCCTCGGCACCCAAGGGAGACTCGGTCACCTTGACCCATAGCCCAACTTCGATGTGGGCCAAAGTTTGAAAAGACTCCATCGGTTTCTGGGGGTTCACGATCTGCATATCGAAGTGTCGGAGCATCTGCGTGGACGAGACAAAAAACAAGTTAGTCACACACACACCTATTGTTGTAGGGGGGGAGGAGGGTGATGTACTTCGAAGTAGACCTTGTTCAGTTCCATCAGGGCGATGGGCTTGCCGGCGCATGCCCACTGGCCGTAGCCGAAGATGAGCTCGACGTGGTGAACCATCGCGGCTCTGGCGGCCGCGTCCACCTCGAGGAAGCGCTCTGGCCGGAAGACGTCGGCGTCGTCGCCGAACACGGCCCTCGACCGCAGGAGCGAGTATGTGTTCACCCCGATCTCGACGCCGCCCGGGATGAACTTACCGTCGATCGTGTCGCCCTCTACCGGCACCTTCTTGAACAGCGTGCTCGACGTTACTGGACGCATCCGCAGGCCTTCGTATATCACCGCCTTCATATTTTGTCGTATGACCCGTCAGCAGACTCGAAGCTAAAGAGAGATAAGTGCCCCCGGGAATTTGAGAAAGGGGGCTTCGTACCTGGAGATACGGTAGGTCCCTCGCCTCTGCGTGCCTGATAGGATACGATACCCTCCTCTCCTTCACGGCTGAGGCAATCTCTTCTTTCAGGCGCCGGTATACCAGAGGCGCCGACATGAGATTCAGCATAGTGATCCTTATCACCGAGGCGGTGGTGTCGGACCCGGCTATGAACATAAACGCGGCCTCGACCTCGCACTGGGGCTGCGTGAGGCCGTGGCGACGGAACGAAGCCTACCACCCCGACATGTCAGGCAACAACGAACCATGGCGGGGTTGAAACGTAAATCACAAGCACTCACCAGCATAGTTCCCTCATCCTCGTCAGCATCAAGATGGTACCGCTTCCGTACTGATTCGGCCGCTAGGCTATATCCCCAGCGTGATTTATCTCAGCGATTCCTCTCTCCCGACAGACTCACACGGGTGGGGGGCGAAGCCCGAACGTAGGTACTTACGCCTTGATCTTTCCCAGCCCTTTCGTGTCTGTCTCTTTCGGGGTCAGGAGCCGCGAGCCGAGATACGAGTGAAAATAGAGGTAACGTATCCAGGGGAGGTGGGACATCAAAGACATTGCCGGAAGTGCCTCGCGCATGTGTTCAAAGAATTCGTGGAGGTCCGAGTCGGACATGAGGCATCCAAACTCCTCTCCAGTCGCTATCTTGGCTATGACATCTAGGGTGAAGAGCCCGGCCGCTCGGGCGAGCTCCATGACGGGAAAGTTCCCCTTCTGCGTGATATACTTTCTCCGGATCAAGGCGATCCAGTTACGGATCTGGGAGTCGACGTCCGCCTCGAGGCTCGGGTTGTCGCGGCCATTATACCCGGGCAGCAGCTTCGTCTTCATCCTACCGTGGGTATCCGTATCGGTCATGCTGAACATGGACGGGTGGGTCGGGTCGGTGCGGGTGACAATGTACTGGTCGGATCGTCGGTATCGGCTACGCGTGACAGACATACGGCGGACGACCTCGGGGTCGTCAGTCACAAGCTCATTGGGTCCAACGCGGACGAGCGATCCGTAGTCCCGGGCGAGCATCTCGTAAATAGCGAGCTGCTTCCGGGCCAGGGCGAAGTGCGCGAGCCACAGGTACGAGAACGAGCCAAGGAACGGGCCGGAAATGTGCCGGAGCCGGCACCAGGCGTACACGGCGGACACGAGATACCACCCGGCCACGAGGGCCAGCAGGGCGACCGGCGACCCGACCCAGTCACGGATAGACGCGAGAATCATGGCAAGATATTTAGCTGCTGCGGGAGGGATTGGCGCGTATGGCGCGGTGTATGTTTTCTCTCGGTAATAATACGCCGGAGCAAGGACTCCTCTGCTTTCACGTCTACGTCGGTCACCGTCATATATATGTAGGCGTGCTGTCTCCCCCGCTAGTAACCAGGGCTACCAAGCCGGCTCACCGGCCACGACAAGACCCCGGTATTTGGTGGCCTAGACAGCGATGCAACTCCACGTACGTCGGCGGTTATCGCATAGCAAAGCGAGCATCTATTCGGCGTAGATCGTACGCCAGAAGCCAGATCCAGAGAGTGCGATAGCGCGAGCCTACGGAGCAGCCATAACCTGCAAGATATGCCTAAAATGGTAGATGCCTATGTGAGCTGTCATATTGCCTCCAAGTCCACACAGCGACACGACCCGGCCGACAGCACCACCTATCGCCGACGCTGCGTAAAAGAGACGCGGGGGTTGGATCCCGAGCATATCAGGCGGCTGTTGGCGGAGTCAGACGAGGCGGGCGAGGCACAGCAAGCTCCCTATGCCAGCGAGGGTCTCGAGGCTGTGTGAATATAAGAAGGGGACAGGTCGCGGGCGCGAGGGGAATTCTGCAGAAAAAAACGACAGAAACGGCGCCTCCAAGAGGTGCTTTAGGTCAGTAATGTGCCCAATCACTAGGTATGACGTTGGAAGGGAGTGGATGTTGGACAGCCGCAGGTACGTACCTACTAAACTGGCAGGTGGTGGGTGGGACATGTTTGCTGTGCCTGCACGTAGTAGGTACCTGTACTTAGGTATCTCAAGATGTGCACACCTCCCGCTCCTACCTAGGTACCTGGTACCTACCTGCTCCCCGGCAGGGCAATTGACATGTGAAGAGAAGAGAGAACGCCTAAGTGTACATTAGTGCCCGTACCAGCCGGTACTTGCCGTCAAAGGTACCAGTACGGTGCAGTACAACGGGAGCTCGTAGGCGGGAATGGGGAAAACGTGGGGGAGCAGCACGTGTCTCGCGGAAAGAGATCCTGGAAACCGGCCAACCAGCGCGTTGCCTCGGCCCTTTTTCTCGCTAAGCCGGCGGTCGGGGCGCAAGTACCTACCTAGGTACCTACCCATGTACCCACCTGCCTACCTATCTAGGTACCTACCTCCTAATATCCCCATGCCGTAGGTACGTGGTACTGCCTGCAGGTACTGAGCACCCACCTATAAGCCTGACCCGACCGCCTGCTGTAGGCAGGTAACCTACCTCAGGTACTACCTACCTCTACTTACCCACCTAGGTACTTTATGTAGGCGGCAGGGCAGACGTAGGTCCCACAACATCCGAGGTTCAATGAGCAGCGTTTCCTACGTAATCGAATTCTTCAAAGTCCGAGTCTCCCTACACTATAGTGGTCTCCTACCCTCCGCCTCCAACCTTTCTTCGAGCCTCTACTGTAGAATTCGTCGTCACTTTACCTCCCTCCCCCAGTGAGACCACTTACATTTATCATCATCGTCGTCGTCGTCGTCACTGCCATCGCCCAGCGTCATTGCCATCCCCGCCGTACCAGAGGGATTCCCGAGCCGTGACCAACGCACCTTACGCCAACCAGCAACACTACCAGCGACAACACGAGAAAAAACCCCCCGAACGCAGCAATGGGTGGTGAGCCCCTCTACCCTTTACCTCTACTACTCTTAAGGACAATGAAGAGCGGCGGCAGGTCTCTCAGCACACGAAGAGACAACCCCCCCTCTCTCCCATGATCCCCCAGGATGATAGCGAGAGCCTTTGCTGACAGGTCATCCGACCCCAGCCTTCGAACGATTATCGCAGATCTCCGGCCAGATCGCCGGCTCCAAGTCCGCGAAAGACAAGCTACTCCAGAAGAGCCCCGACGACGTGAGTTTCTCGTTCTGCGCCTCCCTCCTCCGCCCCTTGAGCCGGCTAATCGAAAGCTCCGAACAACACACCCCTTTCCCCTCTTAGCTCTTTACCTTCATCCTTGGCCGACCAACTCTCTCCGAGCCAGGCTAACCCGGGCTGGGTAAAAACAATAGATCGTTGTGACGGCATGCCTTCGCACAGCCTTCACCAAGGGCGGCAAGGGCGGGTTCAAGGACACTCCGGCCGCTGACCTGATGGCCGGAGTCCTCAAGGGCCTCCTTGAGCGTTCCAAGGTTGACCCGGCCCTCGTCGAGGACGTGTGCGTCGGTGAGGTCCTGGCCCCCGGCGGTGGCGCCACCGAGATGCGCGCTGCCGCCCTCGTCGCCGGTTTTCCCGAGACCACCGCTGTCCGCACCCTCAATCGCCAGTGTTCGTCCGGCCTGCAGGCCGTCGTCGACGTTGCCAATCAGATCCGCGCTGGCATGATAGAAGTCGGCATCGGCGCCGGTGTCGAGAGCATGAGCTTGCAATACGGGTATGAATCCATTCCCCCCTGCCACCCCCTGCTACCCCCAGTGTCGATTTATTTCCCAGTGACGAAACACTCCACCTAGCTCTTGAAGGAAATATGGTGGGGAATATAGATCCGAAGCGCTAACCAGACGACGGGAAACAATAGTCCCCAAGCTGTGACGGAGTTCTCTGACCTTCTCGAGTCGCACACCGAGGCCGCTAACTGCAAGGTGCCTATGGGCGTGCTCTCGGAAGACATGGCCCGGGACCTCAACATCTCGCGCGCCGACCAGGACGCCTTCGCCGCCGCCTCGTATCAGAAGGCGTGGAAGGCGCAGCAAGACGGTCTCTTCGACGAGGAGATTCACCCTCTGACGGTGAAATTTACCGACCCTAAGAGCGGCGAGGTCAAGACCATTACCGTCAACCGCGATGATGGTGTCCGCTCCGGAATCACCCCCGAGTCTCTGGGAAAGATCCGGGCCGCCTTCGCCGAGAACGGCACGATCCACGCCGGAAACGCGTCGCAGGTCTCGGACGGCGCCGCTGCCGTGCTGCTCATGCGCCGCAGCACTGCCGAGCGCCTCGGGCAGCCGATCCTCGGCCGCCTCGCGGCCGCCTCCGTCGTCGGTGTAAAGCCGCTGCTGATGGGCATCGGGCCGTGGAAGGCGATCCCGCGGGCGCTGGAGCTGGCGACGGCGAGCGTCGGAGGCGGCAGCGCGCTGACGGTCAACGACGTAGACATCTTCGAGATCAACGAGGCGTTCGCGAGCCAGTGCCTGTGGTGCGCGCGCGAGCTCGGGATCCCCGCCGAGAAAATCAACCCCAAGGGCGGCGCGATCGCCTTCGGCCACCCGCTCGGGTGCACCGGCGCGCGCCAGGTGAGCACTCTGCTCTACGAGCTGCGCCGCCGCGGCCAGAAGATCGGCGTCACGAGCATGTGCATCGGCACCGGGATGGGCATGGCGGCCGTCTGGGTCGCCGAGTAAAGGGGGACGGGTGTATATTCGAAGAAAAAAATGGAGAGAAAGGGGGAGTTTAAGGAAAGACGGTAGCGACAACAGCGGAGACAGGGAGAGGCGCGAGTGGAAAGAAAGGATAACTCAGCAGGAAAGCAGCGGGGAGGCTAGATACGCATACGCAGCCCCGGGACGGCGAGAGAGAGAGACAGACGTCGCCCAGCATGTCGCGCTGCGCTGTACTACTTCTGACTACTACCGATTAGCTTTGACATCGCGGACCTTTGGTCGAAGGAAGTTGAGAGAGGGATCCCAGCGATATCACCGCCGGCAGGTCGAGACAGAAAGAGAGAGAGAGAGGATGCGCCGCAGCGAACCCCCACCAAAACCTACTGACACAGCGACGGATGGACGGATGGACGGATGGACGGACGTGTATGTGGGAGGGCGCTGGGCCGACCGTGTGTACATATAGACATAGAGCACTCCATGTATAGCACGAGGAATCCTCGTGGCGTTTTCACATGTGCGTCCGAACGTTCGTCGGGTACGTATGTATTACTACCTACGTTGCACTCTCTATCTGTCGCCTTAGAATGACGCTCGGTGCACCGTTTTGCTTTTCTGCATCGTGTCCATCGGCGTAGTAAGCGCCTCTTAGTCCCGGGGCCGAGCGTGTGGTGTACGCCCGTGATCTCTCTATGTGTATGTGTGTGTGTGTGTGTGTTTTCACTGCCTCGCCTCCGCCTCCGCCTCTCTCCCCCAACACGCAAGCCCTACCTATTCCAGACTACGGCCGCCAGCCACGCCGTCATATACCTACCCCGTGCTCCCCTCCCCTCGCAGGCGGCGACTAGTTCGGGGGGGATCAGCACTATCACCTCCAGGCCCTCCACGGCGTCCCCCCCCCTCCTCCTCCTCCTCCTCCTCCTCCTTCTCCGGGCGACCTACGAAGCCGGCTCCGGAGCCGGGGCCAGGGTAGGCGCGAGGGCAGCAGGGGCGGACGCGTCGGCGACGGCGGCGGCGGGGGGCGGCGGGGACCCGGCGAACCCGTCGACGCGCGTGCCGACGCCGCGGCGCGCCGCGAGCCGCACCACCTCGAAGCCGACCACCAGGTCCATGAGGCCGAGCCCGACGCTCTTGTACACGACGTTGCCGACGGCGAGCCAGCGCGCGAGCTGGCCGTCGCGGGTGCCGGCCGCGGCGGGCTCGGCCCCGTGCCCCGCCGGCGCCGCCAGGTCCAGCTTCTCGAGCGCCTCGTCGACCGACGACGACGACGACGCTGACGTCGGCGCCGAGGGCCCGGCCTCGCTCGCGCTCTGCTGCTGCGCTGCGGCTAGCGCTTCTTCCTCCTCACGCGCGAGTCGATGGATCATGACGAGCTCGCCGAGTCTGGTGGTTTTGTAGCATTGTGTTAGCATATACACATACGTATTTCAACAGTCGTCGTAGTTGCGGCGCGGGAGCGGAGAGGGGGAGAGGGGAGAGGCAGTTGCTTACTCGACGAGCTGCTTCGGCTGCAACCCCGCCTCGATGATCTCTCCGGCCTCCTTAAGCACGCCGTCGAGGGTGTCGACGACGACGACGCCGCCCTCGGGCGCGTGCCGGTGGTGGTGGTGGTGGCCCGGGTGGTGCGGGCGGACGGCCTGGAGGAGCAGGTCGCGGGGCAGCTCGCGCATGCGCGGGGTGTAGCTGCCGACGGCGACGATGAGGCGGCCCTTGCGGCGGGCGTCGCGGTCGGTCAGCGCGGCGGCGTCGAAGAGGTCGGCGGTGCTGGGGGTGCAGCAGTAGACGACGTCGGAGGCGCGCAGGTGCTCGCGCGCGAGGCGGTCGTACTCGCCGTAGCCGGGGGTCAGCAGGCTGAAGCGGGCCTGGTCCCAGCCCTCGCGGCGGCGCGTCTCGGCGGGCACGCCGTACAGCTGCTGCAGGATGCCGCGCGCGTTGTCGCTGAAGCGCCGGTTGACGATGTACACCTGGCGCACGGTGTCGCCGCGCAGCATCAGCGCCAGCCGCACGTGCCAGTACGCCTGCAGCCCGGAGCCGAAGACGGTGAGCGTGCGGACGCAGGCGCGGCGCACGAGCAGGCACGACGACGCGAGCGCGGTGCGGAACGCGGTCAGCGTCTGCGCGTGCAGGAAGCCGAGCGCCTCGCCGCGCGGCGAGAACAGCGTGACGGAGCCGGTGGGCTTGATGGCGGGCAGCGCCGGGTCGGCGTCGGGCGACCCGACGGTGACGACCTTGACGGCGTGGCCGTACGTGCTGAAGGACGGCATGAACAGCGTGGTGGCGCCGGTGGTGCGCGAGTGCACGACGGTGCGCTCGGGCTGGTGGACCACGCCATCCTCCAACGACTGCGTGCCCGTTGAATACTCGTGCAGGGCATCCCGGAGCGCGGCCACGAAACCCTCGGCCTCGTCGCGGCTGAGGGATTCGAGCAGGCCCCGGATCTGTTCGTCGGACAGGACGGTCAGGGACATGGCAGGCGACTGCGGATTTCGGGACGTTGCCTAGGCGATGAACCGCACAGAGGGATCTGCCCCGATGCTGCGTATGGACATGTATATATATGTGTGTGGGTGTGGGTGTGTGCGTGCTCGGAGTCGTCAGAGTAACGGGTGCGACTCGTGGAATGCACCGGAGGGCGAGCTGTTCGGTGTTAAGACGGCGGTTTCGCAGACATTGCACGACGTCGCACGCGCGAGTCGAGCCGAGATTCGGTCAGGAGAACACGTGTATCTCCCCGGTATATCGTCGATATATGCCCAGCCTCGGAGGGTTACAATGGATAAACGAGCGAAGTTGGTCAAAGACTGCGCGAGCATTCGAAGCGGGCAGCCTCTTGTCAGCGGTCGATAGAGAGCGCCGATACTCGCTCACCCGCTTGGCTTGGCATCGGTCTAAACTCGATGGGATAACATAGGTAAGCCATACCCGACGAATGCACGTGTCAGACCACGAGGCGGCCGCCTTTGGTCTCGGGAGAAAAGGGAGGATTGCACAACGGGCTAGGAAAAGAATCGACGAGAGCCGCATTGAGGCTCGGCCGCCGATAGCATATTGTGGCATGGGAGGTTAAGGTCTGGGTGTCTGCTCTCTGTACCTACCTAATACCTATAGTAGCAGCAGTAGCAGCAGCAGCAGCAGCAGCAGCAGCAGTAAACCATAGCTACCTGTGCCTCCTATTTGTAGGTGCCCAGCCTACTTATTTCCCTCAAGGCGTCGCCCGAGGGCCCCAAGGCTACGGAGCGGTTGTACCTACATCGCCCAGGCTGTTAGGGGGGCCACCGCCTGGAGTGTAGGTACCTCAAGGGTGACCTGGTCCACAGCTACCCCGCCACGGCGGAGATGACGTAAGGCTCCAGAGGAGAGTAAACCAGTTGTCCTCTCAGTACGACTCCGCGGGGAGAGATATTCCAGGATGCCGACACGATCAGGCAGGTTACAGCGTGTTTAAACCACCTGAGAGATTCGAACGTGCCCGAGTCGATATAATGCAAGCATCTCTACACGGCGGTTAGGGCTCGCCCACAGGACTAGAAGAGGTACCTAGGATACCACCTTGGGTGTCTAGGTAGTAAGAGAGGAGCTTACCTGGCCTAGGTAACAGAGGGAGGAGGGGCACTGTAAGCCCGTATTAGCTCCGAGGGTCCGACGAGAAACTATCCTTTTTCAACAACATGAATATTCCACGACCACATATCACAACCACATACTACAGCACCCATACTACACAGCTCGGCCCCGTGGTTCTTCTCTGCAGGCATTCCCTGTACTTTTATTCGGTACGCAGCCTCTTTGCAGAAGGCGGCGTGTGAGTATATATAGATATATACCAATCCAGCTTAATCGCCCGTTCAGCCAACCACCTCTCCGGTGCTCAACGCGTATTATATATACACACGTATATATACGAGCCACAGCCAGCTGCCCTATTCTCATACCGTGGGTAGGCATCGCCGGCCCGACCGACCCCGACCAGCTGACTTAGCCGATCCCATAGTGAGTACCCGTGAGCCTCACCCTTCGGAGGTAGACTTCCCCAGTCACCAGGCGGAATTCCGTTCGGATTCCTCTCCCTCCGTCCCGTTCCACCCGACCCGTCCGTTCCGCACTCGACTCTATCAACGCCGCCCGGGAAAGAAAGAAAAAAAGATAAAAGGACCATCGATTAGGTATATAATCCAGAGCCGATCCCGCCAAGCAAATTCCGCTCGCTCGTCCGCCCGCTCCCTACTTCCATCGTGAATCGTGCCGTGAGTACCGATAGATGATCGCCAATTTGCTCGTAGGCAGTATCGCCAGGTTCAGACGCGACTCCGAAAACCAGGAACACCTTCAACCCCGCTGCTTTTGTCTTTTGCTTTTCACAAAACAAGAAGAATGAGGACCACACGCCGCTCGCGCGCCGGAAGAAGCAAAAAAAGAGGTGATCAGAGATGAGACGACCCAACCGGAAAAAAAAAACGAGAAATCAATCCAATCTTTTAGAGGATGAGGCAGCTGGCCTAGCAGACCTGCATGCCCGCCGCCCCGTCCGTCTGGAAGACTAGGGTCGCGTACCGCCCTCTTACGACCTCGCCATCGCTGCCCACGCTGTGGCCGCTGCGAAGGCCTTTGCCCTTGTTCGTGCCGAGGCCGAGGTCACGGATGCGGCCGCTCGCGATGTCGAACAGGGTGCCGTGAACCTGGAGGCCGCGCTCGGCGACGGCGTCCTGGATCACCGGGTTGGCCATCAGCACGCGGATGCCGGCCTCGACGTTGAGCTCGGCGAGGCGCGTCGTTGCCGCCGTCTTGTCGCCGCCGGCGCCGCCGAGCGCCGTGAGCTCTTCCTCGTGGGCGTGGCGCAGGGCCCGCAACGGCGACAGCCACAGATCGAGCACCCCGCCCACGCGGCCGCCCGCGAGCGTCGCCGCCGCGCCGCCGCACGAAGTGTGCCCGCACAGCACCACGTGCTTGACCTGGAGCTGCGTTACTGCGTACTCGATTACGGCCGACGTGTTGATGTCCGTCGGCGACACGATGTTGGCGATGTTGCGGTGCACGAACACGTCGCCCGGCTGCAGGCCGAGGATCGTCGTCTCCGGGCAGCGCGAGTCGGAGCAGCCCAGCCACACTACGTTTATCGCGTTAGCCTTATCGTTCCCCACCCCGTTTAAATGATCTCGTACGGCGGCAAATTTCCTCATATTACAGGCGTGGGTGATATTTGATTATGTAAGGCGGCCAAGCCAGGGGTCCTGGGACGGTACCAAGAACGAGATCTCTCGGCATTTGATCTTGTGACGCGACCCAAGACCGGGCCGACACCATGCGAGATTTCTGTTGAGTGGGTCTGCCTCATCTCCCTCGCCTCAACACGAATCTTACTCGGCAATATGAGGCTATGACCAAGAGAACGGTACCAAGGAAGAGGGGAGGGCGTGGGGGGAGGGGGCGCCGCCGTTTTGGGATAAGCATGGAAGGGGAAATGAGGGAGAAGAAAAGAGAGGGAACGTACGAATAGCCGGTTTCTGCCCCGTCGCGAGCTTGGGGAAGAATTCAGGGTTCTGGTGGCCTTTGTAGCCGGCCCAGGCCTGGTTCGAGCTCATCGCATAGGCAAATGCATCTTCTGCAGCCACTGGTAAGTAAACGCACTTCGTCCCAGAGAGAGAGAGAGAACAAAACAGCAAACGAAGGAGGTGTGATGCCTGCCAACCCCCCGACCGCCCCGCGAATCTCGAGGCGGGATTTAAGGCTATCTCTCTTTTTTACGAGATGCCGGCCTGTCCAGTCACACACACACGCATATGCCCCCTTCCTTCAGGGTGGATCCAGATCCCAGGGGTGGGCCCGGACCCTCTCCGTTCCCCGTCACCTCCTTTTTTTGGGGCGGACGGGGAATGATTGGTAATGGAGAAAGAGGAAACATAGATGGAAGATGGAAGACGGGTAAGTAAAATTGGAAACACGTACGCTGAGGAGGAGTAGGCATCGCGGAGGGGGTTTGGGGGGGGGAGGCGACGCAGGAAGAGACTAGAGCCGGTCACGCCGTCTCCTTATACGTTATGCGTGTGTACGTATGTGCAATGGGTACCGGCGGCACCGCGAGAGAAATGATCGAATCCGCTGGCGACCCCACGGACGGTATCTGCTGGCGAGAGAGACCTCGAGGCGCCGGAGACGCAGGTAGAGAGAGGGATGGCGGATATGGCCGAATAGGAAGGCTCAAGCCCAATAGCGCAGGTCTTCGAACCAAGGGGGGGGGGCAAGACGGGTGTCTGGGTGAGTGAGTGCTGGGGTTTCCAGTTCCCCCTACTGTCTTATCTTGCTTCTTTTCTTGTTTCTCTTGGAAGCTGTTTGTCCTTTGCTTTTGGTCTGGGCGAGAGCTGTACTACCTTGGCACCACGGGCTTGGGAGACAGGCAGCGGAGAGCGGTATTTGTCTAAGTCGAGAAGAAGGCGGTCCGGCTCGAGTTAGTCAAAACGACGTGGTCGGAGGAGGCCGTGATCGTACGGAGAGGGGATCACACGATGGGCATCTGATGGGAGGAGGGGCACTAGGGAAGGCAGAAAAGGGCCGGACGAGTTCGGGTACGTATGTTATATATATGTGTGCGCGCGGGTGTATAAGTGCGTATATGTATGGTAGTTGTGGAGGTGAGACGACTAGACCGCCTAGGGAACAACAGACGGACCCTGGGACGATAGGGGGCTTCCCTATCTGGGCAGCAGATGGGATGGGGCACCGAGGAGATAAAAATCACACGTACCAAGATCCGAGGGAGAGATGCAGAGATGGATACGACGAGATATGTAAGCAAGTAGATAACTATGGGGATAGATGGACAGGCAGGCAGATGGGGCGGGTGGAAGGGATCACGCAGACTAATAAAGCTGACGGAGATGGGGCCTATATCTCGCTCCCATGTCAGCACGACTTGACTCTGCCATAGACAACAACAAAGCAGACCAGCCTCGCAGCGATATCGAGACAGGTTACATGCGTGCACACACACACGTAGCGACATGATCTTCACCCATAACACAGGGCCGGATTGTCCGAAGTCCGGGGTAGGATAGGCCATGTCTTGCAACAAAATGCCCTGATACAGTACGACACCGGTTAGGTTACGGAGGTACCTCTTCCTGCGACGGCGCGATGAGGGATTGTCCATTCATGATAGTTGTCTGCCCGGAGGTAGCAGTGCGTAACATCCCTCGCCCGGCCACAGCGCTCCTCTACCTGATAACACCCAGGTCGGTAGGCATATTGTGTTATTTTCCGCGGGAGGAAGGGGGGGGCCATCTGACCTCTTCCTCTTCCTCCTCCTCCCTCTGGCTCCTCTCTCTGTCTCTGCTCCTCCGTCTGCTCCTCTTCCTCCCCCTCCTCCTCCTTATCCCCCCCCCTCCCTCCTCGTCTCGTTCGGGCCTATGAGTATGCTGGCTGCTGCTGCTGCTGCTGCGCTGCTTGCTGCGCACGCTCTCGTGTAGGTACCTACCGGTGGCGTACCCGCAAGACAACGTACCATGTGTGGATGGAGAGCGTCTATGCGGTAGGTATACATGGCCTCTACCTCGACCTCGACGGTACTTTGTATCCGTCCGCGGGCGCCCACCAGGCATCCCGCGCAGACGACAACGCGGACGTAGGTAGATGGGATGTACACACGGGGGGGTACGTAGGTGGGCAGGGTTGTGGTGCAGGGCCGGTCGCGTACCACGGATGGCAGGGCTCTTCTCGCAACGGCGAACCTCGAGCCCAGACGGAGGCGTACGCACGCAGCGGTGGTCACGACCGGGGCGCGATGTTGCGCTGCAGATCCAGCATCAGCGCCAGGCGGTAGCAGCCCATCAGCACCGCCAACCAGGCCGTCAGCTACGGGCGCACATATAGTACATACCTATTGAGTACTACGGTGGTATTCCCTAAGAGGAGAGAGAGGAGCGGGGGGGCGGACCCAGTGTGGTCAACAGGCGACGACCGGGATGTAGGCGTCGTCCCGGGAGCTCCCTGGCTCGAAGTTATGGGCTCTCCCATACCCAACGCAGCCTACGACGTACGATGTCGCGGGTCTCGTCCGCACGCTTATGCGGCGCCCTCGTCATGCTGCTGGGAGGGTCCTGATATGGCGAGCGACGGAGATGGCAGATTGGGACAGGACGAAATCACACGATAGACAGTTGTCTCGTCCCAATTCCCAAAGCGACTGCCGAGATATGCAGAGGGATAATTTGGATGTGCAGACACGCGTCGGGAGGTACTCCTTTTGGGACTTGAGTAGGTATTCCTCCGAGGGAGAGTGTCAGAGACAGAGAACGACGAGAGGAGAGTGAGAGAGGGATTTGTTGCCATGCGCGGCAGACGGTAAATATCCGTCCCAACTCGGTTAGCAATCAATCTCAACTAGCTCTTCAGACTAGTAATAGTTACCTATCTAAGCAGGGAGTTCCACTAGTAAAGACAAGTCTCTACGCCGACCGTCTCAACCCCGATGTCACGTCTTAGGTCTTTTAAGCCTCTATCTACCTATTACGTGTAGATATGTAGATTGGGCTACCTTAAGACTGCCTAGTAAGAGCCAAAGAGAGAGGGGGAGACACACGCTCGGTGCCAGCCTGGCCGTCCATAACATACGTGCACGGCATGCATAACTCGAGAACGGCGACGTGCTACTACATAATACCTCCTACCTACCTAGGTAGATAGGTGGCTTACTATATTAGGCATGTCCACGCACGCAGAGAGAGGCAGGCTGTCCGTGCTATTATTAACCGGCGTCGAGATGAGAGAGAGGCAGAGAGAGGCTTCTCCACGTCGCCCTGCCCTCCCCTCCCCTCCCCTCCCTCAGACGCCGGAAGACACACTTACCGTATGTGCGCATGTACTCATACCTACATACCCTGACGGATACACGTATGAGTACGCACGCACACCCGTGCCTCGTGCTCTCACGACCGCATTCCTCGAGGTTCGTTCGTACGTTCGTTCGCCCGAGGATAGCGAGGTACCCGTCCGTACACCGATCCCTACACCCGTACCGAATAAGCGAGCTGGCCACACACGGTACCTACATCCCTGCCTACCTACCTACCTGACCTACTACCTACACGCACAATACGTAGGGACATTACCCAATGCGCAAATATCGCTCACACGTAACGCACCCATTGCCTGCTCGACGCCGCGGGATCGCTTGCACGAACGCCCAGTGAAACCCCCTTTTGCCGTCTGCCCTCGCCAGCCCCCGCCCCCGCCCCTGGTCGCAGGCCTGGCACACACGGGGCGACGACTAATTATACAGAGCTCACGGCAGGGATTGCCGCCTTTAGGGAGCTGCCTACCGACCTCTACATACCTAGGTATGTACATACATATACCTCTGCTACCTGCCGCTACAGTATGTTCGGTAATCACCTCCCCTAGGCACGGGGCACGGGCGCGAAGCGCGATAAGAGGTGCTTAAAGGTGTGTGTGCAGATATACCTACAATTACACAGTACCTACCAACAACCGACCGAGCCGAGCGTAGAGCGCAGAACGCGCCAGTCTCGGGATCGGAGGCTAAGCTAGCTACAGGGAGGGAGACCGCGGTATTATTAGTAGGTCAGTAGTAGCGTAGCAACAGCAGAGGATGTAGACAAGGTAAGGTAGGCATTGTTATTAGTAGCTCGAAATCCCTTTCACCCCCCTCCCCCTGCAACGAGCTCCGCCGCCAGCTGTGCTCGCAGCTGCCCACCGTACCGCCCATACCCGATGGATACCGACGGCCCAAATAACGGGGGGGGATCCATAGACAGGCCGAGCAGCCCGTCCGTTCTATTCCCTTCCCGCTAGCGCGCCGGAACTGATGGGATGGCATCTTCTTGTAGATTTAATCGTAGCTTATTCCCGTGAAAAGCGGTGGCGGCGGGTGGTGCTGGGGCCGCTATGCTGGGTCCGCCCTCGGATCAGGTACAACCCCCATTACCGACATGGCATCGCATCCGTACTTGCATACACGCATTACACGCATCGCACGCATCGCACACCGCGCCACCCGAGGATAGGTATATATACAACAAGAGAGAGTATGCAGACAGCGGGGAGGAGAGATCTCGCCATCCACCCATCCATCTTATCTATCCACTCACGCACATACCACATACTAGGTAGGTAGGTAGGTTGGTAGATAGTAGCTATATGAGTACATAGTAATGTGCTGGGTAACCTCGCATCACACTTCGCTTTTCACGCACCACACTCTTCTTGTCATAGACGCTCGGCGGAATTCTCAGTTCTAATACAGCTTACAGATAAGGTACGGTGCTCGTCTCGATAGTACGTCGACAGCCATAAAAAAGCCTTACGCCTCGTACCTGCTGATAATTAACTTCAAGGCCTAAGTGTTCTCTCGAACGCTCTTCGAAACCACTATATTATATACTTTCTCACTTGATAGGCATCTTCAAGGAAAGCTACCAGTCTGTTTATATCTATGCTGATCTTATAAATCTAACATGTAATTTTAAAAATAGAGGTAATAATAACTTGGACTTCACAATACTTCACAACGTATTTATAACGAAGAACCTAGAGGCTCCTACCGGTATTCTGCCAAAGAACGAGACTGATTTTAAGTCTCGACAGGACATAACCACCCTCTGCGACGCCAGGTAATTCGAAGTACAAACAATAAAAAGAAAAGAAGTCGGCTCGAATCTAAAGTAAATAGCTTAATCAAGACGCTTAAGCGGCTTAGAGTAAAAGAGAATAAGGCTGGGGACTTTAATATAGCCGACAACCTCCTCGCCCGGGGTTTAAAGCACCGATGCGCTTCGTCAAGGCGGCGATCAAGGTACAGTCGCGCAAATGGTCTCCCTGCGCCATCTCGGGGGGGGGGAGGTGAGGTGAGGAGAGGAGAGAAGGAAGGGGAAGGGGGGAGGAACGAGGAAGAAAGGCGGGCAAAGGTCAGCCAGGCCCCGCTTGCCACCCACGCTTCTCTTTTTTTTCACTGCTTGCATTCAGGGTGGCGCTCGTTGCTGGAGAGCAATTCGCACCTATGGCACAGCGCCTGGTAAGGGGTCCCCGCTGGGTTTTAATACGTTTCTAGATATGTTTTGGCTGGAGATATTCACGGTCGGTAGGGGGCCGTGGGGAGCATCGCTCAGCGGTCCGGCCAGACGTGCCCGGCGCACGCCCGCAGCGACCCCACGACTGCCCCCACCAGTACGCCGACTTCTGTGACGCCGTCCGGGACGCCGCCTAGGGCGCGTTGTACGACGCCGTCACCGGCCTCGCGGCTCCTCGGCGCCAGGCCAGTGCACGCCTCGAGGAAGATCCTGCTCGGCTTTTCCGCGCCGGCGTCTCTGGCGCCGTAAACTGGGGTGGTGGCTCCTCAGCCATCGTTACTGACGCAGAGAGGCCTGCTTCTGGGCTCTCCATTCGGCGCCAACCCACTCGCCGTAAGAGGTCGCAGACCAGCCTAACTAGTCCCTTGTACCTCACCCCAACCTCTTAACCTGATCAAGCGAAAACCCAGCTTTATGCCCAGCTTTATCCTCGGGCAGGTATTCCTCACAGGGGTTTTAGAAATTTCCTCTCAAATGCATTTCTAGCCACCGTACTCAATTGTACTCAATTGACTCTTTTACGTATTCGAATGTTGCCTTGAGAAAGTGTCCAGTAATAGGTATATTGAATTGTGGTGATGGTGGGGCAGCTCTTTAGTTGGTGGTGGGGTGTTGTAGTTGCAGCGGTGGCAGATCCAGCCTCGTGGGACGAGGATATAGATAGTTGATATAACAATCGTCTCTCTCTCGCAGACCCGAGTATCATCTTGTACCAAAGTCGTCGATCTCGGCGGAGAGCAGCGGAGAGAAGCCTAGTTAAGCTGCTTCATCTCCGTGCTTGATTCGAAATCATGGAGTGATACCACCGGGGATAAACACTGGCAAGGCAAACCTGGGAATTCAGCCGCCCGGGACTTAGGAACGTTCTGACATTATAACGCTATAGAGACTGTTGGTTTTAGACGACAGACAGATCTGTTGGGTGTTGGTTGTTCAAAGAGACTAGATAGGTAGCAGCCCAGGGGTTTTGGCCGGCGCAAGTTTCTCTGGCCAAGTCCGGCCAAGCGTTCGGTGCCACGCCGTACGGGGACGCACGCCAAGCTAACAGCAAAGGCCGACCCCCACGTGTCAGGCTCCGAGCTTCGTACGAGGTCAAGCTCCAAAGATGAGGCAGGTAACCGGTTAGAATGCGAACTAAGGCCCCAGGAACTAACAGCACAACTCCCCAGCAGTTAAGCCACAATATTAGCCCCTACTCTGCGTATAAGTAATTCACGAACGAGAGATTGAGACGCATCTCGGAATATGGATTTTTTCTCAGGTTTAGGTCTACCAGGCCTGCCTTGCCCTCCCCAACGGCACTGCGACAGAGAAGACTCACAGTTCCATCTCGCGACAGCGGTTAGTCTGAAACAGAGTCCAACCCGTGCTCCTCGATAGACGGCCATTTCGCCTAGGTACTGGATGGCCTCCGCGACAGCCGCTACGGAGGATAAGCGAGAGCTCAGCCGTCTGAGATATGAAGTCGAAAGTTATTCCACCAGCATCCACGATGACGAGGCACGCTTCACCGTTCGCAGAAACGGCAAGGCCTTTTACATCCGCGTTTCGCCGCCCCAATTTGTCAATTCGCCCGCCACGACTGAAAAGTACCTGTCATACTTGGAGGTGCTCAAGTCGGGCGAGGAGGTAATCAACGACATATTCGATACTGACGTCCTCGAGTGGGCCACACAGCCGTTCGAGCCGTTTTTTGCTGAGCTCGCACCGAGCCCAGTGCCTCCCGAATGCTATAAGGACATCAGGGTTACTTTGTGGGAGTCTCTCGACCCAGATGTCATCGTGCTTGCGTTAGATGCCGTAGACGAAGAATTACGACCACGCCAAGTTGAAACGGAACATTCGCCCTTCAGACCGCCAGGTGCCTGGGTCGAGAGCGATTTGCTCGACGACGTGGAAACTTGGACAACCATTTACGATCCGTCTAAGGTTATATTAAGCTTTGACAATCCTGAAGATGCGCTCTTCAAGCCGCCCCGTAAGGTCCTCATCGACGATGGTCAGACGGAGTGCTTCTTTAAGCCGTGCGATTCCACAGTTCAGACTACGAACGAACTCAACGCCTATAAAAAAATCACCGCGGCCGGCCTAGGTCCTCAGCTGCACATATGTCGCCTTTATGGCGTCGTGTACGACCACGGTCTTGTCGTAGGCTTATTACTGACCTATATCGACCATGGCGGCTGTCCTATGTCTTCAAGGGTCGACCCCGATTATCCCCCCGCTCCGGTGAAACGACGGTGGGCGAGTCAGATTGATACCGCCCTCGCGGAGCTCCATAAAGCCGGGATCGTCTGGGGGGACGTCAAGGCCGAGAACGTGCTAATCGACCAAGACGACAACGCGTGGATAACCGATTTCGGTGGCGGCTACACCCGAGGATGGGTTAGCGAGAAGACGGCGGGGACGGTGGAAGGGGACCTGGAGGGCATGGCCAAACTTAGACAATATATATTCCAGGTCGAAGGCCAGGATCGCTGGTGGACGGGTTAGGATGGCCTATGCAGCAAAGGTTGGCTGGCGGTAGGGGGAATGTAATAATACCTGCTTAGAATAAGAAAAAGCCCTCCCGCGATCGTCGGCGCACCTCATAAATGGTGACAAAGATGGCATATGATTATTTGATTTGCCCCGTGTACCTACCCAATATAACGGTCGAGAAAAAGTTTACAGCTACGTTGGAGTTCACGTCTCCAATAAAGGACATCGATGGGTCAATAGCGTATGGTGGCATCAGTTCTGATCAAATCGGGCCCGGATGCGACCACGCTCGAGCCGTATACGAACATCACATCCTTTCCCCCCCTCCATCACTGGCGCCCACATGGAGGAAAAGCTGTGAGCCCTTATTACACAGCCCATGCATAAACCCTCTGCTAGACCCGACACGGGAATTTTATCGCCTACATCACACTGCATATTACATGCCTATGTGTCTTGTCTCTTCGCCTCCTAGGAGAGGAGAAGGCCCCCCCCTACGTATCTGGGCAGGTCCCCAAGCCATAGGCTGGCTGCGCTGCACGCTAGGCAGAGATCCTGGAGCCCGTCGGCGCTTCCAGTCGGCCCCCCCTCTCGCGAGACACAGAGAGAGTACCCTCGCGAGCGGACCCGCGCCCGTCTCCATCCCAGGTGCCCGCCCGCCCGCAGCCAATCCGCTCCCAACGTGTTCGAATTCTTCTTCTGCTTCTTCTCCTCCCCCTTTAACTTAACCCCTGGTCGTCGCCAAACCCTCGCAGCCAACCAACCAACCAACCAACCAACCAAACCAGCCAACGACGGTGGACGGGATTTACCTAGGTACATGTAAATTGTCATATCATGCCAGGGAAAGGTTAGGTACTTGCGGTTGGGTACCTCAGATAGGATACGTACCTAAGTACCTACCCTAAGAGGTACCTGTGCACCTGACATGTGCATAACGGGTGCGCCTATAGGTACCTCTAGCACACCTACATGCCTGCATAACCTTATGCACGCCAATCCGGCACACCTGCCGTGTACCTTCGTACCTATCCAACCCACACAAGCTCCCTCCCTCCCCTTCGCCTCCCCTCTCGCTCTGTCGCTGCGACGACACACCTGCTGGGGCGATATAGGTTACCTACCCTTCTGCCGCCCCCCTCCCCTCCCTCATACCGCGCTTCGCTGTCGCTGCGAGGGCGGTGTGCGAGTCGAGGTCGGTCCGGCAGCATCACGCAACCCAGCGGACGGTTATTCCCGGCGCCTCCCCCCCCTCCCCCCTCTCCTCGCCCCTCGCCCTCAACGCCTCGGGATCGCGTGGGCGGCCGCGCAGGCGCCGTGCGCTGCCGTGCGCTATGTACCCAGGCCGTGTTCATCAAGGCCTGACCTTGCTTCACCCTGCCTATACCTACCCCATCACAGCGCAGCGCATCACAATCCCGTTCCCGTCTCGCGTCCGCGAGGGCGAGACGTCCGTCTGATCCGCTCCTGATCGCCACCCTTCCATCCTTCTACTCCTTTTGCTTTTTTTCCTTCTTTTGCTTTTTTTTGGAGCTCTTCCTTATCATCCCCCCCTCCCCTTTTCTTCCCCTTCCCCCTCTCCTCCCCCCTTCAAATCCGTCTCGTCTCATCCCATCCCGCCACGTCTCGTCTCGTTGTATTCTCGTCTGCCCACCCGTCCCGCATGGGGCGGCAACCAAGGAAGGGAACGGCACAGCGCGGCAACCTCCTTCTCGGGGGCATGGAGTTGACATCTTGCCGTACCGCTCATGTCTGTATGTAGGTAGGTGGGTAATAGATGTGTAGATCCTCACACACGTAGGCGTTTACCTCTGCGGGTGGATTGTAGATGGCGAGCCGTCCTGCGTTATTCCCGACGCTTACGGGTCGAGTCGTCTCTCGTTTGGGACGCGGAAAAGGCGGGAAGTGGAAAAGGGGGGGTGGTGAGCAACACCGGTGTGAGGCTTCAGCTCTCCGTCGCTTGCCCCATATTCCCCCCCCTTCGGCTTAGACATCCTAATGCGGCAATCTGCAAAGACACGGCGCTGCTAGGGTCCGCTCCGCCGGGGCTTACTTGCCTACCAGGTAGCGATGAACGAAAGACATAGCCGTGTGAAATCATTACAAGAGTCAGTCAGCCAGTTCGGGTCGGATCAATCGTTCATTTGTCACATTTGTCGTCGGTGAAACTCTGGGGAGTAGCAATAAGCTAGCTGCGTGCAAATCCATGTGGTTGGTATTCCCTCCTTTTTACCCCCCTCCAACGCCGGAACTGTGCAAATATAGAAAATCTCCGATCCGTTAACCGGTCGCAGCGCCTGCTTAGACCTTGATGGCCTGTTCCAAAGCCTTCTTCTTCTTCTCGATGCGCTTCGTCGCCTTGGCACCCATGATGCCGCCGCCCCAGTGTCTCCGGGCGTTCTCCGCCTTGGGTTGGTAACCTTCCTTGATGGCGCTGATGAGCTTGGACAGCTCGTTCTTGTCCTCGGATCGGACCTCTGTGATGGCGAGAACAGCCGAGGTCTAGGTTTAGAATCGTCAGCTTTTATCCTAGTTAGCCGGATACGATTAACGTGTACCTTCTTGTGGACCACAGTTCCCAGACGGGCCTTGCCCTTGACGATGGCGTACGGAATACCCATCTTTCGGCAAAGTGCGGGCAGGAAGATGACCAGCTCGATGGGGTCGACGTCATTGGGGATGAGGACGAGGGAAGCCTTCTTGTTCTCGATCAGGCCGACGACGTGGTTCAAACCATACTTGACGGCGTAGGGCTTCTTGCTGACGTCCTCCTTCTTCTTGCCCTCCTTGATCGCGGTAGCCTCCTTAACCAGTCGCTCTTTCTTCTCCGCCTTGGACTCAGGTCGGTACTTGTTCAGGAGCTTGAAGGCCTGGGCGGCAGTGTTGCGGTCGAGAACCTGCTGGAACTGGGCGATCGCCGGGGGCACCTTGAGACGAAGGTTGATGATCTTCCTCTGGCGCTGAAGGCGGACATACTCCGGCCACTTCACCATGCGCGAGAGGTTGCGCTTGGGCTGGATGTCCTGGCCGATTCCGTAGTTTCGGGGCCGCTTCTCGATGAGAGGGTTCTGACCGTCGTGTCAGCTTCACCAGGCGAGTCGATGAGAAGGAATCGCCGGGGAGACCTGTGAGTAACTTACCTTCGGCGCCTTCTTCGAGGCCTTGGAGGCGAAGGGGGCCGGAGCGGCCTTCTTACCAGACTTAGGAGGCTATCATTGAGAAGAGAGACATCAGCAAATGTGATCCATTGACTGTAGTCTTTCTTGAACTCTAGAGAGATGATGGGGAGTGGCATATTCTGCACACTGCACCAAACATCTCAAGCCAATTCTTCACCTGCGTCCGGAGACGACAGGCGGAAAATGCACGACTCGACAAGCGAGCGCCATTGATTTGATCCCATCAAGTGCGGGAAGCACGTCGATATTCATCAAACTCGGGCATAATGAGCTTACCATATCGGCGGTTTAGTCGTGTGGTCGTGGGCCGGAGAAGTTGACCGAGTTGCTGAGGATGTAAAGGGAAGAAGTTCGAGTAAAAGCTGGGGATCCGAAGTAGAAATTTGTGCGTAGGGTTTCCTTCGTGGGGGCTGGCTAAATATCGGCAAAACACTTAAGTATGTTAATTGGCTGGGAAAAATCGTGGGTTCGATTACCTAACTATCGCTTTGCCCTTGAGGCGATAAGGCATTTCAGTACCTATGAGTCGTCTCAACTCCCCCAACCTTTGCTGAGCAACATCGGGACAGGATCTCTGATTGAGCGAGCTCCTATCTACAACTAAGCAAATGTTGAGTCAACGCCAAAAAGTCGCCTGGTGCTCTTTACACCGAATATTCGATCCTGGTTTTCGCCTTTGAATACTACATACCCGTCTGCACTTGCACCGATCCTTGGTGGAGAATGCCTCCCGCGCTCTGCGCCCTCTGCAAGACGGAGCGGGCCCTGATCAAGCGGCCGAAAAACCACCAGAAACTCTGCAAAGGCTGTTTTATCCGGATATTCGAAGACGAAATCCACCACACGATAACTTCTTCACAACTTTTTTATCCCGGGGAAAAAGTGGCCATCGGCGCATCTGGCGGCAAGGATTCAACGGTTTTAGCCTCGGTGCTGAAGACGTTGAATGAGAGACACAATTACGGAGTCGAGCTAGTACTTCTCAGCATCGATGAAGGGATCAAGGGTTACAGGGATGACTCCCTAGAGACGGTCAAGCGCAACGCCATACAGTATGACATGTCCCTAAAAATAGTCGGCTACGACGAGCTCTACGGCTGGACCATGGATCAGGTCGTCGAGACTATCGGCAAGAAAGGCAACTGCACGTATTGCGGCGTCTTCCGGCGGCAAGCACTGGATAGGGGCGCCAAGTTGCTAGGGATCAGGCACGTTGTGACCGGCCATAATGCCGACGACGTCGCTGAGACCGTTATGATGAACCTCCTCCGGGGCGATTTGCCGCGCCTATCTAGGAGCACGAGTATTGTTACCGGTAGCGACGCTAGTGAGGTCAAGAGAAGCAAACCCCTCAAGTACACATACGAGAAGGAGATTGTGCTATACGCGCATCACAAAAAACTAGACTATTTCAGTACCGAGTGCATCTATAGTCCCGAAGCCTTCAGGGGCAGCGCTCGCGCTCTAATCAAGAACCTGGAGAAGGTTCGCCCGAGCGCGATTCTCGACATCGTTCGGAGCGGCGAGGACATGGCTAGACTAGTCCCCGGCGCCGCGCAAGACGCTTGTCGCTGCGAGGGGAAGAGTGCTGCTCGGCAAGATGCGACGACTGAGGAAGACAGCGTGGGTGGTTGTGGATCGGCGAATAACGGATTGGGTGGTAATCAGATGGCAGCAATGGAAAAGCAACTGAGGGAAAACGAGGCAGCCGAGGCCGCAGGGCTCGAAACAGAAATCACCGTGTCTGGGGTTGAACCAGGTCAGCGCCCCGACAAGCCGAAACAAGCCAAAGGCTACGCGAAGACAGCAGGTATCACTCTTCCTATCAGGCTGAAGCAGAAGCTCAGGAAATGTGAGAATTGCAGCTATATGTCGAGCCAGAGGCTATGCCAAGCGTGTATGCTCCTCGAGGGATTGAATAAGAACCGGCCGGATATCACGATATAGATAAGCTTGGGAAATTGCTGGCGTTTTGGTATGCTTAGACCTGCGAATACAGGATAGGAATGATACCCCAAACGAGAATTTAGAGGGCAGTTAGGAACAAATAGGATTACGATCAATGCGGATTTGGTTAACTGCCATGATGTACTCGTCGACTTTGTACAAAAGAGGGTTGGTCAGCCACGTAATGCGTTTATTACCCTTCGTCCCTCGCCGTTTGCGTCCTTCATGAAAAGCGCTTCTCGACCTAGACATTGTTGTGTTAGCGCCTTGAAACTCTGTATTCATTGGAGAGACATACCCTCCACGGGTTGTTCAGCTCGAAGCCTGCCGGAGCGAGGGGCGCATCGCTCTGGCCTCGTAGTGATCCAGTCAATCGGCGGTCTCGGTTCATCACTGCGGATAATCGCGTTAGACCTACGAACGCTTCGCATCTAAGCTGTCGCCTCATACTTTGCCTATCCCATTGATCCACCGACCGTCGCGGCCTCTTGCCCCCGTTCTGCCAATTTCTGAATTTTGAGAGACCGCCGCCAGTCACGCCGAACATCTAGCCACACGACTTAGCACCCAGGTCGTCTTTTGCGAATAAGGCGCGGGAATTCCGCTGATTGGGGGCAGGAGATCCTTACGGCGAGGATGATCGCGTAGGGAAGCAAAGCTTCGAACGGTACACCCATTGCGACGGATTGCGGTCCAATTCCAGTGTGTGTCTGCGCCCCGTCCCTGATTTTGTGAGCCCCGCGTCGATTCGATAATGGTCGACCGGAGTATGGAGTCCTCGCAATGGCTCGCGGCCACTTCTCCGGCTGATGGATCTGTCGGTAGGGGTTCGTGACAGTATATGACGAGATCAGGTTCGGTAGGTTAACGATGGGATGACGAGGAATTTGGGCTTTACCTAAGCTTTGCGGTGGAGATGCTTTGATTAGGTAACATACGTAATCTGGTAGTTAAATACCTAGGTAGGTGGGGTAGACGAGCCAATCACCACTCGGTATTGAAGTGTTTATGTAATGCGAGAGGAGAGGCTTTACCGTACATGTACCCTATGCTACATAATTTGCGTACACGATACATACAAGTCACCTCGTAGGTTGCTCTTCTCCACTCTTCGAGCTTGGCGGATGACTAATCGGAGATTACACGGTCGCGGGCTCCATCAGCAGACTACACCACCAATATTTGTGAATATCCACTCGAGACCGCATCGCATCAAATGAGCCAACCCATCATAGCAAGTTGCAGTCATCACCGGCTTCGTAACTCTTCCAACTCCCTATTTCCTCACCGAGACGCGTCGATTATCTCGCTGACTCGTACTGTCTTATCACTGCAGCCAAGCATCCCGCTTAATCCCGACATCTGGCGCGTCTAGCTTCTGCCGAACACCTTGTCCTACAGCGAGAAATCCCCGATGTCCTGCGCACCGCGACGATCTGAACGCACGACCAATTACATTTATCCCCCTGCGGACTTCATATGTTCATAGGATACCCTCCTGCTGTTTGAGCCAGGCATGCGACAAGCTCGTTCATGACGTGAAGTGGCGTCGGTTGGAGGCATCAGAACGTCACTCGCCACCGAGAGTCCGCGCGGGATACCCTCAACTTATGTATAACACACCCTTCGATACACCAGGTGTCTGCTTCGCTAGATTTCCGTCCCTCGATCCTCCCGTGCTGATATAACGCGATGGCAAACGCACAGCTTATGCAAGAAGAGTTACAACAAAGCGTAGTCTTGTCGGAAGAGGACGCCGAGTTTGAGGAGGAATTACCTAACGACACCGTTATGGCGGACGACGTCCCCCTCCTCCCCGAAGGGCCTGTAGTAAATCCATTACCAGCAGAGGAACATGATGAGACCGAACTCCACAACGATGGAGATTCCGACGGTCAAGGTGATAGTGAGATCGACACAGTACTCATAGAAGATATTATGTCTCAGGACGATGAACAAGGCGAGCTCGAGCGTGTACCAGATGATGGGGACGACGGCGGCCCGGACGAGGAGGAGCCGAATAGTGACGGTAGCGACATCCATGACGACGACGACGACGACGTATTTGATGTTGATGCAGAGGGCGAGGAGGAAGCTGAAGATGATGCTGCCCCCCCTCAACTCGATCCGACCGCAGGTTCTAGTGACGAGGACGATGATGCAGCTGTGGGTGCAGCCGAGGACGATGAGGATGAAAACGAAGGGGTCGGTGCCGTGAAGATCAAGCCCGGCGAGACCGACAACGAAGACAGCGAAAGCGACGACGATATCAGTTCAGCCTCAAGCTCCAGTGATCACGAATCGGCAGCGGAATGGGAAGAGGTCGTAGATAATGACGAAGACGAGGACTCTGATGCGGTCGATCCCAATAACTGCATATTCTGTAAGAAAGACGAGGAGCACGATCCAGGGGAGGAATTCGAGGCTTATCTCGCTTGTAAGGGGTGTGGTGAACACGGTACGTCACACATTGCTACGATAGCTTCGAGGAGGGCAGCATCGGGCTAATTTGCCGTGTTTGTTTAGCCCACCAGCAATGCGCGCGCGAACATCAAGCTCTCGTCGAAGGAAGTGGTAAGTTTTAGGCGCTATACGTCTCTCCTTTCTCCCCGCATCACTAACATCTCCCCGTAGGTCCGTCAAACTGGAAGTGTCCAGAATGTGCTGGCGATGATGCGGGATCCGACTCGGGTGCGGAGGACGCAGAAGGCGATCACAACATGAAAGTAGTGTTAAGTGATGTTGTCGACGATAGCGACTTGTCGCCAACGTCTCCCAGTCGGGCGTCCGCCCCAAAACTTGCCAGGGACCTCCTCCCCCCTCAACGTGGCGTGAATAAGCCCGACGCTCACTCCGTCTTCAACCAACTTGTTCTCGACGAAGATCCCATGGATGGCTCGCGGGTTTTGAGGAAGAGGAAGACATCTTCAGTAGAGGCCGACGACGAGGTGATGTCACTAAGAAAACGGAGGAGAAACATAACGGACGAGTCTGTCCAAGACGAGTCCGTCCAAGACGAAGTCGCCCCCGAGAAAGCGAGCACGGTCGAAACCCCGATTCGGCCACGGTCAGTACGCTCGTTGAGGCTTAAGGTGCCAAGCCAAACCTCCTCGTGTACCATCGTCAAGAAGTCCCGCTCCAGTTTGATAGTCAAAATGCGAGTAGACAGCGCGGATCTTCGCCTAAGGCTTTCACAGAAACCCAGACCGCAAAAAAAGCGAACCGGCAGAGCTACTACATCCCGATCGTCACGGAACGCAAGGTCGGCGCGTACCGCGGCCGCTGCAGAACCGACTCCCACCATGGCACCATTCTTCCCCTCTAGCTACTCCCAGCCTTTCTATTCGTTCTTTGACAAGGAAACGGATGAGCTAAAGGGGAAACCTTACGGTGGCATTTTAACCGAGGAGCAGGCCGATACGACGAAGACACTGCCAACAAAAGATGACCGGCGCCGGTTTGACGAAGCCAAGCAGAAGGCCGAAGAAGAATGGAGGAATAGGTTGCTGGCGATGCAAGCCGTAGCTGAGGTGCCGGTGAAGAAGTCCAAGAAAACCTCGGGTCCGGCGAGTCAAATCGAATGCATCGAATTCGGAGGTTGGGAGATAGATACGTGGTACGCAGCACCGTATCCCGAAGAGTACAGTCGCAATCGGGTCCTCTACATCTGCGAGTTCTGCTTGAAGTACATGAATTCCGACTACGTCGCGTGGCGGCACAAGCTCAAGTGCCCCGCGAAACACCCTCCAGGCGACGAGATATACCGGCACGGCTCGATCTCATTCTTTGAGGTTGACGGCCGAAAGAATCCGGTCTATTGCCAAAACCTCTGCCTGCTGGCCAAGCTTTTCCTCGGCTCCAAAACGCTCTACTACGACGTTGAGCCATTCTTGTTCTACGTGCTCTGCGAGTACGACGACCTCGGCTATCATTTTGTCGGTTACTTTTCCAAGGAAAAGCGCGCCAGCAGCCAGAATAACGTGAGCTGCATTCTCACGTTGCCTATACACCAACGGAAAGGATACGGCCATCTGCTCATAGACTTTTCCTACCTCCTAACCAAAGTGGAGGAAAAGACGGGATCCCCCGAGAAGCCGCTCTCCGACATGGGTCTCGTATCGTATCGTAACTACTGGAGGTTGGTCATCTGCAAGTATCTCATGGAGCATATGCCCAAAGATAAGTTTCAGAAGGGCATGAGTATCCGGCAGATATCCGACGACACGGGGATGACGCCCGACGATGTCATCTCCGCCCTCGAAGCACTTCGATTTCTTGTACGGGATCCTGTCACCCACGTCTACGCGTTTCGCGTAGATCTAGCCTACTGCCACAAAGAAGTCGCCAAATGGGAAGCGAAGAAGTACGTCAAGCTGATTCCGCGGAATCTCACTTGGACGCCGTACGTTATGGGTCGTAGCAACGCTACGAACTTTGAGCTTGGCCCCGCCCTGAATACCATCGCACCTCGCGAGGAGGATGAAGATTCCAAGGCGGTTCAAACGCTCGCAGAGAGCGGTATCGCCACCGGCGATTTCGCTATTGCTCCGATGTTCAATCATAAGCCTCCTGAAGTAACCGATTCATCCGTCCTCGAATCGACAGAGCCGAACGATGATGCCCTCGAGACGAAGGAGAACATCCAGATTAACGGTGTTGACAAGGACAGTGTAAAAGTTCCCGGCGGTCGACAGGAGGATCCAAACGTATCGACCGGTACCGGCGCGAGCGCCCTAACGGATGACGAGCATGGATGGCAGAAAACGTACGAAACGATTCCCGTCAGTAGATTTCAAGTCTTCCCTCCAATTAACAACAGACGGACCGCCCTGTCGCGCATACACTCGACGCTCCCCAGGCCGCCGCCGCCGCCACGTCTCCCTCCTCCCAGTGTACGGCGGGCCGCGCGGCCCAAACCCCGGCGCTCGACCGGCGGTTCTAGCGTCCGCAAGTCAGCCCAGAAGGCCAGCTCCGGTAAGCGTAAGCCCGGCGGTACCGGCAGGGGCCCGGGCCGATGGCCGAAAGGCACCAAGAAGAGTGATTACGGCAACGCAGATAGTGGACCCGGCCTGCCGCCGGCGTGGATCGAGCGAGAGAAGCAGCGGCAGGCCGCACTGGCGGCGGCAAAGACAGCGGACGCAGACCAGGACGCGGGGGCCCAGGCTACGGGAGACGACGAGACCCAGGACACGGTCCGGGTGCAGGTCGCGGTGGCCCAAGGTCTGCCGAAGGGCAAGCCGTCCGTCGGCTCCCCCGAGATAGAAGTCACAGTCGGCGTGGCGGTCGCAACCAGAACTGAGGCCGATAACGACGTCCAGACGCAGGAAGGCGACGCCGGAGAAGGCGACGACGAGCAGGACCATATGCAGGAGCAGGACGTCGCCATGACAGACGCCGGCGCCGCAGAGGAAGTGGGTGTTGACGTACAGGTCGAGCTGGCGTAAACATAGAAACACGGCACGTCGTGGATCGCGGTCTGCGGCTGGGCTCGGGCATGGCGTGATGCTCATTTTCGAAGAAACCTATAACTTAAATTATTCCCATCTGGTTCTTGTTTTTCTCCCAAAGGCGATATCACACCTAAACAGACGGACGCCAGTATGGATAGAACCCCCTTCCATACCCTCGTCTGTTTCTTTGATTTCTTTTTGGTTCTGTTCCGCCCGCGATTCTTTATACCCATCGTCAATCCTTCCACAGCCCCCTCCTTCTCCTCGCCTGCCCAGGGCTCGCGAGTAGGGCAGTGGTGACTTCAGCCTAGGTTAGGGCGAGTGTGGTGGACGGGGGGCGGCCGGGCGGCCGGGCGTTTGCCAGATAGGGCATAGGACATAGGGAATAAACGAGCTGAGAAGGTAAGGGTACAGGGGCGAAGGGGAGTTGAGTTATACACCGAGGCTTGAGAATTCGGATCTGAGAATTAGGTGAAGGAGAGGGGGCGTCTGGCGAAATACTCACAGTAGGCGCAGACGCACGTAGGCCTATGCGTGTGTATGTAGATGGGCGTCTGTTTATGCGCCACACCGTACCAACAGGCCCCCGTAATGTATATGTGTGTACGCACCCGCCGTGCAAATGCATGTGCGGCGAGGACATGTGCGGGTCACGCACGCGCGGGACCCATGGCCTGGCTGACCTGACTTGCACGATCAGGCGTCCGTAGGTTGCGGGACGAAGAAGACATGATAATACTTCCTACCTTCGGCTGTTCCGTGATTTGGTAGAAAAGGGGGCAGGGGCTCTCAGACACATAAGGGAGGCTGGCTGGACCTCAGTTGACTCCCTCTTTTTCACTCCGCACTCTTGGCAGCGCGTCCCTCTATATACCAATTACAAGGACCCCCCGGGTTTCGTGCCGCTCATTCCCGTAGTCAGGTCGTTATGATAAGCGCAGCTCTGCCCGTCCCTGTTAGTCATATAGTAGTATATAGAGCCTGGCTTCGACTTTGACGGAAGGAAACATGATTCCTTATCTCTCATCTCATAACCGAAGGTCTTGGATATTATCGCTGCTTAAATCGATCTGGACTGAGCGCGAAGGCGCCTCTTCATCCTTACATAGTATGTGAGGGTTACGGGAATCATCCTTTACTACACCGGTGCCGATCTATATGCCCGCCGTGACCCCACGAAGTGCGCCCGCTTCCCAACACCGGCTACGGTGAATACATTATATCGGGCGCAAGCTGGTCGCCGTCGAAATAAAAGTTTCTCCCCAGGAGATCGTAAACGTAGTTCAGGCTCCCCTCCGATTCCTCGGTCTGATCCTGGATCAGGACCCGCACGTGGGCGGCGAAAGCGGTCCTGTCGGTCTGCTCGATCGGGTGCTCGCCATCGCGCCACGCCGCGAACATCTCGTACTCCTCGTACTCCTTGCAGTCTCTGTCGTCGCTCAGCTTGTCCTCGAAGAGGACGTTCTCCCGCAGCTGCCACCGCACCGTGCCGTCCCCCTGGCCCGTCGTCTTCCACTTCCGCAGCGCCTTACATCGGCTCCCGCCGTCGGCCATGGCGAACCGCACCGTGAAGTGGACGAGCTTGAGATCCGGGTGGTGGTGGTTCGACTTCAGGTGGTATCCTCGAGGTCGGAGCCCCGAGAGCCACCAGTGCCACGACGGCCTCGTCATCCGGCCTGCGCGCGATTAGAGCTCGTGTACGGCAACTCGCCTGGTAGCAGCTGGTGCGGAGGTTCTGATCTGTCGTGGGCAACTTAGGAAACTCACCTGGATTTGACGTCTCAGAGAAGACTGCGGTTTCTGTGAACTGCCCGAGGAATTTGTTCACAGAGAGGTTCCAATCGAGGAACCTGTGTTTGAGGTGTTTGGTCACCTCTAGCATGTTAAAACTGGCATCAGTGTTGGCATGCAGTTGTCCAATCATCCATATTAACGGCACCACGCCGAGCGCGGCGTCGTTATTGCCGCCAACGTCAGTATGTGAGCCTAGGAACCAACACTGTCTGGCGTAGGTGTCCGCGGATTCCTTGGATTCCCATATGCATGGCTCGAACTTCATCTTGGCCTCGTCAAGGGCGAGAGCCTGGAACGCGTTCTCGACGGCCTTGGGGATTTCCTTCCCCACGAAGGACAGGGGCCTTGGCCATGGCATTGGGACTGCCGAAGCGCTGACTGTATCCCAGACGGCGCAGGCCTTGATCTTAACCTGGTGTAGTAGGCCCTCGTTACGGAACCTCGTGACATATTTGTGCAGCTTGTCTCTTACTATGTTCCTTTGGTTCCGGCCTAGACGCCTGAAGTTCTGGTTCTCCCACAAGGCGAGCATACCACGGAGGTAGTACAAGTGCTGCTTCTGAAACAGGCCGACTTGGCTGATGAAGGAGGCAAGGCATTGGACGGCGAAGGCTCCTCGAGAGAATCCAACCAGGAATATCTCGTCCAGGTCGTCGCTGAAGTTGTAGTTATGCGAAATGAAGCTATAAGCATTCATAATCTTGGTCGATATGTCTGACAAGTGTTAGCCGGCGAGTACGCAGGCGCCACGCTCGAGGACGAGGTCAGCATTACCTCGCCCGGTTGCACCGTCGATGAGTTTAGCGATAGGGCTGGACGCACTGCCAACTCCGTTGTCATAGTAAACCGTTTGGAGATAGTCGTCATCGGCTACACCATTCAGGCACCGGGCAAGGGTGGCTACATTTGTCAGGGGACGATTCGCATTTACGCCATCCTGCCGCGTGCCGTCACAAAATATGAAGAGCCTCTTATGTACTTGACCATTCTGTCCAGCAGCTTTCTCGTCTAGGCGATCAGAGATGGGATCCATGGAGAAGAGAGAGAAGGAGAAAGAGAGAAAGAGAGGGAAGGGGAAGGGAGGGGAGACGGGAAAGGGGGCAACGGATTGTCAGACGGCTAGCGTGATCAACCGCTACATAGTATGAAGTCGGGGCGGTTGGGAACGAAGGAGACTTTCCTAGAGCCGAGTGTCTGACGGTGCCTGAATTATTATTATAGGATCTGTGCCAAAGGCGTAGGCAGCTTGTCCAGCTGGGCAATGGCCCAATCGGATGCCCTACGAGCCCAGTAATAAACGCCATCATCCAATGCGTGGCGGACAACAAATCCAACCGCGGAGCACACGCAGTCGCCAACCAGGGGCGCAACGTAGGTACGCACGACGGGCGCAGCAGAAGCCGGAGGCAACCTCTATCAGCACGGCTCTAGGTTGGCGTGAAGAGGATTGGAGAGGTGAGAGAGGACCGGGCCGAGGGACGCGACCCCTGCTCAGCCAAGCAGTTACGCGATAGATCACACATCAGTCGTATAGTGTAACTGCGTGGGCGCAGAGACCTGGCTGGGTAATGCCTATATAACAAGGTAGTATATACATATACATGCACACGCACACATCAGTATGTTGGTTGTACATATGCTACGAACATGCAATACCTACCTATTACTTAGACGAGGCAGATGACATTCCCACATACATATGTAGAGAAAGGAAGGGTCCCATATCATGTCGGCCTTTGGTACGCACCCTACAGCGTGTGGGGGCTACGAAACCCGTCGCGCCTAATACGCCGAGGCCATTGGCGTGTCCACGATGTCGGGGACCTGGTTTATGGAGAATCGCGACTGAGCGCGGGGATGATCTCTCCACCAAGCGTTTATTTTCATCACAGGCTCTGCCTGAAGATTCCCTGGACCATATGCGTTCGACTGCTATCGGCGCTGGTGCTGTCGAACCAAGTGTACAGCATCGAGACTCAGTAGCGGACAGTTCGCGAGCCGGAAGACCACCGCGGTTTCGATGCAGGGGCTGCTTCCCAGTGATCTGGGTAGTAGCTAGTTGCGGGAGTCTCTCTGTGGGTATGTATCCCGGCTGCCTACGTTCGCGATGTACCTATATCATCTTGCGGAGACCGAGCGCTTCCAGACCATATTAGACAGGCTGAAAACACGCAAGCCGCCGTTTCTCACCGCACGGGAACTGGTTTATATGGACCAGTGGATATAGTGTATACCTACATGTGAGCTCCTACAGAACGAAGTTGCCGAGAACTGAAACGTGCATCTTCGCCTAGAAAACGCGGCCCTCTTCAGAGTAGGCAGATAGATGTACGTGTCGAACACCAACCTGGTCAACCAGAACTCCGGGAAGAAGGCCAAAAGGATCACTAGGCAAGCCTTTGGGCCATACCAGAGAGAGAAATTATGGACAAGGCCATAGATGCTCTGATAGGGTTGCGGGGTGCTAGTTATCCCACGACATCTCATCTTCCCTCGATGCCAGACCTCGACAACGCACCCTCCCTCTCCCAACCACTGTACCCGCAGACTCACTGGGACTAGACGCGCGATCGGGGGGGTAGGAGCGCAGACGGAACTCGAAGACGCATGAATCTCCGCTCCTACGGGTCGAGGCGCCGAGGGAAAGCCCGTCAGCCAACGGCATTGAGCGTACAGCCGTCAGAGTAGAAAATGTGGTCTTTGGTGGTAGGTAGAGTAGGAGAGTAGCGCTAGGTGCGAGCTCGCGCAGAAGCTGACTGTCGTCGACGAGGTGAATCGCGGCGACGCTGACAGCGGCCCTGGTGGCGTCGGATGGCTGGGAGTAACTCGGATCGGACTCGAGGGGGCGGGATACGGGAGAGGCAGTGGTTGGTAGATTTGGGTCAGAGCTTGGAGGGCTATGGACGTGGGAGGAGGAAGATTCTACCCGATGATTCGCATTTAGGCAATGCTCCGTCGGGTAGGTGATGCTGGAGTTAATAGGTAGAACACTAAGGTAGTTGGTTCGTCAGTTTGTGTGTGTAATGTTGGATTCGGCCGACTCAATGGTGTGATTACCCCTTGCTTAAAACTGGATATGTCTTCTCGCCCGTGGCCGCGTAACGTTTCCTGCGGCAAAAACGACGGATTTTAATAAATGAACGTCCCTAACTTAGTAGCTGATTCAAAAGCTACCAGGACGTAGAGTTATGAAAATCTATGAACGCGGAGGCGACGCCGTAGAACAACTCGAAGCTCGGCCCGGCCTCCTATAACTTACTCGTTAGGTTACCACATTAAGCCCAGGAACGCAACACATATTGATATACTTCTCTTCTGGCCCAGAGCTCCAGCGAATTGTCCTTAGACCTAGGTCTACCGGAGCAAGACATGGTCCTAGATCTGGATCCTAAAGAGATGATCCCCTACGGCACCTGAAGCCGCCGCCACCGGAACCGCTAGCAAATCGTGGACAACTCCATTCCTACCCCCTAAGATAATTGCAGGTTTACATACCATTAGTTTACGAGCTGGGTTGCTCTCGAAATCGCCTGATAACACCAGCCAAATATGTAGTGGCAGACATGAACTTTTCACCGTCCACCGTCATCTTACCCCTAAAGCATGTATACACTCAGCCGCACACCTCAATCTCACGCTCGTGCTTACAGACCTCCCCTCCCCCCGGCTCTTTTCTGAGAGTCCCTGCTCGGGAAAGCAGTCGAAATCAATAGGCTCGATCATGTCGCTATTGGACTCAAATTCTCTGCTGCGGGATGTCAGCAACCTGGGATGACAAACATCGGGGTTGGGCATCACGGCGGTTCACATAAGTCATGTTCGTTTGTTTGATGAATCCCATCATGCTTATTGTCGTGAGATCTAGCCTTACCATAACAACCAAATCCGGAATGTTGACAAGCGAGGCTACGTAGCTTTACAGTGATGACCCTCGAGTTCAGACCTGCTAGAGGTAAGGGGACCTGCACACAGTCATCAAGCCTCCGATACTCTACCCATCGCCGAATAGCCGCTAAAGTCTCGTTCCCCCGCCCCTCTCACCCTGTCTTTCTCTCACCGCCGAGCTCTCGGGAACCAGAAATCCCTCTTCTCTACGGCCTGGCCGCAATCACGCCAACCCAGGGAGTAACGTCCGTTCGTCCATCCAATCTGCGAGATCTAATCCCCAAAGGGGGGGAAGAGAGAGAGAGAGGCCCCACCAGCCAGCCAGCCGGCTGGCTAGCTCGGATGAACATACAAAAAAGGGCAAGAAGACGTATATAAACTACCTCGACGAGGTGAACGAGACCCTCACCGTCGCGGCGTCTAGAGACGGTTGTACCTGCAGCGGCGGCAGGCCATGATGCGGCACTGTCGGCACTCGTAGATGAACAGCGGCATGACGTCGTTGCACTCCTCGCACTTGCGTGGCCCTCTACGGCTGGTCCAGCTCTGATGGTTGCATTCGTGGTTCACCCTGAGGTGTTCCATAAGCTCCCGGACTCGCAGCTGCCGGATGCGTTCTGCTTCTGCTTCTTCATCATCTGAATCTGAATCTGAGAATTCTAGCTGCACGGCCTGTCGCAGCGCGGCCAATTCTAGTTCGAAGTGTTGCTGTCCGGCCCGTTGCTGCTCGGCTTGCCGCCGCTCAGCCTCTCGTTGCTCAGCCGCCCGCTGCTCGGCCAGCCATTGCAGGGGCCGCGCGAAGATGCCTTGCGCGGGCTGCCGCCGCTCAGCCTCTCGTTGCTCAGCCGCCCGCTGCTCAGCCGCCCGTTGCTCGGCCGCCCGCTGCTCGGCCGCCCGTTGCTCGGCCAGCCGTTGTGCAGTTTGCTGTAGCAGCGCGACGGTGCCTTGCGCGGGCTGTGGCCGCGCAGCTGGTCGCTCTACGAGTCTCTGCTCGACCGGAGCTGCCCGGTTCTGCGCCGCTCCTCTGGCAGCTGCGTCGCGGGCGTCAATCTCGACGGCGCGCTCGTATAGGCGACGCTCTTCCCAGTGCTCGCAGCGACAAGACTTCCAGCGAGCGCCGCAGACATAGCAGAATTGAAACCCGCACCGGCAACTATCGGGGGCATGCATAGATAAGCAATCGATATGGGAAAACAGGAGCGGTTAAAAACATCTTCGAAAACTCACGTCATGTGGTAGCAGCCCATGTTCAGCTCGACCATGCCCCAGCAGTTCTGACAGCGCTGCCAGCCCTGCTGTCTGGCTAGCTGGATGACCCCCTGGAGCTGCTCGTCATTCGGGCAATCCCCGCCGTGATGGGCGTTCTTGCAGGTTATGCAAGTCTGGCGCCGGCACTCGACGCAGGTGGCCGTATCGTCGACATAGTTTGTCTGCGGGATGAAGGCGCCGCAGTTCCGGTCGTGGCAGTACGTCCGGCGGGGCGTCGAGAACTCGACAGCCTTCTTGCGGAATAGCTGGACTACGTCGTAGTCGAGGAAGAGCCGGTTCTTGTCCAAAGGGATCGTCTGCTTGCAGCAGCGCGGCGGGAAGAGGGACTCGTCGAGAGTGGCGTCGCGGAAGAGGTGGGTCAGACACTCCCGACAGTATTCGTGCTGGCACGGGGCCTTGGCCAGCTGGGCAAAGTGCTTGAGATCTCCACAGGCTGCGCACTCTCGCTTCTGCGGCTGCTTCTTCGCCGGGCGCGAGGCCGCCCACCGGGAGCTTTCCGGCTGGCTATTCACAAGCGTCTCGTCGTCACTAATGTTTACGTTGTCTTCGGTGATGGTATCTATGCCGGTGACGTAGAGGTACTGGAGCTTCTCGAGGTACTCCGGGTCGTCGGAGGGGGCGCCAGGGCCGGCCTCCGACGCCGTCACCCCGTCTTGGCCGGTGCTTAGAGCCAGGGACATGTTGCGGTCGCGTCTCGCCCGACGCTCTTCCTCTTCCGATTGGAAGAGCGCGTCGCCGTCGAGCTGGACCGCCCGCTGGATGCTCAGCGCCATCTTCTGGTCAGCGAGGAAGGCCTCGGTGGTGAGCAGATCTGTCAGGAAGACGTTGAGGGCCACCTGGGCGTCGGTCTGGGTGCCCTCGGGATTCTTGCCCTTGCCCCTAGCGACGGCGGCGGCTTGCTCCGCATCCTCCCGCAGCAGCTGCAGGATGAGGGCGGTGTCCGGGTCCATGTGTGGAGGTGACGGGTGCGACGGGGGAAAATCCACGACTGACGCCGTCCCGGTGTGCTTGTTTCTTAGGTACGTGTGTGTCGGCTGAATGGGTTTTGGGGTCGGGGTGCCCTCTACGGATCCGTGAGCGTCGAAGAGGGATCTGGTGAGAAAAAAGCTAGCGAGGTGAGGGAGGAAGAGGAGGAGGACGGAGGTACATTCTCTTGTACTTCCCCCGTTTGTTGCTCGGAACCATCCAGGCTTCTCCACTAATAACCGCCCAACGCCACGTACCTACGTCCACTCGTGTAAATCCATGCAGAGACAAGTCTGCCGATGCCACCAGCTTTGCAGCATTACATAACCCAGATCTGACATCTGAAGCTCGAGTTGGCCGCCCGTCGAGGGCGGAGGAGAGGCACTGCGCTGTTAGTATCTACGGCCATTTCGGCTGGTGGGGCTATCGGTGGCTAGAGAGGGGAGCTGTGGGTGGGTGGCTGGAGATCCTGGGGCTTTCCGGTGCCGCACAACATTAACGCTGATGATGTTAAATAAAAAAAATTGCACAAATCTTGTGCTATCCGAGCTGTGTGATGTCCGTTACCTGCATATAGATGCTTAAGAGATGCGCTGTGAAGCCTTCGGAGCCACTGTCGACAGCAAGATACATACCTACATACCTCTAACTTCCTAGGTAGATGTGTGCATCCTCAGGCATCCAGAATGGAGGCCTGTGATTGGTGGAATTGGAGAAAAACACGCAACAGCTAACTGTTCGTAAAACGCTGTATTTAAGCCCTTTTAGCAGTTTAGTTTTTACACCTTCAATTGATCAACTAGGTTTACCTTTCAACTCGTCTAAGGCAGCGAGGCCACGAGAGGAACCGCCACCAAAACGCACAGATGCACAGAACTTGCTCTGCTCTCTCTACAGGCATAGCGTATGCTCAAATGCCTGCGTCGATGCATGTATCGAGGCTGCTTATCGCCTAGTGTGGACGCGAGGAAGCTTAAGCGGCTTGGCGACAGGCGTTTCAGCCTTGCAGGCGAACCCCCCCTCTAAAAAGGGGCCAATAGGCGCGGACGCGGCTAATCCCGAACTTATCCTCGTTGTCCTCACCTTCTCTTCCACTCGCTCGCTCTCTTACTCCCACTCCCGACGCGTGCGAGTATTGCTAACCCGCGTCTGCTATTTTACCTTCCCATCCTCAGTCCTCTTAAGTCGGCGGATAATGGCCTCGCTGGCCCGAGGTAGCCAGCGGATCAGCCAATTGTAAAGCGCCGCCGCTTACAGCTTACCTACCTGCCTTCGATCTCTACCTAATGGCGGGACGCGTCATTCCGACCCTCCTCCTGGCCCTGCATCTCCTACTCATCTCGCCCGCCACCGTCCTCGCGTACACGGCGCTGTCGGACCACTTCCTGAAGCTGGTGCCGTCGGGCGGCGACGACCTCGACATCACCAACGGGAAGCTCCTGGCTCCCATCCTGATCCCTCGCGTCCCCGGCACGCCGGGCCAGGCCAAGGCGCAGGAACACTTCGTCAACTTCTTCGCCAAGGAGCTGCCGAAATGGAGCATCAGCTGGTACAACTCGACGTCGACGACGCCCGTCTCCGGCGGTAAGCAGGTGCCCTTCGCCAACCTCGTGTTCAAGCGGGAGCCGCCCTGGGTGCGCGAGGGACAGTCGAACCTGCTCACGCTCGTCGCCCACTACGACAGCAAGCTCACGCCCGACGGCTTCATCGGCGCCATCGACAGCGCCGCGCCCTGCGCCATCTTGATGCACGTCGCGCGAACCCTCGACCCGTTCATCACGCAGATGCACGACGAGATGGCGGCCCTCGGCGAGGGCGGCACCGTCGAGATGGACATGGGCGTGCAGATCCTCCTGCTCGACGGCGAGGAGGCGTTTCTGAAATGGTCGGCTACGGACTCGCTCTACGGATCGAGGTAGGCTTGCTTCTCCCTAACCTTACTTTATTTATCTCCGTGGTGGGGCACCGACTAATGCCACCGGCGTCCAGATCCTTGGCGGAGCAGTGGGAGCAGTCGATCCACCCGGCCATGTCGGCGTACCGCAATCCGCTGAGCCAGATCAGCTTGTTCGTGCTGCTGGACCTGCTCGGGTCGGCCGAGCCCAAGATAGCGTCCTCGTACCAGATGACGCACTGGGCGTACCGGGGCATGGCGACGGTCGAGGACCGGATGCGCAGGCTCGGCCTTCTCGAGTCGCGGCCGTCGCAGCCTTTCCTGCCCGAGGCGGCCAGGACGGCGTTCGGCGGGATCGGCTTCATCGAGGACGACCACCTGCCGTTCATGGCTCGCGGGATCCCGATCCTGCATATCATCCCGGCACGCTTCCCGCCGGTGTGGCACACGATCGACGACGACGGCGCTCACCTCGACATGCCGACGGTGCGGGACTGGTCCAAGATTGTGACGGCTTTCGCGCTCGAGTGGCTCGACATGATGGAGGTGGAACCCAAGGAGGGCGGCGAGGCGGCACGGTCTGGCCCTGCCGGCGGACGATGACGACCCTGAGCGTCCTAATACACGGTGCGATATGCGGGGGGACGGGGTTCTCGTACGTCGTATGCGCGGATTACGCGGTCTGGGAGCGAGCCGTGTGTGCCCGCGGCGTTTCTGGCGCGCGCATCGTATTGTTGGTCACGAATGCAGAGAGCGCGTACCCTAGAAGAATGGATGTAACCTAACCAACTTGGTTGTATGGTGCGGCCGGGGAGGCGACGTATATTCCCCTCCCCGCCTGCTTGGTCTGTCTCGGTGAGGCCCCGTGTCGACCTAGCAAAGCGTACAATAGACAGTCCCCAGTTGGGTATCAACCTCAACCTCGCACGCACACCGTGATTCGCGTGTCTTGTCTAGCGTACCGATCCGGACCTCCTGATTAAGGTTCCACCTGTCCGTTCACGTCTGTGTATTCGTACGTAGGTACGCACATACGTACTAGGTATGCATAAAGCGAATGGGCGCATCCGGTTCGTCTCGGCGGCGGGACATCACCAGCAACCTGGCAGCTAGTAGGGCGCGATGCTGATCTCCGACTATCTTAGCAGGTGCCTTAGATAGTTATTGTGTGCATGGCGGGGGAAGAGACGTACATATGCATGCATGCGTGCACAAAGGTGGGAATCGGAGGGGCGGCCTACTACCATTCCTAGATGGAGGAGGCTGTCGGCGACGAGGCGAAATATATTTTACCTCTACTCCCCTCGTGCCGCGGTACTATACCTAAGGTAGCACTCCCATAGGAGTACCAAGACGCTGCCAATGAATTACTTACATAACAGATATGCATGGGCTGTGCAGCAGTATTACCTAGGTACCTCTTGATGGTCTCCTTGACAGCTCGACGGCTCCACCGCGTACGTCATCTTCAGCGCAGAGGAAACGGGGCGAGCGCGCATATGGTGTTGTTGGCTGTGCCTCGATGCGGCAATGCTGCAGATGCGCTACTACGGAGCATTCGTAAGCTGAGCTTCGGCTGCAGAAGGACGTAACCTGACGGCATAGGTATGTGCCTGGTGCCTATACCTGCCTACTAAGGTAGGTAATATCGCATCCTCTACGAGTACGCGGGAGGTAGAGCGCGCACGCTGCTGGATTGGTGTGATGCTGAGGGGATAGACAAGGGGGGCGGCTTGGGACTTTGCCTGCCGCGCGTCACCGTCACCGTCACCGAGGACTACCGCGGAGGGACGGCGCCCCCCAGGAAAAGCAGAAGAAAGGAAAAGAAGAATGACAACTTGCGGGGGAGTTCGTGTGGACGAGTCGCCTTCTGGCACTATGCATGTTGTTACAGATGGCACATAAGCACGGACTGCGTTAGGTAGGTAGAGGTAGGGAGAGATTGAGGAGTACCTAAGAGGTATACGATGAATGCGGAAGCTAGGTAGGTACCTAGAGAGGACCGACCGTGTACGGATACATACGGACTGTGCGTAATTCCGTTTCTGCAAGTGGCGTAACCACGTCTGTTCGCGCAAATATCGACGATCCAATTTGGGATCGGGTACACAGCTCATCTTACTCTTCGGGCAGACCCCCTTTCTGACCTTACCTGCTTCTATACAGGTGTGAATAGGGGTCATTGTCAGCTTCTCCTAGGTGCTTAACTACCTAACCTAACTTGTAGACGCGGGACCTAAGGCTCTTCAGATAGGAATCTGCCGAGGCACACACAGGTGCATACATGCGTAGGACGTACCTCCTAATTCCTTCTCCCATCCCGCCGGTACTACTGCTGCTACCCAAGGTGTGCTTGTACGCGCACCGAGAGGCGCGCGGCCTGCTTATTTCGCTTCGCTGCCCGTCGCTCTCTGTTCGGCTAGGTGCCTCTCTCTCTCTCTCTCTCTCGGCTTCTTCATCGCGGGCAGCAGACCGCTGGCTCTGCTATAGACATAGGACCTGTACATTGGGTACATGTCCACACATACGGTAGGTACATGTAGGTACCCTAGGGCACCTGCGCGTAACTGGGCACCTGAAGCATGCCATTTGAAACTTTGGACGTCGCCTGTCCTCGATGTCATTATATGTACCCCGAGCGCTGGATTCGCCATTGGTACCTCGGAAAGTCGGCCATCTAGGTACCTCCTCACCCAAGGTAAGGCAGACGGTACGAAAAAAAGGTACGGGGGAGAGGCACGAGATAGAGGCACGAGGTAGGGGTACCTCTTCCCGAGGCTGCTGGGCCCATAAATGACCATAGGTGACCCGTTAGTGAGGTCAACGTGTACATACGTGTACCCTCCAGGCCAAACCGACCTAGCCAACCAGCCCGGCGCCCAGCCCAGCCCGTCCCTGGCTTGCAGAGGACGTGGACTTCTCCCCCCCCCTCCCAGACCAACTTTCTGCTCAGTTCATCACTCGATCAATCAAAGCCATCCGTCCAACTGATTCTCCCTCCGTCCATCTTAACCCATCTGCTCCGTGCTGCTGCCGCTGCCGCTATTCACTCTCATTCATTCCTGCGATCAAACCGCTAGCCAGCCAGCCGTCCAGGCGGCCAACGAGACCGACTGCCGCCAGCCACCTTCTTCAGCTTTCCCTCCCCCCCGGTCTCCCTCGCCCCGTAAATCCCCTTTATCGCCATCGTCGTCACCCTCCTATCCACGCTGCTAGGCCAGTTAGTGCATCCGCCACGCCGTCCCGGCAGGTAGTGGGAGGCCTTGCTGGCTCGTCTTGTCGCCTCCATTTCTCAGTGGCAGGTGAAGACTCGCACGTCGGCGTTGGCTCCGATTCCCTGCGTAGCTTGAGACGAGTCCCGCGCGAGCGCCGCCCGTTTCGTCGCCCGCCACCGTAGCTCGGTGGGCCTCAGGTGCTGAGAGATAATCCACCGGTTGGATTGCGCCTCGAGCGATTGCGCCGACTCCAATACCGACCCCCCGACGTCACCACCACCCGGCAACCCGTCCAGCCATATCGTACCATCCGTCTCATCACCCAACGCCTGCTCTTCTTCGGTTTCCGTCACTCTCACTTTTGTCATCGTCGCGTCTGTCTAGCTTGCCCGTCTCGTCCGCACAAATACCGCCAAGATGTCGAAGGTTATGAGGAGTGTCAAAAATGTCACCAAGGGCTACTCGAGCGTCCAGGTCAAAGTGCGCGAAGGTACGTGCTGCACATCCCCTATTCGCCCGCTGCAACCCGTCACCTGCTTGGCCTGCGCGTCGCTGCGTCCCCAATGCTGACTCCGTTTCTGTAGCGACGAGTAACGACCCGTGGGGCCCGACCGGGAGCCAGATGACCGAGATCGCGCAATTAAGCTTCAATTCGTATGGCCCCCGATGAGAACGGCTCAAGTCCCTGACAGCTCGAGTCTAACATATTTCCTAGGTCCACCGAGTTCTACGACATTGTTGATATGCTCGACAAGCGTCTCAACGACAAGGGTAAGAACTGGCGACACGTCCTCAAAGCCCTCAAAGTTCTAGATTACTGTCTGCACGAGGGCTCCGAGTTGGTCGTTACCTGGGCGCGAAAGAACATCTACATCATCAAGACCCTGCGGGAATTTGTTTATGTCGACGAGGAGGGCCGCGACGTCGGACAAAATGGTTTGTGATATCGATCCGACCTGAGATTGCGCTATTGCTCACGAGGATACAGTCCGGGTGGCCGCGAAGGAGTTGACGGCTCTGCTCTTGGACGAGGAACGATTGCGCGCCGAACGCGCCGGTCGGGCAGCATGGAAGTCTCGGGTGACCGGCATCGATGAGTATCCCGATGGTCCGACCGCCGCGGCGCAGCACGGGCGCCACAGACCCAGGCAATACAGCGACGACGAGGAAGATGCCGAATACAAGCTGGCCTTGGAGGCTAGCAAATACCAGGAAGAGGAGGACCGGAGGAAGCGCGAGAGCCGTCAAGGGGTGGAGGAGGAGGACGACGACCTAGCCAAAGCTATCAAGCTCAGCAAGGAGGAGGACGAACGGCGAAAGCGGGAATTGGAAGAGAGCAATGCCAAGTCGCTATTCGATGACAGCCCGGCGCAACCCAACACGCACCCGACCGGCCTCAACATGGGTTACCAACAGGGAAGCAATGTCGACTGGCTCGGCAACCCCATCGACCAGAGCCAGATGACGCAGCCGCAACCGACCGGATACGTTAACAACACATACACCGGATATCCTGCCAATGGCTACACGAACGGCTACAACAACGGCTTCAACCCTCAGCAGACAGGCATGTACGACCCCTACGGGCAACAGCCGAACCACCTCCAACCGCAGCTGCAACCGTTCCAGATGCAGCCTACCGGATATAACCCCTACGCCGGCCAGCCCCAATTCCAGCACCCCCAGCCTACCGCCTCCCCAGAACCGACTCTCCAGCCCGGTAGCAACAATCCGTGGGCATCTAATAATCAGGCTCAGTCAGCGCTTAGGCCCATGCCGACTGGCTCGAATAACCCCTTCGCTACTAATAACAACAATAACAACTTCACACGGCCGCAGACAGCCAAGGCCTCATTAATTCCCAGCCTTAGCAGCCTACAAAGCCTTCCCGAGCAGAAGTCGCTTCAGGCGTTCTCTCCCCAACCCCAACCCCAACCCCAACTACAGCTCCAACCTTCTTTCAACCCGAACCAGCAGCCCCCCCGACAACTTAGCGAGCACGAGCAGAAGCTTAACGCGCTTCTCGCTAGCGGCGACGGCATGGACACCTTCGGAAACACGGGCGAGCTACGTATCCCCGCTCAGCACACGGCGCCGGGTACTTTCGTCAACTCGGCAGGTGCCGGTGCGCACAAACTCACGGCCGATGCGACGGGCAACAACCCGTTCCTCCGCCAGCAGTTTACCGGAATGCCGACGGTGTCGTACGGCGCGCCGCAGATGCCGGCCGCCACCGGGCCCGTCGGTTTTGGCGGGTACGGAGGGGGGAGCAACCCGTTCGCGACGCGGTCACCTCAGCAGCCGAACAACGGTCAGGGGCAAGATCTCATCCAGTTCTAGACCATGTTTGTTTTATAGTTTTACTTTTCGCTTTCTATCGTTAAATTGGGGGACATTACAAAGATGGGCAAAAAGGCGGGAGGAGTGGGGGGGTGGAATTGCGAGGTAAGAGAATGGTAAGGAAGGGTTAGAAGGGTCCGAGAAGGGCGAGGAACGAAGAAAGGAGAAGGGAGGACAGACGACAAAGGGGAAGAGGAAGGACGGGGGCCGCCCCGACCTGGGCGCCCACGATGCCCCCCCTGTTTTACTACCCACCTAGGGGAATTAAACTGAACCTTTTTACCTACCTCCTAACCAACCCTTTACCGTACCTACATACCTGCTACACAAAGAACTGCTGTTGCCTTCTGCTACCGCTACCGCTGTTGCTACTACTACTACTCCTACTCTTACTTACTCTTATATCTACCATTATTACTAGTGCTTAATCACGCGTTTAGCTTTTTTCATGTTAAAAAATTTTTAAGTCTTCTGTTCTGCACCCGCGCGCAACGGGGTCGCATGGCGATTTCATCTCCTGCTCCTTTTCCTTGCTTCGTTTTATTATTATGAAATTTTTTTTGTTATGAAACCCTCCTTTTCTCCTTATTCTCTCGCGCACGACTGAGTCTGCGCCGCGCGATACCACCCCCTTTCCTCCACCCGTCCCCGAGTGCTACAGGAATAGTCTCGGACTGCCTCTGTCATGTTTATACACGTATACACAACTCGCGACGCGGTAACGCAGAGAACCGGATGTCTGCTTGTTGCTAGTCGCTATACACGAGAAAAGAAAAAAAAAAACTCTCCTGGGGGGAGGGGGGCGCTGGTTACGCATTTCACTCGTATATGGATGATGTATTGACGGGCTTGATTCCCGCGCGATGGGAGCCTCGCCACCCCGTGACGCCCCCCCACCCCGGACGGCGAGGGGGCGGTCGGTCGCGCGCAGAAAAAGGGGGGGGGTATATAATTACACAACGCCAACGCCGAATGCCAGCCCCTATTCAAAGTACACGTTTATTCCGCCGCCCGCCGCCCGCCGTGCTCCGCTGCCGCGTGCGCCCCTGGTTCTTACCGCCGACCGAGAGAGAGAGAGGGAGAGAGACGTGCGTCAGTGAGTCCGTAGGTTGTGTATACGTGAGTAAGTGAATATGCATGCGCAGCAGGGGGAAGACACCGGACGAACGCGGCGGTTGTTGTGCATGGAGCCGCGCCGCGTTGGCCGGGCGGAGAGGTAGGGAGAGGGGGAAACAAATGAGGGAGGGGGGCGGAGCGGAGGTGCCCGGAGCCGGAATGCGTGTGGAGCGCATGCATATGCGGTGGTATAGGGGTGAGGGATGAAGATATATAGGTAGGTAGGTGTTGGGTATCTCTTGCGGGAACTGCTGGTTCTCTCTCGGACCACTGGTTTTAGTGCTCCCCCTCTTCTTTCTCTCTTCCTTCGCTCATGTATTTGGTTCGCCCCGTGCGGCCTCCTGGTTTTTCCCTTCTTCTACTCGCGCGGTGGCAACACATCGAACCCCCGCTCGCGTCGTCTCGGTTCGACGGACTAGCTTCGCGCAGCATCCCCCTCAAGCCGCTGCTCTTCTCCCTCCTCGCGCTCTTGTTATTGCTGCCGCATACCCTCCCGGATCAGCGTGCACGCGCTCTCCCCTCTCGGCTTGCCGCTTGGTTTGCCCCCCCCTCGGTGTTCCTATGCGATGGGGTGGTATTAATCGCAGAGGGACGTATGCGAGGAACCTTGCTGTCCGAGTCTATTCCGGGGGGGGGATAGATGCGCCGTATTTCTAATCCCCTTAGCCGGGGAGGTCCGTAGTTTGTAAACACACTTTCATTTCCGTGCCGCTTTCTCTTATTAGCCCCCCCTTTGTCTCCCTCTCCCACCCTTGCGCATCCGCATCGTTCTCTTTTTGGCTGTTCCCGATTAGGGTCACCGATCGAAGATGCCCAGGAACTCCTCGCGACTTACGCCGCCCTTGGCCTCGACGTCGAACTGCTCGATCATGCTGTGGAGCTCGTTGTCGGGGACGTCCTCGCCGAGCTCCTTGACGACGGAGCGCAGGTCGTCGACCGTGATGAAGCCCTTCTCGCCCCGGTCGAAAAGAGCGAACGTCTTAAGCAGCTCTTCTCGCGGGTCGCGCGCGGCCACGTACCGCGCGGCCACGGTCTGGAAGCCCTCGCGCGACATCCGCAGGTCGACCACGCCCGGCGCGGCGCTCGGCGGCGGCTGATTCGGCATCGGGGGCAGGGGCGTCCAGCCGGCTCGCGGCCGCGCCGTCGTCTTGAAGGCGGCGATGAGATCCGAGCGCGACAGGTTCGAGAAGCCGAGCGCCTGCAGCGCGTATCTGAATTCGCTGAAGTCGAGCTGCTCGTCCTTGTTCATGTCGAAGAGGTGGAACTAAGAATTTTCTCGCCCATTCGAGTTAGCTGGTGCCTCTACCTCGCCCGTCCCTCGCAAGTGGAAAGGGGAGGGGAGGGGGGGGGGGGGACGAAGGGAATTGGGGGGGCATTGCCCCGTCCTGTCCTGTCCTATCTGTATGCGTGTGTAGACAGCGGTAGGTAGGTGGGCAGGTGTGACGGAGAGGAACATGCCACTCACACAATCGTTGATCTCGTTCCGGTGTTCTTCGCTGATCTGGTCCCAGGGCTCCGCGTGCTCGGCGTTTCGTATCGGTTGCGCGTACCGCTGGCCCGGCCTCGATCCGGAGCGCGCCGAGGCGCCGTGCATGCTAGGCCCCGGGAAGTCGTTCATGCTATTGCTTGCGTAGTTGTTCATGCCTCCCTCCGTCTGCTTATATACGCCTGCCGCGTGTGCTCGCCTCGGAGCACGGTCTATCTCGCACGCGCAATGGGGTTAAGAGCGCGGTACAGCGGGTAGTCTTAGGGGCTGTGTATGCTGTCGGTCTGTCTGTCTAGCTGGATATCGAGGCGGGGATTCCGATACTGACGGTGGCGGCTGGAGTTGAGTCGCGCAGGTGGATAGCGCAGGCGCAGGCGCAGGCGCAGACGCGGTATGTGAAGGAGGGAAGAAAAGGGTGAAGCGGGCGTCGTTCGGGGGGATCGGGCAGGGTTCGGATGGCATATAATCAGTCGAGTATTGCTGCTGCACCAACAAATGAAATATCCAAGCGGCGGCGAGAAGAGACGGAGCAAGTAAACAAGAGGTAGGCAAATTGTATTCTGGCCTTGGGAGACTTTTCCTGGTTTGCGCCCTTTTCTCCTCTGCCGGTCTCACTATGTACGGGTATTGGAGGTATTGAATGGCAGGCAGTGAACGCGACGGAGTGCCAGGCGAGGTGAGCTGGCGGGAATGGAATGGATCCTGACCGCCTACCAGGTTGCCTGGGGAACTCGCGCTGATTGGCTAATGGCAGATTCTAGCTGTCACGTCCGCCTGGTTGGATCCCGCCCGTCCGCCTGAGGTTGTGTACCTCTCCGTACCGTATGGCAGGCCCATACGTACATCAGGTACGTGAGAAGGTACAAAGGCGCGCCGTACAGAACGAATAACTACCTAAACATAAATAACATGAACACACCAGCGGAAGCGTATATGTACCTAATGCATCCATGCATATATAGGTGCATTAGGAGGTATAGGTACCCAGTGGTTGAATTCTACCTTCTGTAAGCATGGATATGTGTGTACCTAGTATTAGCACCATTCAGAGGCCGAATATGTAGGTAAGCATACATATGTATATAGGCCAGTCCTCGAAAGCATCTTTCACCTGTCGACATGTGGTGGATGTTTTCTTGCCCACCACGTTTCCGTTTCTCGGTGGCGGCAGACGGCGAGCTCTTCTTCTCTGCATGTGCGTCAGGGACGGGGGATCTCGATGGTGGAATGAATGGAGGCCTACATCTGGTAGGCTGAAATAAGGTATATATCCTCGACGCCTCTTCCTCCCCCTAGCCGGCAAACCCTCGTACAGGTTTGCTTCAACCACACCTACGTGTGTTTGTCTATTTCTAGAAACATACTCATCCAGAAAACCCTAACAGGTACAACCCACAGCAGTTCGCATGAGAACAAGGTTGTGTGAGAATTCCACCTGTGTATGTGTGGTAGGAGTTGTGGTGGAAATATCGCAATATCGAAGGCCGTATATTCTTGGCAGAGATCTACAGGCACATTAGGTACTTATGTTAGGTACTTACCTCCATCGCCAATGTGTGTGACGCCCGTAGGTACCTGCTCCTACACGGAGTCAGACAAATTCGACGGTGGCCTGCAGAGCAAGTGACCAACTTTTCTTAGTCACCAGATGACCACCTGACGCTGGGGTTTAGCCTGGTGTGACACGACTTCCTAGGCTGCTACGCAGAGTGGAAGTGTGGCGCCCGTTAAACGGATATATCCCGCTAGAAGGATATCTCGTTGCGAAGGCAGTCAACCCGAGACCCCACTACTTTTCCGTCCTGGGGCAGTCTCATTGGCCGCGCCCAGAGGCGGCCCTGTCAACCCAACCATGTCCATTCTTTCCGCCTTACTAAATCTCTCCCCCAAGCTGATCCCGACCCGTCACCTCTACACTACTCACACAACTCCTCCAACGAGAGAGACTCTTCTTTTTCCATCCTCTCCGTCTGGTGTCGACCTCGCCCCGAAAGGTCATTCTTCACCATCGACTCCCTTCCTTTTCCTCTTCTTCCATCCTCTTCGCCACCGCTTATTCTCCCCCTCCCACAGCCTTGGCTGGGTAGGAATTGGTCTATTCTCCTTCCTTCCAGTCTCCCATCATATTCCCCATCGCCGCGCATCGCAGAAGGGGGAAAAAAAAAAGTACCATCCTCGTTCGCGATACTTCCCGGCGCATCATCCATCGCCCTTCGATATATCCTCCGACCGTCCTTTCGACGACCGACCGCCCGCTCTTCCATGTCTCTCTCTATTTAATCTCGTACTTGTTCCCTCTGACCTCAACGCACGCGTCAGACGCGCCCCCTTTGTCCGGCACCACACACAGTCGCGTGCCTTACCCTTGACCTAAACCTATCTCCTCGTATCCACAGCCGCCGTCATGTCGAACTTCGGAGGGTTCGGCAGCGGTAACGGCTTCGGCAGCAACACCAACAATACCCCTAACAACACCTTTGGCAGCTTCGGGGCCAACAACACCGCGAGTAACCCAGGTACGTATTGCCTCCTTTCGTTAGCGCATCTCGAGTCCTCCCGCCCTCTACCTTGGCCAGCACTCGACTAACCCGGCACGGCTGCGAAAGGCTTCGGCGCAAATAACAACCCTGGTGGCTTTGGTGCCCCCAGCAACACCACCGGGGGCGGCCTCTTCGGCTCTGGAAACACATCGGCGTTCGGCAGTAACACCGGTGCGTGCCGCTCCGCCCTCTCATCGCACACAGTCCTTTGCCTTGCCGCGAGGCCACCATCTTCAGCCAGTATATGCTAACGTATTTCTTCCAGGCGGATTTGGATCGGCCAGCAACACCGGCGCCTTCGGCTCGAAGCCTGCCTTCAGCGGCACGGCCACGACCGGCGGCCTATTTGGTGCCTCTACTACTGCAACCTCGGGCGCATTTGGTAGTTTCGGCTCCAACAATACCACCTCGGCGCCCAGTCCTTTCGGCGGCGGTGGCACTAGCGGCTCTATCTTCGGAAGTAACAACAACAGCAACAAACCTGCCTTTGGGTCGTCGAACACGGGCACGACTGGGGGACTATTTGGAGGCACCTCCAACAACAACAACACCACTGCTTCGACGAACTTTGGCAGCTTCGGCGGCGCGGCGAATGCCCCTACTAGCACGGCCTTGGGACCCGTGGGCGATCCCCCCGGTACCGGCGCCATCACGAATTTCCAGCCTCTGGTAGAGAAGGAGAGTGCTGCTACTAACGCGCAAAACTCCTTCCAAAACATCTTGTTCCAGGACCCTTACAAGAAGTGGTCCGCTGAAGAGTTAAGATTAGCTGACTACGCTAGTGGTCGCCGTTTCGGGGGCACGTCTGGCACTGGAACTTTTGGTGTTGGTTCGAATTTCGGCGGGTTCGGCTCGGGCAATCAGACGTCGAATGCGTTCGGCGGCTCGAATCCGACAAACACGACTGCCGGAGGCGGGCTGTTCGGCAATGCTTCGTCTAACACCTTTGGCCAGAACAACTCCAACACCGCCGGTGGGTTCGGTTCTGGTTCCACCGGCGGTGGCGGTTTATTTGGAAGCAAGCCAGCAACTACTGGCGGGGTATTTGGCAGTACCACGACGACTCAGCCAGCGCAGGCCGGTGGCTTGTTCGGATCCGGAGGCGGTGGCTTTGGTAATGCCGGGAACGCTAACTCTGGTTTCGGATCAACCGGCGCCAACACGGGGAGCTCGTTATTTGGGAACACAAACCAACAGAAACCGGGCTTCAGCTTCGGCAACACGAATAGCAATGCTGCTGGTAGCACCTTCGGCAGCAATGCCGGCGGTTTTGGTGGCAGCGCCCCCTCCGGCGGCGGCCTCTTCGGGAGCAACACTAACGCTACCCAGAACCCTGGCGGCGGTCTGTTTGGAAACGCAAACCAGCAGAACACTAGCAACGCGTTTGGCGGCGGCGGCGGCGGCTTCGGCGCCCAGAACCAAGCACAGACTGGTTCTTTGTTCGGCGGCAATCAGCAAAAGCCGGCAGGCACAAATGCGTTCGGAACCAATACCAACACCGGCGGAACTGGAGGTGGTCTATTTGGTCCCTCGAGCAACACTACGAGCGCCTTTGGTCAGCCGAACAACAACCAAGCTGCAACTGGCATCTTTGGTAACAAACCGGCCACCGGTCTGGGGATGTTCGGTAACGCCGGCACAGCCCAGAATACCAATAACGGCAACAGCTTGTTCGGTGGTCTAGGCCAGTCTAACCAGAACCAACAGCAGCCGCAGCAAGGCGGCGGCTTGTTCGGTTCTCTGGGCCAGAACCAACCGCAGAAGCCCTCTATGTTTGGGAGCACTACGCAACCGAGTGGCGGTGGCTTATTCGGCGCGAACCAGAACAACCAGCCGCAGGGTTCACTGTTTGGATCGTCGACCGCGCAGCAGCAGCCGCAAAACACTCTAGGGGGTTCTTTCTTCGGAAACTCGCAAGCCAACCAGTCTACAGCGTCCCTGACTGCGAGCATTAATGACCCGTCGGCGTACGGCTCTCTGTTTGCTAACCTCGGCAGAAATGAGATCGCCGACCCAGGTCCTCTTGCGACGCCGACGGGCAAGAAGCAGTCGAGACGGCCCTCTATTCTCCCCTACTATAAGCTCAATCCGGCGTCTGCCACTCGGCTTATAACGCCGCAGAAACGCGGATTCGGCTTCTCTTACAGCACCTACGGTACCCCGAACAGTCCTGCGAGCTCGGCTAGCACTCCAGGTACACTGTCACAGAGCCTTATGGGCGGAAGCTTGTCTCGGAGTACCGGCAGTTCTCTTGCCAAGAGCGTCTCGTCGAGCAACCTTCGACGGACCTTCAATGTTGAGGATAGTCTTTTGGCCCCGGGCGCCTTTTCCGCTAGCTCCGGTTCGAGGCTCTACGGCAATAACAGTGTCAAGAAACTCGTTATTAACAAAGACTTGCGCAGCGATTTGTTCTCAACCCCTACGAAGGACAAACTCTTGCCCGACACCCCGAACAGCTCCCGGAAGCTAACAAAGCGCGTCAGCTTCGATACCAGCAACGTCGACGCGAATGGATGCGGGGAGCCTGCAAACGGCACAGCCAACTCCACCCCCAGCGCGGAACAGCTTGGCTACGTTCGGCCGAAGAACGCTGGTGTTAATGGATCCAAGTCAAATTCTTCGTCCGCCCCTGAAGTCGAGCAAGTGAAGGGTAAAGAGTTGGCAGTCGTGCACGAAGAGGAGACGGCGTCACCGCAACCTCAGAGCTCGGCAGCCACTCCGACCGACGGAGAGCCTGGTGACTATTGGATGTCCCCAACCAAGGAGCAGATCCAGGATATGAACAGAGTCCAGCGGCAGAAGGTATCCGATTTTACGGTGGGACGCGAAAACGTCGGCTTCGTCAAATTCAAGGTGCCTGTCGACTTAACCTCGGTCGATATTGATAACATCTTTGACAACATCGTCATCCTAATCCCTCGAACCGCCACCGTATACCCCAACGCCGCGAAGAAGCCACCGGTCGGAAAAGGCTTGAACGTCCCCGCCTTAATCAACCTCGAGAACTCGTGGCCTCGTGCTTCGAGGAAGGGGAAGTCAATCTCGTTAGGAAAACACGTCGAGCGCCTCAAGAGAATTCCGGACACTAAGCTGGAGAATTATAACGCGGAAACTGGCGAGTGGACCTTCTCCGTCGAGCATTTTACAACATACGGCCTCGATGACTCGGATGAAGACGAAGTTACTGAGCCTGGCCCCCCCAGGGGCCTTCCCGTCTTCACCTCGAACGAGGATGAGCCAGCAATTCTATCGGTCGACGCAGGAAACGCCGCCCCTACTGACCAGGATGCGTCTGAAAGTAAGCCGATCTATCCGGCTCTTCCTGGCTCGTTCGACGGCGGTAATTCTTATGTTGACGACAAGGCGAGCATAACTGAAGTTGCGAGAGCTCAGCCGTCTTTTTTAGCTAATCGCTCCACGGGTTCTACGTCCAATGCTCTTGTCCCTATGGAACAAGACAATACGGACGACGAATATGCGATGTCCGAGGCCGAAGATGCGAGTGCTTCCCTCAGACGCCATCTCGCCGTGGAGCAGGAAGATAGCTCACTCGACGGATCCCAGCCAGATGCTGTACCGGAGACCCCCGCGGGTATCATGAGAGCCCGGATGCGAGCCATTAAAGGGACAGCGACGCCCATGAAAGTTCAGGTCGCGTCCGGAGACGACTGGATGGATATGCTTAGCAAGACAATCAGCCCCCAAAAACGGGATAGGGCACGCTTGAAAAGCATTAATGACACCGACAATTACCGAGCGACGAACGAGTCCGCTCCAGAGAAGTCCCCAACGAAGAAACGCGCCGTATCGGATGCCAGAGGCTTTGCCACGAGTATCGATCTAATGAATTCGCTATTTGAGAAGGCGAGGGCCCCGGCTGAGTATCTCCAGGCCTCGGTTCGGCCAAAAGGCGTCAAGGTTTGTTACTAATCCCAATCCCTTCCCATATTGATCAGTCGCAACCGATGGGTGGCGTTCATGGAATCTGTATGTAGTTGAATTAATAAGACGTTGCATTCACTAAGAAAACACTATCGATCTAGTGGCCATATAAGCGAGTTACGAAGCACCTCGATGAAAGTGAGATGGATGACAAGGACCGAACTTGGCATGACACCATGCGACCCAGCTGGGGTCCAAGCGGCACGCTCGTCTTCTCCGCTATCCCCAGCAACTCACTATTTGGAAGGTCGAGTCGCGTCTCCGAAAGAAACGGTTTGATGACTGTGCTTAAAGGTGGTATCGTCTCGGAGTCCCAGGATATTCGGATCGCCAAGTTCGCGAACGAGGTATGTTAGTATCGCGTGCCATTTATAGCAGTATTGCTAACCCGCTCTAACTAGATGTCGGCCAAAGCCATCGATGCTCACACGAAACTGGTGCAGATTTATCTGGAGGGTAACATTCCGGCTGTGAGATTGAACCCGAAGACGACTATGAAGGAATTTTCGCTCCGGAGTGGCGGTAAAAATTCGGCCGAAGAGCACGAGAGACTGGTCTGGGAACTCGCAAGTGTGCTATTCGACAACCTGAAGATTCCCGCGGAGCTGCAGAGCGACCCTTACGCTCAAGAGAAGCTTCGCCGCGAGAATTTGTCCCGATTCTGGGAACAAATGGTGGAGGAGCAAACCAACAAGGCGATTGCTATGGCTGGGTCGAGCGAGGAGAAAACTTTGGCCTCCCTTTCTGGCCACCGGGTGGCTGAAGCCTGCAAACACCTTCTCGACGGGAGGAATTTTCGGCTGGCCACGCTGGTTGCTCTCATCGGGACAAACGACGATGTCAAGAAGGACGTGAAGGACCAGATGAAAGAATGGCAGGGTGCAAATGTCCTCTCCGAATATTCCGAGCCGATTCGCGCGCTCTACGAAATGCTCAGCGGAAACGTATGCGTCTGCGACGGGACTAAGGGCGCGCTAGAGAATCGCGCCGGATCGTTCCTCATTTCGCAGAGGTTTGGTCTTAACTGGCAGCAAGCCTTCGGGCTAAGGCTCTGGTACGGAATTTCTACGGCAGATGGCATTGCGGATGCAGTCGAACGATATAAGGAGGATGTGAAGCAGGATAGAGAACTACCGCCTTCTACCTGGTTCGCGGAGCACGGCATCAAGAGTATCTGGAACGATCCGAATCAGGATCAACGGGAAGACTTGCTCTGGGGTTTATTACGGTTGTATTCTCACGACCAGGTGGACCTGGAAGCTGTATTGCGGCCGGAAAACTCGCAGCTCTCCCCTTTGGACTACCGACTATGCTGGCAGTTAGGACAAGCATTAACTTCCACTGGTCGGGTCTCTTTCGGCAAGGACGCGGCCGAAAAGGCCGACGCCGCCACGGCCTCCTTTGCTGCTCAGCTGACGAATGAGGGCAGCTGGCTTGAGGCTACCTTCGTTTGGCTGCATCTCACCGACCCCGATGCGCGCTCTAAAATCATCCAAGATCATCTCTGCAGACATGCCGACCAGATCGGAAGCGAGGATTCGAGCAGCTTCAAGAAACTCGCCGTGGACTTTAAGATCCCAAAGCGGTGGATCTGGCATGCGAAGGCGCTGTTTATGCGAGGCGTCAAGAAGGATTCTACCGCCGAGGTGCAATGCCTGCTTCAGGCAGAATCGTGGGCCGAAGCTCACCGGACTTTCATCAAAGAGGTGGCCCCGACCACCATCATCGAGCGCGACTATGATGCTCTAGCGGATCTTCTCCAGCGATTTGAGGGTCATCATTCGCAAGTTCCCGAATGGAACGTCGGCGGCGAGGTCTACAAGGCGTTCCTCCAGTTGATGGGCTATCTCCGACGGAGCGAACACCCGCCGCCTAGTCTGGTCAACGCGCTCCTTGAAGGTTTGCCGGCCATGCATGGCAATGCACCTGAAGCTGGTATCACGGAGTATGCTGCCTTGACAGACATGGCGGCAGAAGTTGCCAAGGTAGTAACTGGGATGGCGAAGGCAGGAGAGGTAAGAACTTCAGATTTCTACTCGTTTTAGACGTGGCGTTATTAACACTATTGCTCAGATGGAACACGAGCGTATCTTACACCTGCCTCTGACCGAGGATGTCTTGCTGAAGCACTCACGAGACCTCGCGTGGTCGCACTATTCTACCGTGATGGCGGGCTATTAAGAAAGAGGAAGAAACTCAGGACGCTCCTATAGGATGGCGCAGCCTTGAATAATTTGTGAAGAGACCCTGCTGTACGAAGAAAGAGAGAGAAGGAGATGGCACTCGCCTCTACGATGGATAGGAGGCATACATGTAGTAGCTGGATTGATTTACTCCCCGCATACGCTCAAGCCCTACACCCACACCCCCCAAATACACATGCATAACACACATACCCTTTTCGGTGGGAAGGGATTCCGGCGTGAAGGGAGAAGCAAGGAAGAGGGAAGGTTCCGAGATCAAGATTGATTCGTCATTGCGATCCCGGCATTCTACTTTTCGGTCGAGGATGACGACCGGTCGGAAGCGTCCACGGGATACGACCGAAGGGAGAAAGCCTTGGATGAGGTCTCGCTAAGAAGGAAGAGAAGGAAAAGGGGACGACACGGTTACGATGGCCGCGGAGGTGAACGTGAAAAGGAGAAACGCGACGGAGTGGATGGTGGTATGGGTGCTATGATCACCTACCCATCTATCCACGCGTTATGTAGATAAATGTAGCTATAGATAGATAGATATCATTGCCAGACACACTTAGGCACAGTTTAGCATTCGGGAAAGGTGAGCCACGACCTCGTGTCGCTAGTGATTCTATATACGATGTATAATTATATGTTAATGTTCGCACGGGATCAGCCCTTATACGCTAACATACCTACCACAACTCGTAGGATGTAGGCGTCTACGTTTTATGCGACAATTAGAGAGTGCGGTGTTCCCGAAAAGACGTCCGAAGAGGGGCCAGGCGAGGCGAGCAAGTGGGAAGAAGGCCAGAGGGCTCCTACACGGCGCGACCAGTGCACTGTCCTCCTTCCGTTTCACTGGGGAAGCCATAGTCAAAGGAGAGAGAGAGAGCACCTCCGCGAGTGACACGAGACATAGTATGTGTTCGGTGGTGAGACGGGGCGCAACGTGGATCCTATACAGAAGCAGCCCGCATATCCAATAGTTTAGGTGCGCCACGAGACGCGTAAACACCCCTTTCATAGCACGCCACGGCCCTACTGCCTGTTCCACTGTAGCCAACCTAAGCAGATGGCCAAGGAAGGAACGTCGTGGTTCCGTCGAGAGCAGAGAGACGACGAGTGCGCTCGCCAGACCAGCCCTTGCCTACCTACCCACCTACCTTTACCCACGCCACCTACCAGCCCCCCATCTCCCGGCGCCGCGGCATCAGACGACCCGCTCGAAGGCGAGGTACAGCGCGTTGCCGCGGGGGTGTCCCGTGTACGCGTCGGTCTGCTCGATGCCGGTGTCGTCGACGACACGGCTCACGTAGTTGGAGTAGATGGCGGCGACGATGAGTTTCATGTCTGGCGGAGTTTTGTTCGTGCGCGCAACCCGACGATTAGTCCGATGGGCAACGACGAGTGCTCGATTCTTTGGTTTTACCTTGCTTGGTTCTGTATCGGGGGTGGGGGGAATGGCGATGTCGATAGGTGCGTGTTTATAGGAGATCGTAGGGGTGGAAAAAGGAGGGGGGGGGGGGGGGGGAGAAATGGGAGAAAAGATCACTAACCGTGCATCGCAAAGTTCGAGCCGAGACACATTCGCCCACCGCTGGAGAAGCCCCAGAAGTGGCGATAGATGTTCTTCTCCCCGTCGCCGTCACCATCCCCGCGGTCGCCGTTGAGTTCCGCAGCGGCAGCGGCGCCCGCCCGCAGCCACCGCGTATGGTCCCAGGTCTCGGGGTCGGGGAACGCGGCCTCGTTGCGGTGGAGGTTGTACGCGGAAGCCGAGACCCGGACGCCGGCAGGGACCTCGTACGGGCCGATGCGGCACGAGGGCGCGGGCGTGACCCGGGGCTCGGGGCCGCCTGCGGGGGCGTACCGCCGCACCGTCTCGGTGATGACGGCGTGCAGGATTGGCAGCGCGTCGAGCTGCTTCGGGTCCGGGAGCGCGACCCTGTCCCGTCGGCCGCCGTCAGGGATCCGCATGTTCGGCGCGAGCGAGAGCAGCTCGGCGCGCAGCTCGCGCTGGAGTGCGGGCGACTGCGAGAGGTGCCACGAGAGGTACGTCAGCGCGACCCCGGTCGTCTCCTGGCCCGCGAGGATGTGGTCGAGGGTCTCGGAGGCGACGGAGAGGTCGCGCTGCTGGACGGCGGTGGCGTAGAGCGGGGAAGCCGGGCCGCGCGTCCGGGCCTCCTTGGCGATGCCGGCGCGCAGCGCGCGCACGACAACGGGGTCGTCAGCGGTGCCGGCGGAGGATGGGGCGGCGGAGCGGTCCTCGTCGTCGAGGCAGCGCAGCGCAGCGTCGCTCATGGCCCGGCACCAGGCCTCGAGCTCGCGGTTGGCGGCGCGGACCCAGGACGGGGTCGGGGCGAGGCGGAGCCGGCCGAGCGCGCGCTCGAGCGCGGGCAGCTCCTGGGCGAAGAAGCCGTAGCCCTTGCGCGTCGTGTACAGGGCGAGCCAGTGCTCGCGGCGGGCGCGGCAGCGGATGAAGTCGGTGGCGCGGCGCACGCCAAAGCAGTACGCGGCGATGAAGTCCATGGCGGCGGCGCAGAAGAGCGAGTGCACGTCGACGCCCCGCGCCGCGCCGCGCAGCGCCGGCAGCAGCCGGCCGTTGACGATGGCGCGGGCCTGAGCGGCGAGCGCCGGCGACGTGTGCAGGTACGATTTGGAATACACGTGCGACACCATGCGCTTCCGCAGCGAGTGCGACTTCGCCTGGCCGGCGGAGAACGTGCAGGGGACCCTGTTGCGCTGCGGCTTAGCCCGGGTCGGATTCGTACGTGAGCACGAATGCCTGTATGTATGCACATATACTACGGTTCCGTGTGCGTATGGACGGAGTACTCGTTCTACAAGACTGCTGCTTTGGTCTGGCGTGTTCTCGCTCGCCCCCTCCTCTCTCTCTCTCTCTCTCTCTGTGTGTGTGTGTGTGTGTCCTAGTCCTAGCGGCAGACGACTCGCTCACTCACCCGTAGTTATCGAAGACGGAATACCACGGGTGCTTGTCGAAGCCGCCCTGGTAGATGGTCTTGACAGCGTCGACGCTGTCGACGCTCAGCTCGCTCGGGCCAACGCGGACGACCGGCCCCAGCCGTCGGTGCGCGGCGTGCAGCGTGTGGTTCTCGCGGCTGTCGAATCGCGCCCACAGGATCCACGCGGGCGAAAACGAGCAGGACCAGTGGGCGGCCGGCACCCTGGCAAGTGGCGACAAGGCGGCGGGGTATATCACATAGCGGTAGAGGAGGACGAGGGCCGCGATCAAGCAGGCGGCTGGGAGGCACAGGTCGGCGACGCTCTCGGGCGTAGCCATAGCGCTGGGAGGGGAGGTGATGCTATCAGCATCGGCGTTGGCAGCGTCGGTACTTCTAAGATGCTCTCTCTGTGTGTGCCTCTCTCTCCTACCTGAAGATAATGATGGTGGTGGTGTCGTTGTCCGGTGTCCAGGGGACACGGGCCGAAAGCCCATGCAGACTCAGTGCAAGGATCCCGAAGAAGGTTGCAGGAGAGCAAATCATGGACCGATTGCAAAGAGCAGTACACCCATTGTCACATGAGTTTCGATCTCGACATGTACATGTATCTTTTTTTACTCTATTCCCAGCTCCCTCCTCGAACGGATCGTCGTCTTCGTCTCGAGGTTCAGCGGGACGGGGATAAGGAGTTCGTATCTGAAATTGAAGTATTTATTGCCGGTACTCGGATGGTGAGGGAAAGGAAGGTTAGTTGGCTATGAGCATTCAAGGGGGCGTGGGAGAGTGCGACAGGAAAAGGGTGTACAATATAGAGTTGGAGATGAGGCTGTCTGTGGAAGGTTATTGACAAGGCCGGCTTGGTTTGCTTATCGGGCACTCTTATTGCATAGGCATACCCATATATCACATAAACGCATAGGAATGCAACTACGCGACTTCGCGGTTGACCGCTTCCACCCACTTCATGTAAGTAAGCGGAGAAGTTGCCCCTCTCAAATGTTCATACGTAAGAATATTCCCTTAAGAAATACCTACTTAGCCAACTCGTCCGATAACCTCATATTTTCCCGGGGATTTCTCAGATCAGAGCTCATTATCGAGATCTGACTCGCCTTCCCTTCGTCTCCGAATCAACAATACAGGCCCATCTCGCTTCTGCGCTTCGACGGATGCATATAGGCTGACGGGCTTGTCCTACCCACCGCAGCCAGACCAAGTCCCCCTACCCGCCGTAGATCGACGCTCGGTTCGGTACTTCAACCTACCTGCTTATTCTCTCTTCGATAAGCCTGGCGATAACATGTGGCATGTCGTATTCCCGAGACAAAAATCTTTGTTGGCTCTACGACCCTGTCGGGGATCGCGGTAGCATCCATCAGGCGAATGAGACGTACAAGATGGCTCGTCTCGTAAAAGATACGTACTACGTAGTGTATCTATCTTCCACCCGCGTGTCCATGGACGGTGATGATGATCATCTAGCATATCCACACATGTCCACACATGTCCACATATAATCCACATCATCAGCATGGCTAATGCAGTTCTAAGCAGCATGACGAATGCCACCTACAACGTGGTGGGCCTTCTGAGGGTTGCGAGGCGCACCATCACACACGCACATCCATCTACCTTACAACCTGCCGTAGGGAGGAGCCTGTATATCGACTAGGCATATACCTGCCTCCCGCCCAGCACCTACGTATCTGCATGGTATCGACCTCGTATCTTACCTAGGTGCCTACGCCTGCCCTACTGACCGATGGGCCGAAGAAGAAGACTCAATCATGCAGAGGGCGTTGCACCACGATAAAAAACAGGGAAGATCGAGACCCGGCCATGTGCAGTGTGCACACAGACGGCATTCGATGCTATACCTATGGGGCAGCTTCAAAGCGTCGAGTATGGAGTACATAAGCCACCTGCTATGTAGACTTCTGTCTATACGCAGACGGTCCCATCTACACCACATGCCACCGCATACCGATGGATGTGTCATGCAAGTAGTGCGACGGCGGCCGGCCATTTGGATTACGCTGATGGGCCTGAAGTTCTCCGTGGCGTTTCTACGCAACCGTCTAGACACACGGAGATGGGGATACGTACAGGTCGCGAGATTGGGGGGGGAGGGGCCGCTAGGCAAGACTCGGCTGGAATTGGAGCAGGCAGACAACTGCAGAAGCGGCAAAGCGGAGCGGAAGATCTTCAATATATGTAGGTCTCGAAGCAGATCACAGATGTTCCCAAGTTGCCTATACAGACTTACGTGCCTACAGGCATATTCGCACAGACATACACAGACATAGGTACACATGCATTCATTATACACCGACCTCCTAGATACCTCCCGGGTGATTCGACGGCTCCAAGGCTAAGGAATGGCATCAATATGCGCCTATCTGACTAGGTATCTAGGTAATGTGGAACCTCGGGTTCCATCGCCATACTACCCTAGGCAGGCAGGTATACCGTACCTACGGCGAAACGAGAGAGCAGAGATAGGCGGGTTGTCTTAGCAGGTTAGGCGGTTGCTTCGCCTACCTTGCTAACTCTCTCCAGCTAGATTCGCGATGGAGCAACCGGCTGGGCGTGCGAGCTAACTATATACGCGATAAAGCCTCAAGGAACAACCAACCTGCCCTAGAATCGCTCTACCTACTTCTACGCATTCTAACCGCCTAAGACCTGATGGAGGCATCGATTAAGTAGCGGCTGCACCACGACCTGTCCCGGATCCCACCTCGATGAAATTTTTTTGGGACGCGATGGAAGTATCTCGCACTATCTCACCATCAGCTCCTTGCCAAGGGCAAGGTACCTACATTAGATTCTGTGCCTCTTTGATGTTTCGATGGAGTTGCCTCAATGGAACACACCATACACGCCCAGGCCTGTCTAAGAATATGGGATACCTACCTCCTACTATTACTATAAGCCCACTAGATCCCCTATATTTGCAACTGTCTAAACTCTCTATAGTGGGTGTCTACTTACTACAGTACTACCTCCTACATGGCTACCGGCAGGCTCCTATTCCCATCCCTGTATACCTACGTATATATGTACTCATATATATATGATAAGTGCAACAACTAAAGATACTCTCACCCAACTATCTACCTACAGAATCCAGCAGTACCAAGACATGGTTCTCAGCTTCAAAGTACCCTTCTTGCAGCAGCTTCTTACATGGTTGTCCATTCGCCTCCGAGACCCGCTGACCGGCAACTAAGGACAAGGGGCGCCAACGAGTCGCAACGCTGGCCGGGACTTACCCAGACCTGCAGGCTCTGCAGACCCCTGACCTGAGTCCATTCGCAGTCCCGCTTTCTCGCCGTCTCATCCGTGGATAGCGTCGGCCAATCTCCTCCCGACCGACGCACATCCACACCCGCTGCGGACTCCTCCACGACTACGTCCCATACACATCCTGCCTCCCACCTGCCGGTCACCTACCTCGTTTGCCAGCGGCTACGCCACGGCATCTACTGCGTCTTACCCGACCTCCTATACATCCCGCTCCCTTTCATCCCACCCGGGAAATTTCAGAAGAAAATTACTTATCACATTCCCCGAGCGAGACCGGTACCAGAAGCAGACGTCATAAATGTAACCCTCGACCTGCCGGCTCCTGAACAGCAAAAAGAACCCGGGGGTGAGGCGGAATCTGAGATAAATATATAAATAAATAGAACTAGAGGGGGGAAAAGAAGACGAGGATGCGAGGCAGACGCCGCAACACCAGGCATCAATCGCCCCGGACGATAAATACCTGGCCCATGTCCTACTTTCGTCCCGATCCTGAAATCCCTCCAATCTTCCCAGCTCGCGGTCTCACATATTACAAGCTCCGCAGTCTCCCCCTTCCCATCTCGCAGCCCGGCAACATGGGTTCTCTCAGCATCCGGGAGCCCCCAGGTCTCGCAACCCTGCCCACTGATGTTTTCTACATCTTGATCTCGTATCTCGACACCGCCAGGAGTGTTACCCGTCTAGCAGCAACCTGCAGGGGCCTCTATGAGCTCATCTCGGAGTGTGGCTGGCGTATATTCGTCATCTCACGGTTTCCCACTTTCAGGGTCTTAAACGTCGACTCGCCAGACGAGTGGAAGAACCGAGCCCGATCCTTGATCTGTCAAGCCAGAGACTGGGACAGACGCGCCTTTGCCGTCGACGCTCTCGTGCCTCCGGGGAAACGGAGACGGGGCTTCGACCGACACCACGCCACCCAGTCGATCCCCGGCAACGTGATAGTCGACGCCCACCACTGGCGTACCGGCGCCGTCGCGCAGGACCTCGTCTTTTGGGGCGCCGGCGAGGACATCTTTGCTTTGATACGACACACTCGCACCGAGGCCGAGGCCGACGAGTGGCTCGGTAAGAAGGGCGCATCAGTCGGCTACCGGTCCGGCAAGGACGACGTCACATGCGTGTCTATCCTCAAGGACAGCAGATACAACTGCAGCCAAGGGGACAACCCCCAAGTGCTAGTGGGCAGGGCCAACGGGCATCTCCGCCTCCTATCCATGGACCCCCAGAGCTTTGGGCGCACCCTCCTTCACTTCCGCCCGACGAAGACGCCCGCCAACGACATCATACTTCAGAAGCAAATCCAGTCGTTCGATGTCAACTACTCCCAGGGGCTGCTTGCCGCCGCAACTAAGGAGAACATCATAGCCTACCCTCTCACCCCCCATCAACAAACTACTTTCGATGGACCTGGCGACGAGAATGTCTCTCATATGGGGGAGGCGCCCTACATTGCGTCTTCACAAGCCATATCCCTAAAGGACAGCGTCGATCCTTCGTGTGATTTTGAGTTCATCCGATCTGTCAAGTTCACCGATCCGGAGACTCTCGCCATCGCTCTGAACAAGAGCTACAATCCGCTTCAGCACCTCCGATTCACCCCGACGGGGATCGTGCGCGTAGCGGCAGCCAAAATGAGCACTGCCGACTATGATGCAGGAAGTGCCAAGCCGAGAACAGTTAGGGCACTTTTGCCTCTCGATACGAGTTCCGTGGTGGGTAGGGGCGGGTCTGCTCTCCTCAGCTCCTGGGACGACGGCACGATTCGGCTCCAGGATCTTCGCACGCCGTCGCCGTACGACAGGCTCTATCAGGACAACTTCGATATCTCGACACCGATCAACGCCCTGCTCTCCCGCGGCCTCGAGAGGTTTGTCGCGGGCAGCGCGTACGCGCCCGTGCTCAAAGTATTCGACTACCGCTGGCATAAGGGCTACTACCATACGGATTCTCTCCCCTGCGGCAACGATAGGCCCTACCCAACTCCACGGCCCCCCACCATCATAAGCGAGCCACCCTTTCCCGAAAATCGGGCGCCGTGTGATCACATCGGCGGCCGGCCTTGCCGATGGCACGCTCTCTCGAGACTGGACTACTATCGGCCCAACTTCAATATGTGGCTCCTACCCCCTGCCGGAGATAGCTCCCCGGTCTACTCGGTGGCCTCACCTGCCGACGATTCGCCGACGCTGTTTGTAGGCCTATCTGGAACGCTCATGGAGATCACGGCGAAGAGCAGCCCGTGGCCAGTGTTCAGGAATAACGTCTGGCCCGCGCGTGACCTCTCGTATCTGCGACAGGCGGGCAGCACGTCGTTCATCGAAACCGGCGACGGCGCATACCTGTCAGACGTCGCGCAGTCGCGGCGCGTGCCACCGATGCACCGCCAGGTATTCAGAGACCTGAGCAACGACTCGCCGGTGCGCGCCGCCTGGCGGAGGCGCAGTCGTCTCGACGAGTGGGTTCAGGACAACCCGGGGGAAGAAGACTACGACGAGCTGCACCAGCGGATGAGTCGCGAGCTCGTCGTGCAGCCCCTGGCGTAAGCCCGGCAAAGCGAACACAAAAAAGATGTTGCTGTTTCTTATAAAAAAAAGGAATTATGATAGACTTCCCTTCTTCGGCGATCGACACACTTGTCGTGTTCGCGCGCTGTTATGATTCACGATCCTGCGAAGTCTCTCTCTCGGGAATGTGGTCTACGGCGAAGCTCGAAGGCTGGGAACTTGACGCCGACGATGCATCTCTTTTCGTTTCTTTCGTCTCTTTCTGTCTCTCGCTCTTTTTCATGTCGCTGTCCAGACTTTGTTTCTAGCGCATACCTAGTACATAGTCTTATCGCCTGTCAGCTACGACACCCTCCGAGGCCGAGGGCGCCCACGCCTACTGCTACCAAAGGGGTCTCTTCTAGTGGGCTATTAGAGACTGATATCAGCGGGCAGCTCCCAGTATTTTGCGCCACCTAATGAAGAGTGCTCGTCGCTGACAACAGATATGCCTGCTTCTTTCTGCTGACTAGTTCATATGTAGCATCAAGGCCCTCATACGCCGCTCTGTGTCGCTCGTGTGGACAACACCAGCCCAACTAACTCCATAGTATCCTATCGTCTCGTGCATGGTCAACGGCTGTGTTCCGCCTAGTCACTGTTTACTGTCCTCGCGCAGACAAGAACACCCCTATCGCCACCCAAGTCGCCTCCTAATAAGGCCGCCTACCCTGCCAGCTCCAGGGCCTACAACTCGACCACCGGGGACCTGTTACAAAGTAAGTAAGCGATGGAAAACTATACCTCGCCACCCAGCACATTTCACGCCAACTGCCTTAAAACTAAGCTAGGCACATGGCTACCACCCGGTGAGTTTGGGGGTGTGAATAGAGGGGGCAACTCGGAGTCGCCGCTTTGCTACTCTGTTATTTTCCCCTTATCGCCCTCTATTTATTCCGACGACGACAACGGCGGTTATCTTGGTAGTGGTTTGGTGGCTTAAATCTATGCACACGACCCCGGCATTGGAACTTACGACAAGGTTTTGTTACGTAGAAGAGTAGGTAGATGTCGTAGCGCTGGTATCCTAATACATATATTTAGGTCTGCTCCCGCCACCTATTTCTAGATATACGTCTTCTTCTTCCCCCTCCGGGATGACTTACCCCTGGCGAGGCACCGTACTGGCAGCACGAAAGGCCAGCCGTAAGCCAACTCACGCTGCTCAATTCCCCATGTCTAATTGGCTCGCCGACGCGCTGGCTCGAAGTGGTTGCCGTTGCGGGGACCCTTGTCGATGTCACGTTAGGATGGAGAGATCAGGGAGATCAGCACTCGCAAAACGACGTCTACTTATAGAATAAGAAGAATACCTGTCTTTTTTTTTCCGTGGCTAAATCGGCACTCTCCCCAGGATCAACTAACTATCGATCACCTCGGCCTCGAGACGACGGGAACCGGAGTACCTTATACATTAATTTAATAGCCTAAAGATCCAAGAGAATCCGAACTACCGGGCACATCGTAGGTAGCATTGCATCACCTGTCTGTAAGTAACCTGCCTGCACGTTTCTTCCATTCTTCATTGGCTACGCCTTTGTGATATTGTTACGAGGCGAAAACGCAGCCTGAGAAGTTTCTCTTGCGGCAGCGATTTCTCACAAAAGGCCACGCTACATGTACACGATCACATCGCTGAGAAAGAGTTGCGGTTCTATTCGATCTTGACCCTCACTAGTCGCCGAGTCCATTCCGCCTGCTGAGCAGCTAGGACCGATTACCTACCTACGTTTAATGAGCCGCGTCGGTGCCGATGCATATAATGGCTAATGCAAAGCCATAGGTGTGAGAGGTGATTGACTGACTCACTTTCCGTCTTATAAGTGCCAACCACCATCCGTGTCTAGAAGGCACGCTATGAACCCGTCTGAATCCGCATTCCCCCCAAGAGAAGCCAGATAAATGCGCATCACCCGGATCGTCCATCATCCATAAACGCGCCGAAGTGCCCTTTTCGAGCAACCAACCGACAACTCGGAGACTAGACCGACACTTTTACCCACGTATCTATCCATCCACGCCATGGCCTTCGCAAACCTCCTCCCACTGGAGTCGTGGTGGCCGCCATCAGCTGCGGGGATCCTCCTCGCGCTAACCGCGCTGTACGCCTTCGCGCTGTACCTTTCCTCGCGCAAGCTCGACCCCCGCGAGCCCGAGGTCGTGGCGCCCGCCGTCCCGCTCGTGGGCCACGTACTCGGAATGGCGATATTCGGCGGCAGATACGTGAAGAACCTAGGGTGAGTCCTCTATCTCCACGTCCCCCCACCCCCTCCTTTTCCCCTTTCCTCCCAACCACCCATCCCATCTCCCCGGCTCTCGCTCACGCGCGCGCCAGCATCCGCCGCCCGGACCTGCCGATCTTCACGCTGCCCGTGCCCGGGTCGCGGCTGTACATCGTGACGGACCCAGGCCTGGCGGCGGCGGTGCAGCGGGCGCCGCGCGCGCTGTCGTTCCTGCCGCTCGTCCCGGAGCTCACGCGGCGCGTGCTCGGGCTCGACGCGGCCTCGGTCGCGATCGCGCGGCGCCGCATCGACGACGACCTCGACCTGCCCGCGACCACCGCCGCCGCCGGCCCCCCGCGCGCGAGGGGCTTCCTCACCGACATCCAGGACATGGTGACGGCGCAGCTGGCGCCCGGCGCGTACCTCGGGCGGCTGAGCCTGCGCGCGGCGCGGGACCTGCGCGACGAGATCGGCACGTGGCGGGCCACCGCGCTCGACCCGCCGCACCGCCCCGCCGCCGCGCGCGCCGACCTGCTGGCGTGGGTCCGCGGGCTCGTGACGCGCTCGACGGCGCGCTCGCTGTACGGGGCGCGGAACCCGGTGGCGGCGGACGCGTCGCTGGCGGACGCGTTCTGGGACTTCGACGGCGGGCTGGGCGGGCTGCTGGCGGGCGTGTGGCCGGCGGCGACGGCGCGGCGCGCGCACGCCGGGCGCGAGCGGCTCGTCGCGGCGCTCGAGACGTACCTCGCGCGCGGGGAGCACCTCACGGGCGACGAGGCGGAGGACGGGCCGGGCTGCTCGGCGATCGTGCGGCGGCGCGTGGCGATCGCGCTGGCGCACGGCTGGGCGCTGGGCGCGGTCGCGCGCGAGGAGCTGTCGTTCCTGTTCGCCGGCATCGTCAACGCGACCACGACGGCGTTCTGGGTGCTGGCGCACGCGTACGCCGACGCGGCGCTGCTGGCGGCGGCGCGGCGCGAGGTGGAGGCGGCGCTGGAGCCGGCCGAGGAAGAAGGGGGCGGGAGCCGGCGGCGCCTCAGCATCGCGGCGCTGCGCGACCGCTGCCCCGCGCTCGCCGCGACGTACCGCGAGTGCCTGCGGCTCGGCTCCGACACGTACTCGACGCGGCTCGTGCGCGAGGACACGCTGCTCGCCGGGCGGCACTGGCTGCGGCGCGGCGCGGTCGTGCAGGTCGCCGGCGGCGTGATGCACGCGGACGCGCGGATCTGGGGCGCGGACGCGGCCGCGTTCGACCACCGGCGGTTCCTGGAGGGCCCGGAGGCGGAGGCGAAGAAGAGGAACAAGAACAAGGTCCACCCCGCCGCGTTCCGGGCCTTCGGCGGCGGCAAGACGCTGTGCCCCGGGCGCCACTTCGCGACGAACGAGATCCTGGCGCTCGTCGCGCTCGTGGTGCTGCAGTTCGACGCGAGGGCGCCGGACGGAGGGCCGATCGAGGTCCCGCGGAAGAACGACGGCGTGCTGCCGGTGCACGTGCTGGAGCCCGTGCGGCCGGTTGAAGTAGTGATCTCGGAGCGGGCGGACGGGTTCGCGGCCGGAGGGCTCGACGTGGAGTTTGTCTTGTGATTAAAGGGGGGGAGGGGAGTGGGGGTAAGACGAAGGGGGAAAGGGGCAGGATGAGTGCGGAGGTGCTTACGGTAATTGTGGTAATGGTAACTAGGATGAAGATGGAGCTATGTATTTTATGGGATGAGATGTGAGATAATAATAAGAGCCGTATTGTCGGCGAAGACTTGGGATGTTGCAAGCCATACCTACTATATCGATGACACTCTATAAGAATGCGTCTATGTCTCCTCATAGGACGATCTCGATCACTAGCCGCAAACCACACATGGTTCCAGAAATTCGGGTGCTTTCCTACCCTGTCACTCGTGACGTGTAGTTGCGATCCCGCCGCAGATCGTCGGTTATGTAGATATATGAGTACCTATACCTAGGTACGTCTGTATGTGAGTGTTTCGTTGCCTAGCAGGCAGTGATCGCACAGGCACAACGTTGGCAACTAGGTACTTAGGCAGCTTCATTATGTCCCGACAGCGGCGACAGGACGCGTAAGCTTACTGGGACGAAGGAGAAGCACGCACCGCAGGTGATCCGCCTAGGTGCCAATGGCATACTAGAGGCACACGTATGTGCGTGTGTACGTAGGTAGATATAGGCAGGGGAACCAAGGGACCGCAGTGAGGGAGACGGGATGCGCGACCGCTCACCGGACGGGCGCCTATAGCGTAGCATATAGCAGACGAAGGACCAACGAACGAAAAGGGGCCAGAGAGGGAGGAGAGTGGACCTAGTCGGCTACCGGCACTCTGGCGTCGCATCTACAGGGACTTAGCACGCGTGGCCGGGGGCCGTACATGGCAGCGGGAGTCTGCACTTCGTGGCCCGGATCCAGAGAGACGGGCGGGGGATACTATGGATAACGAGTTATGCGCTATCCTCTTCTATCCGGGGTGTTTCGTGGGTAGGTATCGTGAGAATTCGCAGGAAGCATGCGAACGTCACTCACCTAAGCTACCTGAGTTGGGTACCTGGATACGAGGCTTAGAGGTACCTTACCGGCAGGCAGGTAACCTAAGATGAGTGCCTATTAGGTATCCTTAGAAGAGGTGATTGGCTCCCGGCAGAACGCTGACGTTGCTCAGTGTGGCTTACGCATCCCTTGGCTAGGTACCTAAGGTACCTAGGTAAGGCTCATCCACATGAGAGGCCCTTTTCTATGCGATGCTGCCCGTGTATCTAGAGGTACCTGTGGCTACATCAATATGGGATAACAGCGGGCGACAAGTTGCTGGACAATGACAGTAGCATGACCCACTCCAGCTTCCCTGGCCCGTCCCAATTGGTTCGTTTCTGCTCCATGGTTCTGCTCTGCTTGTTCTTGTATACATCTGTACAAACCCAACTTATATACGATAGGTACCTTCAGGTACCTCTACTAGCACAACCCCCTCCAAGCCTGCTTCCTACGTACACTTGTCAGACCGTTAGGTAGGTGCGTATGTACCTCCTCCATCCGTCCATCATCACCTGGGATTCGACCTCGCAGACACAAAACCTCCCCATCATCTCCCAACCACCAACAACCTCAGCCTCCTAGTGACGCTCTCCTGTTTCGCTGTCCTCTCGCCCATACGCATCTCCGTACACTTACCCATACACGCATCCGCACCCGCACGACCTCCCGCCTAACATCCGAACGTCCGAGACGCTTCGTTGCGAGAACAAAAGAAGAAAAAAGAGCTGCTGCTAGTACGAGTACGACCGACGAGGCCCAGTAACGAACACCTTTGCCTCTAGATCCCACCACGCCATCGCATCCGCATTATCGACCGCCCACGCCGTCCCCATTAGTCTGTCCGTCCTTGCCGCCCTCGGCTTCTGTTTTACCTCGACGACAACCCCTTGTCTAGTATCAGCAGTCCAAGACTAGCCACACTTCTTCCACTCAACATGTCGCTCAAGGAAGAGTTTGCGACGAGGAACTTCAGTAGGTGGCCCTTTGCCGATTCAACTCCAAGCGATAGGCGAGGCCGAGATCACTGATGACAGCGTAATTAGGTATCTATGGACAATGGTGAGCCCCCCCCCAAGTAAACATTCTCATCCTCCGCCACTTTTCGGTTTCGGGGACCGCTAGGGTATTCTTTGCGACTACCGATCATACCAAAGGGCCTATCATATGCTATCATTTCTTATACCATGCGCCGAAACGCCGGCCGAGCCCAGCAGAGTCGATAGAAATCAGATCGTCCTCACTGTCTCCTCTCCGCCGTGAACAGCTAGCTAACTCGTCGCTCGGCATTCCTATAGGCTCGGCATCCTGTCCATGATCCTGTGCTTTGCGCTGGGCATCGCCAACCTCTTTAACCTCTTTCATTTCCTTCTCATCATCTTTGCCATCTTCGCCCTGTAAGTTTACCCCGATCCCGATGACGATGGTCGTGGTCGCGAGCCGTGGAAACCCCCCGCCGGGGAAGCTGACCTGCGCCGCAGCGTGTCCTTCTTCATCATCCTCTTCATCGAGGTTCCCCTCCTGCTCCGAATCTGCCCTACCTCGGCCGCGTTCGATGCCGCCATCCGCAAGGTCTCGACCAACTACATGCGTGCCGCTACCTACGGCGTCATGGCCATCATCCAATGGGTCAGCCTCGCCGTCACCGCCAGTAGCCTGATCGCCGCCGCCGTCGTCCTCACCATCACCGCCCTCTGCTATGCCCTTGCTGGTATCAAGGGCCAGGCCTTCGTCGGCAGCAAGACCCTAGGCGGCGCCGGCGTGGCCCAGATGATCGTATGATCTAGCTAGCGGCTGGCGGTACGGCGGGGCGAGCCGACCACCTCGAGTTCAGGGACGGCCGTACACGAATTGGCCTCGCTTCCCACGGAGAGGGGTGAGAGGAGAGGATAATGTGTGATTGACGAGTCTCCGAATCTGTGCGCACGACGAGGAAAGAAGAAGGTGGAGAGAGGCAGGAAAGAGGAATGAAGACGAGGGAGGCTATTTCTTAGGAACGGAGTACTGATTTGGACCTCGGTTCGCCCGCTCCCTTTTACTGGTGTAGAGGGGTGAAATGGACGTTGGCATTATCTTTTCGTCCTTATTTTGACTCGGTTCAGGGGTACGGCGTACCGGAATATGACGCGAGCAATATGGCTGCTGATTGTTCTTGACCCCGTGTCCTGTAAGCCCGCGTCCAGAATGGAAAAAAAAAAAAACGATACCCCAGTCTGGTCCGGTGCTGGTGTCGTTTTAAACGAAATGGAAGTAGACAGGAAAGGGGAAAATAAAAACCACGGTTTCATCTCTCTCTCTCTCTCTTGGTGTGTGTGTGTATGTGTAGGTGCCCCCCGAGATGATGATAGTATGGACTCGTCTACCCCCTTCCTATGTATTATCCCTCGACTCTCAGGGCTCGACTCAATATCTTCTCCCACTTTGCTCATTCTCCCCTTCCCAGGCGCCGGAGTCTATAGTGGTATAGGTACGTGGGTAAGATATCTACGCCATTCGCCTACCTGGAGTATGGGCTGGCCTTCTGTGCCGTGCCTACCTATAGAAGTACATTTAAGCGAGATTGCTAGCCAGCTACCAGGTTTTACGATAGTAGCTGCTTAAGCCCCTACACAGCCAACCTTCGTTCGAGAAGAGAGCTGAATTAGGCTCCCCAGTGATCCGCAGGGTTCGAGCGGGCCGAGGAGGTACAGACAGGCCGGTGCCCAAGGCCCGGATCCCTCAGGGTCGATTGCGTGCTCCCCCCTTCTAGACTCGAGCGAACCTCTGTTAGAGCGGCCTCTTAAGTCTACCTGCTCTCTATCTAGACCTGCGCATGGAGGCCAGCCAGCCTGCCTCACAATTACCTAACCTCCCCCCCTCAACTGCTTACGTAGTTAGATCGGACCCGCCTTTCCGGTTAAAGTTTTTTGGGCTCGGGATGGCTGGGGGGAGGCCCGGGAGGAGGCCCCGGAGAGAGTCTAGATCGGATCAGGTAACCGACATAGCTCCTCTTTCTCGGACATGGGGAAGGCCATCTGCTCTGTTTGATTCAACGCTGGGTGGTTTATATAGCGTCCATCATGTATACACAGGTCCCTAGATAGGCAAGTGGTAAAGCGAGGTAGGTAAGGCTAAGATCGCGGAGGATGAGATGTGACGCGATGCCGTCATTGCTGTCACCCAACCCACCTTGCCTCGCCTTTCCTGTCGGCATTAAAGTGCGACTATGCGGACATGGGCGTTGCAGATATGCTAGCAGGCGGATGCTACCTCCTAATTTGTAATGGGAATATCGCATGTAGGATCTAGGGATAGCTCGGCTATCATGGGAGGAGATGGTAACCCCCGGCAGGTAGGACGTCTCCTACTTTTTCATAGGGGCTACGTGGAAAAGTTAGGTGAGATATCTAAGGCAGTGGGACGAATCACCGAACATACGTAATGATCAGGCACTTGAGGCGATCGAGGGAGCACGCCTTACCCAACCTGCAAACGCATTGCCGGCCCAGGGCGTACTCATACCAGGGCGATTTGGGAAGCTGTCAGATGTGGGTACCTGAGCCTATACTTCCCTCGTATTGACCATGAATACCTGAGATCAGTAGGTTACTTAACGAAGGATAGGTTCGATTCCTAACAGCGCTACTTGGTAGTCTTCGCTATGTTAGCTTATCTACCTGTACCTACCTGCATCCTCTAAGGCCGTGATCAACACAGTGGTGAGTAAATACGTCCCACATGGTCACTTTAACAAACCCGGCGAGAGACCATTCCCCTAAGTGGCGAGCGATAGACTCGCCTCCGTGACGATTCGAATTCTGGGGCAACTCTCTCTCGCCCGAAGACGAGGCCGAAGACAACGATGCGTGAAATGCGTCAACTCCACCTTTCCCGCAGGTTTCCCGCAGGGGGTGAAGAAACCTGGGACAGCGATCTGCATGTACTACCTGGATAGTCGCGCCCGTTGGGAATTTTCGGGACGAGGGTGGGAGACGACAACAAGGAGCCGTTCGAGAAGTCTCAGCATGTGTCGCGGTGCCTTGCGAGCGACATTGCAGATCACACCAAGTCATGCGTAGCGTCAGTAGATCGATCGCTAGGAGGCGTCTGGCTCCGTTCCTGTCTGTATTCCTAAACCGACGGTTCAAAGTACCCACCTACCTACCTCCTCTGGACACCTCCGCGCGTATTATGTAGAAATAGGTACCTGGTAAGAGGAGGAGAACCGCTGTCGAGAGAGGTAATTGCGATGTCGTGCTGGAATGGTTACGTTGCGAGGCTTTTCGGACACCTACACGCATCGCTCGACGAGGAATAACTTTCTGGATGTCAGGCATTGGCGTCCCATCGAATTTCGTGTTTCGGATTTGGGTTGTATAGGACCAAATCTAGGCATGTAAGGCAATATGCATCAAGCCGGAAACGGTACCCCTCATTTACATGGTTTATGGGTGATACGGAAAGGGGATAAAGGTAGGTACATAGACGTATCCGTATGTATGTGCGTAGACAAGGTAGGCAGCTGAGGTACCGGCGCGGTACAGCACCTGTAGCTACGCGCAGGGAGAGCCGTTGGTTAGAGAGGATGGAGGCTCTGGAGACAGGAGGAGGGGAAACGCAAGGTGAATCTCACGATACCGACCACAGTCCGCACAGAGAAGGTATCTACCTGAGGTACCTAGATATATACACCCAGGTACCTTAGCCATGTATGTAGGTACATGTAGGAGGTAGGTACCTGATCTAACAGGTAGGTATATATAAGTCGGGAGTCCTTCCTAACCGCCCGCCTATCCAGTCCCATGCGTACTCATATATCTTCAGTCTCATCATCACGACTCCCGACGGCAGCACTGCCGGTATAACGCTACAACGGCCCAGTTACCTAAGTAGGCTCCCCAGTCGAGCCGGACCTGAGTCGAACGCTGAGCTGCCCTTATACTAGCATACGCACCGATTTGCACCTAGGTGTTATATAACATTACACCTCCTACGTACCTTCGACCTCCACCACCCCTCTCGAGTCCTAGCTCCAAGACAGAAGGAGCAATTGCGAGAACCCCCTTTGTTGCATTTTGCGCATTAATTTGTGGGTGACGGCTGGATAAATCCTGCCATCGACACTTACCTACTTACATCACCCGCGGGCGAATCCGGTCCCCTGGCAAGGTCAAGATTTCCTGGCAAGGTCAAGATTTTTCTTTGGTTTCGAGAAGACCACATCTCTCTCCTCTTTTCGACTATAAATACATACGAGAAGACGGCGAGACGAACTCGAGCGACGACCAGCACCCAGAAGAGCGCTATCCGTTGCCAATCGAGATCGAGGCAATCCTGCTGACCCAACCTTACCTGGCCTGCCCCGGTCCTCCCTCTGCACGCCGGCCAATCAGCTGACGAAGATCCAAGTAAGTCGCCGACCCAGACAAGAATCGCCCGTCTTGCTCCCTGGCGGCTTGGGGGGAACCCCCTCGCGATACACTTTAGCATACATGGTCTTTGCCGGTCCACTTAGCATTCGCCCGTGCTTCGTCGCTGTCCCTCCCCTTCCCTCCTTTTCCGTTTTCCCGTGTCGAGAAGAGCGAGCGAGTGAGCGAGTGTTGTAAGAGAAGGTCGTGGCCTTGACCGGTCCGCCTCCCCCTTTCACATACCTATATCACAGAGGAGGTAGAAGCTAGAGGGGGAGAAGAGGGACGACAAGTCTGTTTGCAGTGTCTCACCCACATCGCCCACTATACCGTGATACCTGCATGCCTGCATATAACATACACGGCACACCGATCCAGACGCCTCTGGTGCTCATACGTGCTGGGATGCATCTGCACGCACATGGCTAGCTTATCACGACACCAATACCTTCGCATGATTCCTCTTACTGTCATTATTATTACCTGCTACAGCTTGCTAGCTAGAGCTAGCTAGCTAACCAGCTGTCCGTCTCATTTTTTTTCCTGCCCCACCCCTCCTTGCGTGCCAACAGTAACGATTCTGTCCTGTTCCTATCGTCTCGGCTGCCTCACCGCATGATAACCGCGATCGGGAGCTAACTACATGGAGACCGAGGAGGAGACCAGGAACTGGTGCCGACGACTAGGCCGTGCCAAATCATAGAAAACCGGTCGACCGTCCCCTTCTCACAGGCATTTCGATATATCGAATCTGCATATCCCACACCCACGGTCCACATCCGGCCAGTCAGGTCCAGTCTATCCAACTATCACCCGACAAGTCTCCTGCTGTGGAATTGGCTGAATTGGCCGAGCTGGGCCTGCTGCCAAATCATCCAACCGCCTCGACCAGCAATTCCTGTGTTTTGTGCTTTATGCGGTACGTTGTATGCGGAACCCCCAAGTCCCTCCCTACACACACCTACACCTACCTACATACCCTACAATATATGAGGGGGGCCCGTACGAGAAAAGCAGCTGCCCGAGGAAGAGGGAAGAGAAGCTCGTGTGCGTGTGGGTTCTTCTAGTAAAACCTTTCCGCGTACGGCAGCTAAATTTATCACCAAAGGCAGGTAAACCGACCCAGCTTCTACACACATGTACATATGCCACTTATAAGTTTTTCTCCTCGACTTTGCCCTCGTCGCCATCCCCTTCCCCCCCCCCCTTCCTTAGCTCCCTCTAGATCGTCTTCAAGCTTTCCATTCATTCCTCGCTTCTCGTTGCTGACACTTCCTTTCGTCGACTGCTATTTTAGGCCACACTGTCACCCACCGCACGTGAATTGCAATCGTTTCGAGCACCCGAGCTAACCAACACCTCTGCATTTCCTTCTTTGTTCAGCATGTCTGCCGCCACCATGTCATCCGTTCCGGCTATCCCTCCCCGTCCGGCAAAGACAGGGGAGAACGACAGTACAGCCTCCGGGCCCGTCATTCCCCCTCGTCCTACTCGCCGCTTCAATCGCTCCGTCTCCCCCAACCCAGACCGTTTTGCTCCCTCACCGTTGAACGAAGGCGCCTTTGCTTCGAAGAGCCCCGATCCCCATCGGCTGAGCGCTACTCGCCTAGGCCACGAGTTGGAACGTTCCACTAGCGTCGAGATGCCTAGCGTGGGTGAGGAAGGTCGGGAATATGCTGTTGCGATCGAGGAGCTGGGCGCCGCCTTGGAAGCTCCCCGTCGGTCGTCCGGTTCCCCCGAGCAAACCCGCACCGTCGGCGAGGACCTCAAGCTTCATGCTCCGAAGCCGACCATGCCCGCCCAGAGCGCCAAGCAGCGCGTTGCCGCCGTTACCCGTACAGATTCCGAAAGAGCTGCCGCGTTTGGCATCGGGCGTCCGTCCCACGAGGACCAGACCCAGGCGGGTATGACCCTCAGGAAGAAACCGAGTACCGCGAGCCAGCTCTCCCACCAGAGCGATTCCTATATCGAGGACGAGCACGGGATTCCCGAGATCGGGCGGAGGGTCCCTATGCTGGCCAACGCCGGCGATGTCCAAGCTCCCTCCCCGGACCCGGCAAAAGCCGCCCGACATCACGCTAGGGCGGCTTCCCGAGGCGGGTTCGGCGATCTTCCGTCCGACGTCTACGGGCTCCACGGACATGGTGTTACGTCCACCGACAAGCTCGACAAAGCATACTATGAGAAACACCCCGAAATACTTCAGAAGGAGCGCTACAACCCTCTCCACGGCCGCGTACGCGACTACGCTATGAGCAGCGAGGACCTGAACAAGATCGTCCGGGATACGGCCAGTCGCGGTGCTGGTTTCGGTAACGCAGACTGCCAGAGAACTTTGGAGTGCTTCTAACCGATTGTAATAGGTGATTATGCCGAATACATTGGGACTCCGAGCGAACAGGTCGGCTTTCAAGCCGCTGAGGAGTATGCGTCGCGCATTGCGTCTCCGCGACCTCCGTCTTCCTCTCCCAAGCAAGGCACAATCTCCTTGACGTCTGGCTCCTCGGCGACCGAGGTGGCTGCCGACAATGCTAACGTACTCGGCGACGACGACGTCATTCACGTAGACGAGCCCAGTCGGCGTACGGGATCCGTTAAATTTGGTGATGAGACCGGCGCCGAAGGCGAGCGCACTGAGGAAGTATACGCACAGCCAATTCTAGCCTCCGACGAAGTAGCCAAGGACACGTCGCCCTACCAACTCCAACCCGCTATCGAGCCTCCGCCAGATCGGCACGGGAGCGTATACGATATGGAGGAGCCCGGAAGTCGCTCCGCCAGCAGACCAACGAGCATTTACAGCCCTCCACTGCCCGAGATCCGCTCTACCCCTTTAGAAGATGTCGAAGAGTACGAGCCTCTTTTCCCGGAGGATGACAAGAGCAGCAAAAAGCCTCCGGCCCAGACCGACAAAACACAGGAACCCCGCCAGAGATTCCCGAGTCGAGACATCTGGGAGGATCCCCCTAATTCTGTGTACTCCACTGCAGAAGTCTCAACGCCGGAGATACTAGAAGCTCGTCAGAGAGAACAAGCTCACGTCGCGGACGTGCCCCCACGAGACGGAGAGACCCCGGCTCAAGCCTTCGCTCGGAGACAAGAGGAACTCGCCGAGAAGGAAGCGATTACCCCAGACAGCTTTCTGCACCGCCAGCAGAAGGCCGCCTCGCGAGTCGAGAACCAATCGCACCTAGCCAAGGGGGCTGCCAGTCGGCCTGGACTTGCCCGCCGGTTCCCGAGTCGAGACGTCTGGGAGGATACTCCCGATTCTCTACAGTTCACCACGACAGTCTCCGCTCCACAGACCGCCGAAGAACCTCACGAAGAAGAGGTGGCGAAGCCGGCCACCGAGGAAGCGACACAGAAACCCGCCGTCTCGGTCGGTCTTAAGAAGCAGGAACCGGGAGAGGAGTCTGCACCAAGACCAGTCATTCCTAGCCGCCCGAAACCTCAAATTCCCGCTCGCCCTTCGAGGCCATCCTCAGAGCCTAAGGAGCCCGAGCCGGTAGCGAAGCAGAAGCCCGCGGTACCGGCGAGGCCTGCCGGAGGGAAGATCGCTGCTTTGCAGGCAGGATTCTTGTCAGATCTCAACAACCGTCTACGGCTAGGCCCGCAGGCCCCTAAGAAGGAGGAAGACAAGCCCCAGGAACAAGTCGAGGAAAAGGAAACGGCCCCGCTATCGGACGCGAGGAAAGGCCGCGCGCGAGGTCCTCAGAGACGAGCCCCTGCTAAGGTTGTGAGCTCAAGCGTCGCCGCGGAGACTGGGCCTACGTCTGCGGCCAATGACAAGCCCCTTCTAACCTTCTCGCTCACTCGCACCTTATGGAGCATCGACGAAGAAGGCAACGTGCAAGTGGACGTTTCTGAACCGGAAAAGTTACCATCAACCGCAGAGACCAAGCCAGAAGAAATTAAATCTGCGGAGCCCAAGCCCGAGAAGTCTAAGAGTGAGGAGCCAAACTTGGAAGCGCCGCGACTTGAGCAGAAGAAGGTGGAAGCCGAGGCGGAGCGGGCGCCAGAGGTCAAGGCAGCCGATGCCAAGCCGAAGGAGACCGCAGAGGAAGATAACGCGGTAGAAGTGACCAAGACGCTCGCCACAAACACAGCCGGCGAGCCCATACTAAAAGAGACCATCAAGGAGGAACCATCCGGGGACCAAGTGCTAGAAGTTGAAGACGTTAAGGACGAGGTGGAAGAATAACAGGTCAGCTACTTTTCTCCGCTCAGGGGGAGGGGGAGCGTACACGAATGGCTCTCACCACGTTTCGTTCTAACTTCAATCCCACATCACGTTTGATGACCGAGGCCTCGATATAAGGAGGGCGCTGCGAGGCAGTCTAGGGACGACAGATTACGCTCTTTTTAGGAAGGAGAATATTGAACGGAAGAAAGTTTAGAAGGTATATAATAGAAAAAGCAAGCAGCGGGGACCTAGACTGTAGGCCATGACACGTCCCTCCCGTGCCGCTCCCGCTATTTCGTTCCTTACTGCTCTCGTATTTCATTTCCTCCTTGCGTATCCTCTTGCGAGGCCAAGCGTAGTAGATGGATACAGGTGGCTTTTCTTTCGCAAAACCACGACAATTCCACAGGAAGAAGAGAGAATAAGCAACAAGATATAAGAAAAAGTAAGTGAAGAGCTTGGGGGGATCGAAGGAGAATAAATGAAAGTAGAGATCAAGCCAGAGAGGGACTGGGGCTTTGTCTAGAGACACAGGCGATTCTACAGACAGAGCCACACGGGGTATTCTCTAGTATCCTCGGGTCGGTTCAAGCAAGGTGGTTAGAGTCGGAAGAGAAGAGAAGAATAGAGGAGCCGGCAGGGGAAACCAAAGCATCAGAAACCTGCTCAGAGGCCGATTCTTCCTTTTCCACTCACCTCGGGTTCTGCTCAAGTTGCGGTAGGATACAGGAGCCTTCCAACCAGCCGGTCGGTCAAGTAGGCAGACTCATGAGAAAGGAAGATCTCTGATCAGCTAGCAACATGTCGAGCTCCTTAGCTACTGGGGAGTAGGCTAGACGGGGCAGGTAGGTAGGCGGGCAGATGGTCAATATACTACTCTCCCTCTCCTTGCATCTCTCTCCGTGCCGTGTCAACGACTACACCAGCGCTAGGTCACCGTCGAGAGGCATGTTTCCCCAAAACTTCACTGGACTCTGAGCGCGTGCGGGCTATGTCGATCAAGTCTTACTATCTAGTATATGGGTATATATACACATACACATCGGTTCTCTCATGCGTGCGTCTACGCGGATGTCAAGCCTAGGAGGCACGGGAAAGGGGAGACGGGACATCCCCGGGAAGGGACCTGCGGACATCGACCACGAGCCCGCCCTATCCCCTACTTCACACACCGACACACACACACGCACACGCACACGGGTCGGGCCCGATCCGTCGGTCGATTTGCTTGCGTATTCATCATCAGACATTAAAACATGTGCCCCCGCAGCTTGACTCCGCCCGGGGCCCCCCCTTTCGCGCCGGCTGGGCTGGGGCTTGGTACAACAGTGCGTTGGTTAGTTACATGGGTATGGTATATGTGGATGGATGGATGGTATAATGGCCCCGTCGCCGTGTCTCCTGATCCCGCGCTGCCTCGCCTCTTCCGAACTCCTTGACTCCTTCTATCGTATTTCCCTCCCTTGTCTACCCCCGCGCACCGCCCTCTATGCCGTCCCGTCCCGTCCCGTCCACCCGTCATCCGTCGGAGCCCCTCGGCCGGGCGTTTGGTGGTATGTAGCGGTGGTGGCGGAAGAATTCCGCAGTAGCTTTGTGGGCGCCTTTCCCGCTCTTGCCGGTCTTCCCGCCGCCGCCACTGCCGCCTTCTTCTTTGCCCGCGCCTTCTTTCCTTCTCCTCCTCCTCCTCTTGTTCTTCTTGTGGCACAGCTCGATGGCCATCGCCACCTCGATCGATATCTCGGTCAGGATCTTGGCCAGCGCCTCGGGCGAGATGTCGTCGTCTAGGGTCGCGTCCGTGTCCGTGTCCGTGTCCGTCGTGGTCATGGATGTCTCTGTTCGGCGGGGGAGGGCAGGAATCAAATACCTCAACATGAGCAAATCAGGTACGTTAAAACACCAGAGGCCGTGGTTTTCGGTTCGAGCTACACCATACCAAGGATCTCCAGCTCCTCCTCATTGTCGTCGTCGAAGACCACCACCTGGCGTCTCATCCGCGTCCGCGCGCTCGCGCTCGCGTCTTTTTTGCTGCTCCCCGCGCCGGGGCCGGGTTTCGAGTTGTCGTTGTCGCCGTAGCCGGACGCCGTAGATGAGCCCAGGAGCAGGTCCGTGCCGAGGCTTTCGCGCCCGGCCTCCCGGATCCCCTTCTCGGTCACGAACCGGGTCTTCTTGCGCGCTGGGGGCCGAGCGCTCCCGCTCCCGCTGCTACTGGGATCGTCTGCCGCGTCTCGGCCTCCTCCCGTCGTGAAGCTGCTGCTGCTGCAGTGGCTATCGTTGGTGGTGTTGTGGATCGCGCTGCTATCGGGCTGCTGGTGCTGGTACTGCGTCGCGCTGCTACTCGGCCGCAGCGTCTCGCCGTCTTTCATGCGGCCCAGCTTCTCTCTGAGATTGCCGCCCCAGCCTAACGGCTTAGTCGTCCTGCTGTTAGTAGTGTGAGAGGAGAAGGAGGAAGAGGAGGAAAAAGATGTCCCCGCCGGGAAGCCGGAACCCGACGACGTCGAGATGGCGCTTTGTGCGCGCTTGCGCTTGATGGGGCTCAGATGCATCCGGGGCTCTCTACCCTTCTCCGCGACTAAGCCCAGGGCCTTAGCGTCTATATCTTGCCTTGGCTGCTCCTCGTCATCGTTGAGTTGCGCGCCGCGAGTTGTCATGGAGCTACCGCTTCTACCTGTCGCGGCGACGCCCCCCCCTCTTTGCATATACTCCTTCCCGGCACCGGACCCCATCTTCCCCAGCTTCTTCATCAGCTCCCGCTCCTTCTCCTCGGTGGCGAGCCGGCGCCGCAACGCCTCGCTGCGTTCGACGCGGCTCGCAACTTGCCCGCCCAACACTTCGTTGTCGAGCATCGACGCGGCACTAGGCTTGGAAATGAACCACTGGCTCCGCGATTCGCGGTCGAAGCTCCCGTTGCCAAATTTCGTCGGGTTGTTGGCATTCTGCTCCCGGTCCTGTTGTTGGTACGAGTTCGGCCTCCTCTTTCCGAAGGGGTCGTCGTTATCCCTTTTCGATCTGGGCCCGAGCCCTGTGTTAAATGCGTTGATGTCTTGCCTCGCCTGTCGGTGTCTCGATAGTGCCGTGTTCATGTGGAACTCGCAGAACTCGGTGCGCTTGCGGTTGACCCAGCTGTTGCAATACTCGCCGTCCTTCTTGAGACTCTTGCAGAACCCGAGATCCCGCGAAGTGCCGACCTCGAGGATGGTGTCCTGATCGCTATTGATCACTAGGCTAAACCGGCCCGTATCGGTACGACCCGGTGGTGGCGGCATAATTGCAGGATTAAGGACGGCGAGAAGGGTGCCAGGCGTCAGCTTCCAGAACCGGTCAAAGCCCGAGTTGAATAAGAAGAGTTCGACCTCCCACTGAAGATCGACGAGCTGGAGGACCATATACTTGCCCCTGGACGGGTCGTGTGTTTCTTTCTCCCTCGCGTTATTGGTCGGCTTGTGCGAACGCGGCTCCGATTTAGAGGCTAGAATCCCAAAGATGACAATGTCTTGCTCGATTTCAGGTAATTGGAAATCAGGGGCCTTGACATGTTTTAACAAGTCCTTGAGTACATATGTCTTCTTGCCCGTCAGGTTCCGCGTGAGGACCGAATGGGGTATCACACGCTTCGAGAGATGGACGCTCGAGTACGGCTCGAATCCGGCGGCGTCTTCCTCGGGCACTTCTGAAGGGGCCGCTTTCTTGGGCGCGGACGTCTCTGCTTGCGAACTGGACTCATGGCTAGTTCCTCGCGACCGGCTCAGACTCGGCATCGTATTGCTACGTTGGATCCGAGGACCAGCCATCACCTCTTCACGGCTGTACTGTTCCGGCTGTAGCGGGGCGTCAGGAATCTCGGTAGCTTTGCTCTTGAACTGCTCCATCTCCTCTCTACCGAGCTCGAAAGCTTTGCTCCTAACTTGCTCTATCCTTTCCCGTCTCTCCTGTCGGCTTGCCTCGTCTGATCTCGCCGCGGCTAGTCTCTCGCTGAAAGTCAACGGCCGCTCTTGCCTCGTCGGCTGCTCTGTATTGGGAAGAGAGGGGGTGTGGGCTCTTCGTAGATAACCCCCGTGTGTGCTGGCCTGGCTCTCGGTCCGCCTAAAACTCGGTGCCCTCTTCAACGAGACGTCCTTGGCTTTGATGCCCTTATCGATGCCCAGACGTACTCTGCTAGGAGAGTTATCGTTCTGTGCCGTCGGCGCTCTCCTCACCGGCGACGCGGGGACATGGATATCGGGTTGGGACTGCGATCGCAAGCGGGCTTCGGCACGCGACGGTTCCGCTCGGGACTGCGCCCTGCCTACTAGAGGGATGTCTGGTATGGGTGTATTTCCAGACCTCGGGGGAGCCGTACCCCCCCCTAGCGCCTTCTTAGCCTTGGCACTCTGTAGCTTCTTCAGCTTGAGCTTCGCCTGGATCGCCTGCAGCTTCAATTGCAGCATCTCCTCGTCCTCGTCGTCTTCGTCATCCAGATCCATGGCGTCGACGTCGTCGCGCAGAGAGTTACTAGATCGATTAAACTGGGCGGGTGCTTGTCGCGGTCTCCGCGACGGCGACGGCGACGGCGACGTTTGCTCGGCCAGGCGTCGCAGCCGTGCGCGGCCGCTGGGCGTGCTCAGAAGGACATCGTGAGGGGATCGCGGGGGCCATTGCGCCTCGGACTCAGCGCCGGGTCCTGCCATCGGGTAAGAAAGTGAAGTAACGTTGAAGCCGTCAGAAACAGACACAGGTCTTGACCTACTGGCGAACATGGTAAACACAAACTCGAGCGACTTGGGATCCGAAACATGCAGGGGTCGTCGGTCTAGCAGCGGCGCGGACAAGGTACGGGTAAGGTATCTTATATCATCCAGCCAATATGGCGAGGCGGCGAGGGGAGTCAAGGGGGAATTGGCGGTGGATGGCTCGTCGAGAGCTCGGCGTCGACAGCATGGGCGTGGGAATTTCTGCGGATAACGGGCAATTCTATGCAAATCCAAGGTGGCCGTCGTAGCATGAATATATGCAATCCTCGCGGGAGGGCGGAAATTTACTGGAGTGAAACGTGCTGGTCGATGTGGTGTCGAAGAGGGAGAGGAAGAAATGAGTTGGTGTAAGTTACCCAAGGGTATCCGCAGGGTGTGGCCGTTACAGGTTGGAGCCCGTGGGATGGCCGAAGTACCGCCTACCGTCGAGCGCTTAGCAAAGTGGCTGTCTACTTAAGTACCCCGGTACGCGGTATCGATAAGGGCCGGGAGGTGGGACTGGGAGGGAGGTGGAACACGTTGATTGGCCGTGTGGAGACGCGTCTCAAGACTAGAGGTGCTTTAAATATAGCCCGACGCGACTGCCGTATCCGACCGACGCGTCGACAGGGGGCAGGTGCTAACGAAGCAGATGTCGATGGCCGGAACTGAAGTCACGACCGGGGTTCAATGCGTTATGTACTTGCCTAGGTACCTAAGGTATGTAGAGCTTTAGGTACCTAGGGCATCTAAATACCTGTATTGGTACATCGAGGTGTGCGAGCAACGCTTTCTACCTATGTTCTAGTCTCCTCTCTCGTCGCCTTACCGATGCGGCGGGCTTGACCATTGACACTCAACCACTATACTATAGGCAACCTGTGCAGATTGCTATCGGCGACAATCCTTCCAGCACCCATCACTTACCTGTCGTATGCCCAGCCCACCGTACCAACTCCAATTGGGCGTCGCCCGACGACAGAAGATCCTTAGTCCTTAACCCTACGTACACTCTACTGGTAGCACTTCTAGGCGAAAGAACATGGCCAGGACCACCAGATCAAAGGCGAGCGCGTCGGCCGCTTCGACGAAAAAGTCGGCTTCGACTGCTACCTCGGACAACAGCAGCAGCACCTCACGATACGCCCTGCCCGCCGAGTCTACCAATCCGCCCAAGCTCTTCATCCTCCCTACTAAGGTCTCTCGGGACGCGAAGATAGTCTCTCTGCTGAACCCGAGATCCGCGACGCCAGCGAGATACCTCGTATGTCCCGAGACTGGCACCCACGAATTCACGAGCATCGATGCCCCCAAGTCGACGCCACGGAGTTGGTTGATACAATGCAGCCACACCGACGAGGTCTGCGAGAAGACGGCTGACGATGGCGCCGAACTGGGCGCGTATATTACGAAGGGCGCCAACCTATACGTTGCGACGCCCATAGATCCTATATTTCTGCTACTCCCCGCGCTCTCCGAACCGAGCAACAATAATGGCGCCGAGAGGCGACTCTTCGTGGCCAGCGAGGAGTACTTCACCTACTTCGAGAAGTTCCCCGAGATCTGGCCACACTTCAACAAGATGCTGAGATGCGGCAGTACGCTCAAGCTGCTAGAATCGCGGATGGCCGCCGTCTGCGACACCGTCCCGGTAGGCGACGAGGTCCAATTCCGGTTCAACATGGACAAGTTCTTCTCCGTGGTGCTGGCTAAGGCCCGAAAGATGAGCGAGCAGCCCCTACCTAAGAGCGTGGAGGACAAGTTCGTGACCAAGGTCCTCGAAGCGCCGGTAATGGGCATGAAGAGGGAGGCGATCGCGGCAGAGTCCGCCTCACAGCCACCCCAGACACAAGCATCACAACCAGAGAGTTCAACGCCAACCCGCGCTTCCGAAGCGTTCACACCCAAAGTGGAGCCCGCAGATAGCCAGTCCTCCGCATCGACCGCAGACACTACCCGAAGCTTGACTTCGGAAGCCTCCACAGCAGCCACCTCAGTACCCGAGGAGTCGGCAACCCAACTAATGCCGTCAATGCAAGCGTCTGAGGAAATCATCAAGCTGCAGCGGCTACGGACAGCCTTCGACTTCATCTGCGCGCGGTACGTCGCGCCATCGCACGCGGCGGCGCTGCGGCTCAAGCTCAGCGGCCTGACCACCGGCGCCACCGCCACCGAGGTAGCGATCGTAGAAGCGGAGGAAGCAGCAGCAGCGCAAGTCGACTTCGGGCCGCTGGACGCGTACCTGGCGCGGATCACGCAGCTGCGGCAGGAGGCGGCGGAGGCGCGGGCGGCGGCGGGCGACTACTCGCGCAAGCGGGGGCTTGACGAGGGCGAGCGGGCGGACCGCGAGGAGCGCAAGCGCCGGAAGGAGGAGGAGGAGCGGCGGCGGCGCGCCGGCGAGTCGCGCGGCGTGCGCGACCTGCGCAAGGTGAACACCGTGGGGATGCGGAAGATGAGCGATTTCTTCAAGAAGAAGTGATGAGACGGATGCGAGGACGGAGGGAGAAAGAGGGGCTTAAGATAGTGGTAGCTATCTCTCTGTGCCGGGAAGGTTTTGCGTTAGCTTACGGGGGCCTCTGGGACGAAAGCGTCCCGTACTTGTAAGATACGGGGAACGCGGGGGCGCATATAGAAAGTTTTGGTAGTGTATGCGGGATGCCAGAGTTTGGATCCGGGTATCATCGTATCTGTCATCGTCGTCGTTGTCGTCTCTATTGCCGTCTAGCCATGCGTACATAAGTTAAGCAGGTAGTGAAGACCCATCCACTCTCCCACAGACACCGCTCTGCCAGGTCCATGCCGTCGACTGCATGATGTATATGTTTGTTGTCGATAGGCCCGCGTCCCTCCCCTCCCCTCCTCCTCTCCCCGATGCAGAGCTCGGTTCCTCTCCCTTCCTCCCCTCTTCGCCTCCACCCTAGTAACCCCGCGGACCCCTTGACTTCCCGCGCAAGAACCCCCTCCCGATCTCCGACGCACCGCGGGCGCCCGCGGCGCCAGACGCGCTCGTCCCCGCGGCCGAGGGCGGCCGACTGGCAGCGCCGGTGCTAGCACCGGCCCTACCGCCGACGCCCCTGGAGCCCCGGCTGCCCCGGCCGGCTCTAGCGCGGGGGGCCCTGGCGACGCCGCGGGCGGGGGCGGGGGCGTCGTCGTCGGCGCGGCGGCGCAGGAGCTCGGCGGCGCGACGGCGCTCCTCCTCGTCGGCGACGGCGGCGGCGCGGCGCTCGGCCTCGCGCTGGCGGGCGAGCGCGTCGGCCTCGGCGGCGGCCAGGTCGTGGCTGGCGCCGCGCCAGGCCGGGTCCAGCAGGAGCCGCTGGCTGTGCTCGGTCTGCGACAGGATGCGCGTCCAGGTGTTGAGGAGGGTCGAGGCGGTGCTGACGGTGGCGGACACGGTCTGCGCACGCGGGGGGTTAGCGCGGGGGTGGAGGGTAGAGGGGAGATGGGAGGGGGGGACGCAACGCACCTGCATGTTGCCCTTGGCCCGCTCGAGCGTGCCGACGACGCCCTCGATCAGCTCGTTGATGCTGCGCACGCCGGCCAGCTCGCGCCGCAGCGCGGCCTCGCGCCCGTCCTGCGCGTCCGCGTCCGCGTACCGCGGGCCCGGCGGCGGGTCCGACGGCGTCTTGGGACGCGCTACCACGTCGTGCTGGTGCTGCTGCTGCTTCGCGCGCGCGCGGGGCTTCCGCGGCTGGCTCGACGGCGACGCGAACACGTCCTCGTGCTCCGAGGCCGAGTCGTAGTCGTCGAGCTGGTCGGACATCGTGGCCGTGCACAGGCAGGCAGGTAGGTGTGTGTGATTTCGCGGTAGACGGTTAGATGCCCTCGTCCGAGGGGTAGGGGAATTAGGAGTCTAGTAGAGGGGCGGTAGGTCGGTAGGCGCGGTACGTACCGGCCTAACAAATCAGGCAGGGCGGTACGTAGGCAGGTAAATGTCTGGAAGACGTCACTTCGTTTAATTGCTTTGCGGGGGTTTCGAGAATGATGACTGGACGAAACGAACCGCCAACTAACCTAACTGTAGGCGCCTTAGATTACGTTTGCGTGCGAGCTCGGCGCTGCTCTGCTACCACTCTTTACCTATTCCCCTTTTCCTCTTCTCCTTTTCTGCCTATCTTTTTCTCTATCCAGCCGGATTCTAGATTATCGTCAGGCCGGTATTTCTCTATGACTCTAGCCAGGCCTTCGACTTAAACCTCAGACGAGAGAGAGTGCATGTAGTCATGTAGGCATATACCTATGTACCACCGTATGTATTGGCCGCTTGAAAGAGGCCTTGCTCATTGGTGTTTTTATTTTCCTTTCCTTTCCACGCGTTGTCTTTGGAGAGGGAATAGGCAGTAGGGGGCGTTAATTACAGCATGTGAGTGTTTTCCGTGTTGTGGGGATGGCGGTGCGCTGGCTGCAAATTGGCCAATTGGCCGGCTGCTATCCTGTCCATAGGGCACCTACCACTCAACCCGTCTGCGGAGCTGCGATCTGTGACGCGTAAACAGCGAAAGACGGGATGGCATCACGCGTCTGTCTCGCGTATTTGGTTCATGCGTGTATGTGCCTACACATTTCGTCTGTCATCTTAGCCTGGCATCTAGTGCACCGTATGTAACTGTATGCACACCGTCCTAGAGTCACCAGCCAGAAAGTACATTTCCCAGGTACTCCTGTATGTACCTGGTCCCGCTCAAATTTCAGCCGGTACTCCGCCCTGGAGTCGGTACTTAGTTGCAGGGCGAATCGACCGCACTTCTGCCTGTACCTTTCCCAGCTGGGTACTTCTCGCCTGGTGTGCATTGCAAACGGAGTGGGGCCTGGCTGGGGGCTGTTGATAATAAATCCGTTATTGCTGCCAATCACACGTTTTTGCAGCCACTTTTTGCACAGTGCAATTCACTGTCTTTTCCCCCTCTCCCTCCCTGTCGCGCATCCTGTCCTCTCTCTCTCTCTCTAGCCAGCCCAGCCAGCCCAGCCACGCCCGATTTTCCTCTTCCCTCTCTCATCCTCTCTCCCCTTCCTTGGCGCTTCACTTGTGTCCTGCCACCATTTCATCCCGTCCCCCCCTAACCTACCCATTTTGATTAAAATTCCCACTACAACTTCATTCCGCCGGAGCGACGACGTATTGTTTCCCTGCGCTCCTTGCCCACCACCCTTCTGAGGTTGTTGTTCTGGCTCCTTGTCGCTGCTCAGATAACCTTCTACGCGTCTAACAAGTTTTCATTATTCGGCATTTGCGTAAACCGCCAATCCAATCGGAACCCCAAGATCGGGATCAGGTTGAGGCATCCGATCCATCAGCATTACGGACAAGACACAGAAATACGCCGCTGCGCACTCTCTTTCTAACCTCGATTTCATTTATACATTGCCCTTCCTGGCCTCCTCCCTGAACCTGCTCTTAAGGCCGCCAATCCATCTACTCCTAAGGCATTATCAGGCTTGGGCTCGTTAGCAGTCAGAATTAGGCACGTCCGGGTCCAGTTGGATGACAGCACCGAGAAGCAACTATACTAGTTGGATGAATCAAAAGCTCTAGACGCGAGTTTGGCCTAGGATTCGACAAGCTACAAGACAATACGACGGTAGTCCTGCGCTCGTTGCTCGTTGCACCATTGCATGACCGGCCTCGACAAGCCGGCAAGCAGAAAGGAAGGAGAGAACAAAGGCCGCTGCCTAACAACAAGCAACCGAAAGGCGATGGCATCCTTTGCCGTATCGACTCCTTCGCCGCCGGGCAGGGTACACACTCCAGGTACTCCCAAACACGGTTACGGAGATGCCTGGGAGCCCTTCTCTCCCCGAAAGTCAGCCCGCATTTCGGCACGCCAGCGCTCAAATGACCGCACCCCTTCTCCGCGCGCCTCCTCCCACCACAACCCCACCCGCGCCTCGCGACGAACCGCTTCGGCTAACGCTGACACGTTTTCTACCCCCATCGCCTCCCCCCAGAAACGACGTCTGCCCGCCATGGACTCGGTTCGACGCGCCTCGAGTGCCCTGACTACGGAGGGCGCCGCTAATGCCGCCGAGTCTCTCGGAATCGGCCATTCGAGTCAGCAGAAGCCCAAGGCCAACGCGACTTCGTCTCGATCCGCCGCCATGCTTCCTACTCCTGTCAAGACGCCCCAGAAGCAGCCGGACGAGAAGTCCAAGGCCAACGTTCGCGCCATCGCGCGCAGCCTCTTTGCTGAGCCGGACATCGTCCCCTCTCCTAAGAAGAGAAAGACCAAGAAGTACACCGGCCTCTCGCTAGAGAGCTTCCGAGCCGAGGAGGTCGAGGAGCCCATCGAGATCTTCACCGACACTCGCGATCGTATTCCTGAGGTCGGTGCCACCTCGGACAACCCTTTTTACGACGACAACGCCGCAGCTCTAGCCGCTTCCGAACCGTCTAAGAAGCGTGGCCGACAGATGCAGATCACCATCCCAGGCGAAGGCAAGCAGACCATCGAGGAGGCCGTGCGACGATCAGACGGTATCGTCTCCGTATTGTAAGTGCCTATCGCGATCTAATCATAGCCCTGCACCCTGCTAACCATTGACGTCTCGCAGCCGAGGCAAGAAGTTCTTCCGCAAGTTTGCTTCGAGCGACGATGTCGACTCGACGAGCCAACCAGATATCGAGGTGGAAGACGAGGACGTCGAGGTGATGTCTGGCGCGTCTCCCTTCACGCGCTCGTCGATCAAGCCTCGCCTGCTCTTCCCATCCAAGCAGAAGGGCAAGGAAACCGTCAAGACGACCCCGGAGGATGAAGAGGCCGAGACCGATATCGAGGACCGCGCCCCCGCCAATATCCAGGACGAAGAGACGGATACGCCGGTTACCCCTACGGGCCGAAACTCTGCGAAGCCGGGCACGCCAGAGGCGCCTCGGTTCGCGCCGGCCTCGCCTCCCACGACCACTCGAACTACGCGCAGCGGGGACAAGGCTCGTGTCGAAGAATCCCCGGTGAAGAAGGCCGCTGCCGCCGCGAAGCCGCGTAGCCCGTTCGACGGCTGGCGTCGCTCTAAGAGCCGAGCGGCATCGCGCAGTCTGAAGCGGGAAGGCGAGGCGCTTCCCGGCTCCAACGAGGCTTCGAAGCGCCAGCGCGCCTAGTCTAGATCTACCTACCGCTAAGCGAGGACGGGGACATTCAGGATGGTGACTCAACGAGGTTTGGGGATTATCGTGCCTCAGTTTCTCTGTATTATCTCCTTGGCGCCTTTTTTTTTTTTTCTCGCACACACATCTCCTTTTGTTGTGACTCCGGCTGGCAGGGAGACGGTAGAGCAACGGTCCGGAATGGGAAGCTCGACTCTGCCAGGCGTCAGGCGTTACGACGGGACGGCAAGACCTTGATCACCCGGAACTTAGGGGGCCAGGTCAGGTTGATAAGAGATCCCTCCCCCCCCTCCCCCCTCTACCTATATAGGTGTTCTTCGGGCTTAGGGGTGTTTAGCCCAGACTAATGATGGGTAGCAAAAAAGGGACCAGGGGGAATCAACCTAGATAGTATAGCTTGCCTCAGAATGAATCGACCGGTATATAGCATATTGACGAAGGGGACGTCGCCGCCTCGGTGCTATGCTGAGTGAGATCGTTTTGAGCGTAGTAGACAGGGGAGGGAGAGGATGGGAGGTTGGATGTCGAAAATATATACCTGCCAGCTCAGATATATAGCCTAACACCCCGACCTCAGGACTGGCACCTGGATACACCTGGAAACCGTCCTTTCTTGTTTGTTTCGTGCTATTGCTGTTGCTGTCGCTTTTGCTATGGAAACGGGATATGTTTGTTATGTTTGGCAGCCTACCTCGTATGTGTTTGGTGGTCGTAGATAGGACGTGGGACGTAGATAGAGAGGGCTCCGCGGTTGACAGACAGCTGATGGTAGCGGAGGTGGATATGTCTACCTATCCCTCTCTACCTGAGCATATCCTCAAGTAATACCAAATAACTACCTCCTAACATCAGGTGCCTAGGCACCTCTTTCATATACATCTCTTGAAGAGGTCCCTCTACCTTGGGTTATGTAGGCACCATGAGAGGAGGTGCCTATCCGATACTGTTGTGCCATATCACGTCATGGCGGCTCGCGGTAGCGAGAGTGCCGCGTACGGATCTAGGTACCTATCTAGGTACCTGCTAGGGCCCGAGAATAGTGCAGGACTTGCCCCTCCCCCGCTAAATCTCTAGTGCGTTGCCCTGGCTTGTACGTACCTTGCGATAGACGGGATACCTCATTATTAGCAGGTATCTGGATCTGCCCCTCTCCGACTCGAATTCGATCCGTTCCCTCGAGACACACACACACACTCACTCACTCACACTCACACTCACACATAATACACCACACCACACCACACCATACCACACCGCACCGCACCGCACTGCACCACACCACACCGCACACCACCAGCGAGCCCAACCCCCAGTTACGCCCGCGGGGGAATTTTTGCATGGTCCCATCCCGCTGGGACAGAACCGCCCAACCCTAACTAGATACCACCGTCACCTCCGCCATGCACATCCTCGTCACCAACGACGATGGCCCGCCGTCACCAACCTCGTCTCCGTACGTGCACAGCCTCGTCCGCGAGCTCCAGAAGCAGGGCCACACCGTCTCCGTGTGTCTGCCGCATACCCAGCGTTCCTGGATCGGTAAGGCCCACATGATCGGCCAGACGGTGAAGCCGCTGTACTACCGCCCGTCCGAGACGTTCGATCCCTCTCCCAGCGCCGCCCACCAGGCCCAGGGCACCACCTACACCCGGCCCACCAAGAACAAGGACGAGGAGGAATGGGTCCTCGTCGACGGCACCCCCGCCAGCTGCGCCCAGATCGGCCTGTACCACCTGTTCCAGGACAAGGGGCCCGTCGACCTCGTCGTGTCCGGCCCTAACTACGGCCGCAACACCACCGCCGTCTTCGCCCTGAGCTCCGGCACCATAGGCGGCGCCCTTGAGGCCGCCGTGTGCCGGAGGAAGGCCATTGCTCTGAGCTACGCCTTCTTCAACCGCAACCACGACCCCGCCATCATCGACGCCGCCAGCCGGCATAGCGTGCGCGTCATCGAGAAGCTGCACGCGCAGTGGCCGACGGACAAGAGCGTCGACCTATACACCGTCAACGTGCCGCTGATCGAGGGCATCGAACACCGCAAGACCCTATTTACCAACATGCTGCAGAACTATTGGGGCGAGAGCGGGCCTTGCTTCGAGGAGGTCGAGGGCAGCATCGGGGACGAGGACGAGGAAGAGGAGAGGATACGCGAAGGCGAGGAATCGAGGGCATCTCGGGATCCCGGCTCCAGGGAGAACGGCGACGCCGACGAGGAGGACCAAGCACGATACGTGCACAGACATTTTAAGTGGCTGCCGAGATTCGCGGATGTCTACAAGAGCGTCGAGGAGGCGCCTCCGGGGAATGACGGGTGGGCAGTAAAGGAAGGCTTCACGAGGTAGGTTTATCTGTTCGACGAACCGACCCCCGTCTCCGTCCGCGCGGACTGCCGATTCTAACCCGCCCGTCTCGCGCAGTGTCACGCCGATGAAGGCCAATTTCTGGAACGCCGCCACACAACAACATGGAGAGGAGTTGAAATTGTGAGTTGAGCCTATTGCATTTGCTTCTGGTTCTAGACGGGGACGGCAGCATCATAGACGACTACCATTGGGGTTCGCGTGACCGAGCGCGCAAAATAGACAAGACCGGTATCTCCTAGGCCTCCATACCATACAAGGTGAGCCCCGACGGTGCAGAGAAGGGCAGAGAGAGAGGCTATTCAACGTTGCCCGTACGTCGGGTGCGTGCGCTGTATCTATGCATATATACTTATATATACGTGTTGCGGTTCTGCTCGCTTCCGTATGTAGGTTCTTTCAAAACGCAGAACCCATTCTTATGACACCTTTTTTTCTTCTCTAGGCCTACTTCGTCGGACCTTCAGGTGACGACGATGACAACAACAACGGCAACAGCGGCGGCCTCCGAGTCGACGGCATTGACGCGCCGTCCCGCGCAGCACTTCTACGCCCTCGTCGCCTACGAGGATCCTTACCTCCAGCCCCTCATCTTGGCCGCCCTGCGCAAGGTTTTCCCCCCCGAAGTGTACACGTTGCTACCACCGCCGCCCGCCGACGTCGCACCGCCGGGCGAGCCAATCCCACTCGACAGAATTTTACCAGACGGCGGCACGCCAGGCGCCCGCGTGCTGCAGATCACGCCGTACGAGGCGGTGGACTGGGACTATTACGAGCACGAGCCCGCGGGAACGGGGGCGAACGGCGAGACCGAGAGAGGAGCGCGGCTGGTGAACTGCTACGCGCTGCGCAAGGCGGTGATCCGGAAGCACTTTCTGTGGGCGACGGTGGAGCAGTGGATCGCGAAGCGGCCCGGGTCTGCGCTTGCAACCCACGTGCGGCGCAGCGAGACGTTTGAGCTCGACTACGCCGAGTTCCTCGACGACGCACTCGTCGAAGCGTTCGACCTGCGGGCGAGTTTGGAGAGGAATGAGAGGGTGGAGGAGGGAGCGGAGGAGGGTCAGGAGGCAAAGAGGAGAGAAAAGGAGTGGTGGATCTTGAAGCCGAGTATGAGCGATAGGGGCCAGGGCATCCGGATTTTCAGTACGGTGGACGAGTTACAGGCGATCTTCGAGGAGTGGGAAGAGGGCGAGGAAGGTGATGACGATGAAGATGGCAGTGGCATCCGCAGTGTTAACCAAGACGACGACGGGAGCGATGATGACGAGACTGGCAACGGCATCACGACGTCGCACCTACGGCACTTCGTAGCACAGCCGTACATCGACCACCCGCTGCTACTGCCAGGCACCGGCAACCGCAAGTTTCACATCCGCGCCTACGTCGTGTGCGTCGGCCGTCTCGACGTATACGTGTTCCACGAGATGCTCGCGCTGTTCGCCGCGAAGCCGTACACACCGCCGGGCCACACGTCCCTCGCCGCCGCCGCTGCGACTACAACTACGACTATCAGTGACGGCGAAGTTGCCGCCAGAGGAGAGAATAGCAATGGGCACATCGACCTCGAGGCCCATCTCACGAACACGTGCCTACAGCGCTCCGTCGACGAGGGCACGGTGCGGCGGTTCTGGGACGTGATGGGCGGGGGCTCAGCGGGCGGGGACGCCAACCTAGGCGAGTCCCTGTTCGCGCAGATCTGCGAGGCGAGCGGGGAGCTGTTCGAGGCGGCGGCGCGCGGGATGCCGACGCACTTCCGGCCGGTGGCCGCCGCGTTCGAGGTCTTCGGCCTCGACTTCCTGGCCGACGCCGCGGGCACCGCCTGGCTCCTCGAGGCCAACGCCTTCCCGGATTTCGGGCAGACCGGCCCCGAGCTCCGCGACACCGTCGTCGGACGACTGTGGGAGGGCATCGCACGGGTCGCCGTCGCACCGCGCTTTGGGTTTGACGGCCCGGGACAAGGAAGGGAGGGAGAGGAGAAGTGGGGGAAGCTGATGGTGCATGTTAGACACGTGGACCTCGGGCGGTAGGCGGGTCGGGTAGAGAGGCGACGTCTAGATCTAGGACACCGCCCCGGATCGAGATGCCTGTCTTATCTATCCGTCCATCTTACAACTTCAGCTTTCCACGAGGGCAAATTGAGGTAACCCCCAAAACAAAAGTACTGATTTACTTGAGTTTACAATTCTGTACGTGTTGTAGGTAACTACTGTTACCTAGATTACCCTAGGTATGTCTTTAACCGCCTCCCTACGTGTCTCTACATATCTACCCTAGACCCCCTAGCTACCTATCTACGGACACGCCAAGATACTTATTAGATGCGTGGATCCAACGAATCCATATAGCACGCCCAGGTCATTGCTGGCTACTAAGGCCGGCGGTTATAGCAGCCATAGATACGAGGCTGTTTCATTCACATACTCCCAGCCGCCAGACATGATGCGATTGGCGTTGACAAGTAATACATGTAGGTACGACATATATCACGCGATGCCATACGAGATACGATAGGCTGTCGTGAGATGTGATATATACATGCCGTATTACCAAGGCGAGAGAGGTAGAGGGGTTCATAAGAGACACGTACGTTCGTATGGTAGAGCCTGAGAAGCCACTTGGTGGGTGGCGCTCCTCCCCGGAGCCACGGAGCGGTAGAAACTGAACTGTTGATTAATCAACATCTGGCTCGGTGCGCCTCACGACGCGCCTCGTAGGACTTCCAGGAGGAGCGGTGAGGTATCGTCGAGGACATCGTGAATCGACTGGCCGACGACGAGCTCGTACGGCGACAACAACGCAACCAACCCGCGTGCGTGCGTGCGGACGCGTGGGCGGTCGGGAGACGAGTAAGGAGATTATTTCTCTCCAGCGATATCTAGCTCCCGCTCCATCCGCCCCTGTCTCTCTGCCTATGTATACTAATCTACTACATACTAAGCAGGCTGTGTAAGCGACGCGCGCAACCGCTGCTCTCTGGCCGCGGGCAGGGCCACGCGGGCAGTCTACTACTGACGCGTCGGTTTGGGGCGGTCGGGAGGGCCCGACAGGGCTCGCTGAAGCTGCCCCGGGACACCGCATCCTGCCAGCCCACGCACGTAGGCACCTCGGTCTTAGCATCGGCGCTCTTCGTCGCGTGGCGTGGTGCAGCCGGCTTCTAAATCGGTGGCTTCGCCTGAGACTTGGTTTTCCCCTTGCCGCCACGGATAGCTGCGCGAGTGGCGTCTTGCGGTCTGACAAACGCTAAGGGCGTGGGGAGATAGGGAGATAGGGAGGCGAGCGGCCGGGCGGGTATGGAGCGTCACGCACGAGGGAAAGATACACAGGAGTCAAGCCATCTCGGTAGGAAGAGAGGGAGGCCTGGAACAGGAAGCTCGAGGAGATGACCGGCTAGTGGTCCTAGGGGTTACGCAAAGAGACGGCCGGCGTCTAGGGAATAATACACAAGCACCAGCGATTCTGTCACTGGGACGGCCGATAGGGTCCGCTAGGTCGTCGGTATCCCCCTTCTCTAGCTCTGTTCCACCTCGGTCGACACAACAACTCGTTCGAAATCGACCGATCCATGACCGGCGGCACGTAACGTAGTCGGCGCGATCGCGATAGACATGGCACACACCCAGACGACCTACCTGAGCGGTTGGCGCCGCGATCGCCAGAAAAAAAGGCCGAAGCGCGCAGGGAAGCAAAGGCTGCGGAAAGCCGCGGCGAAATGCGCTGATTAGACAGGTGATCCTCCGATCTCCTTTTTACACTGCCCCCGTCGCCCCCTGTCTCTCGCTCACCCCCTCCCTCTTTGGGCCATTCCCGCCGCCGGGACCGACTTACACTCGCACCGCCCAGACATTCTAGGCCAATGCGTCTTATCCCGTTCGCTAACTAGCTACCTGCCTATCCTATCCCATCCCATCTTGCCCGCCTGCGTAGACGCCATGGTGACGACGACGGCAGGATGGCGCGGGGGATCGTCCACCAAGGCACGCTCGCGTAAGGTCTGTGAGGAGGCGAGTGAGGTAAGACGGCAGAGGGCTATCTGCGAGCGCACGCGTACTCGCTCCCTTCTCCCCATCTTTTTTTTTCTCGCCTTCTCTTGCTCCGCCCCCTTTCCCCCTCCCCTCCAGACCCGGCCGCCCGGCGTCCGAGGGGAACCGCACATCCGCGGGCGAATGAACGCGAGCTCCATAGGCGCGGCTTATATCTCGCCCGCATGCGCGTGTTTCGGGATGGCTATGCGCGGTGCTTACCCCTCCCACCCCCCGACTCGGCCGACCGCGCGCGCCCCAGAAACTAGGGCTACGGGGTAGCAGCATAGACCGGGGGAGGCAGGCAGGCAGGCAGCAGGCAGGCAGCAGGCAGCACGTAGGCGAAGGGAGAAAAGCCAGGGACGAGGCGCTACCAGCGCAACTCCCGACGGCCCAGGCCAGCGGCAGATCGCCGCGCCGGCAGCTTCTGGTCCCCCCGCTGCCTGCTCTCCCCGCGTAGCCTCGCCGCGCGCTCGCCTAGCCTAGGCGTAGACGTAGATGAACCAGGACTGCCAAGGGGCGAGCGCCAAAAAAAGAAAGCAAGAAAATCGAAAAAAAAGGGGGACACCGAGCGCGATTTTGCCTCTCTGGCAGTCTTACCTACTCCCCGCTGCCTGCCTGCCTGCCTACCTGCCTACCCGCCCACCGAGCCCGCTTACCCACGCGCTCGGTCAGGCGGCCCTGCCCCTCCGCCCGCCCTATCACCGCCGCGGGCGCGCGAGGCTAGCCGCGGAGCCAAGCCCCGCCCGGGCGCGTCGCCGCCGCCAGTAGTCCGGTCCCGCCGCCGCGTCGGGTGAGTTCGATTGGCGCAGCTGGGGGGGGAGGCCGCCGGCGCGGGCGAGCGCGCGCGTCCCTGCGTCGGCGCGCCGCGCGGCGACGAGGCCGCCCAGGGACACGCTGCGCTGCGCTGCTGTCGCCAGGGCCCGCTGGCTAGCGAGCCCTGCTCCCTCCGCCGCCTGCGCGGGCTGTCTCGCCTCGCCGTCACGGCTAGGCCGTGCCCCCCTCGCCTTCTGGCGGCGCGCCCTGCTTGTCTGGGGAGCAGGCGGCTGCGTGCGTGCGTGCCTACGCGAGGCGACGAGGCCAGAGAGCGGTCAGCGGAGGAGGGAGGAGAGGTGCCCCTGGTGTGTTTGTTGTTGTTCTTTCTTCCCGACGGCTCGTCCGTTTGTGGCGTATAGGGTGAACGAGTCGGCTGGCTGGCTGGGGAGCAAGACGGGGGCGGGCGTACGATCGAGGCGTGATAGCAGCTGCTATTCGCGTGTCCGGGCGGTTAGCCAGCGCGGCGCCAGCCAACCAGCCCTCCCCGGCGGCGGGCAACCACGTCAGGTAGGTGGAGAGGCTAGACGTCGCGATGAGAGCGACGCTACGTCGACAGGACGGGATCGACGACGGCGAGAGGGCTTCCCCTTCCCTGGCCGCGGCAAAAAAAAAAAAAAAAAAAGGCCACGAGGGAGGAGCCCAGGCCAGCGCGATGGCCACGACTGGGACAGGTGGCTCTGGATTGGGCCCGGTCGACTTGGTTACCGTGCCATGTGCATCCCGCATGTCCTACGTAGCTATGTATGCAAGCATGTACCTATGTGTATAGTATTTGGGCGCCCGCGGCGGACTTACCACGACGTCGTTCCCCCTCCCCTCCCCGGCTCCCAGCAAATCAAAAGGGGGAGGGAACGGACGAGAGCGAACGGGGGCACGACGCTATCGAGCACTGCCACGCACCCACCGGAGCTACCCAGCAAACCCTGACTAGCGCAGGGAGCTTGCTTGTTCAGCGCCCAGGCGTTGTGGGTGTTGCGTAGGCACCAGCCCTTCCCTGGTATCTGCGCACAGGTTGGCAGAAGATATTGCCTCTTCGGCACACGTCGGCGGCCTAGGACGCATGGGGCTAGGCGGGCCCCAGCGGGATCGATGATGCGTAGAGAATCGCTGCTGGATGATGGGGAGAGCTGGGCGCTGAGTAAAGGTGAGAGCAGCTGTCCCGTCCGTTGGGTTGGTCGGTTGGCTGGCGGAGCTTTGCCGTTCGTTCGTTCTCCGTTTGTTCCTTTTCGCTGGGCGCCCCCCCCCCCCGTCTTGGCTGCTGCTGCGTCTGGCGTCGGTATTATTCGCTGTTCTGCTCTGGCAACTTCGAGTCCTCCTAGCTAGGGCAGAGAGGACCGGCGGCGAGCCAACTGCCCGACGGAATAGCACCGGTGGCTAGTTATGGTGCGGCGGTAGTGACTGTTAGCTGGCTATAGCCACATCGGTGGTGGCCTCAGCAGTTATCGTCTGTCTCCTCCTCTCTTTCTCGCCGTCTCCTTCAAAAGGCCCGAGAGCTAATAGACTAGACCTCCGGACAAGTCAAAAGGGGACGGTTACGTACCCCCCAGCCAAGGAACCTAGTAGGGTACCTAAGGTAGTCGGCGTATGGAGCAGATGGTTTCAGGAGCGGGAGAAGGCGAGGTTGGGAAGAAGGACGTGGACTCGAGGCGGCCATCAACCTATGGCATCGAGCTGGCAGGTAAGCTAGGTCCCGTGGTGGGTGGTGATGTACGTTGTACGGGATGCGGTGTCGTGTTTGTGTACAGCAGATGCGACCTTACTGGCCTACACACGTACGCACATACTATGCAAAGGCATATGCGGTGAGTGCACAGCCTCACGGGTAGTTAGAGTATCCGAGCGTGTATGTTTCAAAGCGCCGGTGCCACCTTCGCCGACGACGACTCTGAGTCTTTATTTTTTCCGGTTCTGTCTCCGGCTGGCCCCCTGGGGGAGGGGCTGTCGGGTAGGAGAGTCGGATGGCCAGATGTGACATTCGTTTGCGGAGTTTTCTTATGTAGGTACACGAAGAGGCAGGAGGGATAAGGAGGAGGAAAGTGATATGATGTGACGGGGGGAAGAAGAGAGTGATAAGAGGTGTAAGAGCCATGAGGTGGTGTGAGATCCTGAGCTTAGAATACTTTGTAAAGGGAGGGAAAAAGGGAGGGAAAAAGGACGAAAAAAAAAGAAAACTCATATCCATACGCCTCTGACGGATGGATGGTAAATCTCGAGGCGGTTGCAATAGCGGCACGGCATTAGTGATGGGCGGGATAGGAGAAGATGCAGCATGCAGGTGGCACGGAACAGCTTTGCGCGCACCGTTCCGGGTTACATGACGACGGCGCGGGCTGAGATGGGTGCGATTCCGATCACAATACACCTGCATCTGTCGATGGCCGCATATGTACGAGCTCGCAAAATTGGGCATGCAATACGTAGGTAGATAACAACACAATAACCCGTTGCTTAGACGAAGTTGGTTACACGATTCCGCGGATGGCTAAATAGCCTGTCGAATCTAGAATATCGGTTTTATTTTTATTGGGTTTATTTGATTGTTATTTCATTACTCCGTGTCCCCAGTTCATCTCCCGCCATCCATGCCGTTCCTCTATTTCCACCCGTCCTTCAAATACGTTGTACCCCCTCTCCCCCCTCCCTGCCCTCCCTGTTTGGAGATATATAGGTACGTTGTAGACGGAGACAAGCAAATCCATGCCAGGACACGTCGCCGAGTTGAGAAGTCGAGAGTGAGTTGAGACACGGCGTCTGTATATATGTATGTAGGTATGTATGTACGACGGCTAGTAAGCAAATAGCTGAGCAGACCAAGAGAACGAAGATGAGATGACAATCTCGACGTTACTCATGCTGCAGGAATTAACTGAGCCGCAAATACGCGCTTCCAAAAAAAGGGACGCACGAGCTCTTGGCCGGGGTATAAAAGCTACTATCGAGCGTCGAGAATACCCAAGGCGCTTGCGTGCATATACGCACACATCACAACATGCAGATATATATATATTTATGTAGGCTTGAAGCTGACGGATTGTCTCTTGGTTTGGAATATGACGACGCCGGCAGCTTGGGATTCCTAGGTATAATTCCTCGGTCTCCCCACGCCCGTGGTGCTTACTACAACATCCTCTTATCCCCTTCACCACGCCGTACGTAATGGCATTTGCTCTCTACGTGCCCCTTACTTACATGGATATATATGTAGACCCACGAGACTTTGCGCCCAGCTGGGCTATCCTAGTGAGATCCTGGCTGTTAGCGAAGGAATATCCGGTCCGGACCTGGCGTTGGCAACCACAACGCCGGACCGGGGGAGGGCAGACCGCCTGGACTAACAGGTAGCTTGGGTAGTTCCGCATATGTGTACCTACATACAATGTAAACACGCATTGACGCCGGGACCGTCTGTCCCTTGCCGTGTTGTGTACATAGGTAGGTATACCTTTGTGCTACATACCCGTACATATGCCTACCTCCTTTCTACGATGAGAGAGAGCACGATGGATGATACGCCGCGGTTCCGGGAAGAAGGTTGTTAGTTTACTCATATGGGTGACCCGACGACTTGGCGATATCGAGAGAGATTGCACGGCATTGCGCGCGTGTAAATGAGCGTCGAGAACAGGCAGCCATGCCCGAGATTACAAGCCGTCCTATACGTGTAAGTCGCGGAGACGCGGGACGCGTCGCTGGATGGCGACCCGTTCTCCATATTTTCACATGCGAAATCCATGCGCCGACTATGAGTAGGCTAACATCGGCCGTCTGGGATAGAACCGGGGGAGAAGATATATACTACGTAGCACATATTATATACCCAGGTATGCGTGTATGTACGCCGTGTAGTACCTACCTATAATTGTCCCGTTGATATTGCTTATCTTGTTGAGATGAAGAGGTTATTATTGCTATTATCCCCCCCCTCCCTTCTTCTCTTAGGTGAGCGGGTACTAGCTTCGGTGTTTTCCTCTTCCTTTGGCTTGCAGATTTCTTGCCTCCGGGATTAAGGTATATATGTCCCCGTCTGTGAATCGGATGCCGTGGGATATACAGCCCTGAGGGGTTCGGGTATACGCTTAGGAGAGGATAGCCGGTTTATACCCAACTGCAAATTCCCCCACGCCTATCAGCGTTCGAGGAACTAAAATCGCTCTCGGCGGAGAAACAAAAAGCGCTCGCGAGGGAGCGATTCACGCTGTCCAACGCGACGCCGCGCCCAATCTCACGTGGGTTGGTGTGGCCCGGTAGTCTTGTAGTAGGTATATGTACATGTATATATATATATATATGCCTGCGTATATAAAAGTTCATATACGCGATTGGTGGCATTCTAGTTCCCATGTACATAGGTGCGTAGTAGTATTGTCGGCAGTTCTCACCTGTGACAGCGAGGTTGTCAGATTGGGCAGATGTCGTTGGGGGTTATCGCATGGCATGGTCTGTCCCGAAGTTCGCAACCGGACGTTGGCTCGGCCTTGCTAACTGTGATTCTGGGCTGAGTGACGTGTATCTCAGTGTATATTCATAGGCATCACCCGGGTTGTCTGCGTGAATGGGGAGGTCCTAGTTGTGCGCATATAGGTACCATACGTGGCTAGAGACTCTCGCACTACACGTATGTGTAGACTGCCGTCCCTTCGAACCGCCCGGTTTCAGCATTTCCACCAAGACTATATCGGAGAGAAGGAGGAGAGAGAGAGTGACAGGGGAGAGATGGAAACTAACCCTATGTGGTGTGGTATTTGAGAACAACGTGCTTCCGGGGTTACCTTGTCTTGGCTGCGGACCCAGATCCGCCACGAACCTGACCTGACTTTTTGACGTGACTTTACTCATAGGTCTGTATAAGTTCGGGAGGTGATGATGTCTAACACCACTCCGAATAGGCTCTAAAGGGTCAAGTCCATAATACCGCCAATCGATCTATCTAATTGGGTATCCTTCAGGCTTCCTCGGAACGTTCGACGGCGACGTGTCCCTCGAAAACAGGTTTCCAGCGGCGAGAGAGGGTTCAGCAGAGACCTGCGTGTCCCCATTGCGGCATACTCGTGTGCTTGCATGCACATATGCAGGATTGGAGGGAAAGTGACGCATTCTACTATAGCGATGGGGAGGATTAAAAAGGACAGGCGGTGGAGATGTCTAACTGCCTTACGTAGTAGGTATGTAAACGACCATGGAGGCACACACACACACACACACACCATACGCACACTCGTTTAATTAGGTAATGCGGTAGTAATAACCTCACAGTTGTGCGTGTATGTGTATGTGTAGATAGACGGGTTACATGAGTTAGACGTGGCGTTTTGTCCCGGTTTCTAAGGGGCCAGGTCCGGTTTGGGGCCCAATTGCTGTTCTGAAATGAAACCGTCAACTTGATTCCACCACTCTGTGGTATTTTTGCTACGATACGACTCGTTTATGCTCGAGTTCGTATGCGCCGGTGGAGGAGAGAGAGAGAGCTCTACGTACTCGTAGGCACACGGGCAAGCATTCCGTTACGGGACCGGCCGGGTAAGAAAGAGTTTGGGCTGGATATTCCTCTCACCTCACTCGGCCTCCGTCTCGGTAAACTCCTCTCTGAAAAGGTTCTTTGTTTACCTCGTTTCTTCCGCCCCTCCCTCCCTTCCGAGCGAGGGTACCATCGCTGGATATATAGTGCATCTATGAGTACTTACTCATATGTAGGGTGCGCGCAGATCGGGGAGACGCCTGCGGGAAAAGTGGTGGAAGTGGTGGAGGTGAGGTGGGAAAAAGCTGGCGCTTGACCCGATATTACCACTGCACTGCCCCCCTTGGCAGACGGGGGGTTGCTTTGTCGAGCGCCTCCAATCCGCCGACGGTTGCGTGTTTTCTCGTCAGTGAGGAGGAACAAGAACCAAGACTGGCGTGGGGAGAGGAAGCTCGAATGCCCGTCGGAGAGAGCACAGAAAGCTTGCTCCTCGTCGGCTAGTAATAGTTGCTAGCGGGCTCGAAAAAAATGATGATGATATGACTATCGGCTGAGGCGCCCTTTCTATAATCCCCCTTGTGGCGTTTGCATGGTGTTTTCCCCCCTCCCTTCGTATGCCCTTTGTATGAGTATATAGTAGGTGTGTGGTATTATTGGAGTGTGATTGTGTACGTAAGTTACCGAGACCGACAGGCGGCGCGGGTTCTCCAGGGCCAGGTTGTGAACAGGATCGGTAGCAGGGAGCGTGTGTACTTAGAGAAATACTACCCTACTCGGGGACGACAAGCTCTTTTACATGTAAGACCTTGAATATACAGGTATCTCTTATCTCTACACGTTCTCTCTTCTCCCTTCTCCCTTCTCTACATGGGTCTGTATTCACCTGGTTCGACTCGAGGTTGAATCGTATTCAATTCAAAATGCTGATGTCCCTAGATGATGGTGTAGGTAGGGGGTACCTTGGGAACGTATTTTGGGTAGCCATGTAGGTGGTACTTAGGTAAAGTAGGGGAGTACATATAGGCGTTATAGGTGCGTAAGTGAACCGCCTAAATGTGAGCCTAATGATTAGGTACCTAAGGTACTTAAGGTTGTGTTAGGTACCGATACTCCCTGTAACTGGATGCTAGATACCTGGCATTCAGGCGTCGAACGTAGGTACTAAGGCAGGCACCTAACCTTTACTAGCCTACCTAGGTGCTTTAGGTGCTTTAGGTAGGTACCTAAGGCTAGTAGGGGTGGGTGCCTTAGCCAGGTACATGCCTGGGTATGTAGGTACACAGACGGCTATTAGGTACCTCCTACCTACTCATATGCCATTGGTGCCATTCGGGTTTGGGTAGGTACCCCCGTACGGTCTCTCCTACATGCATATCTGTACGTCCCTTTTACCAGGTGCATCGCTCGCTGTATACTGCAACCTCCCTTCGATCCTCTTCCCTCTTCCTCATCTCTGCTCTCTTCCCACACCCCCCAGCCGGCAACCAACTTCGTCACTCCTTCTAGTCCGTCAGAGAGGTATCGGGTTGACTGCGATCCCGTATTCCCTTCGCCGATACCCATTTCATCTTGTCCCTTCGATTTGGCATCTCCGGAACCCGCCCGCCCCTGCGGAGGCTCTCAGAAGGTGGATTCGTCTCCATCTCTCCCTCTTCCTCTCTGCCGCAGACGGGAGAGAGTCACGCCTACGAGGGTCGCCTCCTGCTGCTCCTCGGCCCCCGTTCGCTGCCCTACTGTGTCAATCATTGCTAGGGTCTGACGTCGGAGGACGTGTAACCAGCACCGGCACAGCAGCCATCTTATACATACATACCGACTCTGCCTTGTGGTGTGGGATCAGCCTCCTTTTCTCTTCTCCCTCCCCCTGCGAGTCTAGAGCAGTACAGTGCCGCCTTTCGAAAGCCCGGACTTCAGACGTACACGCCCCCTATTCACCCTAATAGACGGCCTCTACCTCCTATGCCGCCCTGAGTCCTCGACGTATCCTCCAAGCAACTCCGGAACACCGTAGCTTCTTGCCTACGCGCTGTCGTTGTAGTTTCTCTACGCCTGAGTTAACTTATCGTTCCGACACGCGTACACCTGCGAACCTACGTCTGGGCCCGTCGACCGCCGTCAGCCATTCCTCACCAAGGAGACCCCCGAGTGCCATTCCGAGGACAATACGTTTCGCTTACATACCGCGGCCCCGACCCCATAAGGTTTTTTTTTTCCCCCTCGCCTTCGCTGCGGCCTTGTCTTCGGATTGCGACGCGCCCGGGCTCCAAGTTTGGGAACGCGGCCCTAGCGTACCGTAGACTTCACTGCGCCCCTGCCCGAGCGGGGGGGCAATTCGCGAAACTTCGGCTTGCGAAGCTTTCTGCGCGACACGTCCTTCGAATATATCCCTTTTAGTTCGCTGGAGCCTAAGACAATTCCTCTCCTCGTCCCGCCAACCTCGCCGTTTTTGCCTTCCGTCGATGGACGTTTTGTGGTTGCATATTGCTCCTTTACTCACATCTCGGCCCTCCATCGCAAGACGGCCTTTGAGCTCGACTGCTCTCCCGAGATAGATGTTCTGATTCCTCAATCTCCCAAAAATTGCCTATACCGTCGGCACATAGCATCATGTCCGATCCTAGCAAGGATGGGCCCGAAGGGGCGCCACGCAGGGCGAGAGCGTAAGTCTACCCCGGCAGAACCGATAAAACAGGCCGTGGCCAATTGCAGCCGAGCATCCATCTCGGGCATGCTTCGGGGTTCCTAACTTCTTACTTGTAGTCCTACTATAACCATTGACACGACGAACGACACCGAGCCTGCGAATATCGGTCTGCAGCATTCGCCCGTGTCGCCGCCAGACGAGTCGGTAAGCCCAACCGCGCTGACTTCGAGTTGGATATCTGAGAAAGCCGGCTCCGCTCCCGCGTCTCAGCAGTCTACGGCAAGCACCAGAGTAGATGCCCGGCAGGCGAATTCCTTCGATAGTGTCAGAGACAGCCGGCCGACGAGTCCCCACAATGTTTCTAGTCCGGTCGCCTCGCGGGGGAACGAGAAAGGCCAGGCCTTTCTTTCCGTGCCGAATACCCATCGCTCCAGGCAAAATTCCGTCGATAGCGACGATGGGTCGCGTTCCATCGGTTCCTCTCAGGGTGAGACCGTTACTGGCTCGTGGAACGGCGATAAGAATGGGACAACGAAAACTCCCGTCGACAACGAAAAGATCATGAAGGACGAGAGCGCCTTGAAGCCGGACCAAGGAAAGGATGCCGACTTCCACGTGGAGAATAACCCTTTCGCATTCAGCCCTGGGCAGCTTACGAAGATGTTCAACCCGAAGAATCTCTCCGCGTTTTATCAGCTGGGTGGTCTTACTGGTATGGAAAAGGGCCTTCGTACCAATCGGGAAACGGGTTTGAGTCTGGATGAGAAGCGCCTGGCCGGTGAAGTCTCATTCGAGGAGGCGATTGGCAAATCACCGGCCAAGCTGGTTAGCGAAGGGTCGGATAGTCCACAGAAGCCGGTTGCTCAAGTGGGAACCCACCACCACTCCGAGTCCGACGAGTCTTTCTTCGACAGGAAACGAGTCTACGGGGATAACCGACTTCCTGAAAAGAAGGGCAAGAGTTTCCTGCAACTGGTATGGATTACTTACAATGACAAGGTCCTCATCCTACTTTCTGTCGCCGCTGTGGTGTCGCTCGCTGTTGGTCTCTACCAAACGTTCGGTGGCGAGCACGTAGAAGGAGAGCCATCTGTCGAATGGATTGAGGGCGTAGCCATCATCGCAGCCATCGTCATCGTCGTACTGGTCGGATCTTTGAACGACTGGCAGAAGGAAAGACAGTTTGCGAAACTTAACAGGAAGAAGCAGGATCGGGCTGTGAAGGTGGTCCGATCAGGGAAGACTATCGAGATATCTGTCTTTGACCTCCTAGCCGGAGACGTTGTCCACCTGGAACCCGGCGATTTAATCCCCGTCGACGGCATTCTCATCCAGGGCTTTGACGTGAAGTGTGACGAATCGCAAGCTACGGGCGAGTCGGACATTATTCGCAAGAGACCCGGCGATGAGGTTTTCGCTGCGATCGAGAACGGCGAGGATACGAGAAAGCTCGACCCGTTTATCCAGTCAGGAGGTCGAGTTATGGAAGGTGTGGGGACGTTCCTGGCCACGTCGACCGGTATCTACTCGAGCTACGGTAAGACGATGGTGTCCCTGAACGAGGACCCCGAGATCACGCCGCTCCAGTCGAAGCTGAACGTCATTGCCGAATATATCGCGAAGCTCGGAGGCGCTTCCGGCCTGCTGCTGTTCGTTGTACTCTTCATCATGTTCCTGGTCCGACTTCCCAGCAACTGGCAGATGACACCGTCTCAAAAAGGCCAGCAGTTTATCGACATCTTCATAGTTGTAGTCACTATCATTGTCGTCGCGGTACCCGAAGGCTTGCCGCTCGCTGTTACGTTAGCGCTAGCCTTTGCCACGACCCGCATGATCAAGGACAACAACCTGGTGCGCCACCTGAAGGCCTGTGAGGTTATGGGGAATGCGACGACGATCTGCTCCGACAAGACGGGTACGTTGACCCAGAACAAGATGAAGGTTGTGGCAGCGACCATCGGTACGTCCCACCGGTTTGGAAGCGGGAAGTCCGACGGCGAGGAGCAATCGGAAAAGGAATTTGCCAGCTCTCTCAGCAAGGGTGTCCGGGAGATCCTGCTAAAGTCTATCGCGATCAACTCGACTGCTTTCGAGGGCGAGCTTGACGGCGTGAAGACGTTCATCGGATCTAAAACGGAGACTGCGTTACTCGAATTGGCTAAGGCCCATCTGGGTATGGGCCCGGTGGCCGAGGAACGATCGAATGTGAAGACTCTGCAGCTTATCCCCTTCGATTCTGGCCGGAAATGCATGGGTGTCATCGTTCAGCTCGAGAACGGTGGATCTCGTCTGTATGTGAAGGGGGCGTCTGAGATCGTGCTCGGGAAATGCACCACGATGTTCCGGGACCCTACTCAGGATACTTCGACTACCCCTCTCACTAAAGATGGCTCGGAAACCGTCAAAGGCCTTATCGAGAACTTTGCGTCAAGATCACTACGCACTATTGGAATCGCCTACCGCGACTTTGATAGGTGGCCTCCGCGGGGCGCTAGACGCGTCGAGGGGGAACGTAACGAGGTCGTTTTTGAGGACGTATTCAATAAGATGACATTTATCGGAATGGTCGGCATCCAGGATCCCCTGCGCGACGGAGTTCCCGAGGCTGTCAAGCAGTGCCAAAGAGCCGGGGTAGTGGTGCGTATGGTTACCGGCGACAACAAGCTCACGGCCCAAGCTATCGCAAGGGAATGCGGTATATTACAACCGGACGGACTTGTCATGGAGGGGCCCGAATTCCGTAATCTCAGCAAGTACCATCAGAACGAAATCATCCCCCGCCTCCAGGTGCTCGCCCGTTCTAGCCCCGAGGACAAGCGTATTCTCGTGCGTCGGCTTAAGGACATGGGCGAGACGGTCGCTGTTACGGGAGACGGTACGAACGACGCGCCCGCCCTCAAGCTGGCCGACGTCGGATTTTCCATGGGTATCGCGGGTACGGAGGTGGCAAAGGAGGCATCTGCTATTATTCTCATGGACGACAACTTCACCAGCATCGTCAAAGCCTTGAAGTGGGGTCGTGCTGTCAATGATGCTGTTAAGCGATTCCTGCAGTTTCAGCTGACGGTCAACATCACTGCCGTCGTGTTGACATTTGTCACGGCTGTGTCTAGCAGCGATGAGGGCTCCGTTCTGACTGCCGTCCAGCTTCTATGGGTTAATTTGATCATGGATACTCTGGCGGCTCTCGCTCTTGCCACCGACCCTCCCCAGGACAGCGTTTTGAATCGGAAACCGGAACCTAGGGGGTCTAGCATTATCTCGATCACGATGTGGAAGATGATCATCGGGCAAGCAATTTACCAGCTGGCGGTTACCTTCGTGCTCTACTATGCCGGAAATACGATCGGTATAGTTGAGCCGGGCGAGTTCACTCGGCGTGACACCCTGGTTTTCAACACATTCGTCTGGATGCAAATCTTCAACCAGTGGAAGTAAGTACAGGCACATCTAGCGGGACTTGGTCGAGTTTGGGTCGCTAACAGCATGGCAGCAACCGTCGTTTGGATAACCAATTCAACATATTCGAAGGCTTGCTGCAAAATTGGTTCTTCATCGGAATCAATGTCGCCATGTGCGGCGCTCAGGTGCTCATCATTTTTGTCGGCGGTACTCCCTTCAGCATCTCCCTTCTCGATCCTCCGCAGACCGCCCCCCAGTGGGCATGCGCAATCGTTATCGGCGTAATTTCTATCCCTATAGGCATGGTAATTCGCCTCATCCCGGATGAGTTTATCAGAAAGTGCATTCCTGCGTCTCTGAAGAAGAAACGCCGTATTCCCGGATTGACGGTATCTGATGAAGAACGGTTCAACGCCTACCCGGAGGTCCTATCCGATGTTAGGAACGAACTCGCGCTTCTTAAGAGATTCAAGGGTGGCCGCTTGAACAATTTGAGGTTTGCCGTGAAGCATCCTCGCGAGACTCTGGTAGCCAAGATGAGGAGCCCATCTCACTCTCGATCGAACTCGGTGAGGATACCGCAGACTCCGACACGCGAGGACAGTTTTAGCAACCCTTCTCCGGCGCCGACGCCCGACTCGAGACGGCGATCCAGGTCCGTCCGGTCCCGGTCCAATTCGGCGTTAGGGGCCCCTACGGTTATGGCCGGGATTATCGCCGGAAGTGTGGCAGCCGGTTGGTCTCCGATCGAGAGGGCTGGCGATCGCGACTTTTCACAACCGCCCCCTCGCCCAGCGCCATCGCCTCTCCAGACTCGCGAGAACAGCGAGCTGGAGCCGGTACCTATCTTGACGGAAGAACCCATGGAGATGGAGGAGCCTATCCCACCCCACGTACCACGGCTCAATATCCCACAACCCCCTCAAAAGCAGAAGCCTGCTTCTTAGGCAGTGCAAGAGGTGTTTTTTTCTTTGTCTAGATCAGCCCTGCCTCGACTACCTCGACTGCGACCAAACCTGAAGAGACGCGGAGGCAACGAGGGCATGCGCGTAGAGCCAGTAGAGTATCCGAGGGGCACCTTTGTACTATAATCTTTAATCGATGTCTTCTCAGGACCGAGAACAACGGGAAACTACTACTACATTTGCTACTATGGGAGCTACTTCTCCCGCGCTGACCGTCTCTCGGCAGGGTTTTACCACTGGGACATGGTGCCCAACGGCCCAACTACGAAGCATGGATATGGCGAGATGCAACCTAAATACCCTTTATCGTTGATGAGTACTGTGCTTTGCGAAGCCGGGCTCGCACCGTTTGGGGCCGAAGGTGCGGATAGAGGGGGAGGGAGGGAGGGAGAGCTACCAAGAACCATAGAGATATTTTCGGGTGTAACGGGGCGTGGTGATGGCGTTTACGGGATCGCATTAACCCGAGTTTTTCTGTTTCGTCGCCTCTCGTTTTGACCTTTTTCTCATGTACCCCTTTCCTGCCTGTCATCGAGGAGAGGTTTCGAGCTTACAGGTCTGGATTTTAAATGTTCTAGGCACACACACCAAGAACAAAAACGGCAACAAACGCGAATATCCCCCCCTTTTTTTTCCCCTCCCCCATAGGAGTTTACGTATAGAATGAAGAAGTTGTGGATGAGAAGGTGTGTGACTGCGTGAGCGTGTGAGAGTGTGAATGTGTGAGTGTGTGTGGACGGGGGGAAGAGGTTAGAGGACGGTACATACGAGACTATGAAGGAGGGTATTCCGTGCATAGAGATAGAACGAATAAATACTGTGTCCAAGGCAGATGTCGAGGGAGTTTCGCCACGGAGTATGTGTATGTATATATGTATATATCGGCATGTGGGTGTATGGAGGAGGGCGGGGAGAGAGAAATGGACGACAGAAGAGATACTACCTATCGAAGGACTTGGGCAGTACGGAGAGTGATGGCGAGGGAGGACTGCCTACGGTACGAGTGGCAACGCATTATTGTATAACTAGCTGTATAATATATTGACGCCAGCGGACGCCCGTGGCGTAAGGCGGGAACGTTCGTACCTACGTTAGGCGTGGATATATATATATACACTTATATGTGTGTATGTATGTATCTGAGCGTAGGCGTGGTGGGCGTATGCACACATAAATACCTGGTTACCTTACCTCAGGCATCCATTGCTGCCCTGGAGCGGCTAGTAGTAGTTCTCTCGATTCTGCTGCTGTTGACCCAGAGAGAGAGAGAGAGAGAGAGGGACGAGGAGAGAGTGAAAGAAGGGGGGCAGAGACCGCAGCGCGCGAGAACGTAGGTGCCGTCCATCGCGGAGGCAAGACAAGGCTGAGAGGGTGGGGGCTAGGTCTAGGTATGTAGGCACCTATGAAGGCTGACAGGTTAAGTACACATACACAAGTGCAGGCGCGGAGGAGTCGGAGTCGGAGTCGTTGCGCGGACCCGCGTATGCTTACTTGCACACGAGAGGATATAGGTGAGCGCGGAGGCAGGCCAGCGTGGGACGGATTGGGGGCGGTCGAGCAGAAACGGACGGGGAAAGAGAGTAGGGATGTGACAGGCGCTAGGAATAGGGTGGACGGGTATAGGGATGTGTGCATCGCGATTGAGAATAGGCGGAATGGGCGTCCCTGTATAGGCTGTCTAGGGAGTAAGGAGAGGGCCTTCTTCTTCTTCTGCTTCTGCTTCTGAGGGACGGGATGAAGATAGATTGTACGTATGTAGGTGTATACACATACATATTACCAATGTCTCGGAGGCAGCTCAAGTGGATAGGTATGTAGGGAACGAGTCGGTATGGCAATTGGAGAATGCAACGTACGGATATACAAGTAAGTAGGTAAGGTATATGAATGCGTGCCGTGCTGATCGACCCCGGGAGTTACCCCATCGTCATCTTCGGGATGCAGTCTGCTTTCTTTGTTCCCATCTTGCCCTTCTCGTCGGTGCGTCAGAGCCTATATACCTACCTACCTATATGCACATACGTGCATAGATGCATGCGCATGGTGACATGCTGCCACTCCGAGACCCCTGCGGCGTGCGCAGAACGCGCACCTAATATGTGTATAAGAATCGGTTGGGTGGATGCGACACACACACACCACACACACACACACACACACACACACACACACGCTTGTGATGAAGAGCGAGTGGAGAGAGGAGGGGAGGGGACCGAGAAGATGCTGGTAGGAGGGATGCGGGCCTATCAAGAATAGGGGTTGTCGACGGATTGGGGATCTCGACGAGAAAAGAGGTAGGTATTGGGGTGCCTGGATAGATGCATCAAGCGTGCTCTGTCCCCGGAACATGCATATGCAGCTAAGAGAAGAAGCTGGGTGGAAAGCCGGGTGGGGAACCCCAGAGCAGGAGAGGCAACCGAGAATTGGAAGAGCATCTTATTATAGAGTCGAGCAGGCCTCCTTAGGGTGTTATGCGACGCATATTGGTAAATCCAAGCATGCTGGCGTTTCTGGCGAGTTGCTGGAACATCGGCCAACCGGACCCCCTTTTGCGCCATGACCCCCTTAGCCGCCAGGCCCCGTCCAAGTTATCGGCGGATGGATGACAATGGGCTAGCCAGCCACAAGACAGCGATAATGCGACGAGACTTAGGCGTCGGCAGCCTAGTTTCTTCGGATATCTATCAGCGCGGGTTAAAGGTCCTGGGCAGGACGATGGTTACCTGCTGTGCCCTACCCAGCTGCGAATGGCTCTGCACCCGTTGGGGAGTCAGGTGATGGACGAGCTGCAGCAAAACGAACAGGCAACTCGCCTTCCCTACTCTAACCACCACCAACACGGCTACAACTACGGGCCGACCAGAAGAGGACGTCTACGAGATGTATCCCGACCGAGTAGACGCGAAGCCAGATGTGCAACCAAGGAATCGATCGGTCTTGAGGGGGAAACACTCGCCGCCTCTGAAAGCTGTACAAGTCAACTCCTGCCGTGTTCATGGGATGTTTTCTATGTGGGGTGCAGCAATGTACGCAACCACTTAACTGACTGAATTCTCAACCACGTGTCACTTGTTTGTTGACCTGTCTCTTGTGATTCTCCTGTGTTCGGCTTCGGAGGAGAGGGGAAGAGAAGTGAAAAAAAAAAAAGCTCCAAGTTTTGTGCTTTGATCGCTCATGCACTTTCCCAATTAGGCAATTCGTGGAAACCTCTTCTTTTTCCGAGGTAGCAACCGAAAGTCGACGAGTTCTCGCCTTATCGTTGGCTTTAGGGCTACAAAGGGGGCAGAGAGAAAAAGAAAGAGAGAAGGGGGGGGGGGGAGGTGAGTCAAGGCGATTATATGTCTCAAAGGGATCAGGTAGCAGGAGGGAGCGGGATTACTATAGGAGGCAGTGGGTAGGGACATTGGCGCTGATTGCTGATTCACTACTGTGACGGTCCATCGCGGGGTTCTGACACAACCAAGATCCAGGTTGGGTAAAGCGGTGGCTGAGAGTTGGGGGGGCAGGGGGTAGTAGTAGTAGTGGTGGTGAACTATCGTCGATTTCGTGGCCGTCTCGTAGTCGAGGTCGGTAAGAGCAAGACTAGCAAACCAGGTTTGCACCCTAACCAAGAACCGGGCGTGAGCGGAACGGCACCACGGGTAGCAACTGGGTAGGCATTTCGTGAGGAGCAGGAGGAGGGTGATACGGAGTTGTGGGGATTCTGCTCTGTTGAGCCCGGTCAGTTGCCCAATGAGCAGGGCGCCGCCTCGTAGATGATATGATAACGCAGTTTCTGAATCATTTCTCGCTCGCTTGGAGTCACGCCGGCTGCAAACCCTGATTTTCGGGACTCTCTTTCTAGGGTTCGACGGGTCCGAGTAGGAGAAGGAGAAGGAGTGGTTACCAACTCAAGTACGAGTTCTCTCTTTCTCTCTCTCTGTCCGTCTCTCTCTCCTCGTCTCTCTCGGGGAGGACCGGGCGATGGAAACTGTCCCTCGTGCGCGACGATGCCCGACACATGGATACCGCACCAACACTGGCCGTGAGCGAGCTAAGAAGGATCGTTAGGTGAACTCGCCGATAACGCGGGCTACGAGATTAGTTTTGGTGGGCTCGGGTACGCGGCCAAGAGTTCGCGCGGAGCAAGATAGCGACAATTAATCCCGCGTAAACGCCGGGTGACTCCAGCGGCATAAGCAAGGAGGAAAGCAGGGCGGGAAATACCTGCCTAGACAAAAGGCGACCGTAGAGGAGACGAGAGAAGGAGAAAAGGCCGGGGCCGACGGGGGAGGCGGATAGATAGATAGATAGATAGATACTTGGACCTCGCGACGAGAGCAGAGGGGAGGAGGCATGTATCTATCCGACGCCGCGCCCGTACGTGTCTTGCGCCAACGATGACCGTACGCTCTTTTCGAAACCGAAGCCGGGGACGCAACGATAGGTATATGGACGTAGAGGACGCGGGCAGGTAACGGTTATCCGAGTTGGCTAGACGAGTTTCTCGACTTTGCTCTCTTCCCTCCTCGTCGCTCGTTTTCGCGGGAGGTAGGTAGATTCTTCCCTCAGGTGGGCGTGGCTGCCTGCGTGGGAGGTGGGGGGTGGTAGTGGAATAATCACCGCCGTAATCATTGCTTTTACGAGGAGGCGAGATGCGTTAAGGCAGGGCTATGTAGCAATGGAGGAGGGGGGAGCGAGGCGGGTAGCGGTACGTTCTCGCCTTACCCATCTGCGATCGCCGACGGGTGGTGATCAGGTTGGGTTTCAGTGCCTGAGGCAGCGCGCTTTGATTACTTTGATTCTATACGCATGCACATATACCTGCATACACATATCACATACAGGTAGGTATATACATACTAGGTATATACATACTAGGTATATACATACTAGGTATATACATACTAGGTATATACATATACACATTATTGTTGCGTTGCGTTGCGGGCGGCCTATGAGGAGCTCGCTTATGATAATAATCGCCATGATGATGTTTGGTTAGTCGAGACTTTTATCCATCTTGAGTTTCAGAGTCAGTGTGTGAGAGGCTCCCTCGCCCAGGCAGGTCATTTCTCTCGCTGTATTTCCCTCCCTCTCTCGTTTTTTCCCCCTTCTTCTCCCCATGACAATATCCTGGGCGTAACCCCGATGGATGATCAGTCAATTTTCATCCCTCTCCTTTTCTCTCCGTTTTGGCACGCTTCTCGCACACACTTACCTCCTACGACAAATATATATACCCGCCCACAACGCATAACTGTCACCGTAGCATAGGTATATGCCGTACCTGCCCCCGTTGCTAGTAAGTAAATATTCTTGCCCTGCCTTGTCGAGAGGGTTTTTATTCCCATCATTCTCATTGCCATTATTATTATTATCAGTATTATTATTACTACTACCATCATTTCATTCTTGTATCTCTCCTCTCATTTCTCTTCTTCTATCCCATTTCCTCGTCTCCCCTCCCTCTTCCCTTCGCAACCACACTTTCGCAACACTTTCGCTCCCAACAACAACCTTCGCAACAACCCTACGAAATCCCCGACGTCGCCTGGCCTAACTAAACTCAGCTTGTGGGTGGAATTCATCCCGCGACCTGCCTCTATTTCTGTCTCCATCGCTTCCTTCTATGCAACTGTAATCATTCCTCCGCCTCTCTGTCTCTCTTCTCTTTTTTCTCTCACTCTTCTCTCTCTCTCTCGGCCAACACTCGCAATTACTAAACCATTGATAGGCTGCCCTGTCTCTTCGGTAAGCCTCCGCCGTTCCCTTTAGTGTTTCTCCCTGTAGTTGTTATCGTCGTCATTGTCATTGTCATCATCACCATCCTCAGTAGAAGTTTGAGTGGCGACAGCATTCAGAGTGCAGCAATTGCTAGATGTTGCTTCATCATCTCCTACATGCTGTTGTTCCCTTCTACTTGTTCCCATTCCTCCATCCCTCCTCTCTAGAGATGTTCACAATTCGCACACACGCACACACACGTACGCACCAACGCACGAACCCACCGCACACATCCTGCTCTCTTTTGCTTCTCTCTCTCTCGTTCTTAATTCACACATTCACTCCCCCCTGCTCTGCTATTCGCCCACCCGGCCAACATAACACCAAGCATCACACGTGGGGATACCTGCTTATATTATACAAACACATCTTTTTCTCTTCTTCATCCTTCTCTCTTTTTCCTCTCCCCCTTCCTCTCCCGCACAACATAACAACAGAACACAACAACACAACACAACGATGCGCGCACCCACATACCACAGCGCATAATAGCGACGACACGGCACAACACCACACAACACCACACAACACGTGCCGTCACCTAGACTCAATCTAGGACTATTTCCTAGTTGGAGATTTCAACCCAACCCAACCTCCTCTCTCGCACACCCTCTCTCACCCTCTTCTCTTTCCTTCACTTGCACGGCGAGTTAACCATCTGCAGAATCCAACAACAAGCTCATCTGTTCAATCGTCTCCAGAACGGCTCAATCAACCTAGTTGCTCTCTGGCGATTGATTCGACTGGTTGCCGGATTGATGAATGAAGGGACGGATTTATTGACTGACTGAGTGACTGATGATCGGCAACAAGTGGTCGGGCTTGCCTAGTCAGTAATTCCAGCCAAAACTTCCCTCCAATCCATCCATACATTTCTCATCTAAAAAAAACCCAACTCCGATTTGTTGATTCAGCCACCTTTGCCCAATCGACTCATCTCTCTCTCTCTCTCTCTCTCTTTTCCCTCCCTTGTCCCCTCTCATCCACACCCACACCCACACCCACAACACGCACATAACCTGCCTTGTTCTTCAATTGTCGCACAACCCTCGGCAACCACAATGAAGGGAAAACGTGCTGTTCGAAAGGCTCGCCAAGACGTGGCCGTCAAGTCGTCTTCGTCACCCCGAGTCCGAGTTGAAGAGGTTGCCGACGACGAGAAAGCTGGCCAGTTGGCTATCCAACCGCCAAGCCAGCCCCGTAATGAACTCGAGGAACGCGTCAACGACCTGGGCGACTCGTGGGAAACCGAGTCGCTCTTTGAGGATGTTATCGAAGACATCGCTGAAGATAGGTTCTTTGACGATGGTAACCGCCTACCCCATTCCGTCTGCCCGTTATCGTCATCTTGCCTAGCTTTCTAACCGATCTGCAGTTGACGCTTGCACCCCCGAGCAGGCCGTACAATATCGCCAACAGCTGCGAATCGTTGGGCCCCAGGAGTTTTGCAAGCAGACCGTCGAGGCGGGCACCGTCACGGCCAAGAAGCTCCTCACCGCGTTCGGGATCCGGCCGCCTGCTTTTCTCGACGGTCACCCTGATGAGTCTTACTACGGCTTGCTGACCTTGGCCCTGACGCGTGAGCTGGCTAAGCGCGCCAAGATTCTCCAGTATAACACGGTTGATGATGCCGTCGCCCTGCTCAAGCGATCGCGCAACATCATCGTCTTGACGGGAGCCGGCATCTCGACCTCGCTCGGCATCCCCGACTTCCGGTCTAAGAACACAGGCCTCTACTCGCAGCTCGAGAAGCTCGGCTTGGGCATAAACGACCCTCAGGAAGTCTTCAACATCGACGTCTTCCGCGACGATCCCACCATCTTCTACTCCGTCGCGAGGGATATCCTGCCCGATACCAAGGGCCTCTTCTCGCCGACGCACGCCTTCATCGCCAAGCTCCAGGAGAAGGGGAAGCTGTTGACCAACTATTCGCAGAACATCGATAACCTCGAGGCGAACGCCGGCATCCGCCCCGACAAGCTTGTGCAGTGTCACGGCTCCTTCGCCACAGCTACATGTCAGAAGTGTGGCTACAAGGTTCCCGGCGACAGCATCTTCGCCGACATCAAGGCCGGCAACATACCCCGCTGCTCCAAGTGCATCCTCGCGCTGCGCAGCGGCGGCAGCGGCAGCGGATCGGTGAAACGCAAGCGATCCTACAACAGCAAGACGACGGCGGGCCGGAAGCCCCGACGGAGGCGGTCTAACAACGACGATTTCGACGACTCGATCGACGACGACGACGACGACGACGAGCGCTACGACATGCCAGCGGCCGGGGTGATGAAGCCCGACATCACCTTCTTCGGAGAGCCGCTGCCCGACGAGTTCACCCGCCGGCTGGTTAAGCACGACCGCGACCTGGTGGACCTGGTGATCGTGATCGGGACGTCGCTCAAGGTGGCGCCGGTGTCCGAGGTGGTGCCGTACCTGCCGCCGCACATCCCGCAGATCTACATCTCGCGCACGCCCGTCGGCCACGTCAACTTCGACATCGACCTGCTCGGCGACTGCGACGTGGTCGTCGCCGAGCTGTGCCGCCGCGCCGGCTGGGACCTGCGCCACGACATGGTGCCTCCCGGCCAGACCGTCGACATCCGCCTCGAGGACGGCTACACGAGCCGCCACGTCTTCACCGTCGTCAAGCCCGAGCCCGGCCGCGGCCCCGCCGCCGCCGGCGCGAGCACGAGATTCTCCCTCCGATAGAGCGGCCTACGGGGGCGCAGGGTTTCTACGTTACGACATATATATCGCCCGACCGTGCCAACTAGGTACTTATTCCTCGCAATACGGCGGCGTTAAGGAAGAGGGTGTAACTCGTTTTTTTTCTGGCTGCTTCTTTGCTTGTTCCTTCACAGCACGGCGTTTATAGGATGTAAGTTTTTCCCGAGGCGGTTCCCGCAGAATAGGTCTCGGGCCGATCGACTACGAAGGTTACCGCTACTTGATCGATCCCTCCTCCATCCGACTTACTCTCGCGGCCTCACCGCGGCGTTCCAGCACGAAATACTCTTAAGAGGTAGGCGGTCACCACCACCGCTGTCGCCGCCGAGGACTTATTTTTTTCTTTTCCTTCTTTTCCTCCCCTCTTGCCCCCCTCTCAACGGGAAACGAGAAGAGAACCCCTCGCATCTATCTCGCCTGGATCTCCGTACCAACACGGAAGAAGAAGACTCGGAGCAACACGAGTTCACACGCGGGCGGTGTATCTGTCTCAGATGGGCGCCAAACACGACCCCGACTTGTCTAGATATGGAGGAACGAAAAGGGGGGAACGACGAGGAAAACCGGCTCTGGAGTGTTTCGACGGGAGGTTGGGGGAGGGGGGGTTGACATGGTCAATCTGTTGCATGCTAGGAAAAGGGCAAGGGAAACTGTTGAGAAGAGAGCAGGCACGAGAACGAACGTCGAGTTGAACGCTTCTTCGCCGCGTCGCCTCGCCCTCTACGCGGGTAGGGACCTGGAGGGGGGGGGCATGTCCATGCCACGGGCGCGAGAGAACGGCGAGACAAGACAAGGCAAGGCGAGGACCAACCAGCCTCGCGTCTGCGACGGGCGGGAGAGGGGAGCTGCTTTGACGCTTTCCTTGGTCGGCTCGGGCAGACGGACGGAACGGGACGGACGGTCCAGGGTTAGACATACAGGCGAACAGGGCGGACATGTAAGGCTAGGACTGGCAGACCGGACGGGATAACCCGACTGCGCGCTACTAATACAACTGGGACTTGCTAATGCCGCAAAGAGCGAGAAAGTGACATCTCTCGAGACAGTACGTGCGCATTCGATGGCGTTCTGCTGTGGGTACAGTGTGTGTCGCCGGGAAGGTAAGATTGGCTGCCCCGTGTGCGAGCGTAGAGCAATACCTACATACCTACCTACCTACATAGGCGTAGAGGCCTGACGCCCGGGTTACCGATCGTCCGCCATCCTAGCCCGCCCGCCCGTCAGCGCAGCGCAAGTTCCTCCCCGCCAGGGACCCGGCAGGGCCTGTGTGCGTGACTGCGACGGACGGTGATGAAGGGCGCGAAGCCCGTGTCGCGCTCGTACGAGGCTGCCAAGGAACCCAGCGTCATCGACCGATCGCCGGCTGCCTGGCTGCGTCTGCGTCTGCCTTCTCTGACTCGCGCACACGCAAGCACGCGCTCAACAGCGGCGGCGACGGCGTTCGCACCGGTGGCTGCCCTGGTAGCGCAGCTCGCTGTCCAGCCGCGCCTCCGGTTCTCTGCTGGTGTTGGGCTTACCTACAGACTGCGACGCATGTACCTGTATTGCTTAGGCAGATGTACCTAGCTAGGGACGTACAACGCACCTACAATATGCATCTCTCCTCGATCAATAACTTCCAAAAAGGAGTCGGTGCGGGAACACCGGGTCGAGGAGCGAGACGGAATAGAACAGGTTACGTTAAGTTTAGCGGTTCCGTAACCATTGCGTACTCGTAACCGTATTATATATGCACATATAGATATAGATATAGACGTATCCACCTCGTCCTCCGCGTAGTCCTAGAACAACTCGCTTCCCTCCGCTTCTTTTCTTCTCAGAAAACGTGTCTGTCTGCGGTACTTGTCCGACCTCCAACTATCTGTGCCTCATTACCTCTCCGTCTATGTAGTTATCTCTGCCTCCTCCCGTCCATGCATCCTTTTACGTTCATCTGCCCCTTACCGACTTTTCCCTACTGGTTCGCTTTTACTCTCAGAGCACCTTTGGACAAACTCCCCTGTCCGGCTAGGGAGACCCCAACCCGCTCGCGATATCCTCTTGTTATTCTCCCGAACGTCGTCCCGTCTGCGTCATACTCGCCTCCCCGGCTTCATTATTGCGACGCACATGCTACTCTCTAGCACGGTAGCCAGACTATCGAACCTCAAGTTATTACGCACCGCATAACGCTTTGCGCCCCTTACTCTTCACCCAGGAATGCCGGTTCTACTTGTGAGCTGCGCCCGTCGTCCGGGGCGACTGCGCCTACAGCAGGCTCTCGTACTTGGAGAGGCCCGACTTCTGGGGTGGTTGCTGCTGCGGGGGCTGGAGCTGGGGTGGGGAATTTGCCGCACCCATGCCACCGCCCATCATGCTGTTCATGCTGTTCATCCCGTTCATGCTGATCGGGTTCTTGTTGAGACCTCCTGCCATCCCTATCCCCATGCCCGAGCTCATCATGCTGTTCATGCTCCCGGGCGGCGACGATATGCCGCCAAAGCTGCTGCCGATACCGCCACCGGATGACTGCTGGCCGAACGATGACAAGGTCGGGTTCGACCGCTGCGCTCCCCCGGGAGGTGGGGGTAAGCTGAATCCCGAGGAAGCCGGCGTTCCGGTTCCGCCGGACGGCGGCGGTGGGAGGGAGAAAGAAGAAGAGGGGGAGGGTTGGTTAAACATAGGCCTTGGTGGCTGAACTCCTCCGAGGTTCAGGTTGCCTATCCCCGAGGCCACGCTGCCGAATGATGAGGCGGTTGGCGACGCTAGGCTGGCCGAGTTCGATGCCCAAGGGTTTGCTATTGGTGCCGCGGCCGTCGCCGTAGACCAGGTGGCCGTGGAGGAGCTCTGTGGTCCGGTCGAATGTCTAGATACCTGACTCGTAGTTGGCTGCAGAGGCTGTGAGAATTGGGTGGAGGTAGGGGTTAGGGCGGCTATTTGGTTGAGATCGGGCGTCACTGTTCGGAACGGGGTTGACGCTTTGGTGGCACCGAACTGTGAAGGAGGAGCGGCGGTGCTAGTAGGACTCGGGGTTGACCACGAAAATTGAGGTGATTTGGTCGGCGGCGACACGACTGGCGCGGCTGCCGGAGCCGAATCCCAACTCGCATCCATGGGGTCGCTCGTCGACGGTGCCGACTTTCCCTTGACGAGCCGTTCGAAATCGTCCTCCGTTGCCCCGTTCGTAGAATCGAAGGTCGTGCCGGTAACTCCTCCGAAGCCGATAAAATCGTCGCTGGGGGTCGCCGCCCTGACTCCGTTGCCCGTAACGGAGAGCTCCTGTAATTTCTTCACTTGCTCATCCTCGACCTTCCTGGAAAGAGACTTTATCAAATCCATGAAAGACTGGAATTGCTTGAGGTTGAGCAGGGGCCCTAGGCTCATACTCCACAGGATAGGCAGGATGTCCATGGCTACAAAGTCGGTATCCGCATTTTCGCCTACGACGCGCAGAACGTCCAGAGCCGCGAGCATGACGGCAGGCTCCTTAGTTTTTATGGCCTTGATGAGCGGAATGATCTTCTCCTGCATCGTATACTTGTCGAGAGCGGTCGACGACGACGACGTCCTCTTCTTTCCGGAAAGACCATCGAGCCCGTCGTCTGCTGACAAGGAATCGTTTGAGCCGCCGCAGAGGATGACGAAAGCTCGGCACCCACGGACTTTGATGGCTAAACTGTTAGTTTTACTGAATACGGTGGCGATGATGGGGAAGAGCTCGTTCTTGATGGTACTGAAATCTAGAACGGGCAAGACGACTGGTAGACTCCGTAGAGCGGCGTCGACGAGCGAAGGCGTCGGCGACTCAATAGCTGCCAATATGATAGGCAATACATCTAGACAACGCCGTTAGTAGGAATCCAGCAAATTGCACATGGTTCGCGCGGACGAGAATATACACCTACCGTCTTTGAACTCCTTGCCCGAGGTGTTCTCGGCGATCTGGCTGGCATTTTCCAGCACAACCATCAGTCCCGCGTCCCTAGCCGGGTCTTTCTCTTGTGCTTGTTTCGCGTTGGCGACGAAGATCTCCGTCAGCCTCGGCCGCACCTTTTCCCCGAACGCGCGCCGCGACGACGGCAGCAGGTCGACGATCTTGAAGACGTTCTGGAGGATGAGCGACAGGAGGTCCTTGTCCTTCAGCTCCTCCAGCAGCGCCGGGAGCACCTTCTTCTCCATCACCGACTTTGGGAACGACGGCAGGACCTTGTTGAGCCCTCGCATGAACTGGGCCTTCTCGTTCGCTGTCTTGGCGGGGAAGGCGTCGAGGAATCGGATGGTCGACACGAGTATGTTGTCGAAGAACTCGCTCTCCTGGAATTCTCGAGCCGTCATTCGCTGCGCGGGACGCCTGGTAATGAGCCGTGGCAGAACGTGTGCCGACAGATCCCTCGGGAGCGGCCGCTTCGACAGAAACCCGTTGCCGGTGGACGGCACTGTCGAGGACGAGGTGAATATCCTCTTGTAGGCCGATATGCTCCCGCTGCTCTCTATAGGGGATTTGTGAGGCGAGTTGTACAACGCGACGCATAGCAGCCCCAACGAAAACATGTCGGCCGAGGTGGTGAGGTTGTTGTCGAGGACGAAGTCGGGGGAGGTGTAGTCGAGGTTGATCTGCACGTATCGAGGCAGTCGAGGATCCAGGTTGAGAACTTCGGAGAGGCTGATGGGCGGGACGGAGGTGGCCTTGGTCGAGCCCTCTGGCGGACTACAGAACGCGAGGCCGCTGACCTTCCAATCGGACTGCTGGGGTGTCAATCTCAAACAGCTGCTCGTATAAGACCGAGATGACCCACCTTGGAGTTGATGAGCACGGCATCCGGCGTGAGATTTGCGTGGACGAGGCCGGCATTTTCGTGGAGGAACTCGAGGGCCTTGCTGATCTGGAGCAGGCCCTTCTGGATCTCGAGCTCGTCGATCTCTATCTCGCGCCTGCGCCTGACGCCGTCCGAGTCTTCGGTGACGTACCGACTGGAGCGGCCGCCGACGCCGCCGACCCTCTCCTGCTCATCCTTCTCCTGCAAGAGGCTCGCCAACGAGGCCGTCACGGCTTCGGTGACGAATTGGAGACCCCCTCTTGTTTCCTCGACGGGCTCGACCAGTTCTAGTATGCTCGGGTGACGCAATCGGGCGAGCGACGAGGCTTCCTTCTTCAGGCGTTCCGTTACCTATAGGTGGGGTTGGATTGGTTAGCAGGTGGTATACATATGGGCGTATGTATACATATATGATAGGTCCATCTCTAGGCGGGCATGCTCACTCACCTCTTCGATTGTGCGCTTAAAGGCGGCGGCGCCAGATCGACCGAGAGAACTCACTGCCGAACACCGGTTAGCCCAGGGGTTACGATATCTATCACACACATGCTTGGTTTGTCTACGGCCCGACCGTTCTGGAATACGTAGCAATCGAGCTCAAAGGGGGAACTGGAACCGAAACTTGGACCTGGAGAGGCTCACCATGCGACTCCAGCGACTTGCGCTCGAAGACGAAGACGGAGTAGGTCTTGCCGGTGGACTTCTTCTTGGCATCGTATATCTTCCAGGGGCCGGCGGTGGAGGTGACGGTCTGCGACACGGTGTAGTGGGAGTTGATGTTGGAGGAGAAGCCCTTTAAGGAGGAGAACATGGCTGGCGACAACGGCTGGTATCGTGGCAGGTGACGACCGTCATATCGCGGCGCGGCACGGCTCGGGGGGAGAGGCGAACATGGGTCTGCGACCCAGTGCCTCCTCTTCCCTGTTTTGGTTCTCCGGTAGGCCGGGTAGATAAGGCGTCCTCCTCCTCGTCGCGGATCGATCGGGCGGTCGAGCTCTCTCCAGGCAATCTCAGTCGAGGAGAAGGGGGGGGGGGGCGAGTGGGCTGTTGGTGGTATGCGGGCGACGAGCTGGGTGGCCGTGATAGTGTGCTGGATGTCGGGCGGGTTAGCTTGGAGTTGCGTTCAGCAGAGCACAGGATATCAGCGTGGTGGTGGTGGAAGTGATGGTGGAGAATGATCAAGGTGAGGTATGTATATAGGTGATAGGCGTATAGAAATTATGAGGTGATCTGAGGGCGATCATAGAGTGTTGGGTATCTGCATAATGGAAGTGGGAAGTGGGCTCAGGGGTCCCCTGCCTGTCTGAGTATACCTAGATGCTAAGCCGCAACGTGGCTCAAAGTGGCTTACGTACCGACGCGCGAGAAGCCACATACGTCCGCTCCGGCCCAGCCGCATCCTGCTGACGTAGCGAACCCCGTAACTCGCATCCCCCCTCTAACAAGCCTAGGCTGAAGCCCTCTCTATCACCCGGACGGCCTTTGTCTTCTCTTTTATGTGATTGAACCTATCTTTATTGTTTACTTCTCGTCCTGCATCGTCCCTCTCGCCCCCCTCGATATCGCACACATCCGCACATTCCATTGGCCCCGCCGCATCGGTACTCGCGTTGCGCTCCCTCGGGTCCAGGTCCTGGCTATCCGTGGCTACATGCGGCAGCAAACTCGTCCCGAACCAAGTATACCCGACGCCACTGATTGGACTGGACTACTCCTCTACCCTGACAATCTCTCCCCCCTCCCTTCCGACACCGCAACAAGCCCTCGCAGTAGTCATAGTAGAAAGATAGCGAAGCCATCATCGCCCTAGCACCCCTTTCACTTCCGTCTTCCATTGGGCTAACCGGGTAAACCCCAGCTTTGCTGTTACTCGCCGTTGCCGAGCGCCCCGTGTCCCTCTTTTTTCTAACCAGGCCGGGCAAGGGATCAGAGGACCCTTCATTTTTCCTCCTTGTTCCGCTCGGGAAATTGCGCCTCTCTCTCCCTCTCTTCCTGGCGATGAGCTGCTCTCTTTGAATCTCTCGCCCCTCCCTCTCGGACGTAGATAGCGCGTTTCCTCTCCGATCCCGTTCGCCGAACTCCCTAGACCTGGGCCCTAGCCACCAGCGCCCGTTTTCTCTTTCCCTTCTTTTTCGCCCCCCCCTTCTCGGCGCCTGCGTAAGACCAAGGTTCTGCGACTTGCGATCTCTCTCCCTCTCTCCTCCGGGCTGTAATTCCCTCTCGTAAACGATGCTTCGTCAGGTCCTGCCGCGTAGCGCGCGGGCCTTCCGAGCTTGCGCCACGTGCCGCGCCCCGCCAATGGCCGGCGCGGCGAGGGGTCGATGGTACAGCATCAAGCCCGTGGCCGCCTCGGCCTCCAAGCCGCTTGACCTGGACCCTTCGCGGCTAACCACCACCAAGACGACGTCGCCCAAGACGCCCAAGGACCCGTCGCAACTCGTCTTCGGGCGCGAATTCACAGGTTCGACAGCCCTACTTGCAACCCCCGGGGCGGCGCGAGGGGAGGACGCGCAGGCCCCGTCCACCGGTGTAATTAACAGTTGAGATGGGGAGAGAGAGAGGGGGGGAAAGAGAGAAGGTATCTATCGGCTAATTGGTTTGCTAGATCACATGTTGACGGTCGAGTGGACGCAGGCTGACGGCTGGCTCGCGCCGTCGATCCAGCCGTACCAGAACCTGTCGCTCGACCCGGCCACCTGCGTCTTCCACTACGCCTTCGAGTGCTTTGAGGGGATGAAGGCGTACCGCGACGCCCAGGACCGCATCCGCCTCTTCCGCCCGGACAAGAACATGGAGCGCCTCAACAAGTCCGCCGCGCGCATCGCACTGCCCACCTTCTCGCCCACCGCCCTCATCGAGCTCGTCGCCCGCTTCGCCGTGCTCGAGCAGCGCTTCATCCCCCGCGAGCGCGGCTACTCCCTCTACCTGCGCCCCACGCTCATCGGCACCCAGCGCACCCTCGGCATCAGCCCGCCCGGCTCCGCGCTGCTCTTCCTCATCGCCTCGCCCGTCGGGCCCTACTACCCGACCGGCTTCAAGGCCGTCTCGCTCGAGGCCACCGACTACGCCGTCCGCGCCTGGCCCGGCGGCGTCGGCGACAAGAAGCTCGGCGCCAACTACGCCCCCTGCGTCGTGCCCCAGCTCGAGGCCGCCTCGCGCGGCTACCAGCAGAACCTCTGGCTCTTCGGCCCCGAGGAGTACGTCACCGAGGTCGGCACCATGAACCTGTTCGTCGCCCTGCGCGACGCCGAGACGGGGCAGAAGGAGCTGCTCACCGCCCCGCTCGACGGCACCATCCTCGAGGGCGTCACGCGCGACTCCATCCTCGCCCTCGCCCGCGAGAAGCTCGCCCCCGAGGGCTGGCTCGTCTCCGAGCGCAAGATCACCATGCCCCAGCTACAGGCCGCCTCGGCCGACGGCCGGCTTCTCGAGGTCTTCGGCTCCGGCACCGCCGCCATCGTCAGCCCCGTCCGCAAGATCGCCTGGGGCGGCCAGATCGTCGACTGCGGCCTCGCCGAGCACGAGGAGTCGGGCGAGGTCGCGCTGCGCATGAAGAACTGGATCGAGGCGAGGCAGTACGGCGACGAGGAGCATGAGTGGAGCTACATCTGCTAGTGAGAGAAGAGGGGAAGGAAGAGAGGGTACTCGTGTCAGTAGGGCAGGGCAAGTGACGTGGGTTTGGAGGGCACGGGGATGGGACGGGGGGGTTCCCGGCGTGTAGGCAGCAAGGGGAAATAAAAGAAGGGAGAAGGACGAATCTGGCTCGGGCCTGTCCGGAGAGAGAGCTAGTTGGGCATAGACGGCATAATCGGCGTGACGGCGTACTCGTTTGCATGGCCTAATTATTAAAACAAGGGGAAGTATAAAGAACTTCAAAGCGTGATCATGTATTCCTGCCCCCCGGATCTGTTAGGACGAGCGGGTCGATACTCGACACCTCTCCCCTAATCGGCGAAGTATGCGGGACACATTCACGGTGCGTGGCAAGAAGGAGCTCATTGGCGCTGTATAAGTAGATCGCGAACCCCCCCTCTACCGGATAGGGGCCGAAGCGGTCCGTCTATGGCGGTTTCTCTAATCGATGATGGCGCCTCTCTCGTCGGAAGGACGAGGGGCGATATATGAACAGCGGAAGTGGTAGAGATAAAGAGAGAGAGGGAGAGAGATGAGGTGGGTGAACGAGAGGGGGAGGGGGAGGGGGAGGGAAAAAGCAAGCAAAGATAAGTCAGACGTCGTGTACATATCAGGTCTTATCTATTGCATCGCGGACATCCCGAGTTTCGCGCAAACAATTTCCACAACCAGGCGATCCTGCCTTTTCTGCCTTCTGGTAGGTGGCCACCACGTTCATGCTCTGCGGAGGGGGACGGGATTAGTCGAAGCCTCACTGCTTCTTCTCGGGATCCTCCAGGATGCCTTCGGCTTCTAATCGTCGTCGCGCCTCCTCTAATGCCCATGTTTGTATCCTGCAAAGCAGACGTAAGCCAAATGTGCTGCGTGTATATATATGTGTATGTGTGTGCGTATGTACGTATGCGTCGATGCGCGTGTCGCCTCCCGTACTCCGATATCCCGCGTTGGTGGACTCGGCCTCCCCCCTCGGCCCCCCAACAACACACCTACCTCTACCCGTGTTCGCTTCCCCTTGCGTAGAAAGAGGGTAACGGTAAAGAGAGACTCACGAGGTGTCCGGCTTGTAGGCATACGCGACGATGGCGAGCGCGAAGCTGCCGCAGAACCCGTAGAAGAAGGGACCTTCCCAACCTTCCTTCTGGTATTTCTCGCCGGGCTTGACGCCAAACAGCCAGCCGGTCGGCGGGTCGAACTGCGGGCCGTGGTGCGAGGACGGGGCGCGGGAGGTAACGGCGAAGCTTCGGCTCGGCTGGTGCGGGAGATTGAAGGTGCGTCGCACAATCGCAGCAGCAGTGCTGCCGCTGCTGGTGCTGCTGATAGGTCGGAGGGCGGCCATGGTTGTGGTTTCGAGTGGCGCCGTGGCTCCGATGGGGTGGAGGGAGAGGCGTTGGCTGTGGTGGCGGCGGTCACAGCTGTGGGAATCGCTGTCCTGTTAGGACCGGCGCTCTCGCTCTCTTCTTTCTTTCGGTACTGCTCGTGTCCGATGAGGGTTTTCCCTCACGCAATCCGGCGTTTCTATCGCCTGTTCAGCTGCGGTAATAATGGGATGAGGGCCGCGGCTCTGGGCTGGGTAGAGTGGAGATGGGCCTCGGGGGGGGGTTTCGCGTTGGTTGTCGTCTCGGTCTCCTGCTGTAGCAGACGGCAGAGGGATAAGAGGATGTGGAAGTTAAGGTTTGTCCCGGCAAAGGCCAGTCCGGTCCAACCCGCGCCAATTGGGGGGGAAGTCAATTGGCTCCATTATGTAATACACTGCCATATTCCGCGCCTCTCCAGGTACCTGTGTACCCGCCTATGACGCCACAGACCTAGAATGTCCACGTGACTTATTCACCGGGAAAATCTCGTCTTTGGGTCTCGGCGGGGAACTAGCAGCCTATTTATTCGATATTTTTGGTTGTCTTTATACCTATTTAAATCTCGCTCTTTTTTCTCTTCCCACCTACCTTCTGATCACATACATATATATCCCTACCCATATATATATGTATTTCGAGGGAGAAATCACACCTCCTGGGAACGTGCTCATGTGAATAACTACCAGCGGCTGTGCTTACTACAGCTGGGCGGGGACGGATTCTGCAGTGTAAGTTCTGTTCGTTCTTCTCTCCTCGTCATGTCTCTTCGCCCCCTTCTGTCAAATGATGATCCAAACACTTCTAAGAACTGCCAACTGAAGTCCCCCATGTGGATTCAAATGCCATCAAGCTCAACAGTCTGATGCAGAAAGCGACCTCTGTCGTCCGGAGCCCTTTGTTGTTGTGGAAACGCCAGAGATGCCAGCCCGCCATCGCTAACTCTTACCTAGGCTACGCAGCGGACATGGTTGCTTGTTGGGGACCGGTGTGACCCCATCATCCATTTGCCCACATGGCGATAGGTAGGTCAGCAGGCAGTTGTACAGAGATTAGGTAGCAGAGGTGGCGCAAATGATAAGACACATCATCGATTCGGACCCGTGTTGTTTCTTGTGACGTGTACGAGCTGTAGAAGCCTTCGGCAACAGCACATCTTAGACATGCGGGTGCTCCAATCGAAGCCTCGCGAGAGACCTCGTCCGGATGCCTTTGTCTGGAACCACTTGGGATGTTTCGATCAGATATCACAATTCCTCGTGGGCTTGGGGCTCGGTCTCCCGTGTCTGTTGATGCCGAGTAGCACAACATCTGACACAACCCCATGCGATAGGCGGACGGGGCGGTCGTGCGTATTGTTACTGATCACCTACAGGAAGAGTGCCGTTGTTCTTCTCTCCACTTGATCTACCGCATAGGCAGCGTCGATCTCCCCGCGCTGATCTCTCTCTCTAACGCCTATGTATGTATCAGTATGGCTCTGCCGTAGACCCTAGGCATCCGCCTTGGCAGGTTGTGCGACCCTATCAAAGACGATGACGCCCTCGCTCCCGTCCTCGAGAAACTCGACGCGCAGCGCGTCCGCGGTGCCGCCCACGCCCACGAGGAACTCGGCGCGCGCCAGCTGCCCGTTGAGCATGTTGGGCGCGTTCAGCATGTCGATGACCACCGCCCAGAACTCGCCCGACACGTGCCGGAACGCCAACGTCATCTGCCACTCCATGTCGTCGCGGACCGCCTTCAGCTCGCCCTCCTGGCCCCCCTCGCCTAGCTCGACCCGGATGTACTGGTATCCTGGGTGGAAGTACGTCCCGACGTAGTCCGCCAGCGGCAGCGCCCGCGGCAGTGGCGGGTTCGCGCGCGTCGGGTACAGCGTCTCGGCCGCCTTCTCCGCCAGCCCGAGCTGCTTCTCGATCGACAGATTGCCCCTGCCCTCATAGCGTCAGCACCGCAGGACCACCCAACCTTCTCCCCGTCTGTCTCTGACGATAGTGAAAGCAAACTCCCTCGACCCCGAAAAAGGGAGAACGACGGAGGAGCACAGGAAAGGAAAGAAAGAGGAAGGAAGGAAAAAAAAAACTCACAAGCCCACCCAATCGAACCGCTCCGCCCCGGGCACGCCGAGCCGGGCGTCGATGAGCCGCCAGGCGAGCTCGCGGCCGGCGATGTTGGCGGTGATGGCGGTGTTGCCGAGGACGACGACGCCGTAGCCGAGGTCGGGGAAGACGCAGAGCTCGGCGCCGTAGGCCTCCATGCCGCCCGAGTGTGCGAGTGCGCGGCGGCCGCGGTACGTGGCGGCGGCCCAGCCGAGCGCGTAGGCCGGCGCGGCGTCGAACGCGAGCCGCGCATCCGGCGGCATCGGCACGCGCGGCTGCCCCAGCGCCGCGTGCGCCGTGGGCGGCAGCGGCAGGGTGCCCCCTGCCACGCACCGCATCCACCGCGCGTAGTCCGCCGCGCTGCTCACGACGCCGCCCGCCCCGCTCGCCAGGTCGAGGTTCGCGAACGGCACCGCCGCGAAGCCGGCCCCTTCCCCTTCCGCCGCCCGCCGCGCCCCGAGGTAGTCCCAGTAGTAGCCCCGCGCCACGGCGACGTCTCCGGCGGCCTCCGCCCGCAGCGCCTCCTCGATGCTGAAGTACGTGCGGTCCATGCCGAGCGGCGCCCAGATCTGCTCGCGCAGGGTGTCGCCGAGCCAGCGGCCGCCCGTCAGCCGCTGGATCGCGTGCGCCACCACCATGTACATGAGGTTGCAGTAGCGCCAGCCGGCGCGGGGCTCGGCCACCATGGGCAGGTGGCGCAGGCTGCGCGCGACGTCGCCGACGGTGGCGCGGTGGCGCTCGCCGTCGTCGCCGCCGTCGTCGCGGCGCCACCGCGGCAGCGCCTTGTCGTGCCGCGGGAACCCCGTGCGGTGCGACAGCGCGTCCTCGAGCGTGAGGTGCGCCGCCGCCCACTCGTAGCCCGCGCCCAGCGCGAAGTCGTCGGTGCCCTCGAACAGCCGCGCGAGCGGCGTCTGCCAGCTCAGCGGCGTGGCCGCCCCGCCGCTGTCGACAAAACTGTGGTTCCCCGACGCGATCAGCTGCGCGGCGGCTGCGGCTGTGAACGCCTTCGTCGTGCTGCCGCCGTAGAAGAGCGTGTCCGGCGTCACGGGGGCGCCGGAGGCAAGGTCGGCGACGCCGTAGCCCTGCGTCGCGGGGGGGGATGCGAAGGGGGTCTGGTTAGCTTCGTGGTAAGGAGGAAATGGGGGGTGAATATTCCCAATGTGTAGATATCTTCAGTTCAGTACTGATACAAGGATGGAGACAATAGCGCCGAGGAGTCTTAGCCCTTTATATACACTTGAAGATAACCCAAAATGTAGACGTGTCCGTCTTCTCTAGATCGTCTAACTCGAACCCGCGTTCCTAATCTACGCCGGATCCTCTCGCCCCAGCCTCCGAATTCCGTCCCCCGACCATCGTAAATCCTTCTATAGGTAGGATCCTTCTATAGGTAGGATCCTTCTATAGGTAGGAAAGAAAAAAAAGGGTGGGCAGATAGGTTGGTAGGTAAGGTGGGTGGCTAACCTCAGCCCATATCTGGTCCCCGTCGAGGACGGCAACCGCGACGCCGGGGACATGCCAGCGGTCGAGCGCGGCGCGCGCGAACGCTGCGAAGTCGGCATCGAGCGGGTTTCCTCTCTCTGCAGCCCTTCCGCCGCCTGCTTTCCGCGGTTCGTCGGCGCCTGGGGCCGGGGCCGAGGCCGGCACCCCCTGCTCGTGCTCTGCTCCGTCCGCAGCGGCCGCCGACAGCTGCGGCGGGCCCGTCTCGGACAGGACCATCGTCGATAAGCCTCAGCCTGTGAAGGGGGTTGGGGCGTAGGCAAAGGTGGTGGGTACGCAATTCCGCCTCCCGCGAAAAGGTTACGAAAAAAAACACGTCGACCAGAGAACGGCCTCGCAGCTAAGTTGCACAAGCTGAGAAATTGGTCGACAGCTGCTCTCATCCAACCATTACCCTCTGCGAAATCAACGGCCTACATATGCACTTAAACGATGCCTCTTTTTCGTTGATTTTAACCGATATGCTAAGGGCTTTTAGCCATGTGCATACGCCTACATACTCGCAGGTCCACTGTCTATCTGCATACCACCTCTCGTCAGAGACAACCTCCTGGATACCTCCCCTCCCGCCTCGCGTGCCCCCATATCACGAGGCCCAGTCAGTTAGCCGGCACCGGCCTGAGGAGAGCCACACATCTACGGGCGTCGTCGATACTGTCATTATAGGCTATCATTACCGCGAGCGAGGTGAGCTAAGGTAAACCCGAGCCAGTGAAACCGAATACGCTGGCATAAACACATATTCATCATATACGTCTCACGCACACAGCTCACATACACACATCGACATGCGTCCAACCTCATTCCGGGTTGCTGCTCCTGCGTTGGTTGACAGAGCCGACTCTCACTCTCTCTCTTTCTTCTCACTCCATCTCTCTCTTTCTTCCTCTCACCCCCTCCCCCTCTCACCCTTCCTCCCCGTCTCCTCTTGCTCCTCTTGCTCCTCTCCACCATGCTCTGTCCCGGACGCACGCACATTCTCTCTCTCTTCATTCGGGGGTATTTTCTTTTGTTCTCTCTCTATAAAAAAAAAGAAAAGGAAATCCACCGGATTGCGGATAGAATAAGAGGGGCCTAGACCGGATTCACTTTCCATACTTCCGCGAGGTGTAGGTCCATCTAGCAATCCAAATCCGACCCGACTATTGTGTGTCCAACGCCGCTCTCTAGGCCCGGCAGTCCCGCCGACAGCTCTAGATGTCCCGTATGTAGGCTTGCTAGTCGGAGACGGAGTAGGAGGACCCATTGCACACAGATTGGCGACTTGTTGCTGGTATGTTTGGATGCACTCCAACCAGGTCTAACCTCCTCACCCGAGCTGCCTCCGTAATTTCCTTTTTTTTTAATTTTTATTTTTAACTCATGCCTTTGCTCCTCCTATTTTATCTTTACTCCCGTACCGGTTCCCGTACCTAGATCGTATTGTGCCTCGCCACCTGTAGCTCCGTTACTAGTCGTCGTCCTCTAGCCGACGAGTCCGGGATTTTCGGTTTACAGGAATTCTCTGGGAATAAGAGGAAAAGGAAAAAAGAAGCCCCCGAGAACCCCGGGCCATGTAGTGAGAGAAGGGTGGCTCTAAAGCTCCTCATCCGAGTCGTGCTTAACCGTAGAGTGCGCTTCTTTCTTCTGTTGATCCGCAGTAGCTCTGCCTAGCACGTCACCTAGGGCGGCCGGGAAGTTGATGGAACGATCTTGCGGCTCCTCATCTGCTCGATGCTTTTTGAGGGGGCTCCCTATGCTAGATTCGCCGTTGAAAGCTTGCGAAAGTAAGTTGGCGACTGAGTTTGACACCGGTTGGCTGGTTGAGGAAGCATCCGTCGGCGTTGCCGATCCAATATTGACGGCTGCGCCTAGCGACTTCCGAGACCCCGACGCATCCACGCTTTCGGGGTCTGCCGAGTGTTGTCGTTTGAGCTGGTTTGGAATGGCCGTCAGTTATATTATACGGAGATGAAAAGGAGAGAGAGAGAGAGAGAGAGAGGTGTCATACGCGAATTCGGTCTATACCCGCTTGCAGCTCGCCGGTAACCTTGGCATCGTCTGGTGCTAGATGGGTCTTGAGGATCTTATCGTCGTCTTCCATCTTGGAAAGGGGGACTATGTCATCGTCACCGTCGTCGTCGTCGTCGTCGTCGTCGCTATCCTCGTCCATCAGGTTGCCATTATGGCCGTTGCTCCTTTTTCGAGCCTTGCGCCTCTTGGCGGCTTCCGCTTCCTGGTCTCGGAATGCAGAGAAGCCCACGGTGCCGGTAGACTTGAGGGGGCTGAGCCCCGAGAAGTCCAATTGAGTCGACCGTCGCTTGGTGCCTGGCGTCTTCTGGTCGCTCTTAGGACCCGGGTACAGCCCCATTTTGGACAATTGACCTAGAGACCAATGTTAGCGCCGGGTGATCGCTACGCACGTTGGCAGCTACGCACGTTGGCCACGGTAGAAGAAGGTAAATACGGCATAGGGCTTGTCGGGCCCGTCGATGCCCGTGACGGTCTGAGTACTGATCGTCTTGGGATCGAGAGACTTGGGTTTAGCAAAACTAGTGGTGTGCTCAACATCGGCGTCGATTGCCCCGTTGCTGCCTGCCTTGTTCCCGTTGTCGCTCTCGTCATCGTCATCGTGGGCGTCGAACTGCGGCGAGTACTCCCCTTTCTTGATCTCCCCCGACGCAATTACGCGGAACATGGCCACCTTGATCTGGCCCGTGGCCTCGGGCGGCTCGTCGTCGTCGGACATCGAGTCGTCATCCGAGTCGCCCGGGCTTCCCAGAGGCGACTGGCCTTCGGCGCCGTACGTGAGGGTATCCCGAGTTCGGGTAATCTTCTCCGAATCCCCGTCGCCATGGGGCATAGATTTGTGGCGACGGTGGCGCCTCTCGAACTTCTGCCTCCGCTTTTCCACCTTCTCGGCGGCGTCGTGGCCCTTGAGGTCGAGGCCGTTGAGCCACCTCTCCAGGCCGACTTCGCGAAAGAGGAACTCGCGCTCGGCAAGCCCGCCTCCTTCTCCCTCGGGCACCTGAACCCAACGACTATTGACCCATGTTTCTTCTCCCGGGCGCAGCAGGGTAGCTACCTCCTCTTTCGCCCGCCCATCGAAATAAATGTAAGCTGCGATGGTCTCGTTCTCGGAATTCGTCATGGGAATGTAGGGCGTGATCGCGTTGGCATGTCTTGAAGGGTCGGAGCTGGACGACGGTAGCGGTCCCGCGTAGAGGGGTCTCGGATGGGGGTTGTCTGGTGTCGGTTTCGGGGTGGTATAGGGGATAGGGTGACCAGGCGTGAGCAGCGTGACGGAGATTGCGAACTTGGCCGCTTCGTGCTTCGAGGTCTCGGGATTCAGCTGGGGCTGCGGAACAGGTATGTAGGTGCTGATGCGAGAGAGGCGAGACTGCTTCTGCATGCCGTATTCGGGGAGCGGGGCCGAATTAGCATGAATGCTAACGGCGATGCCCTTGAAACAGGGCATCGTGAACCGGTGTTGGATATATAACGCCGGGCAAGACAAGAGGAGAGGGGGCGAGCGGGGCGGTGGGGAGGAGACCCGAGATCGCTGTCTCTATTCCCGCGTAAAATTGGGTTGTGATGATTTATTGTCTGTCCCCTCTGCTGGTAGCGGTCGACGATGATTAACGTGCACTGGGAAAAAAAAGAGGTAGACTAGAACTTGTTTGTTGCGGCTCGAGAGAAGACAGTGGCGGTCGGAGGAAAAGTCGAGAGCTCCACAGCAACGAATGTGAAGCGGACGAGTGGTGACTTGTCCTAGGATGCAGCTTGCAGTGGGAAAAAAAAAATAAGCGGCTTGTTCACGCACTCTCCTCTTCTTAGCGGTGTGTCCAGAGACTTGGGCGGAGAGGGGGGGTTATGTGGTCTCTACGACCCGTCGGCAAGCGCAATAACTACCTCGTCAGCCACGAATCCGATATCCCGTTGGCATCTGCTCTAATTCTATCGTGCACACCGAGATGGATCGTGGCAGACAAGCAAAAGTAAAGAGTTGGTTAGTTCTCCAGTCTTGGTCTTTTTTTTTCTTCTTCTTCTCGCTCCCTTTCGGCTCCGGAGTCGATCGATGCCGAACCACGGCTTCGCTCGAGCAGATGGGAACTAGAGGTGGAGGAGGAGGGGAGAGGAGGGAAAGGAGGTGAGAGGAAGAGGAGGGAGAGAAGGAGGGAGAGAAGAAGGAGAGGAGGTGAATATGTAGGTATGGCGAGAGTGCAAGCGTGTGTGCGTGAAGCGGGTGCGGTGCAGAATCAGCCTAGACCGGGGGTGGCCACACTATGCTGGCCGGATAGGTACGGATGTATGCGTGTAGTGTAGTGTATATGCGTGTGCGCTCGCGAGTCTGCTAGGTATGCGTCGTCGATGTGCATGTGTGTCTACCTATATGTCTACCCATGTGCCCTTCGCCCAATGTACGAATCTGATGTGCGTGGAGATCGGGTTGGGAATTCCGCATGCTCCGCAGGGGGGAGAGGGGGGATACTACCCGGGCTACGGCTGGGCCGACCGCGGCTGGGCCGTTGTCGTCCGTCCTTCGAGAACAATGAAGCCCAGCGGAGGATCTCGTGCTGGGCCTGGGCGTGTAGGTGTGCGTGTGTAGGTTGTAGGTATGTGTATGTGCGTGTGTCGTGTGTTGTATGTAGGTGTGCTGTATGTGTGCGTGTGCGCCGGCGTTGTCTGTGTGTATGAAATACTTATACGTCTGTGTCGGGTGGATTCGGCGGATGCCCTGTTGTAACGTCCAAATAATTTGTGCATGTATTGAAGCCGTGGTGAGTGCTTGATGCATTCTAGACACATATACTCGGTACGTAGGTATGCACCTAAACAGGTAGGCAGCTAGGGTGCCCCACAGTGGCGGCGGGCGATGAGTTGACAAGCGGCTCCTGGTGAACAAAATGACCGTACGTGTAGAAGCTTGAAAGAGGACCTGATAGGTATCTATCCTGTGTACATATTAGGTGCCTAGAGCACCGGACTCCCCTGGAATTCAACCACCAGTGATAGTGTGGTTAGGAGGTAGTGAATGCATGGCGCACGCATATGTAGTAGTTTTTCTGGCCGACCTTCTGATCATCCACTACGCCGGGGCGCGCGTGAGTGATGTCATCTTTGCCACTGTCTCTCTGGTCATGTCTCCTGATGAATTATTAGAGCTAGAGGGAGCTCCCAGGCCGAACACGGCAGGATATCTATCTGGTTGGTCAAATCAGTCGAAAAACAGAAAAGGATAGTGATGACTATCGGCCTGAGGCCTTTTTACGTCTCCTAAGTAACCCTTCAGGGGGGCACTACGATGCTCCCCTACCCACCCGGGCCGTCGAGACGCGGCACTCAAGACTGGCTTCCCCATGACGGCCGCTTACGTAGGCTCCCTTTCTCTTGCCTGTGGCTTAAGCTAGTCCCGACCCCCAGTTCTTCCTCGTCGTCCTCTGTTTTGACGTAGTCTACCGCTTGTGTCTGTGAACGCTGCTCTTCGGCCTCACGCTTGCCCTTGCCCTTGCCCTTGCCACCGCTGTCTTTTTCGTCCTCGCCCTCGTCTTCCTCCTCCTCTTTCTTGACTCCTGGATCTGCTTCCGACTCCGCCTCTGCTTCTGCCCCCTCCCCCCTTTGCCTGCCTTCTGTCTGCTCCACCCCGCCCCTGAAAAAGGCAGAAGCGGCTGCTGCTTCCTCGGGAGACAAAGGCGGGGGTGGCGCGACTGGCCAGGGGTCGTACTTTTCGTAGTCGTCGTTATCGTCGTCTGTATCGATGTCGCTGCCGCCGCCGCCGCCGCCGCCGAGTTGTCCGGGTCTGGGGCCCGAGAGCCAGCGACCCAGGAGCAGCCACGCCAGCAGCATCGATAGCATCTCGCCAACCCAGAAGATGGCCGTGCCGACGGCGAAGGAGATCACGCGGTGGTGGAACATGGCCCAACGGACGCCCGACAGCCGCGCCACCAGCGTCACCCGCGCCTCGTATACCTGCAGTGTCTGCCCGGCCTGCACGTCGACTAGCAGCGACAGAGGCAGCGCGTTCCGGAACTCGACGAGCTCGCCCATGGGCACGACGAGCGTCGTCCGCTCCGACGCCGCCGGGTACAGGACGTAGTAGAGGAGGAGTAGGACACGCGACGTCGTCGACACGAGCGGGTCCGCGTAGGGGATCAGCGTCGGCCGCCGCGCCGCGAAGGCGACATTTCCGGGCTGGCGAACGTGCCGGTAGAGGTCATCGGCGGACAGCTCTGCGGCCGACGGCGACAGCGAGAAGGCCGGGTTCTCGGGCTGCGACCTGAGTGCGAACAGCGCCACCATGAAGTTGCCCTTCTCGAGGTTCGGCGGCGACCGCGGCACCGTCAGCTCGACCGACACGTCGTACGCCTGTTCGCGCATCAGGCTCGACGACAGCGAGGTGACGCCATACGGGTTCGGGCCGGAGCTGTGGGAACCAGCCAAGCCGGGGCGTAGCCGGCAAGGGTATTAGCCATCTTACGGGGTCTATGTTACGGTTGTCTTACGGCGGGCACATGCAAAAAGTCACTGCCAAGACTAGAAACAAGGGGGAAAAAAAGGAGGTATGTCGTACTTGTATTGCAGGTGTATCGGCAGGGATATGACCTTCTTCGGGACATAGTTGTAGTAGAAGACGGGATAGGCCAGCGCCGCGACGCACAGTAGCGCCAGCGACGTGGCGAGGAACAGGGCGGTGCCAAGGTAGGTCTTCTTGGCGGTCGAGGACGTCGCAACTCGGTACGAGTCCTTCACGTAGTCCTGCGGCGACCGGAGAGGGATGATTGTCAGTCACGCTGCTACGGACTCGATGCTACGGACCCGATGCTAAGCTTCTCAGCCCGAGGACAGGCGTGGGGAGGGGGGCAGGGGGATAGCCTGCCTGCAGAGACGCAGCCAGCCGCAGCTACATAGACCAAAACGCAATTGGGCGGACTGACCATATTTCCAAGTTGCGAGAAGATAGAGGCGCCATGCAGCGGGCGCTCAGGCTGCTGATCCGTCGTGTGCCGGACCGGTGCAGGGTTTCGCCTTACTGGGCTTGCTGCAGCGAGTGCCGCTGGTATTGGCGAGCGAAGGAGCGTCAGTAGAAGCGGTGTGGCGAGACGTCCGGACGACGAGGGGACTGGCAGAGATGAGTGCTGGCGGCGCCGATTCTGGTTGTTAACTGAGTGCGATTGTTGTTGTGGTAATATGGCGGGTGGTGTTCAGTTTTGCCCGATTCGGGCTGGCGATGTGCTTTGACGCGGATTGGCTCCCCCGTCGTCAAGTGGCCGACCCACGGGGCTTGTCGGCGACCGATGCGCCGTGGGCGACGTCGTTACGCCAAGTTTTGCGTCAAGTTGCGCCAAGTCATTCTCGTTCACGTAGCGCTGCATTTGGACGCCCATCTGCTCCCATGGGCCAATTTTTGCGTTGACATCCTATTCGTGTGGATGGAGAACCGTCGACTACCAATGGCTTCTCCGCACATTGTCCTCTGTCTTCGACCGGGTTTCTTCTCACCACGCTTCCATACTCCACCCGTCCTGACCGCCACGTCCAATTTCCTGCCGTCAGTCATTAAGGGGGCCCCAGTTCTTATGCATATATGCCTTTATATTAAGAGGAAGCAGTCTCGTGTTTGAACCCGTTCGTGCATATCTTCGCCTTCGGACCCGGCGGCGAGGAGGATGATAGGCAACGCGAAGAGCGAGTAGATATATGGATAGAAAAACAACAAGGATACGACACCGGCCTTACCTAGCCGCCTCACCTTCCTCCTCACTATGCCACCCTTTTTCGTCCCCCCTCCCCACATTCTCCCCCCTCCTCCCTCCCCCCAAAAGCCTTCCTATCCCCCCAAGGCCCGCCACGTATCCGCATGTCTTACATCTCAAACATCTCAGATGCGCCACCCGTATTGCATATTGCATGCCTACCTTACGTTGGGGGTAGGTGGGATGTTGACCTCCACGAAAAGTCTGGGAAAGTGTTATTCTTAGTCTCGTCACGAAAGAAAAGAAGGGAAAAGAGAAGAGAAGAAATCAGGTACAGCCAGACAGCCGTTCCTCTGGGCGTCTAGCAGGGCTGCAGATAATTACTAGGCACTAGCCCGCCTCTGCCTGCACCATTGCCTGAGTGGATCTCAGCCTCCCACCATCCGTCGTCCTGGTGTCGGAGTACAGCCAGGATATCGCCCTTAGCGAATCCGAGCTCCTCCGGGATCGCAGCCTGGTACATATATAAGGCTCGGGCTGGTGAGGGGAAGGTCATGTCAGCTACTACGACTCGATATGAGGGGAAGGGGGAAGGGGGAAGTTGGAAAAACCAGGTTAGGAACTGACCGTAATGAATGATTGCCCGCCCGTCCGGCGTGTACTGCCGACTTGGGTCCGCCACGCTCTTGCTGCGTTGGCGCGTACTCTCTGCCACCGGGTCCCTCGGGTCGTAGAATGTCATGGCCCGCGAGCTCGCGCTCGTGCCGGGCCGGCCGCTTCCTCTTCCTCGCATCGATCCGCCGTACGCCGATCCGTCCGCCGATCCTGGCCCCATCCCGCCGCCGACCGGCGCGAGCTGCATCGCCATCTCGCCAGCCCTACTGGTCGGACGGCTGTAGTCGCCTCGGTACGGGATCGGGGACGGCGATTTCGTGCGCATTGAGCCGCTCGGAGAGTGGTGCCGGTAGTAGGACCCCTGGTCCGAGTTACGTTTCGTCGACATGCTGGTCCGCGGCGATTGTGAGTGCCGCTGCTGCGACGGCATCTGCTGCGGCTGGCCGCCGCTGTACGGGTTCGGGGAAGCCGACCGGTAGCTCTGGCGCGAATCCGGAGCCGCTCCCGTGTGTGGGGACGCACTGCGAGTGGGCGCAGGCGATGCGGCGCGGGGCATGTCGCTACCTCGGGTCGTCGGGCGAGCCGGCGCGCTGTTGCTAAACGATGACGAGCTATTGTTGTATGCGCTGGACCCGGGGCGTTTCGAGCCGAACATATCTCTGGTCTGCTCCACATACTTTCGCGACGCCTCCTGCATAGCCTTGGACGTCACCGCTGGGGGCGGAACCCCTAGTCTTTGCACTTGTTGGTCATAGGATGGCGGCGGCGTGCCTCTTAGGCCAGCGGCCATGTCGCTATTCGCCCTGTTGTGCACCGTACGAGTTAGGGCCTGGCTCTGAACCTGCGGTTGGGCCTGAGGCTGGGGCTGGGGCTGGGGCTGGGCCGGCTGTCTCTCGGGCACCGGGGTGACGATGCCGTGGTAGTGATCAGCCGAGATCCGGCCCGCGGATTGTTTGTGGCCGGTTACTCCTTTTAGCTCCGCCAAGGCGAGGGCAATTGGATCGGGCTCGTCCTTCTGCGTCGGACTGCTGTCGGCAGCCTTGCTGCGCTTGTCCGTATTCGCAACGGGGAATACGTTCTGCCCGATGTTCAATGCTAGGCTTGCATTCGCCTCGATGGGCTCGGGGCTTGCTGTCTTTTCCGCGAGATCTGTGATCGGGGTCTTAGGCTCTGACTGAAAAGCCTGGGAACGCCGGGAAATGGTGTTCTGGGACGACACAGGGGCCCAGGTGTTTCTGTTCGACACCACCGGCGGCGCCTGGGATTCCTTGATGCTCTTCCTCCGGAACGGACTGCGGCTCTGGAAAAAGCCACTCTTCTTCTTGAAGACCTGCTTCTCTGGTTGGGCTGCCGCCACGGGCTCCTGCTTCACAGGCGATACTTTGCCGGTCGGCGGTTCCTGACTAGAGAGCGATGTTGGGTTGGAGTAATCGCTGTGCTCGTCACGGCTAGAGGGCCGCGCGGACAAGTTCGAGCTCGTCGCTGAATTCATGCCGTCCGTGCGGCATAACATAGTCATCCCATCCATCGGGTATGGGTCGTGGGGGACGGCCGCAAATTGAGAGGTATCATATTGCGGTGCCACCACACTTCCCTTCCGCCGATCTTGTGGAGCGACAGCAGGGCTTGGAGATTCTTCTGCCGGTGTGACGGGCTCCCTATCAGTGACGGCTGGCGGTTCACTACGTGGGAAGTCCCGCGTGACAGGAGAGATGGGATCGTGCCGTTGTAGGTCACGAGGAGCAGGAGGGTTGGGGTCATAACGCCGATCGCGTTGAGCCCTGGTAAGTGAGTTTTTCGGGTCATAGCGCTGTAAGTCTCGAGATACCTCCCGGGGAGCCTCTCTGGGGACGTCCCGAGGGACATCTCTAGGAATATCTCTGAGACTGTCTCTAGGAGTCTCTCTAAGAACATCTCTGGGAACCTCTCTGGGGCTTTCCCTGAGGATCTCTCTAGGAACCTCTCTCGGAATCTCCCTGGTAACCTCTCTAGAGATATCCATAGGCATATCTCTCGGGACTTCTCTAGGTATATCTCTAATGGCCTCCCTAGGTACATCTCTAGAAACAACGTCCCTAGAAATGTCTCGAGAGATGTCTCTAGGAAGGCCGCGGACAACATCACGAGAGATTGAATTGGGATCGTAACGTTGTATATCGCGAGTCATGGTATCGCGAGGAACGTCCTGTGAGATATCTCGGGGGGCATCCTTGGGAGTCTCCCGGGGGGCCTCCCGCGGCATATCTCGGCCAAGGTCTCTAGACGCGTCTCGAGGCATGTCACGGGGAATGGGAGCGGCCTCGTAACGTTGCATAGCGTCCCGAGGAGCTTCCCGAATGGCATCTCGCGGCATCTCGCGGGGGATGGATGAGCTCGGTTCGTGGCGTTGTACATCTCGAGGGAAGCCTCGGGCAACGTCGCGAGGGACATTCCTGGGAATTTCTGGGAAAACATCACGAGCGTCGCGGGCGCCCAAATTGGGATCGTAGTGTTGTAGGTCTCGGGCAAGCGCGGAGTCCGGATCGTGATGAGACTCAAAGGTAGAGGGCTGCGGCGAAGGGGCGCGGTAGCCGGGGTTGATGCTTTGAGGGATCTGCTTCTGTAATCTGTTTCCCTGCCTTCGGTCCTGCTGGGGGGGGAGGGAGGCCGAAACCTTTTGTTGCGTGACGACCAGGTCCTTGCTGGATGATGCCGGGGACTCCTGGTGTGTCGAGCCCCTGGCGAAGGAAGAATTGGGATCGTGGTGCGATTCGAGCGTAGACGGCTGGGGCGAAGACGTGCGGAAGGCGGGATTGATGCTTCGCGGGAATTGTGCCACCGAGTAGTTCTCGTCGTCGTCAGTTTCCGAATGGTGGTCCTCGACGTCTCCTCGGCAGAAGTTGATGTACTTGGGGGGGTCGGGAATTTCCTGGCCGGTGCCCTTCTCGGTGATGAAGTGGGTGATGTCCTTCTCGACGTCCATCTTCTCGAGCGAGAGGCGGATCTTCTCGCACGACGCATCGTCGCTAACGCAAACGGTCGAAGCGATATTAGCGAATGACCACAAGCTACTCTTAGTGAAATCCAGTCTCTCCTCCTCGAGGTCTTGGAACCTGTCGGCCGCGGACTTCCATTCCCTGTTCCACCTGGCGGTCGTGTCTTCCAGAACCTTGACCGCATTCTCGTAGTCGGCGTTGGTCGCCGCCAGACTGATCTGCGTCTTCTCCAGCCTGGCCTTGTTCTTCCTCTCCTCCTGGCCCATGACCATGTGTCCCTGGGCGAGATAGCCCTTGATCTTCAGGCAGTCCTGCTCGTAACGGTCGCGGGTCTATCTGGTGTCAGCTTTCGCGGGGTTCCGAGCGCGCTACGTCGCCTCCTCGTCTTCTTCGGACCAGACCCACCTTGTTGACAGCGTTCGTCTGCTGGATCTTCACCTTAAGAAGCTTCTCTACAGTATTTTGCACAATCTTCCGCCTCTCCTTCATCCCCCCGGCGAAGGCCGCCAGCGGCTCCTCCAGCTCGGTCTTCATCTGGGAGGCGATAGTGGCATGCTGCTTTGCCATGCACTCGACCTCTCCTCGTACCGTATCCAGCGAGACCTTGAGACTGCCCATCTCGTGCGACCCGAGAGGTTTCCGGCAAAGCGCCATGAGCTTGCGGGCGTACTCATCTTCGATACTCGCGCGGGCTGGCGCAGCGGGAACGAGTTTGGTTAGCCATGGTTGTGCCGGTGGGGAGGACGGGCGGGAAGGACGCACCACTATAAAAGGATCTCAGTTCATCGCTGGTCTGCTTCGCAGAAGCCATGCGGTCGAGAAGCGGTCCTACACCGGCATCATCTTTGCCCCAAAAGTTGTTGGCGACTTGTCGGCACTGCCTGTTAGCGTCTCGGGCTGCCGTCTACCCAACTTCGACCGTAGGGGACCTACACGACAGTGCCACCGCCGGGCCATCTGTGGCCGCAGGCATCCTCCCCAATTTCTACGAAAAAAAAGAAAAAGGCGATGGTGATGTATACAGACGCAGTCAAGTACACGACGGGCGGTGAATGTCGGTGAGGTCGGCAGCGGTGTATGCTTTCCGTCGATGCGGCGAAGGTGCTGGCTCGGGATGTCTCGAACGGTAAATCCTGATCGGCTGCGATGTCGACGCTCTCTTCGCGGGCCGCCAATATGTAGAACTGACCTCGCAGGAATGTGAAGAGAAGTGAAGTACGGATGGTGTGGCATCGAAAAGAGTGTGCATGTGTGTGTGGTGTGGGTGGCAGTAAAGAGGTTACAGGCAAAGTGACAGGAACTGTTTACGGGCGGTAACGTCGTTGCCCGAGGGACGGAGCGTCGTTGTTGGCCTTGGAAAATGGTGGATCCCGGCGCATCGTCGTGGCCGTGGTTGGACCTGGCGGCGCTAACCTGATTAAAAATAGCAACAATTGCGCCAGCCAGCCCGACCTGATCGACGCATTCCCATGTCTTTTCCTTCTCATTGCCGGTTTTATGTTGGGTACGTGTCTCTTCTCTTTGCTTTTCTATTCCAAGTTCATATTTATGATGCCTTGATGACTTAGGCGTTGACAGGTCCCAGTCCCATACTGCCGAGTCGGTATGCAGCCTCTATGGATACTTGCCTGTATATAGGTAGATAGGTAGGTAGGTGATATCTACTCATATTGGCCGGTAGTGAGTGTTAACTGGTTTCTTCTTGTTTGACGTGAGTTTGTTTTGGTTTTATTCCTCCTTCAATCCCCTTCAATCGCACCGCCCTGGCAAGTTGACAGACAAGTGCTTGTCGTAGCAATCAACCTTCGTTGCTTGGTCCCGAGCAGGCATATATCATGGCCCTGGCAAATCTTTCTAACTACCTAAGGTATACCAGATTGTGTAAGGCCTCGGATACATCCTCCGAGTCGTCCCTCTTCTCCTGCTCTTCTCCTTCTGTCCCCCTCACCACGCCTTGCTTCTCCTCTCCCCGATCCCTCGTGCGTAGGCCGGAACTAACTCGCTCCCTAGTCACGGTGGGTTCCCTACTAATATCCATAAGCCTAGAGTAATGGCGTGGCCGCCAGACCCCAAGGCCGGTTCTCTGCTACCGGTGCGGGGAACGACTCCTTTGCACACGCTTAGCGAAGCCGAACTGCTGCGTCACAGAGCGTCGGCACTTGAGACGGGTGGGAAAAGTGACCTGTTACGGAGGAGCCTGCGGGACTCTTTGGCCCGCTGCGGGAAAGATTTAAAACAATGCCTACCTATGCAGATCTATCCGGAGCGATTCTGGAATTGTGTCTCGCTATAAACCCCCGGTAGCTACTCTTTAACCCCGTAAACCACTGCCATATTCTGGAATCGCTGCCCCGCGCGCCTCCGTAGTCGAGCCGAGCAGCCACCCGCACTTTCAGCATGGACAACTTCGAGTACACCGCGAACCCCGCGCGCGTCGTCTTCGGGAGCGGCACCATCAAGAAGATCCCGGAGGAGCTGGCGCGCGCCAAGGTCTCGAAACCCTTCCTGCTCAGCACGCCGCAGCAGGTGGGCCACCTCGACCTGCTCAAGGGTATCCTCGGGAGCGACGCGGTCGCCGGCAGCTTCGCCGAGGCGACGATGCACACGCCGGTCGAGGTCACAGAGCGCGCGCTGGCACAGCTGCGGGCGTCGGGCGCCGACTGCATCGTGTCGATCGGCGGCGGCAGCACGGTGGGGCTGGGCAAGGCGCTGAGCGTGCGCGCGGGGCTGTTCCACCTGACGGTGCCGACGACGTACGCCGGCAGCGAGGTGACGCCGATCCTGGGCGAGACCGACGGCGGCCGCAAGACGACGCGGGCCGACCCGGCCATCCTGCCGCGCGCCGTCGTCTACGACGTCGACCTCACCCTGACCCTGCCCGCCGCGCTCACCGCGACGAGCGGCGTCAACGCCATCGCCCACGCCGTCGAGGCCCTGTACGCGCGCAACCGCAACCCCGTCATCAACCTGCTCGCGCAGGAGGGCGTGCGCGCGCTGGCGAGCGCCCTGCCTGCGCTCGCCGCCGACCCCGCGTCGCGCGCCGCCCGGTCCGAGGCCCTCTACGGCGCCTGGCTGTCCGGCACGTGCCTCGGCAGCGTCGGCATGTCGGTGCACCACAAGCTGTGCCACACGCTGGGGGGCAGCTTCGGGCTGCCGCACGCCGAGACCCACACGGCGGTGCTGCCGCACGCGCTGGCGTACAACGCGCCGCGGGTGCCGGGGGCGCTGGCGGCGCTGGCGGCGGCGCTGCCCGACGGCGACGGCGACGCCATCGCCGGCCTCAACGCGCTCCTGCGCAAGCTCAACGTCGAGCGCAGCCTCCGCGCCTTCGGCATGAAAGAGGAGGACATCGACAAGGCCGCCGACATCGCCGTCAGCAATCCCTACTGGAACCCGCGCCCCATCGAGAGGGAGCCCATCCGCGAGCTCATACGCCGCGCTTGGGCCGGTGAGGAGGCGAGGGCGGATCTGTGAGAGGAGCGAAAAGGAGCCGAGAGGAATCATGCGCGACTACATAGGCGGGGTACGATTGTCGCGGAGCCTGCGAGCTAATAGGCTGGGGATTATTGTTGATATCGTAGACTAAGAGAGCTTGCAAGAGGCACACAGATACGAAAATTCGCATGTTCCGCCTGTAGGCAGATATTATGGCTCAGGGCCGGGAGCAATAGGAAATGTCTAACGTCCCAAGGGTGAATTGTATAGACTGTCTTATCTACATAGCTGACACGACGCCTGGGCCTGGTGCCGGTGCGCAAACTACGACCCATTTCACCCGGGCAGGGTATTGGCAGCAGGCCTCACAGGACAAGTGCGGGATCGCACCCGCCGAGCCGCGCGCTCCGCGTTTCGCCGTCGAATATGATCTCACTAACAAGCTTACCCGTCGCCGGCGCGTTCTGGATGCCCCAGCACGTGTGGCCCGCGGCGACGACGAGGCCCCTCGTCGGCCCCGCCTTGCCGATCCACGGCCCGCCCTGCGGCAGGTAGCAGGCCTGCCTCGCGAGCACCGCCGCCCCCTGTCGTCCCCCCTCCCCCTCCCCCGCCGGGCCCAGCTCGCCGCTGATCCCGCGCACCTGCCGCAGGATGTCGTCGCACCGCGCGACGTCGACCGCGACGCCCGTCGACATCGGCGGCAGCTCGGCCACGGCGTCCGGGGGCCCGCACGCGTACGCCGTCCCGTCCGGCCGCGGGTAGATCTCGGGCTCGACGATCCGTTCTCCGCGCAGCGGCGGCGGCGCGGCCCTCGCAGCCCCCGGGATGTTCGCCGGCGTCGGCGCGGGGAACCCCGGCGGGAGCCGGATCGACGTGAAGAGCGCGTAGGGTGAGAAGGGCTTCGGCGTCTTGATGACGACACTGTGGACGCGGGCCGCCGTCACCGGGATCTCCGGCAGCAGGGTCCGGGTCCACGGCCCCGCGGCGACGATGCAGTCCGTCGCGGCGACCGTCTCTTCCTTGCCGTCCCTCGTGTACGTCACGCTGCTCACGGCGTCGCCGCCGGCGGTCTTGTTGATCGCCGTGACCTTGGCGCCCGTGACGATGGCCACGCCCTTCTCCTCGGCCAGCTGCGCCATGCTGCGCGTGAACAGCTCCGGGTGCACCTGCGCTGTGTTGTCCGGGGTGCCCATGCCTTCGTACGCGGCGAGCGCCTCGCTGTCCACCCAGTCGAGGTCGGCGGGCACGCCCAGCTTCCGCAGCGCGCTGCGGTCTTTCTTGTGGTCCTTGTGAAGCCCTCTGGACGCCGGCTCCGCGGCGCCACCGACGGACTCCGCGTCGGTAGGGCCTCCTGCGTCTGCTGCGCCGCTGGGTAGACGCGGCCGGCAATCGATCTGACTGGCGTAACACCGCCTATACCCCCACCTCTTGTCTCCGCCGTATTCCCTCGCTAGCTCGTCGTGGAGGTGGAAGCTCAGCGGCACGATGTTCCTGGGGAACGCCCACAGGGCGAGCAGGCCCGCGGCCTTGCCGCTCGCGCCACCAGCGATGCCCTCGTGTGCGGGATTCCTCTTCGGCGCGGTGGCGGGGTCGGCTAGGGTGGCGGGGTCCTGGATGCTGTCGGCGGTGCGGCCACCGGCGCTGCTGGAGGAGGCTTCTAGGAGGGTGATGCGGTGCAGGTCGGGGGAATAGGACGGGTGCCGGGTCAGGTAGTAAGCGGTGCAGCATCCTATGATGCCGCCGCCCACGATGGTGATGTCTCTCGGTGCCGCGGCCATTTTGCGGGCGCTGGAAGTGGTGAGGTGGCGGATGCAAGTGAGGCTGGCTTGGAGCATTTGTGGCGATCTGGTCGCCATGGCTAGCTAGCTGTCTCCTCGCCTCCACATCGACCATCTGCCCCGAGCAATGGCGGACGAATTTCGACGGGTTAAATCGCCAGCTATAATCCAATCCCGTCTCGTCTGTGACCCGGTTACGCAGTTAGATGGGAGGTGACGTCATGAAAATAGGTACCTCAACGCACCCCTTTCCGCGGCCGTACACTGGGTATAGGCATGTCGAGGTGGGATGGCCAGCTGTCAGCGTGGTGAGTGGGGCTTTCTTAGGGTGGGGTGAAAAGAAGATATAGCCAATCAAGTCGAAGGAAGATCCCAAAAGAACGATGGTCTGGAAACCCACCGGAGACTTAATTGGTTGCTTCATCTCTGTGTGACAGCTGCCAGGCATGCTATTCAAGTATGAGTAGGTACTTAAGCAACCGTTGGTTCAGGCCGTACAGTCATAGATCGTATCACCCATAGGGTGGCCTACCACAATGAATCTTGTCCTGTTGACGTTGAGAACCCAACACTTCTGTGCATCAACGACACTCAAAGGTGACGTGGAATCATGGAATTAAGTCATCAAAGTCCGCGCGGAAGCAAGAGGCCTCGGCGAGCCAGCGAAGCGCAGTGAATAGTTTGCACATGATCGATTAGTTCGATCATCCGCACCGGCGGGCCTAGAAGTTGAACGCTACGCCGAGCCTGTAATATGGGCAAGACAACATAATAGCCGCTCCCCCGACAGCCCACCCGAGGGATCTGGGTGCGATATTGCTCATTGAATAGGCAGTAGCATCATAGGAACCCGGTCAGCGAAAAGGCAAAATGAGGCCCCGCCGTGTCGCTGACGTGCAACCGAAGAGCAGGCACGTTCGTGTTAAGACCCCCGGGGTCTGTCTGTTGCCATTATCGCTAACAAGCCGCACAGCTCTCAGTCACGGTGGCGGCTTGTCTAACACTGTCTGCCCTATAAAATCACTCGTAAGATCATGTCGCTCTTCGTGGCTTGTCAAAACTCTTCTTATGTTGTAAAGACTACCGGCTTCACGGTATTACCAGGTGGGGGAGTTGACACAGGCTCGGAAGGGGTGCTAGGCCATTTAACTCCGAGGTGGCTTCGAGGGTCCCTTCAACTACTCAACCGCCCCCTTCCCCCAATACGAGAGAGGCTCCCCCATCAAGCCTCGAAAACCGGCAATATAGAAAGCTATCTTGACAGACTTATCATTGCAAATCGCGGGTCCAAAAACCAACGGAAATGGGCGCCTATTACGTTTTAAGAAACCCTTCTCCAATTCCTTAGCCAGCGACCCGAGCTGATGCGCAGCATCATGGATCTCCTGAAACCGAACAAGACCAAAATCGACCGGAATACTATTCAAGAAAGGTTGGGAGAAACTCAAGAGTAGAATACGGTGATCGTTAAAAGGTGTCTGAGGTGTTGTATTAGAGTCTAGTCCGCACACCCATTCCAGGCACTGGTTTTACTTGACGGTCCCGACGAGTTAGAGAGTGACGAAAGTACCCGGATGTGCATTTCATTTTTAAAAGACTTCTCGAGATCACTTCCAAATTCCCGACGTAATTTCAAAGTACGTCTACCGAGCTGATCTGAACAGACGCTTCTGGACCTTCTCTCTAGCACCTAGAGGCCCGACATACATAACCACACCCAAGAGGATAATATTTGGCAGCGCGCCTTTTCACGCGTCCTCGAAGACCCAAGGTTTCGAGGCGAACCCCACAATGAAGTTAAGAATAAACCTGGGAAAATACTCAACTACATCACCCAGAATACTAATCGTCTCTTGGAGCTTACCCTGATCGTACACGTCGTTGAGAGGAAGATCAGTAGCAAAGAAGATCCTTGGTTCGACCATGATGCGGTCTCCTTGGGAGACTTTCTAATTCCTCTGAAGCTGTAAACACTATTGGTAGCTAATTATAAGTACATCCTTGAGACATCTGACTACTATTCTGGGTATAGTAATGATCGAGATGACTCTAAAGATAGGAAAGACTCGGGCCTCCTTATCCCCTCACATATAACGCTGGGGGTTGAGAACTAAATGGCTAACAACTTAGCTAAGCAGCACGATTTAGGCATCGAAGATATACACGAAGAGGCGCAGGCATATCGAAAATATCGAGACCTCAAACGGGGGATAATAATGAGACTGGTCGGTCGTTTTAGCGGGAAATGTGTGGCGGCGGGGAAGAGGCAGGGGATGACGATCACGGCAGCGAGTGTGGCAGAAACTACTAGAGTTAGTGGCTCAACGCGAGGAGGGCTTTAGTATCGATGGGGTAAACAGATCCCTATCGCTGGCGTTGGTGAGGAGGAGTGAGATATGATGGAGAGGAGACAATACGGGGATCTCGACCATGTGGGAGTGAGAGTCTGGCTTCTTCATCGTTCAACGAAAAGGCTTCCTGAAAGAACAAAGTCGACTCCTAGGCATCTCGTAAACGGGTACGTCTACGCCCTCTACCTTCCCAGAGCATGGCTATGCCTCCCAAGCAATATCAACGATGAACCTAGATGCTGCTTCGATGCCGTATGTGAGATTGAATCTCAGTTGGAGTTCACGCCGGGGCCCACTGGGGCAGCCCCTTTTTTGATCTCCTTAACGACCTCGACCTACACATGACTCTTGATCATGACAATACAGAATTCTGGCCGATGGGGTGGCTTGATGAATGGGCCTACAATGCTCTAGATAGATGGCACCTCGCCTTCCCGGCTTTAGCGGTTGCCATGGATACAAGAGGCTAGGGTTACCTGCAACATCTCATCAACAAAGCAGGCGACAAGACTGAGAAAGATCACTTTCCAAACGGTAAAGAGGGCCGCCCGTTGCTTTCTTTTCAGCTGACTTACTCGGCCGGAACCCTAAGCCACAGACGACCCATTCTTGCCCTCTCTTTGTCTCCGATAGATGTCACCCTCCGACTGTATTTTCCCTTGTCGTATAACAAAGCATTCATTAATTCTACCTCTATGCCATTGTTCTCCGATGCTTATATAGCGCGCGACACCTCTAGGCCATGTCCGATGTAACTAGTGCTAAAACCATCGCTCACCACAAAAGCAAACCAATAACAACGTAAGCTAAGCACCGAACCAATAACTAACACTCTCGGACCGATGTCCTCAAGCCCAGCGACCCCCTACCCGCGGCCGAAGCCGGAGGACGACCCGGAGGTCGTGTTCTTCATCCAGACGGGCAGGATAATGGAAGACGAGCCTCACATCATCATCCACAACCCCGAGACGGGGTGCCGCGGGCTGTGCTTCGAGAGCGGGGAACGGTTCGTCTTCCGCCACGGCCTGATGGGGGCCGCGGGCGCGTGCCGGTGTCTCGTCAAGGGCGAGCCCGGCACCCAGACGACCGAGATCCCCCCGTACCTCGACGCCCACCGGCTGTGGCTCTGCACCTGCCACCCGTTCTTGATGAAGCGCGGCCTGGCCGCCATCGCTACCATGAAGCTCTTCCTGGGCATCGAGGTGCCGGACGTGTTTCGGGTCGAGCCCTAGGAGGGCGCTTCCCAGGCCGCGGGGGATACTCGGGGGGGTTGGGGACAGGTCCGGAGAGCGCTTAGCAGCAGGTACTAGACTTACATATACTAAAAGAGTTCCCGCTAGACGGGGTCTATTCACGTGTTTGTAGGACGTCTTGGATCGAGTTCAAAATCTCGTAGAACTACTTGATACCATACATAATAAGGCCGGCCTTTCCCGTGCTCGCTACACGGATCGATGTGGGCGAGCACGGCAGCACTGTAATCTCGATAGATAATATCCCCTTTATGAGATCCCCTTTATAAGTAGACAGCATATCGATGGTATCTCCGCACCATCCTCTAGCCCTGCCACTTGACCCGCTTCTCCCGAAATATGCTCACCATCCCCGTCGGCAGCAGCCCCGGCTCGACGATGCTTAAGCCGCCGAAGCGGTCAATCACCTCCGGCCCGTACAGCTGGGCGATCCACTTCCAGTACGGCTCCATGCCGCTCCAGTCCGCGTGGATGCCCTTCTTCGCGTTCCGGCTCGCGAGCGCGCGGATCCCGTTCATGAGCGCCGCGCTCGGCGTCAGCGTGTCCTCCTCCCGCGGCACCTTCGTCAGGTCGAGGTACACGTCGAGCAGGTTGCCGCTGAACGCGTAGCCTATGTCCTCGCGGTAGCGCGCGTACTCGTCAAAGCTCATGAAGGTGTCCGGGTCGATGCGCAGGTCCGCGTCCCAGTTCTGCTTGGTGCTGCGCGCGAGGTGGCCGCCCTTCTCGAACTTGGCCTTGAGCGCGTCGTACGCGTCGCGCTCGGCCTCGAGGAACTTATCGAGCGCCCCCGCTGGGTTCCGCAGCACCGTGTTGTGCACCTGCAGGGTCGAGATGAACGGGCTCTTCAGGTCAAGCCCCCCGAGCTCCATCGGGAAGAAGAAGTACGCGTCCGGGATGTCCGAGATGCCGAAGCGCTCTCGTATGAGCCCCTGCAGGTACTGGACGATGTCGGTCGCGCCAGAGCTGCCCGAGGTTAGGGACGACGAGGCCGAGAAGACTTCGCGCTGGATGCGCTCGTGTGTCGCGAGAATCTGCGCGACGTGATCTAACCCGAAGCAATTTGCCGGCTTCCCAAAGTTGGTTTGGAAAAAGGTGGCGACGTAGGTATTCCACGCCTGGATGAAGGATATGATGCTACCTCGCTTGTCTCCGAGTTGTTTGCGCAGGTCCACGATGTACTTGTCCACCAGGGTCTGATCAATCTCAAACTTCCCAGACTTTGCCGAGAGGCTGAGGAGACCCCAGCGGATGTCGCCTCTCGGAAGCGACTTATCGATCTCTACCACAGCGCTTGTGTCTGTCGGGATTCGTACTGTGCCCGATTTCAAATTGTTAATGCGAGTACCAGTAACGCCGGCGAATTCAGTCACCGACTTCCACGCCGTTACGGCGACGGAGTGGTCCCGAGACCAGAACCAAAAGTCGTCATGCATGCGGAAGAGTAACGCTCCATCGGTGGACTTGTTGACGGCGAAATCGAGGCAGAACAGAATCGACTCTCGAAAGACGTCGCTGAGGACGTGGGAGGTGGGTGTGCCACGACGTCGGTTCCGCGTAGCAACCGAAGGGTCGTCCTCGAGGAACTTCAGAGGCGCTCCGAGGAACTTTTTGAAAAAGGCGAGCCACGTTTTCGAGACACCAAGGAAGGATAAGACGGTCAGTATGGTCTGGTGCGGGAGGAGGGTGTTCCAGTCCTCAAAGACGGAGTGAAATGCGGTAATCTCTCCGTACAGCTTGGTGTTAATAGCAATCTCGGTTGATAAGAGGCGCAATAACCGTTGGTGTGACTGCATCGGCTGTTTAGTATCGGATCCGTCCTCGTCATCATCAATGTGGTAGTCGTTTATATTTGCATCACCGACGAATTGCTCGTTGTACAAAACCGAGTTCTGTTTTCCAAATAGGCCCGCGTGGGATGAAGCCGTAACCGCTTGTCTAAATTGGCCTGCGTGGGATGAACCCGCCGGCATCCCAAAGGCAGGGGCAGGGGCCGACATAGGTGCGACGTGTGTTTGGTATTCCGCCTGCGCCTCACCGTCTACGGTCTCGCTTCGCTGTGAGTGATGATCTAGCAAACCGGCTACGAAGTAGTATTTGCGATAGACGGTGGCTCTCAGATCTTGAACCCAGCGTCTTCGGTTCTCCGGGCCCAGATAGTAGGCTCTTCGCATTACGTCGACCCTGGGTATCGGCTTGGAGCAGGACTTCCAGGCGCCGGACGTCTGCTGGAACCCCTTGAAGGCCCCTTTCAAGAATACGGACCACTTCACGCCGATGTATTGTAGGAAAATAGCTTGGAGAAGGTCTTCAACCATGAAGATGTCGTACACGCCGCTGATTTTCCGTCGTTGCTCCAGGGGTACGTGTGGTCCCCACGACCACGAGGTGAACGACGATATTCTCATGTTCAAAACATCGACAATTTCGGATAGGATGATGTCGTCTTTCTTAAAATCCTTTAGTACCTCACGCTTCTCGTCTGGGAGAAGGTCCGACGTCAGTAGGCCATCAATGACCCATTGCAAGGTCGTTGTGTCGAACTGGTTCGGAGACGCCATGTTGTGCTCAAATATGGCGACGCTTTCCCTTAGGGTTTTAAGAGCCTTGGGGCTGCTTGATATCTCCTCATCCTCGATGCTAAATAGACGGCCGAGATACTCCCGAAGCCTCTCCTCATCGACTGGGGCGGGCTCAAACACTGAGCTCTCCCATTCACTTCGAAAGTCTCGCTTCAGAGAGTCGGCAACATCCTCGAACCCTTCGGATGTGGCGACGTCAACCTCGTCGCCTCCCGTCGACTTTTCGGTGGATAGCCACTCGGTGACGAGTTGAGCATAGAGAGACGCATACTGGTATTTTAAAGATTGCATGTCGAGGTGGCGCAACAGCGATTCTTCCCAGGCACGGGTTATCTTGGCCGACAAGGAGGGGTCGCATTTAGCCTGGATCAGGAAGTTGTCCAGATTCTTCAGTTCAATTTCCAGCTCAGAAGACGCCGGTTTTGTAACGCCACCCAACCGCAGGCCGTAGCAGGTGCGGACCCCCTGGTTGAGGATATGAAGACGCTGGATGGGCTGGCTTTCATTTTGTAGCTTCGCAAGGACTTCGGACCTCGTCGTCTCGAAGTCGGACCGTCGTTTTGACAATTCCTCAAGCTTGGTGTTGGTGATCTCCTGGAGCGTTTCGGAGAAGACGCTACCGCTCAGCGAAACCATGGTGGGCGGTTCGTTCTAGTATAGCGACAGGGGGCGAAGAGAAGAGAATCCTGTAGCCGGGGAAGCAAGCGAAACGAGGAGGAGGTGTTGAGAATTAGAGCAACGGAGGATGTTATAAAGGAAAAGAAGAAGAAGAAGGAGAAGAGGGAGAGGAAGAGGGGGCGAAGTCGGCTGCCTAAATAGGTATTAATTAAATCGCCGGGACGCTGTTACTCGTATATAACGGTAAGATGATGGAGGAGGAGGAGGTCTATAGGCAGCCGGATGCCTAGTTAAGTCAGCCTTAGGAGGTACCTCCGAGGCACACACCACCAATCGGATGGCACACCTACGAGTAACGATAAATATTACCAGCCGCCACTCACTAGGCTTATGTACCTATGGAAATGGTTACGCAGGTACTTAATTGGTAACGTTTGGCCTACATGTCTTGGTTTATGCGTCACACACACCAATTAACGATCCATCATGGTAATCCATCAGCATCTTGAATAGCAAGTAAAGCATGTAAGGGGCTGTCGCCAAGGGCGAGAACGCGTGATCAATTAGCGTGTGGTAATAGAGATAGGTAGGTATCAAGAGGTACCGTACGGAGGGGACGGTTAGTAGGTACGTCGGGGACTACTTCAACCGTTAAAAAATAACTACAATCTACTAAAAGTATTTCCAGAATTACATGCGAGTAGATTAAACTCGAAACGCAATATAGGTAGTTACTATATAAACAATATCCCAATATGGAAATTGTTTCTTTAAGGATGGAATAGGACGGAATAGATTTCCTTTGAGAGTAGGTATATTAGGGGGGTATTGGTGATTATGAAGTGATATTACCTTAGGTAGTACTGTTTATCCGGCTGTCTCTACTTGCTACCTCAACCATCAAGCTGGCGTTAGTGAGATAGGAGGCATGAGCTTGGGAAAGACCTGGTGAGGGCAGGGGGAAAAAAAGCTTTAACGCGGAAGAATATTACATACTTACCTATGAGTAGGTACCTATTTCTTCTCTCACAGATACGCTCAGGTAAACCCCGCTCGCTATGAATTTCTCGAGAGATCGTGAGATCATGGTGAGAGAGGGTCGGGTTGCGAGATATGTACCTACCTATGCATCAGTGCAAGTGTGCAAAGAAAGGACCCATATCCACTTCGCGTTATTGGGTTCTGAATACCTATACCTAGGTAGTATCGCATCACCATCTCTCTGCTTATTATCACACGGGTCTTGAAAGAGGAAAAATAGAGAGCTGACGGTTACTTACAGGCGCAATCAGTAAGGCGGTTTAATATAATAGCGGCTTGCTAGGCGCGATGTACCTATATACCTAGTTGTAGCCGCGTCACCTCACGCCTGTTACACATGTTACGCACAGTTACGAGCGATGCCTCAGACGCGCGCGCGTAGACGCGTGGCATTGCGTTCTTGAAATTTCCTCTACCCTCCACTATTTCTTCGCTATGCCACGAACACCGCGAACCGTTCAAATTCCTCGTCTTTGAGTAAGAGATCCGCCTCGTCGTCTAGTAAGTTGGCCACGAACTCGACGCCGCCGTGCCGCTTCTTCGGCAGGATGACGCAGTATCGGAAGGTCTTGTTGATTGTGCCCATGAGCGTGCGCATCGCCTCGGGGTAGCCGTCGTTCTCGAACAGCTCGTCGCCGAAGCAGCACCTGGTTATCTCCAACGCTATTAGCGACGTGATCATGAGCCCGTTGCTGTCAATATTCAAGTTCTGCAGGTTGATCGCTCTGCGCTCCCGCGCCGTCTTGACCAGCGTGTAGGCGTTCATGATCGCGTCGCTGGTGGCTTCGCTCGCGATCTGGCGGATCGCCCGTGCGACTGAGCCGATGCTTGATGAGGGCGCCACCAGCTGTGACTGCTGGAGTCTGACGCGGTTGATCAGGCTGAAGTTACCCATATAGTTCGACGGCACCGAGTCCGGAAAGTAGGATCGCCCGTCGAAAGGCAAGTCGAGGACCATGTCTTCCTCGTCCTCGCCGTCGCCAGGGTGGTGGTTGTCTCCGCTCGCGGTCCCCGCGCCCAGAGCTTTTCTGGCCGCCACCCTCGCTTTGAGCAGACAGCGCCAGACCAGCGCGGAGATCGCGTCGTTGACAGACACGCCGCCCGCACCGGGCTCATTGGCGCATTCTTTCCGCAACGTTGTGACGCTTTCCGGCGACATGTAGAAAATGTACGACTTCATGTAACCTCTGGAGCTACTAGTGTCCGCCGTGCGCGCCCGTTTATTCTTCCGCAATCCGTTGGTCTTGGTCGATTCCCGGCTACCTTCAGGGGGGTCAAGACCGAGTAGTGTCCAGGTCTTTAGGGGTATCTGCTGCTCTGATCTTAGGGCTCGCGCTTCAGCCCATATCCGTTCTAGTATGCCGTGGTCGGAAATCTCGGGCGCCGGCTTCACCAGCAACGCATTTCCTGCCTGCACATCTTGGCAGTTGGCGGCCCAGATTTTGCACACCTGATTGAGCCCCATGCCGTCTGACACAACGTGGCATAACGCTGCTGTGAGGATGCAGCCGCCGGAGATAAAGTTGGCTTGTGCTATAAACACCTCCGTGCCGTTCGTGAGATCCGCTAGGAAAGGCGCGTAGGTCAAATCTTCATCCTCGAATATTCCAGGATGAAATGCGGACTCTCGTAGATCCGTATACGTCTCGAAGCAATCTAGCTTATTGAACCTGAGTTGGTATGGTCGTGGCCCGTCTGGATGCACCGGGTGATGACGGATCTCTAGAGTCCCCGGGGTGCCTGTCGAGACTGGGTGCACTTTACCGCCGAGCCACGGCAGCTGGACAAAAGTCCTGTGTAATGCTTCGCGAAGAAAATCAAAAACCTTCTCGAAGCTCGATGTTCCTCGGAGACGCAGGTACAAGACACCGCTGGCGTAAGTCGGCGGAGGTAGATGATCCAAAGGATTCAGGGCAACGCGGAGGGGTTCTTGAGCCATGACTGCCTACTAGTAGAGATAATTGTCCTCAGGCGCACCACCAATACGAATCAAGTGTAAGTTCGAGGTCGACACTGGATCAATGTGGGTGGCTAGATATCTAGGATATTGTTGCTCTCGTCTACTTGCTACGGTCTGTGCTAATGTTTATTAGGTGCAGGGGAGATTCCACCCGTCATGCGTTTGACCCCTCTGTCGCCTCTCGAGGAGCGCTGGGTAGTTCCGTCCGCGGACGATGTGATAGAGCGGCGCCCGAATATGTCTCAAGCACATGTCTGAGATCCTCGGCGATGCACCTGACGACTTGTTCGGCGTGGAGTAGGAATCCGCCGAATAGGGAGAGTCCCGACTCAAAGGCCGAACAAAATTCTCCGAATGGACTTGGACGCAGCGCCGCCTCTCCGGTTCCATGCATACCGCCTACATGCTGCCTATGTCGGAGATTTCCGACAAGCATCCGGAATTCCAGGAGTTATTCGCTCCCCGAACCAGGCAACGTCACTAGCTCTTGTTGTCATACCCCGGATGACAAAAATCCCCAAGGGAGCTTCGTCCGTCTGAGCCCAGGTTTCTCCGGCTTATGTGCGCAGCAAGAGATCCAAGTATCAGAATATACATTCTAATTCGTGTCGCAGTTTGAAACGTTGGGCGCGGTTAGTCTCCTCTTCGGTCGGCTCTGGCTGCCGGTAGTTATGCGGATGTTGACGCAAATGATGAACTATCACTCTGCTCTCACCCTCATCCAACTCGCCGTTTATATCTTGTGAAATATACTAACTGTTGCGTTCAAATCATTGTGCCTCTCGCATCCCACTATGAGCTGATCGATCTAACAGCATTATATATCCTCATATTACGCCAAGTTCGGTTCGACTCTACGAATGCTAGGTTATACGACTCTTCGTTAACATCACTTTTCTTGCAGTGAGAAATCATGGCTACTATCAATGGGCATTCCTCGAAGCTGAGCCGGCCGATTGCCATCGTGGGCATGGCCTGCAGATTTCCCGGAGGAGCATCGAACCCCTCAAAACTCTGGGACCTTTGCGCTGCCGGTAAGGACGGCTGGTCACCTATCCCATCAGACCGCTTCGACGTAAAGTCACTGTATGATGCGAACTCAGAGGCGATTGGCAGGGTACGTCGTTCGCGGGGCATACAGCTCTTATCCGGACTGTCCGCTGATATGGAAAATAGAGCCATGTGGTCGGCGGACACTTTCTGAAGGAAGATGTGGCGCAATTCGATGCCGGCTTTTTCAACTTACCGACTGATATCGCGACTGTTAGTTCTGCCCACCACCCCACCGCGAACTTCTCGTTGAACTTAAGATTCTTGCTAGGCCATGGACCCTCAGATAAGACTCTTGCTTGAGAGCGTTTACGAAGCGACAGAGGATGGTTGGTATTTCCCTAGGCCCGAGGCTACGTTGTAACTGACTAGAAACTGTAGCTGGTGTGCCGCTCGAGACGCTGATGGGGTCGAATACTTCGGTATTCGCGGGATGCTTCGCAAGAGACTACCAGGGCATCCAAACTAAAGACCCCGAGTTGATATCCGCGCCGTTTCTGTCGAGCAATTGGACAACCATGATAGCAAACCGGATATCTCACTTTTACGATTTGAGGGGCGCCAGCTTGACGATCGACACCGCTTGTTCATCAGCACTGGTAGCGCTTCACCAGGGATGCCAGACAATCCATTCGGGAGAATCAAACATGTCGATAATTGGAGCATCTAGCTTAATGCTGAACCAGGACCTATTCATCTCCATGACCGCCTTAGGGTATGTCTATCCCCGCTTCTCTTTTGTGATACGTGTCGCTTACGTCGAGAAAGAATGCTCGCAACGGATGGTAGATGTTACGCCTGGGACACGCGAGCTCAGGGGTACGGGCGTGGAGAAGGCGTCGCGGCGCTGATCCTGAAGTCGCTCGATGCTGCCATAAAAGATGGGGATCATATCCACGCCGTCGTTCGGGAAAGCGGCATAAACCAAGATGGAAAGACCACTACGATAACGACGCCTTCTTTAACGGCCCAGGTCGACCTGATACGTGATTGCTATGAGCGTGCTGGTCTTGATCTCTCCGAAACCGCTTATGTAGAAGCCCACATGACAGGGACGAAAGCCGGCGATACTATCGAAGCTGAGGCCATCGCTGACACATTTGGCAAGAGTAGAAGGGATGGTAAGGTAATTGTTGGCTCAGTCAAGACTAACATTGGCCATACCGAGCCGGTGAGCGGCCTAGCCGCAATCATCAAAACGGCCTTCGCCTTCAAGCATGGCCTCATACCACCCAACCTCAACTACAAGGAAACGAATCCGGAAATCGACTTGGATGGATGGCACTTGCAGGTGAGTTCGAGCTATTCGACCCGAGCCGTCCTTACATAGTCACTTATTCAGCGAATCCCCCAGGTTCCGACCCACCTCACCAAGTGGCCGCAGGGGATGCCTTTCCGAGCTTCAATTAACAACTTCGGTTACGGCGGGACCAATGCTCATGTCATCCTCGAGGGATGGCCTCCGGCGCGCCCTCATATGAATGGGACCGGCGGGGCTAACGGAGTGAAGGGACTCAACGGCCACAATTATCACAAAAATGGATCAAAGGTTTCCGAAAGCCAACGGATTTACGTTATTAGCGCCAAAGATGCCCGTTCGTGTAAAGAGAGTATGAGAAACTTGGCCGTGTACCTCCGTCAATCCCTCGAACATGGTCGCGGGTTATCCGCTCGTGACTTGGCCTACACGCTATCCGAGCGTCGCTCGCGTCTTCCCTGGGCGGTTGCGGTCAGAGCTAGCAGCTTGGAAGAGCTGGCTGAGCGCCTTGAGAAGCCAACGTTCGTGCCGTCGCAAGCGGCGAGGCGTCCTCGCCTGGGATTCGTCTTCAATGGACAAGGAGCTCAGTGGTATGCGATGGGACGCGAGCTTATCTCTACCTACCCAGTCTTTGCCGCGTCAATCCATAAGGCGGCTAATACCTTCTACGACTATGGCGCTACATGGTCTCTTTACGGTGTGTAGATCCTCGCAGGACTCCTCAAAGACGGACGCTGATAGTTTCTAGATGAGCTCATGCGTGATGAGAAGTCCACCCGTGTGGCAGAGATCAATCTTTCTCAACCCATAAGTGTCGCGCTTCAGCTTTGCTTAGTGGACCTCCTCAAATCGTGGGGGGTCACTCCCTCAGCGGTCACTAGTCATTCGAGCGGCGAGATCGCTGCTGCATATGCCGTCGATGCGTTGTCCTTTGAGGAGGCCCTTGGTGCGGTCTATTTCCGCGGAGAACTCGCCCTCAAGTACCAGAAAAAGTCCTCGCTCGCTGGGGGAATGCTTGCAGCTGGAGTCGGTCTGGATAAAGCGGAACAGTACTTGAAAGCCACAACTGCGGGCGGATGTGTTGTGGTTGCCTGTATTAACAGCCCGGATAGTGTCACGCTGTCTGGAGACCTGCCAGACCTCGACGAGGTGGCGTCTCGACTGGAGAACGACGGGCTCTTTGCTAGGAGGCTCAAGGTCCCCCTGGCTTACCACTCTCACCACATGTTACCCATGGCCCAGGAATATGTCGATAGGCTGCGCTCCGTTATATCTCGGTCTCCAAACTGCGATAGTAGTGTTGTCTTTGCATCTCCTGTAACGGGAGGAGTTATTACACTCGATACTCTGACCCCAGAACATTGGGCTCTTAATCTTTTGAGGCCCGTCCGCTTTAGCGAGGCTTTCGAAAGCATGTACAGTTCTGATGCTAACGTGGATACTGTTGTGGAAGTTGGAGCACACAGCACCCTAGCAGGCCCGATACGGCAGATACTCAACGGCAGAAAGGTTGGATATGTCTCGTGTCTCAAGCGATCGACCAATGCCATCGATACTATGCAGGATCTCGCATGCGAGCTACTGGCGAGAGGATATCCGGTAAACTTAAAGAGCGTGAACGCACCACTTGGCGGGGAAGTTCACTTCACTCCCGACCTGCCGACGTACCCATGGAACCATGGCACACGATACTGGATGGAACCGCGAACAAGTAGGGAGACACGATTTAAGAAATACCCCCCGCATGAACTTCTCGGCGTTCCCATCTCAGGTACGACCGGACTGACTCCTATCTGGAGAAACTTCCTACGCATTTCGGACCTGCCGTGGCTAGTTGATCACCAGGTTGACTCGAGTGTCATTTTCCCTGGAGCTGGCTACATAATCATGGCGATAGAGGCCGTGCGGCTTGTCACGGATACGTCGTCACCAAGCAGTGGATACCGCTTGAGAGACGTCAATTTTATCAAGGCCCTGGCTATCCCAGAGTCCTCGACCGGCGTGGAAACACATACTCGGCTCCACCCCTGTAGTGAGACTGAACTAGACCACAGAGGCTGGTATGAGTTTGAGGTTGGCTCAGTAGATGCCGGCGGCTCTTGGATTAAGAACTGTCATGGGTTCGTGTCGGTTGAGCCGTACGTCATCAACAAATCCCCGCTGTATCGTGAGGCGGATATCCCCAGAGAAGACGCGTTCTTAGAGCCGGGGGCAAAGATACGAGAGATGAACTCAGCGTCTCTTTATACTATGCTGAGGGGGATGAAACTCGAATACGGGCCGGAATTCCGAAACGTACAGAATGTTCGCGTGGTGGGCAATAAGACGATATCAAATATATCCATACCAGAGGTAGCCTCAGGAAAGTCGAACTACATCATCCATCCCACGACATTAGATGCAATAATTCAAACCTCGCTCCTAGGACTACCGAAAGAGTCGACACACGGCTACATGTTTCTCCCTAAAAAAATCGGTTCAATATTTGTACCAGACAGCGGACTTAGCGGAGAGGCTGGAAGCAGGCTGAAAGCATTCATGGAGATACGACACTCAGACATTCGTGGGCTTTTGTCTAACATTGCTGTCTCTAGCGCCGACAGCTTGATTTCATCTTCGTCATCATTCCTCCGAATGGATGACTTTCACTACCAAGGGGTCGTAATTGATCTGGATGATGCAACTGACCAACCAGAATTCCCCATCCGCTCCCAGACCCGTTGGGAGATAGATATACAACATCGAATACCGGCATCCGTCAAAGAGTCCATGAAAATCCCCTTGAGCGATCACGAAGCAGACTTCGAGAACAAGCTTCTACGGTCAGCATACCACTTCATATACGACACTGTGACCGAGCTCCAGAACGAGGACAGGAACAAATGGGCTCCTCATCACAAGATTCTCTACGACTGGATGGTACACATTGTCTCCCTCGGGACTAGTGGGTCTTTGAGTCCGGGATCCAAAGCTTGGTCTAAGACTTCTAAAGGCATGAAGAAGATGCTTAATGATGAGCTCAGTGCCGAATACACCAGCGGTAAGCTTGTGGTCAGGGTTGGCCGGCAGCTAGCGAGCATAATCAGAGGAGAAATTCCGCCGCTTGAGATGATGATGGAGGGGAACCTCCTGAACCAGTATTACATGGAGCAGCCCCGACTGCGGGATCGTACATATCGTCACTTGAGTCAGGTGGTGGAACTTTTCGCCGTTAAGAACCCCGGGGCCAAGGTCCTAGAAATAGGCGCAGGTACGGGTGGCGCGACAAAAACTGTTCTCGAGGCCTTTGGTTCTCGTGGAGATGGCTCAGGGTCCTTGCTTGATCGTTATACGTTCACCGACATCTCCGCAGGCTTCTTTGAGGCCGCTAAGCAGAAGCTGGCTGCGTGGGAGGGAATTTTGGACTTCGCCAAGCTCGATATCGAATCAGATCCTGCCGAGCAGGCATTTGTCCCTGGCAGCTATGATCTTATTGTAGCTTCTATGGTCCTCCATGCGACGAAGAGCCTATACAAGACCATGAGCCATGTCCGAAAGCTCCTAAAACCCGGGGGGAAACTCTTGCTCATCGAGACGACGCAAGAACAGCTTGGTGTGCAGCTAATATTCGGCACGCTCCCTGGATGGTGGCTGGGCGAGGAGCCTTACCGACGATACAGCCCAAATGCGCCCCTAACAATCTGGAATGAGGTGTTAAGGGAGGCAGGGTTCTCAGGAATCGATTTCGACATTGGAGACTTTGATGAAAGCCGGTTCCAGAGTTTTAGCGTCATAATGACGACCGCTGCGGCGACACCATCATACCCATCGCTGATTTCCGTTTTGTATACCGATCAAGATTCGAAATCATGGGCAGCCCAGCTTTCGGGGGCGATTCGAGAACATACAGGCATCGTGCCTTCGGTGGAGAGCCTAAGCCAGGTGAAATCGGTTCAAGATAAGGTCTGCATATTCACAGCCGAGATGAACGGGCCATTCTTAGACGGAATCGGCAGGGATTCGTTCGAAAACTTACAGAGCATTCTTACCAACTGTCGAGGAGTCTTCTGGCTAAGCTGCGGTGGTATTATAGATTCCCACAACCCGGCCTATGGGCCGTTGCAAGGCTTGTTACGGACTCTTCGTCAAGAATATTTAGCCAACAGATACGTCGCACTTGACTTTGAGAGCTACGGCGATAGATGGTCAGAAGACAAGATCCCGTTCGTTCTCCATGTGCTGAGGGAGTCGTTTGATTACAGCAGGGAACTTGGCAATATAGAGTGGGAATACGCGGTGAAGGACTCGACACTTCACGTTTCGCGAATTTACGCAGAGAAGGACAATGTCTTCAATGGCGTGGGCCTAGAACCTCAGCGCCAGCCCTTCCACCAACCCGGGCACCCCCTCGTGTGGACGACGTCAAGCAAGGGTACGTTGAGAAATGTCTGCTTCACGGAAGCGGATGAGATTTCCGGCGATGTTCCAGCCGGGATGGTGGAAATAGAGGCAAAAGCCTTTGGACTCAACTTCCGAGATGTCATGACCGCGCTGGGCCAACTAGACGACACACTAACAGGACACGACTGCGCCGGGATTGTGACCCGGCTGGGACCGGGTACGGAACAAAGTGGCCTGAGGGTTGGCGATAGGGTTTGTGCGCTATCCAAGGGGCGATTCGCCAGTACGAGCTGGGCTTACTGGACAGGCGTCGCAAAGATCCCGGACTTCATTTCTTGGGAAGACGGGGCTGCGATCCCGGTTGCGTATGCGACCGCTTATCACTCCCTCGTACACGTTGGGAGACTTCGAAAAGGCGAGTCTGTTCTCATCCATGCCGCCGCTGGGGGCACCGGGCAAGCGGCTGTTGTTGTAGCTCAGCACGTCGGGGCCAAGGTGTTCGTCACCTGTAGCTCCGAGGAGAAAAGAGATTTACTCTATGAAAACTACGGCATCGACTATGCAGATATCTTCTCGAGCAGAGACATAAGCTTTGCGGCAGCCATACGGAAGGCGACGGGAGGAAAGGGCGTTGACGTGGTTCTCAACTCACTCTCTGGATCTATGCTTAACGCTACCTGGTCCTCCGTTGCGCGGTTTGGTCGCTTCGTTGAGATTGGCAAGGTTGATATCGAGGCTGCCAGGAGTCTTAATACAGCACCCTTTGGTCGATGTGCGTCGTATTCGGGCGTCGATTTATTGCAACTTAACGAGTATAGCGGCGCACTCACTCACTCGGCACTTACGGAGGGCGTCCAAATCTGCCAAGAGAGGATGAAAGCCCGAGACAGCCATCCTATGCACCCAATCGAGCGATATTCCATATCCAACATGGAAAATGCGATGCGGCAGATACAGAGCGGGTTGAACGTCGGCAAGCTGGTGCTGGTTCCGCGCGAAGGAGACCAAGTCAACGTAAGTTCCCTCGCCAAACAATCCTCTTTTCTGGTTATCCGTTGAGAAACTGAACCCCGAGTTCCAATTATACAGGTTATTCCTCGTCCAATCCCTCTGTCGTTCGCGAACCCAGACGCGACTTATCTCATTGCAGGTGGCCTGGGAGGAATTGGGCGGGAAATCTCATTATGGATGGCAGAGAACGGAGCGAAGAACATCGTTCTCGTGTCGCGGAACGCCGAGTCACATCCCGAAGCTGCGCAACTCGTTTCGGCGGCAAAAAAGGAGGGCTGCAGAATCCATATACGGAACTGCGACGTCTCGGACGAGGAGAGTCTTCTCAGTCTCCTCGCATACTGCTCGTTTATGTCACTACCGCCATTCAAAGGTGTCATTAACGGGGCGATGGTCCTCGCTGTAAGAATTTAATTTGCTGCCTCGTCTATTACACCTTACCCATCAGCATGCTAATGAGAATCTTCTATTTTCAGGACTCGATTTTCGAACGCATGACATTTGAACAATGGCAGCTTGCCATACAGACAAAGGTTCGCAGCAGCATCAACCTACATAATCATCTACCGAGCCTGTCGTTCTTCGTCATGCTTTCTTCTGTGGCCGGCGTGATGGGCAACGTATCACAAGCCAACTATGCCGCCGGAAACACCTTCGAGGATATCCTGGCGCGTCACCGCGCCGCGTCCGGCCAGCCAGCCACGAGCATCGACCTGAGCGCCGTAACAGACGCCGGCTACGTGGCCGCCCATAGTTCCGGCAATAGCGTCCAGGCCCGCGTCGAGTCCCTAGGGAGTATCTCGTGTGACATGGACACGATACTGCGCATCATTGGGGACGCAGTAACGCAGCGTGTCTCGCCAGCCCGGCCGGATGGTGCTCAGATCATCGTTGGCCTCATGCCTTGGGAGCGGATGCCGGAGAGCGCCTTCATCCGAATGGATCCGCGTTTCGGTACCTTACGCCTGGCCAGCCCTCGGGGCTCCGCCACGTCCGCGTCAGCGGCAGAAACAGAAGCGGCCGCTACCAGCCCGACGAGGATGTTGATGCGGGGCCTTGAGGCAGCAGAGGGGACAGCGGTTGTGTCAGCCCTCGCGGAGCGGCTCGCGGGCATCTTCAGCATCTCGGCTGAGCACCTGGACCCGGGCACATCAATGGCCTCGCACGGCGTCGATTCGCTCGTTGCGGTCGAGCTGCGCAACTGGCTCGCCACCGTGGCCAAGGCCAAGGTGTCCACCTTCGAGATCCTTCAGAGCGCTTCGATAAGTGATTTTGCCGGGCTCATCCTAGAGAGAAGCCAGCTAGGGAAGAAGGACTGAGATAGATGACATACGGATGCATGGGAAGACTAGTTTGATTGGATTTCCTCTGCGGCACTGGTCTGGTTTAGAAAGCTTTTCTCTTTCGATGATTTGTTACGTGAGGTAGTCGCGAATAATGCAAACTATCTACCAAGTCGTAGTATTCTTCATGTTCTTTTCGTGATTCAACCACGATACATACAGCCCTCATACCTGTATTTCGACCGTGTTGACCTGATCTTCGTACAAGATGGACATTGGCCTAGAGCTTACTCTCAGTTACGTGATGTAAGAAGGGTGTTACAGTCACGGCGGTCTCCTCACGTTTCGACTATTTGCCAACTACGACATCCTTAACTACATAAATATGTCACGTATGCATTAGCCGTCATCTAGGGGCTGATCGTATTAGTGAATGGCATAGCTGGGGTTCGCTCCTTAGCCCTAGCCGGGTCTCTCGAAAACTCGCACTGTCGTTCGGCAGTCTATGAACGAACTCCTTACTCCTACCAACTTGTGATCTTCTAGGTGTGTTTGCACAGTCACTGGCATTGCAAATGCCTCTTTAATCGGGACCGCAAACTTGTATCGGATCTCTGCATGGTTACTTCGAGATCAAGTTGTCGAAGAAAAGCAGAGAACACCGAGTTCGTAAACTGATATGCATCTATGGCGACAGTATGTCATGTCTAATATGTAAAGCACCGATAGTTATGGCAGGTAGCACATCACTTCGGGAGGATATCGCGGTGTTATATTAATGTACTCATGTATGTCCGAATATTTCGGCGCCACCCCGAACGTCCCTACGCCCCTTTGCGTCTATTATCTCGTCAACACAAACTCGTATCACCTAAGTTCATATACGGGCCGAGTCGTAGGCCACTTTATAAAGTCCGAGTAGTTCGGATCGGTGATTACAGCGATGATATAGTGTCACGAATCGTCATCGATCGCAGGGCGCCTTCGATCACCCATCCCCTAGACCAGGGTCAATATTCAAGTAACCGTATATACGAGCTTGCCAGCGCCGACCCGGCCAGCTCTTAGTTCGCTCAACCCATCAGGCACCTCAGATAGTTCCCCTTGGCGTTGACGGACCAGAGGGCCCAGTCGGAGGCGATCTTGTAGCAGCAACTCGTCGACCAGTCTCCAAAATCGCGCTGCGAAATCAACGTCGACCGTGCTCGTCGGTCGGAGATCTTTAGTGAAGTTGGTTACCTCTCCGAATGCTATACACCGACAAAAAGTAAGCATCCGATTCACTCCGATACGACCTGGTGTAAGGAGAATAACCCACCGATGTACCCCGAAGTCCACCCATGCTGTACGTCGTGCCTAGGGAACTTATCGCCGACGGGCAGGGTAGCAGTGTAGCTCGCGACGCCGGGGCGTGAAGTGAGGGCGTCGGCGCAGATCTGGAAGCTGGCGCCCTCCGCGGCGCAGTCGAGCGCATAGAGCAGGTTGTCGCGGGTCGCGGCGCGGGTGGGTGGTCACAGCGTAACGTACCTAGACCGGCGAAGGTAATGCCGACGGGGAGAGTAGCTGCCTCGGCGTCGCTGACGTGGTTCGGGATGCGCAGCGAGAGCGTGTGCTCGAGCAGCGCGTACTCACCGAAGGCGCCGCTCGTGGGGTCACCCGGCTTCATGCCGTAGCAGAGGCCGGCGACGCGGTCCCCGGGGTTGTGTAAGTCCTGGCCGACCTGCTCGCCGCACGCTGCCACCCGGCCGGCGACATCGCACCCTATGGTGTGCGGCACCTATCCTTGGGGGATGGCGGCCCGTTTCCAGTCTGTCGGGTTGAGGGCGACGCTGAAGACTTTGATCAGAAGGTAGCCGGGACGTACCGTGGGCACGGGCGCTTCAGGGTCGACGAAGATGTCATCTGGACCGCGCGCCTTGACTGCCCGCATGCTGCCCAGGATGAGTGTGTCCCGCATTTGTGATAGGTTTCAAATGAGTAGTATAGTCTCTACCACTCTTAGGATGTCGAGTTCACACGGCAGAGGTGTATGTGTTAGTTGAGTTAGGATCACGATCGTCTTATGACCCTTGCATGCTGTCCACCCGCATGTTCACCCCCTCCCCCTTTCGGTCTCCGATCGTGTTGGCCGAGTATGACAAGATGTGGCTTAAAGAGTTATGATTTAGATACCGGGGAATCGAAAAGACATTCGTCATTAGTCGGCTTCTATATACCTAGGCAGATCCCGCGGATCCTAGACACTGAGCCTTTCCAACCTACGCGACAGATGTACTCTCTCTCATTATCCTAATGGCTTGGGAAGAGACACGACCGGGGCAATGGCAACGCCCCATCGGCGAGAACGAAGCATTGATCAAATGTATAGGAGATGCGGGCAAGATTTTAGGAAAAGATGTATGGTCGATATCGGCCACGGCGACCTTTGTCGCCCAAGTTGAGCCAAAGTCTCTATCTCGCGCGCTTCGCGACGGATGGAAGCTTCTCCGCTTCCGTCACCCTTCCATTGCCACTGTCGCCGACGACGGAGTCCTAGAGTACCGTGTGCCGAGCTTAGTGGGACTCGAGCAATGGGCGGACGAGATCTTTGTTTACGTGGAGACGGGCATCAACCTTGACGATGTTATCGCCAACCTGAAACCAACGCGCTTTGCTACTCTCTACTACTTGCAGGAGAGCTCCTCTCTTGTCCTATACTTATCACATTGGCGGACTGACGGGGTTGGGGCGTTTCACCTCCTTAACGCGTTCTTTAATGCGGTTATCGAGTCGCTGAAGGAAGAAACCCCTTGGTCTACCGTGGGGTGACGAGCCCGCAAGGTTTGTGCCTAGTGTTGAAGAAGCGCTTGAACTGCCACACGCTACATCGCCAGATATCGAAGCCGCAGCAGGCCAGTATATCCGAACCTTAGGGAACAATATAGGGTCCCTTGAGGTACCATTCGAGGGCGAGCCTGGACTGCTCCCTGGAGGCACCCGCAGTATCCGTCTCAGAATCTCCCAGAACACAACAGTGGAGCTTGAAACTGGGTGTCGTCATCTCAGAATAAGCCTAGAGGCTGCTATACACGCTTCTGTCACTGCCACAGCATATTCCATCGCATCCCCATCTTCGAAGCAGAAGCATCATAGCAGCACCCTCCGCCACAGCATGCGACCACATCTACGGAGTCCCTACAACGGCTTATCAGGGGCTAGCGGACTGTACACGGCGGCGTATTTCGTGAAAGTGTCTGCTGACCAGACATGGCTGCAAAACGCAAAGCAGTATGAGACCGAATATCGTGACGGGGACACTCCGGAGCTCTTATGTTCCCGCCGACAGTACGCGCTAGTCATGAAAGGCATACTGGAGAACATACCACCGCCCGATCCGCCGCCAAGCGGTCTGGAATTATCCTACGTACCAAACGCTCAGGCGTTGGCGAAGCCGATACACGCAAGTACGGCCGGTTTCATCGAGGTGACTGATATTGGGGTTGGCATCGAAGTGGTGTCCCGCCATCTGTACATCTTTGGGTGGATTTTCAAGGGAAAGCTTGCGTTTCGCCTCGTGTACAATGAGGCGTTCTACGACCGAGCCTTTGGCGAGAGGATTCTGGCCTTGGTAAAGGAGAACCTGATCGAGAACTTACGGTCGTCACAATTGTAGTAAGGCAATAATTGGTCTCCAAGTTAGAATAGCGAAATCACGCTTGCCGTAGATCACATCCAACAGTCACTGCAATCATATGTTATATAGGTAGCTATTGCTGCAACTCGTGTTCTTCCTTCTCAGGGAGTCTGAGTGGACGCAAGAAGCAGCTGGAAGCATCGAATATGTTGGTAGCAAAATCCACGAGTATCCCTTCACCTAGACCCTATCTAAATGCACTCCGTAGACCTTTGGGGTTTCATGATCTACCGGAAGCTAGCACCAGCCTATCGTACTCCTCGCGAACATCACGCAACATACCCTCGATATCTAAGTACCAGATCTTGTGGGCGCGCCGCTCGATACCCTTCAGGCACTTCACCGGGTCGCTCCCGCAGTCCGGATTCGCCCACTCGTAGGTCCGCGACACTTCGCGCGAGCTCCGCACCAACCACTGGCCGCGCTCGTGCCGCGCGGTATCGTACGCGGAGAGGGCAGCGCTCAAGACGGTGTCCTTGCTCGTAGTGCTCGCTACTCGCAGCGTCGCTATCGCCTGTCCTAGCACGGTCGCGAGCGCGAGCCCGTCCTCAACCCCCATGCCCGCGCCCGCTCGCGTACACCGGCGCCGGGTGCTCGTAGGTGTCGAAGATGGCCCACTTGTCGAGGTTGTCGTCGAGGAGGCCGGCGATGGCGCGGACGGCGGGGCCCCAGTCGCGGAAGTGGCGGACGACCTCGTCCTTGGAGGCGGGGGCCGTCAGCTTCTCGTGGCGCCACTCGTCGTCATCGTCGGCGAACACGACGACGTTCATGAGCGTGTGCTGCGCGACGGGGAAGTTGAGCACGTGGCCCCGCGGCCCCATGTGCATGCACTGGTTGTGTGCCTTATCGTGGCCCAGCGCCGCCACCGCCTTGTCCATCTGGATCAGCCCACGGAAGGCCACCTGGTGCGCGTATCGCGGCGACGAGGCTGGGTTGTCCTTGCCCAGGAGCAGCTCCCGCACGCGCGACCTAATGCCGTCGCATCCGATCACTGTTGCGGTGTGTAAGTCGATTTCTACTGCACTGGCGGCGACCCAGACACCTAGACTGGCTAGAAAGGGATATATACTTACCTACGTCTGCACTTGCGTTCGTTCCGTCTTCGAACCTCAGCGTAATCGGCTCATCGCCAACGCCTACCTACCACGTACGTGTCGAGTCGCTTCTGGAATTGTACGATGCCTGGAGGTACGAACTTGGTGAGCTCATCGAGGAAGTGGGCTCGATGGCATGCGTCGAAACCCGTCTCTCCCGCAAAGAGCTGGAACAGCTGCTCTTCGCGCATGTCGCTCGGGTCGTCGCTCGCGCGGTGGTAACCGTCCACGTAGTTGTAGTAAAGGCTCTCATTCTTGGTGGACACAGCCTTCATAGCAGCTAGAACGTTCGGGTCCAGCATCTCCATGCACCTCTGGGCGTTAGCGCTGAAGGTGAGGCCGGGGCCTATTTCTCGGAAACTCCGTGCTTGTTCGTACAACTGCACGTCCATGTCACGCTTGAGGAGGCCTAGGGCGGTGACTACGCCCACGATACCTCCGCCAATGATTGCGATTCTTACTTTACCGCCGTCGGCGCCGGGTTGGTTGCCGTCTGCGTGAGGCATTGTCGATATTATTTTCGCGCGATTCTCTGATTTCTTGTCGTCTTATTGTGTCGATAATGTTGCCTATTCCTCCTTGTGTGAGACTTGGCGTGGAAGTGGAGATGCGTAAAAGGGGTAACAGGTTAAGGGACGGAATATCCTCCAAAGGGGACATTTAAAAGAAAGGCTGAAAGCTACATGTGTAACTCCGTTTCGAACTAACCCAAGCTCCCAACCGAGAGAAAATGAACAGGTGTCCCAGCGCAGGCGATGGCGCAAGCCTAAAGTCCGATTCCGATTGCCCCGAGTCTGATCGCCTAGAGGTGAGAACCTTTTCCTTACCACATCGCTCCACGACTTCGCTGAAATCGGGATATACACTGACTCCGAGCCGTATGGCTACTTGAGCCGACAGTTTGTTGCTGGACATGCTGTCTCTTGCCCTTGGTTGGGTCAGGCTATACAGATCACCTGAGGTCCTGTCGGCTGATTCCCTATCTCCGTTCCAATGCTATACGCCTCCTACAATCAGTCAACGGTCCTCTGTCTCTTTATTTGGTTGATTTACACCCTACTCACGGTATTATTCTATTGTACTAAATCCCTGAAGAGAAGAGAAGTTGATGTGCTTTCCTACGATACCCGCAGGGGCTGCTTTGAGAGGAATTTATCTTCTATTGAGACTGGGTGCGTTGGTGCTGGAATCTCAATATTGACTCTATATATTTGTTGCGGTTCTATTATGTTGAATGTGAGACTCAGTGCGGGAATAATGATTCTCATGAAGGCATTATGCCGATTACAATGTGCTAGGGAAGAGGGATTGGATCACGAGTGAACAAGACGCATATTCATCACTCCCACTCGCTGAAAAAGAAGGTCGATGATAAGAATAATCCGAGTAGTAAGTACACGAGATGAGTAACTACCAACCACATATTATATATTTGCTCTGTAATACCGTTGTTCTATTTGTTGTTCGTAACTGAAAGTCACTCACTTAGGTTCCTCCTAGAGTTGACTAGCTGCAGCTACTCACAGATGAAACCCTCACCCTTACAACGGTAGATCCTATTCATGGGTGTTTAATCTGCAACTTCTGATTTTAAGCAATTAATATATCATTACGTAGATCGGGAGAGCTACGTAGGTACTGGGGTTGCTCTACTGGGAGCAACGGAATGTGGGAAGAAGAAGGTGAATTGACTCTATCTAAGAAGGAAGGAAATGAATAAAGGAGATGCGAGCTACCTATATATAGACAGTAGGGAGCTGGGAGCTAGGTTAAGTAAGCGAGCAACCAGGGAAGAAGTAGGGAGCCATGTAAGCTAGGGCACCCCTTCACGGGCCACCCCTTCACGGACTACCGCGTTAGGACCTACGAACGCGCCTTTTAACGCGACGGCCTTACTTAAATAACCTATAATTTCTCGGTTAGTTTTAATCTTTAGTAATTCCTTTTGCTATTAATCTCTTCCTAATTTCTTATTAATTAAAATAGTATCTTTAAAAGAATAGTAAATCCGTACGTAAGCCGTTATTCGGAAGGTAATATACGGTACTAGTATCCGATAAGTTACCCGTTTATATAGCGTCCCTCGTTCTTACCTATCGCGCCGTTTCGCCGGTAAATTAACGAAATAAGAGCTAAATAAGAATCGGTAGGCTTTATTACCGATCTTAAAAGTTAAATTAATTCGTTAGGTTATTTCGTAGGCTAGGTTAGGCTTCGCGCCGGCTTTTATTTAATTTAGGTTTATAGCCGAACGCTTATTAAATCCCGACGGCGGCTCTAAAAAGCTAGGGAAGCATTAGCATTACCGTTTTTTAAAGCGAAACCCGGAGGTTAAGGCTTCTACGGCTAAGATCGTCGATTATAAGCGGATTAAGGGCGCTACGGCGGTAAATATTAACCTCTTTTTTAACCGATTAAAAGCTCCCGAATTATTAGCTATTCCCCCCAAACGCTTTTTTAACGCCGACGAAATAAATATCGTATAAGGCGTTACCGATAACTACTAGATAATTTCCGAAGTTAATACCTATGTAGTACTTAAAAAAGGCGTCGAAAAAGATTAATGGATTACTACTCTTAAATATATAGGCTTCGGTAGAAAGCCTCTTCCTTTTTTAATACTTTTTAAAGGTATCGATGTTTAGGCTTAATAGTTTCCTAACGATTCTTATAATCTTTAAAAGGATTAGCGATTCTAGGCGTTACTTAAAGGATAGATTAATAATAATATCGCGTTAGGTTAGCTTATAGGTATTGAACAGGAGCAGCGTAGGCACGCTAACGGAGGCACGAAAAGGGCTACCTAACTACTAATAACTAGCCTAGTACCGATCAACTAAGATCACAGCTATAAATAGCTATAATCGATTAATCGGCTAGCTAAAAACGGCAGCTAGGAAAGGAGACTAGAAACGGCAAAGGAGGATAGCTAGAAAGGCATAGTAAGAAACGAATAAATGATTATAGGCTGTAATATCTATAGGTCTAAGTCTAGCTAATGAAAATATAAGTACGCGACCTATATAAATATACATCGAAAAGGCTACGTAGCCTAGATCCACCGCACTACTACAGCCTCCCCAGTTCAATTAATCCGCAAGGAGTAATTAAACTCCCAATATAACAGGTACGGTAGCTCTCGTTTCCTATTAATCCTAAATAACCTAATCCCGATTAACCCTAATCAACTAAAAGCTAGCCAGTTCAATCAAAGGCTAACAGGATAAGTTAGGAAGAAACAGGTCAACTAGGCGATTGCAACAGCAACAAGTGGGTGGTGGGGTAGGTAACTAACTACAGCCGTGCCTAATCCTAAACCTAATTCCTGATCAATCCCGAACCTATTCAATCGCTACCAACTAGGAGCTAAGCCAGTTCAATCAACGATCAACAGGAAACAGGAAAGATCTGATAACAAGAACTAGGCTAGCGGAGCTATAACCTATAAACTGACCTAATCAACCTATTCCTAATCAACCCTAATCAACTAGGAGCAAGCCAGTTCCATTAAAGGCCACCAAGAAACAACAGGGATCAACAGTCAGGAAAACAGGAACTGCAACGGGCAGGTAAAACAAGCGTAGCTCCCGTAAAAAACAAAGAAACAATCCCATACGATACAACGTAATCTCCGTCCTTCTCGTCCATGGCTGTCTTTTGCCGATCCTTTCAACTAATCCTAATCCTATAAACTAACTAATATATCCTATTCATACCCGACTATTTCCGTTTCTAACTATTATTCGTCCGGCAGCATCTACCGGGCTTCCCTTGACCCTCGATCCCTCCCCTATACGTAGTTCTAGGGGCTCTCTAGGCTCTTCCTACCAACCACATATCGGTAAGGGCGACAAGAGGAGTCTCCGGGCATTATCATAACTATTTCCGACTGTGACTTATAACTGTTTTTTTTTTTTTTCCTAGGCTTTCTTATTCAATATTCTATTTAATTCGTTCGTTTCGGTATCGTTTATAGGTCTCTCGCGCTAATCGGTAGGTTCCCCGATCAGGTTCGTAGGTATAAGGTCTATCGGTATCTTCGTATAGCAATTAAAGGCATCGTAGCACCTTATCGGTTAAGGAGAAACCTCCCCAGGTACCGTAACTAGCTAGCAGGGATAAAACAAAGGCGATCGGAGCTATCGGCAAGCCTCTTGCAATTAAAATAAACTAATCGGTAAAGAACGGATGCCTTCAAGCGCGTACGAGGTTATTATAAAAAGGAGGTAGTAGCGGTAACTTTGTCAGATTAACTAAGGGCGAGAAAACGGCTATCTAGGCACTGAAAAACGAAGACGAGACCAGATAAAAACGGGCATAGCTCCTTTAAAAGAGATAACTAAGAAACGAGGATAGGATAGATCCACTAATCGGCGAACGAGCTTTCAGGTAAGCTAATTAAAAGCTGATGGGAGGGCGTGGTTATTAATGGTCGCTATGGTTATCTACCCTCCCGTTAATCCTAACCTAAAAAGGCTTAATCCGAAAGCTACGAAAACGGCTCTGGAGCCACGAAAATAGCTCCTAATTAACTGAAAAAACAGGGAATCTCCTGATCGACGAATCCTGAACCTAATGACTGCAAAAACGGTCGCAAAAGGTCACTCCTAAGGCTGAGGTGAGAACGAGCTACTAGGTAGTCGCCACTGAACAGGAGCAGCGTAGGCACGCTAACGGAGGCACGAAAAGGGCTACCCAACTACTAACAACTAGCCCAGTGCCGATCAACTAAGATTACAGCTATAAATAGCTATAATCGGTTAATCGGCCAGCTAAAAACGGCAGCTGGGAAAGGAGACTAGAAACGGCAAAGGAGGATAGCTAGAAAGGCATAGTAAGAAACGAGTAAATGGCTATAGGCTGTAATATCTATAGGTCTAAGTCTAGCTAATGAAAATATAAGTACGCGACCCATATAAATATACATCGAAAAGGCTACGTGGCCTAGATCCACCGCACTACTACAGTATCTTTATTCCTTATATTCGGGTCCGTTTCGGTAATAAATAAGTCGTCTTAATCTACGACGGCTATAAATCGCATACCTACGACGCCTTTCTTACGTATTATCTTTAAAATAAAATATAGCTCGTCTTTTACTAGCCTTACTATAGTTACGTCGTATAGGTTTTAAATATCGAAATATTCGGGTTATTAAAAAAACGGCTTAAAAGCCTCCTTAGGAAAAGCTAAAGTACGAATCTAAACCTATGCCTTACTAAGGTCGATATATTAAAGGTATACCGATAGGCTAGGATCGATATAATAACTTCTCGAATTATTAAAGGAGCTTAGAGGACCTTTAGGATTTATCCTAGAAACCGTAAGAAGCCGTTATCGTCGAGATTCGTAGTTATAAAGGATAAGGGTATTCCTAGATCTCGGCCGAAACGATCGGAAGCATCGGAAGCTATCGAAAGGCCGAAAATACCTAATTTTCTAACGTTATTAGCTCTAAAGTACGTTAATATACCTTTAAACGGCTAGGAATTACGAAATATTACTTAACGGTTTATCCTTATTAGTTCTAAGGCTAAGGTCGTATCTTAGCGGTTATTCATTCGGAAAACTAACGGTACCTTCGACCGGTAGGCTAATAAGATCGCGACTCTTAAAACCTAGCTTTAATATAAGATCGTTAAAAACGATAGGGCCATTACTAAGACACGGAAGAAGGTATACCTAGCGCTAGGGAAGCGCTTCGTCCGTATAGCGGATATACGGCGGGTAAAAAGGTCGTTAAGAAGTAGGGTAGTATATAAAGACGAGGTAAGTAATAAGGAGGTACCTAGAGAGATTAAAATAGCGCTAGAAACGCCTAAAAACGAAGTATCGTAAACGGAGGATTATATCGAGGTTATAACGCCGGAATTAAAAGGTTTTAATTAATTTTAGTAATATAAATAGCTTTAATTATTAACGTAATAGTTACTAGGTAATACTTAATTTAAGTAGCCCGTGGAGGGGTGGCTCGTGAAGCGGTAACCTAACTTATAGGTGGCTCTCTACGTGACATATATTATAGGAAATACCGCCAGAAGAAGCGGAGACGATATGGCGACTTCAAGCAGTTTTAACGATTTGACTCCTGAGTCAATACCTTCAGTAGTGATGTCCCAGCACCGTGGATGCTGGATCTACTAGGTAATGCCGAACGGCCACCGGATAGTCCCCCGGAATGCTGTACAACAACGTAACCAAGACACATTTCACTATGATAAAAAGAACATCCATACTGCTATGGATTATATAACTACTGACTTAAATTCGCTTTACTTGAAGAGTTGTCCAATTAATACATTGTCGGCCAGTACCTCGGATGCCCTTCAGGGAGTCACAAACTATTCATTTGATTTGTTAGCTACTTTAATGGAACGGGCTTGTTTAGTCCACGGTCAGCGAGGCGGGTTAATAATTGTGCATCGAGTTGGGCGAAAAAGCGACACCGTGGATAGGAAACCGGAGCCATCTTCCGGGATGTCTTACACGGCTTGGATGTGGACTTGCGCGATATGCCACCTGCATACACAAGATTCCCCGTACTCCGAACTTAAAGTAATTGACTATCACGAACGACACAGAACACTACAAGCAGTGCCCGCCTACCGCCGCGATAGAATGCGTTTCCAATATCACGGCAATATATGATATTACGTCGAAGAGAACTGTCTCTATGCATACCCACTATGATTTTACATAGCTTTAGCCAGTCTACGTAGACGATGAAATTCGCAGTGGTGATATCCGCATATAGAGCACCGTCACTTTCATCGCAGATAAACGATGCACTGGCGCGTGTTACGAATTTTCCACAAGAACCGCCCCGTGACCCTAGGCCTGGGTCCAGTGTATCTGTAGTTAATCGAAGTGGACACAGGAGTTCAAGTGAGATAGAACTCTCCCTGAAGATGGGGGTATGGAGGCTTAGTAAATACTCCGGGCCACATATGTTTAGGACGGGTTTGTGTGCTCGCCACGGGCGCTACTAGGACAAAATACGCCTTTCTGTTCTCGCTTGATAGCACCGTACTACATATGTATTGCTTGTGGTAGGTATCTGTCTGCGCGTCCCCATCACGGGCTCGCAGCTCTCCGCCAGGAACTGAGCTCCTTAGCAACTTGCTTCGTTCTACAGCAACTTACCTTGAGTGGGTGGTAGAGTTCATGGTCTCGTTAAGGTAGGGCTTCACCAGATGTTTTTTTCGCATACCCATTAATCGGAAACACACCCCATGTGTATTCCTGTCTAGTTCGACGGAAATGTCGCCAAGACACTCACTACCTGTTGCTAAAGGGCCAGGTGGCCAAGTATCGTGGGGTTGGGGATTTCCGATCTATGCTTCTCAAGATTTTCGGCTTAGTTAACGGCTCGAAGCCCAGCTTTTGACCTTGTCCAAGACGAGACCAACCTGGCTACCGTCGTAATGCTGAACGCTTCACATTTCGGCTAGATAATATCGCACCGCAGCAGTCATCATGAACAACCTCGCTGCCGCCGGCTCGCTAGATGCACAACAAAATAGAAGACTGTAAGAGCTACCCCTCTTACGCCGACGCTTCTATTTTCCATGCTGATGGACCAAGGGCCTGCGACAGATGTCGTGCGCAGAAACTCAAATGCGTGCGATCAGAGTTAACCGTGACGTGCCAGCGATGTGACAAAGCGAAGAGGCCTTGTAGTTTCGGGCGTCCTCTACCCTCAGGGCGCCCTCGTATCCTACGGGGTCCTACATATGAGACAGTAAGGAGGGATAACGGACGACATACGCCAGTAGCCTTCCGGAGGAGCGAGTCGAACGGGAATCCCGGCCTAACCCTTCGCCCCCAGCCCAGTCGCCCCAGTGAACGGCACTCGTCGATATCATCAGCTCGAGCCGGCCATGTCACCAGCCGTGGCAATCTCAAGGATGGGTTCGACAATGATACCTTCTTCAGCATGCTTTACGGCGATTCCCCGAGTGCCGACTTTGATTCTTCAACTTTAGGGGATTGGTCGGCTGCTAGTAGCACAGCTTTCGACCATTCCTCGTCTTGGCCGAGTGTGGATATGGAGCAATTAGGTGATTCCGGAGTCGACACCGTGCCTTGGGACATCACAGGCATTTCAATGCCATCGGCTGGCCCGAAGGCCCTTAATCGAGGCCGAATAATGTCAACGAACAACAGCCAGGGGAAAAGGCAGCCCAGCGGACCCATCCTGAGACCTAATGGCACAACTATGGAGAATTTCATTCCAAGCTTGGGCAAGTTGGTGAACTTAGCCGCGCCACAGAACCCATCTGCGCTCATGCCAAGACTGATGGAGCTTGGTAGTGTTATGTACGAACTTGAGACTACATACTGCTCCGATGAGCAGAATGGCCGGTCGGTGACTGGCTCTTCGGATGCGTTCCCGACGGAGCTGGCCGGTAAGGTGCTGCAGGCAGCCATCGGGTTTCTTAAGTTCCTTCGGTGCTTCTTTTCCGATGATTCTGTACCGAATTTCCAGACTAGAGCGGCGCCCGCTCGCCGGCGTAACTCTGCCATTGACAATATTAGCCACACCGAGGACGGTAATTATCACCGACTGTTTGGGTTCCACCAGACCTTTGCGGACCCGAGACCTCACCCGCCAATCGAGTGTGCCTCGCCTCCGCCCTCTTCTTCGGAGCCATCCCTTCGCCGCATGCGCGGAGCGGACAAGCCTGCGGCCCTACAGCTCATCGCGAACTACCTACGGCTCCTACAGCTATACCTCGTGCTATACAACGAAATATACGACTACATCCGCTTTACAGAGTCGGAATTCCGGCACAATAACCCGATATGGAGCGACCTTACAATCGGTGGCGCGCCGCTATACCAGTTCGGAGATTCCCAGATCAAGCTGGTGCTGCAGGTAGCGACGCAGCTGCTCGATGAGATCGAGAGCACCCTAGGTCTGTCCGAGAGCTGCCGCGTCAGCAAGAAGTCGGCGGTAGAAGGGGCAGGCATCCTCGGCATGAACGTCACGACGCACTTCATAGAGATGTGCATGTCGGAGGCGATGTCGGGAATGGGGCAGGGCCGGGGTGCCATCGCGCGGTTGAGGGACGTCATGAGCTGCTTGGCAACCATGCTCGACACGCCTGTTTGGTTATGAGGGGCCCGAATTTTTGTTATGGCCATGGCCGTCATGACCCGGCAGAATAAATAATTGTGTATTTTCGTAGAATAGCGGTGGTTAGTGTGTACGCATCCGGATAAACGAGGTTGACGGGTGTGTCGGTAGAGAAGTGTGTACTTGTATTGGCTATTGCGATGTTATTTCTTGGCGCTGAAAAGGGGTAAGAAAAGGGGCACAAAAAGGGGTAGGGGTGGACCTTAGAATATAGAGGCTTATTGCTCTTTTTCAAACTGCTATTTTTCTCAATCGCGTCTTCTTTATGGAGTATTGTCGCCACAGGAGCGCAATTCATTTAAATGTGTCAAATGTCGATTCTTTCTTAACATATATTTTAGTCTAACAATCGCGTTCCCTCATCCATGCCCCTTCTAGCCTGCCGTAAGACCCTCTCTGCCTCATCAGCGTATTTGCACCTGGCTTTGATTGCAGGTCCATACAAATAAAAGACGAAGGGTTTAGGTGCGCAGAGAAGAGCGAGAATGGCCGGAACGGATATACCCCAAAAGACACCTAGGTTTGCGAACAGAGTCCTTACAAGTAACGGAAACCCAGCTCCACATATCGCCCTTGCGCATATAAAGACCATTAATGCTGACGTGGCGAATATTGCATATGAGTCCACCAGATAGTTCGTCGAACTGATTGTGGCGAGGATGATGCCGAAGCCGAATGAGACGCCCGCTAAAGTATTAACCACCCAGTGTATGTCGGGGTTGGCGGTCCCGGAAAACCAGAACAACCCGATGACAATGGATACGCCACCAATGCAGCAGCCAGGCAGACGAGTCTCTGGCGGGGCCGACTGAGCTCCAAGCTTGTCTACCAGCTCGACATACTTATCATTATCCCAAAGCTGATTATCGAGAAGAGTATGCCTATTAGAATCCCAATAAAGGAGAGGCCGCTGCTCTCCGGGGGCCGCCCGCGGAGATCGGTATACACTATCGGAAACGCTGCAAACGTAAGGTAGAGAGTCCCAAACACGACTGCTTGATACAAAGCCATAGCGAGAACGATAGGCTCACGAATCGCCAAGTGAAATGGCCTCGATAGTGTTGTTGCCAACGACTTGTTAAAGCTAACAGCGCTGCCGCCATTCCTAGCCGTAACCGATATATACGTGTTGCCCGTAACTGCACCGAGATTCGAAGCCCGCTTCCGAAGTATCACAGGCGTGTACGTCTCGGGCAACAGGGGCAGCGATATAGCTAGAGCGTAGGTAGACAAAAGAGCTATAATCCCCATTAGCCAACGCCAACCGAGAGTGCCGGCCACATATTCGTCAATGAGCGGGCCGAGTACCGGAGCGACGAGCGGCACAAGTGCATACACGGTTATGGTGAGACCACGCTCTTTAGGGGGGAAAGTGTCGGCAATGATGCCTCCAGAATTCGTCAGGGGCGCAGCGCCGAACGCGCCAGACAGCAGGCGGAGCATGGGCAAAACCCATACACTTGGAGAGAAGCAGATGGCAGTGTTGAGAACCACATGCAAAACCGTCGAGATAACATGGGTGGGTTGACGTCCGAATAATTCTAGTTCGGTATTATTTGTTGTCTGCTTTGAAAATAGGGGCCACGGGAATAAAGATTTGAGGGAAAGGGGACAAAAAGGGGGAGGGTGGGTCAGCCCCATGCGTACCCGAAGTAGGCCCCCAGACGAACGGCCCCAGAGCGAAACCGATGAGGAACAAGCTTAGGCCGAGAGTCACCAACTCGGGGCTGGCCTCGAGGTCTATAGAGATATCTCGTACGCCGCTGGTGTACCCGCTGGAAATGAAGGCGACAGAGAACGTCACGTAGCCAGCGGTAAGGCATAACGTCCACCGCAGCCATGGAGGGAACTGCATCGGATCGCGAGGGTCACTGTCCATGAATGTAACTAGGTACGGGTCGTCCTTGGTGCCGGAGCCTCTGTAGTCGTGACAGCATCTCAGAAGTCACATACCCAGTTTCCCTCAACACCTTGAGCCACGGTATTCTCGGCCGTTGGCCCGCCACACCGTGATATGCCAGGTCCTCTTTCATCGTTCCCCGTATATTTTTGTCGTATGAATATCAACACTGTAAAAAGAGTCAGGTCAACTAGGTTGCCTGAATCCGTGATTTGACTGCCTTTCGAAGGCGGCTTATGGGAACGTGGTGGATGCTACGGGTTGAGAAGCGCGCAAAGCAGCAAACAGAGCTTCTATGAGGGAGCTCATCACCGACCCTGTTCTTCGCCTCGTTAAAAGTTGTCTCTATAGGCGAACATTTCTCGCACTAGCCACATATTAATTTATGCCTACACACCTACGTTCGCCGTATGCAGTTTCGGACTTGGTGGCGGCCGGGAGCCTGAAAGTATACCAAACCTATCAAGAGAATTACGATTATAATTCTTTGTTTCTTTTTCTTTTATTTATTTTCAATTTTCAACTTCCGACGACCTTCCCATGATCGGCAACCCCCCCTGTTTCCCACATAATACGCAGCGAGCTCCGAAGCTAACGGCGCCACCGTCTTCGGAGTTTCGGACGCGATGATCTCCTGGAACGATGTGGTAGGCGCTGGAGAAGGCGATGGAGAGAGGTCGAGACCTACCCGATAATGCTACCACGTTGCAGTTATATGATAATACACAACGTAACGAGTGAATTTCGTATATACTACACCGCATTGTTCCGACCAACCTGTCTCTCACCAGCTGTTTACTTGTTACCCCATGGGTGCCGCACCCCGTTGCGGTTCAGACCGCCTAGCCCCTCGGCAAGGGATCACTTCTGTTATGCAGTAAACTGCTGTATTCGGTCCCGAGGGAATGCGGTGCAGTACGTCAGGATAGCGGCCGGCGGCAAAGCAGGAAATTCACGGCGTCAAATAATATCAAACACACCGGTTCGTGGTTTACAATGAGAAAATGGGTGCCCTCAGCGTTGAAAACCCTCAACATGGCGATCTCAATCTGGGGCGGCAGCTCGGTTTGCGGCAGCAACGTCATCCAGCTGGGCAAGGCGGTCGGCTTCCGGATCGTCACCGCCTGCTCCCCGCACAGCTTTGACTGTAAACCACCCACTATTCGCGAGGATGTGGCCGCCGAACTCGGCAAGGGCGTCATCTACATGGCCGTGGGCCAAAACGCCACGACCTACCAGGTTTCCTACAAGTCCAAGCAGAGGCCGTTCGTCGCCCACCCCACCCTAATCGCGCCTAAATAGGTCCCCGAGAGCATCGAGGAGAAGATGGGGTTCGGCAAGGGAAGCGCCGAGAATATGGCAAGAGTTCTCCCACAGCCTTTAGGCGGATAATACATGGTGGAGGCTTCGAACAAGGGGCTGCACAAAATCGCTCCACGGCATCCAGGAGGTGCTAGACACTTTCAAGAAGGGGTTCCCGTTCAAGAAGATTGCCTTCGAGGCTGTGTAGGCTAGCCTTAGTGGAGAGGTTCTCACTATTATCACACCGGACACGTCAGACGTGCGTGACTAGACTGAAGTGTTGCTCAGCCTCCATCTTTATGTAACAGACAGACTTGAGCACTTGAGATGTAAGATTCTGCCAGTCTATGGGCGATATGTATCTGAGACAGTGTCGAGCAAACTCAGCATAGGAATTCCATGCCACCTCTCTTCTCCACCACCCTTTGTTTTTTCTTGCATCTCGTGACAGTCGTCATTGCCTATAATCTTGGGCCTCTCTTTAGTTCTAAGAGACGAGCCGGGACTGGTCCTGAGAGACAAAGCATGAATATGACTGCATTGTACTGCATAATTATCATGCATGAGTTTTCTAGTTGGAGGCGTTCGTACACCGGCCACTATCTAGGTTACCATTGCTGATTCGGCGAAGCCTCCGAACCAGAGTATCTCGAATAAGAACTGGCAATTTACAAGTAGTCTATGCATACCCGCCAAATGCCCGGGGAATTTCTTGTGGCCTTCCAGCTCAACAGTGCCGCGAAATGATCACTTCCCACCGCAATCTTTTGCCCCCAATGGATGGGTTACCTTTTGTGGCAACATGAATAGCATCCCATACCTTTAGTTATCTGGTCCAGGGCAGCTACTAGCAGTTTTAGAGAGAGAAAGCCAATATTATCTTGTCACGTAAAACGTAGACGCCTACGATACGCTTTGCGGTATGTAGGCATATAAGGGCTGGTTCAATTAGTATGTGACATATCTAAATATTAACCAGAAGAAAGTAGACCTTTCAGCTTCTACCTTCAGCTTCCCTAGCGTCCTTACGTAGAGTCGAATATGGCTGCAGCTACTAATGCTAGCGAAAAGTTCGGTAGCTTCGGGGACATCATATCCCAAAACCCTGGTACCATCGCTACTGCGATATTCATCGTGCTTTTGACGTTATTGTACTGGGAGGGCTTGTCAAAGCTGATTCCGGGTATTCCGTACACTGCAAGATCGCAGTGGAAGTTCTTTGGCGATGCGTTCGACTTCGTGCGGTACTCGGAAGAAACGGGCGAAGGGTTTCGGTGGTTCTCGACAAAGGCGGCGGAGCTGGGAAGCCCTGTCTGCCAAGTATTCCTCTCGCCGTTCTTGAAACCCATCGTCGTCGTCGCCGACATCCAGGAGTTGATCGACATGTCGACGCGGCGCGCGCGTGAATTCGATCGCGGCGACTATCTGTCTGGCTGGGTCGGCATCCTGTTCCCTGAGGGGACGATCTCCATGCCCTCCCACGACAAGTTCAAGGACCAGCGCAACATTTGGTCTTCCACCATAACGAGCCAGTTCCTCAACTCTGTGTCTGCGCGTACAATACACTAACATACCGTTAACCTGGTGGAGTTATGGGCCGTCAAGACACGGCAGGCGGATGGCCGACCATTCGAGGTTTCCGACGATCTGAAGCAGGCCACATTTGATATGGTGAGTATTTTCTATTGGCCTCTCCCGAGGCCTCTTCGTGATAAACGTGTTAATAGACTCATAGTAAGTACTTACTCTATCTTTCGAAGAAGAACAGTACAGAGGCTCTCAATGTATCGCCCTGATCTTACAGGTAAGATCCTTTCTACTAATTTCAACGTCAGGATTTAGTATGACAAGGGGATGTACTTAGAATAGATTTAATTCAACTAATAATTCTATAGGGGGTCTCTTAGGTCCTTATCCCTTCTTAGGTTTCCTAGTCCCTATCTCGTCCTAATATATTCCAGGGGTACCTCCGTACCTTAGTACCTAAGTACCTTAATGCCGAAGCTATCCGGGGCTTATCTAAGACCTTTTTTAATACGTCGCCGAGGTAACGGCCTTGCTACCCGATATTATTCTCTTAATCCGTATAACCTAATTATTAGTATAGGGTTTTATTTCCGTATAATATTATCTCCCTTCTTCGGAAAAGCTCGTCTTTAAGCGTAGGTTAAGTACCTAGGCTCGATAGTTAATAGGTTTATTAGGGTTTTATTAATGGAATAACTTAACGGCTTCTTTCGTTCCTTCGGTAGTAAAGTATTTCTATGGTTCCTAAGTTTAGTAGCGCTTAACCGGCTAGCCTTCTTACTTTATTAAGTACCTAACGACTTCTCCGGTCCTAGCGGAATCTAGTACTTTATTTACCTCGTAATCTTCTACCTCGATCGGGGCTACCTCTCGTAGGACCTAATTAAGGTTAAGTAATTCTTAATTACTAACGCGGTAAGGTTTAATAAGGAATACGTAAAAGGTACTATAAATACGCTAGCCTTTCGGGAGCGTTAAGGTTACGGTAATAAGCGAAACGACCTTCTAGATCTTGAAGGGGCCGAGTATCTTCTTATCTATCTTTTTAATAAGGCGTTTAGTTTTAATATTACGGGTATTTAATATAACGAGCTACCTTACTTCTAGGGGAGGTTCTTCCTTTTTATATTTATTTATTTATTTTTTTATCTACTACCGTACTTTTTCTAAGTATTACTTAGCCTCGTTATATATCCTAGTTATTTAATAAATATAGAAATTACTTCCTAGATTCTTAGGGGTACCTAATAAGGGATTATATATTATTAAGTACTATCCGTAATTAACGTAAAAGGATAATATACCGGTAGCTATCGAAGTAGTATTATTATAAGTAAATTCGGTAGTAAGGAGTAAGCTTTCCTAATCGTTTATTTCGTAATTTACGAAGACGCGTAGGTATGCTTTTAAGATTTAATTAAGTCTTTCCGTTTATCTATCCGTTTAAGGATAGAAAGTAATACTTATTCTAGGCTTAACTCCGAGGAGCTTTAAAATATTCTTTTAGATATAGGAGGTAAACCGTAAGTCCTAGTCGGAAATAATATCTAAGGGAATCCCATATAGCCGCTAATAGTTACGAATAAAGATAGGTATTAGGTTTTCGGCTTTTTTACCGTCCTTTTTTAACGGGATAAAGTACGTTATTTTAATAAAGGGATTTATAATAACCCATATAAAATTATAACCGTTAAATATCGGTAAATCTATAATAAAGTTTATCGCGATTATTTACTATAATCGGTAATATAGTTCCATAAGCTATAATAATCCGAACGGGATATACCGAGGTACCTTATTCTATTAGCATTTACGATATCCTCTTATAAATTCCCTAACTATTACTTCTAGATTAAGCCACTAGAAGTTTCGGGTAATAAGTTTTATAGTTTTATTTATATCTATATATCCCGCTACCTTCATATCGTATTCGGATCTAACTACTTCTTATTATAAGTTCTTAGGTACTTATAAACGATTTCGTCGATAAAAAAGGCCCTTATAAAGCTTTATTTCTTTACCGGATTATTTAATTAACTAAGCCTAGTATTCCGGGTCTTATTCGGCTATATTCTTAACTCGTTTTACGAACTTTTAGATCTAGGCGGGTATCGGAATATTATTTAGTCGTACGCTAGAAAGTATAATAATTAGTAAGCCTAAAATTTTTAAAAAATGCTTTTCTTATAGGACCGTCGCTATTAACTAATCCTTAGCTCCTCCTTTTTTAAGGCGATATTATAATAATTTAAATAAAATATTAGCCTTTTCGTTTTACTTCCTTAAGCGGTAGTATATTATAAAATAATACGAAAAGAACTATTAAGCTTAGCGGGCTTATCGTCGATTTAGTACTTTCGTCGTAATAAAGTACGTTAGGTTCTAGTAATCTAAGTATACTTCTATTTAATGCTAAGTATCTTCGAAATAATATCGCTACTTCTCGAATGCGTCGACGATTACTAGTAATTCCTTATTATATATTTTATAATTTATTTCCGTTAAGGTAAGTCGTTTTAAGAAAAAGGCTATTAGTTTTAGTTTTCCTTTATCGTTTTTTTACGAGAGGATAGCCGAAACGATAAAGTCCGAAGCGTTAGCTTTAACGATTAAGACTCGATTAGGATCGAAATATATAAGTACCGGGGCCTTCGTAAAGGTTTCTTTTAATTCCTAGAAGGCCTTTTTTATTTCGATTTCCCATTTCCATAGCTTACGGTTTCCTTTATTAGCGTTAGTAATTAGTCTAGCTATACCCGAGAAGTTACGTATGAATTTACGGTAAAAGTTAGCGAACCTAATAAAGCTTTACGAGTCCTTAAGTATAGTTAGGATACGTTAGTTAAGAATAGCTTTTATTTTATCTTTCGATATAGTAATACCCTTAAGGCTTATATTATACCTTAAGAACTTAACTTCTTACGTTCGCTAGGTATATTTCTTTAAGGCTATTACTAGATGATTTTCTATAAGCCGTTTTAAGACTTCCTTAATTAATTTATTATATTCTTTTAACGTATCGGTATAAACTAAGACGTCGTTTAGGTAGGCGATAACCTTTATATTTAAAAGGTCGCGAAAGATATAATTTATTATAGCCTAAAAGGTAGCGGGGGCGTTAATTAGTTTTATAGGTATAACGGTATATTTATATAGCCTATAACGCGTACGGAAGGCGGTTTTTTATTCGTCGCCTTCCTTAATTCGTACTATATAAAAGCCCGACTTTAGATTAATTTTAATAAGCCATCGCGTTATTTAGAATAGGTTTTATAGTTTATTAATTAGCGGGATAGGATATCGGACGGATATTATAATTTTATTTAACCCCCGATAGTTAGCTACCGGTCTTAGTACGTTAAGGTTTTTTTTATTTACGAATATTATAAATACGCCGTATAAGGCTTTAGATTTCCGGATTCTTCCTATAGCTATTATTTTATCGAGCTAAGGTTTTAAAGCTTCTAATTATCGCTTATTTATAGCGTATAAGGGTCCTTACGGGGAAGTAGTTCTTAAACGAAGCTCGATAACATAATCCTATAATTACCGGTCGGGAAACCGTTATTCCGCTTCCTTAGTTATAATAAGAACGAAGTCGCGAAATTATTCGGGTACTTATAATAAAGCGTTCTTTTCTCGCGTAGTTCCTATACGAGTTAGCCGTAGGCGATAATTCCGGTATTAAAGCGAATTAAAGTATAATCGTCCTTCCGTAAATAGCCTTTAGGAAGGATATTCCTTTATTTATTATTACGGTAGGATAGCGTTAACCTCTTCGTTTAATTTATTAACTTCTTAAGCAACGTAGTAAATATATTCGTAACTACTGTAGTGGTACGGTAAGACATGCCCTCTTAATGCATTACGTAATACGCTACGATAGGCCTTATGCCTATATAGAGTAACCATAGCTCCCGTAAGTACGGGACATGCTATACTTATTATCTAATTCATTACCTAGCTAGATTACTATCTTTATTATTTTTACCTTAATTAAAGATTCGTTTTTGCCATTAGATTCGTCGTTTTCCGATTAATACATTTATTTTAATTATAAGCGCTTAAGTTACTTCGTCGTACCGTTATAGCCGAATAAGTAACTTTTACGTTTTATTCCTTTTCTCCCCTTACCTCTTATACCTTCGGGCTAGCGACTATTATATCTCTACGACTAAGGGGTATAACTAAGATACGATAATTACATTAAATTCCTTATTTCTCGATTAATATAGCGATATTAGTTTTATTTATCCTGGACCATCGTACGTATTATAGTCTTCGATAAAATATACTTTCGAATAAACCTATCCGGGTCTCTAATATCGCGTACGCTTTACTCCTCCTTAGTAGCGACTACCTTATAACTTTTTCGACCCCTTAATCCTTAATTTACGGAGTTTTTATTACGCTATTAGGATTTAAAGGATACCGATCGCCGTCGGCGCCGCCGTTTAACCCGCGAAGTAGTCCGCGTTTTACGTTAAATAAAGTATCCCGTCTTATAGTTATTTATTTACTATAAGAAGGTACGTATAAGGCCGGGAACTTTTATAACGATACCATAGCCGCTAGGATATTACCTAGCCCTTAATACTTATAACGCTAATAAGCTATTAATACTACGATATAATACGACGACTAAACTACGTTTATATCGATTAAGACATCCCTCGTATAGTTATTTATTTACTATACGGAAGAACCCGTAAAACCTAGGAGAACTTTCGTTATAATATTACCGCTACTAGGGATAATACTTAGCCCTCGATATTAACCGCTTCCTCGAACCGCTAATAGCATAATATATCTCGTACAAATAAATAAAGCTTATAGCGATTAAGGCAGCCCCTTATAATTATCTATCTACTATATAAACTAAACGTACGAACGCCTTAATATAAATTACGATAACCTATACGACCCGCTATTCCTTTATTAATATTAAAGGCGGATAAAAGCTAATAATAATTATACCTTAACCGACCTTACGATAGCTTCTTTTTCCCTCTAAACCTATTATTCGATATAAACTAAATATATAAATACTAATAACTTATTATACTAAAGGTATTTTAAGATACCTAAGCGTAGCGATTCGACGATATAATATACGATATAATATAGATATTTATATTAATAACATAGATAGGATTAATAAATTAATAGCTATTAATAACCGATAGTTTTAAAGAGAACTAGGAATTAATATTAATAGAATTACGTAAATATAAAGGATTAGGGAAACGGAACTAAAGTCGAGCTAATAGGTATACCTATATATAGGCTAGCCTTATATTACTAATTAATAGCTAATATAATAAGAAGTACTAATATAGGCGTAAAACGGCGCCTAGCGGTAATACCGTTAATACCAT